CGCTTCACGGAGGACATTGTCGATCAAATCATCCTGACCAGAATGTCTCATGGATGTAATGCCACGTTCGGAGAGTGCCAAGTTGATAGACTTGGTAAAGTTCAATGGCACAGTCGTAGGGTCCCGGAGATCTACGGATGCGCAGGGATTTATGGCGTCAGTTCGGAAGAATTCGCAATGAATCACAACTGAGCCAGGACAGGTGCAAGGGGCATTGAAGATAGCAGCAGATGGTGATATGGATTAATCAGGGTTGTTTTCTCTTAATTGAAGAGTTGAGACAGGGACCTTGCGAGACATGCTGCCTTGATAAAAGCCAGCCATTTCCGGCCAAGGACATGTACCTCCTCCTCTTTTGACAATCGGATAGTTCTCAATGGCGGCCACAAAAAGGCAAAAAAAAAGAAAAGAAAGGTCACACAAAGCATTGAAACATACCTCCACGGAGCTCATATACTTCCACCTCGTCGCCTCTTGATGCTGCATACAGGGCTGCCAAGGACCCGACTGGGCCAGCACCCACAACAACCACTTTCTGCCTCGGAATGGCCATCATGTACCTGGTCAATGTCCAAAATAAAGACAGGTACGAGTTGAAACAGAAGAGTAAGTCGTCATCACGTGCTGCGAGATCGGCCCCTTCCAACGTTCCAAAATGAGATGATCGACATTAGTCATTTTCAGGGTTGCCTTGATGCCCCAGGCAAGAATGAACCATTTGGGTACTAGTCCAAATGAAGTTTAGTTCCATATTGCCTTGCGGCCGGCGGGGATTTTCTTGAAGTTTTGGCCTCCATTTAATCCACTCTTTACTACGTATTCCCTCGATTTTTATTTTTATTTATTTTCGCTTCTGCCATTCTAGTATGGCTGAAGTTGCAAATCGCAAATGCAAGGGTGTGGACTGCCCTAACGACGCAGGCACCCTTCAATGTCCGACATGTCTAAAGAGCGGCACGGACAGTTTCTTCTGTTCTCAGGACTGTTTCAAACGAAGCTGGGTATGTAGGCACTCCGATGTGACTGGAAGGCGCGTAATATATGCGCCCTTCTATGTGCTTCTATACGGGAAACCAAGGGCTGACCATCTACTCCAGAGCGAACATAAGAACATTCACAAAAAGAGTAATATCCTCACCAACCTTTTTCCTCCGAAGGTAGTTTCTGAACCAGATCCAGCCACCGGGACCTTCAATCCGTACCCATCCTTCCCTTACAGCGGCTCTTTGAGGCCCGTCTATCCTCTGTCCGCCAAACGAACGATTCCCAAGGCAATCCCGCACCCGGACTATGCCCGCGATGGTATTCCCCGCTCCGAGCAAAAGCTTATCGGCCGTCATAACATCACCATTCTGAATAAGGAGGAGCAAGAGGGCATGCGCAAGGTTTGCCGATTGGCTCGTGAGGTTTTGGATGCTGCTGCGCGTGAATTGAAGCCTGGTGTCACAACGGACTACATCGACGAGGTTGTCCACAAGGCTTGTATAGAGCGTGATGTATGAGGAGTTACTCTCTGGTGCACACTACCATACTGACATATCTCTAGTCTTACCCCTCGCCGCTGAACTATATGAACTTCCCCAAGTCCGTATGTACCTCGGTCAACGAGACCATCTGCCACGGTATTCCCGATCAACGGCCCTTGCAGGATGGAGATATTGTCAACATCGATGTTACTCTGTATCACAAGGGATTCCACGGCGATATCAACGAGACCTACTATGTTGGAGACAAGGCACTTGCGAACGCCGACGCCGTCCGAGTGGTGGAAACCTCGCGTGAATGTTTGAACCAGTCAATTGACCTCGTCAAGCCTGGCATGCTGTTCCGCGAACCTGGCAATGTCATTGAGAAGCACGCCAAGGGCCGTAACTGCAGTGTCGTCAAAAGCTACTGCGGCCATGGTATCAACCAACTGTTCCATTGCGCGCCCAACATTCCTCATTACGCTAAGAACAAGGCTGTGGGCACTGCCAAGCCCGGTATGTGCTTTACGATTGAGCCGATGATCAACATTGGTACCCACCGTGACCGCACTTGGCCCGACGACTGGACCAGCACCACCCAAGACGGATCTCTGTCAGCTCAGTTCGAGCACACCCTTCTCGTAACTGAGGATGGCGTCGAGGTGCTGACTGCCCGTCTGGCTGACTCACCTGGTGGGCCAGTTCCTATGCCTTCGACCCCATGAACTTAAGGAATTGGGAGTTAATTGGAAATATTTGCATCTATACAGATACCTATTTAACAGCCGAGTTTACGACCAATGCATATCAGTATAGTTCCATAATTGAGGTAATGTATTAAATAATTACAACATAGGGCCATAGCCTACATGTAGGCAAGAGTTTGCCGATGTCGTCGCAGATCAAAGGTCTGGCGGCATAAGCCCGAGGAATGGGGGACATTTGATTGGGCGAAACGGATAAGTCGGACCCCAGGAGTGAGGGGCGGTCTTATCTTCACGTGGGAGCTTTTGGGGTTTAGATGCACTCGCTCTCCTCTTTTATTTCTTTACCCGTAGGTGTTCAATCAAGTCATTTTGACTTCGAGATAATCTGGAGCGATCTGACGATAGATACAAGTCTCGACAATGGCTCCAGAGACATCTCCTACCGAGAATTCCCCGTTGCTGGGATCCGCGTCCGCCAACGGCGGTGTCTCCAACGGCACGATTTCAAATCACCATGTGGAATCAGGGGATCCAGTTCAGACAGAGGAGCGAGGTAAAGAGTCGGACCCTGATGTGCAGAAGCAGCTCAAATATATTGTGCCTGCCATCTCGCTTGGAGTATGGTTTCAATGTTTATTAATTCCGTTTTTAAGATCAGAATTGTAACTAACGGGATGTATAGATCTTCCTGTCAGCGGCAGACCAGACAATTATCATGGCCAGTTATGGTCAGATTGGTAGCGATCTCAAAGCTCTTAATCTGACCAGCTGGATTGCTACTTCTTACTTTCTAACTTTAACCTCTTTCCAGCCTCTATATGGCAAGCTGAGCGATATCTTTGGTCGCAAGCCGTGTCTACTCTTTGCATATGCAGTTTTCGGCATTGGATGCCTGGGCTGCGGTCTGGCTCGGAATATTAATGAGTTAATTGCTGCTCGTGTATGTTCGCATATGCTCTCACGCCTGAATCATGTAATGTTGACTATTTCGAACAGGTCTTCCAAGGCATTGGTGGTGGTGGTATGACCACCGTCGTCAGCATTTTGATGAGTGATATTGTTCCTCTTCGCGATCGAGGCCTGTGGCAGGGTATCATCAATATCATCTATGCCACAGGTGCCGGTACCGGCGCACCCTTGGGTGGAATTCTGTCCGACTACATTGGCTGGCGCTGGTATGAATGATGCAAGACCCACATGTCCTTACGCCATCTGACGTTTTTCTCTAGGGCGTTTTTAGCGCAATTCCCTCTCTGCATTATTGCATTCATTGCTGTATCGTTCCTGCTTAAGCTGCCCCCTCGCGAGAGCGCTCATTGGAAGACCAAGCTTCATCGCATCGACTTCCTTGGTGCTGTGGTCCTTGTTGGTGCTGTTCTTGGTTTCCTAATTGGTCTTGATCGTGGTAGTAACGTGTCATGGAAATTACCCCTGACGATTGCCTCGCTGGGTGTCTCTGCTGTCTTGTTCGTGGTCTTTATCCTAGTTGAGATCTACCAAGCAGCCGAACCCTTTGCGCCTGGCCACATCATCTTCAACCGAACATTCTTTGCCTGCTACTGCTGCAACTTCTTCAGCTTTGGAGGATGGATTGCCGCCCTGTTCTATATCCCTCTATACTTCCAAGCGGTAGATGGTGTCTCTGCTACGACTGCAGGACTGCGCTTATTGCCAAGCATTCTATCTGGTGTCTCTGGATCCGTGATTGCAGGCCTGTTGATGAAATGGTATGGCAAGTATTACTGGCTGACAGTTGCTGCGTATGCTTTCCTGACAACTGGTGTGTTCTGCATATACCTGTTCTCTGGTGGTGTGGTCGCTAGTACAGTCCCGATGATCTGTGGAATGGTAGTTTCAGCATTCGGCAATGGCATTGGTGTCACTACAACCTTGATCGGTTTGAGTGAGTTCTTATCTGATCTTGCTCTACAAACCTTCGATTCATGCTAACCACTTCGCCAGTATCGAATGCTACTTATGAAGATCAGGCGGTCGTCACTGCTTGCTCATATCTATTCCGCTCATTGGGATCCGTGATTGGTCTCTCTTTATCATCAACTGTCGTTCAGCAAGTCTTACGGAATCGATTGCAATCCGGTCTACGCGACAGTAAGAATATTGATCAGATTGTTGAAGGGGTGCGAGAAAGTCTTGATTTTATCAAAACTCTCGACCCAGCAACTGCCATGATTGTGCGGGACTCTTATGGCTGGTCCACCAACAAGGGATTCGCCTTTTTGGTTTGTGTGGTGTTCTTTGCTTTGTTAAGCAGCTGTTTCATCCGTGAAAGCAAACTGAACCGCTAATAAACAGGTGAACCTATACTTCAAAAAGACATAGTTTTGCGTTCTTTGAAAGGCGATAAACTTGCATGGAAATTACTATGGTGTATGGTATATCTAGCATTGGGGTTGGCTTAAAGTTGTCTATGTTAATTGCATATATACACCAAACAAGAATTGGAGATATCACAACTTTCTCATATGCATTTCCAAAAAAAAATGTCGCTTCTCGCACATTGTAGGTATGATGTAGGGCTCTGCCGGGCACCTGGGCACCTGGGCAGCCCTGCCCAGGTGGAGCTCAAAGTATAGCTTACTAAGCCACCATCTGGGTGGGCGGTCCTGTCAGCAACCCGTTGACGTTTCAACCTTAGAAATACCATCTCCAAGTTGACTGTCATATCCATTCTAATTGAGTGTCTTGATTGACACTTTGCGGATCTGACTTGATCAGCTTATTCAGCTGTGATCAGAATGAGCTACACCTTGTGTCCCTGACGTCTTTGTGCAGCTTCCGCTAGCTCAACTTCCGCCAAACCTCCGTCATGTCCGACTCGCGCTCAGGGCCAGTTTCACTGACACGATATCGACCTATCCTCTACCTCTTTACTGGTGTCGCTGCTGCTTATGCGATTCTCTATGTTCACAATAATATCATTTCGCAGCCATCATCACCTTCACTCCGACGTCGAAATGCTGTGCGCCGGCCGAGACCAACCGAAGCTGAAGAACTCGGGATCACCGATACTCCGTCCTATCGTGCCATTACCCACCTTGAACAACTAGAGCGTCAGAATGGTGTATATGGGACATTTCGCATTGAGACAGAGGATGGGCGTCGCGTGGAGAGCGGTCTTCTTCCATCACTCCTCGCAACACGCGACCAGCTGATGGAAGAAGTTGGTGTCCCGCCTGCTCATGCAGAGCGCATGCGCGAGATGATGGAGGATACGTTTCTTGAATCCTTTCTTGCACTCGATTTCCCATCTGCACACATTCTTCCAGAGGACACCGCAGAAAGAACATACTTGACAGAACAGCTTCAACGCCGAGGTATCTCCCGAGCTGGTATCGAAAGGGCTCTGGTCCGGTTCAACGAAAATGTGAATTATGGAGAGGAACTGCGTCGGCGACGACAGAATGGTGAACGTGTCACCCTCTCAACCTCTACCTTTCCAGACGTGTCTGCGCCTCCACAAAATGTTCTTGACGAAGGTGAGACCGTTGTGGATGACCAGAGCGTTTTCTCGTGGCGTGATGGAAACAACGATCATTCTAATAGGGAAGGTCAAAACCTGCTCAACCTACTTTACCACATCGCTGAGGATCAGGCGCGGAGGGACGGCTATATCCATCGTGGAGTTACTTGCAACAGCTGCGGTGCCATGCCGATTCAGGGCATTAGATACCGATGTGCTAATTGCATCGACTACGATCTGTGTGAGACGTGTGAGGCAATGCAGGTCCACATCAAGACACATTTGTTCTACAAAGTGCGGATTCCAGCCCCATTCTTAGGGAACCCTCGTCAATCTCAGCCTGTATGGTATCCTGGGAAGCCTTCAATGCTCCCGCGCAGCCTTCCACGGCCTCTTGCCAAGCGTCTTATGAAAGACTGCAATTTTGAAAACACTGAGCTTGATGCACTCTGGGATCAGTTCCGCTGCTTGGCCAATTATGAGTGGGCGAACGACCCGAACAAGTTGCATATGGCCATCGATCGCAAAACGTTCGACCGATGCTTCGTGCCTAATACTTCTATCCGGCCGCCGCCTCCCAGTCTCATTTACGACCGAATGTTCGCATTCTATGACACCAATGGCGACAATCTCATCGGGTTTGAAGAATTCTTGAAGGGTTTGGCTAGTCTCAACAATAAAAGCAATGACGAACGGCTGCGCCGTGTGTTCCGTGGCTACGATATCGATGGGGATGGCTTCGTCGAACGCAAGGACTTCCTTCGGGTTTTCAGGGCATACTATGCGCTGAGCCGGGAGCTTACAAGAGACATGGTTGCTGGCATGGAGGATGACTTCTTAGAGGGTGGAGCCCGTGATGTGGTTCTCGGTAGCCAGCCTATCAGCTCTGCGTTCCCTGGCAGCATCCCTTCAGGTGAACGTTCTCGTACAGGCGAAGGCAAGCGCATGAATTCTGAGGGGGGACATGGAAATCATCGACAACGAAGGAATCTTGCGACGGGACGGAGATGACACTGGTGATCGGAATTTGGTCGTGGGTGATGCTGCTGTCAGAGCACAGTTTAGTCGAATGAGGCCATTGTTCCCATCTACACTACGCCTGGCACCCACCGAAACTACCACTCGCCCGTCGGATACCATAGAGGGTGACCAAAATGAAGAAGATGAAGATGGCGCTAGCGAGAGTGGATCAGACCAATCTAGCTCGTCGGTGGCCAGTGGCACCTGGCCCCCAGCTGAACACATCCACGAAGAAGATATCATCGAGGCCCTTGGGACCTATATTCCCGCTCGAGAAATCACGGATCCAATTGATCGGGCTCGCGTTGCGGATGCCGTTTATCACAGAATGCGCGAAGATGATCAGAGACGTGTGTTTGACGCTCGTCAGCGTGGAATCAACGAGCGTTGGAGGCGCCGGGCTTTCTATACAGACGAAGAAGACGGCGCTACTGTCCCTGCAGGGTATGAAAGGGATCCAGCCATCGACGACTCCAGCGATGAAGACCTAGATGAATCCGAATCGCGCCCACCCTCTTTCCGTTCACGATCCTCATCCAAAGTGCGATTCCAGGATGATCTCAATGATGATGAGTACGACATTCGATCTAACCCATCAACCTCGTCACGAAGTATTCCTGTTGGCGAGCGATGGGGTGGATTTGAAATCCCAGAGGTCGAAAGGGACGTTGGAAAAGAAATCTTGTATCAAGTCACGCAGGAGGGATTCAACGAGCTTCTAGATATTCTGTTCAAGCCGAAAGAAGACCTTATGATGGAGGTCTATCGCACGCGAGCTGATCGCAAGGTCTGGGCCCACGAGATTGAACTCGCAGGAAATGAGGACCCTTCAAAACGCACCCCAACTGAGAATCCTCCAGCTGAGGAGGAACTCGAGGAAAGTATCAACGACCAGCCACTTGATGATCTATTACAGCGCACTGGTTACGGGATTCAGAGCCCAGTCCTAGCGCCTGCCAATACCGGACCAGTGCTAGCTCCTTCGTCGCCGGAGCCCACCGCCTCATATGATGATGGTGTTGAAGATGAATATGAAGATGAAGATGACGATGATGACGACGTGCGCCCAACTCATCTCGCCGATCCCGGGGAAGATACTGGATTTGGGCAAGCACGGCCCTTTGAGGAATCCGACACAGCATCCACCACTTCATCTTATTATGACGATGATGTCGCTGCCTCTCAAGCATCTGATGCGAGGCCATCGGGCCCGATTGTTGAAGATGATACACCTTACTATGATCCAACGCTCCCACAGCATCGTCCTGACGAGCCATTTGTGATGACCCCAGAAGTGATCGATGAATCAGACTCCGACCCCGAAGAATCACCAACTACAAGCACAACCCCTGGTCTCCCTGCTCAGTTCCGACTCCAGCCCGGGACCACTTCTCTTCCCGCCCCGTCTTCTCCTCACTCCTCCCCAGAAGCTGAAGCCACAGCCCCCAAGCTTCCTCCTTCTCCTATGCAACCACTCCCACCTCCTCACCGAGTCAATGACCAGCCTCGTGAAGCTCCTGCCCCACGCCGACCTTCGCCCCGGACTCTAGCCCGGTGGGTCTATTTAGACCAGGTAGAACGTGAAAACAAGGAACGTGGCAATGGTGCAAGACTCAACTTCGAAGAGTTCTCGCGCCGTATGGCTGCTGATCGGGGACGCCGACTGGCCTTTGTGGCCAGTTGGATTGAGATGGCTAGCTTTTGATTCTGAGAAGGTTCCTATATTAACCTAGGTGTACATTATTGTAATTTAGCGGTACTTCAGAGTTGATCCAGATTTATTAGTACAATGACAATTTGGTTAACATACCAAAAAATAAGCGTCTGAATTTTCTAATTTTCCGACGGACTGACTACTAGGAAATAAGAGTCGGCTCTACTCCGGTGGTGACTTGGACACACATATTAGCCCATCTTATATATAACCTCCACTAACAACTAGTCCTATAAGGGAATTTGCAAACCTCATTTCCCCCCGGATACTATTATTGTAATACAAAATACCTCGTAAACAAGTCTTTTGTGGCCCAGCCCTAGAAGCACGCCCCCGCCGTATTACGTGCTTTTGGGGAGCAATGGCTCACTTCGCACCATTGTTATCCTCAGGATATTGAAGATTACCTTCCAATATTCCCCTTATCGATTTGACTATAGCTCAGAGTTCTTCAGCCGTCTCCAGTATACAAGCTAAAACCAGTTATCCCGTCAGTTGCCGTGGGGCTCTCTCGGACGAAAGACAAAACCAAAACATCGCGATTATGATGGGTCCTGACGTGCTGTATGTATTTCTTGGGTTCAACAAGGGAATTATGCGACCCGAGGGGCCCATCGCCATGCAGTACTAATAGTGGCTCTCTCCGGTGCTATAATCCGTATAGCAACCTCCCACATTCATCATGGCTTTCGAACGTCTGGGCCGGTTCTACCGGTCATGTCTACTCCAGATTATCATCGTGGGACTAGTCGCTTTCTGCGAACCCGGTATCTGGACTGCTCTCAATAATCTTGGGGCTGGAGGCAATGCCAAAGTAAGTCATCTGAATGTTGGGAATCTGCGCATCTACCGCTAACATATTGTGCAGCCTTTCCTAAACAATGCCGCCAATGCCCTGACATATGGACTCATGTCAGTAGGCTGTTTCCTTGCCGGTGGCGTCACCAACAAGATCACTGCGAAATGGACCTTGTTCATCGGAGCCGCATTCTACACTCCTTATGCGGCTGGTCTATACTGCAACAATCGTTATGGCAACGAGTGGTTTCTCTTGCTCGGGGCTGCTCTTTGTGGAATTGGAGCATCTCTTCTATGGGCTAGTGAGGCTGCCATTGCAGTTGGATATCCGGAGGAAGAGAAAAGAGGACGGTAAGTTGAAACTCCAGACCATCTAGTTGTTGTTACTCGACTGACCATTCTGTTTAGCTACGTTGCAATATGGATGAGTATCCGGCAGATGGGACCGCTCGTTGGCGGTGCGATATCCCTCGCTCTCAATGTCAACGCTGCGCATGTCGGCAAGGTCACCTACACAACATACTTAGGGCTTGTTGCCATCTCATCCCTCGGGGCTCCATTTGCATTGCTGTTGTCGCAGCCACAAGATGTCATCAGAAGCAATGGCACCAAGATCCCTTACATGAAGAAAACAAGCTTATCTATCGAGGCTCGCGCTATTTGGAAGCAACTTTCAAATAAGTACATGCTGCTCCTCATCCCGGTCTTCCTCGCGGGACAATTTGGTGCAACTTATCAAGGGAACTATTTGACAAGTATGACATCTCCAATCTTCCTTTCTAGTAGTGAATGGCGTCACTGACAGGAAACTTAGCTTATTTCACTGTCCGCTCCAGAGCCCTTGCATCTTTCCTAACAGCAGTGGTCGGCGCCACCGCCAATGTGCTGACGGGCATATTTCTAGATCTGAAGTTTCTGTCTCGAGAAACCAGATCTAAGGTTGTGTATATATTCGTCCTTGTCTTTGTCACAGGGTCTTGGACATGGAATGCCATCGTCGAGACGAAACTCTCCCGCATGGCAGAACCACCCGCCTTCGACTTGGGCGATGGTCCCTTCTTCAACTCGGCTTTTACCGTCTATATCTTCTTTCGGTTCTTCTACGAGGTGTTGCAGACGTACATATATTGGTTGATGGCCGAGATCAAGGGAGCGCAGGGAGATGGTGATATCGCCAGAACAACCGGCATCCTGAGATCGTGGGAGTCCATCGGCAGCACGATTGCCTACGCGGTCGGCGCAACTCACTGGCCCAATTTGAACCAGATGGCACTGGGCTTTGCACTATGGGGCTTTACAATCCCATTCACACTTCTTGCGGTGTTTGGTAATTGGAATGTTTCTGACACCCTCGGGGTGGAGGAAGAGGAACAAACAGACAGCAGTAGTCTGGAGGCACAGCGGGTGGTTATCAATTCTGATGGGAAGGATTAGATACATTCTGTTGTCCGAGTGAGAGTTTTGGCAAAGAAACGATCCAAGTGATGGTTGCTTCAAATGTAATAGAGCTCGTGCTCAAGTTGATGCTGATGCCCTAAATATATAGATGGGATTGAATAGCAATGTTGGAATATTAGAATAGATGCTCAAGACTCTTCACATGGATCCACTTCTTAATTACTAATACTAGATTGAATTATCCAATGTCCATCTAGTTATTAGTTTGGGCTGAATGTCAATTTGATGTCGACATGGGTTGTATAGTTGTATTCATATTGACGAGTCTGGTTAATAAAGCCAAAGCTGGCTGTCTCTTCCATCAATTGGCCCAAGTGGCCGAGCAGTTTCCTGGTCTAGCGGTTATGATTTTCCGTTAACAAATGCAACTCGCATATGTTCCGGAAAGGTTCTGGGTTCGATTCCCAGGGAAACTATTTTTTTGTCTTTTTGCATTTGTTTCTTGGCCTTTTCTCTAAAAGGTGAATCAATTGATGTGATAGGTCCGTAGTAGAGCCATGAGACTATACCTGTGGACATCTGAGGAACAATGCAGCCCCAAACCTGGAATGCATGGAATATCAGCAGTGGAAAAAACAGAAGTAGACCACCCAAGCGAGTCAAATTAGAGACATAACATAAATCACAGACATAATCTCGTACTGCATACAAAAAAAAAACCGAAATCATGACATGGTCGTGTGGCACAAGGGAAAACGTATGAAGCATGGTAAACATATCAAGACAACCAACCCGAACGCCAGAAGAAAAATAGAAATCAAACCGAGAAAACCAACAAAACCACCGCCCTATTACTGATTCCTTTTGTACCGCTGGCTGAGACATAGATCTGGGGCAGATGTAAACATTGTGACATGCGGCGAGAGCTGGGCGATTATTTTCCTGCCAGCCTGAAGGGTTTGGTTTGGACCCCCCTTCATTTGGGCTGGGTAGCTGCCTGGGCTTTTGTCCTAGTTGGAAACCACCGAGGCTCCAGGATGTCTTTCCTCCAAGGGGGGTCAAAGTTGACAGTGGGGTATTCCGAAAGGACTTGTAAAAAAAAGCAGAGGAAAGTAGAGAAAAACAGGACAATCCAAAGGGCTTCCACGGGAAGACAACAGAAACAGAACAGTGGCATCCAAGCGGGGATTTTAAAGACGGCCATTTTCCATCCAGTGGATTCAAGGGTTTGCGAATCTTACACGACGGCCACGTCGCTCCAGAATCAATTTCTCGGTGTCACCATAAAGACAATCGAGAAACTGCATGGCGCTAGAATCCCTCAGGATCTTCGCGACCTGAGTACCGGCAGAAATAAGCTGCAGGACGTTGCGGTCATCCTTGACTGGCCTAGACTGGTGCTTGGCAGCATGGCGCATCTCCAGGGAGTTCTCTAGGACAGTGATGAGCTGCTTAATTTGGCGGTTGTACAAGAGATGAGCTGGGATGCGGCGTGTAGTAGCCAGTCGCTTCAAGAGGTGTACCCACTCCGTCCACTCGCGGTCCGAGGGGACCTTGATGGGTCTCTTGTCCTGCTCGATAGGAACACGGAACTGGTACTTTGCGATGAAGTCATAGGCACACTGGGACAGGCGGTCGTTGACCTTGTGTAGGATGCTATCTTGCTCGCCGGCATCGAGGTTAGTAGGGAGCTGGGGAAGCTCTTTATCCTGGGCTGCGACGGCCTGTGGAGAAGGCGGCTCCAGGAACTGATGTGGGCCATCAAATTCATCCCGGTTGGATGTCCGTCTCTGGGAATGATAGTGTGGGCTTCCTCTGGTTCTCTCGGAAGTTCGCTGGGTGCTTCTTTCCATGATATACTCCGGGCTTTCCGGGGGGTTCATTGTTCCAAGGTCCCGCCTCAGGGATTCTCGAGGCATGTGGTTCGGGTGGCTCCATTCATGAGTCCTGGGTTGTGGGTGGGCCTGTCCAGCTGGAGGGTAGGATAAACGTCCCGTGGGTGGGCTCATCATGTGGCTGTGGCCATCCAGAGGGACTGGAGCTCCATGGTAATGAGCCTGATGGTTAGAATCCATCGGACCGAAGGGCACTTGACGGTCGTCTCTGTAGCCATACCCGTGGGGAGTAGATGATGACCTTTTACCGCTTAGCAAAGGGAACGAAAGCGATTTTTGTCGATGATAGCCTGGGAGGAGTTTGCAATGAAGTGAACGATGACCAAACAATACCTTTGTTGATAGACCAGCGGGGAGGTTGCTGGGGTTCCATACATAGGATGCTGAGCCATGGTGCTGCTACGGAGTATGAGTTTCGGATTCCAAGAATTTTGGCACGGAAATAGAGGAGGGAATGGCGATGCTGACTCTGCTGACCTATGGCGAGACCGGGTATCAAATTTAGAGTTGATAGAGCTTGCACAAGAACCGAGACTTGCTGGCAAAGAGAACGGATAGAGTGATCCAGCCGCCAACGGATGAGGAAGGACAGGAAGCATGAAGAAAGTAAGGCCGGAGTAGTACCACAGCCTATGATAACAATTGAGAACAAGATTCAGGAAGAGCAGCGAGGGAAAGAATATATCTATTGGGAAAGTTCTTGAGCGAATGAATTCACGAAGACTGAGCAAAGGGCAGGTATTATAGTCAATTTTTTTTGGAAAGCCACTCTACTCGGGTTGAACGAATTGTTAAGTGTGCCTGATAAAGGGGGATCAGAGCCCACCCATGGTTATGCAACGGCAGTGTAACTGGATTCAGAGCCGCGCTAGAGGACTTTACGCCAGTGGCGTTGGTGGAGACAAATTATATGGAGATGAGGCCTGTTTTGCCTGGGCATCGTTGATTTCAAGAAAACTAATTGCGTAACAGGACATAGACAGTCCGTGCCGTTTACTTTTGAAGATCTCGATCGATCAAGAATAGGACCGGTGTGGCAAAGCTCGTTGGCAGCCGAGGCGCCGTGAGACGCCTCTGTGGGTGCATGGCATGACTCCGATGGCAAACATTTCATCCAAAGCCCCGATCTTCAAGAATTAGGGGAGAAGTATCAACATGCCGGATGCCGCACCATCTCTATTCTGGTTGGATAATTGTATTGGGGCAAAGCCTCGGGCAGCAAGGCTGGCGTTGGGTAGAAAACGCAAGGACAGGGGTTCTGGACTTGGAAATTGTTGAACTATGGATACCCAAATGTGCAGATAGAAGATGCGATCTGCGCCGTCGAAGGTCCTGGAAGAAATGCAAAGATGAGCTGAGGTAGGAGCAACATGCAAATACCGTGACGCGTGTAGTTAATCTGCGTTGGGCACTCGGGCTTTTTTGGGGCCCAATGCAATAAGCCGCATGGGCCATGTCTCTCTTCTGGAGACTCTTCTGGAGATCCGGGTGAAACAAAGAGGAAATCCGATATCAAAGTTTTCAAATGTGGAGAGCTCAGCTGTTGATGGTATACGATCTGCTCTTGCAGCCCAACAAGAAGCCCAATGTCTATGTTTCCAAGGTCGAGGTTGCCTAAGAATATTGTTATCAATAACACTCTGCACAGCAATAGGAGATATGGTGAAACCATTCAAATTAAGGAGCGCCTCTGAAACCCCAGAAAATCATAACTAGCGGAGTATTTCCAGGGTATCATTAACCCTAGTCATTTGCCAGGGAGCCGGAAATTCTATGTGATTCTTCATCAATGTGGCACGTTACTGCTTTTGCCGGCTTCCACTATTGAGGATGGGTAATTTTACCCCGAGACGAGAAGCATAATCCTGGATTCTTTTGGTGAGAACAATATATAAGTTGCGCGTGTGATATCTGCTTACCTCGCAACTCAATCGGATGGCTTCTTCGATACCAATGCGTGCCTCGTACCCCAGAATCTCCTTAGCCTTGTTGCCACTAGCATATCGAACGGCACATGCATCTTGTACACTTCCGCGGCTCAAAGTTGTTGTTGTTCCCATCAACCAGGTGACAGTCTCACACGCCAGCCCAGCAAAGTATGCCAGACTCTTTGGGATATGCATCTCAAAAGGCGGGAAGTGCCCAAAATGCGCCCAGATTGCTAGACAAAAATCACGGAACACGATAGGTTCGTTATTCTGAATGAAAAAAGCCTCACCTGCAGCGGTGCGGGATGATAGCAGATTCTCTATGGCCAGGACGTGCGCATCGGCGGCATTGTCGACGTGGGTGATATCCCACAAATTGAAGCCATTTCCGATCAGAAACGGGGTTTCATATTTGGCGATGCATGCATGAATAGATGGTACTAGCTGGTAGTCTCCTGGTCCGCAGAGCACCGATGGCCGGAGGGCACATGTCACCATTTTGCTTCTCGAGGCCTGTAGAACGAGCGCTTCTGCAGTAGCCTAGGTACCATATCAAAGTGCGTTAGTAACTTATTTGCTGTCGATGCTGATAATTCTGTTGATGGCTATCGGTAGTTCAAACCTTGGACTCTCCATAAATGGTTGACTTGAATGCCAAGGGCCATTCTTCATCGATGTTGGGATGAGCGGTACGCGTATCGTCGATCACCACGCTACAACTGCTCGTGTATATGAAGACTTCAACCCCACTATCCTTGGATACATCCAGCATATTCCGTGCGCCTTCAAAATTGATCTTCCATACCTCCCGTTCAAGTCGGCGACCAAACCGTTCGGCCAGATCTGGGACGACTCCAGCAGTGTGGACAACGATATCTGGCTTCACAGCCTCAAATGCTTTGCTCAATGCTTCAGTTGAAGTAATATCCACCTGAATGCATGTGGTCCTCTCTGGCAGGACGTGCTCGGGTCGTGGGGGACTTTGGTCGATGACGGCGATGACAAAGTTTGGATGTTTTTCTGCAAGAGCCCGCACTATGGCCGAACCTACGAAGCCCGTGCCACCAGATATGAGGACTTTCTTCACTGGGTCGGTCATTGTGGAAATTAATTGAGTATAAACAATATGGGGGAGGGTTGGATATGGAGGAAGGTTGGACCGGTTAGACAAAACTGTGCGACAACACAACTACATACGACATAAAACAGAACCACATCACCTCGAGAACATCTTAAATGATATTACAAATAATGCGGGAGAGAGGCCATCTAAATGGTCAGAGCTTTTTGTTTAATTTATTCAAATTTGAAGTTGGTTCTTATTTTTGATGCCTAAACTATAGACCGGTTTAATCTTAGAGACGACTCTCATGGTTGTGCTTGACGAACATCATCCTAATTCTCTTCGTCCTCGTTTTCCTCTTCATCCAGTTCTTCTTCATTCTCGTCCTCGTCTTCCTCTTCGTCTAATTCCTCTTCATCCTCACAGCCATCAGAATCCACTTGTTTCAACACTTCGTCTAGTCCAGGATGAATACCAAGATCATCGGACAACTTTTCCAATTCCTGTAACTTTAGCCATAACGATCCTGGACTCGACTCATCCCCTCTTATCTCTTGAATTTCATCCTCCGTCATAGAATTGAGGATTTCCAACATCTCTTCCGCAAGAGAGGGATCTGAATCGAACTGCATTCGCACCTCATGGCCCAGTGTATCTTTGGATAGAAGTGCAATGTTCTTCCCAATCTTGAGCATAGCAGAGAGCCCATTGAAGCGTGTCTGAGGGTTTGTGAATGGACACTCTTCCGCAATCGATTGGATGGTAGCAGCGATAATACAGGCCACCTCGAACGAGACATCGTACTCTGCTCCACTGCTTATGGAGCGAGACATGATTTTAATCATGTCCCGGAGTGAACTCAAATGACAGTCGAATGTGAGAATGGGATCCTGTTCTTTCTCCCGGATGACACGAATGGCATCGTTCACCATGCTCATAACGTCGGGATGGATTTATGCTGCTTGTGTTAGAATGTTGGTGACCGTCTGTGGATGCAGCTGCTGGATGCGCTGGGAAATCTCTTCTGGTGGCGGTGCTGTCGTATTGATGTGGATATCGCCGATAGTATTGGATCGCGCGCGTTTAACGCCTTGAGGTTCAGACATGGTTGGTAGTTCTAGGCAAGATGATCACTAGATGGGTCAGGGGGACAAAGACTCCACGAGAGAACAAGATGATCCTGTACAGTAAATGAGGTGATGTAAGAAGAAGGAAGTTGAAGAGCGTAAATGATGGCCAAAAGTCAGAGGGGTCAAACAGAAAGATCGGGGGTAGCTACGGGGGCGGATCATGAGGATATATGATAAACACACACCTGAGCATGTTTTTGGATGCTTCTTAGCCACATGGATATTACGCCCCCAAGGATACAGGAAGCATAAGCAGCCGACTATTCCAACTTGCCCATTATGTTTTTAGCCCTAGGACTTGGGAGACTGGAAATGAGCTATGAGTATAACTATAAAATCAGCCTAACGAGGTCTACTACTATATTGTAGTAAGCACATTCATGGAAGGGAAGTACGGAAATATTTCAAGTCATAATCTATACACTGTGTCACATTGACAGCTGCAAAATCACCAGCAGAGCACACATAATGCGAGATACGCAGACATCTAATATACAGATCCTTGACCCAGGTATTATCCCAACAGTCACAAAAAGACTAATCTCGAAAAGAGAAAGCGCTGCGACTAACCAACAAACTCCAAAGTAAATGCAAGAAGAGAAAACAGTCTCCCCGGTGGGTAGCTCCCCCAAATCAGAGATAAGCCATAAGGATAATCGCAGACTTATAGCACACGGCACAGAACCAGCCCACCAAGCTTTTTCTCAACACACTCGCGAGCTTCTAGAATCCCCCGGTCTGTAGAGAGGTACAGACTCTCACCCGGCGAGCGAAGTCCGGCCACAAACCCGGATTCCTCACCACGAACAACTCGGCGCAGTCCCTCCACATCAATGTTGACCCGTCGGGTGGGCTTGCTGACCATCTTGATCTTGCCCAGGACCGACTCATTTTGCCAGTACTTCAGGCCGATCCACAGCCGCCTTGATGCGACATTATCGCGCGTTATTGGCTCAATGCCTTCGGCTTCATCGTTGACTGCAGGGTAACCGAGGATGCCGTGGGCTGGAGGAGGAGTCGGACCTCCGCGGGCCACGGAGGAGATGTAGCCGGAGTTTTGGAGGGCGAGGGAGAGCTTCAGGTGGAGGTTGCTGTTAGGAATAGAGGTGAGGGCGAGACGGGCCTTGGTGGCATTGTTCAAATGGGCGCAGACGGCAGAAAGGTTGACGAGAGACATATTGATTTCGCGACGGCAGCAATTAAGCTCTACCGGCGGCCGTTCGGAGAGGAAAGAGAGTGGTGGGATTGATCAATTGCGGAAGAGGAAGAATGACGGAGATCCCGGATACACGAAAGGGAAGACCGAGAAGGACCACAATGGACTGCAATTGTCTGGGGAAGCAAAGACACGGCAGGAGGTGTTGTAGCTGACTGAAGATGCGATGATTTGGGGATGGAAATTTTCGGATAAACTGTACTTCCGGGTCGCGGTCTTGTCCAGGTACCCGGTACTTTCTCGCCCGTAGCGGAGATGTGTGATGACCAGGTACTAGTACCGTCCTATCACATCACATCTACATCTTCTAAGCGCCCAACTTGCATGGCGGTTGATGCTGGCATTTCACAGGTTGAATACCCCTCAGTCCAAGATATAAATAATAAACGTAAGTTCCTCTTTTTCTCTTCCCCCTCAACTTGCTGCCATCGTTGTATACTTGCATTCCGTACTTTGAATTGTTAGACATGCCACCATCAGCGGGCGAAGAGCGACTTGTGACTGTGTGAGTTGAACTGACTTCCCCGCAGGTCGATATGAAGCAGTTCTCGGATTGTGTCTAACAGCCGGAATAGTTTTGCGGATATCCACTACTATTTCACAGAGCCAACCCGAAGACCCTCACCATATCACCACCGCTTTGATAAAGGCTCCTATGTTTATATTTACCATGACGCCTTTCAGAACAAGTCCCGGATTGAAATTGCCAATAATCCTGGATCTCCAGAGCAGGATGCATTCTGTGGAGGCTTGAACAATGTTCATGTACGACACTCTGCTCAATTCCCGACACTTTGTACTTTAACGGTTGATGCACACACGGCCTCGCCCCAACAGCAATATAGACAAGATACCCCTCAACGTGAGTGGCGTCTGCCTAGTGGAGACCCACGCGATGACCCCAATGAAGTCCGCGATTTCCCTCGCCTGCATACATTGGATATCTACTTCTGGACTCAAGAAGATGCAACCGACTTCCTGGACACCGTCGTCCGGCTTCTATCCAGTGCCCAGGTCGAGACTGACCGAGAGCCAGCTCCACAACCACAGCAAACCGTGAGCTCTGTAGTCCAGCAACTTGAGACCGTTGCAGTCTCCGACCCTGCCTACCAGAATGGTCAAACGCGCAACTCACGATCAGAACCCACAAGCACAGCGGCACCAGTGCCAGAGGCGCCCCCACAAACCAGCAGCTTCCCCCCGCCCCCACCAAGCGGACCTCCAGTTGATCAACGATTAAGTGCTGTTTCTGCCCCCGCCGAGGAAAAGAAAGACGCGGCCAGCTTCACCCCGCTCCCATACAATCCAGCTGCCCCAGCCGCCCCGGAGCCAATCCAATACCGCGAGAAGACCCCGCCGCCAGAGGACGGGATGAGCGGCACCGGCCTCGCAGCCGCAGTGGCAGCCGATAGCGGCATGCCATATACGCCCCCGCACCAAATGATGGGCGGCGCAGGAGGCGTGGGCGGATTTGCATCCCCACCCCCCTCAACCCCGGGGCTGCAATACGCAGGCCCTCCAGTGGCAGCGCCGCCAACATTCGCCTCACCTCCGCCCAGTGCGGGTCTACAACATTCAAACTCTTTCTCTACTGCCCGATCCTCGGTCCACAGCCCCGGTATGCCTGTCCCTTCATACTCGCAGTCGTTCCTCGGCGAGCAGGGAGGTCAACAGTACAGTGCGAGCCGGCAAGGTTCAATGTCCTTCGCTCCACCGCCGCAGGATCCGAATGCCCATCTATATGACCAGCAGGTCTATGGGGCTGCCCAGGTCCAGGCCCAGTCGCCGCCTCAGTATCAGGCTGGGGCGGCGGTGCCGATAGGCGGGTTCTCGAACCACTCCTATGACCAGACTCAGGCACAGCAGCAGCAGCAACACCAGCGTACTGGCTCTGAATATGATATTCATAGCCAGCTGTATAGACCCACTGAAGTAGAGGCTAGCTCTCACTATCAGAAATATGCACAAAAGGCCATGAAGAATCCTGGACAGCGGCCGAGGAAATTGGAGGATAGAGCAGAGCGATTGGAAGGTGGTATGAATAGGTTCCTGAAGAAGCTTGAGAGGAAACTTTGAGCCTCTTTTTTTGGGTGGGTGTTTGACATTCTGCATCTTTCTTTCTTGTCTGAGATCTCTGCTGGTCATGATCACCTTGAGCGCTTTCTGGCAGTACTATGGAAACCAGGATAAGAATATCATTTAGCTTCTCAATTTGATGAGAAAATGGTAGTATAAAAGCTCTGAGCCCCGCTATATTGATAAATCAAGATGCTAAATTGGATGATGCTCCTAAGCGCTAAGAATAATATGCTCACGAAATTGGTACAGAGTATGCAAGAGATAAACAAAGAATAATAAGACAACCCAAAACACTGATAGATGTAAACATGCTAGCATAGAGTAAGAAAGAGACACGGAAGAATGGATGGTGAAAAGGTTGAGGGTAAGCCTTGATAAATGGATAAATAGAAAGAGGCTCACGCTTGGAGAGATAGAAGACAATAGTGAAGAGTATGATCAGAGAAGGTTAAAAGGATGTTCCAAAATTTACCAGAAGCGGAGATGGGCCAGCGAAATCCATTTCAGATAAACGCAGTGCAATTCTGATATAGAGCGCCTAGTTCAATGCCAGACTGGCAATATCGATGGCGACGTTGCGCGACTCAGCCTCAGTTGCGGTTTGCGCATCAGTGGCAGGCTCCTCAGTAGACTTGGCTTCGGCGGGGTTCTCCTCTGCGGCCTCTTTCAAAGTTTCAGGGATAGTAATCTCCTTCACTGGCACATCATCATCTTCTTCGGGAGCCTCGACGTGGACCTCTGTTGACTCCAGAGTCTCGAGCACCTCTGGTTCAGGGATCGAGATTTCTTGCTTCTCATCGACCTTCACTTGATCGCCAGCCGTTGGGATCGCCATGGTCTCTGCGGCAATCTCTTCAGCTGTGGTGATGGTCTCAGCAGCCTTCTCTTCCTCAACATCCTCAGCGATGGGCTCAATAAGGGCCTCAACAGGAGCATCCACCTCAGCCTCGGCTGAAGCCTGGTCCTCGTTGGAATCGATAGGCTCAGCCGACACCTCTGTAGCATCTTCGATTGGGACGGGGTCAGAGGAGCTCTCAGTCACTATCTCCTCGACGATCGGCTCAGGCACTTCAATTGACTTCTCAGTTGACTCAGCAGATGCGATGGCAACTTCAGAAGTAGGCTCCTCAACCTGAGCAGGGGAAGCGGTCTCCTCGACTGGCTTGGAAGCAGCCTCGGTCTGTTCCACAGCCGCAATCGGAGCGGATTCCACTGTCGCAGGCTCCTTCGGACTGGCTGTGATAGGCTCCACAATGTTCTCTTTCTCACTTTCCTGTTTCTTTTGGGAAGGCTTATGTTCATCTTTCCGTGGCGCAGGTTCCTTGTTCAGAGCCTGGGATTTCTGACCCTGAGGTCGAAGGACGGTGCTCTTAGGCTTCACCTGGTGGACGCCGCGATCTGGCACCCTCCCGGTTGACGGCCTGGGGGCCTTGGAAACAGAGGTTGTCTTGGTGACAGGCTTTGCATCGGTCTTTTCATGAGGATGGGACTTGTTCGCAGAGCTAGCAGTAGGCCGCATCATTCTCGCAAGGAAACCCTCATTGACCGGCTTAGTGCTTGTATCATTAGCTGCCTGAGCGGGCAACGAAGGGCGAGAAGCTTGTCTGCGGATACTGGTACTAGGAGTAGTGGCACGCGACTGGGCCCCAGTTGCACTTTTGAGGGATGAAGGCTTTCTTTTGAGGGTTGATGCACTGGTAGCAGTGCGAGTGCTCGGAGCCGCTGTGCTCCCTAGCTTAGCAGCAGATGCGTGGGTTGACGTATTCATCGAGCCCGGTACACGGGCAGGTTTCGGCGGGGATTTCATTACTGGCTTGCTGGATACACCTGCGGCATGTGGCTTTGAAGTATCTTGTGCCGGTGCTGAGCCGCGGGTTGACCGTGTTGTTGTCTTAGGATTCAGTGAGACACGACTCGGTTTGTGGGCCAGAGAGTTGACGCGCTCTTTAGCCACTTCGCGAGCTGTGGGCTTGGAGCTTGTATTGTGAGCAGCAGGCTTCGCGCCAGTTGAAGCTGCAGTAGTTGGCACGGCCTTGCTCGCTGCATTACGGGCAGAGCCAACTGAGGAAGGCTTCTTCTTGATCACTACTGACGAATCTGACTTTTGCGAAGGGGTGTCGGAGCTTGTCGACTTGGAATCCGTGGAGGCAGAGTCCTCTGTCTGCTTTGGTGGGGTGTTTCGTGACCGAAATTCGGTCTCAGTGCGCGCTGCGGGTTCCTCCTCGGCAGTCTGATTCCGTTCACTCTTGTTTTCAATGGCTTCCTCCGGTCGACCCTCAGCCATTATCTGTCCGAGAGTCGCGTTCTGTGTGTGGTCTAGGCGACTGACCGGGGTGGGGGAGATCATACCCTGCCGGCCCGACTCCGCACCCCCCGAATTGATTTTTGGTCCAAACATTCCAGGACTATCACTGCGCCCACTTGTTTTCCTCAACGGCGAAGCAGGATTCGACTGAATGACCCCGTCCACAGTGATAAAGCTAGCCCTGACCTTGGACAGCTGCCGAACTGTTCCTGAGGAGTCTGACGCAGTTGGCGATCGGCCACGAGGCGGCGGAGAGGCGATAGGGCTTTGGCCTTCAAACTTGGCTAACAAGCTGCGTACCCCAGGGTGATGGGGATTGTTATCGGACATTATTGCTGAGGGTACGTCAGTCGAACAAGGGCGTGTATGAATCGAGGGGAATCTGGAAACGCGTATGCAAAACACAGGGGTGCTCCTGAAATCAGGTCGAAGTGGGATTGTTGTGAAGTCTAATCGGATACAGGCAGATCCCACTGCATGTTCCCAGTAGGGTTCAGGTTCAACGCGTCAAAGTCGGATTGAGAATTGGTATGAGACAAGAGGACACAGTGAAGAAGGGCCGATCCAGAAACTATTACATACATACGCGCTAGTTAAGGCTAGCGTATCCAATAGGCCAACGCCTTGCGTTGTACTCCGTACTCCGTACAGAACTCCCTGTCTCAGGGGCTTTCATTTCTATGTGACAGGTGATTTCATCCTTGAGGGGTCTGATTAATTTTACCGTACGGAGTACTGAAACCCCCTGTGAGGTCTGAAACATGGGATCTGGACACATTTACAAGTGGATCTCAAGTAAGGGGCATTGTGTGCCTGAGGCAGCATATAAACACAGATCTACCCGAACTGGTTCCCAATTTGGGCTCTACTTGCGAGACTTTGATGGTTTCAGTACCTAGTTATATGTATCTAAATATGTAGGTATATATCTGATAGCCAAGGCATGTGTCCCAGTTTGCGGGGTATAGCGCATGGCTTTAGAGGAAATTATATGGTGATAATAGCCAAGAAATACAATTCTCCTCACGATTAACGTTGGAAAATAGATTGGAAAATGTCGCTTTTTGATAGTACATAGCATGTACATCACTTGTACCTCAAGGCAAAAGCCCAATTACCCGTGGACTTCATACTTGGAAGTCCACGCAACCACCTGATATACTCTACCTTTCAGCCAATGAGAGAATCTCGGGACATGTCCGATAGGAGCACGTGACGGTACCAGATCCTAGACGAGGCTTCTCCAACTCCCTTAGCTTCTTGGAATTAATATGAACTTATGATTCATAATGGTTGGTGTGCCTCGGAGCAATGGCTGCTCACTCTGTGTTAAACGCCGAGTCAAGGTGAGTGGATTATCTACGTGAAGTCCGGTTAAAAAGTCTCACGCCATATTGATAACACCACAGTGTGATCAAAGACTTCCTGGTTGCGCCAAATGCGACAAGTATGGGCAACCTTGCCCTGGATATGACCGGGGCTTCAAGTTTATTACTGGAAAGCCATATCGGGATCGGCGTCAACCCAATCCAAGGAAAGATACAAAGGACGGAACACGTTCTATGAGTGCAACCTCGAATTCTGAAGTTGATCTTGAGCCAACCTGCCAGGCTCTGGCCCAGGGAGAGAAGCCATCTTCTCTTATTTCCGTGGATATGAATGTTGTGCAACATCTTTGTGTCCTCATTGATGATTTTTCTCAACCATACACCCCCACTCCAACACATGTTGTGGTCAAATGGTTTGGGTTTCTTCCCTCCATTTATGGCCAAAATCGGGTATTGGATGCCACCATAAGGTCTTTCACAGCACATCATTTTGGGCGCAGTACCCAAAATACCCAAATGGTGTCGTATGCCCGATCAGCTTATGGGGAAGCCTTGCGCGGGCTCCGGAAATCGCTGGAAACTCCCGCGGAAAGTCTATCGTCTCATGTATTTTGTGCAGTAGTGCTGCTATGCATGTATGAGGTAAAGAATTTCCACTCCGAAGTGGTTCATTTGTCAGTGACTGATCATATACAGCTTTTCACAGACACCGAGAACCCAGAGTCGTGGATGAAGCACGCCAAAGGGCTTAGCCAGCTGGTACAGATTCGAGGGCCAGATAGGTACAACACTAAGCTTGATATAACGTTACTCAAAGCTGCCCGAGGATTGATTGTAAGTTTGAATTATGGAATTTTGCCTCCAATCTTCTTCAGAAGCATTGTAAATCAGTTGCAACTTGGAATAGACGCTCATACTCGAATAGGTGATGCACTCAATGTTCTCCGGTGAGGAGTGCTTTTTAGCCTCCGATGAGTGGCATGATAAGATGCGACAGCAATACACATCAGACTTGCCCCCAGAAATGCACAACAGCATCGAACTATTCTTTGCATATTTCACATATGCTCCAAGTCTTGTGCATAAGCTCTATGGTTTGAGACATGTCGACGTTACTAGTGTCGAAGCTCTACAAACAATCTCAGAGGTCCTGTCCAAAGCCCTCGAGATGCAGATGAAACTGGCTATATGGTATGAGCAATTTTCTCAACTCGCACCACCGCCAACCGAAACTCTCTCCTCAACTGGGGATGAACTATATCCGATTATCCTCACATATACAGACGTGAGCTATGCAACGATCTACTGCGGTTACTATTCCTACATGGTAATCATTCATGAAATTTTGAAGACTTGTGGCTACCCCGGTGAGCATGGAGCCATGGTTGCCTATTTCAGAGATCAAATTTGCAAGTCAGTCGAATACAACAGTGTGGGAGTAATGGGTCCATACCGAATGGGGTTTCCTCTCCGCGTGGCATTCGAAATTGCGGATCCAGTGACAAGATCTTGGATCTTGAACCGCCTTGAACAATTTTCAAATATCTACGCAGCCGCTCAGCCAGAGAACTATCAAACCGTCTTGTGATCCAAAGCAAAGTGCATTCAATTATTATGAGTCAAAGCCAACTCCCCAGGCCATTCTCCAAGGAGTACCTCGCTGCGCCATTTCACTACCGGTCTCAGAAATGTCCAAAGTGAACCAGCTCAATTCCGCGTCGATTCCAAGTCATCATATACGATGCGCTTAGAAATGATCGACGGCCAAAACGGTTCGGCTACAGCGCGTGCCGCCAAAAACAATACGACAATGATGATCTCCATCAGAAGCCCCATTCCAACCAAGATGCCGATATCACCAGTGGCTGGGTTGAACTTTGGGGGTCCATACTCCAACAGTAGGAAATAAATGATCCGAACCAACAAAAAGGGCAGAGTCAACACTGTCAAAAGTACGGCGTGGTGACCCGACTCGGGAAGGATCGACCGCGATTTTACCGCAAGCCAACCAACAAGACCGCACACATAGGCGAATGTGACAACAAGAACAATAGATCCAGCTTCTCCCAATGCGCGCATGTTGATACATCCGCTCACCACTGCTAGAATGATGGCGATGAAAATCGGGAAACGGAAGAAATGCAGAGCAAACCGGGTTGGCTTGGTCCATCTCGAATTCCCAGGACCAGTTTCTCCGGATTGTCCACTATTTGTAGCAACATCGTCAACATATTTCTTTTTTTTTCAGAGTAAAGCAAGACTCCCAGGGCCTAGGGAATATTCAACATACCACCGCAATAAGACCAAGCTGACTTCAAACAAGAGGGGAGAAAGGCCCACGCTTTGCAAGATGGATTCAGCAATGAGCATTGGCTTCTCCGGGTGTGAGCTGGCAAGCACCAGGGCCGAGCCCGCTATGCGAACTATGAAGGATTTCAATAACCATGTCTTTAAAGTTGTCGGAATGTCTTCCACTTACTCTGTGACAGAAGGCCAACCATACTCCACCAAGAATAGAGCACACATCGTCCGATACTCTTGTTCTTGTTGTGGTGCCAGTATCGGCACTCTTGCATGAATCTTGTGCTAAACTGCGCAACGTGGATGAGAGAGTATATGACAATCTCTGCAATGGCAATATTCCGCTTCCCAGTTGAGATTGGCGAATCCGATGAACGGGACAGAAGATTGAATGCCATAGTGAGCTCTAGATTCGAAGAAAGAGTTGACAATAAGTTTTGGGTGATAGTGAAGTACAGAATCGAATACAATGATGAGAAATGGAGTGCGATTTGGGCTGCTTTAAATATCTACTCTGGGAGTTGGGTTCAATCTCTGTCGAAGACTTTGTATACTCGATGCAAGTGGATCTACATCGCGGTAAGTGACCCCTTTGGGTTTAGCGTTTATAGTGTTTTTTAGTGTGGATAGACTTAAATGGCTGCAAAGATTGAGAAGCACAATGAAAATATACATTTTAAACTTCGGCGAAGCCATGAAGGACCCTTGGAAGGTGTCGTCCATATTTAACTTCGCGAGAAGTGACCCGTTTGGGTAGTCCGAGCTCACATACGTACCCGCGTAACCTTGGAATAGTTTCCCAGCTGACTGTATCGTTTCATCTTGAAATGGATAGTCAAGCAGACACACATTGCTTTTTGATCTTGTTCTGTCATCTGTATTCCATAGAATGTGAGCTAGAAAGGTAAGTCTACAACAACGTACTCCGTATGGGTCCCCGGGATTAGGATATCGGATCAACAATAATCCGATACCCGTATACAAAATGCAAAGCTCCGATGACGGCGATTGTCGATTTCAAGAAAGCAACTCTGCAAAAAAGTCTATCAAAATGGCTGCTGCCCGGACACTTCGCATTGGTACAATCGCCCTTGTTCTGCGATTCGGTGGCTCGGCAATTGACTGACATACCCGGAATCTCATAGGTCTCATCCCCGGAGACGGTATCGGACGGGAGGTCATCCCGGTACGTAGCTCTCAAGATCTGATATGCGAGCCAATTCACTGACTGAATGTTGCTTGATGCAATATAGGCCGGTCGTCGGATTCTTGAATCCCTTCCCTCGTCCCTGAACCTCAAGTTCAGCTTCGTCGACCTCGATGCTGGCTTCGAGACCTTCCAGAAGACTGGAACCGCTCTGCCCGACAAGACCGTCGATACCCTGAAGAAGGAGTGCGACGGTGCTCTCTTTGGTGCCGTCAGGTAAGCCACGATGTCCTTGCTCAAGCATGCGCAATTCCGGCTGACAGTTGCTCCCAATCCAAAGCTCCCCTAGCACTAAGGTCGCCGGCTACTCATCGCCCATTGTCGCTCTCCGCAAGAAGCTTGACCTGTACGCCAATGTCCGCCCTGTCAAGACCACCGCCGGCAACAGCAATGGCAAGCCCATTGACCTGGTCATCGTCCGCGAGAACACCGAGGACCTGTACGTGAAGGAAGAGCGCACCATCGAGGGCCCTAACGGCAAGGTCGCCGAGGCCATCAAGCGTATCTCCGAACATGCCTCGTTCCGCATCTCCAACATCGCTGGTGAGATTGCGCTCCGCCGCCAGAAAATCCGCGACGCTGCCCCCGTTTCTACCCGTGACCAGCCCATGGTCACCATCACCCACAAGTCGAACGTGCTCTCCCAGACCGACGGTCTCTTCCGTGAGACCGCGCGTCGTGCTCTTGCCGCCGAGAAGTTCTCCTCCATCTTCGTCGAGGAGCAAATCGTCGACTCCATGGTCTACAAGCTCTTCCGCCAGCCCGAGTTCTACGATGTCATTGTCGCCCCTAACCTCTACGGTGACATCCTCTCTGACGGTGCTGCTGCCCTTGTTGGCAGCCTGGGTCTTGTCCCCAGTGCCAACGTTGGTGATGCCTTCGCTATCGGTGAGCCCTGCCACGGCAGTGCCCCTGACATTGAGGGCCAGGGTATCTCCAACCCCATTGCTACTATCCGCAGTGTTGCTCTGATGCTCGAGTTCCTGGGCGAGGAGAAGGCTGCTGCCCAGATCTACGCTGCTGTCGATGGTAACCTGGATGCTGCTCAGTTCCTTACCCCCGATATGGGCGGAAAGGCCACCACCCAGCAGGTGTTGGACGATGTCCTGAAGAGACTGTAAAAGTAAACGTGTATATAATCCAAAGTTTGCATGATACTTAGAGATGAATTTATTGTTTTCCTTGCATGCATTGACAGCCATTTAATTGTATAAAACCTGTATCTATCTTAACTGCATACTCTGTTAAACCGAGAGATGTATTACTCAACATCGCCGGACGATGGCTCCGGCTCCCAGTCAAACTTCCCTAGGCTGTCTTTACGTTGCTCACTCTTGCTGTGATCTTTCTTGTCTTCAGTTTCGCTTAAGACCACCGTGAACACCACAGCAAGATACACCCGTCCGGTTGAAACATCCTTGAGCGTATACCGCAGCTCATGGTTCTTCTCATCCACGTACTTCATGATAGGTAGATGGAATCCAGGAAGACGGACAGAGAAATCTATTATGATCAGTGAGCCGATGATCCCAATCAAAAGAGCAGATCCGCGTTTTACTGACCCTCGAACGCCAAATAAGGATTTCCAAAATCAGCGACATACATCCTCCCAGGTTCAAAGTCAAACTCCTTTCTATTCGCCTCGTCCTGGAAATGTTTTCTGCGCCCCTCGACTGTTTCGGGGATATTAAACTGCTGACGCACATTCGCAGCATCTTCGCTATAAGAACCTTCTTCAATAATCTCTTCATGGAGCGTGGGCACCTCGTCTGATTTCCGCATCTTATCTCCAATTCGGAACTGGTCCCACGATGCCAATGCCGGGCTGTACAAGTATGGCTGATCAGCGTAGACATCGCCGTCTAGACCAGGGTCGAGGGTCCACTTGACAATCCGTAGCGCGGCATTGAATCCCGGAGGTAGGATGTCGCGGATTGGGTGATCGAAGTCATTGCCAAAAAAGAGGTTGTTGCCGTTCACCGGCTCTTTGAAGATTATTGAGAAGCATATGGAATATAGGTCTTTTGTATGTAGGGGGTGGTCGAAATATGGGCTTGTGGATGGTGATCTTTCGGGATAGCCTATTTGACGGATGAGCTCCGTTCTTTGACCGAATAGATGAGAGCAGGGGTATTACCTGTGTAGTCTTTGATCCGTACGCAGAGACTCACAATAGCGTGTTCGTTCTCGATTCGTATTGTCTCGCCATTCACAGGTACAACTTGTTGAGTCTTGAGGTTGTAGTCTGCGCCTGCCGTTACCTTCAAGCGGTGCTTGTGTGCGTTGGTATCCTGGCCAACCATGCTTGGGGTGGGTAGTAGAGCGAGTTTATGAGGCTTCGCGCGAAAAAAAAAAAGGGTATATTGTTTAACAAGGTGTTAGTCGAAATGTAGTTGTAGCGTGGCTACCGAATCTAATTTTATAGGCTTGACGCCCAACAACGTCATCGTTCTCGAGGACAATCAAGTATTGATAAGGAGTGACAATTTGATGTTGGAGTTCTCACCACAACTGGGCCCAAATGACAATAAATGACTGAAGATCTCTGGATAATTTTTGCCAACATTATCAGTGTTGTGATCTACTAATTGTTCCAAGGTTTTCAAGTGCGTTGATTTAGGTAAGATAGCATGCATCTTCCACTAATAAGGAGAACTGTTTAAAACAGCCAACATTTCGCTGTACACGTAGGAACGGTGTTATCTTCACAAGGCTTTCTATTTGTTGATCTATCCAAGTACTTCGTATGTAGATGCAAACACTCAGCCCTTTTCAGCTGGCCCCCAAGTCTAAATTGGGAATGACATCACAAACCCCCGGAAAGGTCACAAACTGGAATTTGATTGGCTGGAGCGGTACGTGGCACCCAAAGAGGTTAGTTCGATGAACCCTAAATGAGTGGAGATACCAAGACTCTGCGCCTCCGGGCACCTGGTGAGATGAGCTATATAAGTAGTCTAAATTTCCCTTCTAATGGAATAATTCATTCCAGATCAAAGACAAGATCAATACAAGACTCAACTTTCAAATACTGTCAAGCAAACACAATGGCTTCAACCGATACCCTTCAACCCATTCAAACCTCTTCTACTTCCAAGAATCCATTCTTGACAGCCGACTCAAACAAAATGGCTTCATCCGATACTCCCCAATACGCCCAAACTCCCTCCAAGAGCTCGGTCTTTAACGTCGACTTTACATGGAAGAAGTGGAAGGCCATCGTGTCTGATGCCAGCAATCCCTCAGACCCCTTATACACCATCCATTATTCCCCATTCAGTCTCGCAGCCAACATGGTTTTCAAAAAGGCCCCCGACGATGAAATCATCGGCATTGGCAAGCTGAACGCAGTCTCTATCAACGCTGACTACGAACTACGTGGGCAGAAGGCGCACCTTCTAGCCCAGAAACGCTGGCGGACGGTGTACACCCACCGCTCACTCAACTTCTCCGACACCGAATCTCCAGTCACAATGACATGGACCAGCGATGCCGGGTTCAAAACCTGGGACTTTGTCTGTGTCGATGAGCAGCAGATGCCCGTGGCGAAATTCACTGCCAATGCCTGGGGTGTCACCAACATTGGCAAGATCGAGTTCTCTGGCCCAAAAGCAGATGATAGAGCTGCACAGGAGGAGATTATGGTTACGGGGATTACCTTGTTCTATTGCATGATGCTTCGCTGTAACAACATTTTCAATCTCTTTGGGGCTATCTTTGCTCGACCGGGGCACAAACAGCATATTGAGCCTCAGCCCAAAGCTATGACTAGCGAGTAGGCTTCGAAATTTGCTTGGTTTGCCTAGGTTGCTTGGGAGTTTATTTTTGCTTTTGCAGACAGATAGATATACCATTTGATTTATAATGTTTATGATACATAGCCTTGAGTATATTATTCCATGATATATGTTTTAACTATCCCCGAGTTCTGCTTTACAGTGCGGCCCAGTCCATCTATATACCTCTCAAACAAGGTATCTCCCGACCAAACATCATGGAAAGGAAACATCACGACCAAGTGAGCCAGCAACCCAATAGCCTATCGCTCCCCGAACAATATTATTACTCGCCCAGTTCCGATTCGGATACACCCGATGGGCCAGCATGACCATAAAAGTATCCGACGCCCGATCAACAACTAGCGTGGTGCCAGTGAAGCCCGTGTGGCCTCCAGATAGCATATTGGCTATGGGTTCCGAGAAATAGCTCTGATTGAGCTCGAGCCCGATACTGTGCTCATTACCAGGGAAAGCGGTCTTAAAAATTCGTGAAAATCAAGTCTACGGTCTCTGGCTTCAGTATCTGCTTGCCGCCATATGTGCCGTTATTCAAGATCATTTGACAGAAGATTGCCACGTCCCCGGCAGTCGAAAAGAGACCGGCGTGTCCGCTCACACCACCAAGAGCCCAGGCATTCTCGTCGTAAGAACATGATTTGAAAGAAAATGCGAAGATTGTACAAGCCTTTATTAGAGTCAAGACATAGATGAAATAAATAAACAAAAAGATCGAGATTGTATACAAAAACTAAGCCAAATCCAATGCGGGAAGATGGATATTGCATCCGACATCGCTGTTGGCATCCGAAAGGTCATTCTCCAGTCCCTCCGCCGAGATCTCGACACTATCCACACGTCGCCGGTCCTTGCCACGGCCAACTTCGACATCAACATATCGGGCGCTAACGGGTGTAATTGGCTCACTCCCACCGCCAATTGTAGTGCCATCTGACATGAGATCGTCCGATTTCAATTCCCAATTGGCCGCACGAACCTTGGCTCTGCGACGTTCCGAGTTGATAGTCTCCTTCATGTGGGCGAATGATCGCACTTGATCTGCGGCCCACTTGTCCAAGAGTTCATTTCGAGCTTCGACTTCTAACTGAAGCTGTTCTTCAAGGCCGGTGTTGACATTCTGAAGACGCTGCATTTCACATTTGGCACCATATAATGATGTGGTGAGGTCTGAGATGCGAACATTGAGAGTCCCAGTCTCTGCTTCGTGCATTTGAGATTCACTGGTGTTTTGCTCAAGGGTCTCGATGGCTCTTTCGTATTCCTTCTCAAAAAGCTCCACCTGAGCCATCAAGTCGCAAGCCCGAATTCGATTGTGCTCGACCGTTTCCTCCAATTCTCGGATGCGGGACTCGGACTCAGAGGCAGTAGCCTCGGCCGAACAGCGTTTTGAGCGTTCATGTGCCACTTGTTTCTTGAGCTTCGATATCTGCTGGGTGTAGTCCTCCTTTGTAGCCGTGTTCTCCTTTTCAAGATTGTCGATAAGACTTTCGAGTCCCTTCACTTCATAATGATACTTGTCGAGGGCTGTGCTTAATCTGTCAATCCCAATGGCCTGCTCTTGGCCTTCACGCTCGAGGTCTTGCATTCGCATCCGCGTGTGGAGCATATCGCTCGCGGAAGATGCGATTGAATCTTCGAGAGTGTCAATTTTGCTTGCAGCTGCCTCATATCGGTGTAGTAAAGCATCAAATTGCCCCCGGAGAGCCCTTTCCCGGCCGAGGGAGCCGTTATGATAATGGCGCTCTGTCCCCAGATCTTTTGCCAGTGACTCAACGCGCCTCACCAGCGCACCTAGAGTTGCCTTGCCGTCCTCGAGACCGACATTGGCAGTTTCACCAGGTAGCGCACGCTCAAGCTCGAGACGAGCTGAGCGGAAGTGGTTCCGCATGTCGGATATGACTTCCTCCACGCCGTCCCCGGAGAATCCTAAGCCGGAGCATTCTTGGGTAACTCCTTCAAGAGCCTCGGCAGCATCTGAAGCACGAGAAAGAGCATTTTCCAAGATCGTCATCATGTTCTTAAAGAAGTCCGATGGTGGAGACGACTGGCGGAAAAGGCTATTTGTAATAGGGTCATTGAACCCTGAGATTCGTGATCGACATGCGTTGAACAAGTTGTTCTTTTCTTGCCTGGCAGCTTCCAGGTCAAGGGTCAGGGACTGAATGTCGGATCTTTCTGTATTGATTGAAGTCTGCATTTGGGTGGCGCGAACGGGCGTTTGGGGTTCGTCGAATAGCATCAAGCTATCAGTGACGGGTGGATTATGACTCCGAGTACCACGGAAATCAGGGGAGCTGGATACAATGACAGCACTGTCATTGAACATGAAGGTCTCTCCGTCACCGTTCGTATAGGGAGTGGCGTCATCCAGACTATGATTAGAAACCACTGATACTCCCTCGCAAGATCTGGGTGTGTCGGGTGTCATCCAATAGGACTCAGCCACCGAATCTTGGACCTCAAAGCCCATTCCACCTTGTTTCATGGTCCTGAGTTCATCTCTCAGGGAATCTCGCTCTTGAAGCAAAGCTCGCATGGTCTTTTCCATGTTGCGCGTCTCACGCTTTTCGCGCTCAATGTGATTGATTTCATCACTCAATCCGATTCGCCGAATTCTTCTCTGCGTCCGTGTATCCAGGATTTGGCGCAGCGGAGTAAATTGGATCCTTCGCTCGTTGCATGTTTCATCAAATGGCTCCTCCATGTCATACGACCGCTGGAAGCGTGGTGATGGGGCAGACCTGCGTCGGGATTTGCGGCTAGGTGTGCAATCCCCAGATCCTGTCTCGAACGATGTTCGACGCATCGCTGGAGTCAAGCCGGTCGACCCAATATCCTCATCATGCAATAACCGAGGGCCTGGGTCGGAAAACCGAACTCTCTTTCTTGATTTCTTTGGTGTGACTGATACTGCTTTTTGCTGTTGATTGAGGCCCGCATTTTCTGGAACCGCTGCCAAACTCTGTCTAGTCCGGCGTGAGATTGGTGACTGGCTTGTTGAATTTGAGAGAGAGCTCTTCCGTTTCCTTCCTGACCGAGTGATGTCCATGTTGGAAAGGGGAGTATATTGGAACAATTGAAACCAAAATAAACGTTTTACAAAATCAAAGTGTACACAGGGATAGGCTTATAAAAGAGAATTCTATAGATCACAAAGATGTAAACAAACAAAGTGGGGCTCTATAGGCAACAGGGGCCCAGACGCGTGCCTACCCAGGTGGATGCATGTTTCCTATTCCGGCAAAAGAGTAAACAAGATGCTTCTTTGGGCGATCAGGTGACAGCAGGACATAAGGTTCCACGTGATATTTAACATATTTAACACATGTCGAGATATATCGAAAATAATGTATGTTCAATCTAATGATCTCTTCGTTGATTGATATTTAGCTACCTGGAGCAGATCGGGAAGCATATTGTAAGATCAGAGAGAGCTACTCCACACTGCCACAACACGTACCTTATCGATAGCTCCCAAGTTTCCATCTGGGCAAATTAGCTCCAAACACAAAATTGGAAAGCTGAGCAGCTTTCTCCAATCCAAACCCTGCAATATTGGCAATATTTGGCACATTAGACGTCTTCCCTGCTTGGTCCGATTACCCTTCTTATCTCCGTGTGACTTCATGCATTTCCCCCCATTGGGTTTCCCAGTGATGTCATTTACGATACTCTGAAGAGGCTCAACCATATCACTTATCTCTTACAAATCTCGGCGCATAAAAGGAAATATGGCGACTACCACCAGTCCTAGCCAGGTATGTCTAAGTATTGCTCTTGATAGAAATCACCATGGACGACCCTGTACTCACATTTTGATGTCACAGGAACAAAACGACGACGAGCCAGGTAATGATGGGCAGCTGTCTCCTCGCGCAGGTCAATTGTCGTTCTTTGAGAAATTGCCCGCTGAGATTATTCAAGATATTGCGTCTTATCTCTCAGCCCCAGATCTCGCCTGCCTCGGTGCCACTTGCCGGGCCCTCGTCGATCATGCATCAAATGACTTGCTATGGGCTAACCTTGTGAACACAAGACTGCCTGCTCCTATCCAAGACTCAGGTCCCTTTGGTTCATTTCGTCGTCTCTATCTTGCATATCACCCCTATTGGTTCATTTCTCAGCACAAGATCTGGTTCGCAGACAACGAACACACGGGGATGCTGATCATAGCTCGATATGATGATCGCCGGGGTGTGATTGAAGCATACCGTGTCGTTGCAGAACGTGGCACTCCTCAATTTCAAATATGGATATCACATCCAGAAGTTATGATTCAGTCTTTTGAACCCCGTGTACATCTGGTGTTGGATGATCCTGTCTTGTTTCTCAACGACCCTAATCCGTCCTCCCACACAGCCCCAATACAATCCTTTCAATCAGTGCTAGAGGAACAACGTATGCCCATGGCTTTGGATGCCCGGAATATCTACACCTCGCTGTCGCCTTGCTCAGCATTTAGCCCTCGAGGACAGTGGGTCAAAACCAATGCGCTTTGGCCACCACGAACCATCCCGAGCAATACACGCACAGTTCGTGCTTTGAAGGACTCACAACCGCCAATACTGAAAAGTTTGTCGGAATTGTCGGAATCGTTCTTCCGTGTCAAGAAATGGGCGAGCCCGGGGTATATGTCGTCGCCAGTACCAAACGAAGTGAGCCTAACTTACTCAACTCTCGATCCCGCCCTTTACACTCCCACTACAGAGAAACCCTACCAGGGGATTTGGGTTGGAGATTACTCAGCTCATGGGTGTGAATTCCTGCTTTTTCTGCAGAAAGACATAACGCCCATAGCACACGGTGATGAGAACGAGTCGCAGATAATGGACACGCAGGACGAGGTCGAACATGACACCAAGGAAGATATTGGACAGCGAGGTTCGTTGCAAGCCGTCAAGCTGACAGGTGACCCCAATGTTCCTCGTGGCCAGTTCTCGTTTGTTGCCGAAGACATTGGCTCCAGAGGCTTGATTAGTGTCGAGATGGAAGAGCCTTTTGTCGGCGCCCGAATTGTGCGTTGCCGCGGTCATGTAGCCGGACTTGGGTTCCGTGACGGTAAGCTCTCTTACTAAATAACCCAAAGCGATCTTTTCTAACATGTAATTTGCTAGACACCTACATTGACTCACAACTGATCCTTATTTCTCCTGATCACATGGCTCATTACTGGAAGGAAATGGGCCATGTCTCTTATTTCCGCCGTGTGGACATTGGCGCTCTACTACAACATATGTAGTTCATATGTAATTGACTAGCATGTTTTTGTGGTTTTTGTTTTACTTTGTTCAAATTTTTTTCTGTTACATACCCTCATGTTTTTATGTTGTCTTTATCGAGTCGTTTAAGTTGTGATATTGATTATTGCAGACTGTCCCGATACTTATCATCTAAAAGGTCAGTCCAGCCTTTACAAAATGATGGATTCGCCGCTGAACTCTTGAATTTCGTAGATATATCTGAGTGCAGCTATGCGGACAAACAACAAGTCCTCCAAAGCCTACCGGAAGCGAGAATTGTATAGGCTTCGGACTTCATTATTTGTGAGCCGCGTGTTCAAAACCTCTCGCAGTTCCTCTGGCGTCAGTGTTGCCGCAAAGTGGGGACGCACATCCTTTTGGGACCAATAAAGTTTCGCGAGGAGCGACAACAGCTCGCTTTAGGAACACGCGCGAGCCCAGCAAAATTGATGTTGAGCTTGTTCTGTTCTAGCCAACGCAGAATCGTCATAATATCGGCCAGATCGGTGCGCGTTCGTTGGTGGTATGCTTGCCTGGTCGCCACCTCGGCCGTGCTCCAACACTTAAGCTTTGTGAGAACCAGCACGGAGGGATGCACAATGGAGACTATCAATCAAGGTCAGTGGAGTCTCAATATTAGCTGAGCAATAACTTACTGGAGGTATTCAACCGGCGCTCTGATCCCCAGGATTCACATTGTAGACATCTGTTGTCCTGGGATCTGGGATGTGCCATGAGCGGTTGCGTGGGCCTCGACGTACACTTTGTCCCGCGGTAATCATAAGCTAGTCTGCCATCACCACTGCGGATGAAACCTAGTCTTTTCAGCAGGAGTTCACCGCAGTCGATGTCTGTTCCGACATCGACATCCTGTATATTTATCAGACCACGAGGCTCTTTGGGACTAAGGGATATTAGGAGAAATGTGTACCTCGGTGACTCTGTTGCCCCCGATAAGTCCTGTAGCATAGCCAGTTGATGTGTTGTTTGCTCTTTGTCCTTTACCAAACTGGAGATATGTCCTCATTTTCTCGTATTCTTGAACTATCTGAGCGCGACCACCCAGCTAAGTATTTAGTTGGTTGGTCAGGACGTCAGCAATTTCTGCGGCAACCCACCCCACTCTACTTTGTCCCATCTGTAGTCAGGGCGTCCCGCATCTCATCCGCTGACAAGGTCAGGGAGAGGTAGGGCCGTGACCTCTGCTCGGCCCGGTAGAGACTTCCCAGGAGCCTCATCAACTTGGCCCTGGGGATATTGGGCAACCCAGAGAAGTCGATCCTAGATTTCTTGTCTACAAGCCATTGCAGGATGGTCCGGATATCCATCAAGTCTGTGCGTTTTCTCATATGCCGGGCGACTCTTGTCGCCTCATCGGCCTCTTTCCAGGGTAGGAGCTTTGTCAATAGCAGGATTGACGGATGCAGAATAGGTACTATAACATTAGCGAGGACTCTAGATTCGCGAGCAAGAAAGCGCACCCATTGAATTCAATTGACGCCGTGGGCAGTCCGCCGGAGCCACAGTGTAAACCCTGGTGGTCCTAGGATTCGGGGCCCAAGGTGCAGCTCCCATGATCTCCATATCGATGTGTACTTTAGTGCCATGGTGATGGTAGACCAATCGGTTATCCGCGCTCTCTGTGATGTTCGGGCATTGTAGCAGAAGGCCGCGGCAATTTCTGTCCACGATAAGGTCGATATCCTATGGCTTTGTCAGATCAGGAGGCCTCTTTGAACCAAGGGGAATTAGAAGAAGGTGGTACCTCTGTCACTCGGCCTCCTCCAAGGAGACCTGTGGCATATCCGCCAATGAAGATATGGGAAATGCTTTCATTGCGCAAGATATTTGTCAAAGTTGTTGCTGCTGCGTCCAAATGGCTGAAGTCGCTTTGGGAAGGCATAGTAGCGGTTGTTGGAGAGGAAGAGAAGAGAGAAGGAGAAGAAGAGAAGTGATCTGATATTTATAGGAGTGAGAAAGAGGAAGATGAGGAAGGCAAACAAATCAAAATGATTGTTCTTCAGTTCAGAAGTGAGTAAGGAAAAAGAGTTGTCACTTCTTCCTCTCACTTTATTCTGTCCCTTCCCACTACGCCCCCGGCCTTTGCTTCTGACAAAAAGTAACGCCCGCCCCTAATCCCCTCGACTGCCATTCCATCCCATCTTAGAAGGTTTTACAATTATTAATCACCAATAATGGAGACTGAAGAGACCAAAGGGCTCGCAGTCCCCCCTCTTGCCTCGCCCATTATCGAAGCAACGCCAACGTTTCCCGAGGAGATTGAAGGACTCTCAGTGCCCCTTCCTGCCTCGCCTATCATTGAGCCGACGCAAACTTCTCTCGAGGAGACCAAACGACTCTCAGTCCCGCTTCTTGCCTCGCCTGGCATCGAGCCGATATCATTGTCTCAACCTAACCCAGACTCCTTGGAAGAACCAAGTCAACAGACCGAGAAACCAGAGGCACAGCTTGTCAACGAGACAGCTAGCCAACAATTTCCCAATCCTGTGATGAAGGAAGCGTTGAAAGTACTTATCGACAACACCATCTCGGTCGTGGAGTACGGGAACCAGGTTCTATACAGATGTGGATATGCAGAGGTTCTGATTGTAAGTGATGACAACTTCATCTCCACTCCCTCAAATAAAACATCCAGCTAACAGAATTTAACAGTTCGTAGAGTGGGTTGTGCCTGATGAACAGCTGTTGCTTGCTTCACAGCTGTTGCTCGAAAACAACTGGCCCCGCCTTCTTCACCACGAGAGAGATTGGAATGGTAGCCCTAGACCCGCTGAATACTGGGAAACGCAATACCTGATGCACGACCTTGATGGAGAGGGCTGGATGCGTGTCCATCTCATTCCTCTGTCACTGGTTGGTTTCACTCTTGAGGAGACTGTCGAGGTTCCCTCGACATTTGCCCCCGAGCTCCACCTCCTCACCCCCAAACCTCCTCATTACATGGCATCCTTGATACGTCATCTCTTGCAACTCCCGATTGATCACAGTAGCCGACTTCGAGTTGAGAAGGACCTTATGGGGTTTATCTCTGCTTACATCCTCAAAGATGGACCGGCTAATACGACTATGTGGGCCTATCTTGATGACCAGGAGAGCGACGAGGACTACCAGAAAAGAGTTGAAGAAGGGGTCCGGTTTATGAAGACATGGGACTGGGGCAATATTGAGGAAAGATTCCTGGCCATAGCTGAATCTGCGGTCCGAGATTGCCGCTACATCGATACGCTGACGGACGTCCACAAAGAGCAGAACACGCCCTGAGTTGACCTTTACGAGGTTGCAGGAGCTTTCGATGTTTATTGGCGAGAGATGAGGTTCTGTGACTGCGTCTCTTTTTCGTCTGAAACCTCTTTTTTCGTCCGTGGTCTTGTTTTTGTCTTCAAGACTCTTCATCCCTTAAGTTCCCCATAGCTTGAGATAGTCATGAATATCAGTTTTAGACATTCTTATTTTGTCATATATTTCTTACCCTCCTACAAACTTATTCTACAACAACGGGGGAAGTGTCAGGGTGCAATATCGCACAATGCTCAAAGGGTATCTTGAAGGGTCATGATGATATGCTTGGCACGATGTATAGTGTACAACGATGTAGTTCACAACGAAACTCTGGACCGAAGCTCGCCAGCTGGGGAATTTTGCGACGGAGGGTCAAGGAATCAACATTCTTAGCTTCAAGCATTCAATACCGTCCCAAGCCTAGGTATGCACCAAGATAGTGATCTCGGGTTATCCGGATTGCAACCAATTGGTGACAGACACCTTGACATGCCCATGACTTTTGTTTATATCTACAAGGAGAATGTTTCGAGCAGTGTATGTTAAGTTCATGGCTGGATTTGCGCGATGATATAGAACAAGCAAAGATAAAAGGTATCGAAAAAGCCAAGACGCCATGACCTTGAAAGCATCGATTGAAATTGGAGGCTGGAGCGCAGATAAGAATTGGTCGTCATTCGTCAATCCAGCCTTGAAGCATATACTTGTGGTGTCCCGGTGATTTTTAAAAGACACACCGTCCACAACACCGACTCAACCTGTACGTACTGATATTGTATCACATTGCCATAGAGCCAAGCGAAGACCCAGATTTGTGCCGCCAGTCCAGTCCCGCGGCAATTTATGCACTCCCTTGAGTTGCCATGTATCCCATTTCAGAATCTACAATCATACACACATCGAATGGCCGGAAGTCAAGTCGCGAGAAAGAGATCGCCGATTGTCTCCCCGAGTTGAGTATGGCGTCGCCAATCACCGGCGTCGTTCAAACCAGGAAGATGAGCCCATGACAGCCACGGACTGGTCCATCATCCACTCGCCAACACCAAGGTAGCTGTCAACCCATTTCTTGATGTCTTTGTTCTCTGAGATCTTGTCTGAGTTGAGGCTGGGGCTAGGAAAGTCCCACGCACACACGACCCAACGAATGGGGGTGCGCGGGGGGTAACAGAGTTAGCCAACAGTTCTTCCATGCATATCGAGAGCACCCAAGACGAGCAACATGCAAAATAAATGATAGCTTGGCAGAGGATCGTGAGGGGTAGGGTGTATTTACGTGAGGCCCGTGGAGCGCTTGACGCCTGCCAGGAAGGCGGAGACTGAAGGTAAATGCGCTGGTTAGTTTGTATTCCGAGGTAAAATACAGACATAGAAGACTCACAGAGAACCGCATCAAATGCGTAGTGGGTAAGACGGCCGAACTAGATTGCAGTGAACATCCAAGTCAGTCATCGCATGCTCTATGTTCCGGGAACCTCGGTAGTCCAGGATCGACCAGCAAAGGTATCTTACCATGATGCCCAGTAGAAGGTATCAACACTGTAGATCTTAAGTAACCGGCAGTCACCAAAAAGCTTGATAGGCAAAAGTAGGAGGAGACACAAGCTGTCATTGAGACCGCCTAAAGAGCGGTCACGTGTGAATTCACATGACGTCTCTAGAGTGGAGTGGCTGGAAATGAGGCTGGTTACACTGGGTACCTGACATAATCCACAATGTGGCTGGGGTTCGGGCCAAGGTTGTTCCCGCCAACTGCCCAGGTGGGCACTAGCCCGGATTCTTATCGATAAGCGTTTCTCATCCCACCGAAATCCCCTTTCGCCTTTCCCCTTTGGGGCCTCGATCAATTGGGTGTCTGTATTTGTCACATTTACTCGATAAAAGGACTCCAATCTACAGCGCGTAGGCCAGCACGGGGCAATCCTCCGCTTTTTTGCGGTCAACCCAGTCTGGAGTTGATACAACATATATAATTATTTTTTTCTGCCTGGACTATTTATGCCGCCTCTGCCGACACATCCAGCTTTCAGTAATAGAAAATATAGTTAGACAAAGAGAAAGAAACAAGTCAAGCCAAATCCTCATATTTCACGGAACTCACCGATTAATTTGGTATAGATATTGTCCAATCTCAATAGAACGAACAAAAAAAATGTCTTGGGATGGAACCAATACTCACACCGGCGGCCAACATTTTCCCTCCCGCCCCGCACCCATCCGTTTTCTCTTTCCCCTCCATCTCTCATCCTTTCTCTTCTACCATCCTCTCTGATTCTCAATTGATCAGAACTACCTTACCCTTCCTAAATTAATTCAACAATTGTTGATCATATAAAAATGGCGGCCACCAGCTCCCTCGACCACCTGAGCAACCGCATGAAGCTGGAGTGGCACTCCAAGCTCAACACCGAGATGGTGCCTGCGAAGAACTTCCGCCGCACCTCCATCATTTGTACCATTGGTATGTTAAACCAATATGAGAAACTCTTTCAGGTTGAGCTTGTCAAAGAAGTTGCGATGGAGAAAAAAAACCCGATTACTAACATCGATCAGGTCCCAAGACGAACTCCGCTGAGAAGATCAATGCTCTCCGCACAGGTATGGCAATAAAGTTTCCGATGGAAATGGGCAGCTTTGTTGGGTAGTTAGACTGACATGGCGATAGTTGGTCTTAACGTTGTTCGCATGAACTTCTCCCACGGATCATATGAAGTCAGTATCTCCAATCAACATCTGATGAAGACCTTCACTGACTTTGTCTGTAGTACCACCAATCTGTCATTGACAACTCTCGCGAGGCCGCCCGTGTCCAAACTGGTCGCCCTCTCGCCATTGCCCTCGACACCAAGGGCCCCGAGATCCGTACCGGTAACACCATCGGTGACCAGGATTTCCCCATCAAGCAGGGCACCGTGCTCAACATCACCACCGATGAGGCATACGCCACTGCTTCTGATGATAAGAACATGTAAGATCATTCCCATTGCCGAAGAGTGAATTGTTTCAGTCGACATTCGCTCAATATATTTGCGTGGCTGGACGAGCTTGACATGTGACGTGGACTGACAAGTGTGTGACGACAGGTACCTGGACTACAAGAACATCACCAACGTGATCACTCCTGGCAAGCTCATCTATGTTGATGATGGCATTCTGTCCTTCGAGGTGATTGAGATTGTTGATGAGCAGACCCTTAAGGTCAAGTGCCTGAACGACGGTAACATCTCATCCCGCAAGGGTGTCAACCTGCCCGGCACTGATGTAGACCTCCCCGCTCTCTCCGAGAAGGATATTGCCGATTTGCGATTCGGTGTCAAGAACAAGGTCGATATGGTGTTTGCCTCATTTATCCGTCGCGGCAGCGACATCAAGCACATCCGTTCCATTCTTGGTGAGGACGGCAAGGAGATTCAGATCATCGCCAAGATTGAGAACCAGCAGGGTGTCAACAACTTCGATGAGATTCTCGAAGAGACCGACGGTGTTATGGTCGCCCGTGGTGACCTCGGTATCGAGATCCCCGCCCCCAAGGTTTTCCTTGCCCAGAAGATGATGATCGCCAAGTGCAACATCAAGGGCAAGCCCGTTATCTGTGCCACCCAGATGCTGGAGTCCATGACATACAACCCCCGCCCCACTCGTGCTGAGGTTTCCGATGTTGCCAACGCCGTTCTCGACGGTGCCGACTGTGTCATGCTGTCTGGTGAGACCGCCAAGGGTAACTACCCTTGCGAGGCCGTTAAGATGATGTCCGAGACCTGCTTGCTGGCTGAGGTTGCCATTCCTCACTTCAACGTCTTTGACGAGCTGCGCAACCTTGCCCCTCGCCCCACTGAGACCTCCGAGTCCATTGCCATGGCCGCTGTCAGCGCCAGTCTAGAGCTGAACGCCGGTGCCATCATCGTTCTGACCACCAGGTATGTGCCGGAAAAGCGTTTCTGTCGTTTGTATGACGATCATACTAACAATTCCATAGTGGTAAAACCGCCCGCCTTGTGTCGAAGTACCGTCCCGTCTGCCCCATCCTGATGGTCACTCGCAATGACACTGCTGCCCGGGTAAGTCCAATTCGATCGTTCGAATGTCGTTCTTTGCTGACAACAGTTTCCAGTACTCCCACCTGTACCGCGGTGTGTGGCCGTTCTACTTCCCCGAGACCAAGCCTGACTTCAACGTCAAGATCTGGCAGGAGGATGTCGACCGTCGCCTCAAGTGGGGTATCAACCACGGTCTCAAGCTCGGAATCATCAACAAGGGCGACCCTATCGTCTGTGTCCAGGGATGGCGCGGCGGTATGGGCCACACCAACACCGTTCGTGTGGTGCCCGCCGATGAGAACCTCGGTCTGACCATGGAGTAAATCTGTAAACTCATCAGATGGTAAGCTTTCGGTGATCGATGGTCCAGTGTGCTTTGTTTACCGCCGGTGTGCGGATGGGATACATACCTCTTTTTTTTCTCTGTTCTCTCTTTTTTCTTTCGAAGCCAAGTTTGTTCTTCGCTGGTGGTCTGGACCATAGCCTGGAAAGTTAATACATTGCTCATGTAAATGAAACGAATTTAATGCTTTCCCGTCAAGTTAGTGGGTTATGGGTTAGTAAAGACTAGACAATTCAAATTGAATAGACATGAAACTGGTATTTTGTGCTTGAGTCCTTGTAGACTTGATCTGTCGCGTGTTGGGAGGGTTCGCGAATGTCGCTATAACCGGACATAGTAGTCTCGGATATGCATCCCAATGCATAGAGTAACTGCTCTGAAGTCCATGCACGATTCAAACTGGAATGATCCTCTGGAGAGAGAACTCAAGTCAAATGAAAGGAGAGAAAAGAAAGTCGAGCGAAAACCAGATGCGGGGGGATGCAGGGACCCGAGGCAGGCATGAACCCCCGACACCGAGGCCCATATGCCCGAGAATGTGACGATATCATCCGGGCATATGCCGCATACGCATTCTGTGCTTCCCCCTCCCTCTCTGTAGTAGGGAATGATGCGATTTTTGAAATCATCTCGACGTCACATCAGCCAAAGAATTAAAAAGAGAATTAGAAAAAAAAGGTTAGTAAATTAGTTAAACAAATTTCGCGGAGCCTTTGCCGTCCCGATCCCGGTTTCTGCCGATGGTTCCAATGTTGAGATTAGGCCTGATGTAGTTATAGATTTGTGTCATTTCATGTTGAAATAGTATGATATATCACCCAGCAGTGCGAACAGCATCAATTTTACGAGGTATAAAAACCAGACTATTAGTCTAGTTTCAGTCCAATGCACAATATATAGCTGTAATAGCACTTTTGAAATGAACATACGTCATTTTTGACCTTCTATATACTGTCGGGTGGATATCACCTAAGATTCGTCTTTTTTTCCTATAGTGTAAGCCAGGATACGTAAATCTTCGCGTTATTTTCTCCAAAGTAGTTGCGGCTAATATCTACTTCGCATGGTGAGTCGCCAACGCAATATGATGTCAAGCCTGTCTCTGGTTTCAATGTTATGCCTGGCTTTTCCGTCAGTGTCTCGAGGCAGTGTCTCAAGGCATAGACCAGACGAGACTACAGAGTACCCGAGACAAAACGAAGATGACTCTCCTAAATAGTGGTCAGGTCAAGATCAACCCCTTGAATATGCCACTAATATGAGCTTCATTCGCAGTTAGGGAATTCAAAAGTGACAATATCTACTCCGTGTCGATTGTCTGATTCGCTAGGGCCCCTCAGACAGCCAATAGAATGTCTCATTTTCACATTTAATTTGATTCTCCATCAAAGGAGGCTCTAGCTGACCACTGCACAGCTATCTAGGCCCAAATATGTTGTCGGCGCATAACTTTGGAACTTGAGGGCGCATATATTCTTACAAATGTTTATATAATGTAAAGAATGGCTCCAGACATTCTCCGTTCCTTCTCTTATTACGCGCAACTGGCCCCAACAAGATACACTTTTTCCAGAAAATATCGCAGACCATGGCTTTGGAAATTCCACCAATAAGTCAGTCAAGTATACAAAATGGCCCAAAGTGAAAGTTTTGGCTGATATGTTAGCAGATAATGCACAAGAAATTGATTTCTTGCTATTTAGTCCTTCCAGGAGCGAAGAGGCAGAAAATATTGATGTAACAGTTGTGAGAGAGCATGACTGTATGCCAATCTTTTGTTTCTATATGGACAGTCAACTGACTTCTTCATAGTCAACGACTATGCTTTTTTTAAGAACAGATCCAGGAGGAACTTCGTACAGACACGAGTACACCGAGAACTATTCTATAGTAAGAAATTCCCACGTGCGTGCTGGGGGTTATGACAGTGGCCCGCTAATCACATCAGAAAGCATCTTTTCTTCCGACACTCTTCATGACGTGAGGTCATACAATGGCAATGAGGATTTCGTTTCAAATCTAGGTTTGGACCTTAGAGGGCCTCGTCTCCAGTCATACCATTCCATTTCCCACGGCAAATAACGTTCGCGGTTTTTAGATAACACCATTTTGAAGCTTCCAAGGTTCCATTTCTTGTCGCTGACTTCTCCAAGATATACGTTACAATGCTGGAACTTCCAATCATTTACGAAGAGAACGTTATAAGCCTGTCGACCCTTGTCGTACCATAGATTCATATGAACGAAGGCCAAACATCATATACTATCGTTATGAGTTTGAAAAGAAACGCACAATTTGCCTACTTTCTGAGCGATGTCGGGAGTCAGGATTTGTTCCACCAAGAGACATGGCGATCATCGAAACCATCCAGTCAATCGAGAATGCCTCGAAGCAAAGGCATATGTCGCTTCACCCATTCTGGGTCCACTTCGTCATCATGTACTACATGACAAAATGGAGAGAAATTCCGCCGGAGAGATGCTCAAAAATACTGTTCGACATCGAAAAACAACTTCTCGATGGGTCTCTTATAAAAATGACAACAATCGAGGACTTTCAAAGGCATTTTCAAGACTTGCATGAAACATCCCGTACTATGATAACCCTACAGAGTTCCAACGAGTCTGTTGTTTCATTGATTGATAAAATTACTGGAGACACTTAGCAATTTTGAGGACGAGTTGTCTATCTTTGAAGAAAAGCCCATTGGCAGGCCACCCTCAAACCCACGGATCAGAGATGCATTTCTTTTTTTTAAAGGGATTTGTGAAGAAAGGCGCCGACTGTTGAACGCTCGCAGGCAAAGATCTCACAATCTCATTAAGCTGGTGAGGTCTACAAGTTACAAGTTATGTTCACAACTAATAGGTGTTTATAGCTTTACAACCTCACTGCCACGCGTGATGGCTTGGCATCCCTCGAGATAGCACGGCATAACACTGTAATGGTGAGGGAGACGAAAAGGGGTGGTGAGATAATGAAAACTATTGCGGTTCTTACAATGCTTTATCTCCCGGCATCCCTAGTATGCAGCTTATTTGGGTCGAACTTTTTCGCATTTGAATCAAATGGTGATAGCCCCCCATAATTCCTGGTCTCAAACAACATCTGGATTCTCTTTCTTGTTATGTTGTTGCTTTCAGCTCTTACAATTTGCATTTGGATGTTGTGGCAGAGGAGAATTTCGGCTAGAGGATAGTGGTACAAGGGAAGTAGGCAAAATGGATCCGTAACTTCGGGATAAGGATTGGCTCTAAGGGTCGGGCTCGCTGGGCCTTGGGGGGAACCTCCTGGAGCAGTAGGGCACTAGCCGGGCAACCGGCCAGCTAGTGCCCAATTCTTTGTAGTACGCACAGACAATATATACATAGAGGAGCGTTTTCCATCCTTACCCATCCATTTATCACAGTAACTAACATGCACAACAAACACAACAATCACAAGGACACCAATCGAGAAATGGTTTACCACTATCATCTCCACCACCTCGCAGGCTCATTTGCATTTGTTCCTGGTTGGGCTGGTCTGGTTAGCGAGTTATCTCCTAGTAATATCTAGTAATATATGAGAGTTGATCGCTAGAGGAATACATACAGGCTTGGTCACCACCTCTTCCTGATTGGGGGCGGCAGGGCTGGAGGGTTGCTCCATAGTAAGGGTGTTAGGGTTCCAGGTGGACTGGGGGATACCTTCCTCTTTTGAGGACTTGAACCAGGAGAAGTTGAACATGGTAGTGGAATAGGATGAAGTGGGAGAGCCTGAAAGGTTTTTCTTTTTGTTTTTTTTTAGAAAAGAAGGAAGGATGAATGGATGAATGGATGGGGGATCTTTAGTTATATTGTTAGCTGTGGATCAAGTATATATTCAGCCCATGATCGTGCCAAGCGCCTAACACACATTCTCTGTGTTGGTACGCCCCACTCAATTCGATAATTCCGACTCAACGATAAATTCTTTAACAACAATTGCATTTAAATAGTATCTAAAGGTAATCCCTAGTAGGATCTATATACCAATTTCTGCCTCCACTATCTCTTGCCGCCATTGAAGCTTCGTGTTCAGCCTCAGCTAAATCTCTGGCTTTTTGGGCTTGCTGTTTGCTTCCAAATTCTTGGCATCTTTCACCGGTAACCGCTTCAACTTTTTAAGAATCAGCTTCTCGCCTATTCACCATCTTCCTACTTCGTATTCAGGTTCCAGTTGACAGGGGTCTTATGTAATACCAAGCCAGGGTACCCACACTTAATTCGTGACCGGTGACCTCTACCAAGTCATAAACTTGACACGGGTTACCGCTCGTCCGCTGGACTGGTATCGACACATCACATCTCGCTCATCACGCCCAGTTTTGGCTATCTTATGGCAAGCCTAGGCAATGAATTAGATCTCCCACGGCAATCCGGTTGCGGTCAATTCCCATACCTTCAGGTGTCAATTTCCCGGCTGCAACGCCAGCTACCGGCGTAAGGAGCACCTGCACTGCCACGAAGGAAAACACTTTTAGCAGCAGGCTTTTCATGTTCCAATTGTGGTCGAGAATTTGGACGAAGGTATCTAGCTTCTTCGTATACTAGTTCTCGCAAACACCCACTCTACCTCATCTTGAATCAGCGATACACTTCGACGTCATGTCCGTCAGCGTTATGGAATAATTGAACCCCTCAAGCGTGCACAGCGAGCTTGTGAGAGCTATTATGCAGGGAAATCTCGGTGCGAAGGAGGTGTGCCTTGTGATGAGTGTGAAAGAAATCACATAAAACCAAAGACCGGAATATAAATCACTTCAAATCAAACAAAACACAAATATTTTCAGAAAATAAGCATGTAAACAGACCCTATTTGTACTGGCTCCTGTTAAGATGACTCGGAATTTCTGTACCATAAGAAATCCGAAAAGAAAACACCCGCAACTCCCCCAGCAAAGCCTTGTGATAAAGCGATGAATTTGTTCACCAGAGCCATCACCCATATATGTTCGTTAATTCTCATACGCATACCTATACCCAATTAAATCGCAATCTACGAGTCAGTTAGTCGTGATAAGAACCCCACATCCTATTTAGATAGTATAGGAAAGAGTCATCCCGTTAGGGTGCGGGTGGTCCAGCGATCCCGTACGGAAAGACAGGGACTTTTATTGGATAGAGACTATGTAGTACTTCTAGGTATAGCGATAGGACATGTTATATATGCGCAATACCATAGGCATCTATAGGGCATTGAAGGTTGGGGTATACCATAGCTAATAGCCGGTGTAGCGTAGTCGATAGTTCTAGAAACAATTTCCTTGCCTAAAGCATAGAAGCCAATTTTGAATATAGCTATACACATTATTATCTATAAGACGATTCTAGATGCTAGAGCTAGTGGAAGCCTAGCTGAGCAAGAAACGGTGAGTTTCCAGTCTACGCTTGCGGAATAACAGACACTGCCCGTTAAAATTCTAGCTATATACGTGCATATACTACCTTCGCCAACCTGCTGTGACCAATTAAAAACGGTTAAGGCGTTTTTTTGTGAAATTAGCTCCCCCTTCAGCTTTTCTATTGGTTCCGCGGTGTCTGTGTGAAGAACCATCTACTTTTAAGTACATAGAAATGACTCTACCAGGCTCATTGCTCTCGACTGTGAATTTCTAAAACATTGATTGACTAACCATTTCTACCACGAATTCAGGACCCCCGAGGCTGGGTCTATGGATATTTAGATTCAAATCCTTCAAGCCAATATTACTGCATTCTCCGTACTTACAACAATAAGTGGCCCGACGTCATTATAATGACCACCTTCACGGAAACGTCACTGAGCCTACGACAAATTTTGAGTACCCTTTAGCACGTCCAATTTATCAATCTATCTAAAAGTCTGATCTATGGTCCCCAACAACAAGTAAATGATAGAACTGGGATTGAAGACTAATATCCTCTAAGCAGCACAACCGCGTTCGAAATATAGTACATAACATAATAAGTAAGTAGAATTAGGAGTAACGATATCATGCCACCCACCAGAGTTAATTCCACTTTTCTTAGTATGTACGATCCAGTATCAGTGGGCGAAACGATGCACAAACCAAATTCTTGGCCAACACCAAGCACTCCTAGGGGACCTATAACCTATAAACGAGGAAGATTTAGTATTCCTAATACCAGGAAGTGCCTAGAATTTACAACCATTTCCTTATAATAGTTCATGGGATGTTGTAAGGCTTGATAATGAGATATATAGACTAGGTGAGACCAAATTGTGGATATTAACAGTTCATTAAGCACAGCCAAACTAGAAAGACGGCTATAATAGATACCTTTAACTCAGGGGTTGCTGACTCGGAGGGTGTTAAAGTGGGTCAAATGCATGGCCAGTCCTAAAAATACGTAACTACTAACATATATGCATTTTCGTTAGACGATTCTTTCGGGAAATGGGAATGCTAAGCTACCTTCATGTGGGCTCTAAACGTATATCTAAAGAAGGCTTCTACAGTAGCCCCGACGTTCTTTATAGTCTCCACTACCTAAATGCGATCCGAAAACATTTAGACTTCGAATACTATGTAGACTCTATAACGACCCTACTAGAATATCGCCAGATACACATTAACCATTGCGTAGATCATCTTCGATAGGCGTTACTTTGCCACGGCGATCTTATACCAGTCACTATGAAGCCTATTGCCGCGAACAATTCTTTGCCGTGTTCAGTCACATTTTGTCTTAGACACACTGAGCGTGAATATACCTGTCGGAGTACGGAAGCTATTAGAAATTGGGTTACTGCACGTGGGCAGCGAACGGGGCGTAGAATAGCACCTATGCCAATTCGCACTCGATAAGACTCTCAACTCCTTTCTGGGCGCTCCAAATCTTCGTGATCTTCAACCCAGCAGATCCCACCAGCTGGTGCCAGTGAGCTTCAGTCCGCTCGGTGGAAGCGAAATCAGCCATCATGATAATATCCAGACTGGTTGTCTCCCAGTATGCGTTGGTATCAGGGATGACGTTCTCGTTAATCAGCACCTTGCTGTGTCCGCGCTTCATGGCATCCACGAGACCCTTCAAGATCTTGCGGCAGTTATCATCTGTCCAGTCGTGGAGGACAGAGTGCATATAGTAAGCGCGAGCACCTATAGAAGAAAAGATTAGGGCTTTGACCTGAGTTAAGAGGGGGTTATCAAGTGGAAACTATACCCTTAATAGGCTGCTCAGTGAAGAAGTCATGCTCCATTGTCTCGATCGAGGGGTGAAGTTGCCCTGTCTTAGCTTGAGCGACCACCTCGGGAAGATCCTGGAGCACCAGGCGTCCAGGAGCATCAGACCACTTGCGCCTAAGCTCCGAGAGATCGTGGCCCATACTGCCGCCGACATCGACGAGGAGAACATCATCCTGTGCGACATTGGAAAACAGGCTGGGCACGTCGTAGAAACCAACATCCATCCAGCTAGGGCGTCCTTGGTGGTAGACAGACATGTGGTTGTTAAACTGGCTAGCGGCCTCTGGGTTCTCTTTCATGAACTCGAAGAAGTGAAGATCAGTTCGGAATCCGCGCTGGAAGGCGCACTCCTTGCCGTTAGCTGGGTTGGCATAGCCGTCCTTCTTGAGCTGGGCAGGTAAAGCAAGTATACCAGAGGTGATGCAGTTAGTCCTAACCAATGAGTTAGTCTTATACTTTTTGATTCTTGGTCCACAAACTCAGACTTACATGCAAGGGTATGCATCATTGTATCGTTGCGAGCTCAACGAAATGGAAATTCCAGTGCGGCGGTATTCATTAGGCCCGGTCTCAAGGATAACTCCCATTGCGCACAAGTGCTTCAGGATACGAGCTGATTGGATATTAGTTAGTTAGGTGTACAGACAAGGCACGGGGAGAGATGGTAAATTACATACCAAGAAGAACTGGGTCAGCACCTGTGGCCTTGGCCAGCTCGGCGGCTGACTTGGGTTTCTCATCCTTAGACAAAATAGCAAAAAGTCCCAGATCAACGCCTGTCTCCACAGAAGCATAAAGAGTAGACTATGAAGGCAATATTAGTTGCCGCCAATGATACAAAGATAAAGCTTTACAAGCCGGGGAACTTACCTGGGACCAACAGTATCTGATCATAGCCTCACGTGGGGTCTCAAGTGCATAGACCAGGGATCGAGCGGCTTCCAAAAGCGTTGTTCGATCAGTGTGGTCTTGCAGGCTGGCAACTTTGCCAAGGGAAGCAACTTGATCGACCAAGCCAGGAACCAGCTCGGGTGTGTTAGCGGAAGTTGCTACGCGGTCGACGAAGGCGTCCTGGAGCTCTCCGTTGGTCTGGCATTCTTTGTTTGCATTATTTACGCCGTTCGTGTGCGAGTCCCCGTTAGCGTAGGCGGTTTTATTCAATGTAAGGCTTGCAATGTCGGCCATTGTGTATTGTAATATAAATAAGCTTGAAAGTGCAGAAGAACGTGAAGATATGTACAAGCCAAAAGTACTCCAGACTACAGGGGCCTTTAAGTAAACTACATTCACTATCTATCCATCCCCTTTCTTGGAATACGCTGTAGTTACTGTCTCCTTTTCTTTGAATAAAGCTACATCCGCTGAGAAACGGTTGGACCGGGTGCAATCATGCGGGTCCGCTGTCATGAGATCGGCCAGAATTAATTCCACTTGGGCCCTGTGGACTCCTTGTATTTCCAGAGTTGGGGGCCAAAGGAAGTGGAGACTCGGTAGCTCAACGGTGTTCCTATTCGGGCAATAGACTAGCGGATTGTCTTTAACGGCTCGTTCGACGCTAAGTTACTCGATACGGAGTTCTCCAAACTCAGTACCCCGTATGTACATAATAGTAAAAGGGAATCAAATTAAAATTAGATGATGAGTGTGCCAGGGACTTAGTCCAATTGGCACGGCAAAAGATTAACTACCTATGTTGTACTATCTGCCTCTATAGTTGAGCTCGAGTGCCGAGCCGGCAGGGTGAGCCGTACCCTAGAAAGCTCCCGGGCCCCTCGGGCCCCGGCCCCCGGTGGGTCATTATATATCACTTGGATTATCACTAGGGCAAAGATTTTGAGAGAACCGGCTGAATGGATAGAAATATATTGATATCCACTGATATTCACGCCAAATCCCGTAAAACGAGGTAACGGGTCAGTGGCGCATTTCCAGCCCATGTAGGTTTCGCTTTTTACGGAGTACTCTATGCTCTGTACTCCTTACAAAGTATATTCCATGATGTACTTGGTACTTTTGTCTATTTTCAACTTGGGATTTGGGGAAGACCCACGGGGCGAACTGGTCCACCGACTCTCTTCGTATTATGTTGTAGAGCTAGTTTATGGGACTATTAAATCTCGGTTGGATTCTTAGTACAGAGTACAATATTTAGAACCTACAACCTATGATCTAGACTACACAATTCAATTGTTTCTTTTTAGACTATCTGGGTTAGATGTCAAGACTAACAACCCAGTTATTCGACATCAAGGCAGTATAGTATGTGCGGAGTACCAGGGCTATTTTTACGATCTAGGTCCGTCCACCGGCTATCGAGAGGGGGCCATCCGGGACTTTTCCTGTCATTTCTTTTAGTGGCATCGACTAACTGGCTAGTGCGACAAGAGCTTCATACCCCTATATGACTAAAAGTGGACTGATTACCTACAATATTGTAGGTAAACCTTAGCCTCGGAGATTAGCCGCGGAGCAGTGGCATTGTGTTTGTAAAGGATGAACACCGTGGCTTGCCAAAATAGGGCGATCGCCGCAGCTAAAAACTTGAAGGAATTCCCGTTTAATAGACTTCCAGGAATAATAGCTGCTTGGATCATTGCACACCTAAATCAATATTGTCCCTACATCCGCGTATTTCATGTCAATCGTTATGTGCTAGTGTTAATTTTAGCAGACCCTTTCCCGTAGGGCTTTATATAAACTAACGGGTCGCACTTTCTCAAACTTTCTAGCTTTTTCCGCATCAAGCTTAACATAATGGCGGTTACCGCTGAAAATCTTCACGATGACAAGGGTCCTAAGATCCTGGCTGTTCTATGGACCTTGACTGGACTAACAACCGTCATGGTCATAGCTAGAGTCTATATCCGGCTCAAGCTGCTGCGGAACTTTGGTATGGATGATTATTTGATTGTGGCTTCCATGGTAAGACACTCCGAGCTTTGTCTTCTCTGCCTGAATCTAACTGGAACTTGTGTACTAGATAATGGGGCTCGCATACTGCGCAGTCTCTACAGCAGGCGTGAGTGTGGGCTACGGAAAACATGCCATGTACTTGAGTATGGACAACCTAGAAATGGCCATTCTACTCAACACAGTCAGCTTTTTGTTCGGGATTCTCTCTTTCACTCTTCCCAAGATTGCCGTGACGTCTATGTTGACCCGGATCTTGAATCCCAAGCCATTGCATAAGACTATATTGTGGATGATGGTTGGAACCGCAGCTGCCGTGTCCATTATCTGCATTTTGATCTTGTTCACAATGTGCGATCCGGCAGAGGCATTGTGGACGCCCAAACTTGTCGCAGCAGGCGCTAAGTGCAAGAGTACAACGATGCTCATTGACTATGCTATCTTCACTGGAGGTAGGTCTCATGCCCTTCAGACATATGCACCTCTCAGAATTAACCCCGTACTTCTAGCTCTCTCGGCTTTTGTTGATCTATCTCTGGCCATTTATCCGACCACCGTCTTGTTGAAACTCCAAATGTCTCTACGAAAGAGACTTGCGCTATGTGCTGCTTTAGGGCTTGGTGGAATGTAAGTAGATACCTCTCCAACTCGTGCAATACTGCCCAGAAACTGACTGGAGTGGTGATAAAGTGCTTCTGCGATGGCGATTATCAAGTGTACCCAGCTTCATGGACTCGCCGACAAATCCGACTACACATGTGAGTCTTTCTATTATCCCTGTAATCCCTCTAGCTACAACCAAAGACTGACCAAACAAAAGACGGAACTGCCGACCTTGTCATGTGGACCAAGTAAGCATCTCCCATCTGATCTTCTTGTTATGCGACCTAACCCTTTCTTCTCCGTCTAGTATTGAAGCCGACGTCGTCGTTATAGCATCGTGCATCCCCACCTTACAACCGCTCCTCGAAATCATTCTCGGCAAACGAGCCCTGGGCTCCTACAGTCAAGGAAAGAGCGATCAGCTCAAAAACAGCAGCAATTTCCCCTCATTCCATCGCTCCAAGCAGTCAAAAACGCACGACGACCTCGGCTTCACCAACATCGACAACCAAGAGAGTCAAGAAAGCATCCTTCCCACCGATGACCAGGGAAAAAATAGCCACCCTCTGGGACGTATCCACCGCAAAGATGATGTGACTATAGAATACGAATCATCCCCACCAAAATCAGGGCCGGGATATACTTCTTGGTGAAGACGCATCGCGAGGCTGAGCTCCCAGCTCCCCCCCGAAAAGCAACATGGACAATTGAATTGACCATACAACCAACCACCTTGGCCCATCGAATAATGCATCCCATGAAGAGCATTTTGCTGATGGGCGTTGCATTTTCTGCGCAGATTAGTGTCCACCGGTTGCGCACACCCCTTTGGCGGATTTCTTTCCCATTTTCAAATGTATATATTATGTATTACTTATGCCGAACGCTTGGATTGGAAACTGGGAAATATACTCTCTTCCCAAACGTATAAAAGCTTGGAATAGATTAATATATAGCATACAACACGACCTATTGTTGGATGATCCCATCTCCCATGGATGCCTGTTTCTACATGCCTTGCTTGCTTGCAGACTGAGCTTGTTTGTCAGTTTCAGGGTATAGATAACCCCCTGCTTTTGCTAGATTGAATAAATCATAACTCTTCCTTCTCTCTCCTCTCTCTCGCAGCTAGTGCTTGCAGCCACAAGACCTATAAATATGGCTTCTCATAGCGTAAATACGAAGCGGTTTACAGAGACATATATTGGAAACTGACATGATCTCATCGAGTAAACGAAAATGACCCGGGACTGGCTATGAAAATGCTGGTATGAAATGAATGTCTTGAACGAGGCAATGTAAAGTCATGATAATAAGAAATTCGCAACAAATGAAAGCATCACGCTACGCTGCCGCCTCTTCATGCAAATTCATCAGGTCGTAAATCATTAATGTAAGTCGTTCATGGCCGCAGATCAAAATGAAGACTGTCAACCAAGAAGCCATTAGTAACCAGAGTCCTCCACAAACCCGTTCCCATCAATGGTCTCAAAGTCAGTGGTCTGGTTCTCATAGCGATACATTGCATTTGGTTGAAATTGATGCCAGCAGCTAAACCAAGTCAGTATTCAGTCGCACACGAGACAAGATATATCAACTAACCTTGGAGCTTGAAGCACGTATCTGGCCATTGCCTCACGGAAACGGCCCTTGTATTCCCTGGGACTTGTGACCGTTGGTCGATTGCGGCCACCGCCTCCAAATCCTTTGTCCTTGATCCAGGACTCGAGTTTTTTGTCCCAGGTGTAGGTGCGAATGCAGTCAATGATACCTACCACCAGTTCGTTGCGGCTTTCATCGATGGCGATCATGAGCGAGTAGTCCATGACATCTTGGCGACCCAAGAAGAGTGTGTCGTTCCATACACTTTGGCCAAGAAGCTTCTTTGAGTGCTCGCGGGCAAAGAGAGGTGTCTCATAGATGAAATCCACCATGTTTTCGTCCAAGAGAACCTCGTCCCGTTCACCAGTGCTTTCTACTTTGCGGTTTCGCATTGAGCCTTTCAGGTCGAAGATGCGCGTAGGGACACGGTCGTAGAACAAGTTCTCCATTAGCAACAAGAACCAATTGAACTCTGTTCCTGTGACTGGGTTCTTGATGATGACTTGGTAAAAGCCGAACATCTTGGCGATTGCGGAAGGGAGTTCATGGAACAGGGCTTCGGACATGATTTGGAAATAGGCTGGGGCAAATTTGAGGAAAGCCTGCGTCTCAATCGGTGAAAGTGACTTGAGAATGAACCGGTCGTCAAGGGTTTTTAGGAACAACGATTTTGTCTTGCCACCCTTTGAGTCCCACTTTGCGCACCGAGACAACGACTCGACGATTCGATCTGCCACACCACACTTTTTACGCAGAGCATCAAACTGCTCGGCATAGAACACTTTGCACAGCATCTTGGCCTGACCTTCTTGGAATTGATACTTGAGGTGTGTGCCCGTAGGTCGCAAGAGAGCATGCTCGACCCGTGCTTCCTTCGCAGCCTCGATGTCATCTCCGGCGTCTGGTTTGTGTTTTTCCATCTCGTCAAACCGCTGTTGAATGCTTGAAAGTTTTTCTTTGTAGTCGGAAGAGTCCAAAGCGAACGCTACCAAAGAGCTTGGTTCATCCTCGCGAACAATGATATTGCAATCAGCAAAGACATGATCCATGACACTGAGTGGATAGTCAAGAGACGCCCACCCACTTGCGGAACGTTCAGACCAGAAGTTCGTCAGCATTTTCAAAAGCGTGGTGCGCTCATGTTTAGGGAGTTCTTTGAAATCAATTGAATCGTCCTCTGGTGAGTGTTTGGTCTCTTCATGGGAGTCTACCGGATGTAGATCTTCAACCATGTTTTGATCCTCATCACTTTGGTGATCATCTGCTTCGCCACCAGACAATAGTTGATTGTCAGGACAGAGTGCACTTTCTACTTCCATGGGCCCTGGAGGAGAAACATTTGACAGAGAGGGCTCATGATGAGTTATATGGTCATGCGTAAGTTCATCGCTCTTGTGACTCATGTCGTCCATTGGGATCCGTGGAGCCGAGGGCAAAGATTCATCACTATCAACCGGTGGTTCACGTTCTTCAACAGCTTCTCGTACATTTCGATAGACCTCCACGATGGGCTTCGAGGACGCTAATGGGAATGCTCGGGACTGAGTGCCCTTGGCAGCGCGTTGGCGTCTTTCGCGCTGTCTCTCCTTTTCGAACTCACGACTCAATTGTTCAAAATGCCTGGCGAGATGAGAAACCTGCGATATTCCCTTTTTACCTTGAGCAGACCGTGGAATAAGCGAGTGACCCGATGCAAATCGGGCACTCTTGAGGGAACTCAAGCCCAAACGATCGCTCAGCTTTCTATCCGATGACTTTGTTGGTGATTGGGGTGCAGGTTTTTCCGGATCGATTGGGTTAGTGAACGCCATTTTCAACACTGGAAGTTGAATGCTGTGAGATGATCGTGGTAGAATGGCTGGCTGAGACTGGGTACGCAAAAGCGGAGGAGACCGTACCTTACTGGTCCTTCGAAAGGCTGGCTCGGTAGGTCTCGGTATCGCTGAAGGCCGACGTACTGGGGTACTTGGAATATCAGCCCCGCTCTCTTCGGTTCCATTCTTGGTTCCTTGATCGGGAATCTCAGAAATTTCCGGTGGTGGTGATTCCGATGATCCGTCGCCGGGGATCATCACAGGAAGATCAGTGTTGATGGGAGATTGATTCGAAATGCCAGCATGGCCGACGGAGCTACGTTCCGATTGACCAGTAGGAACAGCCAAGTCGAGATGACGGACTTCTTCTTGTGAGACAGCCTCATCCTGGGGAGAGGACCTTGTTCCGGCTCCATCGACTGAAAAAGTTGCTTCCTCGGCCGACGCTGGAGGCGAGGGCAACTTGACTTCTTGGAGTTCCTCGCGGTGCATTTTGCCAGCGTGCTCCTCGACAACCGAGACCAGTACATTCTGTGCCTTTTCCGGCGAAAGGGTCATGCGTCGCATCATCCGTGGTCTGTCAACTGCCTGGTTGTTTTCATCTTCAACATCCGTAGGAGTTTGAAGGGCATCATCTGTAGAAACTGATGTTGCATCTTTGTCGAGGAAGATCTTCTTGAGTTGCAGCGTTGCCATATGCTTGATATCCTTCTCAGATGGGAAAAAGTTCATTTCAAAGTCGGCAAATGTCATGTCCCATTCGACAACCTTTTCTTGAACTGCACGGAGGACCTCATTCAGCGGTATGATCTCCCAGTAGCGAGAACTTGTGTATTTGTCTTGTAAGTGCCGGACCAAAGAGCTATGGTCTTCATGAGCCTTCTTGATCAAAGTCTCGATTTCCGTTTTGCAGCTCTCCAGCAGCTCGGGAACAACACTCTCGACATTGATGCTTTTCAATCGATCTTGAACAGACGCCATAAATTTGCCGAGACGTTGCTCGGTACGTAAATATACTTCGTTCCTCAGCTTCAGATCGTTATCCACCTTCCAAGTGACACGAGGCCGTGGAACGATAATTTCGAGAAGACGAATAGGGTCATATTGGACTCGCAAAGCAAGATCCCTGTAGCCAAAATAGTGGAGGTAATCCCGCCGCAGATCATGAGAGCAACCTCCAGTACGAGCAAGCAAGTGTCTGCCCCAGAAAGACAGCTCTAAGTATTTTCCGAACGAATATTTCCATGTGCTCGCCGACATAGGCATGACCTGAGTTTCATTGCCGCAAACTTTGCAACAGCTCCACATCAGCACGGTATTGTGGAGCCCACGGAGCTTAGAAGGATAAGGCTGGACCAGGACGCTGATCTGAGCCTCGCCATGGACGTACTGGCGGTGGTGTTCGAACATGCGCTTCTCGCAGCCGTTGACGGTGCATACAGAATTTGCTGTGTGACAAAGGTCCTCGACATACTGCCCAATTGTGAGGTCAGACTCGAAGATAGTGTCATCTCCATGTTCATTGTAGAACTCCAGGGCAAAGGTATCTGGCCCTGAGCAGGGGACTGATGTTGTTGTGCACACGAGACTGTAGAGAATGACCAGATTCTGATGTGCATAAGGGTCAAACATGTTGGGATTCCCCGCCACATAGGCTTCCCACTGGCGTTTTTGGGTTTGATGGTGATAGAGCGCCCGATCGTACTCGGCTTCATGCGCAGCTCGCAATACTTCCTTGACTTTTGCCGGCGCATCTTGCGGTGATTGATGGACCATTTCCGGGGTGATGAGGACAAATTTCTGCGGTTTGACCTTTTCATCGGTGGTCTGATCAGAGTTGCGGTCTTGATCACGAAGAGACTTCAAATACGAAAGTCTGCGTTCCATTTCCCGCGCACGCGTCAGGAGATACGGAGCCTCGAATTTCACGAAAGGAGAGGCTGACAAAATCTTTGTCTCGTAATCATTAACCATATCGTTATAGTACGTCGGCATTGGAATGTTGTCTGGAACTTTTGCAGAATCGGCATCAACGAGAATTTGGCTATCAGAGATATCACCACGCTTCTCGTTTGTTCCCTGCTGAACAGTACCTGGGTCGACTAGATGTGTGTCGCCTTCGTGAGTGATAATCTGCGAGTTGAATTTGCTGTCTTTGTCGGGCACAATTGTTGATTCTTCCGTCGGTGAGGTTGATATTCTCCCGAATTCATCTCGCATAAGATTTGTTTCTAGGCGGAGATTGTACACAACGTAGATCATGAACTCAGTGATCCTTTTGACATTCCCGAGGACTTGTTCATCTCCTCCGCGCAAGATGATGGTACACCCGAGCTCTTTCGGACAGCCGGAGATGTACATATATGTTTTCTTTCGACCATTATGAACATAGGTTTTCACGTCGAAACTGCTGCATTCACTATGCAATGTGGTCGTCAATAGCTTGTCCATAGATGTCATAATTCTAGTCTGTGTGCATCTCGACACAGCCTCGAGAACAGATGGCTTCACGTTGTATGCAGTGGCAATTCCAGCTTGCTCGAGGAGGCCAAGAGCCAGGCCAGAAACAGTTTTCTCGACCAACAGCAGGTTTGGACGCAATGCTGAGATCCGACTGACCAAGTTCTCTAGAAACTCACGCTCTTGTCGAATGACAGGTTCGAGACTCATGAAATGTTGTTGTTGACGAGCGTATTCAAGAGGAAATGTGATGATCAAGATATTTGGACGTAAAATGTTTCGTGACATGCCTTTCAGGGCCAAATTTTTGGTGAAAACGAGTCCCGATACATAAGAAGTGTCACTAGGCCGGCCACCCGGAATCTTCTTCAATTTGACGTAGTGTCGAATGTCCATATCATCTCCTTTTTGGACATCTGGATCGACCTCGTCTGCTGCTTTCAAGAGTACTGGCATCAGGGCGTTTTCCCAGCTGTCGCCATTTGGCACAGCAGATTCTACAAGTAGTTGATGGAGAAGCTTTCGTACGTGTTCCAGACTGGCTTTGTTCAATTCCACCGGTGGTGCATCAGTGCCCCTCATTGATGAACTCCGAGTCATCTTGAACCCGCCCTGCTTTACGCTCTCGGGTAAAGATATGACTGGTACTGAGTTGTCATGAGAGAGCATATTGTCCTTTGATGTCCTGGGTGAATGGCGCGGTTGATAACTGCTAGTAACACTCAAGTTTCGACGACGAGAAAAACGAGGGAGATTCACGGCTCTTGAACTGGTGATACTGGCTTCGTCCGCATCGCGATTCATACTGGGACTACTCCGGTCTCCAAAAGCAGATCTGCCCTTTTTCATGGCAGCGAGAAGCCCACCAAAGGATGCCCTCTCATTTTCGCCCCCACTCTTGGACAGAGCGCCCTCAGAGACTGCAGACAAGAGACTAGGTTGCTCATCTCCACTGGATGCGTCATCCGAGAGGTATTGAGCAAGGTCAGGGTCAATGATATTATCTTTATGAAAGGCGGGGAGCCGGGATTCAGCGTCTATGTCATCTGGATGTCGGCGTTGGAAGGGAGCTCGATCTTCATGATATGGCTTGAAGCCCCGAATATACTGCTGACGAGAGTGGTGACGTTTGTGACTGATGGAGTGTGGTCTTCCACCCAGCGAGGAACGCAGAGAGCGCGAAGAGGTAGGTCGTGCTAGAGGGCGATCAGAATCGATTTCAAGAATTTCCGAGCGGCGGTTATGTCCCTCTCCAGCACGTCGTGTGGCTGGTATGGCCATCGTTGGCGTTCTTAGAACGTGATCGATCGATTGAGATACAACCGAAGATGAATCATCGTCATCCGCAGATGCCCGCCCAGTATTGGTCCAGCTGAATTCGGAAACCCGGGGATTGGCCACCATGGGGCTCTGCTCGCTATCGGAGAATTCAGATGAATCATCATCGTGCGCATTGATCATCTTCTCGCAGGGTTTGCAAACCCGAATACTCCCAGGTTGTCCGAACCGAGTTCCCGAAATAAGCAGAGTGCATTTCGAATCAAAGATTTGACCACAGGTTCGACAGTGGTGTTTTCTGCGAAATGTTGTGAAAGGTTCTCCGCAATGAAAGCAGTCTTTGGCATTCTCATCCCGCATCCAAAAATCCCTGCTCAGCAGCTTACTCCTTAGCTGCGACAAAACACCGTCGCCCCCAGCGGGAGGTTGGCGCCTGGCTTGTAGAGATTGACCAGTAGCCCGATCGAGATCGGTGTTCAAAGGAGGCAATGAAGAGACCGTTGTGGTAGTTTCGGCCGTGGAGGCCCGTGAAATCACGTAGCCAGGCAGTCGCGCTGCTCGGATTGCAGACGTTGACTCTTCATTGGGTCTGCCAGGGGCTGTAACCTTTGAAGCCTCATTGGAGTTGGCGCTGTCACGAGGAATAGCTGTCTCCATGTTGGTTGGGAGGTTTTCAGCATTGTACGGTACTGAATCATGAGAGGAAATCTTTGATAAACTATTTGACGCAGAAACTGAAGCTTTCGGTTCATCAGAAGGGAAAGATGTTCGTGGCTTTGATCTTTCTCCCGGGTGCTGAGGTATATGATCCTGAACTGGCTCAGATTGCTTAACATCTCGCATGTTAGCTGACAGAGTAAAGTTTTCGGGCAGCTTTTGTTGATCTAGAGTAGAGATGGACTTCCGAGACTGGTTGTCTGGAGTATGAGTTGCTGAGAAGTGTGAGTCTTTGGGATTGAATTCCTCATGATGGCTGTCATGCACCTTTGCAGACGAAATCGGCGAACTAGAATGGTTCTGGCTTGATGAAGTGGATGATTGACTCATGGAAAGATCCATAGGGCCTTCCTTGTTGCCGCTACTTGTCGATTCTGCATTATGGATTCCCTGGAAGGCGCTCCCCTGGAAGGGGCCATTAACGGAGCTGCTTCTTGATCGGTCGGGTTTCCCGAGTACATTCACATGAAGCTGAGTGACTGTAGGATCTGCCACAATGGCGCTACCAGTGGCTTTCGTTAATGGTGCGATACTGGGCTTGATTCCAGGGGACGGTGACACGGAGGCCTTGGAAGATATGCTGCCACTTTTGGAGGATATTCTTGATCTCTTTCCTAAGTTGGATTGTTGTACAAGATCTTGATTAGTGTGAGAGTCTGGCACAACAGGCGAGTGGAGCCTTGATCCTTGTGACGAGTTGGGCTGTGATGGCGCATAATCAGCGGAGCTTGTAGCCAGGTCGGAGACTGGTTTTGCCATCGAACGCTCCGACACAAGACTCTTGACTGCAGGAGTTTCTGTCGTATTTTTGTCTGTAGACTTTCCGCCACCGCTGACAATATCCCTCACCCCCCGACGGAAGTCCTAAAGCGACTATACAGACCGCTTAGTCCACCTTGTAATTCATCGGACAGTCCTTTCTCATCCGATGTAGCAGCTGGAGCTGGCGGACTAGTAAATTCGTTGAAGAGAGTGAGGGACTCGGACTGATACGCTGCATTATGGTAGTTATCCAGAGCTGCATTCATCGATTCTCGTTCGGTCTGAGTCGTGGCCATAGAGCTGCGTGATCCGCGTCGACCAAGAGGAAGCGAGTTGGAAGACACAGACGGACTGCGTGAGTCCTGAGACTGCTGAGAATCCATGGCCAAGTTAGGCAGAAAGGTCTCAGATCATCTCCGCACAAGATACAGGCACCGTCGATAGCCGGTCATCGGGGCAGAACTGCGGGAGGGTCTCGGGTTTGGCGAGTTTGGAAGAAGGAAGAGGATCGAAGGGCTGATAAAAGCAGATCAAAGAAACGTCTTTTAAAAAAAAGAATAGGTCCTTTGCCCTCCGCACTTTGAATGACGTGGTGGTGCTGAGTAAGCTAGGCGCGTCTCCCGAGCAGGTCGCAATCGATAAGACGCGGTTGAGTGGTGCACCTGGGCAGGTGGGTTCCAAGGTTTTTGATACGGTGCGACCTCTTTTTCTACAAACGCCAGGGCTACAAACATCTCATGCCCACTGCTTACTCTTACCAGCTATGACCTATATGCTGTGTACCACGTTGACTACAAGGCTGGATTCGCACGATGAATCCAGTAAGTCCCTGGATCGCAGCTTTGGCCGACCAATGTCTCTCATTTTACCTCGGTCAAAATGATCAAGATGAAGTCCAGGTGGAGGATATTGATGGATGCCTCAGCTTCAGTATCCGCAGGCCCACACTGAAGACAGCCGTTGTTGTATCGGTAAAATATCTCTAGCGAATGCAAGAATGAAAAAAAGAAGTGTTGCTAACTGTATGTCTTTTGTCTGTTAGTGGGGACAAGGAGAGAACAGTCATTGCGCCACATTTACAGACTCAAAGAACCAGATCGATGCGATTATTTTACGTGACTCGCCGGACGCACAGGGAGCAACATCACCCTGCCCACCGTCGATCAAAGGGGGCCCCAGGCACCTAGTTGAACTTTCCGATATCAAGCTTATTTTTACATACTCAGCATCCGCCCCGGATGTCTGCCTTCACGTCAATCGCTTTACCATCCATCAGAATGCGGTCTCAAAAGGGGATGTGCCGAAACCAAAGCTCAAGAAGACGCCATCTATCAGAACCCTGATGACTATGGCATGCGAGAAAATCCAAAAGACCCGAGGGCATGCTGGCTCCAATGGTCAAACAAATCCAGGATTGACCGACTCATTTGTTTCTCAGCGTGATCAAACTATGCCACCCAATCATTCCGAAAATAATTCGTTATCACAGTTGCTATTCTCCCAACCTCCAACTGATATGCGCTATGGCGCACCGAAGGGTAATCTGATGACCAATCGCGTTTCCCTCAATGGGTCATCGGATCTTCTGGGATTGCTCGCGCGTTCTAATCCTATTCAAACGAACGACACCCCCACTCCGTCTTATATCGAACAAGAGGTGGACAACCTCATAGCGGAGTGTAGGGATCGGATTGCGCAACCTCCAAATGAGCCGGATGATCATGGCCGGACTCATACTGTTGGAACGGGGGACAACCAGCAGTTTTCGAAGAAAAGACATCGTGGCAGTACAGATGCGCCGTCGCAAGCAGCTCACGATGATGACCTTGGTTCGCAAGGCCCGCAACGTCCAAATACATCACCCTCCAAAAAGCGACAGCGTATTGATGCTGGGGAGGTGATGCCGGCGGACCCAGCTGAATCCGAGAAAGTGCAAAACAAGCCTGTGCCGTCACTTCCTACGGTCCAGATCATAAGCACCAAAACGGACAGCGTGTGCCCATCCGTGACAAATCCATGGGAAGGAATGATCAAAATACCTTTTGGCGAAGTTGATATTCCAAAAGATCAGGCAGACCTGTTGGAGGGGCTCAAATGGATCCCTCAGGACCCTGGTGTATCTGCACCTCTATGCCATGTACCACCTCATCTTTTGACGAAGTGGAACAACATTGCACGAAGAAGACAACATTTGGCGGAAGAAGCACAAGAAGAAGAAGAAGTAGAAGAAGAGGATCAAGTATCTGAACGTGCCCTTACCCCGACCCCGCAAGATCCCTATACATCTCCCATACCATGGTCTCCGTCCCCCAATAGGGCCCCTGCTCGAGATATTCTTCCACGGGACACCGCTTCTCCCCCAAGATACAGAAGGCCTATCAGAAAAACTCCTACGCCAAGCGGTACTCAACATAGCGTTGATCGATCTGCAGAAGGTGGCGTTGTGGGCGTGGTGAACGGCTCTTGCAGTGCTCCTTCTCATCCAAGGCAGGAGGATATCGTCTCGTCAAACGACGATATCAACACAGCAGACCAACAATGTTCTCCATCTCCCGAGGAAGTAACGACAAAACCGAGAAACCCAGTGTCTTTGGACCACGATCCTAGCGATGGCCCATCCCCAAAGCCCAACGCTTCAAAATCGCTCGATGTGGCCAATGACCAACCCCCAAGTCCAACACAGGAAGATTCTAATTATGAACCACCCGCGGAAATCCCCTCATTTAAATCCGAATTGCTTATTGAATCAAGTGGGGATGAGAGTGACGAGCCAGAGATGGAAACATATGTTCCTTTCGCTCTAGGTGGAAGCCTTCCATTAAGCAGTCAACCTGAGCAGGAACTTACTAGCTCGGGGCCGTCGCTTCCAAGATTTGTAGGGGGCACCATCCAAGTGGTGGAGACACCTGCAGTCTATGCCACACGTCTAAATCCCGAGAAGCAAATCAAACAGAGAGCTGGATTTCAGCTCCCGAGCTCTCAACAGCCATGTTCTCAGGCCGCCAAGACATCCCCCTCGTCTCGAATTCTCAATACCTACCGCTCGCAAGATAGCCACGGACACAGTGACTTATCCCAGGAGGCACCAAATCCATCTTTGCCGCTATTGGAAGATCAATCACTGTGCGTAGATGTGCTATGTACGCAGACGAGCAGCGTACATGCACCCTCACAGGCCACAGTCCAGTCGTCCTCGGACGTTGTTTTGGATTCATCGAGACCTGTTCAACGACAGCGTGGGTCATCTATCTTCCATTTAGACCCCTCAGACGACCCATCATATTTTCCTCATGCCAGCTGTCACTCGCTGCCTATGTCTCAACTTCATGAACCAAGCCAAGATTCTTCGAGAGGACCCTTTTCCCTCGACGGAGCCTCGCAATTGCCGGAATTGTCCCCTTTGGAATTCACCACTTGGGTCGCTGCCCACGGAGAATCACCATCGAAATGTTCACGCCCTCCGCGCTGCGAGAGTGTTGATACTGGCCAAAAGGCATCTCACAGTCCAAATATCGAGTTGGTAGCACGACGACAGGGCTTTATCGGCAAGTCAGACAAGTACGCTGAAGCACAGACAATCTATGAAAAGTTCTGCAATGATTATTCACCGTATTCTGGTGATTTCGCTCACTTCACTGAGATGTGCTCGAAACTGCAGATAATGCGGCAAAAGGGCCAACTGCAACGATCGTTTCTATGGGATGACTTTGTCATCCAACACCTGGAGGAATACCCACTCTATTTTGCAGAGCGCACACAAGAGTCGAAGACACTGAATTACGAAGATTTCTTTTGCTCGAGATTCTCACGCCCCCAACACAAAAAGAGAAGCCTAACAGCTCACGGAGTTGACATAGTCGCCTCTCAGTTTGTTCCACCTACCAGTGCCGAGCTAGGAAACCCGCCGGTTCCACATCAAGTAACAATCCAAGGCGAGGTAACCAAGGATAAAGCGATGCAAAGCGAAGTGGCCAACGCTTCCTTCACAGCCAGTCTTGTCGAAAAACTCTCACACCTCCATGCTCACTCCTTTGGTGATGTTCCTGTTCCGGATGTCCACACGCCCACTGCAACGCAGTCATCGCCATCCTCCTCTGCTGGCACCGGCTCGGGTTCGGTGGAGGTCAAAATCGAAGCAGATGATTCTTTCAATGAACCGATTGGCTCCCAAATTATCACGAGCAGCAATGATCAAAAGCCTATGCCCTTCAGTCATGATGAAGAGATGGTCGATGCAACGCAATACGACACCGATAACATTCGCATTGCGCCTGATCCGAACGACGTTGACATGGCCGAAACCGGCATGGACGAAATTGATGAGACACAGGAAGCAGATGACACTCACCATGAAACTGCCAGCATTGAACTTGGCGATGACACTGACGATCGCCGCATATCTACCTCTCCCGCGCCGCCCGTGGCCCTGGGTTCTCTAAATAATGCCGAGCCCGAGCCACTAAGGCAACGAAGACCCTGGTTCCGATCTCTTCGGAAAATATTCCCCACAGGTCCTGTGTGGTCTGACGACCCCGATACGCCGTTCAAGCGCTGGGCTCGACAAGACCAGAACGTTCTTCAGGAACTTCATCGTCGCGGTGGAGCTAGGGTTCTAACTGATGAGAAGGGGGTCATTCGACGGCCCACCTACAACCAAGAGAAGAACCCTGGTCCCTAGCGATGGTATTGCTCACACACCTTCCATTCAACAATTGTATTTCTATTTTTTTACCGGCCAGTGGCTGGCTCAGCGCAACGGCAAGGAGTATGCATAACGGCAGATACCATTTCATTTCATGCTTACTCGAGCAAAAGGAAACAAAATATCGGATGGTGTACTATCTTATTTTTCAGATTCACCTTTTGTGTATTTTTTTTGTACATTATCTCTAACAACCTAGCCCCTAGATGTTAAACCAGAAGACCCAAGTCCTGAAACCCCTTTTCTATCACTAGTGACAATACTCCGTACCAACCATGATAATTCACTAAATCCTAATCATACGCGTGTTTCATAAATGTGAAAAGCAAAAAGATTCCTCCAATCGGTTTTTTTTATTCCTAAACTCCTCGTGGGGCCCCAACGCCTCTGACAGCATCAAGCATCGGTGCAAAGATATCGAAGTAGAGATCGGCAGCAATCCACCAGGCTCAGGCCTTGCTGCAGATCCTAGATTTGGCCCCTGAGGCCCCCGAGGCTCGCAAGGGCCACTGTCTCATTTCACGATGGTGTTTGAGCTATTTGTACCCACAGAGAAGAAAGGAGCCTCGTGGGGTAGGATGAGTTTGCGAGGCTAGAGGAACTATCACTATCTACGATATACATACTCCGTACATACAAACTACGTCAGTAGGAGTGGGATTGGGGACTGAGGGATTTAGAGATTTGGAGTTTTTTGGTTGTTGGCGGTTTATGTTGTCATGCACTGATTGGAAAAATTAGGTTCTACGAAATTGGAGATATTGAAGAGCCAGCTGTTGTTCGTAGATGGATTTTTTATTGGATCGATTTGCAGGCAGATAGATACTAATGATTCCTCCGTGGAGGATCGAAGAAATATACAAAAATGCAAATGTTTCCTCCCATGGAGACCATAGCCTCGCTATGCAAAATGGCATGATGATCATCAAAAATTCAGGAAAAGGACATGGACATTAAAGCATGCAAAATACCACGAGAACGCCTTGATATAGCCAGTCTAAAATCGCTTCAGAAAAGTCATAAAAAGCCCGCAATATTTTTAGGCATGACGGAAGGGCTCGTAGGCGCTTGCCTGCTGGTTGTTGTGGGTCATGGGGATATCATTTTTGTGGGTGGGGGGAGGAGGGTAGGAGGTGCTGTAACCGTGCTGGGGAGCATGGGGCTGCTGAGAACCGAAGGGAGGGTGGGCGGCACCGATGGGCTCATAGGTGTAGGGAGCCTTCTCTGCAGTGATGCTGCCGCGGGTGTTGTGGCGGTCCTTGTGGCTGTAGGGCGAGCGGCCGGAGCAGCAGCAGGTGCTGAACATCCAGAAGATGGTGGCTCCCAGAGAGAAAGCGACCGCGAGCCAAGTAGCGACGTAGATGTTCTTGCCCAGGTCTACCTCGACACCATAGACCTTGAGGGCTGTGCCGAGGGAGCCCTTTGCGATGGAGAACATGATGCTCGAGGTGAGCGATGCGCCGAGAGTGAAGAGGAACGAAACAATCGAGACGATAGTGGTGACACAGCTGCCCCAGCGGCTGAAGATGGCGAAGATACCAAGCAGGACCTGGGCGCAGGTGGCAATAAAGGCGACTAGGTAGGCAATGAACATCCATTTGGAGACGGCCTTGTAAATGTTCATGGTTTTCTTCACGCCGCTGCCGAGCTCCTTCTCAAGCTGGGACTCGCTCATGCCCAGGATTGAAGATGGGCTGAAGTAGAACTCGGCCTTGGGGTCTGTGCAGGTGGAGACGGTATCCTTGCCGTTGGTAGAATTTCCCTCGCAGTAACCCCAGAGACCAATGTCGTAGAAATCAGCGATGTTGGCATCGTCCTGGAACGTCTTGATGGTCGCCGAGACCTCTTCCGCAGTGACGGAAGTGATACCGGCCTCGGCAAGGCGATCTGTGATTTCTGATGTAACTCCCGATGCTTCACTTATGTTTGAGAGGTCGAGCTATAAAATGGCATTAGCAGGTGCAGTAATCATGTGGGATCTTTGATCACTTACACGAATGAAGTATAAATTGTTCAAAGTAGAAGAACTGGCTTTTGTGCAACCCAATCCCACCATAATGATGCAGATTAATGACGCAATGGTCAAGACATAGGGCGTGAAGATACACGCAACGCGACCGGCTTTCCCCATAATGAATGAGGTGTATTGATATAAAGATAGGGATATAGAGAAGAAAAAAGGGTGAAAGATGGATGAGAAGTGGAGAGCTGAGATGGGGGGAAGACTTTAATATAACTGCATGAACATAGAGTAAACAACGTACAACCCTGGTTACGCACAGCCTCAAACTAAAAAGAAACTCCAGCCTCCCATGGAAGGAGGCGCAGGATCAGCGGACCAATCAGAGGCTGAGCGGTCACGTCGCCAGGGCCACGTTTGCTTCTATTTGTGACTTGGGCTAGTCCTATTTGGGTCTGGCATGATCCTTCATCTGTTTATTCCTACAATCCACACAATTAACACAGTCAGATCAGTTAGAAGAAACTACAATTTGGAGATATAGCTTTGCTTATATGCAGCTCATAGTCTCCTAAACATTATAAGCAGATTCTACTATCTCAAATACCCCTAAATCACACAGATATAGCGTACATACCTACCGTAGGTACAAAATTCAATCTATCAAAACTTCGTCATATCCATGGTTCTGACCGCCCCAGGATCATCACTCCAGTGGCCAAAACAGGTGGTCCTCCAAATCCGAGCCTCGTCACCCTTTCTCTGATCAGCCTTGTGGATCATTTTCAAATTTTCCCTCTCCGCCTCAAGACTGCGTAAGCCTGGGTAGGAGTACCGTTGTACGGGATAGATGCCAGGCTCCTCTATTTTTCTCTTGGCATTATCTCCCGTATCCCGCCCTGTCCTGTACCATTCCACTCTCCGCTGTCTCTGTACAGGGGCAGAATCCACTAAAATGGTGATGCCTTGTTCTATATTTACTATTTTCAGATAAACTTCTCTGAACCTGGGATAACCCCCCGCCGCGAACCTTGGAACCTACCGCAGCTTAAATGTTACGAGATCTTTTTTGGGCAAAACCATGCGCTGATCGACAACACCTCTCATATGTCCACAAGTGATACATGAGATATGGCCATCATTGGAAATTTTACTCTTTTTTCTTTAATACCTTTTTGGAAAAGCATGCATTCGTCACGAAAAACTTTTTTTTCCAAATTTGCGGCAACCGAACTTGATAACTCACATGCTACATATGGACTATGTACAACATATGTATGTTGCCTCGATCGAGAGTGTTTACACCAAATATGGCTCAAGCGTCGACAACATACCCGTGTACGCCAGCCCAGTGGTAGGCTCCATGCTAAAGATATAATCACCCCACCAAGGTCCGGCAGCCCACCACAATGCTCCGAGCCAGACGTCTGAGTTGTCACCCAGATAATCAAGCATGCCTGTAATCGCCGTCTTGCAATCGTCATTCACACCACCGGCAAATTCGCCGATAACCCCAACCTTGTTGTTATCCTTCAGCCACTGTGTCGCGGCCGTCACGCGCTCTTTTCCAATCGTCGTCGACACACATGTCCCGCTTGTGCCTGATCCGTCCGAGTCGAGGTACTGGTGCATCTCGTAGACGATCTTGTTTTGGGGATCGGTCAGGTCCTTCAGATTGTCGTTCACGTTGACCCAGGTCCACGCGCCGGTCCAAGAGTTGCCCTCGACGAAGATGTATTGGCTTGTTGCCCCCGCTGCGCGGATGCCGTCAATGGCTGCCTGGTTGAGCTTCAGGACGAGGTCTTGGTCCATGTCGTGGTACTCGTTGTCTGTGCAGGATGTGGTTAACAACAGGCCTGTCGTGCGACTAGAGGCTTGGGAGTACTAACTTGTATCGAAAATGACTAGCTCATTCGAAGCAAATTCGCCTGCGACGTTCTTCCAGAATGTCTGGAAGTCGGAGGCGCTCGACATGATCTCGCCGTTGCTGTGTACACTCATAAGCTTCGATTCATTCGCTCGTTAGTTTGATAGAACACTTACTATCTTCCATAGTTATGCGGATCAAGCACGGCGTGGGATCCTGCATCAGTGATGGCTTTGACCGTCTGCCACTAGATCAGTATCCGCTTGTTGCCATTTGGGTAGTTATGTGACAACATACCGCGGTCAGATTTTTTAGATAGGCATCGTCAAACCCGCCTGTCATGGAGTTCGGTACCAGCCGTTCCATCCTGAAGTCCACCCGGAAGATGTTCATTCCTTTTCCAATCAATGTTTGGATGGTGCTAGCATCGGGGAAGATATAATCGGTTCCCTATCCCGATCTTTATCAGTTGGGATTCTCCGAAGACATATATGTTTGGCCCACTCACCCAGACACCAGGAAGGTTATTCTCGCCGAACTCAGCTCCGGATTCGCTTGTTCCGAACCCTATACGAGAAATGTGGTCAATGGATGATCAAAAACATCTTTTGAATTCATGGACTCGAACATTTAAAAGGCGAAGCTCTCTTTGCATGGGGAGCTGCTGCTGCGGATCCGGCCACAGCGACGAGGAGGGCAATTTGATCGAATCTCATATTGACGAGTCGAGCTCTTTGGATTGGTTAAGCCCAGAAAAGAAGAAGAGTGATGTGATGATAATGCGAAATGATACCAGCGGCCGGAGCGAACTGGGCATTTATACTTCTCTGGTCAGTGAATTAACGTATATCGTCGAATAACTGGCAGGATAGCCCAAACGAATACAGTCACCCGGAAATTAGAGGTCGATGACAGAAAAGGACACGGAGTTTCATAAATATTCAGTTCTTGGGACTAGAGTAGATTTCTGACGTCGAATAGGTTGGATGTACTCCGTACAGCAACTTCGGATATTACGGTGCCTAACACCAATGATCCATCACTAACGAGGATCGATCCACAGTATCATGCAACATGGTGAGGAATGCTCCTTCTTGGCGACCTCATGCGAAACGGATAGCCAAGAAGGCAATGTCCCCGAGTCTTCAGGCTAGTAAAAGCCAGATCCGTGTTTATGAAGAGTTATTCACTGTACATCGTCCATACCCCGCCTCAATGAAGCTTTCTTCAGGCATAGGTGGCTTAAATATGCATCGCTTTGTTTCGAGGGCCTTGATATTTTGCAAGCCCGTGGCGCTTCAGGCATCGATCGGCATTTCTGACATGCAGGGGGTTGTGGGGTGTAACATCCATGAATACTTCAGCGTAGTTAATTATTTCTACTAAACCAAGAACAGATTTGTTTTAAACATACGCTGTAATAATTGATAAAGACAGAAAACCAAATATGTGGGTAAAGTAAGCGTGGCAAGTTGATTGCAAGCTGAAACAGGAACCATGGCACTCAACAATCTTGATATTCACTGAAAAACAAACAGGCTAGCTAATACCCATCAAATATTTGAAACTTGAAACTTACCACTCTTAGTCCGGCAGATACTCCTCCCCTGGACCATCCCCATCATCCTACCAAGCACCGAGAGAGTGCATGTGCTTTTTCATATCCGCCGCCTGCAGCTTGTGGTAAGCATGACCTGGGTGATAGGAATTCCACCAGACACAGGTGGCACCATCGTCATTGACACAACTAGCATCGGTGAATCCATATTTGATAGGTGCATCGAGGACTTTGTTCATGAAGGCGAAGGTATCGTAGAGAACGGTTGTAGTCTGCAGCTAGGTTAGTTGTGCAAAATCATATATATAATCAGAGACCAAAACGTACGCCACTGTTGTCTGCAATGAATTCATTGACCATTGTTTTAAGGGCAGCGTTGAAAGCCGCGAGCCACTTAGCGTGGCCTGCCGCAACGGTTGTCCCTTGATCAGCGATCTGGGGAGATCGGCTTGTAGGCGGGACATTGAGGAAGAGGAACTTCCGTCCACCATTTGCATAGATCTTTTCAGCTTGAGCCTTATATTGGGCCATGATCTTTGGAATCAGGACACTGGCATCGTTGCTTGACCAAGCCCAACCAATGCTGTAAATTGAAGAGTTAGTCTTGTCGTTAATAGGGACCCAGGGGACCATACTCATTAATTCCAATCCACAATCCAAAAACTGCGTTTTCTGAAGTCCATGGTGCAGTATCAGGCTTCTTACTATATGCTGTCTCGAAGCTGGCTACTTGCGTTACCATATCTTCCTTCGTATTGGTACTGACAAGGGAATTGTCGAGGGACGCTCCTCCAACAGCGAGGTTATAGCTGAGGACTAGTGAGGCATTGTCCACAGTAGTCAGGTATCCCACCCAGTTGACGCCGCCAGTGGTTGTTCCGGTACCTGTTGTTTCTAATCAGTCAAGCCGGCTTGATAGAGAGCGAACAAAACCCACCCAGTGCTGGGTTCCCCATCGGGTTGCCAGCAGTTGGCTGCGTGCCACCGACGTCGAAACTAGTCATGGTGTAGGAATCACCACTGGGGATGCTTCTTAGTTCCTTTCCCAATGGACGATGAATAGAGGACACAATCTATCACCCACAATGTAAAGAAATAACTGTTTGTAGCGCGAGATTGCAAGGGAGCAGCAGCAGCCAACCCAGCGCCGGTGATCATACTAATGAGATACTTCATGATGAGGAATATATGCAATGCCTGGTGTAGTCTGTTGGAAGAAAATAATCACACGTTCATAGTTCTTTCCTTATATACATCCATGGATGTACCTATCCCGTCTTGGAAGTGCTGTTTTCGTTTTAGTCTACTCCAAATACACAAGCCCTAGAGCTGAGACGAATAAATTAATAAACCCGAGACTATATCATTTAATTAAGCGGTTTTGTCAGTCATTTCTTCAAATGGGGGTCGTTCCGCCTCATCCATATTAGTACAAAATACGGCGGACTCCCCGAAACTGCGGGGTAGATATGGAGTATTATTGGAATAATCAAGCTATTTCCTTAGTTCAGAGGAGCTGAGTAGTTCGTTGGAGTTGACGAATACCCCAAGATACTATATTGTCCAGTCGTGTGACGGATCCATCATGCAGCTAGAACCCATGCCCTAATTTACTTCTCTTCCTCTTACCCGAGTAGTTCCCTACTGTCTTCCTCTTGCCCGAATCTGTAGTCTCGCATGGTATCATCTATGTTCATATTGTTGTATTGAAGTCTTATATACATCCGACATCGAATCGGCATCATGCAGATAAGGCTCGATCCGATTCGGCAGCAAACATCTCCATGCCCACACCGCATACAACCAATCGCGACTGGTTTCTCTCCGGGCCAGGCACTTGACCCTCTGCGGGGAGGCCATTTCCGGGCCCATGGACAAGCCCCAGTATTGATATATCAGCCACGGAGCTGTATGTATCCAGTAGAAATCCCACGATAATGCCCTGCGTGCCAGGCTGTGTAGGGTCCACAGCGATTGACCAGATTTTGACTCGGTGGTCGTTGCCAGAGGATGCCACGGTGATTTTAATGGATTCTGTATTTGACGTAACGTCACGAGAGGTTTGCTGATTGAGTACTTTGACCGTGGTAACTGCCGCAGCGTGAGCATCGGGGATAGAAACCGTAGCTACCTGTGCATTTGTGCCGGTTTCAGATGGGTTTGTCCGTAGGAGGGACACGGAGAGAGAGTTATCATCACCTCCAGCCACAACAACAGTGGCTGTGTCTGAGATAGGAACTAGTTCCATCCCCTTGATGCTGTTGGAATGAATCTGATATCGACTTTCGCATGTGATGTTTTCTGGTGAACTGGAAGAGCCATCAAAGGGGTGCTTGGCCCTCAAGGTGGATTGTGTGATTGTATAAAATGGTTCAAGTGTGCGTGTTAGATCCCAGAGTGTGAAGTAGCCATCAGTCGCTGCGGTGATAAGGCTCACGGAAGAGCTCGTGACCAAAAAGTGGGCTTGGGTCAAACAGTTGGTCATGTATTTTCCACGAGCCAGGAGAGTGAATTGACCTCCATTAGATGGTGAAAGGTGGAAGATCTGCAAGTACGTTAGTACCGGCCGGGGTATTTGAAGGAAAGAACTACCCTTACCTTGAAAACGGAGTTGGAAAGAGCAAGGCACAGGAGGAAACCCAGCTCTCCGTCAACTTCCTCTACTTCCAGCAAATCGAAACTAGGTATCCGGAGATCTGAATTTTCGTCGTCCTTCGGACTGGCAGCCATCAATTTCGTAGCAATGCCGAATATGGGAATGGTGCGGACTCTCCACACGAAAAACTCTTCGTATGCAGCACTGGTGAATATATATCTTCCATCCTTCGACCAGGTAACTTGCTGAATCCCAGACTTGTGCGTATCCAAGACGCGCAGACACTCAAAGCTACCCCACGGACTAGCAGACAATGAGGAGGTCGGTGTGAAAAGACGAACAGTAGTGTCCTCTCCACCAGTCGCAAAAAGAGGCCGATCTCCACCGGTAGGATTAAAAACATCCATCGCTTTGATTTCCCGTCCGTGACCTCCAGCTCGAAGCAAAGTACTAGCACCAGCTCGTACGCGAGTAGTCATTAAAGAATCTCCGTCTTTCCACGTGAACAAAGCATTGTAATTTTTGTCTCCTGGGATGAAGTCCCAGCCTCGGCGAAAGCCGCCTGAAGCAATGGATACGATATCCGTCAACTTCGACTCGTTGCGCAGGACGAAATTTTGAGATCTGAATCCGTACAACATGAAATCGCCGGTCGCGTTATCGAAATAGGCGCCTTCGATGTTCCCACCGGTCATAGATGCTGTACGGTGCACTGTCTGTATCGACACAGCATCTGTTCCGTTCCCACAAAGCTGCAATTCGTGGAGACAGTAAGTTCCGTCTCGCCCACAGGTTAATACAAAGTCCGATTTTGTGGTATCACTCGTAGTAGCAGATGTCACGACGCTAATATGATTGACAAATTCTCGGCCATGAACACGTCGGTTGACCATTAAGGGCTCAGCCTTGGAGGTGTTGTATATAGCAAGAGCGCCGAATTTTGATCCTATAATCAAGTATTGGCCATCGAAGATGAAAGACGCACTGCAAACCACAAATGAGGATGGTAGGTTAAAGGTGGCTATTTCAGCATTGGGATGATCGCTGTTCCAGTCGGAGACGGAGACGAGTGTTATTTCTTCTCCGGTAGGATAACAGACAAGGAAGGTGATTTTTTTGGAAGAATTCGCGGTATCCATCTTGGAAGAGTGAGTCTGAAGGAAGAATAATCCAAGGGGTCTGTTGCCAACGTCTGTGATGCTGGTGACAGATTTCGTCGCGTGATTATAGAGTCGAATGAATCCTCGGGAATTACCGATCAATGCTAAACCCATCTGGGGCAAAGCAGTGATCACGCCAAAAGAAGCAAGGTCAGGTGTTTCGCATAGTGTCTCCCAATTAATGGCAGTCTCCTCTGTTTGATTGGGATACCCAAGCTGGATCCGACCTTGTGTAGAGGTACGAAGAAGGCAGTCTTGGGCGACAAATGCAAAGGCTTTCGATCCGTCAGCTGTCGGGTCCTGCTTCTTCGCCTTTACTTGCAAGGTAGGTGATTGCTGGAAAGAAGCACCAGGGCCATTGCCCAGATGTTCACCGTCATTTTCTTTGATGGGGAAACTTTTCAATGCACCATCGGCACCTCCGGTGTAAACCACGGTCTCAGAGCCAATTCTGCAAAGATCCAGAGACCAAATGTGCTTTCCAATATGTGTTTGTATTGAAGAAGTCTGACTGAGCTGATATTCAGTCGTCCCGGCGGATGAGGAGTGCCAGCTTAGGTCCCACAAAACGCAGGTGCAGTCCTCTCCACGAGAAACCAACCCCATATGAGTTTGGTCATTATTTTTTATGGCCCTGAAATAGACACCCCAAATGCGAGCCGTGTGAGCAAATGCCTGGACCACACATGACTCAGAACCAACGCTCTCCTCGCCTGCCTCAACAGGACCAAAGCCTGTGCTTCGCAATTCAAATCCGTCTGTGGAGTATGCAGAGGGATCTTGGGCTGTTTTGTGCTCACAATCTGATATATCCCAAATTCTGACAGTTCTATCGTCACTGCAGCTGGCCAAAATCCTACCAGACTGGCCTCCATTCAAAGAAGGGATCTGGGGAGAGATGCGGACACCGAATATTGATCCGTCATGCCCCGTGAAGAAATGGTGAATGGAGCCGACTGCATTAGCTTTGTGTGATCCATTTTTATTCAAGAAACAAGACCACACGATAATTTCTCCGAAGACGGTACCAGCGGCAATGAGGACATGGGAGGAAGACAGCGCAATCACATCGGCGGAGTAAAGGATAGACTTTACACTTGTGGCCAGCTGATAAATGGATATGGTATCTATCCCGGGAATCTCACTGTCAAGCACTTCGAGGCTCAGGAGTGCATTGTTCGAGGTGATCAAAAATGCCCCGTAATGGCCACCTGGAGCAGCTGCGCACCCACTCATGATCCAATCTGGAGCAGTGAACTCAGCACTAGAGGTTGACAACGTGACTTCATTGTCAGAGACCAGGAAGAAGTTGACCGCTCGCACTGAACGACCACCCCAGACGATTATTTGGACATGGCTTGAATCATGATCCAGTGGTCGTTGATTCAAAGTAATGAAACCATGGATATTGTTTCTTTTGAATATCTGGACTTGGGCATTGACAACACCGCTGGATTCATCAACCACCCGGAAGAGTGTGCCTTGGCTTTGAAAGATGAATCGTCTATCACCCAATACAAACGTCTTCAACGCTGTTATAGGGAGAAAAGCATCAATATGCTGCAATTTGAGTCAGCGGGACAGCGTTTTGACTACAGATATGGCAACACTGACCTCGATTGATAGAGACATTGCCAACTTCTACGCACATTAAGCAGAGAAAGAAATACACTGAATGTCTCAATTGCCTCAGATAAAAGTGTACATCCCACCAAACGCCAAAAAAAGCCCACTACTTTTTCGATGATTTCCCCGATGTGATTACATAACGCTGACACTAGTCCACAAATGGTTATATTACACACGTGATCTCGCGATCGAGGCGCGGGAGCGGAATGACGCTCGGGGCTCGGGGCTCACGTCACCTGCCCGAGAAGTCTTTCGCTAATTAGCTACCTGCAAGCAGCTCTCTCGCTACATGTTGATCCTCTCTAAAATGCCAGATCTCCCTAAGAAAGACTCATGATCTGATACCCCTTTGACTAGCCATGGGTGTCACCGGCCTCTGGACGGTCGTGCAGCCCTGCGCTCGCCCCATCAAACTCGAAACGCTTAACAAGAAACGACTAGCTGTCGACGCGTCGATCTGGATCTATCAGTTCCTGAAAGCGGTGCGAGATAAAGAAGGCAATGCACTCCGAAATTCTCACGTCGTTGGATTCTTTCGCCGCATATGCAAGCTGCTGTATTTCGGGATCCGGCCCGTCTTCGTCTTCGATGGCGGGGCCCCGGTCATGAAAAGACAGACAATCGCTGGCCGAAAGAAGAAGCGCGAGGGTCACAGGGAAGATGCTGCGAGGACCGCGGGAAAGTTGCTTGCCGTACAAATGCAACGCAGTGCCGAGGAAGAGGACGCTCGTCGACGCAATAAGACCCAGAGACAAGAGGAGGAAGAGGTGCCAGATGCTCCGGTCTATGCAGAAGAGGCTTTTATGACAGAGACAGAAAAGCAACAAAGTCGCAAGTTCAAGAAGAAGGATGCGTACCACCTTCCTAACCTAGATGTCTCGCTTCAAGATATGGGAGCACCAAACGATCCACGCATCATGTCCCAAGAGGAACTGGAGGAGTATGCTAGACATTTCCACCAGGGTCAAGATATCAATCTTTATGATTTTTCCAAGATCGACTTCGACAGCATGTTTTTCCTTAGTCTGCCCCCCACTGATCGCTACAACATCTTGAATGCAGCGAGGCTAAGAAGCCGACTTCGAATGGGCTATTCGAAAGAGCAGCTAGATACCATGTTTCCGGACCGCATGGCATTCTCGAGGTTTCAAATCGACCGTGTCGCAGAACGTAATGACCTTACGCAACGATTAATGAATATAAACGGCATGAACGGAGACGAAGCATTCTACAAATCTGGACAGCGCATCGCAGGAGAACGTGGCAGGGAATACGTGCTTGTCAAGGATCGCGAACATGAAGGTGGCTGGGTCCTAGGTGTTGTGGGCAACAGGGAAGGCCACGAAGAAAAGCCCATCGATCTAGATCGACCTGAGATACTGTCTGATGAGGATGAGGTGTCGGACGAAGATGAGTTTGAGGACGTTCCAATTGAAGGTCTGAACCGACTTCCCAAACTTCCTTTCCTTCAAGAGGGTGTATTCGACCGCTCGCTTCAACTTGAAACGGACGAAAACTTAGACATGAGAAGGGCTATACAAGAATCGCGTCATGCTGCAAAGCGACGGCCAGAGAATGAACATCATGTACAAGAGGCTGAAGATGATTCACTTTTTGTTGAAGCCGAGGGAAATATTGGCGCACAGCAACAAGACAACGACACTGATGATTATTTTTATGGCGACGACGATGACCTCGAACGAGCTATTGCCCTTTCCTTACAACCAGATAGAGTCGACGACGATGATATGCCTGATATACCCATTCGTCGACCGGTCGAACCAGCTCCATCTTATGAGATGGTGCCAGATCTTGAGTCCGAGAGCGATGATGGAATGGACTTTGCTGCTGCCATGGCGAGAACAAAGGTCTTGAAGAAAGCCTCATATGCACCAAATCCATTCGGTGGTCCTCTCCCTTTTGAATCCATCAAACTCACGAAGGTCACAAAAGATAATGATAAAGTTGCCGAGGTTGGTGAAAATGCTGGGGGTTTCGTGAAGGAGCCTACAAAGAAACCAAAACAGACAGACCCACTTCCTCCATGGTTTGTTGGTGAGCCCTTGGATGCGGGATTCATCGTTGATCCCATTGAAGATCCTGAAAAGGATGAGCGATCTGCGGCGCCAGATCATCTGTTCCTCTCCAATCGTCGCTCGCCGGATATTATCGACGTTGATGAAATTTCCGCCACTAAGGAAGTCGTTGATCTAGAGGAGGAGAAGGAAGAGGAGGAGGAGGAGGAGGAGGAGGAGGACCCCAAACAAGTCTTTCAAGTGGAAGACATTGAAAAGGTTTACAATGAGATTTCTACAAGTATGGATGAGAAGTCTTTGAGTGAACTAGCTCCAGCTCCGATCAATAGGAATATTGATCAAACGGTGTTTGGGCCCCCTGGAACACAAATTCAGGATCAAGTGCCCGCGCTTGATGAGCGATCTTCACGCAGCGAAAATTCTCCTTCACCAGACTTTGAAGATGTTGTCCCTCAGCTGCCTAACCAAGGCCCCGAGATCACTGTTGTATCCCATCAAAAGGCCCAGCCCCAGCCTCAGCTCTTCGAAGAGGTCGACCGAGTGGAAGATTTCGTGCAGAACCAAGCCGACTACAGTGACCCGGAGGATGAAGAGCTGTTCAAGCAGCTTGCAGCTGAGGGCGAGGAGCATGTGCGATTTGCCAATACTCTCAATTTTGCTGCTCCTAACCAGGAAGCCTTTGACTACGAGCAAGAACTGAAGCAACTACGGTCTCAGCAGAGAAATGAGCGTCGCGATGCCGACGAGGTGACTACTATTATGATCAATGAGTGTCAACAGCTCTTGACGCTCTTCGGATTGCCCTATATCACCGCACCTATGGAAGCTGAAGCGCAGTGCGCTAAATTGGTCTCGCTGGGCCTTGTGGACGGGATTGTCACGGATGACAGTGATATCTTCCTCTTTGGGGGAACGCGAGTCTACAAAAACATGTTCAATCAAAGTAAATTCGTCGAGTGCTACTTGACCTCTGACTTGGAGAAAGAGTATGCCCTCCATCGACAGAAGCTTATTAGCCTTGCCCATCTGTTGGGCAGCGATTACACAGAGGGCATTCCCGGGATTGGTCCAGTCACAGCCCTAGAGATACTCACCGAGTTTTCCAACCTTGAAGAGTTCCGCGATTGGTGGAGTGATTTGCAAATGGGTACGAATAATGCAGAAGATGCTCACCTTGCCTTCCGGAAGAAATTTAGAAAGAAGGCATCTAAGATTTTCTTGCCTCCTTCATTCCCTGATACCAAAGTTGACGAGGCATACCTGGAACCCGCGGTTGACGACGACCCTTCCCAATTCCAATGGGGTGTTCCTGATTTGAACGGGTTGCGAACCTTCCTCATGACCACAATCGGCTGGAGCCAAGAGCGGACGGATGAAGTCCTGGTACCGGTCATTCGCGACATGAATCGGCGAGACCAGGAAGGCACACAGTCCAACATCACACAATTCATGCAAGGTCCACAGGGCGCGGGTGCATTTGCGCCTCGTGCTCGTACAGGTGGACCTAGCCGCATGGAAAAGGCATTTAGTCGACTACGCCATGAAGCTCAGACAGGTGGAACCTCAGTGGATGGCGAGTCAGCTAGCGGGAATGGAGAGGGACAAGAAGCCTCTGTTTCGCAAAGTAAAGGCAAGAGAGGTGGCTCAACCACCAAAGCCAAGGCTGGCACGAATAAGAAGCGAAAGACCCGTCACGCCAATTCTCCTGAGCCATGATATGGGGATTGGCAGATTGAGGTTCTCGCATCAGCAGCATACTACATGTATGTACTTAATAGAAACAGCTGTTCATCCCCAGTATTTACTAAAACTTCAACCCATATACAAAAATCTAGCTTCATCATCATATGTGAAGACATTATGTCGGTATGTGAGGAGGTAAGAATATGTAATAATCGCTCATTCCGATACAGCCCTTTTACAATTGTAAACAGAAGACAGAGGAGCAGCTAATAACCGGTCTATCCACTGAGGATTGCTCAAACAGATGGACAATGAAATGTAAGGGAACAAATTCTGTCTGAACTAGAAAGTTTGATGCCTTGATCCCCTGCCTGAACATCATATCCCACATCCCACATGCATCTACTATCTCTTGTTTTTCACTCGAATGACCCCCCATTCACATCATCTATCTCTACCTTTTTATCAAACCGTCTGCGATGACAGCTCCAGGTTAGACACTTCTGGAGATGGGTTACAACCGCAACAACATGCGTGTCCCTGTTGACAAATACGAGGCGCGATCACCACCCTGTTCTGCCTAGTCTACCCAGCACTCTGGCACTGGCAACGGCCTTTATAATCCATGCTGGCAGGTCCTTACTAGTTGTGGTTTCTATATAGTCCTAGGATTCTATATGTGGAGGACAAGTGGGTATCCTCGGAAGCTAACGGCTTCTAGGGTCCTAGGGATCTAGCCACTATATTCTTCAGATAGCCATCTGTATGGAGGAAGATCTGCTCACCTACACCGGTCTGGAGGATCACCCGTGGACGGGTACGCTTGCTTCAAGAACGATTCTTTTCTTCTTTCTCAGCTCTCTTCTTCCTTCTTTCTTCTTCCGTCGTCCTCTCTTGCCACAACTGCTGTGGCCAATACCTTTTTTCTACTACATCTCTCTCACTGCTCTATCGGGTTAGATTATACTCCACTCGTGTGTCAGCTTCCATGTGATGTGCTGACAGGTTGGCTTAGTCTATATAAACTCTTATGCCAGGATACCACCGACGACGGTTCATGGCCTTCCATTCAGACTATCCACGGCGTCGATTAAACTCAATTTGTGCGCTTTCTTGCTCGGCGAATTTAGAGTCCTCGCTCATCTTAAATTATAGTGCCTACATATATGTATTCTGCACCCGTCGACTCTCCTATTGACAAAGCTCCTGCCTTGGAAAGAGGCCGATCAGGCGACACGGGTTGCCCGATATCCCCAGGGCCAAGTTGATGAGGCTCCTGGGAAGGCTCTACCGGGCCGAGCAGAGGGCACGACCCTACCTCTCCCTGACCTTGTCAGCGGATGAGATGCGTGACGCTTTGATCGCAAATGGAACGAAGTTAGGCCAAGTACAGAGTTGTCTGATCGCTAAACCCTTCTTCTTCTTCTTCTTCTTCTTCTTCTTCTCCTCGTATTTGCTTATATTTCACCCAATGAAGGGGTTGGCGTTTCTATAACCCCTACTTCGTGCGTCTATTGTGGCATCTTTTGTCGGGTGATTTGGTCTATTACTCCGAACTCGGCTACCTTGCTCGGACATGTACGTACGGATTGCTCCTTCCGACCATCGGCGACTTATCGAAATTGGGCAAATACCATGAGTGTTCGAGAAGGATGTGTTCGCATGGTGGGAGTGCCATCGCTTACGCTGACGTTCTCACGATAAATTCGCCGACAATATGATGAATAATAACCGAGCCAAGCGAAGGGCCAGTTGTGCGGTCCCATTTTGATATTGCTAAAAATGAGGGATTTTTAAGGAACGCGTGACATACCACCACTCTGGCTCCGAGATGCACAACAGACACTCGTGAACCTTCATCTCCCCAACCACTTTCATCAACATATCAATGGAGCGAAAGCGCTTCCCATGCCCGCGCACAGAGGAGCTTAAATACGACAAGACGTTTCCTCAAAAGGGGATGCAAACTCGCATGCTAAGAGGGTGCATGACCAATTCAAATGGCGCTATGCCTTGGCAAACGAGGAGGGTGTACTTTGGAATTTTGTACCAAACTGGAGGCCAAAGCCCTTAGTGAACATCCCATTCATTGCAGAGGCATAGGCCGGCAAAACACACGGTTCAAACTTGAGATGTCGCGAAGACCGCGTCGACCACCCCTGGTTACAGATTCTTCGATGGCGTTTTCCCGCTTACAATGGGAGAAATTGCGGAGGACCATCTATGGCATTGTTTGTGTGAGCCTTTGGAACCACTTCTTGTCACAGCTGCGGAACAGAGTGCGCACTTTATTGGGCCGTGAGCGCTAATTATGGCGTCGAGCAAGATAGTTGCACTTCAGTCAAAGGAATTTGTGAGAAAGCTCAAATTCCCATCAGAAAGAATTCGGGACGCCCTTTGGCCTATTTTTGTGCTGTTTGGTGTCTGTACTCTTCGATATCCACTTCAAAAAGCTCAAGAGATGCCTATTTATTGAATGCAAGACCCGTGAACCAAAAACATGAAAAACAGACTCAGAGTGGGATGGGTCCGTCGGCAAATTGGAAAGATACATATCCATGGATATTCTCAAATGACCAACATTAAAGACCTCGCAGCCAAAATTTCCACCGCGGACGACGACAATGACAGATGGGGATCGGAGGACGCAAAGGCAAAGTACATCCGATACCGGGTGTACTCTTCCGTTTATTGGGGAAACCAAAGCCCCATGGCTCCGGGAGCACTTCAGCATGCTCAAGGATTGGAACTGTTTAACGACGGATATGAGGCCGGGTTTCGGCGTGAAATTGGTATGATATGCACTATACTCACATATATCAACGTACTAACAGTTATACTATCTTACAGGGCAAGTTGCACATTATCTGCCGGAGCTGGAGAATGGCTTCCTCTCCACATACAAGGAAACCATATTCCTCAGAAAGGTCAAGATCCGAAGAACAGCTAGTATTGGGAGACGAGGCTGGGCTTTCAAGGCAGTTTGAACGAACGAGTTGGGCAATCAGTGACTACATCGACTCGGGGCCAATGTGTTCGGCGAAGAACAATCGGACCATGAGTTCTTAATTTCACCCATACTAGTACTTTTCGTTGTCATTATCTTGCTTCGGTGTTTACTCTTGTAAGGTACAACCGTATGTAGGTCCGAATTAGCGGAATTCAAAGCCGAGACCACATGGGTTTCCCCACGAACAGGAGTTCCACGATCTCCGCGATCAGCGATCAGTGGAACTGGGGGCACCAATGGTATAGCTCTATATAGTGAGCTACCTAGGTACATATGTACATACTTGCAGTTCCTATCAGAAAGGGGCTATCAAAGCTTTAAAGGGAGAAATCCAGGCACTCATGGTTACTGTTAGATGTTAGCATATAAACGGTATATATAACCGTCTAATATAAAAATGCAACCTTTCAGAAACTCCATGACATCAGGGGGAAGTCGATGACGTCGGTGATCGTGAAGACTCGAAAAATAATGCAACTCAACACGATCGACAGACTATTGGCTTAAAGAAAGCTAGTCGGGGCTTGATTTACTGCACTTAAGACTCTTTAGGTCTCTTAGCGTCTTAATTTCCCCAAAGTCCGTCCAATCCCGATCCCCCGATCAGTCCGATCAGTTTTCTCTCCCTTTGGACAGAAAATAGTCGACGTCACTACCCGAGAGCTTCCAGGAGAACTTCACTTCTTCAAATCAGCTGTCATTGAAAAGGCCTACCTAGGTATATCTCCCTCCGTTTGCAGTCGATTTTTCGTCATATCCAGGTCAAGTACGTACTCCAAGAAAAAAAAAGAAGAGCCCCCTCTTTAAGCTCACGTCACTACTGCGCAAGGCACTGGAAAGTATTATTTTCTTCTCTCTAATTTCTTTTCTACAGAAACAACAATTTCTACATCTCTACAATCATCTTCCTATCTCCAATTTCCGTGTCCAAACCATGCATCGCACCTATTCCATGCGCCAGTCGCGCCTCCCGACCGCCTCGCAGGTCGAGAGCCCACCACCACCACCGTCCACAACCAAGAGCGGGAGATGGCTAGGGAAGGGCGGAATCGGTAAGTGCGATTGCGAGATATTTTCTGCGATTGGCTTCGACGACTGGAAATCTCTTGAGGGTGTTGGTCGGGTTGGAGGCTGCCTAAAATTGGGCCGCCATCGACACTTCCCCCGTTCCACCCCCCGAGAGAGAAGACAGCCGAATTGGAGAACCACCAGTCGTCGGAGAGATCGCTGAGGAAATTGAAATCACTAACATCCTGCGACCAGGCCATGCTTTCCGCAAGAACGCCGCCGGTGCCTTTGGACCCGATCTCGCCAAGAAGCTGTCGCAGCTCGTCAAGATGGAGAAGAACGCCATGCGCAGCATGGAGCTCGTAGCTCGGGAACGCATGGAAGTCGCTGTACGTGGATGGCCCTGAATTTGTGATGGTCGTTGGACAAATTGAAAACTGACTCGGTCGCCATAGCAACAACTTTCCATCTGGGGTGAAGCATGCGATGAGGATGTGTCGGATGTGACGGACAAGCTCGGCGTGCTGATCTACGAGATCGGTGAGCTGGAGGATATGTTCGTTGACCGCTACGACCAGTACCGTGTCACCATTAAGAGCATCCGCAACATCGAGGCTTCCGTACAGCCCAGCCGAGACCGTAAGATTCTCCCAGCATCGGTGTTGACCGCTCAACTCCCCAGCATTAACTAATTGAATGTGATCATCTCCAGGCAAGCAAAAGATCACCGATGAGATCGCCAAGCTGAAGTACAAGGACCCCAACTCGCCTCGCATCGACGTCCTGGAGCAAGAGCTAGTCCGCGCCGAAGCCGAGTCCCTAGTCGCCGAAGCCCAGCTGTCCAACATCACCCGCGAGAAGGTCAAGGCCGCCTTCCAGTACCAGTTTGATGCGCTCCGCGAGCACTGCGAGAAGGTCGCCATCGTCGCCGGATACGGAAAGCACCTCCTCGACCTGATCGACGACACCCCCGTCACTCCCGGCGAGACCCGCCACGCCTACGATGGCTACGATGCCTCCAAGGCCATCATCCAGGACTGCGAGGATGCCCTCACCAACTGGGTCTCCTCCAAGGCAGTCGTCAAGTCTGGTCTCTCCCAGCGCTCCCGCACCCTCTCCCAGCGCCACCGCTCTAACCTCAGCAAGAACCACGAGGGCGTGGATTTGTCTGCACAGGACCATCCCTTGGCTGGGGATCGCGATTCTTGGCTCCCGGCTGACCAGCACCCCACCTACGAGGATGGTGACGATGGAGGCAGCCATATTGAGGGCGAGCTGCGAGGCCGTGAAGAGGAGCGTGAGCCTATTGCCGCATAAGGCATGGACGAGAAAGATTCCCACATCTTTTCCCTCACGAATCTGACGGCTGAAATTTCGGCAGATGCATGGGTATGATCTAGTATCTGTCCCTTCGTTTTTTTCATCTCCACGTTCCTTTTACCAAAACCCCCTGTGCTTCTGATCTTCCATATACTATGTTCGTTTTATCCTTGATTCCGTGCTATTCTCGAAGAATACGCACATCAATCACGCCATGCACCTTTGGATGTTTGACGCCTTTTTTTCACATGAACGCCTCTCAATGTCGTGATCCAACGGCTATGAATCGTGCTTGGGGGGTGATGTCCACTTCTCCATGCTTAGATCGGAGGACGTGGGTCTAATTTCCCTTTTTCCTTTCTCCACGGAATTGGAGATGTACTCTGAGATCAGTGCGATTGGGAATTGTCTGGGTTTTTTTTGTTTCTTGTTCTTTTTTTTCCTTATTTCCATTCCCTGTTTCTACTTAATTGATGTAATACCATCTTACGTTGGCCTGTTTTGGTTTCTTTGTTTTTCGAGTATTAGGATAGTCCAAGGTAATTATGGTGTTCTAATGGATTGTTTGCAGAAACTTATATCACTACATGTAGTACTCAGTACCTAACTAGTTACCTGGGTAGGTATACGCGCATAAGTTTAGCCTGATTTCAAAAAGTGCAGTCTGTGTGGCGTGCAGTTCATCTGAACAGCGCAGCCCTGTGGAGAATAGACCCTTACCCCGGACCTCGGGAAAAGTGAGACACCACATTGTATTCTCCAATGGTATTCGATCTCAGTGAGGAAATCACTCTGATATAGCACGCCAGAAAGAGCACGTCACTCACCGCTGCTTTTACGTCTTTGATATTACGTATCTAGATAATCCTATAGAGCTACCTATTGCAGTAGAATACTCTATAGTAGCAAGAAAGGTAATTCGTATAGCAATAAACCCCAGAGTTTATATTGCACGCATTCCAGTCCATAATAGCTAGCAACGGAGGAAACCAAAGAAAATAGAAAAGGCAAATCCCACAGCGTAAAGAAAAAGATATCAAATATAGAACCAATACCATAAAAGGAAAAAAACAAAATTCGACTTCCCGAGTCTGGACCACAACACCGCCAACTCATCTCCTTTCCCGCAAACCAGGGGAAAGGAAGAAAAATGAAACAAGCCTTCGCAGCACACGATCTGATGGAAATGGGATAGGAAGGGTTGATAGGATGTAGAGAAGGTAGAAGAGCCAGATAAAAATATCAACCCGATGGTAGGGAGGCGAGAGTAGAGAGTGGGAGGGATTGAAACATCAAACGAAAGTGCCAGATCTGAAGTGCAGAAGCAAAGACCATCCCTAGAAGTCGAAAAAGCCACGGTCGGGAGAGCCGGGCGAACGAGAAGAAGAGAAGGGTCGTGACATCGTCATTTGTCTGCACTCATCTATCCCATTTTCATTCTGTCGTTGGATTTGACTGAAAGGGGAGAGATAAGTGCAAGACACCATAGCAAAGCGAGTAGACGGTAAAAAAGCAGAATACTGATTCGGTACGGACGCCTTGTAGAGTAGGAGACCGTAGGCTGGGGAGATGATACAAAGAAAGAACAGAATGACAAACAGCAACGCAAACAAACGACCAAAAAAACACACATTCTTCCATTTGGTTCGTCACTCCTCGGTGCCAACGCCCTTCTTTTTGGGCTGAATATGTTTTTGTCTGGTATTCCCGCCAGGGCCTTTTAGCTCGAGAACCGAGCTATCCTTAGTCGGAGCAGGCAAACGAGAACCAGCATCATGTTTCTCAGTGAGGAGGTTCTTCAACCAACGATTCTCCATCTCAAGCTGTGCGACACGAGCCTCAAGGGAAGCGTTCTTCTCAGTAGTTTCCCGAACAGTACGTTCGAGGACCTGCTCACGCTGCTTCTTCTTCTGACGGAAGCGGGCGCTAGCGGCGGTATTTCGACGACGACGATCTTCCTCTGCGGCACCACGGACGCCCTCCTCTTGGTCGAGGGCGGCGGCGATGCGATCGCCGGAGATGGAGGTGCTGTACTTGGTGTTTCCCATTTGGCCGTTGGGCGGGGAGATGGATGAGGAAACATCGGATGGAGTTGCATGGCCGAGCTCGTCGGGCGCATATGGGACTGGTGGGTAAATTGAATGAGCTGAGTAGGGCATCATGTGCTCTGGAAGAGTGTAGTTGACGGGCTTCTCGCCGGGAGGGCCTATGGATGTTGTAAGCGATCGAAGTCGATATAACCCCTCGGGAATGAGCCCCATGGGTCGGGAAGTGCAAATCATATTCCGAAGGATATAAGCTCAAGAAGGGTTTCAAGGGGATGTGCAGTTAATCGTCAGCAGGCAACTGGCGTTTGTCATTTCATTGCGGGATTGCGTGCTCGTGCATTATAGGAGCACCGACGGTGATCTCCTTCCACCATTGGAGATGGGAGATGCATGTCACTGCTCACATCCTGGGCCTTTGCAGCCTCGAGCCCTTTTTTAAACTCGAAATGAAATTTGGACATGACTGTGTTGGGGGAAGAGGAAGAGGAAGAGGTTCAGCGCGCGGCTATCCAGGGCCTTTTCATTTTAAAATAAACAGGGATAAATTCAGACCAGAAAAAAAAGAGATCGAACTTCAATTTTCAGACATGGGAATTTTCAAGCCCCAAACTAAAGCTCAGACACAGGCGCGATGGCGTAACAAATGCAACGTTGGGCATAAAGTCTCAAAAGCTTGACACGTACCATGATAGGGATAGCCTCGGAGATCGAGGGAGCTGCGGTCGTCTTCTATACTCTCATAGGAACTGACAGATAGACCGCCCATGCCTTCGGTCTGATCGTAATCCATACTCACGTTGCCGAACGGGACCAGCCCGGTATCAGCGTCAAATGAGTACTGTCGAGTCTTGGCTGCTGGATCGTGGCGCGACATCAAAAAATTGAAGTTCTCAAGTTTGTCGAAGACGGGACCTGGACCTGGCAAAGATGGTTGTTCCCCCGGCATGGTTGAAGAGGGAAAAGAAATAAGAAAAGAGAAGTTCAGCCCCCTTGGCCTTTAGGGTTATGTGAGAGAGAGAAGAGGGGCTTGTGATGTTGGTAACCCCAGATCAGGATGGGATTTTCTATGAAGCAAATCAGAATCACACCCAAAAAAATCACCCAATTAATATAAATCAGGGCGAAAAAAGGTAAAAAAAAAAAAACAAATAAGAGTGAGACAAGGTAGGTAGTAAAAGACCGGGAAGTTGAGTTCTCGGCCACGATCACCTCGAAGAAGGTCACTTCATCGTCGCATGCCGCGGGAGTTCCACCAGAACGAATTAAAAGGGAAATAAATGGAGTTGTTTTAATAAAAGGGGGGGCAAAAGAGAAAGACCAGGAGAGAAAAACGATGCTAGTCGATGATCTGATAGAATGGAGAAATGTCGTGATCGCGAGTTCTGGTTCGTCGGTTGGGAGATTCACCGCTTTGTACTGTAGTAGGTATGTAGGTACTATATAGAGATATATGGAGTATGGAGATTATATAAGGAATATAAAAGATATAAGAAATAAGATATAAATATACACTTTATAAGCATATAAAACAGCTTTCTCCAGATTCAGAGAGATATCAAGCTCTTGGAGAAGAAAAGGAAGGGGGGCCTTGACCATCTCCACTTGCCTCGGAACCAGTACCTGATGAAGATAAAGGTACGGAGTACGGAGTACTCGAATTATATGGATCAAGGAACACAAAGTACATGTATGTACAATAATATGTACACAAGTTAATGTAAAAATTATAATACTAAAGTGCAAGTGTATCCTACTTCGTATCCTATACTCTTCAACAGTACGGAGTACTCCGTACATAAATTGTTCGTCATTTCCGCGCATCACGGATGACGCGGACTAGTAATTAAATAAACCCCGAAGCTTGGCACCGGAAGCGAAATCCCCCTCCCGCGTAGTCTAGAAACATTCGATCGTCCTTATGACATATGCTTTATGCTAATACATATTACTCAACCTTGGAAGGCTTACTTTTTCCTTTGAGCTATGATCTGAGCGGCGTCTTCAACCGTTAAACCTCGGACTCGATGCTCCACTCTTTCCTCACCTAATACGGTATCTTCCGCAATGGTCCGATAGATCTCAGCAAGCCCTCCATAAACATCGGCCCCGATCCCATTCCATGCACCCTCTGCATCAAACGCCTCCCCAATCCCACGCATTTCATCCTCCCACCGGTATGCCTTGGGACTCATAGCAACCACCCCCTTCGTCGCGAGTGCAGCAGTGCGTGGTGAGTATTCCTCCAGCAACGCCAGTAACTCCGGCAACATCGACTCCTTCTGCGCAGTGGAGAAGGACAGAATAGACAGCGCGGTAAGACCTTTGGTCAGCGCAGAGAATGATAGTTTGAGCGTGGATGCGGCGCCAATCCGAGCTGAGACAAGCCTTATATTCAGGACGCTGGCTAGTGCCGCAAACCTCGGGGCCAGATCCACCAACCCGGACAGCATCACGCTAGGTTTCTTCCAGCTCCCGTCTTGCGTGCTTTGTGATGGCGGCATCCCAATGATTCCGCCATCGAGGAAGTGGCACCCTCGGTCCCCGTCCGTGGTTGTGGTTGGCTCGTCGAACTGCGCCGCCACCTCCGACGCCAGTCGGGCGGGTACCGCGTTGAGCTCGAGGTAGTAGAGCTTGGACCGCTTCGGCTTGCTTTCTAGGTCCTCTATTGCCTCTCGGAGACTGCCGGTCGATGGCTGTGCGTATGCATCTGCTATTCGTCGCGCTGTCGCCACTGCGTGCCGTGGTGGCACGATCGAAAGTACGTAGTCGGCTTGGATTACTAGTGCTTGGTCTGAAGGGAGGATCTCGATTCCTGTGGAATGGATTCGCGCCAGTGTGTGTTCACTGCCGGCCGTTAGTGAGCGGCTTTGGTTTTCGCCTCTGGTGTCGTACCTTCTTCCTTCTGCGACCGTGACAACTCGGTAATCGTGGGCTTTTAGGAGTCTGGCCATACCTAGGCCCATGTCTCCGATCGACACAATTCCAACTGTAACGGGTCTCATGGTGAGTGAAGGGATTGTCTCCTGGTGTCTTGGGATGAATAGTAGTATCTTTTAAAGTAAATCAGCAAAACACCGAGTACTTGTATCAACTTATACTGCGGGGGTATATTCGCTCCATTTGTCAGCGATATGGTAACAGCCTTGGGAGATTGGTTGTAAGTCTGCACGATGTCGTTATCGTCGGATTGTCGTGATTGTCCCGATCCCCAGATGTCGTATGGAGTGACTGGACCGAGGATTTAAGCTTATCTTCACCTCTTTTCCTGTGTCCTTCTAGAAAGGTCTTTCTAGACAGGGGCCTTTAAATGCTATGTCCATTATTGACCTGAGATGAACATTCATTCCCTAATTCACGCATGGAGATCGGAAAATGGCTCGGGATATCCATGGCCACATAATGTATACAATCCACTGGCATGCATACATATATATTTGGAGATGGCCAGGTCCTTGGAGATACTTGGAGGCACTCGTAAGCATTATATAGGCACAAGGTTTTACGGGAGTTTGGGGTCACATCATTACATAGTCCTTCTCGATTTTATTCAATAGAATTGAGTGATCATTACTACATATGTACTACATCCTGGTTCCAATTTCTTATCACTGTTACAGAAGAATTACTATATATGAATGGGGACTGAGGCCAAAAGACATTCATTGGATGAGGATATGTAGTTGCAGCAACTGCTATGGTAAAAATATTGCTAGCCCCCATACTGCCTTCCATAACTGTCACACCACTTCGCATTACATTTCCTTGAGATCTGATTTGGGGTTTCAAATTTTTATTGCTCTCAAGACAACCTCCCCATGGTATCCATAACAAGGTACTTTGTATGTACCTACTGCGAGTGACTCCGAGGTGTTCTGGACACGCCGGCTTTCGAGGGCAGCATTGACCGCCCGGTCTAGTATACATCATTCTTAACAATTGTCACTTCCACACACACTCTATCTCACTCACACGGATTATTCCTCTCGCCCTTTCTCCTTTTTCTCTCCACTTTCATGATCTCGCTATTTCTCTATGGAGATGGATGCACAAACCCTAACCAGGCGGCACGATGTTCTAAAGAACCTTCGTCAACGAGTCCAGGACTGGGAATACTTCTTTCTCTCCCCTAGCGATCTTCAAGGTCTCGGAATCCAAGCTTTTCAAGTGGGAATAACAGATCATGGTATTCTGCAATTTCAACCATGTTTTTTCCTGCCTCACCCGGAGAGAGTCCTCGAAAAATATCCCTTGGACACTTCGGTAATCGAGGCCCATAACTATGCAAAGCTGGATAACCGCCCAGACTTTGATTCCCATTTGAGAGACGTCCTCACAGACTGTCCAAATGCAGAAGACCCTCTCACACTTGCACGGCACTCTTATGAGGAAGCCATGATGGTGTCGGGGCCGGACCAGTGGGAGACCCATGCCCGAGATACACAGTACTATATGTACTGGCAAATGGGTCAGCACCGGAAGGGGCGACCGACATGCTCTTCTCTTCTTGACCTTGGATCTCTTAGAGTGCAGCGGTAAGTAAATAGTGAGGATTTTCAGGGGTTTGAATACATATGCTGAATACCAACCAGGACGAAAGGAAATAGAAATGACCCCTGGACTTGTGAGAGGGGCTTTGGCCCACACTGGCGGATCGAAAGCGTCCTAGAAGACGGTGACGAAAGCTCACCTATGCCACATGCGATTATGGAAACTATCGCACACGTCCCTGCAAATCATAACGACCAGTGTCTCACGCTTCATGAAGTAAGAGCTATAGTCGTCATGATGCTCATTCGAACATCTCACAGGCCCTTCCGGAGATATCCTATCCATCCAGTAAGTAACTTACCTAAGTACACTGCATGATAGTCTTAGGTCTTACTAACCCCTGTCTCTACCTATATATAGTTATTAGTTCTCTCCTATATGGGCGAACAGCACGGAAGGATCATTCAAGCTTCATTTGATGGAGACATTTTGGTTCTACAGTATTCTCAACTGTGGAGCTTCGAGAACGAGGATACAGCACCGGTGGAACTCTTCATGCGCTACAATATAAGCCAGCCAGTTGGACTGGAGAGATCGGACGTTTGTGTTCGATCACTTGCGGAATCAGTAGCATCAATGAGCTTAACATAAATATCTAATACTTAATACTAATAGGCTAGGTAGTTTAATAAAATGAAAGATATACATTTTCTTGGGGCTATGGCCCGTTGTCTATTTAAAATAGAGCCCAAATAGATCTTCTGCGTCCCGAGGACTACGTAGTCGACCTTCGGCCTCAGGCAAACAGCGGTAAAGGGCCAGACGGGGCCGGGCCCGAAGAATAGAGCCTCCCATTGGACAGCGTGGCGGGCCGTCGCCAGCGGGCCCGAAGAATTACTTCGTCCTATTGGACGGTGCGTCGGTGTTCCGGCCTCGATGTGAAATACGGCCCGGTGATTGGCTAGATAATAGGTATAGTGAACTGTTCTAGAAGTATATAACTAACAACTGAGGTTAATATCTGGTAGTATAATATTAAAAAAACTACGCTCTTCATTTCAATCTATCTGATATCTATCCTAAGATGAGCAATAGGAGGTCAAGCGCCCCCGACGAGGGCTTCCAAGAGACGAAAGACCTCGAAGCAGCCAAACCCACAACCCTAACTGAGCCCTCTCTCGATTCCGATACCAACATAAACCCAGATCTCGTCACATGGAGCGGACCAGATGATCGAGCAAACCCAAAGAACTGGTCTAAGAGTTTAAAGTGGAAGAATACTTGTGCTATCTCCCTCTTCGTCTTCATCTCGCCAGTCTCATCATCCATGATTGCCCCGGCCATGCAAGATCTAGGCAAGGCCCTAGGGATGCACTCCGACCTCGAAATATACCTATCCATGGGCATCTTCATCCTAGCCTACTCCATTGGCCCCACCTTCTTCGGTCCAGCTTCGGAGCTCTACGGCCGTGTGCGTCTGCTCCAAGTTAGCAACGTGTGGTACATAGCTTGGAATCTGGGATGCGGTTTCGCCCAGACAAAGTCCCAACTCTTTGCTTTCCGCTTTCTTGCCGGCATTGGTGGCAGTGCGCCGCTCGCAATTGGAGGAGGTGCCATTAGGTTAGCGAAGGAATTAAAAAATCCCCGAGAAATCCTACAATCACTAACCAGTCTTACATGCAGCGATATGTGGAGCGCCGAAGAACGTGGCAAGGCCATGGGCATCTACACTCTTGGGCCACTTCTCGGACCTGTCATTGGACCAATTGCAGGTGGCTTTATCGCCCAGTACTCGACATGGCGCTGGGTCTTCTGGGCAACCTCTGCCGCCGCCGTCATGGTCCAGGTTGCCGGGTTCATCTGGCTGCGTGAGTGTCATCCGGCTACGCTCCTACGCAAACGATGCGACATTCTCATCCAGAAGACGGGAAACAGCAATATGCATACCGACGAGAAGGTAGAGACGCTTGTCTACAAGCTTCTACATGCCTTCGAGCGACCGGTACTTCTGTTTACAACACAGCCCATCGTCTTCTGCATGGCCATCTACATGGCCTATCTCTTCGGCGTAACATACCTCATGCTTGCGACGTTCCCGGATATCTGGACAGAGGTATACCACGAGAGTCCCAGCATCGGCGGACTAAACTACATATCCATCGCCATTGGGTCATTTGCCGGCCTCTTCTTCAACCTCAAGCTAGTCGACCGAATATATAAGACCCTCAAGGCGCGAAACAACAACATCGGCAAGCCCGAGTACCGCATGCCGTCGTTGGCCGTCGGCTCTGTTATTAGCACCATCGGCCTCTTCTGGTATGGCTGGAGTATCGGGAATACGCACTGGATCATGCCCAATATCGGGGCGCTGATCTTCACCGCAGGCACGATCTCCTGTCTGCAGGGCATGCAGATGTATATTGTCGACAGCTATGAAACCTACGCGGCTAGTGCTATGGCGGCCTGTGCTATCCTGCGCAGTCTGTGTGGCTTTGGGTTCCCACTCTTCGCTCCGTATATGTATTCGTCTCTCGGCTATGGCTGGGGCACGAGTGTGCTGGCTTTCATTACCATGGCTATTGGTTGGTCGGCACCTTTTGCATTTTATTTCTTTGGGCCTAAGCTCCGTGCCTTTTCCAGGTACGCTGCTGGTTAAGTCGGGAGTGGATTGTGATGTGAGAGGGTGTGCTGAATGCAGCGGGCTGTCTAAAATAGCCAAGTTTGTGAGGATTTGGCTGACCAGGAATTCGGGTGTGAATCAAAGGTTATACATAGAAAAGTCGTTTTGCACAATTTAAGCTGTTTTCACCTATATTCTAGCAACAATACCATAAGGGGGGAAATATCTACAAAAATGACATCTAAAATGACAACCAAAAAGACGTCACAAGGGAGCCAAGCTTTATCGCTTCTTGCTGTCTCATCAGTTCCTGTTACAGAGTCAGAAGCTTATTCACGAGCGTTACTGAGAGCCACTTGATCTATAGTTTAGGAAGTCTTTGGGCACTCCTAACAAACCTTTCGACACTAACCCATACGCGGGCCCGTACTATCTGTCCCTTAGAAGCTCATTCCGGCTTCTCCCCTGTTGATCCGGATCTATCGCAGACATAACCACCAGTTACCTCGAGAATGTGGACTCTTGACGCGAATCAAAGCCCAGGGGCAGAAGCCACCCACTCAGCCCAGGCTGGCTCCTCAACACAGCTGATCCCAAAAGACCCAGTCTGAAGGGTCAAACCCGCCATTTAAATCTAGGCCTGTCCCATCAATGTTGCCAAAAGCTTCATCAAAATCACATGCACCGTCTGGACGCACAAGCTTGGTGGTTCCTCCTCCTTCTTCCATGCTCTCCTGCTGCCCATGCCTGCGCTCTTTCGGTTCTTGTTGGGCATACAGCGCGGTTATGAAAGCCGGCTCTGGGGACGACAGACTTGGGGGATTCGCAAGCCAAGCCTTGAGGGTTAGCTTACCAATTGTGACGTATAGGGTTCTTTTGCCCTTGACAAGTTCTTCGTGATTTGAATAGACATCTGCAACCTTGTTCCAAGAACTATTAAGCTCAGAGCTTGAGTAGAATCCGATATCTGCGATACTATGTAGAATGCAGAGAAGGGCATCCCACAGGAAGAAGGCTTGCATTTGCCATCGATACTTCCGCATGCTGGGGTTGCTGTAGATAGCGCTGGTTGTATCGAGGATCCTTGCTGCGAGCGCACAAATATCTCTCCTTTGCGTATCTGTAATGGTTTGCGTCATCAGCAGCGGCATTCGAGCCCGCAGTCGAACAGCATTGGTCGCAGATCGTGCGATTCCAGTCGCAAAAAAGTGCAAGGGATTCAGGATATCGCAGTATCGAAGAAACTTAGTCTCGATGAGATCTTCGACCTCGTCAATAAGCCTTTCGACATCCTCTGCATCCTTAAATTCAATTGTGGCACCCATTTCTTTCAATTTGACTCCGGTTCGAGTATAGAAATTGGAAAGTTCCATCCGAGACAAGCAAAAAATCATTTCTGTGGCGCTTCTCTGTTCGAGGGGCGGCTCTGTCATACCAGGGAAAATCTGATCATCGTTGATATTCAAGGGTTGCTTAGTATCCCAGCTATTCGGCGATAGAACGATACCAGTGCCGGAAACCTGACCCGCATAGCTGTCCAGCGGAAGTAGCTGCCAAAAAAGTCGTCGTCGCATCTGAACCTCAAAGGGTGGCAATCCGAGGTTTTCACCATCACGGTGGAGCCCCATGCGTTGTGCGAGGCGAATTGCAATACCGGTCAAAATCCAAAACGTGTCAGAATCCATTTGAGTGCGCATGGCAATGAGGAATAGTGTATAAGCCTGTAATACCGGCATTGATGTCGTTTTCAGCCACGACGCATTAATAAGTGCCTGGTGTACAGCAGTCCGATATTTTGACATCAAATCGTTCCTCGGTTGGTTGAACTCTTGTAAACAGTCAGTGTGCGACATGGAGAACACAGCGAAATAGTATATGACAAAAAGCAGGCATTCGTCGCTCTTCGAGGCCACGGAGGGTTGTTTTGAAACCGTATCGACCATTTTTGCGACAGTCGGAATATGAAGAACCTTGCACAGAGATTCTACGTTTTGCACGTACGCATTCCAGAGCTTGGTCGCCTCCTCATAGCTAGGTTGTAGCCCGGTGATGCTCTGCGTGCTTCCGAGTATGGCCCCAGAGATGGTGTGTGCTGCGAGGATGCCCAGAAGACCCGTCGGGGTGCTCTCATCAGCTCTGGTATCCTCGTGATGGCTGTCATCCTGGTCGGAATCGGATACTTCACATAGGTCGCCCTCTCCAGCATCAAGGAGAACACTGTCAATATAGCGAGACTTGCCATCGGCGGACAGAAGTTTACCCGAGTTGGCGGGTTGTGAGTCCAGAGTTGGGGTTGGGTTCCGTGCGCTGACCACTGATGCCTCCGTCTTCTGGTCGGATGGGGTCGATGCAGAGGATGTATGGAGAAGATTGTTATCGTGCAAGATGCGCTCGTACCGCGCTAATCGCTCATGTACGTCTTCGAACTGACTTTGCTGTCTCTGTCTCTTTCGCGACGGGGGAGCCTGGTAGACGCACTGAAGCTTTGCTTTGCTGCAGCTCGAACATGCTGGCACCTTCTTATTGCATTTGGTTTTCTTTCGCACGCAAGCTTGGCAGTTGAAGCGCATTGTGGTCAATTCGAGGCTACCTTGGACAGCGATGAAGGGTGTCCGAGCCGGCGCGGGAGCAATTGGGACCAAGTGCGAGGCGACAATATCGACATCCATGACTTGGTAGTACCGATTACCTCGGCGCTTCACAGCTCTCGGCTCTCGAGATGTAGGGTGAGATATGTATTGATGTGATGATAGTAGTAAGTTAGTGGTAGCTCCACACGCCCCCACTTTTTCCTTAAATATTCACCAATAAGATCAGATTACTCCCAGATACATAGTACACTAATAATTATCCTTCTAGCTATAACACTGAGAAGAAAAGATGTCTAAAAAGATATCTAAAAGATACCTAAGAGATAGCTAAAACAAATCTAAAGTATATCTAAAAAGAACATTCAAAAAAGACCTCAGAGTGTTATCTATAGCTAGCAAACACTTAGCTCTGGGAGTTCCTCTTCTACATAAATCCCTCCCCTCTTTCTCTCCGACCATTTCCTCCTTACAGACTTAACACTTCTTTATACGTATATCGACCACGGCTCTGACACTACCTTTGAGGTGCTCGATATTACGACAGATACGTCCGTGCCGCGAGTCGCACAACGCTGCAGCAGTACCTGGAAGATATTTAGTACGGCAATATGGGGTTTTCTGGGAACCTGCAGAAACTTGGATACGCGCGCCCATGGAGACGGAAAATCGAGCTCCGATGGTCAATTGTTTACCGAAACGATGAAAACTTCGACGAATCCCCGTGTTATCGCGTTAGGGTGATGCGACGCGCTGAAGTTGTGCTCGAATTTGAGATGCACTTCGAGCGCCAGCCTACCGACGATGATGTTGTGACGCAGCTGAAGAGCCAAGCTTGAGATGTGTTGAATGAACACAATGTGATATTCAGTCAGTTGGGCCACAATTCCGACAATCAACCCCCATCCTAGCTCTCAGTCTAGTCTGGGGTGGGTTGCGGCAGGTGTCAGCTCTGGGCACGCTCAGAGCTCAGCACTCAGCATTAGTTCTGGATATACCAGCCTGCCGACAATTCTGACAGATGCAACGGATGCAGAATGGACCATACCCTGCAGAACGACAGACGAACAAATCGTGAACGGGTCTCTGATGATTCTCAGGACTCTTACAATCAACGTTCCGGGTATAGCCTGTCATGAACTTCCGGCCCCAGACCGTTCGGTACTGTGTATTTTGGTCGTAACCAAATGACTACCTACACCGACAGTTATCTCGAAGGGCACCATATCCGCGAAGTCTTCGCCATCGTCGAGGTGAAGGCGGCGCACCGAGACCGGAAAACCCGTCCCGAGATTCTCCGGCAAGAAGCTGCACAGATGGTTGCATGGATCATGAATGATGCGAACTCCCGGCAGTGTCCTCTTGGCCAGTAAGCTTGATACTATCTCGTTGAAGTCTTCCATGTTGACAAGCACGTATAGACGCCTGATGATCTCACAGGACAAGGAGGAGATCTATTCAACGCTTGCCAGCTATCCCCAGGAATATCTCGAACACATCCTTGGTGGAGAGGCGCTACGCAGCCGTTTCTCACCATGAGAGAGTATAGACGGTGGAGTATTAAGAACGCAATAAATCGCTTGTTATACATAGAAAAGTTCTCTGTATGGTTCTTGCTTTATAACGCCTTCGTATATTGTCGTAGAGTGATAAGCCCGGCATGTCTACTCCGTATTATTATGTATTCATTATCCTTAAAATTATAACGCCGAGAAGAAAAGACATTTAAAAAACACATTTAAAAAAATATCTAAAAAGAACACCCAAAAAAGACATCAGAGTGTTATCACATCATCTTGAGCCACCTCAGATGAATCAGATTATAAAAGTCCTACATAGTTAAGGACAGAGGCATACGCGGCCTATTGTCATTATGGTGATGAGCTTCTGCCTTTCACGGATGAGATCATTCCGGCATTAAGCGTGACGAAGGTGGGTTCAGGGGTCCACGGGTTGTATGGAGTAGTGGAGTGATAGGCAGCCCCGGTCCATCAAAGTTCCCCCCGGAGCACGACGTGAACGGAATTCGGGAGTGCCGACATCCGACCACCCCTCGGACTTTGATTATTCATCTCATTTTTTTCTCTTTCCCTGAAGATTCTAAACATCTGCCTATGGGTAGACATCAAGGAGAGATCGAAATAAGGAACAAAGATCTCCCGCTAGTCTTCGCCATTTCCGCCGGGGCGACTTTTTCGCAAAGTCTTGGCATGAACATTTATGACTACCAGGCAATCCACAACCATCGGCCACCAAGGCAATGAACCAGTCATCTTCCCAGATCGCATTGCCCATGGATTCTGCGCTATGGAGAAGACAGCACCTGAGGGTGGGTTTTGCTTGTCGCTCCGAGTTCCACTATTCCGGCGGACTCCGGTTAGGGGGAATCCAGCGTTGCTAACGGCGATATAACATCTATCTAGGCTTGTGAGATGTGCCATCGAAAAAAGACCAAGTGTGAGGCTCAAGGGTCTAGTTCAATTTGCGTGCAATGCATGCGCCGTAATACGCCTTGTGTCTTTCCGGTCCAGCATGAGAAGCGGGATGATCAGCAAAGGTACGGCGATATCCAGCGCTATTTCCCGATCTGCTTTTTGTCGATCATGGCTAATGCTATCACAGTAGTGACGAGTATGCCAGGTCTTTGAAAGACCGCCTCGTCAGGGTTGAGTCGTTGTTGAGGACGGCAGGCATCTTGCAAGAGAGCGATATGAGCCAAGACGACTTGTCCGATGAAGATGATGACGGACCAGCTATTCAAGACATCTCATCTAATTCCAGTCCAAAGTCAAATTTCGGGGCCTCTCTTTGCTCACAGGGTGGGTTCATCGAGCGAACACCCATCTTCCCAGCGGACGAAAGAGATGATTCTCGATATTTCGGTAAGATAGGGCTCCCAGTACGGCCCATGTGATATAGAACCGCTGAGACTAACTCAACGGACAGGGACATCGTGCTCATTGTCAATTCTATCGCGAACAGGTATAGAGTGGATTAAGAGCAAAACGGGCGATGTCAGCTTCTTGCGAATTATATCTCCTGAATCCATTCATGAAAATCCATGGAATCAATGGCGACCAGACGTGTTCCACGACCTGTTTGCCTCGAAAGTTTTTAAGCCTTTGCCATCAAGGTCGGAGGTATTCTCTCTTATGAAAGATTTCTTCCGGACGGCCAACCGTCTGTTTCCTATCTATCTTGAGTCATCATTTATGAAAATGGTCGAATGGCAATATACGCAGCAAACCTGTGATGATGCTGCCCGTTGGGCCAACATAAACATGGTAATCTGCCTGGCATACGAATATCGATCCTCGAGTAGCTCCAAGTCAGAAAAAGACAAGGAGAAATCCGAGTTATACTTCAAAAACGCCATGTCGGTTTTCACGGAATTAGCCTTGAAACGCACAGATCTACTAAGTATACAGGCTTTGATTAGCATGGTACGTCTCCTGCTCCTTTGGCTCCTACGGAAGCATCTAACAATTTGCAAAGGCGTTCTTCCTTCGGGGGAATTCTGGAACTCAATCAGCTCTGCCACTCATCACTGCAGCTATGCGGTCCGCTCACCGAATGGGGCTTCATCGAGATATTGCAAGACCGGAACTTAGTCCGGCTGAGCAAGAGGAAAGGCGGCGCGTTTTTTGGGTTGCATTTGTCATTGATCAAAGGTAACAGAAGTCCATTTTAGATATCGTCTTACGTACTAACACAATGTTCCAGTACATGCCTAAGAATTGGAAATGCCCCAGCACAGCATCAAGATGATTTCGATGTCCCTCTTCCTGAAGAACTGGACGGTGATAAGCATGGTGAAACCGCAAGCAACATTTCATTCTTCCGCGAGCTCTGTCAGATGTCGCTCATCAAGAGCCACATTTACAGTCGATTGTACTCCGTTAAGGCATTAGAAAAACCTCCCGTTGAAATCTACAAGGCGGTTAAAGAACTACATGCAGAGCTTGAAGAATGGAAACGCAAATCCCCAACTCTCGCTCAACCGGAAATCAAATATACTGAACGCGACTTCCTGTTTGGCTTTGCCTCTATTGGTCTCCATTTCGTCTATCACAATGCTGTGATCATGATTCACCGGGTACCTATCTTCCTTAACTACATGATAACAGCCAGAAAGGAATCAGAGGAGGTCGTGTCGATCAGCAAAGCCCATGCCTTGAAATCAGGAGCCATTGGTGCACAGGCTGCCCGAGATACCTTGAAGGTTGTCAATAACATGCCATGGGGAGACATCGCATGGACCTGGTAATTACAACAGTCTCCTGGTTTATATCAGCTTTATTTCTCACACTCAAACCTCAGGTCATTATTATACTACGTCTTCCTATCAGCCTCGACATTATTCTCAAATATCCTGCGAGATACTCGCCATTCAAGAGTGCGAGCAGACCTTCAATCTCTCAACATGGTTTCGGCCTTCTTTGCAACTCTCGCCCCAGGTGAAGGACCAAATACTTACGCCGGTTTCATGGCCCGAATGAGCGCGAGCCTCGAACGTATCGCCAGAATCGCCATCGATAAAGACGCGAAAAGAGCCCGCGCCCCAGACGAAGAAGACCAAGAATATAAACCACCAGGAGCCAAGAAGCATACCCCTCGGACACAGCCAGCACACCACCAAAGGCAGCACCGCCGACCCACAACTCTCCGCACAACAATGACCCCCGCCACAGCTCCCGGGTATCCAACAGCAAGCACCGCCAACCCCGACAGGATAGACTTCAGTATCCCCGATACACTAGAAGGCCTTCCGCCAGTCAATTCCTCGGGCTACGTCGTCCCCATGAGCCCAATGCCAGACCCAGGCGACAGCAGCCAAATCCAATTCCCAAATCTCGCCAATCCACCCAACACATACTCACCTTCAACCACATTCCTCCACAAAGCAGGTGCCAACACCTTCCATACACCCCCAATCCCGTCCTGGCAACTATCCCGAGACTATTCCACAACCACAGCCCAAGCCCAAGCCCAAGGATCATCAGGCATGACCTCCAACCCCCTCACCACCATCAACTCCCCAGACTCCTTCACCAGCCCCGCCAACTCAATCCCGGATTTCTTCCAGTACCCAATGGACGGCGACTGGAGCCAAGGCGGACATCTCCTCGGCGGACTCTTCCCAACAGAATACGCTTTTCCGCCCCCCATGCCAACAGGCTCTCAGTCTATGGATTCGTATCCTTCCATGTCGATCCTATCGGCTGAGTCGTTTATCCATGGTGCGCCTGCTATTGACGGCCAGACTGCTCAGGCTGGTGGATTCGATCCTCAGAGTCTGGGGTATGATTATGTGCCGCAACAAGGCCAGGAGGATCCGAATCAGCGGGCTGATCCAGTCTGGCCTAACGGGTTTTTGGGGTTGTTTTAGGGGTAGATCGATCGGAGTGTTCTTTTTTGGATTTGTTGTTCTCGTTAGCGTTGTCTTTTACCTTTTTCCTATACACAACTTCTTTACTCTCTTCGTTGTATATGCATTAGCCAGGATTCACGAGTGTTGATGTAGCCACTATTAGTGTGGTATAATAGAAAACAAATGATCAATGAGTGGATATGAAAATAAAGACTAGGTATCAAAAGAACGCCCAGCCAGATCCCGAAGTCAAGATATCCCATTGTCCCGCGCCATTGAACCCAAGAAGGGCATGAAAAAGATTTGTTCTGCGCCTTCCTTCCCAAATGCAGACCCAACCCATCCAATAACCGAATCATAAAGAGCAAATAATCGAGAACTAAAACACAGATCCCGTGAGCGTGCGCACTGCCTTGCACCACACGCCGTTTCCTAGCTGGACATCACCGTCCTTATCCCGACCAAGGCCTTTGCCAAGAATGCTTTGCAACTCCTTGTTTGAAAGACCAGACTTGCTGCCTGTTCCGAAACCGTAGACCTTCGTCGCCAGAACGTCAATATCAAAGTCCAAGAAACCGATGGTGTTCTCTGCATTGGTTTTATCAATGCGGGTACGGACAGTAAAGTCAACATCGATTCTCTTGGCACTGCTGTTCTTCGAGGCAGCGCCTTTACGGCCAGGTGTGGAGACGGTGGCATTGCCGAGAAGCGTGCAGCGTGTGCGTAAAGAAAGAGAGCCCTCATCAGGCTTGGATAGGGTGAGGCGGGTGACACCACAAAATTCCAGCATGCGCGCTTCGTTTTCAAGCCCAACTGTGCGGTCCCATGCGCTAGAGATGAAGCGCAAGAGCTGCTTGGGTGCGACAGTGGATTGCTGGATGGTAGTCAGATGGTGCTGCAGCGAGTGGAGGACCAAGGATGCAATGGGAGAAATGTTGGCATTCTTTTGGGAAGTCAGTTCCATCGGGTAGTTCTTTCCCTCGTCTTGACCGTTGTTTTTGGAGGCGAAAGCTCCAGGGTAGAACTCTAGTTGGAGCTGGTCCCGGTAAGCCATCTTCAATAGAGGTCCCTCGGCATCTGAAGGAGTTGAGGCCGAAACGATAGACCAGCCCGTTTGTTGCTGAATTCGTTGGACGGAGGCTAGTTTTCTCAGTAGTCAGTATTCCATCCACAAAAAAGGACTCCACAAGGGAGGTGGGGGAAAAGCTTACCCTTCAATTCGTTGATCTCCCGGGCACTCCAGCCACGGCACTCTTCTTTCACGCGCTCTGCCTTCTGGATTTGAGCCAGGAACTCATCCCGCATTTCCGCCCCGGCCTCGATGATGGTCGTCTTCTCCTGGACTTCCTCCTGCAACTGCTCCAGTTCCCGTCTCTTGGCTGCAATTTCGGAGTCCACCTCAGAGAGCTTGCTGCGCGTACTGCGTAGCTCATCTTGATTACAGTTCTCCATCTCATCCACCAACTGTTGTAGATTGGTTGCCTCTTGCTCGAGAGAGGCGTGCTTCTCCACGAGTAGCGGCACGTTCCTGTTAAGCAACTCTTCTCGTTCAGATAGCAGATCGTCGTCTGCTTTCATTTCGTCCGCGTGGCGGATGAGCCCTTCCTTTAACCCCTCAAGCAACTTCATCCGCCATTCGTACCATGTGGCCTTACTCAGCAGGCGGGCATGGGTCTTGACGTTTCGGAATTGATTGTCCATGATGACTCGGATATCTGGCGGAGCGGTGACATACTCCTTGAAGAGAGCTGGATTCTCGGCATATGTTTCCGCCTCAATAGAGCGGATCACTTGCCGGCCTTCAGAGATGTAGGATTTCAACTCCCGACATGACTAGAGACAGTGTGAGCAAAAGCAAGAGTGTGCGGGTATAGTAAAACTTACATGCTGGTACAGTTCAAGCATTGGCACTGTGCAAAAGCCAGCTGCTACACAATCATCAAATGTTATGGAGCCTGGTTTAGGCATGTTCTCACCAGAGGGTCGTGTCAGCTTCTTGGTGGCACTGCCAGGGGCAGTGGTGTGTCGTCTCTTTGTCGTAGTAAGTTCCATGAAATGAATATTGGTCATTTTCAGGAAGTCCTGCAACTGAATAGACTCAATTTCTACAGGGGGTTCTTCAATAGGAGCATTATCTTCTTCTTCTTCCGGCCGTTGAGGATCAGAAGCGATATGAAGAGCATCAATTCCATGCTTGAGAGGAGTTGTCGACGTCTGGGAAGCACTCCGTGGTTGCTGGGAAGGCGTGGTGCTGCCCTTGGGAGGCGATGAGCTAGCAGCTCTACGGACGGGCGAAAGAATTGACCGACGAACATTGCCTTCCCTAAACATCGGTGTTGGCAACTTGACACCTTTGACTGGGCTGACATTGTGGCCACGGAGTCGCTTGGGCGAATTCTCGACTTCATCTTCATCTAAGTCCAGCTCGACCGGGCGCTTGCCCAGAACCCCGCGAGCAGCCCCAACATGGAGACTCTTGCGACTGCCAATCCTAGTCTTCTTCGGGCTCAGATTTGAAATCATATCCTTCAAGCTTGGGGTTACGTCCCGATCTGACTGCGACCCTGTGATATGGCCGTCCTCTCGGAGTTCCTCTTCTTCGCGTTCACGTTCTTCTTCAGCCTGCATCTGCAGAGGATCCTCGAAGCGTACACCGGATCGGGGCTGTTCTTGCGGAACGAACTGGGGCGTACTATCTCCAAGCGACTGGCGCCTGTCAAGTAAGGCCGCCACGCGAGGAGATCCAAGACCTTCTTTGTCAATTCCTAGACCAGAAGAGCGACGGCCCTCGCGTGGTTGCAACTTGAAGAGCGGGGTTGACTCTCCCGTTGCTATGTTATGCTCGAACAGGCTTTGGCGTAGAGACTTGCGCTTATCTGCTGATTGCTGGAGCTCGGGCTGGAAGAGCTTCTTTGGTGATGCACTTCTAAAAGTAACATTGCTGGAGGGAGGTGTCTTGCTTGGGGTGGTAGGTTTCGCTTGGGGGGTGGACTGTTTGGGCGGAGTCAATGGCTTCGTGTTTGGTGATCGTTGCCGGCTGGCCGACCCTAGCGTGCCCGATGATCCTGGAGTGGAGCTACGCCGGGAAGGCCTAGCTCGCACAGCTGCCAAACTGGGGCTCCCATTTTCGGATGCAACAGCAGCAATTTGATAAGCCAGAGGTGATTTAGCAGGGGACTTGGCAGGAGACTGCCGAACATTGTCTTGGAAAGGCGAGCTAGCAAGCTGGCCCGAGTCGGTTTCGAGCTCCATTATCATCTTCGCGTGCACTTTGTCATTGGCTTCGATCCCTGACTGTAGGATACCACCAATCGCACCAGTCATCTCCATGTCCATACCATCATCAGACTCATTGTCTTGATCGAAGTTCATGTGATCAGAGTTGGAGGCATAAGTAGGCTGGTTGCCCAAGATTTTGCCAACGGCCGAAGTGAATTCCATTGTCATTCCTTCATCCTCGTTGCCAATCTCTGAAAATTTTGATGGCGAATCCTCCTGCGCGATGCCACCGACGACATTGGTCATCTCCATAGTCTGATCCCCGTAATTTGATTCTTCTGCCACGGAATGGCGACGAGCCGTGCTCTGGCGACGGCCGGGAGACTTGCCAAGAATGCGTCCTACGGCATTCGTCACGTCCATGCTGAGGTCTTCGTCGATATCATCTGATTCCGGTAATCCTTGAGAAGTGGCATCCTTGGATGGATCGAGGTTCTCCTCATCCTGTCGCGTGCTAATATCTCCCCAGTCAAAGCTCTGTCTTTGGCCCTTTTTGATCCACGGTTGGAAAGCACCGGTTATTTCTTGATCCGCAATTTCCATTGACATCTCTCCGTCCTCATCAAGTTCGGTTCCTGCTTCCTGTGCGGCCTGGCGCAGTGCTTCGTTGAGTCTGGCACTAGAGCTTGAGCTAGAAGTTGCGTCTGATTGGACACTCATACCTGAGCGCGCCGTCATATCATCCATGCTCATTGCAGTACTCTCGGCATCAAATCCATCGTCGGAGTCTGGAGAATCGCCATCGTCCTCTTCTCCAGCTAGGCTTTGGGCGCCGGTGTCTTCGCTTCCTACTGAGCTTCCGCTGAACGGACTAGAAGATAGATCATGGGCGCCATCGTCGCCACCCCCAGATGATGAGCGACCTCTTATCTGGTCCAGATCTTGTGTGCGGACAGGGGAGAATCCGAATTCCGACTCTGCTGGCGAAGACGGGGCATCTTTAGTGGGCGAGACGGGGGCAGGTTGGTCCTGGGAGTTTGCGGCAGCAGATGCGCGTCTTGTTGAGTTGGCGGCAGAGGAGGAGGTTGAGTCGTCGGGAATTTCCACCACGTTCCAGGTGTGTAGAGTTGCCTCGGGGGCAAAGGATACTCGGCGATTTGCTGTGTAAATGTGTCAATACTCACTTCTATGATAAAATGGAACACACGAACCCATTGATTTCCTCCGCGCCGCTCGTTTCTCTAAAATATTTTGTCGTTCACGATCTTTGCGCTCCTGTTCGTCGCGCTCCTTGGTAGCAGCCATCTCCTCGCGTATGGCAGAAGTCGCATTAAATGTATCAAACGGGTTCGCCGTGTCGTCATTGTCATTATCTGCAGTGGGAGGTCCTGGTGTTGTTTCAAAGTCAATCAAGAGACCCTCTTTCCCTTGATCACTTTGGCCCTGTCCGTCCATCGTGCCGTCATGTGTCTGCTGTTTACTACGAGCTGGTGTACGTCGGCGCGTTTCCTCAAATGACGGGATGGTTCGCACTGGAGAGACAGGGACTGTAGGTTTGAGAATAGACTTTAGTGGGAAAGAAGCCGTAGACTATAGATATTTTAAGTCAGAATTGTTCTGCGTATGCGCGCGTGGTGTTCCGTTGGTAGCTACCTGGCGACGATTGCCGTTCGAATTCTGGAGGGCATCAAGTCCACCGGGCCCCAAACTCTTGCTCCGAGACTTCTTGTCTTTCATAGTAGGCTTTGTATTATTCGAAAATGGCTGAGCTGCGCCAATTTCAAGTGTCGCATTCTCCTTGTCCAAACCAGACGTCATCCTAGACCGCGGGACATGAGCGATAGACCGACGAGCTCGTGGCGGTCGCAAAGCCGCGGAGTCGGGTCGAGTTGACATTGTCGGCGAGCGAATCGGCGCATTCACAGATCAATTCAAGATTGCATACTCCGTAAATCCTAACGTTGAGATCTCTAGATCAAACAAGACTGAGCCTGTAATCTGCTCCTATCGCACCTGCCCAAAGCGCGTTGCCTCCGCAATCACGTGATGTAAACAAAAGCGCAGAGCCCTAACCCCAATTAGCCTAGTCCCGATCGGGACTAGTGTCGCACACTACGAATTACCAAAGATTCCGACGGGCAACGAATCTTCCTCATCTTCGACAGCCGCCAACCCGACCTTTCTTCGACACCGCTTCCTCGTCGAACAACACCGCAAAAATGGCCACCGAGTTGACCGTCCAGTCGGAGCGCGCTTTCCAGAAGCAGCCTCACATCTTCCTTAACACCAAGGCTAAGGCTTCCTCCAAGAAGACTGCCCAGGGCCGCCGCTGGTACAAGGATGTCGGTCTCGGTTTCCGTACCCCCAAGACCGCCATTGAGGGAACCTACATCGGTATGCACGACCTCCGTTGAGTTTTTATTCGAAATATGGTGGCGGAATATACGGGTGGGTGGTCTTTTCACGGATATAAAGAGCGAATGGAGGATCGCATGGAGCAATTGAGGGGCCTGGAATCTCTGTCGTTTCCCTCTCTCGCCAATATTCGCATTCGATACTTGAACTCCCGAACCTCGAAAAGACCACTCATGCCAAAAAATATCCGCAATCACCAAATTCCTTGTGTCAAATTACTCATTTTTGAACCTTTATAGACAAGAAGTGCCCCTTCACTTCCCAGGTGTCCATCCGCGGCCGTGTCCTCGTCGGCAAAGTCGGTGAGTTGAATCAGAACTGTCTTTTTACAAGACAAGGGGATTTACTAACGAGTAATCTACAGTCTCCACCAAGATGCACCGTACCCTCGTCATCCGCCGCGAATACCTGCACTACGTCCCCAAGTACAACCGTTACGAGCGTCGCCACAAGAACCTGTCTGCCCACGTCTCCCCCGCTTTCCGTGTTGAGGAGGGTGACATGGTTACCGTCGGCCAGTGCCGTCCTCTCAGCAAGACTGTACGTTCATCTGTGATCTTTGTCAATTTTCGCCACTGTTGGCAGTCTGCAAAACCACGCACAATTGCACTGCTACAGCACATCGAATTTGGCAGTCCGCATTATTTTTGCTACGAACTTGATAACTGACTCGAAATTTCTCTATAGGTTCGCTTCAACGTGTTGAAGGTTCACGCCAAGACCTCCCGCGCTGTCAAGTCTTTCTCCAAGTTCTAGGTTAATAAACCGGGTGTTTTGAAGGCGAAGGAAGCGGTATGGACTGGATATACGGGAAGTTCTTGGATGGGGGTCGGGATAGTTTATGAGTTTCCATGTCCCAGATACCTCGCTGATGAATGTGTATCCACGCAAAAATCAAAATGATTTGTTCGGCCCTCCTGCGATGGAAACTGTACAACAACTCTGGTACAAGGCAAGATTGACCACGGATGGCAATCTGGACAGAGCCTCTCAATGCGCATATCGAGTTATCTACTTGGTCTTCTAGGTCTAACATTGATACAGTAGGACCTCAGTATGTGTTCTCTATGGTAACTAATGGCCAATGACATACCCAGGGGAAGGGTTGTTGTTTGGCTGTCTGTAGGCGTGGTTTTGATCTGTACCTACCTAGGTACTTGCCTAGATGCCTATGAAGGTATAATCCCGAATATGCCCACTTCAATTGCTTTATTCGTGGGTGCACATACTAGGTACCTACAGGTGTTGTAGATAATTCTTGCAAGGCATTACATACGTTCGGGCAGACAGCGTTGCTAGGAAGTTTTCGCTTTTCATTCAACTACTATCACAAAGGCATATTGACATATTGACTAGGATTTCTCATCTTCACATGGCTGCGCCAAATAAAGATTGTTCAATGTTTTCTTCCACGCCCTTCACATATTCTCAGTTCTCACGAGAAGACCAGTTACGGAATTTTTCGAAAAAGTCCATATCCGTCTGACCATCAAGTTCAAGATGGTGGGTATTTCTCGCTGATTGTGGCAGAATGGTCCCTCGGATCTTGGTTGGTGTCTCAGGATAGATATATTCATCATCGGAGGGCCAGTCCCGCTGCAATGCGCGTTGGGAACTAGTATCTTCAGTATCAGAGGTGAGATCAATCACCTCTTGGTTATGTGCCTGTCCTGAGAAGTGTTCGGGACCATCATTCTCAGGGAAAACTCCACTCGACATCGTCTGATGCGTTGAGAAGTTCCCATCATCCGAGGTTTCTGTCTTATCGCACATTGACATAGATTGAGAATTGGACACACCTTCCGAGTAAGAGGTCCATTCAGAGTCTTCATCGGTCTCCGGCGGTTTGTAGTCCAAATCTGAAAATATGTCAGAGAAATGGGCCTTTTGGGGTATCTTTCCCGGTGTCTTTTGGGGCGTGGGCAATGGGCCCTCACTTTCAGAGTCTGACAATTCCTCGAGCAGATAAGGCGGTGGACTTTGAAGACCGCTGTGGAACTGAGCTCTCTCTTTCGCATACTTCCAACCCCATGATTTGGCAAATCTCGACGCTATGTTTCCCCAGTGGATCGTTGGAACTTCAAGAAGAGTCAACAACTTTGCAAGTGTTCGACCGGACTTAAAAGGCGACTTTCTGTTTAACGCCAGCATCTCGCGCAACTTCTGTTTGCAGCGTGGAGCGCTGCGGATAAGAGGAACTTGCAACAAGCGAGAGATGTCGCGGCGGGACTGTACTATTTTCTCGAAACTTGCGATTTCCACGCTGAACGCAATTGCCTTGGTTGGGATGCGGCCCCAGATAAGGTACTCCCCGTAGCCCTTCCAACTGTAGGTTAGAGTTCTGGTTCGAATTGCGAGTGGAGAAGCATAAAAGACTTTCGTGTCCAGCTTCGAGGTGTCAATAACGGTCACTATGGCACCGTTTTGATTAGCAATGGCACGGTGAAGTGGTGCCAAGGGAGAATGAAATGTCGAAATGAATGGGGTCTTAACCTCCTGCTTGGTTACATGGCTCCGGAAGTAGCTTTCGAATCGTTCCTCAGAGAAGTCTTCCGGGTTGAACCATTCACCATTGCAGAAAAGACCGGCTAGAAAAGTGGTTTTTGAGTTGACTCCTTGGGAGTCACGGTTTGACCACCGAAACAGCAACGGTGGCATTTTGTCGACTGGAACTCCTTGCATGGCCAACTCATGGTCGTGATGGTGGCCTTGTTGGTCATGATGCTGGTGGTTGCGATCTTGGTGTTCTTGGTGTTGATCTTCCTGTTGATCTTCCTGTTGACGTTGCTGTTCTTGATGTTGATCTTGAGGCTGTTGGCCTTGGTGATGGTCCTGCTGGCTCCAATCTTTTTGCTCTTGGTGCCGATGCTGGGGCTGTTGGCTTTGGTCGTGGACTTTGTTTTGGTCAGAATGAGTGTGCAGGCTCTGGTCATCGGCACCATCTATCTCGTCGATAGTTAATCCGTGGTTGCACCAGAGACAAATCTTCCCATGGCTAGTAACAACCGACTCGTCGTTTTCCAGATAGTCAGTCTGTTCCCGGTAGTTGGTTTGTTCCAGAAGGTCGGTCTGTTCTTGATTGTGGCCGACACTCATCGTGATACTTTCACTTGTTTGATCATCACTTTCAGCAAAATAGTGACTCCTTTCCTCTGCTCTTCGCTGGCGCAGTGGAAATGGCACGGGGTGGGGGGTCTGCGGGGGGGACTCAGTTCTCGGGCCCAAGGCCATTGCCACCCGCGTCCCCCATTGAGTAGTGTCGATGTCGTCTTCTTCCTTCTCAAGAAGAGGAAGATGGAGAGTGACTGCGGTGGCCTTGATTCGTTGGATTACATTTCTCCATTCTCCATCCATGTTGAACTCAGTATCCCGATGGACATGAGCCCAAACAAGATCACCAGTGTTTCTCATCCAGTTCCACTGTGCGTGGAGCGTTCTGCCTGGAACAAACCGATGGATTCCACGCTTTCTGAGATATTCTCGGAACATCGAGAAGAAGATCTCTTCTTTCTGTTTGTTGTCGCATCGGAAAAACCGGTACAGACAACAAAGGGCTTGGCGCATGGGGATGTCCCATCTTAGCTTTGGTCTTTTGGGGGGTTTGTGGTTCTCCATTTTCAGTGAAAGAGAAAGGTAAGGGACAATGTATCAGAGGAGTCGCAAGGCTGTAAGAGGTAACTTATGGGAGGGAGTGAAGCTTGTTGAGGATGGCCGAAGGCACCTGAAGGTGAGAGGTGAGGGCTGGGAATGATTGAAGAAGAATGAAAGTAACAGAGGTAGGAAGAACAGAGAAAAGTTAAGAGAAGGGTGCAACTGATAAGAAGGGGTGCAGGTGATCTTGAGGCTCGGACTTGGAAGAGAGAAGAGAAGAAGAGAGAGATCACCAGCCCCATCCCTCGAACATTTTGGGAATAGATATATTGTCGGTCCCATGTATATGACTATACCATCTTCTAAGAAGCCAGTGAAGAGCGACGCAAATTTAATGTCTTTAGCCCAGAAAGAGATCCGGTCTTATTACATACCCCTTTGAAAACTTCCACTCATACCGGGATAAGGTAGAAGTTGAAGATCTCACTATCCTAGGTATGCATTTCTCCCATCTCGGACGGATGAGGCAAATATGTACAAGATAACTGCTTTTCTGGCAAGATAATTGATCAACCTGAGAATCAAGGTCGTATAGACCTTTGTTCTCGCTTATGACTAGCTAGGTTCTAGTATAATCAACAAGTGGACTGTTCCATATATAGTTCGAGTATGAAGCCCTAGATCTACACCTCAAGATACTAGTGGTCTTCTACTTGCCTGGGCTGTATTTTGGAAAGAATACCTTAATCTTTACTTTGCTCTTCCCGTCCAATCAAAATATTTGAAAGAAAATAAAACAAATGAAAGGTTGCTTGTTGTCGTGTTTTCCTCAGTTGTGCAAAGCGAGCTGCCTCTTTACTACGATAACTCCCCAGCTAGCTTGTTGTCACTGTCTATCTACGTTATATTTAATTGGCAAATATTGTCTATATACAAGATACATCGGTAGCGTCACAGTCTTCAACATAAACCAATCAAAACTGAGGAAGTCTTGCTGATGTATATAAATATAATGATACTCTAAATATATAGAAACGATATTATAAGATTCAGATATTATTACCAATAACTGATATATTCAAGGTATTACCATCTGATCACAGTACATATAGCCCATAATCTTTCATATATGATCCAATATCCAAGTTCGATATCATGTAGCATATAGTACTCATATACTACCCCGTGCACACGCGGAACTGCTCACATGCGCTAGTCCCGATTTGGGGTTGCCTCTAGGAACATGCACTCCGCCCCAGGAACTCCCTTTGCCCTCACCCTAGAGATTATCCTACTTGCTATCCTTATCCCTCAATTTGCTTCTCAGCCCATATTCACTCTGTGATTTTTGTTCCTAGCCAATCCTTAACCCGGCCGTTCCGATCGGACTTTGAACCCTTTCCCCTAGAAAACCACCCACTTTCCTAGGCTTACAGCATGGCTCAATGAGCCACGTCATGAACGATACGGATGATTGAAGATTTTCTCGGACACTACAAGGGCATTGATTCTTGGAGCAGGCTCTCCAGTCTTTTCCCACTGTCTTTTGACACACTTACATTCTCCTGAACCATCGAGAAGTTGGACACCGATTCGCGACTTTTAAAAACAACATGCCCGGAGGATTTGAGAAGTCAGTAAAAGGGGCCACGAAGCTCAAGGTCAGTCTGAATGCCACATAAGCTCATTATTTTCTACATGCGACAATTATTAACTATTTGGTGTGAACAGCTTGCGGCCCCTAAATCCAAATACATAGAGAATATCCTTGTGGCAACTCATACCGGCGAGGCAGGAGTTGCAGAGGTATTCCGAACCCTTCAAATACGACTCCGAGACTCGGCATGGACCATTGTTTTCAAGGCACTCATCGTTCTCCATCTCATGATCCGAGAGGGTCAACTGGATGCTGCGCTGGGATACTTGTCCGATAACCCGAAGAAGATCGCGCCCAGCAATTTCTCTGAAGGTTAGACCAGCAGTTCCCTCATAGCGATGTGAGCGCAACTTACTAACTGTTTTTGCAGCCCAATCGCAGGGACATAATATCCGACGTTATGCCGAATACCTTATCACGCGCGCCAAGGCGTTCGAAGCCTCCAAGACGGATCATGTGCGCAGTGGACCGGGACGGCTGAAGAGGATAGGTGTGGAGAAAGGCCTATTGAGGGAGACTGAAATTGTACAGAAGCAAATTCGTGTGTTACTGCGGTGTGATGTGAGTGAATATCCGAATTTGGGCCTTCTTCTTGGTGACTGACAGTGTATAGCTATTGACGGATGAGCCGGAGAACGAGATCAGTTTGACCGCGTTCCGTCTCCTCACACTTGATCTATTGACTCTATATTCAGTCATGAATGAGGGCACGATCAATGTTTTGGGTAAGTCAGAAGCCCCTCCACAGATCTGCATTGGTCTAACTTTGAACCCCAATAGAACACTACTTTGAGATGTCGCGGCCGGATAGTATACGTGCCCTGGCAATCTACAAGACGTTTACAAAACAAACGGAAGAAGTGGTCCAGTTCTTGGGAGTGGCAAGACATTTCCAATCTGCTACTCGCCTGGAAATCCCGAAGCTCAAGCATGCCTCCACAGACCTGGCGCGCCTTCTCGAGGATGATCTTAACGATCCTGATTTCGATCTTCGGCGACGGGAGTACTTGGCCAAGAAAGGCGTACGAGTTCCACCGAGCATGGAAGCCAGTGCGACCGATGTATCAAAGTCAATGCCGAACACACCGATGTCGAACCCGCCGGCGTCAAACCTACCCAAGCAGGCCGAACAACCGAAGCCACCACCTGTGGATCTGATCGACTTTTTTGATTCAATTGAGCAGAACCAGCAGCCAATGGGGCAACAGAACTCAATGCAGTACCAGCAAACAGGGTTCCAACAGCAGTCGCAGCAACCATTCTATCCCCAACAGACTGGCTTCCAGCAGCAGCCTCAGGCGATCCAGCAGCAACCCCAGGCGACTCAACAGCAGCCCTTAGCAACTGGATATGGCCAGCCAGCCCAATATGGAGCGCCTTATCAAGCACAGGGCCCAAACAATCCATTCGGGCAGCAGCAGCAGCAGCAGCAACAACCACAACAACAACAGCCGCTTCAAGCTATGCCCACTGGCGCTGGATTTGGAGGGTACTCCTCCCAGCCCCAATCGTATGGCTTTCAGTCGCAATTGGCTCCTATTCCGCAGGAAGGCATTGCCGCCTTCCCTCAACAACAACAGCAAGCACCTCAGCCCTTGCAGCCCCAGCACACCAATCCATTCCGCCAGTCAATGATGCTCAACACTCCCACGGGCGCTCAGCCACCCGCCGCTCCTCTATCGCGACAGAACACGAACCCATTCGCGAGACGACTATCCACAGCAAACACGCAATATAATCCCTCAAACGAGCAATTTCAGCCTGCGCAACCCCCGCAAGTGCCGCTTCCTCAGCCACCACAAGCGCAGCCAATCCAGCCTCAGCGAACGGGAACCAACCCTTTTGCGCGGGCCTCTCCTGCTCCGCAGCAAGGTCTGCAACCCCCAGCAGCTGCTCCCTTGCAGCCTAACCCAACTGGCAGTACCAACCCTTTCCGACAGAGCCAGTTTATCAATCAGCAGACCGGACAAGGTTGGCAAAACAGTGGGCAGAGTGGTACAATGGGTGGATTAGAACAGCTGAACACGATGCCGATCTTCCCGCGCCCCGGCATGACCTAAACTTAGTGGCCCAACACGATTTGCATGGCCTCGGAATGAAACCGACGTCCGTTAGATTATCTTCACTTGAATATCTCATTCGTTCTATCTCACTTGCTCCCCCACATCGCCTCCACAGTAGACCACGGATGTTTCCGTGTACAACTAGCTCTGATATTACCTACATCGTATGTTGTATATTGTAGATATTGTAGATTTCAAATTATATACGTAATTACCTTCGGGAGCTCCCTCAGATCCAATATTGAAGGCAATCTGACGTCCAATAAAAACAAAAACATGCACGTAGTTTTTTAAACTTCAGTCGCACAGTCTCGGGCTCTACGATGCCCACTTTGACAGGTTTAAGGCTAGTGCTGACAGGGGCGGGAGATCTTGACTACGTCTAGGGCCGTTGGAAATATTCGTAATGACCTCACAGGGGGCCAGAATGCAGATCATCTTTATATAGGGTTTTCTCCGTATATCTGGGGTCCACGGGTGTTTCATGAATATCAAGGTTTTTGTGATGATAGTAGTAGACCACGATATCGAGGTCTCCCTCCACTGTACACATGTGTTATCATTCTTTTTTAACACATGACTTTAGAAAGAACAAGCTCGGTGAATATAACCCCATATTCTCAAGGTCAAGTGGATATTGGAACTTGCGACTGTTGTAGCCCTGGAAAGGGGGGGGGGATTATTATGATTCCGAACAGATAAACAAAGAAAAAAAAAAAGCTCTAAACCCCCTTAAATCATCTTAAAATAAACCTGTCGAATTCCACTAGAGCTCTTAGCGGGGCCGGTGATTCGTTCTGCAATGTGAAGAATCCAAATTTCCTGTGATTTCTACCCCGCCGGTCCGGAAAGGAAGTTTGTCCTCTTCTAACCTCCAGGACTCCCTCCTCCTACATAGGTAATGAATGCCTCGAACGTCCAAATAAGCTCGATGAACGCCAAGGACCTCTTACCGGGTTACGAGCAGACCTTGCCCGTGCTGTCTCGGCCATCGGCTGCGGCTTGGGCGGCCGATCCGATCCACTCCCCCTATCACTTCGATCCTATACCTGTACAGAACGTGACCTCTACACCTCCACCTCCACCTCCACCACCTCCTCCACCACCACCTCCTACTCCCCCACCCACAGCTCCCAGTCGCAAAACAACCACCAGGGTACGCAAACCCCGCAAAAACGACAATGCATCTGCGGGGAAATCAACGTTATTCTGGGTCAACAGTGATCAGCAAACGGCAGCGGCAGGCACAACGGACGAGACCCTGAAACGGATTCGGTCCCATGTTATGTCCGAGCATAATCGCAAGAAGCGAATGGAAACCACAGAACAGTACAATAAGAGCAAATGGAAGCACTCGACTTATCAGCCACCGACAACAAACTCCGGGGCACTCGTACCCGCTCAGCCTGTCCGTCCGTGTATCAGCTCATCCGCCAGCTTATCCGGCAGTCAAATCTCAGAGGAACAAGAGCTAGAACAGGTCGAGGAGCTTGTTACATCAACAGCTGTGGGATACCCTGCTACGCAAGCCGCATCATGGGATGACTGTAGCTTTGGTGGGACGATGGCCTACCCCGCTGGACCCTCTGCATGGTCTTACGTGGGACAAGGAGCTAATGATCCTTTTAATACTGGACATACGCAGCTCACAGATAGGATGATGCGACATCTACGAGTTTGTGAGTGTTTTTCTTTTTTAACCCGATCAAGATATGGTAGAGCTTGTATACTAACGCAAATATAGTCCTCTGGGACCTGACACAAGAAGCACATCCATTGCAGACGCGATATAAGCCCAAACTGCAGGCGCATTGGGCGTCCTTGATCCAGCGCGACCCGGCCATTCTGCATGCGACAATTTGTATGGCTACTTCCAATGACGCTATGCGTGCAGGCGAGCTACCCATCCGAGATCCAAATCAAAAGCGGAGTCAGTTGGTGATCGACACGTTCCACCACCGTGGTGAGACTATTCGACTGGTCAATGAGGGTCTGTCAGACCCGGTCAAGGCTTCTAGTGATGTTTTGATTGCTGCAGTTTCTACTTTATTGACAATTGAAGTGAGTATATTCTACGAATCAGGCCTGCGATTACTGAAGCTTATACATGATTGTAGATCGCGTCGGGGAATCCCGATTATCTCAAAATCCATCTGGCAGGTTTGCGACAGATGATCGCACTGCGAAAGAACTTTGACGATGTTCCTTCAGATGTGCGGTTCCAGATCTCATGGTCAGTCAATCCCTTGATGATTAGATACAAAGCTTGCTAACCTCACAATTAGGACTGATATCCGAGTTGCTTGCATGGCCCACGCCAAACCTATATTCCCCTTTATCCGCTACAGCCGTCCAGCGCGTTTTTCTCTCATCCCACCCAACGACGACGTAGCATTACTTTCCACCCGCCTCTTCCCTCTACTCAAAATACCCGGCATCTTCGGCGAAGCCATGCCGCAAATCGTATATGATCTCCTTGAACTATCTTGGTATGCAGAATGGATCAAAGGCAACACCGGGTACAAAGAGTTCAACGAGGAGACCGAGGACTATTTCAACACCGAAGTGCTGCACGTAGAATACCAACTGCACACAGATCGATACACAGCAACAGGCCAAGTAAAGGGCGACAACTCCATCGAGGGCTGCACCCGTCTCGCTTTACTGCTGTTCCACAACAGCGCCATCTGGAACTTCTATCCAATGATCGGCCAATTGCTGCCCAAGCCGATCCAGGCTCTGCGCACCGCCCTCGAGGCGACCATCTCCTCGGGCTTATTCGCGCTCTGTCGCGACCTGCTCCTCTGGCAGCTTTTCATGGGCGCGGCCTGCAGTCTAACCCTGCCGTCAGAGCGGGCCTTCTTTGTATCTGAACTAGCCAATGCCGCGCGGCTGCAGGGAATCCACTCATGGCAGGAGGCCCGTTCTATCTTGTTAGGCTTTTTCTATGTCGATCGCATTCACCTGCCTATGCTTCGTCAGATTTGGGATGAGTGCCATTTGCAGGTAGAACCACCGGCAGTATGAACTTGGCTACTTGGCTCTGCCGTAATAGATCCACTTTTCTCAAAGCTGGTTATATACAGCCATTTCCTTCTAGTATATCCTCAGGCTTTGGATTTGCCATTTCTGCTACCTAGCCCAGAATGAAGATATAATGTACATAGTGCTACCTATTTCCAATGATTGACGACTACTCCTCTCCAAAACAGCTATAGTCTATCTACCTAATTGACCACTTCTCCAGGCCTGGAACTAAATATACTTACTACTACTACTCCGTATGCAAAGCGTATTGCTACCCCCAATCGCTCAGACCAGAAGTACAATAAAGTACAAAATACTATCCTGACCTCAAACAGCCACAAGCCCCCTGACAAGAACAAACAAACACCAAAGCCAAGCACACCATCCCGATCAAACCCGACACATACTTCATCATTCTCGGCATCCAGCGCCCATCAGCCACAAAAATAAGCCCGGCATCCCGATATCCGAACAATCTCCGGCCGTTCCTACGCGCGACGAAGCTGATACGCCGTAGAAGCCCCTGCCGATATTTCACCGAGATTCAGCCGGTGCAGTGGTCGGCTTTGGCTCGGCGTTGCGCGCTTTTTGATAGATGCTGCAGCTCTGCTTCCTAGCTTGTTTGACCTTTCTGGCTTATCCCGTTGCCTGGTTTTTTTCGATTACATTTTATTTCTCTTCACTCTGTCTCATCGATTCAATCAGATATACACATACTTTCTACGAAAAGGAAGACTGCCAGGGAATGTTACAAACATCTACAACATATCAGAGTCTTTGGAACCCACCTGGGATATCACCCTGTCATACAGGTCTTAGCCCAGACCGAGAAAAGACCGGGATGATATCAAACACCAAATCTCCACTCTCGGGTGGCTCGATTCCGGGCATGAAGGCCAAGGGTCTAGGTATAATAGGTAAGCTCTGCTGGGTCTGAGAAAAAGACTCATTTCGGGGGTATATACATATTCCTATGCCCCCTATTCCTTGTTCTTCCTTCTCTTGCCTACTGAAAAAACCCTTTTTTTGTTTGCCAATATAAGATATTGAGATTTCGTCTTCAACCCTTTTCCTCCACTGGATATCACTTCATGAATCACATACCAGGCTATCTATGGCTTGTCAGCTTCCAGGCCTCCCTAGGTTGGAGGACTTGACTAGTCATGGATATGCTAGATGATTGATGACAGAAGTTGCCAGTGTACCTGGGCGGAGATATTGCTTACTATGTGATAGATCCTTTGCATCTTCAGCTCGACTGGCGTTTCCCAGCTCGCAACAGTGACCTTTTTTAACTCGCATGCATGGCTACACAAGTTGATTGGGTTGGATTTCCAATTCCTCAGGCCAACAACAGCAGCCCTGCAATCCAACCCGAACAATAGCAAGCACAGGGAGAGGATTCTACTCGACCTCAAAGCCCGAGGACAGCAGTCTACAAGATGGAAGCAAGAGAAGGTTGAAAGGACATATCGTGAAGGATGTTGATGAATTAATTACTGAGTCACAGAAACTCGCAGGTAAAAGAGACTAAATACGGCAAGGAAAAACCAGAGAGCACAAGAGATCACCCGAGTGCTCCCCGAAAAATTACAACCAGCATCAATCGACTTTCCAAAACAAAGTGATGACTGGCGAGATTTTTGCAACTGCGCCGAACAGGATGTTCCGTATTGATCATCCATGCACATAGCAACGGTCACAGACGAACAGACAGACCTCCCTCCAAAGCGCAACACAACCGACAACGAGCAAACGCGTCGAGCACTAAGCGAATAGGAACTCGGTCTATCTGCCTATACATACAACACTGGGTATCGAAAACATTACAAGCACCAAGCGGGCACTCCACATCACCGTCTCTTTTCCAATAAGAAAAAAGGAAAAAGAAATTCGCTTATGCGAGCTCACGGTCGGTCTTACCACGGCGGACACGGCCAGTGGGGGACCAGGGGAAGTGAGCGACGGGGATGATGAAGAAGCTGTTGCTAGTATCGGCGATACCAGCGAGGGCATTGTACCAGGCGGCGAAAGCAGCCAGGAAACCGAAGAGACCACCGGCCTTCTGGACGTTGGCGTTGGGGTGGCCGTCGGGACCGCGCTGCAGGTATGCGACACCGAGCAGGAGGAAGGTCAGATCCAGGGTGAAGAACAGCAGGAAGAAGGCGACGGTGGACTTGAGGGTGCAGAACAACATGATGGTGGTGAAGATGAACCAGCCCTGTTATGAACATTGTCAGCGGGGTGGTCTCTTGCATGTGCTACGAAAAGACAGAGAGAGGAGGATGCAAGAACTTACCAACAGGAAAAGACCCATGGAGTCATAGAATTTGGAAGGATCCTTGCTTGTCTCGCCGAGCGCCTCACCGATCTGGAACCCACCGGGGGTCAAGATGATAGCGAAGGAGAGCCAGAAACCACCGTAGGAGGAGAGAGCAGTAGCACCGAAAGTGTTACCAACAGCCATTTCCCTAAAAAAAAAGCAAGAAGCGCGTATTAGCCGCAGAACATGGCTGTGAAACCCAAGGGCCCCCGGAAGCACTGAAGTTACGGTTACATACCACATGCCGGACAGCAATTGAACGAGACCACCGTAACCGAAAGCAAGACCGACAACGATGTTGGGGCTCGAGATATCCAGGGTACCCATGTTGATGGCGCTCAGGACGAAAGTAGTGAGGGCGAAAGCGCACAGGCCGAGAGGAGCGGGATTGGCGAACTTGCGGCCCTCGACGGGCTTGTACAGACCGGGCTGGAACTCACCACCGAAGGGAGGCAGGGATGCTTCTGTGGCGTTGACATGGGCGAGGGGTCCGTAGCCGAAGCGCGCGGCGGCGCGTGCTACCTGGTGCTCTTCGGCGGACATCTGGGGCTGCATGGGAGCGCCGTTGTTTCCCAGGCCGTTCTGGGAGGGGGAGGAGGAACCCACGTCCTTCTCCAGCTCGGCGTGGTTGATTGCTTCAGTTCCAGACATGATGCGATATCTGATTGTCGTTAAAAAGAGGAAGGTAAAAAGGTATAAAAGAAGAAAACAGTATGTAAAGCCTTATAACACAGTTATAGGTAAATAGGAAAGGATTCAAATCAAGCACAGCACGGCTGGGCTAGAGAGATGAGAGAACAGGGAAGCTGGGGAAGGGGAAGGAAACTATTATACTCCAATTGAGCCCTCAAAAAGGCACAGAAGCACTTCCCTTTTGGAAAATTGGATTTGGAAAAGTGTGGAACCAAACTTACGTTTTGGTATTCGGTCTGTTTTATTACATACAATGATTTGCAGCCGCCAGGACCCGTTCCCACTATGGAGAAGTTGATAGAGTGAGTAATATAAAGTGGAGAGAGAGAAGAATAGAAAAAAAGAGATGTCGGGGGAATGCTCATAATTATAAGAAAATAAGCCCTTAAAACGAATGTAGACTTATTGCTATTATTGCTAATATTTTTGAATTTGCTTTGTTTCACAGGGATCAGAAAACTATGCCGTCTAGAATAATGTCAAATTAGCCATGCAGGGACGGCACGGAGGAATGGGGAGAGGGACCGGTCACTGGCCTATAGGTAATTGGCAGGCAAGGATGAAAGGAAGACCTAGCCCGGGGAAGGAAGTGGAGAGACCGAAAGGATCCGGGGAGTGATATTATTGGTTCACCGGTAGAGGATTGGGAACATTTGAAAATAAATCATCATCGAGGATTAACTTTCTTAGCTTAGCTGAACTTGTTTAACTTAATGCATAATTCCATTCTACTATGTACAACCATATTGTAAGCTTATAATCCCGAGGGTTGAATCCTTACATCTACAGATCTTCTTGGGTCAGCCCCATGGACAGTTGTATAGGCCAGGGAATTTACTAAAGGGACCCTGATAAGAGTTAGGGCATATTAAGATTTCCATGATCATCGAGTAGAGCCCACTTTATTCCGTACAGAGTAGTGAACTACGGAGTACTCCGTACCTCGTGCATACAGTACTTTAGTGCAATGGGGAATCGGAGTGGGAGCAAAGACGTTGAGGTAGAAGATACTTGTTGAGAGCGGCTTGTTCGGTGGTAAATCCCGGTACTGAGTACACCGAGCTAAGACTGCGTCACGACCTCGGTCTATTAATCACTGTGGAATGTATTTTGCCTTGAGGCAAACAGCATACCAATTGTTGCCCATGTAACGGATTATGAAATGATTCAATCATTTTCCAGGTTATTCTACACTAGATTCACTGTCTGACTAGGCAAAAAGTATATATAAAATCGTAAACCTTTTAGCCTGATATGTTCGGACGGGATTACGCACCAATGAGTTTCATAGTGAGATCAAATTCCCATTTCATACATCTGTGCATGGATTACAGAATGTTTGATGTATTATTATTGTTATTTTCTTTTTCTTCCTCTACGAGTTTCATTTTTCCCCCACTTAGCGTGAGACTCTGCCCCCTTTTGCCCCTTTTTTCAGACTGGACACGAAGCACGGATACACCACTAACAATGCACCTAACACACATCATACCCACTACCCACGGGTGGTGTACGGTGTACGGAGTACCAGACACCGCATGGAGCTGTTATTCAGGTCTAAGTTGAGGCATTGTACGTTTCAAGTCTCGGGACAACGGGACGAAATATCATATTCAGGTTGATCTGCAAAAAAAAAAAAAGAGGTAAAAACAACAGTACACTGCCGGTACACTGCCGTGAACCAGTTTGACGAGTCTTGCCGTGTTCTCTCGAATGGGCCATCAGTCCGCGTCAGTTCGGGGGGAACCTGGATCGGCGCACGAGGCTCGGACCTGTGTCTTTTTTTTTCTTCTCTCTCGTAAGCTGTGATGTGCGAGAAGCTACTGCAGGCGTGTCAAGCTTCATCTCCACAAGTAGCTCTGCGATAGGATTTACGGCTAACGCTAATGACAGACACGGTGGAACCACTGGACGTCTGTGGATGTCTCAGTTCCAGTCATTTGTGCCTACTCCGTACGGAGGTTCCCTACTGGCCGTACTGGTTTGAGATTCGGACCGGGTCAGAGATGCCCCCGTTCGAATTCAGACTAAGGTATACAATTTAGCCAGGCTTTTCTAGGTCCATGTTGATGTCGTGGCAACAAGGTAGCATTGCAGCTACAGAACCGGTGAGGTTCTTTGTCACTCGGAAATAATATTATGCAAGATCCCTTTTAGGACGGTATGTGCTCCGTATATTATATGCAGCTGTGCAGCAATAATAGGTTCCACTCATGCAATGCGACAATCATCCCGAGGTCTACAACATAAGCTCTCGTAGCAAACTATGGACCCGAAGGATTCCCTCCAGATCGTAAGCTGTAAGCATCCACCAAAAATACCTGGGCAATAGCTTGGATTTGTGGCGTTCGCCAAGTGGCAATAATAAACAACACACACACGCCACAGATTACCCTTAGGGTCTTCCAAAGTTCCTTCGTCCACGGGAAGCAAATGTTATTGTCAATCCTCGTGGCTAAGTGGCGCTTTAACTTCCCTCTTAAAGAGGTTATAGTTTATCTTCATCCTGTATTGTGTCAATTTAGCCTGTTTTTGTTTATGAGACATGCATACGGTAGGAGAGACATGGATGGATGGAAAAAGCAATTTAACAGAAGCCACATGGAATTATTGTTAATCCTTTCGGTTTTCTAATTTTGACCCATTTTTGCGATCCAGACCTGAACCGAGCGCAAACTCTGCTTTTATCAAAGGTGGCACCATACAGAGTACTTTGTGCATACATTGACAGCAATGAGTTCATAATTCATGCACTTCTTATATTCTGCTTGACCAATAATAATGATCTGGTCTAACCTTTCCCCCACGCCATACACATATCACTAATTGCTTGCCACATGGAGGTACTCAGTACCAATTATTACCAGATCACCTCCCTTCCCCCGAATTCGAGGTAACTATATTGTACAAGAGCTGCCCTTAAAGAAACTTGGCGTTGCTCCCTGCTTGATATGGCGAAGCGGTGCGGGGAGAGCTTTCTCAGCCCTGGTCGATCGTGTACCTAAGGAGCATCATGCATCGTCATGCGAGCTTACATATACAACATAGTGCTGGATACGAAAGTACGAAATCTTGGAACATATGATTTTAGTGATTATTACACTTGGCGAATTGGCATTTCCCTTTCCCCACATTCTGCTCATCTGATCTGATCCCCCACAAACCCCAATACATACCCCAATACGTATACATTCCACGGTTACTGTCTACTAAAATGACGATTTACCCTCGGCTGAGTAGGGATTCGGCTCGGCGGAGCGGAACATTCGGGTCATCCAAGATATTACCAAGGTTGTCTCCGTGCCAAGTCGGTGGAACCCACGTTTTGGTAAAACCGGATGTCTGCGGTATTGTGGGGGAATTCCTTCGAACACAACTACCGAGTTCTGCTTACGATGCATATGCATCTCCAGGGCTATACCGGATTTTCCCCGCTTTTCTGAGCTGAGCTTCCTCAGTAGATCATGCTCAGTTTCGAGACTCACGTGTGGGGTGACTGGTCCTCATTGGGTGCTCATTGATTACTCAGTGACCACCTGGGCAGGTGTCCAATCAGTGAGCAACTCCCACTCAGCCGCTATACCCAAAATGGATTAGCCCAGGGTCGTTCATACTGTAGTAGTTGCAAAGGTATAGTTCGTTGATAGCATTGCTCCTACCCTCATATTCTTAGAGAACGTATTTCAAGAAAATGCGCCATGACTATGAGGCGCAGGAAAAGGTCAAGTACATCACATCACCTGTTTGGGGGGCCATCTTCGTAGCTCTGGACCCCTGCAGTCCTTTCAAATGTTTCCTCCTATCAGCTTATCAAATCTTATAGCTCGACCTCACCTTCCTTTATTACCTAGATATAGTCTCCGATCCAGATGACGCCGAAAAGGAACGGGCAAGAGAACATCGTCGCAGAACCCCGGTCGGCCTCGTTGGCGTCGGATGTGCCACTCACTGCCTCGATGAAGTTCGTCGCGGCCTCGGCTGGGCGGAGCAAATCTCCCCTGAGACTTGCACCCAGGATCTTGATAAAGGAGTGCGAAATGCTTTATTGTACGAGTCGCATGGAATCCTTATCTACGTTTTGGCCGAGGAAAACGCTCCTGTGAACAGGATTACTCCCCAATACTTGTTTTTTATGGACTCTTTGCCTCTTTGATCACTCGTTATTGAACGGGGGTGGGGATCACGCTTCTTGAGGAGATCAAATTGCACGCATCTTGCTTGAACGGGGAGTATATCCGTATTGGCAGCGCGGCGGCTTTGACGCGTTTAGCCGTGCAAAGGAACTTGCGAATGGAATGGTTCTCGCCGTATTCGAGGAATGGAAAGAGGTCAAAATCCTAACGTTCAGTTTTGCTTCTGACTAGGGAACTCATACTAAACCAACCCAAAACAACCCCAAAGAATAGAATGGCAATCTGGTATCTCAGCACCGGCACAGTCTGAAGTGAGTCTACGAAGATCATGTTTAAACACCAAATTCACACATATATGCTAGGTTATATTCTAAGTCTAGCTCTATATACATCCAATGATCTATACAAACATCGCTAAGCAATCAAGACATCAAAACCAATCTTAAATCAAGCCGCAGCCTCAATAGTCTTCTGGAACTCAGCACTGAACGCATAATCAGAGTATCCCTTGGGGTCCTTGGGGACATAGAAAGTGGCCCGATCATAAGGCACGAATGGAATGCCGTTCTGGACACGGAACGGCAAGTCGGGGTTCGAAATGAACGGCCGTCCAATACCAATAATAGCATCATAGTCCGCATACTTGACATCAGCCGCCTGAACCGCCGAATCAGCCTTATACCCCCCAGCAACAATGACAGGCGAAGCCTTCCCATAAACCTCCAGGAAGAAATCCAACTGATCAGTCGGTTCAACATCAGCATTGCCCGCAATGCTGGACTCAACCAGATGCGCGTACGCAAGTCCCAGCTTCGCCGTCTGCGTCGCCAGATATTCAAACTGCGGCTTAGGATCCTCCATCCTCATCCCCTGGAACGTACTCCAAGGACTAAACCGAATACCAGTTCGATCGGCACCAACAGCCTCAACAACAGCGCGCGAGACCTCAACCGCGAACCTCGCCCGACCCTCCACACTACCTCCCCACGCATCCGTGCGCTTGTTGCACGTATCCTGCGTAAACTGATCAATCAGATAGCCATTGGCCGCATGGATCTCAACACCATCAAAGCCAGCCGCAATGGCATTCCGCGCCGCCTGCGCATAGTCCGCGATCCATTCGTGGATCTCGGTCTCGGACAGCGCGCGCGGCGTAGGTGCGTCTGCGCTCGCGGGCGTCGCGCTACTAGACACGACGTCGAAGCCGCCTTCGGCTTGGAGAGCATCAGGGTTTGCGACCCGGCCCAGCGCCCACAGCTGTAGGTAGATGTAGCTGCCCTTGGAGTGCACGGCGTCGGTTACTTCTTTCCATGCGGCGATCTGCTCGTCGTTGTAGATACCGGGCACGTTGGGGTACCCGCCGGCGCGGGCGGAGATGAAGGTTGCTTCAGTTATTAGGAGGGTGCCGGGTACTGAGGCGCGCTGGGCGTAGTAGTCTTTCACGAAGGGGAGCGGGGTGTGGTTGTCGTCGGCGCGGAAGCGGGTCATGGGGGCCATGGCGATGCGGTTGGAGAGCTCGACGCGGCCGACGCGGAGGGGGGTGAAGAGTTTGGTCATTTTGATTTTATTTGATATATATCGTGAATGGGTTCAATTGGTTTTTCTGTTCAATTGGTTTTTAGAATACATTTGAAGTGAATGGCAATGGGTTTTATATATTGTATTCGATCGCAATATCCCCTTCGCAGAAATTCTAAAGTTCTCCACTTGAATGGATTAACAAGCAATGGCGTTATGGAGTTATGCCGGTTCCCCGAGATCATAACGCCTTAGAGCAGAGACTTCTCGAGTCTTGCAAACTAGCTAGTCTCCGAGTGGTGCAAGTGGCGATTCTGATTCGCTGCCAGTTGGCCCACTCCAGTGCTGGCTCGGGGGAATTAATAATACACGAAAGACACCGAGGTTACTGCCCACTTGGGTGTATAACGTAGAATAGCAGCTCGTCATCAACTAGAGATTCTTGAAGTTTCTTTGACATTCAATGGTAGCTGAAAGTAACATGTAGAAGCTACCTATGTACTCGAGCACATGGAGAGTTGTACAGGTGCAAATATCGCCAAACACCATCCTCTGGCCCGGCCACGGACTATAATCATTGCACAAACACGGTTTCCTGGTATCATAACGGATTGTAGAAGAACGCAGCACCAAAAAAAAAAAAAAAAACCAGACATCATCGCTCCAGGCGACCAACAGTAGCTTCGAGCTGTGCGTTGAACGCCCGAATTTGGTTTAAGAGACCGCCTTGTGCTCCAGGGGCTCGGGAACTCACATCGGCAACGGTGCGAAGCATGTATTCAATATCAGCAGAAGATTCCGCAGCAGAGGCAGAACGTTGCTTGTTGCGGTCGAGGGCCAATTCAAGGCTGTGGATGGAGTTGCTGATCGTGGATCGTGACTAGGGACTATTGTTAGTAAAGTTTTCGCCAGGGTTAATAGTGAAAGGTCTCACCGATTTGGCCTTCTCCTCTTCAATGTGTTTGCTGCGTACTGCATCCATCTGCAAAGCTATGTTCTCGCGTTCTCGACGGACCCGGTATAAATGATTCCGTAGATCCATCATCTCCCGCTTAGTCTTCTTCAATTGCACACCAAGCACAAAGTTGCTATCGAGTATCCCGCTCAGATCCATGAGGCGACTCTCGAGCTCCGAGCCAAATACTTCAACAGCTTTTCTCTTGCGCGACCACTCTGCACGTCGCGTAGCATTCGCCTCGTTCGCAATCCCATCCTTGAGTGTATTAAGTGTCTTCTCCAGAGTCTCGCGGCAGATCTGGCTCAATACATCGGCCGGGTTGACACCGCCGCGGTTGGGTATCTTGGCCCTCTGGTGCGTAGTGAGTTCATCGGCGGATTCTTCTTCACCTCCAGACCCGTCGGCCGTAGATGTTGTGCCACATAGAGAATTGACATTCGCGAGACGGTAAACAGTGACTGGGACTGTTTCTCCACGAGGCTCTCGTGTCTTGCGACGAGGCTGTTCTTGTGTAGGCTCAGGCTCGGGTTGGTATTCTGCCTCGGGTTCAGGCTCAGGCTCCTCTGCTCGCTTGGCTTTCTTCCCAGGTCTGCCGCGCTGTGACTTGGGTGCTACAGATTCCGCTTCAGGCTCAGGCTCAGGCTCCATCGCACGATTGGCCTTCTTTGCGGGCCTGCCACGTTGAGTCTTAGGTACTGCAGATTCCGCTTCGGGCTCCGGCTGGTCTTCAATGACAGGCTCCGGCTCGGGCTCGGGCTCTATTGCGCGATTGGCCTTCTTTCCAGGCCTGCCACGTTGGGGCTTGGATACTGCGGATTCTGCTTCGAGTTCTGGTTGATCTTCTGTCTCGGGCTCAGGCTCAGGCTCGGCTGCGTGTTTGGTCTTTTTACCGGGTCTGCCACGAGACTTAGGTACCGCAGATTCTGCCTCTGGTTCTGGCTGGTCTGCTGTCGCAGGTTCAGGCTCGGGTTCGGGGTCAGTTTCGGCTGCACGTTTCGCTTTCTTCCCAGGTCTGCCACGTGGCTTGCGCACCGCGGATTCCACAGCTTCCGGCTGTTCATCCCTTTGTGATGTTGGCTTGCGACCCCGACGTGGTCCCGAAGAGGACTCCGCGACATCTGGTATAAGTTCAGGTGAAACCTTCTCAGTCGCGATAGCTTCAATAGCCTTCTTGTTAAGCGAGGGTCTCCCACGAGGCCGTTTGGTCTTTTGCGCCCCCTCAACTTGAGCTGCCACAGGCTCATCTTGCGCCTCGGTTGTAGGTTCTTGTACATCGGCTTCCACGTGCAGTTCCGGAGTGTTGTTCGCGGTGGGTTGATGCCGCGGGCGACCTCGAGACTTTTTCGTCTTGATAGAAGGCCCTTGAGACGTCCGGTTGACTTGCTCTGGTGCATCATCTTTGGATGGTGGAACATCCTCAGTCATGTCGACGTCCTCATAAATAGTCGGTGCATGGCTAGCTTCAAGAGCCTCGGCCGAGCTACCGCGTGGTGATAAGGCTTTTGTGGCAGATTTATCTGTCTGAACAACCGGAGAAGCGGGTTCTGTGATAGCTTGTTGAATTCGTTCCTCAGGCCGTGGTGGTGACCGAGTGTTATGTCGTTTCTCGCGTAGTTGCCCGGTGTTTTCAGGCTGTTTGACCCCGGCCTGAGCTTCAGGTGATGTAAGTGGCGCTTGTGATTCTTCAGCTACTGCAGGCGCCGTAGGGCCAGACACTGGAGATGTGCCTTGGGATAGTTGCTCTTCAGCGGCTGGTTTTGTTGGTTCCGCGCCATTGGTCCCCTCTTCTATTGGGTGTTGATCTTCGACTGAGGTCTCCGGAATGGGTGAGATATGAGGCTGCGGGGATTCATTGTTGGTTATTTCCGATGGAGGAGGTGCATCTGTATTTGGAGGGTTTTGGGTGTGGCTTGCGTGGGACTCTGTGCTACCTGCACTATTATCAACGGTGTGTGTATCACCATTCTCAGGTCGTCTGCCATTCCGACGAGAAGGAGTATCTTCTGTTCCATTAGGAGGACCTGAAGAAGCATTAGCACACATTTCTGGCATAACACACCAGCCTGGTCCATAACATACTGATCTTTCTCCTCTTGTTGCTTCGCGTTTGTTCAGATCTATCGTCTGAAGAGGGTATTTCATATGTCGAGGGTCTTTCTGGGAGCTTGTTGCGCGCACTTCCCGGTGTGCGCCCAACCCCCGGGCTTGCGATCCTGGTTGCGATACCTTTAACGGTCGTGGTGTTGTGTTCGGTGTGGTCTGTGTTCGCGGTGGATTCTGAGCTTCAGGGACAGTCGCAAGCGGTGCGGGCGCTGATAATCCAAGCGCTGGACTACCAAATGAGAACCCAAAATTGACTTCTTTTGCTTTGCGCGTCCTATACTAGCAAGTCAGTTTCTATGTTATGGTTTCGCGGGGTATAGGCAAGGCGCGTACCCAGCTCCACGCTGCCGCATTTGCTGCCGCTCCTCTCGCGCTATCAATTGTTAGCAATTCCGCACATAGATAAACACAGCACCACAACACATACAGGCTTCCATTTTGGAGGAACGGCGTCGAAAAAGACGCGTCGTGTTGATGGTTGAGGAGTAAAGACGAGCGGTCGGAGCCAAGACGATCGGGGCCGATCCATTTTTGTGCCGATTTCTCCGCGCAACCTTCAACACTCCAGTTGCACATTCTTAGTTATTCTCGAACTAAGTATTTCCAAATGGGTTGGTTCTGGGGTGATAAAAATGATACTGTCCAAAAGCTCGATCCGGGGCTTCGGGACTATCTCGAACAGGAGAAGCCCGACAAATATGTGCCTGGACCCAATGTGAAGCCGCCCTCGACGCCCGCGCAATCGCCCGAACCGTCTGATCCCTCGAAGCCGAAAGTTCCTGCAGCATCACTCTACCAAGATGGCCGTTACGCTGATCTATGGAAAACCTACAAGCCGCCGATGGAGCTTGACGAACAATCCGGAGTCCGCGGAGCGTCCCGAGTGATTGAAAAGTACAAGGAGCGCGGCGACACAGTGCAGCGAGCAGCGATGGAGAACTGTGCCTTGGAGCATGAAGCCTTGACACACTGCTTCAAGACGGGCAATTGGCGCAAGCAGATTGAAGCCCGGCTGACCATGTGCTCGGCGGAGAATGGCACCTTTTCGCGATGCTTTACGACTCAGACTGTGAGTTGGTGCCACATCTCATAGCTTTCTCGATCATGTCGATTCTAATATCTTTCTTTTGAACAGAAATTCCTCCAAGCTCTCGGTTACGCAGCCGGCTTCGAATATGACGCCGAAAAAGAGGAGCGCATTCAGATGCATGCCGACAAACTCTACCACCAGATGCTAGACTACGAAAAACGAATTGAGGATGCAAAGGCCGCTGGAATCGAGCCACCGCCTCTCACATCGCTTTTCAACCCAGAGAAGCCTACGCAAACCCCGAAAGCCGGCCTTGAGATTCCTGGAGGGGAGCCAATCCCGGAAGAGCTCAAACCGTCGAAGCCCTTACAGAAGCTCACGCCACATGAGCGAGAGTTGGAGATTCGGGCACACTATGCGCAGCGGGAACAGCACAAGATGTATGCGCAGGAGGCTGCGCCCTTCATGAAGACTCAAGACGATGCCCGACAGAAGCGACAGGATAAAGCTGTAAGCTGGTTTGGAGAGACTCTCGGCAAGTGGATGTCGTAGAGGAATAAATCTGGATTCTTGTATTTATGTATTATTTTGCTTTGAAAAATGGCGACTGGAGAGGCGTTGGGGTTTTTTTGAAGTTATGTATTGTTCTTTTCCCATGGTACTGTGCAGAGAGTAATAGTTACACTGAAGTGTAGTCTTTGAGGTCTTTGGGTTACTTTTAGGTGCCTCTGTCTATCCTTTCTGATTTCGTATTAAAATCTTCTCTAGTGCTTACCTCTAGGGCTGAATATGTACTCCGTATTAGGGAGTATTATGGTTGAAATCATAACATGAACAATTTCTAGTATAAACAAGCCAGTAACTAATATATCTAAATACATATGTAGATGCTATGTAGTATTCATATATAAAATAGTATCCATGGATATAATAAAGGAGAATGTCAATAAAAGCCCTCCCCTCCCCCGGTGTCCGTAGCCTATTTAATCGTCGGTCGCGTTCTTCCGCGCAAACAACTCGAAGCATCATCGGAGAATCACGACCCGTGGACTCTCTTCCCTTAACCTTCCTCCTTGTTTCAACTCACACTGTTGCATTCTTTCTTATCTTCTTCCATATTTGAATTACACTTCCTCTCCGTCTTCTTAGCTGAGAGTAACTGAATCCTCTCCAATTCAAAAATTACCCCAGATATCACTTGGCAAAAAAGATACCTGGTTGATCATTGGACTCGGAAACTATTTATTCTCTCTTTAGGCCATATTTCCCTACTCGAAACCGGTGGTGCTCAACAAGCTGAGCTGCGGCGCTCGCCATGAAGGCCACCCCGTTGCTCATCTCATGGCATAATGACAATGCCCCTATCTACTCGGTGCATTTCGATCCCAATGGCAAGGGTCGGTTAGCTACGGCTGGAAAGTAAGTCCTGTCTGTCCTCTCAGAGTGTTGGAACGATTTTGCTGACTGCTTTCTTTTTAGTGACAATAACGTTCGAGTATGAACCCGCTCTCCGTCGCCCTTCGCACACCTTGATCTGACATGTTCTACAGCTCTGGAAAGTCGAGTCTACCGGGGAGGAAAGAAAAGTCTCCTATCTGAGTACTCTGATTAAGCATACACAGGCCGTCAATGTGGTCCGTTTCAGCCCGAAAGGTATGTTCTTCCGCTGGATAGCATATGCCTGCAAGTCTGACAGACGTAGGTGAGATGCTGGCATCTGCCGGAGATGATGGAAATGTCCTACTCTGGGTACCTTCGGAGATACAGACACAAGCTCTGGGTGAAGATCGCTCAGACGATAAAGAGTCCTGGCGAGTGAAGCACATGTGTCGCTCGTCCGGCGCTGAGATCTACGACCTGGCCTGGTCTCCCGATGGTGTTTTTATCATTACAGGCAGCATGGACAACATCGCACGGATTTACAATGCCCAAACTGGTTAGTTACCCTCAAGCAATCCTCATACAGCTCGATAAGCTGACCGAATTATACAGGGCAAATGGTACGACAGATTGCCGAGCATTCTCACTATGTTCAAGGTGTAGCATGGGACCCGCTTAACGAGTTTGTCGCAACTCAATCGTCCGACCGATCCGTTCATATTTATACATTGAAGACCAAGGATGGACAATTCACATTGACACCACACGGGAAGGTTCTCAAGATGGATCTCCCTGCAAAACGTATCGCATCGAGCAGTCCTGCACCTCCGGAAGTGACTAGCCGGTCACAACAAAGCACTGGAAATTCCATTGCTATTGCCTCGCCTGCTCCCTCGACTCCGGGGACCCCAATGGCCTCCAACCTACCCATGGATCCTCCTCCAGTCTCACACAGCCGGCGTTCTTCGTTCGGCTCGTCTCCTTCCCTTCGGCGATCTGCGTCTCCTGCTCCGTCTCTTCCGTTGCCCGCCGTTAAGCCGTTAGAGATATCCTCTCCAAGTTTTGGTGGCCTGGGGGTCAAGAACGCCAGCATCTATGCCAACGAGACGTTTACTTCTTTCTTTAGGCGACTGACTTTTGCTCCTGACGGAAGCTTGCTGTTCACACCAGCTGGCCAATTCAAAACTAGTCACGTATCAGCTACGGATTCTACAAAGACGACAGACGAGATCATTAACACGGTTTACGTCTATACCCGGGCTGGTTTCAACAAGCCCCCGATCTCTCATCTTCCAGGACACAAGAAGCCATCTGTAGCCGTCAAATGCTCCCCGGTCTTTTACACGTTGAAGCAAGGCACCCAGCCTGCGAAAAACATTACCCTTGATACGTCTTCGGGTGAGGAGATGTTCTCATCTCTTCCAGAGCCCGTGGTATCCGGAACCCCATCTTTCACCAGCCAACCCCACCTGGTCCCTCCATCCTCAGAGCCATCAAAGCTTCAGCCATGCCCAAAGGCTGCCGAGGAAGGCGGCAATGAAGCAAGCCAGAGCTCGGCGCCTGTCTTTGCACTTCCTTATCGCATTGTATATGCCGTTGCCACCCAAGATGCTGTTTTGGTATATGACACGCAACAACAAACGCCGCTATGTATTGTCAGCAACCTGCATTTTGCTACTTTCACTGACTTGACCTGGTAAGTACTGTTTCTATTCTTGACATCCATGTATTTCTTTCTAACGCACAACAGGTCCGCCGATGGATTAACATTGATCATGAGTTCTTCTGATGGCTTCTGCTCTACACTCTCGTTCGCACCCGGAGAGTTGGGCCAAACCTACACAGGAGCAACCTCTGTGGCTCACAACAATGCAAACCCAACCACCCCTGCGACAAATCTCACACCTCTGCTGACACCAACGCAATCGGCGTCTCCGCATGTGCCATCTCCAGTCAAGACGAACCATGCGTCCTCAAATAACACAGGTCCCGCACCACCAGCTAGCCCCGCGCGGTCCAACTCGGCCTGCTCAGTCGCGACACAGCAATCCACGCAGCCAGCCCCTGCGGGAGTCGTGAATAATCCCACTCCCACACTAGGGACTGTTCCATCCGTGACAGCAGCACACTCTGCGCAGCTACCGACACTTCCACTGACAACCCCACCACAAACGCCTACCTCGGCCGCTCCACAGAACGGGCCCACTACGACCGGTTCGAGCGTTCTGGGGAAGCGTGACGCAAGGCCTGCAAGCGAGTCTGAAAGAGAAGACTGCAAGGACGAACCAAATAATGCGTCGCAGCAGCCGCCGAAGAGGCGTCGTGTGGCACCCACCCTTATCTCGGCAGGTACTGATGGGGCCTCATCCTCAAAGGACAACAAGTCCTAGGTTGAGATTATGTAGAGTCTTCGGGCTCTTGAACCCTTTCTCGGCCTCGGCATGCACCTGCAAGGCATGGAATGACCAATTTGCTTTGCCAACTACCGCTTCTTATGATTCATGTTTTTTTTTCTAATCATTGCTCATGCTATATCCTCCTCGTATTCTATGTTTTGTATTTTCACTATCTTTGTTTTTGATTTTTTTCAACAATCGGGTCTATGCTGGAGTTGTGAGAGCCAATCTACCTTCTCGCTCATGTTTGCTGATCCTCTTGATCTATGCATGAATTGTGACATGAGAATAAAGAATAAGGAAGGAACATGTATTATCTTTACCTTCTAAGTAGACGATTAGAGAGATCCTTTAAAACGACGCTGTCGTAATAAAAAAGCCGCTCTAAAGAACCTAGGGCGATACCAAAAAAAGACTGCTTAGAATGTATCAGTCATTTCGCCATTGAAAGCTATACTGCATGTATGTGTGTCCCTCACTCTCTTGAGCATCAAAGAAAACTATACCATAAGTCATATTCCTTCGTGATCCGTCTGCCATCATACATGAGGGACAACAGTCCGCGTGATAATAATAATAGTAGCCAACCACAACAAACCCGGGTGCGAAGAAGTCATTTAGTCTCCTCCCCATTGGACGTGAAACTCGACAGTTCATTCAAAACATCCAAAAGCGAGCAATCAGGCGGCAACACCGACCTTGCCTCAGTAGCATGTGTGCTAGTTGTCACGGTGGTGACGTGGAGCGTTTTCCCAAGCTCAGACTTATCAAACCGAGAAGCAGCAGGAGCAACAGCCAACTCATTTGCCCATCGAAACAGCGCCTCACCACTGCGAGAACCACCAGCTGCAAATAGGAACTCGGGGTATTTGATATTGGGGAGATGGTCTAGAATATAGGTGGCGACTCTCCCATTTCCGAGAGCAGCGTGTGGTGGTTCAACCTTCACAGATGTTGCCTCGCGGACGACATGGAAATCCGCACGCCCGCTGGCACCATTGATTTGATCGGCTAGCTCGGAGGCCTGGCGAGCGGCTACTTCGCGGTCGAGCGCGCCGTCATAATGAAATGTTAGAGAGCAGCGGCGTTCCTCAATTCGGCTGCCTTCTGTTCGCTCGTGGAAATACTCCATCATCTTTTTGATACCGGGACACCATTTCATGGCGCTTTCGGGCACAAATGGAATCCATAAATCTAATTTAGGTTCTCGTAGGAAACAGCCATTCTCGGCGATGTAACCGAGCTCGCAGGGGAGTTTTTCGAGTGTTTCTTGGAGCTGCTCGGTGCTCCAATTGCTGGTTATGTATAAGGTATTCTTGGGATCGTTTATGAGTGTTTGTAGAGTTGCACAGGCTTTGTTTGAGGGCAGAGACTCTTCTGTGCCGAAAGCTGGACCGAAGATTGCGCTGTCTTCCAAAAAGAACATTCGTGCTCTGGCGGCGAGGTATGACTTTTTCAAGCCATTAGGTGAAACCGGAGAGAGGTGATTTGTCTGCCGGATTCGTTGTATTTCGTGGGCTTTTGTGAGAGCGTCTTGTAGCCCCATGTGCCATTTGAGAGCAGTGTAGGGAGACTTGCGATCGAGCAGGAAGTTCCAGTTGAGTTTTAGCTCCGCTGGTGACTTCTCGAGTGCGGTTTTGATCGCATCGGCACATTGTTTGTAGTCCCACGGATTGACGAGAAGCTTATGGCCACGAAAAATGGAGGCACTACCCACGAACTCGCTAAGAATCAGGGATCCATGTTGGTGCGAGGTAAGCTGTCCATCTTGACAGTGGATGAAATCATGGCTAGTCAGGTTCATTCCCTCGCGTAGATTGGTGGCCATGAAGATATGTGCAACACTTAGGAGGGCGATGAATTGCAAGTGGCTGATGTCTTGCTGGACCAGCACCAAGGGCTGGTGAGTGATGGTTGAATATGTTGCATTGATCCTCATTGCGATTTTTGAGATCTGTGCCTCCAGCTCTGGGATCTCAGATGCAGACGACATTACTTGGACTAAAACTACCTATGTAGAACATATCAGTAGTGGTCACAAGCAATAACATATGTTTGTCGACTTACTTGCTCTCTCCATTCTGGATAGGTCTTGAGAAAAAGCTCATATGCCGAAAGCTTCTGCTTAATCCCTCCGGGTGCATCCAATCGGTCCCGCGCTACGATGAGATATTGCCCTTGGTACCTATGGCTGATACTGTGTACCCAGCCCTTGACCTCGGTGGATTGTCGTAGTATATAAAGTGATGAGGGGTCAATCCCCAATGGAGAATTCACAACACTAACGTACCGATGATTGAGGTGGACTTGATTGGCAGAGACCTCGAGCCTCCTCAGCCGGCTGCAAGAGTGAAGAAAGTGATTGCAGTATTCCTCTGTCTGGAATCCAACCAAGTCGGCGCCCAGAAGCCCATCCAACAGTTCTTCGCGTGAAGTCAAACAGCGGAAGATTTCGGAGGAAGGAAACGGGGTATGCAAGAAAAATCCAATCTCGGCCTGGGGTAGTTTTTCCCTCAGAAGGCCAGGAAGAACCAGAAGGTGATAGTCATGAACCCATATTCTATCACCTGGCTTCCAGTGCTTGATGATTGTTTCTGCAAATGCCTTGTTGAGCTTGAGGTATTGGACCCAAGAGTAACCGTCGTACTCAGTATGCCGAGGGCTTTCTTGCATCTGATAATGAAGGGCTGGCCAAAGTACCGCGCGGCAGAAATGGGTGTAATGACCCTCAAACTCGTTGTCGCTCACAAACACAGTCAGCGAATCATACACATCCTGGAGGGTCTCAGCGATGTCCGTCCTGGTAGGATCTGTCAATGAGTCGGTAGGCATGCCTAGAGTCCCTACCCAAGTCTTGTCCTTGAGCAAGCTCGACTTTTCAGCAGCGTGGATGGCATTTTGCAGACCTCCATGGCCTTGTTCGGCAGCCTTGACGACCCAGTCAGCATTAGAGAGCGAGACTCGTGTGCTACAGTGGTATTTCATGCCCCATCGATCCTGTGATCCATCCAAAGCCAACTCCCTTCTCATTCCTTGGATTGAGCCTCGACTACTCAAAATGGACGGTGTTGGAGGATCTGTTGCCTTGGATTGGGGCTGATTAAACCGCCGGCTTTGTCCCCAAGGAATGGCACGGGGCTCACTGGGGCCGTGCCACAATCGATCGTTGGCAATCGGAATCTCATCTGCTAATCGCGAAGTATATCCTTTGAAGACCGTCTCGTCTTCTGTCGTGGCTCCGGGTGTTAGTGGAAGACAGCTCATGGGACGAGTTTGACAATAGGTATCCGACAGTCGCCCAACGATAGATGCAGGTCCATCGACATTTGGATGGCTAGACATCGACCCGTGCTGTCCATGCTTGGGTTCCGTCAATTGGAAATCGATGGTATAAGGGAGAAATCTGGTCCACACTATGTGAGATATGTGGAGTTTTGTAGGTGAGGAAGGAACTCACAAAGATGCGATGAAGACCGTCATTGGACTAAATGGTAACCCAATGGAGTACCGATGTTGCAAATAGTCAAGGGGCTCAATTCATGATGCAGGTAAATCAAAAATAGTTAAGCACCGAGGATGGAGGGGCTCGACTTTGAAGAGGAAGGGGCATTCGGCTCACTGCCACTGCCATATGTATCTCACTCTGCTATCTGTTTCACTGGGCCCAGAAATTCTACGGTGAGATCTTTCTATACTTCTTTGGGTGACCTTGGTTATATAAAATAAAATGGATATCCATGGATGCATCTAACCTTCATAAAATAGTGAAAAGGCTGGCGGTATACATATGATATATCTAGTAGACATGTTGCTACGATTCTCGTCTATTTCTCACCGCGAGAATTTTCCGATATTGTTCAACTCTGACATGTCATGTTTGACGAAGTTCAAATTGGTTGCAGCATTGAAGTTGTTCATGCGAGCTGCTATTAGATGTTTTGTGGAGGCTGGGTTAACTACGCCAGACTACATATCATCAAGCTCCTTTCAGTGGCCGAAACATTGGATATACTATTATCGAAGATGGTCTTTTAGTGACTCAAGTAAGCTCATATTTTGGTATTTATTCAAATCTCTAGAATGAGTCTGACTATGTATATATCAAAAATAGGACTATCTAGATCTTTACTCGAGCATCTGGCCTACTCGCGAATCCACGACCATTAACTCCGTTGCAATGACAACATTGAGCCAATCAAGCAAAGATAAGAGCCGTAGTCAAAGTTAAAACTAGCCCTACCCTCTATAGATACATATGTAAGGAGTACGCCAAAGTCACAAAACAATGAACACAGCGACTATTAACGTTAGTTGTTGAGGACCGTGATCCCTCTCTGTTTGCTCCTAGGCGTTGGTCCTAGTTCCTCTCTGTAGATAGTTCCGCAGATTTTCCAGAGTCGTTCTCACTCCAAGCGCGTTCGATAGCACCACCGTAGACGAGCTGCAGGACGCTGGAGATGATTGCCTACGTGCCTTCTCGCTAGCGGTTTATCTGGGTCTTCTGTTCCTCGTTAGTTCAACGGGCTGTAGCAAGAGGCGCGCATATTTGAACACGTCACTCCGACAATTTAGGTTTGGACGGGAAATTCGACGACCTGAGCTATCATATTCAACGGATTAGGTAATAAGACGCGGAAGAATTCATTCCCAGGACCCAAGAGCTTGCGACAACGATAGAGCTAGAGTGGATTAGCGTATGACGTTTTGGCCCACCTTAGCTAACGCTATTATCCTGAATATCCATCGGGGTGACTCTCGAGTTAAACAAAAGACCGCATGGAGTAAAACGTCGAACTATGTCAACGTAAGGCCAAGCTCAAGAAGTCAGCTGCACGGCGAGCCACCTATGCCGCGTGCGTGTCCTCTCTTCTTGGCTGGGGACGACGGCACGCCCACCACGTCAGTTTGAGGATACCGTTATTATCGCCGTGTCACAGGATTGATAGGTCTTCGAGAGATGCGGGAGGTATCGAATGGGTGTCGACGCGTTGAAACCAGATGCGCGGACAGGACATGGGCTCATGCATCCACGGGAAGAACATGGTGCATATAGCCTTGGCACCTTGAAAAGACAGAGCCAAGCTCATAGGATACGCCGACAGTCTCGCAGGATAAGCTATGTGTCTTAGTTTAATATATGATTCAAGCAATAGTCAAGAGACTCAGGAGAGATGTGAAGTCTTGGCACTTGGCGTCCGGGGATAATTGGCTCGCTCGGCTCGTTGAGCCAGAATTGCTTTAGCTTTTGAAGTTCTGCATTTCTCCCTTCGCTGGTGGCATTGGCGTACCAATCCCATGGCAATAATCAGTGCCAGTATGAGTGCCTTGCGTGTTGCGTACGAATCGCCTTTTGCTTGGTTCTAGGTAGTGTTATCTAACTGTTGTTATCATTACCGTCAATACCGCCGACGAGAAGAGAAATAACATACATTGATAAAAAAAAATATAATCAAATAATCAAATCCGAGCGATCACTGCAAAAATACCAATTGGTACTTCACGTAAACGACCCAGTTTTTTTGCGAAATTGGTGCTCGCGCCATCCGAGCTAAGCATCAAGGCACCTTTTCTCGGCATCGGAACTATAGGGAACATCATGTTAGTACATAGAAAAAGGCCCAAAACTTTTGATACATGACGGATTGTCTAACTACTTATGCGATCCTAACAATAATAACCCGTTCGATCGCACAGCCACCCAAGCATAGCCTCAGAATATTACTAGGCTCAAACGCGGCTCAGAAGATGAAACGACGGCGGCGGATCGGTTTCCCCAGATACATAGAACGCCTGATCAGTAATTTCCCGAGTCATGCGATGTAATATATTTCAGGGCTGAATCTCGGAGTTTGTGAACCTAAAAAAACAGCAATATTATTGTCCGCATTATTGGCATACCACAGTCAACGTAACCCTAATTATATTCTAATATTGTACTCCATATAGTTGCACCCGGACATGACTGATTACCAATGCCATTATTGGGTAGACCGGACATATTTGGAGAGCCTACTTTAGTATAGAGCCTTTCCCAACCCCTGATTCTTATGAAAGTCCGCTCATTGGGTACATCGTATACAGAGCGCGGTTCTGGAGAGTTGTACGGAGTACATACGATGTTGATCTACACTTGCCTGACTGAAAAGGGGAAAAGATGCTTGCACCTCACTATTTTTCAGGGTCTTCTTGTGGGTGACTCAAACGGGTTATTGTGATTGGCGATAGAGGACGAGTTCCTGCGGGTTGTAGTGTTGTATGGTCTAGCCCTAATGATCCGCACTATCGTACATGCATTTTAACACGAGATCGGAAGTTGAATCTCATAGTCACATTCCCATCGAAGATGGGCGATTGAGTCTCCCAGGAATTACGATCTCATGTTGCATGGGACATTCATACCAGAGAAGACGAAGATGCCTTAGAAGCACTTCATATGGTACTATGTACTACGCTAAACCCCATCTGGCTGTGAGCACCGCCTCAAAGCGGCTTAGGCGGAGGCTGTCGGCCCCGATCGTGTGAAATGCCAAGACGGACGCTTGCGCGTCTCCAGCCTTTCAGTGGAAAAGCGGACGGAACAGTTGAGCTTTCGTATCTTGGCCGCGCGTTGGCCCTACAACATGCGCTCCTGGATATTTCCTTTTTTTTTTTTTTTTTCTCTTGACTTTAGTTTGATGATGATTTGGTTTGGAGTACGGAGTACGTACAACATACAGAGTACATCCGATGTACACTGACTGTTAAATATGTACTCTTATGGAGTATAACAACCGAATAGACCGACCACGAGCTTTGATCATCGCCTTACGAACCCTCAAGGGTATTGATCTTCGCTGTTGTACCCAACCTGATTATTATATTGACAACAACCTTAGAAGGCTTAGTAACTGTGTGATGAGCCACGTTGGTGTATAGGGTACTCACCTTCTGACTCGTGTGTAGCACATAGATACATAAGTCCCTTGAATATACCTAAAAAATCCGAGGTAATATCTAGATAAATGATAAGTATATGTCAAGAACCAAAAAGGATATAGAAGCCTTCAAGCCATCAAAGTATAGACAATGCCAAGAAACTAGCAACGATCCATGAAAATCTGGATGTGGACGTTACGTGTTCACGGGATCCAAAAATACGCAAATTACGGAAATTACGGGGAAAAAGGGTCCTCTTGGCGGCCTTTTTTTTCGGTTTCGCATACGCGGCTTGGCCGCGGGGCCCGTGATTGGGGCCAGATGCTGACGACGCTCGTAATACTGCGTACGCTACTCCGTACTCTTGTCCTCTCTCCGTCCCTCTCTCTCTCCAAGGGCCTGTTTTTCTCTCTTCCCTTCTTGACTCTCCAATAAGAGATCTTCAAGTGCTACGTCAACTCGAGCGAGGTAGTCCCTTCTTTACTACTCGTCTCTGACATCCCTTTCTTACACCTCTTCCCCCACCCCAACCCTGGGTCAAATTGGACCTCTTTCGCCCAAACTCGACTGCTCATCCATTTCGAGTCATTCTGGATCTCGACATTCATCGTCTTGGAAGTCTGCCGTGACTTCCTCATCGACTATGGCGGACGGCAGACACCGGGCTACCCAGCCTGCCCCAAATGGCTACGACGCCTCCTCTCTAACCCACGAATTCGAACAGCTGATGCGCACCAAACGACTCAACCGACTTCATGAACCTTCTCGCTCGCGTACTCACTCACCATCACCGTCTCCGATGTCCAGTTCATCGATCCCTCCGCCGCCGACGCGAGCTCCACCACCTCCTCCCTCGATAGGCGCTCCTGCCGCTGCTCCCTCCCCAAAGCCGTCCACGACCTCACCAGCACTACGCGGTCTTCCTATCATGCCATCGCCTCCCCAGGACGCAGCTTCACTCAAATTTTATAATTTGTTGAAGGGGTTATCGGTCACGCCGACCAAATACGAAAATCCGGGTCTATTGGATGAGGCCTTGTGCGTTATTCCGCTTGATCGCCTTTATTCCGAGGCAGAGGAAGAATCCCAGATTATGCAGGCCCAGGCTGCCAGCGTGGCAGGGAAGCCGGAATGGGGCTACCAAGATTGTGTGATCCGAGCATTGTTAAGGTTTGTTGGAATTCCTAGATGGTCTAGACCCATTGCGCCCTTGCTAACATATCCATCTTCATGCAGATGGTTCAAGGGGTCATTTTTCCAATTTGTTAATAACCCTCCATGCTCGAAATGCCACATGCCCACGATCGCCCAAGGCATGACCCCTCCCACCCCCGATGAGACCGCCCGGGGCGCAACCCGAGTCGAGCTGTACCGTTGTTCCGATACTAGTTGTACCGCCCACGAGCGATTCCCGCGATATTCAGATGTGTGGCAATTGCTGCAATCTCGACGAGGCAGAGTTGGCGAATGGGCAAACTGCTTTAGCATGTTCTGCCGCGCAGTCGGAGCCCGAGTCCGTTGGGTTTGGAATTCCGAGGACTATGTCTGGACCGAAGTGTACTCGGAACACCAGCGACGATGGGTCCACGTCGATGCCTGCGAGGGCGCCTGGGATCAGCCTCGCCTGTACACCGAAGGATGGCAACGCAAGATCTCCTACTGTGTGGCCTTCTCCATCGACGGTGCGACCGATGTCACCCGCCGCTACGTTCGCAACTTTTCCCGACACGGAAGCCCCCGCAATCGCGCCCCCGAAGAAGTCGTTCTGTGGTCGATTCACGAGATCCGACGCAAGCGTCGCGAAAACATGTCGAAGACCGACCAACGCCGCCTGATCAAGGAGGATGAGCGCGAAGAGAAGGAACTCCGGTGCTACATGGCATCTGCTCTGGCAGCAGAGATTAACAACATGCTCCCACAAGGCCTTACAGGCCGCCGCGAGGACCAGAAACACCCAGGTGCTCGCCAGGAGGCATCGACCGAATGGCTCGCCGCACGAGGCCATGGTAACTCAGGACCCGACCGATCCCGTGAAGGGCGGTAAGATTACTGCTGGTAACCTGGCATCACATCAACTCCTTGGCTTCTGAAATTTCATATCAGCCACACCACTCATCGAACGATTCTGCGACCTGGATATTCAATATTCCACAGCCCCCTTTCTCGCATCGGAGGACTGGCTGGGCGCAGCGACGTTCGAGAAACCCTTAGTCAACGTTGGTTCCGACTATTGACCAAAGCCACTGCGGTCGCGTTGGGCAACTTCGTGCCACTGTCATCCCTTTTGGGCGTCGGCATCAGAAAGACGACCATGCTATCTTGACAAAGATTCAAGCATGTGCGACCGCAGACTTAGACGAGCAAGCTCCAGGGCCTGTCCGTCCACAATGGCTGGCGATGTTGACCAATTGTTCCTCTGATCATCGATCATACAATTTCTCTCCTATGCCCGAATCACGACATCTATCTACGCGATAATTTCCATTTCCTTACTCTTCTCTGAGATACCACATCTGGAGCCTGATTTTTCCCGACCATCTTGCACTTAATATGGGTTACAACCGGGGTTTTCGCTTCATAGGTTCGGCACGCCGTCCGCGGTGACGACGATATCTTCTATCCTTTTCATTTCTCAATCTTTATTTCTAATATCTTTGTGAACTGCCCGACGACACATGTACGAGTCACGGATGCGGCCATTTTTCTCTATGTTTACTTTTGCATGTCCTGGCAGGATCGCCAGTTCGATCTTTCCTTCTTATATACCTGACCATCTTTTCAAGGGTCGATTTTTTTTTTAACTTTCTACCAGTGGGCTTGCACCATTCAATACCAATATTTCATTACTACATATGCTCCAGTGTATCCCACCATAAATTACCAGACTAGTTTAATTGTGATGTGCAATCTTCCCCGCGCTCTCCCTAGCGCCCCCGGTGGAGCCGAGTGCAGGTTTTTTGCCCCTGCCGACATCACATATCATCATCACACGACGTAATACTCTTAACCCTAGGTACGGAGTAGAGGATGTCAGTGTACACTGTGAAATGCACATGTACAATGCACTATGTACTTGGAATGAGGAAATCACAGTTGATATCATCTTGATTCTACATCATTCCTATAAGGCAAAACACGTGTTTTATTTATAGGATATATTTATAGGCTAACTCCTCTTGGTGGGTCCAGGGTCTCACTTGGATTGCCTAGGTGGAGAGTATAGGGGGAGATAGGAAAAAACCGAGAATTTTCAATTATATATAGCGACTTAGTACGGAGTAGCATTTGCTGTATATTACGTTGAGCTACAGGACATGTCATACCTGGAACATTCAGAAATAAGTAGATGCCCGAGTATGTGTCGATGATACTCCGATCCTAATATGTAGATCTGCAACGGTGTCCTGCAACATACTCCGAAGTGATGCCGAAACATGCGTGCCGGAAAAAAACAAGGAAAAAGTGACGACCTTACTGTGTATGTTGTACAACATACATCGTCTAGATCATGGACGATCATTGCAACATCATGCATAAAACAAGATTATCACGCCATTGCGGATCGCGAACAAGCATACCTCCCTCTCACACCGCTGATATCCAGCAGTCTATGCCCCTCCGCCGAAGATCCACCCCTATGCGATCCAATTCATGCAAATAGTAAGATTGGCCTTGAAGCCTCAGCTCCCAGCTCCCCCTCGACCCAGATCCCGAGGCCGTAGCCGTAGCCGTCGAATCACAAACCCCAACAGAAGAAAACGAACCAGAATCAGACCTTAAACTCTTACAAGAGTCCTCATCCGAACTGAACCCATCACTCCCAATCTCCCTCCGAAACCGACCCCCATCCCTATCAAGGTCCACATAAAGATCCACATCCATATCATCCCTCTTGCCACAATCCCAATCCCAACCCCGTCTCGAAACAGACCGAACAACCACCCCTCTCAGGGGCTCCAAAAACCCCACCAATTTCTCAACAGGCTCGCTGAACCAATTGCTCTCCAGAACGAGCACAAATGACCGCAGTGACCCCAGCTGCGATACCGCCCGACACGTCTCTGTCCACTGCGTCCGTCCGGCGGACACGTACACTGCGCGCACGGAGTCTTTGCTCGGTAGCCAGTGACCTGGGAAGGACCAGCGCAGCTCAATGGCGCGTATGCGGTCCCGGTGTTCGGGTGGGATCGTTGGGAGGAGGTATGGGAGGGTCCAAGGGTTACTGAATTCTAGGGTTGGGAGGGTGTAGAGGAGAGGGATTGATTCGTGGTATCTGTTTTTTTATTATTAGTATTGGGAGTGGGGGAAGAATTGTAGGTTTGTATTTGTAGTTCTTTCTCTGGGGGTGAGTAGGTAGGAGAGGAGAGGAGAGGTAGGTTGTGGGTTATAAATCGTACATCGTACAATGTATATTGTATATTGTATAGAAGTATAGGGTTGGGGTACGGGAAGGGGAAGGATCAATGTTTCAACCATACATCTGCCGACAAGTCAACGCCAGACCCAGTAGCTTAACCTTATTCCAGCGGAGGAGATCGGCCTCTTTCGCCGGCTGGGAGATGCCCGTGCCATGGCAGATCTCGCAGAATAAATTGCGGTTCTGGCGTGTATGGCGTTTTGGCGATGAAGACCTTTTTGGCTCGAGCGCACATGGACATACCACGTGTCCGAGGCGCTGCCTGCTGCATTGGATTATGTGGATTCTTTGGTCTGCTAGGACAAATCCCCAGATCATTAGGCGGAGCTCCGGTGATAGCCGGGCGAGGAGTCGGCTTTGGAGCTGGGGTGAGGAGAATGCTATTGTTTGGCGGCGGGGAAGTGGAGGGGGTTTGTTGCCTGTTGGTTTTTTTAGGTCTGTTAGATATGTACACCCAACAAGAAGTAAATGAAGTAAATGAAGTATTTAAAAAAAAGTAAGAATAGAAGTTATTTACTTACTCTGGTACCGCTGAAGCAGCACATCCTCCCAGGAGAAAACCCCATGTTTCATACGGGCCATTGTTGATAGTAGCTCTGTTCGTCCCCGCTAAAATCAAAAGCAAAGAGACATTGACATTGACAGCGAGGTCGGTTCATAAATAATGCCACAAGACCTGCACCTGCTGACCCGGGCACAACACGTTCCCGTCAATCCGGGTAGCGCCAAGTGGTCCGGTTAAGGACATGGGCAAAGAGTCGGTGAAAAGATAAAGGGGAACAGGATGAGGTATTTATGTACATACGTAGTATCTGATATATTTATCTGGGACCAAAAAAGATAAGGAAATGCGGAAGATAACAACTCGGGCTATTTGTAGATCCTTGTACTTTAGGGCCGTACCTTGTTCGATACTCCGTAGGTACTCCGTACATAGTTCTACTCTATCTTCTCTAGATTCGATTTTGATCAGCAATAGCAACTGGCTTATAAACATTCATAGATGTCATTCATGTTTCAGGTAACCATATTGCTCAAGTACCTCTATGTAATGGATATTGGATTTCCTCTGCCGGGTGAGACTTTCCCATATAAGCTGCCGCTTTTATGAGGGCTTTCAGGATCACGCTCAGAATACATTATGAAAATGTGGCAGAAAACCACAAGCGCAAGATTTACTCCATGCGAGCAGCATCCAAACGAGTGGAAATGGACGAAACGACACTCGGATAGCCTGCCTCGCCGCTATAACTACATAGGAATGGGCCCCCTCTCATCGGAGCTTAAGTGTGGAAATCTTGTCTTCCATGATCCTTATATCAGCTTTGATAGGGCCAGACTTAGAAGGCGATGGCTCCTCCTGTGATAGGGCCCCGCTTGATCGTCGTCCCGAACCTTTTTTCGGAGTCGGGGTTGTGGACTTGAAATCCATAGCAGGAGGTGGTAGCGAGACGGCAGCTTTAATAGGGCCAGACTTAGAAGGCGATGGCTCCTCTTGTGATAAGGCCCCAGGTAGATACCTTGAGCGTCCCCCCTCTTTTCAGCTCATCTAATTGAACTAGTTCACAACTCGGACATATCCTCTGCATCGGATAGTGCGCAAATTGGGGTGGGCGGCGTTGGTCTGTTAGTTAGTACCTTCCTATTTTTGGCATGGTCGACAGGGGTTATCCGGGCGTTCCTGAGTTGGACTCATGCTAGACCAAAACAATTGGAGAATCTCGCACGAGGTTAGGGACTTTTGGGCTCTAGAGCACTGTGGCAGAGAACCGCGTGCATTAGTGTAGTTCGTTGACAGGGATACTCAGCCGTTCCCTCGAAGCTCCGTTTCCTGAGGTCAAGGTCAAGTAGTAGGCTGATTCAAGCCACACCCCGATGGCGCAGTAACTTCGAAGGCATACTCCGCACGGAGTAGCTCTCAGGGACATAAGAGAAGTGGTGCTTATAAGGCAGATAGAAGGGGCTATGCGTGCCAGGCACCGATGTTGGACGACAATGTGGGGGCCAAAAAATCAAGTCACGGGTTATGAAGGAAATGAGACTTGGGAATTGAGATAGCGTGAAAACTCGCGTCCAAAAGGCTGTTCGATTCATAGAGTGACGAAATTGTCCCTGTATCCAGCAGCAATGTCCGCATCTTCAAACTATACTTCCCTCGTTAGGCCATAGCTAGTACCCGGTATTCTAGCCTGAACTAGATTCTTAACAGTGAGGTAACACTAATTTAGAGAGGGAGGACAGTAGATTGTCTCTGCCAGCGTGTTGTATTCTATTGATGTTCTACAGATAGCCCTCACACTTCGATCAAGTGAGCGAACCAGGGCACTCACTTCACTCAGTGACTCTGTACATTGGTCCCAGACCTCAAGCAATAAGTAACCCACCGCCATACCCGACACCAAGAGTATCAACCCAGAGTGTTAATCTGGGGCGTCACCTGCAACCCCTCCGACAACATAGTCAACCCAGCCGGTTGCAGCTGGTCAACAGAGGCCTCCGCCGGCAGAGTGCCCACATAAGCATTGAAGTTGTAGATCCCGCAGACGCACGTGTCAACAACATCCCTCAAACTCGTCCCCGACAAAGCCTGAACCGTCCGGAAACCGCGAGTGACTTTGAAACTCTGCGCGCCCACGCCCATCGGCACCGAGTGTGACCAGACCCCCGGAGGCGCGATGTAGGTCTCACTCTTATCGCCCGACTGCACCCGCACCAGCGCGGGCATCTTCAGCATCGTGACAACAAACACCTCGTCTTTCATTGTGTCAGCGCCGTCGGGCCGGCCGCGGGAGAACTCGCCTTCGGCGTTGCTGGAGCTGCCTTGCATTGTTGTGTCGGTTGCGTCGCAGTCGACGTCCTTCGGCGTAGGCCGGTACCAGTAAACCAGTTTTTCTTCTTCTATGAATCTGACGGGCAGTCTCGAGCCTGCTTTATAGGCGGCGATGAAGGGCTTTGCCATGTCGAGCCAGCCGTTGTGGGGCCTGTTTCCTCGTCAGTTGATGTTTCCGTTAATTTGCTAGGGTGGGCTATCTCTACTTACATGTCCATCACCCACTTCGAGGCACCGTCGTCTGTGTGTGGTGACGACAGCGGGCCGATATAGTGTGATTCACCATAGTCATTCCAGGTGATAATCTCCACAAAGCGAGGGCTGAGACGTAGGATTTCTCTCCACCGGTCATACCAGAGGAGGTCGGAAGGGAACACCCAGTTCTTGCTGTACGAGACCTCGGGGCCGTAATGAGTCGAGAACCAAGGCGAGATGGCTATTTGTCAATCAGCGAATATGCACAGAAAAACCAACATACTATAGCCACTCACGCGCAATGTATGGTTTCCCTTGAAGGGCATCATTATAAGCCTCATCGCTATCTTCAACAGTAACCTTCTGCCCATCAGTCGGAGCCCTGTTATGTCCATTACTGTCCCAACCCATCCAGCTCAAAGCACCGTCGATTTTATCGAAATCACCCTGCCCGGGGTGGAAATTCGGCGCAAAGAAGATTTCACTGCCAGCAGCGGATCTGATTGCATCGACATCGACACCGTCGCCCGTAAACGACGATACAAAGACCTTCCCATCGACCATGAGCTGCCCGGGATGACTTGCATACTGCGCGATCTTGGCGCCGACTTCGCTGCCCTGGCTGGCCTGCCACCAGTTGAAGTCGAAGGAGATGAACACTTTCATGCCATTGTTGGCAGCAGATTCATAGGCATAGTAGAGTTGGGTATCGCTGTAAGAATCGGTGCCAATATTCAATGCAAAGGCATCGATACCTGCGTCTCTGGCACGTTTCATGTCATCGTCATAGTCGCCTGCGCTTTCGCGGTTGCTAACGATGCCCATCTAAATAGTGTTAGTGTTTATGTTGAGGGGGTTTGACAATGCAATAAATGTGTAACTTGCCATAAAATGGCAGAAAACCAATTTGTTTCCTACGTTTTCATCAGTAGATGAGGCCATGGTGTTGGTAATGTAGTCGACTGGAGTCGGGGAAGCGAAGGTAAAGAAAGGCAAAAGGCCAACCAGGGCCACGAAGAAGTAGAACATGGCTTTTTGAGCGGTGAAGAAATCCTAGTACCAGCCAAGGAATATCTCCACTAAGCCAAGCTGGACTATGTTGAAGATAAAAGGAATGAAAGATGTGTCCAGCTTAATGAGCGACTGGAGTAGTGAGGAATGAAAGCCCGTAGAAAGATAGGACATAAGACTTGAGTTAAAAAGTCTTATATGGATTTGGCGCTTTGTTTTACAATGCCACATTTTCTATAATCAGATCCACTCTTTGTATGCATAGTTGGACAATAGATCAATTAGACAATGAAGCCCTAAAGTGGGCTGCTGCCTTCAAAGAAAACCCCAAAGAAATCCTGCTGATGCCCCGACTGCCACAGTGCCACCCTGTCAGACGAGGGTCCTCGGCGCTTAGATTCCGACGGGACCAGGAAACCGAAAGATGCTCTTCTGCGATCTGGTTAGTTGAAATATAATGAGACTAGGGGAAGAGGCTGACAGAGACAGGTACCTGGTGATCCGTAGGGCTGTCGGATTGGCTGAATAACGCCTCCATCAGCCCAGCGGCTAATTTACGGAGGTGTTCCACGTTTGACCTTTTCTGGTAACATAGAGTGCAGAGATATTCTAATAGATCTCATCTTGAAACATCTTATACAATCTAAGAGATCAGGGATCCATTCACAAAGCACAAAGGACCATGTGCATGGTGTATCCCCAAGTGCAATCATCGACTGTGGGGGCCCTCGGCGTTAATATGTTTCAAAACCTGACCTCAAACTTGAAGAAAAGTCTGTCTCGGCGATTTATTATCAATCTAAGATCTTCTTATTTGCTACTAGTGAGTGCAAAGAGGAAATCGGCGGGGTTACCTGCTCTAGAGATCTCACGCTAGATTCTCGTCTCTTGATGTGGTATTATAACTCCCCGTGCGTGTGTAGGATAGCAGTCTAACATTGTTTTGAATGAAGCCTTGTGACGGATATATGCCGTTTGAGATTCCTAGTATCCGAGTAGACCTGCCAGATACCCAACCCACCAATAGACATAGAGAGGGGTACGGATATCTACCAAGTGTCAGCTTATGGCAATTCGGGAAAGGTGGGAATATAAACCCGATTTGATGGGTATCTGCGATAGAGCCTGTCATATGTCTAGACTGGTGATTTAGGTAAATGCTACAGTCCATCACACGAAAGGAAGAAATACCCACGGCCCCGGGTGGACACGCGATCTTGAAAGTTATATTGAACAAGTTAAATCTAGGTAATTTCTGGTTCGGATAACCATAACTCATTGATTCCAACCTTACTTGAGCAATCGTTGCTAGAGCTAACGCCCGTTATCCGAGCTAAAAGCAAGGAGAAAAGGTCTGCCATCAAGGCCATGTGATGGACTATCTTAAAGCACGGCAAATGCAGAGACATAGCTCACCGAGCTGTCATCGATATCTTCTACATCCGAGCTACGCTCGTACCGCAGGAAGTAAAAGCGTCCTTCCTGCTCGGCTGCTTGACTTGCCGTGACGATTTCCAGGGCTGCCATGATTACCCCGATCGGATGGCGCCCGCATACTGTGTTACCCGTGCGTTCAATAATTTCGAGGAAAGACTTTGCAGATCCCGTCGTGATAGCAGCCATGGTAGCCATGTCAAATGCTGAGATACTCTCGTGAATGGCAGGCTCACGGCTTGAGATATGGTCGCGTTTCCGCAAAGAGTGACCAGCTGAGACCATCTCGACGGCCTGATCGACGCTGCTTGCATCCATTCCGGGTTGCGGAAGTATATCACCAGACAATGGGAGTTGTGGCCCTGGCCTGAGGGCCTGTGGAACATAGTATGTGTAGCGGAAGCGGAGGCCCCAGTGGCAGAAATCCGAACTTATCACAAAGGCGTTTTCCGGGTCCGCCAGATAGGGGGCTAAGAGGGCTCCGAATGCTTGCTCTGTTGCCGTCGAGGTATTTCCCACCATGATTGGGACTAGAGGTGGGTATTCGGAGGCTGGAGAATCTGGATATTGGAGCTGGAGCAAGCGGTGGATGTAAGGTAGGTGCATCTCGATGCTATGCTCGTCTTCATCGACCGATCGTGACATAGTTGTGAAGCTAATCTTTGCCCCGTTTGGTTTGGTTGCCTGGGTTTCGAGAAGCCGGGTAATCAGCTCGGTGTCTAGTGGGAGGGGTTCATCGGATAGAGGGGTACGGTAGGAAGTTAGCGTTGGGAGAGCCAATGTTGCGAGTGAGACATGATGTGATGGTCCCAGAATAAAGATTCGCTTCCTATTTGTGAGGTTAGAGAGGTTTCATAAAAAAAGCCGGAGATAAGCTCACGCTTTAGAGAGATCCAGTGCCTTGTATGCGTAGGCTGCGCAGGGCCCGGAGTACGAATAACCCGCATGTCTGGTTGATTAGTATGCTTGGCTCTGGATACATATGTAATATCTATCATATGTATGATAAGGGCCTCAGACATACGGTGCAATGATCACTCTGGCTCCTGGAGTTGGCAGCGAGCCGACCTTCTCCATCGTGTCTGGCACCTGCGCCAGCCAACCATCTAGCTGACGGGCCAGAGTGCGGGCACTATCTGAGTACCATGATCCAGAGTGAGAGGCCTGTCGAGATGGCATGGTAGGATTTGTATTAATGGGTTAATGTCAAGGTGAATGTGAGAAGTGGTGTCCTACAACCTTGGAAGCTGAAGCTCTCCAATTGAGGAGAAGTGGGGGGAGCGGGGGATCCCGAACACTCTACTCCGTAACCAACGCGCCAATGGGAAGATTTGGGAGATACAGAGAAAGATTTATAGGAAATATGCATGCATTTCCTATATAGGAGTTTTCTAGTCAACATCGTATTGTGAATTTCTATATTTGAGTGTCATATGGAACCTCAGAAGTACCTATATACCCTACCAAGATACAGCACTGGCAAACAGAATGAAAGGGTCGAATAGCTGCATATAAAGAAGTGGCTGTTTGTAAAAATGTTAGTTATCAGCAAGAGTTCGTTGTACATTGCAGTCGTGTTTGAAGAAGTGTAGTTCTGGATACCGAAAGAATGATCGCGACAAGGGATAGTCGCTTGATCGAGGCAACAGTATTGATACCTCTAGGTCGGATATATCCATTGAGAGTAGAAATAATCTGCTTCTTCTACAAATGCAGAGGTCCCAGCGTTCATGTAGAAAGTTGTTAATGGACAGCTATCCTACCTATATTACCCGTTTTGGCTTAGCCTCAAGGAATGCAACGCGAAACCCGGGAATGACGCGCTCAGCCAATTGTGTTCGCATTGCCCAGTCCTCGTCTCAATTTCTCACACCTCTCTTCTCTTGTCATTACCACCTTCGTGAGACTTTTTATACGCAATTACCTCTACACACCCTCTACCGATCTACCTTACTATACACCAAGCTCTTAAAATGTCACTCAAGCGGAAAGCTTCGTTCACAGCTCTCCCGACCAGTCCGTCAGTTCCAGCCCCCAGTGAATGGGGCATGATGATAGATGGGAGCACACACCTCCACAGTCGGACGCGAAAGCGCTTCAGAGACGATCGTCCCAGTGACCAAGTTATTTACCGTAAGTGCCTCGGCTCGGAGTACTCTCCCTTGATCGCGTCAACGTTCAACCTTGCTAACAGCCGGCAGGAAACACCCTACGATGGATTTTCTCCGCACAAAAGCAGCAGGAGGCTACACAGGCCACCGATATGGATACAATGGACTCAGAGCCGACTCTCGAAACACCAGAAGCTGTTGACCCCCGACAACAAACATTACACCGATTCTTCCAACAAACGCCGCAGCAATCATCTTCTTTCCGACCATCCCGTCAAGCGCTTGCACCGCGTGCCAACGAGACTGCACAGACCCAGGAGGATCTCCTGCGTCGCCAGGCTTTTAATCAAATGAGCTCCGGAGACAGCTCGAGCGACAGCAACAGTCCCGGATCCAATCAGATGGGTGCTGATGTGGACATGGATATGGACATGGATAGCAGAAGCGGGAGTGATGGGTTGGATCAGGCGCCCAAGAACTGGGTAGGAGGAATGGCCTGGATGTAATTTGGTTACACGGGTCCTTTTTCATCATCGTGCGCTGGTGTTTTTTTTGTCAGGAGAGGTTATCATTACCTTTCCTTCTATTTCGTGATACCTATTGGGCTATTTGGGCTATTTGGGCAAGGTGTTAATGGCTAATTATATTGCCTTGCTTTTCTTCCCTTGTTGAAAAGAACCGAGAGATTTTTCGGTCTTTAGCGTCTATGGAAGCCCGGGACTACTTGAAAGACTAGGGGCTTTGACTTATAATGAACGTACATAGCTAGCTATCTGGCTTAATTCGATATTCTAGTGACTCCCGACTTCATTGCAGGCTTGGGTAAGGGTGCGTCTCATTTGATCCGGCCCTAGGTAGCTATATCGGAGGTATTGTGATCGCTTGCCTAGATTGGTATGTACCTAGGTAGCTAGTCCGATATAACCACTAGTGTATACATAAATATACGTATAGAGTAAGGTTAGTAGCTCATGCTACATTTTTGGGATACTGACTCTTCATTATCTAGACACTCTATAGCTCTTTCAAAATTGTAGATTTTGGCATGATCGCTGTTTATGGCCGGCCGCCATTAGCCTAGTGTGGCCTCAGGCATCAACAAAGTTGTTTGTCCACCCGACGTCGTCCCTCCTTCAATTGAACCACAAGGCCAGGGGAATCCCAAACTGCAAGAGAAATTACTTAACTTTGCCAACCCCCCGAATAATCCGACTCTGTCATTCCTCCGTCGGAATCCTTTTCAGCTCGGCTACCCTCAGACTTCAACTCCCCCGCACATTGGAGGTCCTTTGGCTGCTGACACGAACAACGCACCAACCACAATGGATCACGATCAGTCTGTTGAGTACTTGGAAGGGCTGTTGGGTCACACACTGCGGATTCATACCACGGATACTCGGATGTTTGTCGGGCTTTTTAAGTGTACCGATGCGGTAAGCAGTTATTTATGAACTACATGCTATGGGATTTGAAATAGCATACAGCGAGCGGTACTAATCAAAAATTCCTCGATAGGACCGGAATATCATCCTCGCCAACTCTTTTGAATATCGTATGCCCACTACATCTGCCGTACAAGCCGCCGCACACGAGAAAGAGTCGCGGGGAGAAGGGTCGGAAGCAAAGAGCGCAACTGTCAAAGTGAACATGACACACCGGTTGATAGGCCTCATTGTGATACCAGGACGACACATTACGAAAATAGAGCTGGAGTAAGCCTTAATGTGGTCCCAACTCGGGCTCGTGTCCACGAGGCCTTCATTTTCCCACCTGGGGATCGTTCTCTATTCTATTCTCGAATGATAAACCTGGCTCTGCTGCCCCACAATACCAAGCAGCATAGCAACCACCTATGGCACCCACCCACGCGATATGCCGCAGGAGAGGCCCGGTTCCTGCCATGCGCCCACAATCACCCTGGTCCCTGCTTTTCCGCCAGGGCTAGAGTTGGGCGTGGAACTGCCAAGAGGAGGCTTTCTTGCAGCGGCGCTCGCTGCCCCTCCACCAACGTGGCATCGGGATCACAACAGCTGCATCGCAGCGTCGCAGCATCCAAGGTGGCTTGACCGGCAGTTCTGCAGTCAAGTTATCGGATAGGGAGATTTGTTTGTGGCAGGCGCTTTCGGCGAACAAGGGGTGAATGGAGGGACAAAAAGGCGGTGTCTCCGCCACAGAGATCCCTTGGCGTGCAGCGTGGTTGCTTTCGTGCAGAACCAAGACTATCTGTGGCTCGTGTACGCTTCCTCTGCGATCTGATCATGGGGCAGGGTGTATCTTGTTTCTGAAAGGACACTACTATCCTCTAGCCGCCTTCCACCGTTGGAAGTGTTTGCAGGAGGCTTATGCTCTATCACGCACCAACATATAACTTTGTGATGTATCATTTTGCTTCCGAACGTGGTATTGAGTCTTTGAGTCAGTGGGCGCTTCACTTTTATCTTTATCGCTTCTGATAGGAGACGTGCCCCAGGTGGCGGGGTCCAAGCTCCGGATAGATTCTCTTGCGAATGGCCGGGTAGGTTCGGAAAAAGATTCATGGTGTCTGACTGGCTCTACAAATTCATTTATGGTCTCTTCAGGTGGCCCAAATTTAAATGCAATTGTAAATGCATGTACATTGTAGCGAGAAAAGCATCGCTTATCGAGCGCTAATAGTAGTGGGGGTTTTAAGAAAGACATCTAAAAAGACCGCTAAACAAGACCAAAGGATTTACCTAGAAAATGGAAAAATAAAAAGGATATTGTTCACATATTGGGGGAGAAAGTCGGGGCTCTACAAGATTAAAGAAAGAAAATAAAGAAGATATTTCCTAAATTTGTGCGGTGTGAAGCTGTAAAGAGATAGAGATATACAGACCTTACAAGTGACTTCAGATCTATGTGTACTAGTTTGGCTTTAAAGAAAGAAAAAGAAATCAAATCAAATAAAAAGAAAAATAACCTTTTTGATTAAAGCTGATGAATAACGATTAACGACGAATCCCATGAATCTTCAGTTACCTAGGTATAAATATAAGAGTCCAGACTCTCTATCTCCAAGGTTAAATCAGGCAACTGTCTTAGATCCTCGACAAAGTTCTTTGTATAGCTCGGTCCAAGAGATAGTCCGGCTGACCTAATCCACCCCGATCGAGACCGGGCCCAAGAAAGGGAAACCACAAAAACAGCCACTTTGTACCCGTGAAGTACCATTTTGCTGTACTAGCGGTGGCGGAGTACTTTTGCCTACATCTCTTTACCTTTCTGGGCACTTTCTTGACTTGCAACTTTCCTCTTCCCCTCTCGATCTTTTCTTGTTTTCATCCTTGCAGGGAGCTTCCACCCTGCTCAGTGCTATATCTCTGCTCCCCCCCCATTTGATCCTTCTTGAGGTAAAGTGTTCCCCCGGGGTGTCTGCCTGCGGCTTATTATGTGGAATACCACCCATTCACACCCCCCGTACATAATGACGCATTCCTCTACCCGCAAACCCACCATTCCCAGTCTTTCTCCATTCAAGGACCTCCCTTGCTTCTTTTTTTTCTTCTCTTTCTCACCAATACCTCCACATGCCACCTGGGTTTCTGCGGAGTCAGCCCTGCAATCCCGCACCTGCATTGTCTCGTGCAAGAGGCTAACTTTCGGTAGAGCTTGCTCAGCCTTTCACCTCGGAGCTTCCGCCTTTTATCTTTAGCTTCTCACCATTCGAAAACCCCTCCACCTGCATCAATCACAAAACATCTGGCCCGCTACCTAGATCTTCACTCTGACCTCGCCACCTCGCCCGTTCGCCTCGTAACTGTGCTCACGTTTTGCACTTGCCTCCGCCCGTGTGTATTCCTTAGAGTCCCGACCAGGTGGATTAGTGATAATCAATCCTCACACAAACTGTTGCGCATTCTTTGCAGAGCCTCTCCAAGCTTTTTGTAATATTGCAGAAGCTCGGGCCAAGACATTCCAGCAACACAACAGGGGTTTCTCGGCATAACAGTTCGAACTTCCACCGTTCGTGCGATCATCTCAAACTCAAGCTTGGCACTTACCCGAGCCTTGTAGTGATGGGTCAGTCGCATTCCAAGGGCAACGCCTCGGGCGACCCTCTTCAGTCCTACCCTTCGTTTTCCAAGTCCGACACCAAAGAGTCTCTCCGCTCGTTCCGCGGCTCGATCCGATCGAAAATCCCTGGTGCTCGCAGCTCCGATAGCCCTCGGGGCTCCACCACTGCTCTCTCCCGGACTGAGAGCCAGACCGATAAATCCGATGCTGGATCCCTCAAGTCCGTCGGAAGCCGCCCTGGCTCCAATGCCGGCCTCCCCCAGTCGCCTGGTTCCGAGAGCACCTCGCGACCCGGCTCCCCCCAACCCCCGCCGTCTCCCTCGCTTTCCACCAGCCTGCAACGAGGCCACAAGGATGTGAACGCCATGAAGCAGAGTGGCGAAGTTGACCATGTGTCAGATGGCCCTCCCTCTGGTGGCCCCCCAACCGGGGCTTCCGCGGTCGCTGGCGAATCAATTCTGATGAAGCGAGAGAATCAACTGAATCCCATTTTGGACTTCATCTTGAATGCTCCTCTGGAGACTTCTGGATCTCCCGGGATGGGCATGGGCGCTTTGAAATCCATTGATTTGGACGACATGATTTCGCGACTCCTAGATGCTGGTTATTCTAGCAAGGTTACCAAAACAGTCTGCTTGAAGAATGCGGAGATTACCGCCATCTGCACCGCCGCTCGCGAGCTCTTCCTGTCGCAGCCTGCTCTGCTGGAGCTGTCTGCTCCCGTGAAGATTGTCGGCGACGTTCACGGCCAATATACTGACCTCATTCGACTCTTCGAGATGTGTGGATTCCCTCCCGCTTCTAACTACCTTTTCCTGGGTGACTACGTCGACCGAGGCAAGCAGAGTCTGGAGACGATCCTTCTGCTGATGTGCTATAAGCTCAAGTACCCCGAGAACTTCTTCTTGCTTCGAGGAAACCATGAGTGTGCCAACGTTACCCGTGTTTATGGGTTCTATGATGAGTGCAAGCGTCGTTGCAACATCAAGGTCTGGAAGACCTTCATCGATACCTTCAATTGTCTCCCGATTGCTGCGATTGTGGCCGGCAAAATCTTCTGTGTCCACGGTGGTCTCTCCCCTAGTCTTTCGCATATGGACGACATTCGCGGTATCGCTCGCCCCACTGACGTGCCGGACTATGGTCTGTTGAACGACCTCCTGTGGAGTGACCCGGCAGACATGGAGGAAGACTGGGAACCTAACGAGCGTGGTGTCAGCTACTGTTTCGGAAAGAAGGTGATCATGGACTTTTTGCAGCGTCACGACTTCGACCTGGTTTGCCGTGCCCACATGGTGGTTGAGGATGGATATGAGTTCTACCAGGATCGTATTCTGGTGACTGTGTTTTCTGCACCCAACGTCAGTCGCCTTCTCTTGTGTTTCACTATGACTCTCACTGACCTCTCACAGTATTGCGGCGAGTTTGATAACTGGGGCGCTATCATGTCAGTCTCAGGCGAACTTCTTTGCAGCTTCGAACTTCTCAAACCCTTGGACTCGACCGCCCTGAAGAACCACATTAAGAAGGGCCGAAACAAGCGCAACAGCATGCTGAACAGCCCTGTAAGGAATCCCCCTTTAGATTTCCCCCCATGTGATCGTTGCTGCATTGTACAACACTGCCGAGCTTTCTTCTTGCAAATTATGCAGTTATTGCATCCCGTATCTTCTTGAACGAATCGCTAACCAATTCCAGCCTGCGGCGGTATCGGCGCAAAGTTATTAGGCCCCACCGATCGCTCTACATTTGAAATTGATATCATCTCCTGCGATCTGTCATTGCTGTCATGTTCTCGATTACTCTGACAGTCATTGACCGGCAATGAACACGACTTTTACCAAACTAGCAACGTGGTAGCCTATCCCTTGTTTGATAATGGCTGATCACTGAAATCGCTCTACCACCACGGCTCTCGCACCAACTTCCGGACCCAACCCCCCCGGTATGGATGCCCAAAATGAGGCTTGGCGCAGAAGTGAACCAGATTCCTCTGACCGGTCCGCGCATCGGAGCCCTTAAGGCACCGTGGTATGCGTGGACCCGCAGATCCCATATTTGCGGACCCAATGGAAAGACATACTCGAGCAAAGGCACGTGGAATCTCTATAGGCCACTTTATTGTCGCCTAATTCGGTTCCAGCTCACAATGCAGTCGCGTGCAAACCCACGGCATTTTTCTTCGGCCCCCCTAAAAATCATAGCTATGTATCTCTACATGGCTTGGGTTATCAGGCCTCTCGTTTTTGGTGTGGCATTCTCCTGCATGTACTTACAATATCTACTCTTTTATCCCAAACAAATGGTATTTCTTGGGCATCATTCAGCTTTCTTCTTTCTTCCATTTCTTTAGGACCCATGGACCGTCATAGTATATTTAAAATGCATGATCTTTAGGTCCTTAGGGGTATTTTTCAGATATCTTTCCAATATTTCCTATTGACCGTCTAGCGAAGTTGCGTATTTGGCTAGACTCTTCTGTGGGTAAATCAAACCCACACCGCTACATACTAAATGCCCTCATGACTTGGCCAGAAGCCAGTCAAATGGACCGAAATAGTTTGTACTCTGTACAGCCAGCGCTGACCAGTTGTATGTCTAGGCCTCACTCGGGACCACCTTCCGACACGCCTCGGCAGCTCACCCGCCTCTGTCGAACATCGCCTATATGCACATGTACTTGGGTATCAGGTACGATCAAAAGAAAATTTCAAAAATTGGGCTTGATTCACACCTGCAGATAAGAAAGGTTTTACTAATGATATCCTGCAACTCACGTAAGTGTATTGACATGCTTAACGATAATATGGTAGAGCTCTAGTAATTGCTTTTTCAAAACATACACAAACCCATTTTGTGATAGATCAGTGGTAAAGGTCAAGTAAACAAAAACAGAACCCGATTCCTCAATCAAGTTTCCTTCCGACTATTTCCCTGCAGTTGGCGCAACCCCCCAGTCGAACGAGCAACAGATTGAACCTGAACCCTAACACTCGCCGCAAAAGGATTCCGATCCGTATTCTGATCCAAATTCCCCAAAGCATGATTGACATCACGATGTTTGGCCTCATCAGCACGAACATACAGCAACAGTGAATGCATACACCGTTGACCCTCCGGCATTTGCCAGTACTTGATTGCCATCTCGGGAGCCTGCAAGCTCTCCCATCCAGGCAGATGACCATTCTCGAGGTCAAGAATTGCCTTCGAGTATGTGATGACAGCTTCTTCCTCTAGATACCCCACAAAGCGATGGCAGATCTGAGGCGAGATGAGATATGCGAGGGAGAATCCGCTGAAGAATACCCACTGCGCACCGAGGACCATGAACCGCATTGTTGGCCCTGGCTCGGCGAGCTTCAGGAAGGTTAGGAGGTGCATTCGTTCGTTGTAGGCTTCTTCGAGGAGTGTTTCTATCCTGTATTGTGTGGGATATTAGATACTATTCTATCTACCAAGGAGAAGATGGATGGTATCACTCACCACCCGTTGTCTCGCCTCATTCGCCGGATGCTTTTGAGATGCCGGAGCATCCCTGCTACCATCCCCGGCACGCCGGCTACACTTTCCAGGAACACGAATCTTGTGATCCATTTCTCCTCAGTCATGTGGTGGGCCTGAGGGAGTGTGGTTATGTTCGTTGGTCGACTGTGGTATCCGGAGACAAGATCCATACCCCAGCGTAATAGGCGCACGGTTCCGAGAGCTGCTCTATCTTGCCAGGTGTGTGCCTTGCGGTGGGCGGTTCGGACAGCGAGGATCTGTTCTTTTGTGTATCTAACAGGAAGGTGATATATGTCAGATACAAATCTTTCTGTTGTAAGGAAGCAATGAAGCAAAGGTTTCCTCCAATGAGGCACCTTAGTTGAACATACACGGGATGGGTCCATGATGACTTTTGGCCAACTTGTGTGCTTGTTGTATGGTTTCGCTTGATCGGCACCAAGGCAGACAGGCTGCTATATCTGCTTGGCTGAGCGTATGATATAGTGCTCCTGAGCATTGTGTTGTGCTGAAGACGGGTGGGCACAAGAGAAAGCCGAGCCGTACTTGTTTGGATATTCATGACTATCAAACAGTATAAGGGAATGCAAAAAGAAAGAGATAGAAGAACGAGAAATCTTTACAAGCTGAAATGATTTGATTCTGGAATTGAGTAGTCAAAGTCCAACAGAAGTGTCCGTCTTTTATGCCATGGATGTTCTGTTTCCTACAATGCAGAACGCAGACTATGACTCCACAATTGTTGATGATCTCGTGTTCTACAATATACAGTGTATGCTGGATAATAGCTTCACCAACTCCGCGAGATCAAATTAAAGATGGTACTGCAAGGAGAAGATCGCGCCTTGTTGAACCCTAATCGCCCGATTTCATCCGACACGGGGAAGACCTCGGGTGAGGAAGTTCTAGATGGATTTTTCGTGACTCATTAAAGGTTACATCTTGAAGAAGAGTCACTTTTACAGCAAAGAGATAATAACATGTTTAAAAGGGGCCAACCCTGTGAACTAGCGATGCTAAGTTTTGTCTAGTGCACCGTGCGTAGGCCTGGGGCTGCCATCATATTATATTAGACTCAAAATGGAAACTGAAAGTCAGGGGATATTTAAGAACGGACTAAGAGTTACATACTTATATATGTTGGGAATGAATGGTACGTTCCTCCTGAAAAGTGCAATAAATGAACACTGGCTACCTTCCAAGGTTGGTAATAGCTGACCCAGGGTGGTTGGAAACATGTCTTCTTCTTCGTCTTTTGCCCATATAGAAAACCTATACCAGAAGACATGGGCTGCGTAAGATAATCAATTTCTATGTCCACTGCAAAGTGAATTAGTGATACTATTATATACTTCAAGAAATTAGTCGCTTTCAACTCCTTAACATGTCCCTTTTCGGGTGATTTTGCTAGATAATTTCCACCCCGAACGCTATTACTTAGTGAAAGGGAAAAAATGGCAATTGCTAGCATAATAGTCAATCTAGTTAATCTAGTTAAATTGATCGGAAATGATATTTTCGAAATGCTCGAAGACCGCTAGTCACGACCACCAAGTAAATTGCCATAATCTGTTAAACGAGAAAATACTGCGCTTTGGTGATGCTCTAGACTCTATTATACTGTCTTCTATCTTGTGTATCTCGTGTGATATCGATGGTCTATCTTTCTATGGGATATGGCATTCATGGATATGTTCTCAGATTGTACATTAACCTTTCCGTCATGCCTGAAAGATATCAATAATCCGCACAGCAACATCAAATGATCTGTTGACACCGCATACTCCTGTCTATCTTTGTGTCACTTGATAAAAACCAAATAGGCGCTGTCGGTAGGCATACCGTTGATAACATAGACAACCAACCCCGCCACCGGCGAGTCTCCCGTGCAGACATTCCACGAACGAATTATCTGGATCACCAATAGGACCAGTCCTCCGAATACTCTCTCCGGATTCCATTACTATTTGCGGAGAGACTGACCAGCAGGAGTGACAATCACCCCGCATGGTGGGTTGTATCAGTTATCAAAGGCACCGGGCGCCTGCCCGAGATGCTATTTGGTTTTATACGAGGGGAACAACATGAAGGATAAAGAAGCTGGCCCCTTCGCCTAATTTAACATGAGCAGAAGTCGAAATTCATAATATAATCCAAAAGAAATGGGTACCGTACTTCCTGGAAAGCCTCTAACGGCTCTTGCGCGATGCACTCGGCCAACGAGGAATGTGAATACCCCGATGACACTGCGCTTTACTTCAACACTCCAAGCACACGCACAAGTAAAGACTGGTCTGAGCCCCCCACTACCCCCTCTCTCCGTTTTACCAGCTCGTGTCTTGCTCAGATCTCTGCTGGTCTCTACGATATCGTCGAAGAGATTCCTCCTCATTCCGGCGCTTTCGTTGATGTCCTTCCTCTCCAAACCTAACAGGATATGGCTATTCGACGTGGATCGGAATCCGATCCTACATGGAATATTAAAGAAAACGTTCTATAATCAATTCTGTGCTGGGGAAAATGGGGCAGAATGCAGATCCACCATCCGGGAAATGAAAGACATGGGCTTCCGCGGTATGATTTTGACATACGCTGCTGAGACTGTGTTTGATCATAGTACTCAGGCTCAGCATGGACAGGGCATTGCTGCTTTGAAAAGCGAGCACGGGGATGTGTCCATCGAAGCTTCGGTCAATCATTGTCCTAGCATCGAAGCTTGGCGGGAGGGGACAGTTGAGACCATATACATGACGGAGGCAGAAGACTATCTCGCAGTCAAGTAAGTTACTCGGAGCCCACTCCTTTCATGGAGTAACAACTGACCGTCTACAAGGTTGACAGGTGCTGGCGTTAAAGTCACCGAGGCTTTTGCCGCTGGAGAGTTGCCTCCGCAGCAAATGATGGATGCACTGGATGAGGTCTGCACCAAGGCCAAAGACCGAAAGGTTCGCATCCTCGTCGACGCCGAGTCTCAGCACTTCCAAAAGGGCATTGCACGGGTAGCTGTGGAACTTATGCGCAAATACAATCGCGACGGTTATGCCACTATCTACAACACCTACCAGGCCTACCTCAAAAGCACACCAGCAACACTGGCCAACCATCTCGCCGTGGCAAAAGAAGATGGCTTCACTCTCGGACTCAAGCTTGTGAGGGGCGCATACATGGCTACGGATGAACGGTCCCTGATCCACGACACGAAGGAAGACACCGACAACGCATATAATATGATTGCCCAGGGGGCACTGAGGAAGAACATTGGAGAATTTGGAGACAAGGGCAGCCGCGACTTCCCCTCTGTGAATCTCTTTCTGGCAAGTCATAACAAAGAGAGCGTGGTGGCTGCCCACGAGCTCCATAAGCATCGTGTTATGTCTGGCTTGCCTACCGTGCCTGTGCGCTTTGCCCAACTCCATGGTATGTCTGATGAGGTTAGCTTTTCGCTGCTTCAGATGAATGACGGCGATGGAACACCGGAAGTATATAAATGCTCCACTTGGGGAGGTATGGGTGATTGTCTGGCCTATCTTCTTCGTCGGGCAATTGAGAATCGCGATGCTGTTCTGCGGACAGATAGTGAGTATCGGGCGTTGAAGAAGGAGGTTTTCCGGAGAGTGAAGTCGTTGTTTGCTCTTTCGCCATCTTCATAGCATACCCGATGGGATATGAATTTATGATCAATGTGTTACAATGACTTTTACTCTCAGTTTCTTTCAATATACTAGGCCCATGGCAATAGATTAGACCTGAATAGGTAGTGTAGAGAGATAAAATTATATCTGACAAGAGGCTGACTGATCTTCATCTACACCACGAGAAAACCTATGACCCGATGGGTCGTCACTTCCAATTTTGACCATGACAAAATAGTTTCAGAAGGAGTGATCATGTATGATCTGGTTGTGTACAACATATATCCTCCGGAGTAATGACCTGGTTGGTCCATGTCAGTTTGGGTAAAGATCTGCATTTGTTGGTGATTTCGGGGCCAGTATTATTCTCATAAGCACCGAAAATTAGATTGTAACCGGCTCGGCTGTCGAAAATAGAGGATGCAATGATAATATAGGGAAATTGCCCTGGCGATTATTGTTTTCCCTTATAATTGTAGGGAATATATCGCCCTGTAGCTCACCGCAATGATGACATGATGATGCTAGGGAGGTCAAGAATGTTCAGTATGTTTCACGGAGCCACTATCAAGGGCGTTAGAACTGAAACAGTGCGCAATTTGCGTCATATGGACCATCAAACACAGCCAGAGGTGAAGAAAGCGGTGCATGAGATAAGATATATTGCGTGAGTTGGAAGGGGCTATGCTTGACACCGCTCTATGTTCTACATGATGTTTTAGTTCACAGCACTCACCCTTAGCTCGATAGGACCGTATAGCGTATGGCACCCCGCCTAAGAGCTAAGAGGGGAAATGTATTTGAGGTATTAATAGAGGACATGGATGTTGACTCGTATAGCCAATAAATGGGAGACTGTGGAGTCCTGGGCCATAAGTCCGGGGCGATATTGCGCAACCTCAAGCCTGGGGCTTGATAGAGCTATTCCGTACTACGCCTAGCGCCGCCATTTACCAAACTTGGAGGAAGACTAAGCTCCACTCACCGTCGAATATGAGAAGCCGGTTGGCCCGTTCGGTGAACGTCCGAAGCTTGGTAAGCTTGTCTTTCCTTTGTAGCCCTGGAGTAGCCCTAGCTACATACATATGTACTCCAGAGTCAATCTGGGGCCCCTCGCTTCGGGATTTAGTAAGTGGGGGTGTTACGTCGAGGCAACTCCGGAAGTTTTTGATTCCGTTGTTCTCCCCTGTGTGTTGGAATCGTGTGAAGTTTTTGAACTCATCCGACAAAAGACCTTTTAGCACTAGAGTGAACGCTATGGCTCCTAAGCTCAAAGGAAAGTCCTTGAGCCTCGCCATCGGTCTCATTGGCGCTGTCGGATTCGTATTACAGGGTTACGATCAGGCAGTTACCAATGGACTGTTGACACTGGGCTCTTTCATCGCTGTCTTCCCTCAAATCGATACCGTGCATACTAGCGGCAGTGAGAAATCTCACAACTCTACAATTCAAGGTATCTACTCAAATGAATCGTTGTTAGAGGTTAGCGAGAGCAATGTTGACCATTACAAGGCACAACGGTCGCTATCTATGAAGTTGGATGCGCAATAGGTGCAGGTTCCTGCGCCTTTCTAGGCGACAGACTTGGTCGTCGCAAGACCATATTTCTTGCCGGTTGCATAGCCTTAATTGGTATAGCTATTCAAGCAAGTCCTTTCTCGCTCGGCCAGCTTATCGCTGGCAGGGTCATTACTGGTAAAGCCCCAACCTACTATTGAATAAATTATAATAAACTAACCAGTATTCTGTAACTGAATAGGTCTTGGTGTCGGTGGCTTCACCGCTACAATCCCAATGTACGTTTCCGAGTCATCTGGAGCAGAGGCCCGTGGACGAATGGTGCTGCTAGAGGGGTGGTTTGCAATCGGCGGCATTGTTCTGGCAACATGGTTGGAATTCGGACTCTACTATGTCAGCGACAACTCCGTTAGCTGGCGTTTTCCCATTGCATTCCAAGGCCTCTTTGCTCTTATTGTTGTGGGGTGTATCATGCTCCTACCCGAGTCTCCTCGCTGGCTAGCACGCGTCGGACGCCTCGAGGAGGCAGCTGAAGTCTTAGCCCGCATGGAAGATGTGTCTGTCGACTCTGAGCATGTCCTACAGGAGCTGGAAATTATCCGACAGTCACTTGTAATTGACGAGAACACCGAATCGGCAGGTTCCTCTTCGCCGTTTGCTCTCACGAAGAACCGCCACCTGCACCGTACAGTTATTGCTGTTGGTGTGAACATTCTGGCGCAGATGACCGGTGTCAACATCATCACTTTCTATTCTGATACTATCTTCGAGTCCGACCTGGGCTACTCAGGTACACTCTCACGAATCATCACGGGATGTCTGCAAATCTGGCAGTTTTTGGCTGCAGGCCTGGCCGTCCTACTCATTGATCGCATCGGACGTCGTCCACTGCTTATTGCTGCCGCTGCCGGTATGACCGTTTCCCAGGCCTGTCTTGCTGGGCTATCAAGCGACCCTGAAAACAAGTCCGCAGCTGGCGCATCACTCTTGTTCTACTTCGTAGCACTTTTCTGCTTCCCTATTGGACTTTTCCTTGTCCCATTCATGTACGCTGCGGAGATCGCACCGCTACGCACTCGTGCTAAGGTTACTGCTATGGCAGCTGCAGCAAACTGGCTCTTCAACTTCGTGTTGGCGGAGGTGAGCCCTGTCGGGTTCGCTACTATCCACTGGCGGTATTACATTGTCTACGCGTGCATTAGCGCCTTTGCTTGTGTATGTTTCTACTTCTTCTGCCCTGAGACTAAGGGCCGTACACTGGAGGAGATCGATGATATCTTTGTTCAGTCGAAGTCTGTCTTTGATACTGTTCAAATCGCACAGGAGATGCCTTACCAGACGGAGATTCTGGCGCACGTCAGTGATACTGAGAAGGGTGGGCTGCAGGCTACGCAGGTTGAGAATGCTTGAAAATGATATGAAGAAGCCTGCGATGATGTGATGCTTATCAAGATTGTTTAGATGGAAGCTTATGATAAATTATAGATTTACTTGTCTAGGTAGTTACGTTGGGTCTCTTGACCCCAGCCATTTGTTCAAGATATGAATGGATAGATAGTTAGACGAGAAATTTATTCAACTCGAGACTTTGGCATGAAAAGCAGATCGCAACTCCATATTCGTCAAGCACCCAATTCCAAATGCAGGAATGATACGGACACAACGCAACAAAGTCGACGAGGGAAGATATTGCTGTGAATGCTTCACCCTTTCTAGGAAAGGCATAGTATATTGCCGTGTATACATATCCAACGCCAACAAATGCAGCGGAGTAGCAACCAGCTGAGTCAAAACGGGCACAGTCAATTGGGTGATAATAGGCTTTGCGTGGGGATGAGCTGTCAAGCTGTCGGGGATGGCATCCGACAACCACGGGGCCAACGTAAATGACCCAAAGATAGTCACACCGTCTCGCACAAGGAAGATAACAGCTGCAGTTCGTGCCAATGACTTGTTCTGGAGGGGTACAGAAATTGGAGTGTTTGCTCTCGATGTCTTGGCATCGGGACCGCTGCCGGTGCCGTATTCCTGCGCAAATCGGATGTCCTTCCACAGCGCTAGCGGCACGTTAGCCATCATAGTTGTGGCAAATGTGATCGTCCCCGCGGCGGTTATCTCAAGCTTGCGACTGATTGTGTCGGTCACATTTGCGACGGAATAGGTTGCCGCGTAGAGGGCCCAGACGATACCGAAGGGTCGTTGGAAGACAAACAGACCCGGCTGTCGGAGGGCCCCGACCGCATGCCGACGAAGCCCTCGGAGAATGGGTTGCTTGAAGGCAGCTTGCTCAACAAGCGCTCTAAATGCTTGTTAACGCGGAAGCATCGCGCGTGCAAGCGTCGAGACAAACCTATCAATAATTGCCACCATGGGTGTCACTAGGGACGCCGAGGCTGCTGCCGCGGCGAGATCGCCTGCCAGTTGTCCCATTTGAGGATTGCCCCAGCGAGCTTCATTTGATTTCACTTGTTGCATAATGATAATTTGGAGTACATACTAGTTCGGAGTGTCATGCTTATCTACTCTGAAAATATATGACTACTTAGGTACACTACCCAATCCAGCCTGATACGAGCACCGGATGGCCTCCCGATGCTGCAGATTTCGAATAGCAGCCATGTATTTAGCTTAATCTTGCACGTCAGAGCTCAAGCTCACGGCAATAATCATGTGGGGTAAACGGGGAAGCCTCCGATATTTTTAGGAGGGGTCGTTGACGTTTAAATTGATATGTTCGTCGTCTCAAACTGATTTATTAAGTTAACATTGCCATTAACTCGACTCAAACCTGCTATTCATAATGTCTACCACACTCATGAGACTTCGCTCGGCACGGCCTACTGGCTCTCGCCTGCGCTCCATTCCTGCGGGACTCTCTATTCAAGCTCGTGCTAAGACTACCATGCCATTCCGCCTCCCCGATCCCCGAAACGAACCAAACGTGAGTGTGATAGACCTATTTAACCAAACTCAATGTTAATTAGACTATAGCCTCTATACAAGAAAGGCTCCCCAGAGCGCGCCAAACTTGAAGAAGCATTGACGAAGCTCCGTTCTCAGCTGCCCGTGCGAAGTGAACTATTCTACGATGGAAAATTCCAGGCGAGCTCCAAGTCTTGGGATCAACCACTGCCTGCCGAACATGCCATTACCTTCACAAACTACCCACTTGCCACCGATGAGCAGACCCGGTCAGCTATTGAACTAGCTCTGGAGGCAAAGCAAAGCTGGCAAGATACCCCATTTGTTGATCGAGCTTCGATCTTTCTCAAGGCTGCCGAGCTGCTATGCACCAAGTACCGATACGAGATTATTGCAGCTACTATGCTTGGACAAGGAAAGAACATTTGGCAAGGGGAGATTGATGCAGCCGCTGAATTGGCCGATTTCTTCCGCCTAAACTGTAACTGGGCCGCTGAAATCTTGGAGAAGCAGCCAACTCGTGGCAGTGATGGCATGTGGAGGTTAGTCTACATCGAACTCTTGAGCTGTTACGGGATAATTTGCTAACTACTGACAGTCGTATCGACTACCGTCCTCTGGAGGGCTTCGTTTACGCAGTCTCCCCAATTCAACTTCACAGCCATTGGTGGCAACCTGATCTGCGGACCCGCGCTGATGGGCAACGTGGTACTGTGGAAACCTTCGGCATCGAACGTCTACGCCAGCTCTATACTCTACAAGGTTCTTTTGGAGGCTGGTCTCCCTCCCAATGTGATCCAATTTGTGACCGGTGACCCCGAAGCCATTACCGAGACTGTGCTCTCACACCGCGACTTTGCCGGCTTGAACTTCATTGGCTCTTCCGATGTCTTCCGTTCTCTGTATGGCAAGATTGGCCAGGGCGTTGCCGCAAAGAAATACCGCGAGTTCCCTCGCTTTGTTGCCGAGACCAGCGGAAAGAACTTCCACCTTGTTCACCCCTCGGCCGATATCACCAGTGCAGTTAACCACACCATTCGCGGCTCGTTCGAGTACCAGGGTCAGAAATGCTCTGCCACATCTCGTCTCTACTTGCCCGAGTCTCGTGCAGAGGAGTTCCTTACTCAGCTGAAGGCTGGAATCAAGGAAATCTCCATTGGAAACCCGGACAAGGACTTGGAGGCTTTCATGGGCCCTGTGATCCACCGTGGATCATTTGAGAAGATCAAGTCCATCATTGATGCTAGTAACAAGGACCCCTCGCTGAAGCTAATTGCGGGTGGTACTTATGATGAATCTGTTGGATACTACGTACACCCTACTGTGTACCAAGCCGAGTCACCAGACCACCGTCTCTTCAACGAGGAGATCTTCGGCCCCGTGCTTGCCGTGCACGTCTACAAGGATGCCGACTGGGCTTCTATTTTGAAGTCTGTTGATCAGAATGGCGGCGGATTTGCCTTGACTGGTGCTGTCTTTGCCAAGGACCGCGTTGCTATCCGCCAGGCTGAAGATGCGCTCCGATACTCTGCTGGCAACTTCTATATCAGTAAGTTTCACAGTGTTCAAGTGAATTGTTGCCATATCTAACCATTTACTTTTACAGATTGCAAGACAACCGCTGCCCTTATCGGCCAGCAGTCTTTCGGTGGTGCGCGTGCTAGCGGAACCAACGACAAGGCTGGTAGCTCTGACCCTCTTCGTCGTTTTGTTAGCCCGCGGTTAATTAAGGAGGAATTCTTTGACCAGGAGGAGGGATTCACTTACCCTAGCAACCACTAATATTGGGATATAAAATGAATAGTTTATAGATTTTTCACTAACACAATATGTGCTTTCGCAATTCATGCATACTGCTATTTGGTTCGATCAATTCCACTTCCAAGATTATAAGATACAAGAGTAGTTAGTAGGTCTGCTAGAAACTCGCGATACTTGGAAGTTAGAGAGGGAGAAGAAGAGAGAGAGGATATATTCTTACATATGTATTTACCTACGTACCTAATTAGGTTGGTAGAAGGCCACGGTTACCAAAGGTAGTTACCTCGACTACCGAGGTACCTAAGAGGAAGGCACGCCTCTGCTAACAGTAGCTAAGGGAACACCAGTCAACACTTTGACCAAGTTGTCATCTTCACAACCAGACCTCAGTCGTTTTAGAGGTTGCGTGGTCTGAATCAGATTCAAAATTGAATTCTGATATTCGATTCTGGCTGAATCCAGCCGACGGAAATGCCAGGATTTGTCTAACTGGGAGTAGACAAACACGAACGAGCAATCCGTATTGAGAAGTGGAGACTCCAGAATGGAAGAGGTGGTGGCCACAATGAACAACGTGCGTTTCCTTCTCGTTTGGAAAGATACCTACGTCTTTACAGGCGGATACACCAACGCCGGCTGGCTACTCCGCGCGATGTACCCTAAAATGTCCTCTATTCTGCGATGTGGACTTGTCACCAGCATTTAGAGCCCACGCCAACATCATCGTGAGCCCCGAGTGAGCCCCGAGTGAGCCTTGAGTGAGCATCCCATTCAACCCAATGCTAGTCACGATACTAGTGCATGTTTTTCATTAGCCCCTCCGTCAGTTTTTCTGTTTCTACCCCCAGGTCACCTCGCCTCATCTCCGCCGTCCCTTATCTTTCCTAGCCCCCATTAACCTCCCATACCAATGCGGAGGCGACAAACTGGCTTGATCTCAATGACCCAAACCTGAATTGGATCGGCCAAAAAGTCATTATTTGGATGCAGCGCTCCAAGGACCACCATGAACAGACACAACAGCTCGTACAATGGATGCGAGAGTACGTTGCGGTCGTCCGCAGACATCCCAACAATCAAGGACAAGCAAAGTCACACTGGTTCAAGGAATGGAATGAAGTGGATGACAAAGCTCGCCGCAGACCCGCGATGCCATGGCGCTATGGCTCCCTCCCCCTTCTTTCATTTCCACTCTTCTCTGTGTCAAATATCTCCGCGTGTTCCGCTCAGTGACGAAGAAGCGGAAGATCTGGTTGGTTACTTGCCCGAAATCCTCTGGTTATCTCTAACCCTGATTTCAGAGGAGGCACGCTTGCAGCTAAACCCAACGAGGCGCTACGACAATCAAGGCAATTGCGTAGCATTTTCCCCGCGTGATCCTTTTTTCATGGATGAACAGGACCGGAGAGGATATTTGCTTGAGGCAATCCGGGATGAACGCGCTGAGCAGCTCAGAGCCATTTGCGACGTCTTCAACCTCGACCGAGTGCACAGCGCGTCTTTCCAACACCAATAAAATGGCAAATGGCTAGTTCATGTTACCATTCAAGGAAACAGCAACCCACCGCTTTCGGAGATGATACATGTCGGCTTCGCGCTCTACAAGGGTCAACCCATAGCAAAAAGAGACCCGAAGTACAATGGAATCGTCGTTAACGATGATCTTAATAAGCAAGGTGACTTCACACTGCTTCTTGCCTCCGCGAGACTCTCGTATTGTCCAGATCGTTACCCTGGTGCTGCCAGGCGTCTCTCCCGTTGATGGCCAGCTCAAAGCGACTGATCAAGCCTCCAAGGTCACGGTTTTTTGTGATGGGGTTGAAAATCTACGAAGGGGATTCTCATTGAAAAAGACCGCCCTCGCCCACGGCAGAGAAATGGATCCCTATGGTCCAGCGTCTTCCGAGCCTCGTCAGGCCACCAAGTGCGAGGGGAAGACGTTATGATCATTTACGCCCTATCGTGCGCAGCGGAATCTAGTTAAAACTGCCCTCGACAAAGAGCAGCTTGGCCACAAAGATGTCCTCACCGTCGACGCCGGGCAAGGCCGAGAAGCCCCTGTTGTGCTTCTTTTGTTGACAAAGCCGAGCGAGAACCCCAAGAGCCTCGGCTTTGAATACTGACCGTCACCGGGTGAATGTTGCTATCAGTTGGCCTCAAAAAGGTTTCGTCATCATTGGAAACCTCCAAGTATGGGACAAGAGGAGCGAAGTGGATGACGAAGGCGAGAAATGCACGCTTCCTCGGAAAACTGCTATTCGACGTTATAACCAAGGGAAACGTGTTGACCTGGATCACGCCACTACACCCACTCCCACCATTGTCAGCACCACTGCTGCGGCCGGTCCAACCGGTGTCGCCCCTGCTGCCGCCGCCCCCGCCCCCACTACCGCCACTGCTGATACTATCGCTGCCGCTGTCACCGCCACTACTCCTGCTCTCACCACTGCTACCACGGCCAGCACCACTGCTGCGGCCGGCCCAACCGGTGTCGCCCCCACTGCAGCCGCAGCTGCCACTAAGGCTACTACGGGTCCTACTGCTAGCGCCGGCTAGCTTTCAGTATTATGTTTTTAGTTACCTGGGCCAGTAGGCCCTAGTGAAATGAAGATTATGATTTGCCCTTCGGGGCTTTTTGAATCACTCCTTTACTGTAGTTGTAGAGCTGTGTATATATGCATGTATCTCAGAACTCCTATATATCGTCAACGTGGTTTACCTCGATTATAATCCTATCTATCTCTTTGAGTATATTTTGTGTACTAATAAAGTGACCTATTCTCACAAAGAACTCGGCCCTTTCCCCCTCACCATATCACATCTTATTTCAGTTATGTCCACATATGACCTCTTACGTGGCTCCATTCTCTTATCATAAATTTCCAAAATCGTCAAAAAAGCCCATTTGGGCATATCGGGAACCCTCCCGGTGGTCCACTTCTCCGCAGCCCCCGCACTAGTCCTGGTATCGGCATTGACGCCGTTGACACACGGAGGTATATTGAGCTGTAACTATAGATATCGAACTATTAGACCACCTGGTGGAAGTTTCCCATCGCATTTCACCGAAGACCGAAGATGGGTATCTCCAAATCCGACCCGATCATCATTGTTGGCGGCGGAGCCTTCGGGCTCTCCAGCGCTCTTCATTTGACTCGCTCAGGCTTTACGAATATTTCCGTCTTTGAGAGAGACGAGCATATTCCTCCTCGTTATTCGGCCGCCAATGATTTAAACAAGATTGTGCGCGCGGAATACGAGGATCCATTTTACACCGATTTGACAATCGTAAGTCACTATCTTCGATGTAAGTATAGTAACCGAGTTAGTTACTGACCGGTGACTTGTTTTATCCATTAATTAGAAAGCCATCGCCGCATGGAAAACCCCTCTTTTCGCACCTCATTTCCACCGGACTGGATTCCTCCACTGCGTGTCTGGCGAAGCACCCCAGAAAGCCATCGACACCCTCAACAGATTCCGGGCTTCGGCAAACGCAAACGATCAAATCAAATCACATGTCGTACCACTCAAGGGCGAAGATGATATTCGTCAAGCCTGCTGGCAGCTCGACGGCCCATTGCCCGGATGGAATGGATACCTGAACCGCTTCGACGGGTATGCACACTCCGGGAACGCCCTGGCAGGAGTATATCGCGCTGCGCAGGCAGCCGGCGTGCGCTTCTACCTCGGAGAACGTGGCGCAGTCGATAAAATTGTCTATGTCAGCACACTGCAAGGCAAGAAAAGCTCCGGGATCCGAACGAAGGATGGGAAGTTCCACCCCTCTTCGTTGGTGATTGTCGCAGCGGGCGGTGCAGTTGGCCGTCTGGTCCCGGAGATTGGGAAGAAGGTCGTGGCCAAGTCGTGGTCTGTTGCGCATGTCCATCTTACGGATGAAGAGACTTCCGCGCTGCGTGGTATTCCTGTCACCTATGCTCGTGATCTGGGATTCCTCTTTGAGCCAGATCCTCAGACGAACTTGTTGAAGATTTGCCCTATGGGGGGAGGATATATCAATACGGATGCTGAGACTGGGGTTTCTCATGCTCCTGGGACCTTGGAGGAAAGTGCGTTTGTGCCGGAGCATGATGAGAGGCAGATGAGGAAGCTGCTGGCGCAGACTCTTCCAGCGCTTGCGAATCGTCCGCTGGTTAAGAAGTCGCTTTGCTGGTTTGCTGATACTGATGACTCGGACTTTATCATTGATTTTGTTCCGGAGACGTCGTCGTCGGTTGTTTTGTTGTCTGGGGATTCTGGACATGGGTTCAAGATGTTCCCTATCTTTGGATCGTGGGTTTCGGATTTCCTGCAGGCTGGTCGGCAGCGTGAAGCACGGTGGAAATGGAAGCATACCGATCCCAATGAGGGCAAGGGAAATTGGGGTGGTGATGTGAGCTGGCGTCTTGGAGAGTCGAAGGAGCTCTCTGAGATTCGCCCTGCGATATTGTCTAAACTTTAGATTATTTGAATATTTGAAGAGTATATATGTGTTCATTTTTACGGCATTTTCAGGTTCAAGACAAATAAGAATCGTCGGTCGCTTATGCGGCCTTGTCAAGTTTTTTTTTAGTAGTATTTTATGGTAGCTTTCTCAGATAGTCTTTCTAGATGTCTGCTTTCATAAATGCTTTCTCTCTCTTCTCAGTATGTTAGCTAGACAGCAGAAAAAGGCGCAAATGGCTTCATTTGTGAAATGGACTTTTCTATGTATAACCTTTGACGTATCATTAAACATTCTTCGTAGACCAGCTAGATATGTTTCATTGAGGACATCAGTAGATACCAATTTGTAATTCGTCAATTCATCAGACATTCAGTCTACCATATACTATGTTCAATCATCGCATTCGACACCCACTCAGTATCATAACTCTCAATCGAGTCCGCAACAGCCATAATCTCAGCCGAAGTCAACATCGTACTAAAATCACACTCCACATCCAAATCAGCATCCGGCCTCAGAAGCGCATCATCATATCGAATAGATGGTGGTATAGCCCCAGTAATCGGTGTTTCAGAAGGGGAAGCTGGGCCAGGAAGAATATCAGCCCGTTGGAAGAAATCAGGGACTGCTAATTGTCGAGGCTGATCACCAGAGATACATCCTAATAATGTCTCGTGAAGCTGCTGGAGTTCGGATCGCCGGAACCTAGCAACTTGGTTTCCGTCTCTGATCATTTCGTCGAAGATCGCATAAGCTTTTTCCAGCCAGTTGGGGTGGCTCTCGAATACTCGCGGGTCGATTGCTGGGCCCATCAGGAGGATGATTGTGGATACGAAGACTGATTCTAGATCAAAGGGGAGGAAGGTTTCTAAGAATTTGGATGTTAGTTGAGAGGGCCTATCTGTAGCGAGAGGTTGTTTTACCTAAGAGGCCTTGACTCTGTAAACTGGAGAGAATGCTGATGATGTGCTGGGCGGATTCAAGACACATTTGCATCAGGTTTCGGACATTCCTGGATGCGTTGAGGGATTCCAAACAGCTTTCTGGGGACTCGAAGCGGATTTTCAGAAAGCAGAATAGAAGAGGTCGGGTGGCAAGGATAATACACTGAATATCGTGTGAGTAGTCAGCAGATGCCGCTCTTCCCATAAAGAATAAGACACGTACCTGATGATATTGAAGATGTAAGTATGCTGATATTCGAGAAACTCCGCTGCCTGGATCCAAGTGTAGCGGGAATGACTCGCGAAGTTCATCGGCAAGCCCTGCTATATTCGCCAACGCTGTTTTAGTGCTGAGCAGGAAAGTCCGGTTGATGCGCCCATTGATAACATATATTGCTGTTCATTTGGTTAGGGGTAATCACCAACAATGGAGGCTCAGGGAATCTTACTGCTGTTCACCTCGGCAATGATCTGGGACAATTTGATGTGCATGCCTAATGACATTGTCTCTGATGGGTCTGAAAAGGTGGGAAGCTGTGTTTGCACATATCGGTCATTAATCGACTGAGGCAGACCCATTAAAGATGTCATTTCTCTGTCCAGAATGTAAATGGTCCACCAGATTTTGCCGCATCTTTGGACCATGTCATGTCCTAAATCTTCGACTGGCATACTAGTGTGCATTCCTTGCGCCATAGCTATCCGCATGGCTTGGCCAATCTGGAGCATTGGTCAGTTGGAATTATCAAATGAGACATTTCTTTGGAAGTCTTACGTAGTTATGTGCCGATGTTCGAAAGTCAACACACTGGTAGTATAAGGCGATGCAACATAGGATTTCCGTTCCCAACATAGGATCCCGGTACAGAGCAGTCGGATCGGGTAGAAGCTGTAAAGCTTTGACGAAATAGCACACCCCCGGTGGCTTTTTACCTTGAGCCTTGGGCTGAACAAATCCTTTCCCAAAAGCCAAGATGAGGAGAAAGTGGATATACCACAAGCTATTTGTCATGGATTGCCCACCCCCCGAGTAAAACTGCTGCAAAGAGCTCATGAACTCATCTTCTTCGAAAAGATGGTACAATTGCCCGCATCGGAATTGCACGGCATTGATCAGATACATGGTGTGGTCCCGAGTCGGGACAACTGGAAGGTCTGGTCCCGGACTTGTTCGTAACCCATCCCATCCCAGTTCATAGGTCGTTTCATCAAATATTAAAGTTTCTGTAGGTAGTGCATCCTGATAGAGGTGCTGATGTGCCAAGCTGAGAACTCGCCGAGTGAACGACCAGTTGGATGATGTTCCAAGATAGACTGTAGATGTTAGAATCGCGCATCCCAAGAAACAAGCGTAACCCACATGTGCGACCATTTGCTGCGGACATAAAAGCAGGAGGACCGGTAGATAACGGGTTGGCTAGCCCAGAGTCTAGATCCTCCAGGTCCTGGGCTTCATCGTGATCCTCTGGTGTACTAGTCCTCTCCAAAGTAGGTACACGATCACGATCTTTGGGGTCTGCAACAGGTTAGTAGGTATCCATATAAACAGAAAAGCAAGACAAACCAATGGTTTGAGTATCGAAGTTCGAGCTGAAAGGGCTCACTTGGCCCTTCACGCTCTGCTCTATACGCGCAATCTTCTGCTGCAGTTCCAGAATGTAGCTGCGATAAATGTGAGTTATCGATTCTTCTCAAGACTCCATTTGACTTACCCTCTTGTTACCAGGATTTTCTGATCCCGATCGTTGAAGATGCATGAAAGCTTTCGCTTGCTGCACCCTTCGCAGGGCTGCGCCCCGGAGCATTTGATCTTTTGTCTCCGGCATCGCACACAACTAAATTGTCAGCAGTGTGCATACTAATTTAAGGTCTCACTCACGCATTTGACGATCGTTTTGTGACTCTTCCATTACCCGCCATCTGTGGTGTGATATGTTAGAAATCAGTCGGGATGGCCGAAATGCGGGGGAAAGGTTCCCCGTGAGCCCGTGAGGGCCGTGAGGGGGATCTCTCGTTATCAGAAAGAGAAAGACGAATCAGACAGTTTGGCAGAGATGTGGATACAAAATCTTATCTCTTCTAGAGACGAGAGGAGGGGGAGAGATTGGTACATGTCCACGGGTATGTCGTCGGGTTCCCTCCCGATAAGTCGAATGAACCTTTGGAAGGTCATCTGACATTTCCCTTTAGTTTTCTGTCCATTCATGTACAACTTCATTTTCCTTTTTCTATGTAAATATGTAGCTTTCAACGCTGCCCGAGCAGATTTCGATTCGTCTCCCAAAATTGTCTGCATGCCGTGTGGCCCCAATGCTCAGTCCACCACTCTCCGAAGCTATCTTGGACACCTTGTTCGTCCACCCGTAACACCCGCTCATCTCTCTTAAGCGAACAGAGTGCACATGGATGAGAGGCCTTCAGTGCGCCCTGGTCCGCCCGCGCCGTAATAACCTTGAGCGCACTGGGATCTGGGACCGTAGGGATTGGCCGCTGGCCTGCGGCTTGTAGAACAGCGTTGAATATCGCCGCCCGTTCACGCCAAGTAGTAAGCACGTCAACAGCGTCTTGTTCTTCTTTGATGTTCTCTTGCTTGTTCACGCTGTTAAGTTTCATACCACCGACTTTGCCAGAACGGGCAGGGCCAATTCGCATGCTTTGACTAAGAATTGTATCACGTTTCCACCGGAGACTTCGCCCTGCAATTACGCGGGCGGCCGATTGAAGTACATTGTGGATATTTAAGGCTGTTGTTGAAACGGTGTTTGAGGATGAGGATGACGGTGGGGCCGAGGATCGTAGCTGGGTTTTGGCGAGTGCAGCCTCCTTCTGGAGATTCTCGAACACATCTAAGAATAACTCGAGAAGGACTGATGGCGGTGGGATATTTGTTGGACGGACGGTGGCTGCGGGGGCTGTGGTTCCAGAAACAAAGCTACTAGGAGCTGGGCTAGGGACCGTCGGTGGTGAGGTGGGTTTGGATTTGGGCACAGGCTTCACACTGGGCCCATCTGAAAAATCACCCCAGTCGTCGAACGCATCCTCGTCCCAGGTTGATGCAGCCGGCTTATTGGATTTAACGGGCGGTTTTGTAGGTGGTTTTGTTTTCTTCTCGGAGACCATGGGGGGAGGTTGGCTAGCAGGCGAATCGTCGAAATCGGCCCAGTCACCAAACGAATCATCCTCCCATGTCGCCTGGGCTTGGTTATTATTAGGTCCGAGGTCTTGGTTCTTTTTGGCAATTTTCGACGGATGTTTCACAGCTGGTGCGGAGTCTTGCATTGAGAGTGAATCTAGCAAGTCAATTGTTCTAGAAACATGCGAATCATTTTGCCGAGGCTCTGGTTTTGGAGATGTAGCTGTCCTTGATTGCTGAAGAGTTGTTGATTGTGCATGCAGAGTGTTTGAACCAGGGCCCTCGAATTCACCCCAGTCATCGTCTGTATCATATGCTGGTGTGTCAAATGCTGCATCGAATAATACATCGCTATGCGGATTCAAGGGAAGGTCAAATTCCTGATGACCAGGGCCCTGCCACGAAGCTGCTGGAGTTGCAAATTGACTGACTGCTCCCGGGGTCGGATTGGGACGTTTGTTGTGCTCAACACTTCCCGATGACCCGAAGAAATCGATGTTCTCGTCGACATCGAAGAATGAGTTTTTCTGGTATTGTGATGGCTGCTGTCCGGACCTATTGTCTGGAGTAGGCGCCTGACCAAACTCTGCTAGCAGATCTGCGGACATTTTGAATGCCCACGGGTGTCATGAAGCTGTGAGAGGTGACATAAAGTGTAGCGGTGCAGCGATGCAGCGGGTTTCTGCAAGGGGCGGCGACACAAGATCGAATACACCGATGTCAGGCGTAATCTTTATCGTTTTACAGGTGCAAACTTCCCAATCCGAACTCAACCGGAGTATATGGGTGGAATATCGCAATAGCCAAGGGTAGCGCGAGATAAGGAACGGGCGGTCTACTATCGCCCGCATCCCCCTCATCTCCTAAGGTTCTCTCCGCCAGCCCCAACAATGAGAACCATTGAGGAGACCAGGTATTTCCCCCTTGTCTGCTAATTTCTACTTGTACTGACCGTCGTAGAAAGAGATGGGACACCCTGTTCTCCGACAATGAAACGACTTCCGATCTCCGAGCGGCGTTGCACTCCGAGCAAGGAGGAACCCTGTGCAATGACGGACTGAGATCGGTTTGCTGGAAGGTTCTGTAGGCCTGACAACGTGAGATGGAGATATATGCTCATTCTTTATGCAGGCATTTCTACTCTTCGACGGGTTGGATAAAACCGAATGGGCGCCTAAACTCGACGAATCCCGGGATGCTTATCGTGCGCTGCGAGATCATTTCTTGAAATACATCGAACACCCAGACGATTTAGAGTCGACTGTTGATCCGCTGGCGGATGATGAGCAGGTATGTGAACCACCCTCTCGCTGTGCTTCGCCAAGCTTGAAGAATCCTCCTATCTAACTAATTCTTGTTGGAACAATCAGTCCCCTTGGCAAACACTCCGACACGATGAGACGCTGCGTACCGAGATCCTACAAGATGTCGATCGATGCTTGCAGGAAAACTTCTTTTTCCAAGAGCCCGACACGAAATCAAAGTTGACTGATATCCTGTTCGTCTACTCGAAGCTTAATCCGGACGTCGGCTATAGACAAGGAATGCACGAATTGCTCGCGCCTATTCTCTGGGCAGTAGACCGAGACTCGGTGAAGCCACACCCCGGAGGACTTAATGGGAACAAGGACAAAAGTGAGGGTTTGATGTTAAAGCTTCTTGATGCGCAATATGTGGAACATGATTCATTTACGCTGTTTCTATCTGTCATGCAGACGGCCCGCATATACTATGAACACGGCGAGACACGGTCGGCAAATGGCCAGATGGATGTCATTCCGATAGTTGATCGGTGTCATTATCTCCATAAGGAAGCTTTGGCGATTATCGATCATGAGCTCTCTGAGCACCTGGAAGCTGTGGACGTATTGCCCCAAATTTTCCTAACGTAAGTCACTTTTGGACACCTATCCATCTTATTCTATACTAACTCATTGAAAAGCCGCTGGATGCGCCTTCTGTTTGGGCGAGAAGTTCCATTTGACGATGTCCTGATGATGTGGGATCTACTGTTTGCTCATGGACTACGGTCTGATCTTGTTGATTTCACGTGCATTGCAATGCTGCTCAGAATTCGTTGGCAATGTTGGTCGACCTGCTCAATTCCTCATCGTGTCTTATTTCGCTGACATGCATCATTTAGTGCTTACGGCCGACTATACAACCGCCTTAACATTATTACTTCGCTACCCTTCGCCTCAACCACACACACCTCAGACTTTTGTGCTTGATGCACTCTATTTGGAACAGAACCCTACCGCCGATCGAGGCAGTTTCATCATATCGAAATATTCAGGTAGACCATCCGATTCCAAAATTCGCAACCAAACTAGTACACGGCCCACGAGGAAGGCCTTCCTTTGGGAAGACTTTAAGAGACGCAGTGAAAGCAACTCACCTGCTAGATCACCAACCCGAAACAGCCCCAAAAGTCTTGAATCTCTTTTCCAAGACGTCTCCCAGGGAATTCAACGCCGGACGGAGACCTGGGGCGTAGCCAAAGCTGTTCGAGGCGCCGTGACAGAAGCCAGGAAAAATATGCAAACAATGCATTTTGAACCAAATATGCGTCCTGGCTCTTCGAGGCCTATTTCCGCAGCATCGGCATCGGACATACAAACCAAAGCGCCCATGGCGACTCCGGCGGCCTTGGCCAGGCTGGAAACGAAGATCAATCTACTCGAGGAAAGGAACCAAGCTTTGGCGACGATTTTGCGCGAGGCACTGGATGATCTTGGCTCGCAGCTGGCAAATAACAAGGACCTCGATTCTGATACAAACAGCGCAGTGAAGCAGGCCTTGGTGAAAGCTGAGAGTGTCCAGGTCTGCCTCGGAGACTCTTCCATACCAGTAGATCCCCCTCTTGACCCCCGTGTAGATGGTGCATTGAACCAACCGGACGAGCTACAAGAGACAGTCACCTCCACAGTGGGCAAAGCAGAAGGCAACATTGTGGCGAACGAGGATCAATCCCGAACAATAAATGCCGCCAAAGCGGATACAACCGGGCCGAAAGCCGAGAGTGGAACCAATTCTATCCTAGATACGACAAGTCGGACGAACAGTGACAGGAAGACCGAAAGTGCGCGGGCAAGCCCCTCGCGACCAACTGTGCGACCTTCTATGACGGATTCGGGATTTTCATGGATGCTTGGCGGTGGTCGGAACCTGTCGGGCTTTGTTAGCTCGACATCGCCGCCGCCGGAGCAGACTCGACATCTAGATCAAAGCCGAGGGAAACCCAAACCCAATGCCTTGTTCGGATTGAGCGGAGATGAAAATCCAGGGACCGATTCTGAACATAGTGAATTGGCGCTGTACAGCCTTCGGGGCTCTCGGGACCCTCTGTCAGGGACCGGCCCACCATGATATCTCCGGATTTGGCCCATGTCACTGCTTGCGTATGCACTGGAGATACATACTCTGGGTCGAAGCTAGTCCCACTTCTTATCTCCTCTATAGGCTGCATTATTATCATTTCCCGTGCAGGAATTAGCTGCGGACACCCACGCCACAAAAGGAGGCGTCTATTCGGCAGAATCTAGTTTTCTATACCACTTTCTGCCTCAATTTACGATGTGAACCAGTCTTCTAACTTCATAGAAAGCAAGTAACCTTTTTTTTAAGGGGTCAAAGTCCCACATCAACGCGCTCGGATCTATTGAAAAGCCACTTTGCATCATGAGTCTCTTCGATGGGAAATAACTTGGCCATGACATCCTGCATTGGCGGAGCGGGGTAATTATCTTCGAGTATTAGAGTGGTAGCTTGGTACTTAGTTCTATTTAAGATATATCAGCCATGATTTCTATCTTGTATATAGATCTCGGGCTGATTCTACGAGTCTTCAGTGGTAAGTTTCTCCGCCACATGGGATAGAAACATGTCGATCAGCCGATCTAAACAAGGCAAATCATCTGTTCAGGGTGAATGTATATTTTATGTGTTTATTTCGTGTGTTTGTTTTTGAAGGAGAAATGGTTGTTAGATATAAAACCCATATAAAAAAACGACATAAAATACAATAACAAATGAGCTATTACATCACGGAGAGAGGGACCCAGTTCCCTTTTTCTCGCTGGCGTTTTCCTCTCCCCACTCTCTCTCTCTCTTCCCCGCCGCTCTTTTTCTTTTTTCTCCCCCCTTGAAACCTTTACTACCTCGAATTCTGCTTGTTCTTCACTTTCTGCGTGCCCAGCCGCGACGCCACATATGCCGCCTGAGACCCTACGAGGCAGCTGCCCGCTCAACCCCCGTCACAGTTGCGAATGACCGGCCCATACATGTCGCATACCCCCGATACATTCACGAGTGCTCGCCTCGATTGAGCCTCGTACTTTTTTTTGTCCCATCTGATCATCTGAATTCGAAGCCGAGGATAACAAACAAAAACCCAAAAACACGAGAGACAAAAGAGAGAGCAGAGAGACCTCGGGGATGGGGTCTGCTTACAACCATGATGGTCAGTCATGCGCACATGCTTTTTTTATGTTGATCATTTAGTCTTTGTTTCACATTTCATGGGCCTTGGGGAACCAGTGGAGGTGAGGGGAAAAAAACAGGTTATCGTGGTACTCAAATTGAGCTTACGACTCATCGAGCACCCGAAATGAAAGGGTTTGGAGCAACCAGGGCGCGAATCGATCTTCTCCCAGGCGAATCACGATCACCCGCTAGCACATGCTCAGAGATGCATCTGACCGCGGAAGTCAGCCGTCTGATCATTCGAAACCATCACATTTTCTTCAAAGGCCCGTGAAATGGAAACTTCGAGACGCACCGATTGAGTTGATAATAAGCTAGGTGAATAACGCTGATCAAAACTTAGGCGAGCCGAGTCCTCTTTCGTCGCCGTTAGGACCCCTCTCTGAGTCGCCCGAATCCGAGCCCGGACTGCACAACCTTTCTTTACAGACAGATCACCTCAGGAGCTCGGCAGGCAGTGTTTCTTCGGGATATGACCCTCTTTCCAGGTCAGCGACAATATTCATTCTACTTTCTAACACAATGTTTGACACTTTCTGCATTTCAACAGATCTCCGTTATTCGAGAACGACCATGGAATTGGTCCGTCTGGGCTGGATCGTATACGCCAAAACCAACCCTCGCGAGTACTGACCCTTCCAAACATGTCTTCCTCGTCGCTATCGCTAGCTTCCATGCCTGGCCAGCGCCCCGCTCCCTCTCCCCGCTCTCGCTCGTCATCTCGAGCTCACACCAGTCACTTGTCGAGCCGAAGTTTCACGGATCTAGAAGACCTACACCGGTTTCCCCTGGAGTCTCTACACTCCTTTTCCTTTGCTCAACAGTCCGAGGAATTTCTCCACAGCCGTCAAAACATTCTCAAGAGGTCTATTGATTTCATGCGCGACCGGATGGGATGGGCCGCAAGCAATGCCGCGATCGCCAACGCACAAGCAAACGCCAGCGGGGACACGGAGATGCAGGGTATGATGGACCTTTTGGCCCGGGCAAATATGCTCGAAACCCAGGAAAACCAAATCCAAGGCCGTGGACCCATCACAGGACCCGCAGAGATTAATGGCGGCAATATCTTTGAGAAAGCCTTCTCAGATAGTGATTCCTCTCCGGTCAGCACCCGAGACGGAACTCAGGATTTCACCTCCCCGGGGTCACATCCCTCCGACAGCTCCCGTTCACAATTGTTGAGCCCGGTGCCTAGCGATCATATCTCCAACCAAAGGAGGGACCTGGTCTCTGCACCTACGTCCAGGCGCGTAAGCTTAAAACGTACATACACGGACCTATGCTCTGTCTCTCTCAGGAGCAAGCTGATGGAAACTCTAGCACAACCATACACCTCTTCCGCGGATCCTTTCGCCTCGCTTAACTCGACTGGATTGGGATTCCAGATCCCTGCCCTTCACGCGCATAGCAGCAAATGGACCCCGGCTTCCCAGGCCGTGTTTAGGACCGAAGCCCAGGAACCATGGACCATTCTGGCTGCTAATGATCTATCATGTCTCATTTTTGGTGTTCTTCAGTCCGAAGTTCGCCATCTTAGCATCCTGGAGGTTGTACAGAAGGAGCACCGGGAATGGCTCATGGCCAAACTTCGAGATCCCAGCACTGATGCCGCTGCCCGCATGCCACTTCAACCCGAAAGAGCTAACATCTCCGCCGTCAATCCCAAGTTTCGAGGCCTTGGGAATGGGGTGACAGCACAACTTCTCAGCAAACCATCTTCACGAGAAAAGTCCCGGAGAGCGCAGACTGACGACGGATATGGCTCCAGCACGAGAAACGCCCGAAACAACAACCACCCGGCTAATAAGTCACGCGGAGTCTTGCTGTGCGGTGATGTAGTCCCGATTCAGAAGCGCAATGGGTCACGGGGATCCGCTAGCGTCTGGGTTATGGAAAAGCGTGGTGGCCTGATCTGGGTCCTGGAAGAGATCACAGAGAATATTTCCTCCATCCAGTGCGACGATTCATGGAACGTCGTGAGTGCCAAAGGTGAAGTTGAAAAGATCTGGGGCCCATCTGTCGTTCAAAAAGGCCAGTCGATCACCGACCTTTTACCCTGTTTGCCATCGGAATCTCTTGAGACATCCCTCGAAAAGGGATTGGCTAAAATTGTGGAGCTGAGGCACTTTGCCGCCCGCACCGCGGCTGGCGTTTGTATTCCTGTCGCTATCGGCAAGGGAGAAGGAGATCGCACTCTCCAAGTCTCCAGCTTCCCTCATGTCGCAGGCATGATGGTGCTCTCGTCCTCGTCATTGAACGTGATCAGCTCCAACTCTGTGTTCTCTTCGGTCCTATTCGGTCAAGAAAGACCAGAGGGACTCCACTTCACCCAACTTGTTCCCGATTTCGATGAGATTCTAGATGTTTTGACCGAGGAGGACAATGTGCCACTGGTTGATGGTATTGTCATACCCGAACACAGCTTCCGACGGGCACGGACACTTTCTATTCTCCGCGACGGAAAAGCAAATGCCGCCTCTGTGTTTACAGAGCCAAGTGGCCTGCTTGCCAAGCATCGGGATGGCTCAACCATTGTTGTGGACATTCAACTGCGCGTGGTTAAGAGCGGCACCATCTTCTCAAAGAACAAGACAGAGAAAAGCAGCGATCGCAACAGTGACTCTGATGACAGTGATGATACCATTGCAGTCACAGAGTTGGTCTATGCTTTGTGGATAACTTACTCTAGACAGCTCCACGCTTCTGGACCCGCTGCTGGCCTCTCGCCATCATCTGTACCAAGTTCTAAGCCTACCTCGCCCACACATGACCCAGATTCAGATCGCCCGTCAGACACCGGCGCTGCTACCCAGATTGCCGAAAATCGCAAGAATGATGTGGAGATCCAAACTCCGACGTCAACACTCAGTCAACAACTCAGTGAGGCTGCCTCTGAACCTCTTACTGCCCGCCCCGCGCTCCCAGTTCCTCTGGTTTCGGCTGCCAATGCGAAGAACGACCCTCCGGCGAAGCGAACGATTAACGACTACGTGATTCTCGAGGAGATGGGACAAGGAGCCTACGGCCAAGTCAAACTGGCACGTTCAAAGAAGCAGCCTAGCAAGAAGATGGTGTTGAAATTTGTCACAAAGAAGCGGATCCTGGTGGATACGTGGACTCGTGATCGGCGACTTGGCACTGTGCCACTGGAGATTCATGTTCTGGACTTCCTGCGGCGGGATGGGCTCAAACACGCTAACATTGTGGAGATGGAAGGCTTCTTCGAAGACGATATCAATTATTACATTGAAATGACTCCTCATGGGCTCCCGGGAATGGACCTTTTCGATTACATCGAGCTCAAGGCCAACATGGACGAGTCGGAGTGCCGAAACATCTTCAAACAGGTTACGGGCGCCGTTAACCATTTACACACGAAAGCACTGGTAGTACATCGTGATATCAAGGATGAGAATGTGGTTCTTGATGGAGAGGGACGGATCAAGTTGATCGACTTCGGGAGTGCGGCCTACATCAAAAACGGGCCGTTTGATGTCTTTGTGGGAACCATTGGTAAGTTCCCTTTGTCTCTTTGACCGATGGGGGATAAGATGCTGACTATCTTTGTTAGATTATGCCGCGCCCGAGGTCTTACAGGGCCGGTCGTATCGAGGCAAGGAACAGGATATCTGGGCTCTGGGCATTCTTCTTTACACAATTGTCTACAAAGAGAACCCGTTCTACAACGTCGATGAGATCCTTGACCACCCCCTCCGAATTCCCTTCCTTCCTTTCTCGGAAGATTGCATTGACCTCATCCGCACGATGCTCGATCGCGACGTTGACAACCGACTCACAATTACTGAAGTCCTTGAACACCCTTGGATGGTGGAGGCTTGAATCATTTCTCATACCACTCTTCCTTCTCACTCCGCTTTTTACTTATTGAAAAAAAAAACAACCAAAATAACGCGATACCCCACAAAGTTGATTATGTTTTGATGATGGATGCAAAAATTTCCGGGGAACTGGGTATCATTTCGGGGCCAGTGTGGAGCGAGTGTCTGTTCTTCTAACTTCCTTAGGACCACGTTGATGGGTGATGATTATGAACATCGCATGATTTGTCTTATTTTTTTATCTGGGGTTATTTTTATCAAACTTTTTTTCCATCCCCCTTTTCATGGCATTTGATTTTGCGATGCCTTTTGCATATCCCTTTATATGTGACCTAGAGACCCAAGAGGGCAGACTTATATACAACATACGGAGTACGGCTTTGTGTGATTGAATTGCGGGGGAACATTTAGCGTACGTTCCAGTGGTTTTTGTGGTCCTTGGCAAAACCCAGTCTAGTGTGGCTTCGCCTTTATCATTATCATGGGGCGAATCTCCACTTCATATGCCAACCTTAAGTAGTTGGATACTATCTCCAATTTGAAATGAGGGATTTCGTTGTCATACTGAAACCCAGTGCAATGACCTAAAAGAGATAAAATTAAAAATTAAAAATTAACATAAACATAAAATAGAAGACATCCATGGATACCCAGGTGCCCAGGTGGATATGGCATGTTCCATTCCATGGTTTTTTTGCCCTCGTACCACGGGTCAGTGCCTTTTCCCCGCACATGCCCACCGACAAAAATAGTCCGAAAGAGGCGAAAATGAATCTAACGGCTTGCCTTCTCAGGAACAACTTGTCTCGGGGATGTCCCTGGATCGAGTCCTTAAAGTGGGTTCTAGAGGGGCGTCGAATCCCTTGGTTTTTCTTTCAAGGCGTCGTCAGCCGAGTGTGGGATTTGGTCTCACATCAGATGGTCTGTGCCAAGACACTGTATCGTACATAGAAATCAAGTACAATATACTCCAGAGTTACCCAAGAACAAGATGAAAATAATAAGAAAACGGCATTGGAAGGTACATGCATATATATACCAGTGCATAGTACTGGCAGGTGGGGACCGATAAGCAGATAACCTAGAGGGGGAGTACCTAGGTACTTGCGTAGTACAACATTTGCTATGTGATTGTTGGGCCAGTGCGACGTTTAGTAGATGTATCGCATTCCCTTCCGCTCTGCATTCCGCCATTTCTTGTTTCTCTTTGCATATCTGTCTCTCCTTTTCTTAACTTCCCCAATCCTCTGTATCTTCTTCTCGACCTTCTCGGTTCTCTCGGTTCTCTGTACGGCATCTTTGCCGAAACCTGTTCCACGGTTCTTTGGCTGTGGTTCCCGAGTAGAACAATAACGGTCAACGTGATTTCCCCACCCACCGACATTCTTGATCACTTCCCTCCCTCTGCTCCTCTATTCCTCAAAGTGTTGATCAATATCCAAAAGACCGGTCATCGCTGAGATCTAGCACTATGCTCATCTAAGAGCTTCCGGTGACCGCGCGCCCGTCGCTCTATCCGTTTCCACTGTCCTCCGTCGTTATTCTCGCTCGTGTGATACTCCGTACCGTGCCGACACCCCCCGGAAGACGTGACAAAATAGCAGTGGGCCAGAGAATAGGTGATACAAACTAAATCAAGTCGCCAAAATGACCTCCCAACTATCCGAGGAGATCCTACCCTCTCCGGGGAGTATCTCTCCGAACAGTCCGACCAGTTCGGCAGACCAGATCCCGTTGGAGCAACCGCCGAAACTCAAGGGTCGTCAGAAGTTACTCCAGAGTCTCCAACGCATGTCATCCAGCCCGACGCTGACCAGACGCGGACGCTCCTCGTCAACTACTAGCTACCGCCGTGATCATAAGGCTTCTCTCTCTTGTGTTTCGCTATCGTCGACGTCCTACTCGCCCTGTCTAGGCAATGGAAGTTCCTCCCAGCTCTATGGCGGCCTCAATCCTCGGCCTGCTACTCCCGGCTGTTCTAGTTCTCCGGGCGAGCCCCATGGCACAAACGCTCGCATACGTTTGATGGACACTGATAGCCCTGGTTTCACTACACCTCGCACCGTGCCTTTGCCCTTCGATGTGAGGCCAGCATCGCATGGGTCGCCACGCACCGCGACGCCGGTGGGATTTAAGGTGGAGGAGGAGGTCTCCCTTCCAGAATCCCAGCCGGCTAGATCTCTTGATTTTTGGGGCGATATGCCACAAGAGCTTAAGATGGAGATCTTCCAGTACCTCACCCCGCAGGAAATTGTCTGCTGCTCCTCTGTATCCAAGGCGTGGAATGAGATGTGCTATAACGGACAATTATGGTCCAAGGTTGATACGACCGAGTACTACTCTAAGATCCCGAGCGATGTTTTGGTCAAGCTTATTACTTCTGGTGGTCCGTTTGTCCGAGACCTCAATCTCAGAGGCTGCGTTCAGATGTGTGAGAAATGGTCCTCGGACGGAGAACGGATTTCAGATCTGTGCCGGAATGTCGTCAATTTCTCGCTTGAGGGTTGTCGTATCGACAAGGCATCCGTCTACTCTTTCCTCCTTCGTAATCCCCGTTTGGAATATATCAATCTCTCGGGTCTGTCAAGTGTCACAAACTCGGCCATGAAAGTCATTGCACGGTCTTGCCCGCAACTTGAGACGTTGAATGTTTCTTGGTGCAATAATGTCGATACAACCGGTCTTCTTCGGATTGTCCAGTCCTGTGAGCGGTTGAAAGATCTTCGGGCCAGCGAAATCCGCGGGTTTAAGGATGAGAAATTCACTTTGGCTTTGTTTGAGCGCAATACTTTGGATCGCTTGATCATGAGTCGTACCGACCTGACCGATCACAGCCTGAAGATGCTGATCCATGGCGAGAACCCCAATATGGATATTCTGACCGATCGGCCTATCGTTCCACCTCGAAAATTCCGTCATTTGGACCTTCACCATTGCCCTGAAGTGAGCGACGATGGATTGAAAAGCCTGGCCTATAACGTTCCAGATTTGGAGGGCCTGCAGATTTCCCAGTGCTCCGAGCTGACCGATGAATCTGTCATGGACGTCATTCGCACGACGCCAAAACTGTCGCATTTGGAACTGGAGGATTTGGAGAACTTGACAAACGTCACCCTGGTGCAGCTGGCTGAATCTCCATGTGCCCAACACCTGGTACACTTGAACATCAGTTACTGTGAGAGTCTCAGCGACACAGGAATGCTTCGAGTAATGAAGAACTGTCCAAAACTCCGATCCGTCGAAATGGACAACACCAGAGTGTCAGATCTGACCCTGATGGAAGCCAGCTTCCGCATCCGTCGCCGCGGGTACAGCGACGAGGTCCCCCAAGTCGGACTGCGCCTTATGATATTCGACTGTGCAAACGTCACCTGGGCAGGGGTCAGGGAAGTCCTCTCCAGCAACGCATACATCCCGCGCCCGTCCCGCAAGCCCGTTTCAACAGTGGTAACAGTGACTCATACCTCAGACGCCGGCTCTTCCCCGGCGACAAGTACCTTCGTCACTCCAGCCTCCTCACCTTCGCCACCGCCAGCGCCAACCTATCCCAACGAAATCATCCAGCTCAAATGTTTCTACGGCTGGCAGATGACCGTCGACGAACACACGAAACGTATCCTGCGCGGCGATCTCGCTGCTGCATCCCGGCTGGACCGGAAATGGGCCGAGTATATGGTCGCCACGGAGGAGGCTGGCGCTGCTGGTGCTGGTGCTCGCCGACGTCGACGTCGTGCCCGTGAAGCCGAACGACTGTACAATGAAGACGAAGACGAACACGATGCTTATGGCGTAGGCGCTATCTCTGCTCTTGGTGGGAGACGCAGACGAGCCCAGAGCGGCGGCAGCTGTAATGTCATGTGAGGCAAATGCCTCTTTGAGTTGTTGGTACTACGGCTTTTTTTTCTTCCATTCGACGTGTTCTGGGAACACCTGTCTGTCATTCGAGCTAGGCGCAAGACGCTCCTCGACTCTACTAGCGCAGGATCGCTGGTATTTCAAATGGATGTCGTCCACTTGAAATTGAAGATCATGTCATGTCCAATGATCCTTTTCAATTTTCTATGAATTACGCACGAGATGATTTTCTTTTCTGGGACAACACATTCCCAATACAACACACTTTCTTTTGCGTTTGACTTGTGTTTTCTAGCCCCTTTTTTTACTCTCTCTCTTTATATCTGTCTACCACCTATCGTCACATCTATCCCCATTCATCTCTCTCCTCGTTTTTAGCCATGGTGCCAAATTCCACGAATGGGATTTCCTGCAAGTTTTATGAGCTATCTATATGTTCACATCTTTTACCAAATGAGATGCTAGCTCTAGCATACGTATCTAGATGGGTTACCGGCGAGATGATTGGCGTTTTTAGGTTCTTACCGAATAGTTTGTCTTTTCTGAGCTTTTCAGTTTGAAATTCATGCTGCCTTACCGGCTGGCTTTATGGCACTTTGAATGTGCAGACGACTTTTCAATATGTAACCTTGGACAAGTATTTTTGGAATGCATGGATACTTCTACAACTACAAAGGAGTGATTCAAAAAGGAAGGGCAAGTCATAAACTTCATTTCCTAGGGCCTGGCCTGCAAGCCCAGGCGAGGAACATAAGAACATAAAAGAGTCTCATAAAGTCCTTGCTCTTTTTGAGCTTTGGAGGAAGAGAAGAGGCTCGAGACCCCGTTGCGAGAGGTGGGGGACGCGGGGGTCATGAACGAGAGCCGCCGGCCACAGATGAACCGCGAGACGAAGTGGGACCGCGGTGCGGCAGAGCTCACACCTAGGCACGCAAAACGTGTTAGCGCTCGATCCGATCACATCAGTAAATTACACCCTGCACGAGCAACGGCAGTGTAGATCGCTTCGGATGACTGCTTACCTTTCTTCTTCTGGCCACCTCGGCCGCCACGGTGTGTCTTCCGCTTCTACCGAAAGCCCAAGTTAGTATGTTGCTCTTTGTTATAACTGAAAGGTTGGGTGTCTTCCTCTTACATTGGTAGTGGCAGCGGTGGGGGGACGTGGACGGGCAGGGGGGTGCAGAGCTGTCCAGGCATTCATAGATGCCGCAGGACGCATGGCGTCGCAATCACCCCGGCTATGACCAGGCTATCCGCCGTACTGACAGGTCAGCTAATACCATTAGTTTATATTCATACAACGGTGACAGCGTGACTTACCCTTGATGGTTCCATGATATCGCACTTGCGGCCTGGCAAAATCAGCCTGTGGCCAGGCAATCCACAGTACAGCTAATGTCAATTAGTGCATGTTCATACGACGAGGATGGCGGGACTTACCATAGGTGGCTGTTCGTCTGCCCTTGTAGCAAAACACCTTGTGGGGTTTTGAGGTATTGACAAGAGGAGGTTCAAGTCAGTTGCTCTCTACACCTGGGCAGGTGGGCAGACTCACGGGTTCAGACGTTCAGACGTTCCTTCCTCATGTCGATTTGACCCAAGCTATTATCTACATCCCTAGCTATACGTAGCAAGGTGTTTTTACCGCCTCCGTATACACCTAAGATATCAAAAAAGACATTAAAAAAGGCATCAAAAACTCCTATGGAGCCAACTGGATCATGTCGTTCTTAAGGAAAATGTCCGTAAACGTGGCCGAGTAAGACATCTAAAAAGACGCTCAAAAAGACATTCAATCATTATTCTCACATAAATCGACTCAATTGGGTATAGAATATCGCAGAAAGACAGCCCATCTGGTCCATGGCTCAGAAGTGACAACGCAAAAACAACAAGACCATCACCGATCACAGATGCAATTACACTCTGCTACGGGACAGATCTTATGCCGCTTAAACCAGTCGCTGGCATGGTTTGCATGGAATCCATGGTTGCAATGGATACAAAACACCACGAACCGCCTCATCACCTCAGTCTCAGTGGGCGCGCGAGAACCCGCCTCAGCATCAGCAGCAATACTGGCCCGTGACATTGGGTCTGGCGAACCCAGCCACAAGGTGCAGACGCCGCAGCGCGGCATATGTCGACCACACCGCGGACACACAGTCCCAGACATGATTGTGGGTGCCAGTGGGTTCCCGGTGGTGGGATGAACATTTTCGGCACTCTTGCTAGATGGGGAGGCCTGGGAGGAAGCGTCGTGCTGAGTGAGCGGACTCGTGCAGTAGTTACAGGTGAGGCTGACTTGCTGCGGCGGTGGCGACATGAGTTTGCGACCGTCCGCAGTCACAGCAAAACGACGAGAGCCGACGTCGAATCGAGCTCGCTCGAGTTGGAGTTTCCAGGAGTTCATTTGTCGCCGGTAGGTCTCGCGCCAGGCCTCGAACTGGACAATGTGTTTTTGGTTGCTAACAAGCCGTGGCACGGTATGGCTCATTGCTAACACGGGAGTTTGGACATCATTGAATTTCCCAATATACGATTGGAACAGACCCATGGCTAAATGACCCAAGCCTGTGAGCACCACTCCTTCAATATCGCCTTGACGAATTGCATGGCTTGTAGCATCCTTCAGATACTCAGTTAGTTCGTCGTCTGGAAGCCAGCGTAGCGCGACCTCTACGCGATACTTCAGAGGTAGTGTGGTTTCCTTGAGAACTGCATTCCAGTCGCCTTTGCTTACAAGGGCTAGGATCGCCCGAGCGTATGGATCAGTGAGCTCCTTCGCGATTTCCGCACAAGTATCTTCCCAGTCTGTGTCATTGTCCCCCTTGGAGGCACCGGCGATCGCCATGGCCAGCAATTTATGAGCTTGGGTAGGGTTGTTGCTTCGAAGCCCAAGATAAGCCAGCTTAGGCTCATCTTGGAAGACAGCCAGTGCAGCAGCTTTAGTATGCTGGTTTTCGCCAGATAAGGTTTTCACTGATTCCTCCAGCTCACGGTAAGATTGCGTTGCACCACAGAGACGAAGGCAGAGTCGGCGATGATCGGGATAAGCCGTGTGGCAACCTTTCGTCTCAGGGAGGTTCAACTGAGTTGCCAAAGTTGTTACTGCATCCGCAACTGTTTTAGCATCATCCTTCTTAGCGCTGATACAACGTTGTTCGAAACCTTTCCCTGTACTTAGTCAGTTTTGAGAAATATTTGAGAACTAAGTGAACAAACAAACCTAGGTCATTATTCCAAACATTGCTCACACCTAGATAATTTAGGTCCAAGCCATTGACAACCATTGACATCCCAGAAGACTCGTTTCGAGCACCTAGAAAATTTTATTAGATGTTTGCTTGTGACCTCAAGGAAAAAAGAAAACTCACGTTCAATCCAGCCCCAGACGTCTTGCAGAGCTTGATCATCAGAGGCCACCTTTCGGTTTTGAGCCTCATCAAACAAATAACCCTCTTTGCACCGGGATTGGTTGATTGTGCATAGAGTGAGCGCTTCTTTCGCAGTAAGGGGAACACCCATCACTCCGAGAGCCATGGCGCGTTCCCGGTTCTCATGGCTTGGGACCGGCTCGAGATCAAGATTCTTTGACACGAACAGCTGACCATTTGAGTTTGCCCCATGCTCTTGCGAGGTCGAGCAGACGCGTGACCTAATGTTCCCGATCAGGTCTGAGATGGGTGAAATGTGCTCAGACAGTGGGTGAATCGATCGCACATCTGAGTCACTCGATGCGATACCACATGCCAATACACTCCGTGAAGATAGATCAATTGGTGCGCACGGGGGTCGTGCGGTGATGATCTGGGGTTGTCCATTGCCGTCGAGTGCGATAGCACTTGGTTGAGGGGACAAGCTAAGATTCATGGAATCGAATGAAACAACGCGGTCTTTTTCTTTGCAGCCACGCGTCGGGTTATCAAAGGGTACGCAAACGTCCCGCACGTGCTTGGTGTATACCGATTCTGGGTAATTTCTGGAAGATCCCTGACCAAGAGTCTCGTCTATCGAAGAGCGATACTCCTCCGGCAAGTAGTCTTTGGCAATATCGTAATTCTTGAAATGACCGCTGCTGGACAGCGCAGCGAGACTGCCTCGGTTCGTCCTTGAGAAGCGCAAGCTCCAGATGGAGGACTTCGGATCAAAAACATTCTTGAGTTCTAAAGCAGGCGTCGCTTGACCTGAATCTGCGACGCTAGCAGAAGAGCCCATTGATGGAGATGTCAGTCGAGATCCAACGCGACGGTCCCACACGCAGATGGTGCTTTCATTTGATGGAATGCAAGACGCAATGTAGTTCTCATCAAGCCAATCAATAGCCAGATTATGAACACATCGAGTGGGAAATTGTAATGATGGATTGCCAGGTCCCTCTGTTACAAAATCAGCCATGCTTTTGTGGATATAAAGCCAGGAAAGACAAACCTCTTAGATCATAGATCCGAACAAACTGGCCTTTGACACCGGTTACGATCGTATCAGGCTGATCTCGGAAGAACTTGATACTGGTGATAGGCTCTGAGCTGGCGAGCTTTCTCAAGGGCTCAGTAAATCCTCTACTTCCACCAGCAGGACTGAGTCGTTGGTTGACATCCCAAATATTCAAGCAAAAGTCGTTCCGAACGCGATCGAGGCCCGATGCCACAAGACCGTGGGCACTAAATGCAACTGCATTGCAGTACCGTTGGTTGCGGACTGGGAATGAAAGTGACTCCTTGGCATCCCCATCGAGGCGTAGGATGGTGGCCTCCCCAGATGACTGGCCCACGGCGATCAGGTTCTCATTTGAAGTAGACCAGTCGAATGCGCGAAAACCGGGCACATTGGTCAAGGTGGAGATCACTTCATGGCGTAAATGCTTGCCGTCAAACCCAGTCACCCTACACAGACGAAATGATTTCCCCGTGACATCGACTGACAGGAAGCGTTGTTCAGTGGCCGACGAGCTCGGGGACCAGCGAATGGCGGACTCCATGCTGGTCCTTTTACTAAGCTCGGTTCAGTAATTAACTCAGTGGCATGAGTAGATTCAAGCTGCCAGATACAAAAATTCAAGCGACCAATTGGAGTAAATCAAATCAATGCGACGAGAGAGGGCCGTGGTGATGCTGATCAACGAAGACGCTCATTGGTTGGCGCCAATCTGGGGGACGGGCCGATAAATCCGCCGATATCTTTTTTTCTTATCGTTTTTGCTGTAGCTTCGACCTCTTTTTTTCCCTTTCCTTTTCTGTTAGACCAACAAACATGTCTACAGACACTCGAAGCCACCGCGATCGGGCAGCTCCCTCAAAGAGGAAGACCCGGGATGGATCAGAAGATGTTCCCCCCGCCCGCAAAAAGCTGCACCGCAAGGCAGACAAAGCAGATGACCAAGTCCAATTCGAGAACTACAGCAGCAAAGTCGATGCAGCGAAGCCCAAAGTGACCCGGAAATACAAGGACAAATTTGCTCCCAAACCCGAAAAGGAATACCCATCGATCAATGATCTGAAAAAGCGAATTCGCGATGTGAAGCGACTACTCAACAAAATGGACTTGTCTGCCGATGCTCGCATCTTGCAGGAACGTGCTCTCGCTGGATATGAGCAAGATCTTGCGGATGAAACTACACGCAGAGAACGGTCATCCTTGATCAAGAAATATCACTTTGTCCGATTCCTTGGTATGTGGCCGATAAGTCTGAATGGTTTGGGGTTCTCGCTAATGTACTTGGTTTTCATTGAATAGACCGCAAAACTGCTACCAAGGAACTCAACCGACTTACTCGCCGCGAGAAGGAAGAAGATCTGGATTCGAAACAAAAGGCTCGTCTTGCGGCAAAAATCCACACATGCCGTGTGAACCTCAACTACACGATCTACTATCCTCTCACCGAGAAATACATTTCACTCTACCCCAATGGAAAACCCGATGCAACGGATCCAGAGTCTGAATTGCAAAAGCAGGAAGCCACATCCAACGACGCCAAGCCCCCGTTGTGGTCTGTCGTTGAGAAGTGTATGGAAGAAAAGACACTGGGCCTTCTTCGTGAAGGAAAGTTGCACATCAACGCCAATGGAGAGAAGATCCAATCTTCCTCATCTGGTACAACTACAGCTACAGATACCAACAAGGAGAAGAGCAAGAAAGAGCAACAAAAAGATACCAAGGCTGCTATCCACAAGGATAAGCATGTTTCCAAAGATGACAAGAATAGCAGCAAGAAGGATAAGTCTGCACGCAGCGAGCGGGCCCCCAAGAAACACGAGGCACCACAACAAGTCAATGCAGAGGACCAAGATGATAGCGATGGTGGTTTCTTTGAGTAACCAATTCATAGGTTCGATGCAGAATTGGTTTATGTCTTATTTGTCTTGATATCCACACTAGCATTTTATACATTCTATTGCAATACAGCCAAGTGAACCATCTATGTTCAACATGATTCGCCGAATAATAACCGGGTTCTCCAGCTGATACTTTGGTGCCTGTGATGTATGCCCATGGACCGATGTTGTGGCTCATCTAGGCTGTTAGGCGGAACATGAAGGAGAGTTTTTGCTATATAGGGAATACCATTGTTACATATCTGCATGAATGTTCAATAATGCTGTACTGGCTCTATGGAACTCATATTGACCTCCTTAGCAAACCCCCATCCAGTGAGCATGGCCGTAAGGTATCAAGTATAACTGCAAGTATAACTTAGCTACGTCGTTCACTTTCACTTCGTAACATATATTTCAATCTAGCCAATCAACCCTTCTTTCTGCAATCAACCCTTCTTTCTGCAATCAACCCTGCTTTTTAACCTTTCTACATCTGCTATTCTCGACTATCCGAACTTCCATCGCATTGAGCTAGCTTCAGAGTCAATGCTCCAAAGTATCAATCTTTCACAATTACCATCTGATTCCACGAGCTGCGAAATCGGAACATTAGATCAACACCTGCGACTTCTTCGCTGCCCAGATCTGACTTCATTCCTATCCCTACCTTCCATCACAGGTTCGTCCTTTGCACATCCGGCTTTCTACATTGTTTCAAAACGTCTCTGCCATCTACACATTCGCTTTACTTTATAACTCTCAGTTCAACTTTCATACTTTTCACCATTCCATTGTGACCTCACTGTTCACTACAGGTAAGGTATCTCGCTAAACGACCCCTTTGATACTCCAGTCTCCATTCTTATGTTCTGCTCATCTTCACTTCACAATTTTATTCTTCCCACAAACTGCAACTTTATAGTTATTGACTCCTATATCTATAACCTAGACTCTGCTTCATACTTCGAACTTCCGCTACAACTTGAACTTGCACTACAACTTGAACTTCGTTTTACGGTTAAACTATTTTCTTTTCAAGGTCAAGTGTCCTTGTTACCGCTCATATCTACAAATTGAGCTCTTGACTAACCGAGCGCAGATCTTCCAATCAATTCTACGATCTCCAAAGTCAGGCTAAGAAAGATGGCCCCAGCAAAAGAAGCCAGGATGGCTTGCAGTGCTGCAGATGAAGCATCATTCATTAAGCAGCAGGAACTTCTTCGAGACCGCTGCGCAAAAGCTCTCGCGGATCATCTTGAGGCCAATCCTGATGTTGTGTGGACACCCGAAGATGGCTACGGAGAGCCCCCCAAAACGGAGGAAGAGGTTGCTCGGCTTAAATTGGTTGTGGATGTCGAATTCGACGAAGAAACCGGCCAGCCAATCTTCCCTCCGGGCAATAACCGACTCTCAGATGAACTAGTGTATCTGGTGACGAAGTTCATGAACGCCCGTGATCTCGCACGACGATACCCCTACGATTTCGACAAAATGGGCCATATCAACCCCCAACGAGTCTCATCAGGTCCTGCTCCCATCATCTGGGCTCATGGCCTGCCTTTCTTCCCGGTATACAAAGGATACTACATCCTCTGTGGACGCGACCACGCCGAGTGCATTGGCTGGTTGCTTCACGAGAGGACCAGAGAGATCATGCACGCCAACCCGATCTGGTCAATTGGAGCAGTCATCGCACCCGATTCTGCAGTGAATCTACCTCACACTATCACTCGTCAGATGACACAACACAAGCCGTATGGTGCCGAGAAGGACTCGCGTTATAAGGGCAAGGCCTGGACTCGCGATATTGTGGCTGCTGAGCACCATCTCTGCGCAGTTCTGCCGAACCTGGGCACTGAAGAGATTGAGGTCTGCCCGATGTGGAGAGCCTGGGGTTACAACGCTCGTTGTGGACCTATGAAGCGTGGCGCGAAACCGACTACCATGCCGAAGGAGTTCTTCGCAAACCATGGTATCAAAGATATTGACTATGACTCTCTCGCGAGGCCATACGGCAACCACCTGATGGACGAGGATGAAGAGACAGATGATGAAACGGACCCAGATGGTGATATCGAGGTTAAAGACCCCGTTGAAAAGAGTGGTGAAATTTCTAGCAGCGGCAATCAACCCATCATGGCTCAATCTGCATCCCAAATGGACTTGAATATGGGAATCGACAGCCTGATGGAGGGTTCAAAGCAGGTTACAGAGGAGGTCGCGGAAGAGGCCAAGGAGGAGGTCCAGAAAGAGGCCCAGAAAAAGACCCAGAAAGAGACCCAGAAAGAGACCCAGAAAGAGACCCAGAAAGAGACCCAGGAAGAGGCCGTGGAAGTGGCCAAAGAAGAGGTCAAGAAAGATGTCGCAGAAGTGGTCTTGGAAGTTCCCATGAAACAGGTCACCGAAGAGATTGCCAAAGACCCTGGAATTGCCTCCTCGGACCTTGATGAGAAACAACCTGTTCTTTCCAGCAGCATTGTGGTCACTGAGAGTCTCGTCGCCGAGCAGATCAGCACTGCTGGTATCCCTTTTGGGGAGACTACGATTCAAGCCGCTGCAATTGTTCAACCTACCGAGGTGCAATTGATGACCAACCAACCTGAAACCGAACAGGAAGTGACAGTTACATCTGCTGAGATCACTCTTGCCATTGACCCGCTCAAGGTGAAGCAAATCGCACCCGAACAGCCCAGCACTGAGCAGCTGGATCACGCAGCAGCTTGTGGCTTATTTGAGAAGCCGAAAGTTGCTAACGACCCTGCATCTCAATCGGTTGCTGATGACACTGACGTCGTCATGAGTTAAGCACGAGCGGAAGTTCGTTCCTGTGCAGGATGGGGGAGACTACAATACAGAAAAACCAAATAATGTGAAAATGGGGTGCGAAATGGGATATACCTTTATGGGATATTAGGAGGTGACATATTCCAGGGGTTGCTTTTCATTGAAATTCGGGGTTTATGGTACTGGGGGGATCTTGCTTTTTATCTTTATGTTTTCCTCTCGCGATGTGCTTAGTTGCTTTTTCCTTTTTCCAGTGACACAGCGGTTGATCACTGCGCTTTGCAATTGTTCTTGCATTAATCTTAATGCTGGCATGTATGCCACTTCTTGACTACTTGCTTTCTTTGAAAATGTCATTCAGGCTACTACAAGATGCAAGACAGTCGGGGTCGAAGGGTGCAATCACGTCAATTGGGCGCCCCTGACACTCGAGCACGAACACTATCTTGGAAAGTAAGTCACAAGTCCCCATTCTATCCATGCTAATGGTAATAGGCTATCGAACTGCATGCACATATACATTCCAAAATACTTTTCCAAGGTTATCAAGAGCAACAAACCACAGCAATAAACTATAGCAATAAACTAGAGCAGAACTACCGAATATAAAGAGTAGAGCTTTCTAGACCGACTGGCTGACTTAGGTGATACCGAACGAACAATTCTGTTGGCGCTGTGTTTTCATCCTCAAAGGCCCATACGCGTGAATATTGTAAATTGAGTATCTTGCCATCGAAGAAAGCTTGGATGATTCTCGCCCGTTTTCCAAGATAGCAAAAGGCTAGGACCTAAAGATGAGTTAGATATAAGCTACAACACGGTGTAGAGCTACTTATGTACTTACTGGATGGACTCTGAATTTGCGGAAGGGTATCCGAGACACTCGCAAAATCATCATGCCCACAATAGCTTGTAACTCAAATATAGTAAGAGGACCTTTTCCTACATCTGGGCGAGCGTGCGCGATACATGCCATAACTGAATGCGGCTTGATGGGGCCCTCGACCTGACTATAGCGGTAATGATGCAACACGCGCCATCGCCTATCGTATGGTGTAAGGACGACGGTAGGTGGGTCTCCTCTACGATCAGTGTACCTATAAACAGTGAGCACTATATCACACACACGTGTAATAAGAATGATTAAATTTACCAACAGTACTCTTGGGGTACAAGGTCTTCTAGGTGAGAATATGGTCCTCCTTTTCGCAAAGTAGTAAGCTGCCAGTTGACATGATTGTAGACACCTTGCGCGTCGTGATACCAATCGTCAAATTTTGACCATTCTATCAAACGTTCATGTTGAGATGTTGCAATTCGGAGGATTTCTTCATCCTCGCGAATCTCTTCTCGTGTTCCAATTCGGAGGATGTCTTTATTATTCGGATAATCCTCTTGAATATCCTCTAAGACTTGCGCTAGTGTTGGAATAGAGAGCCTAGGCATTCTTTTGTCTTTGTCGTATACAGCTTCATACTTGTGGAGTATTCCTTCTGGGTGAGGCTGGAAGAAGAATGGATCAAACTGGAGGGTTTGGTTGTCGGCCAGATCCACTTGGATGGCTTGGATTTGAGGCCTCTCAAGATAATCGGGGGAAGGGAAGTCAGTTTCACAAGCCTGCAGTTGTTGAAGCAGACACTTGAGAAAGTCAAGGGAGTCGGCTTGCGTTTTGGTACTCATTTTGGCAAGTTGATGTTATAGGAGCGAGGTAATTAAAAGAGAACGTGTACTTGGAAGAGACATAAGGTAACAGAAAGAGGAATAGTCATGCTATATATGGCGCCCCATGAAATATTGACATCATATTCTGCACTTCAAACTTTGTAGGGCTTGACTTATCCGCTTATCCATGAGGAAACATAAACCTTGGTGACTTCAGATGGAAACCCGACAGGATATACGCCCCCCGAAGCGGGCTTTAAATTACATACCTATAGCGGATATCCTAATTCACGCCGACTTAACAAATGATAGGAGTTTGAAAGAGATTAGATCTATAAGGCCGACTTCGAAAGTAAAATTATTGTTGGTTCCTTAAACTTGTTATTCACGCGATTCATACTTGATTTACCCGGGGTATTAATAGAAGGTATCCTCGATACTTGTTAGAATGTACATATGTACTACATACATTGATATCAAAGGCTGATATTGTAATGTAATTTGTAGCACCTATGTAGCTAAGGTATGTGTTTTTCATAGAGCCGCATCTTATAATATTTGGCCCCACCAAAATATTACTCCCACTGCACAACTCCCCGCATCAAATTTCTCAATAAGATGGATCACCCAAAAAACAACAAAGATAGACGGGGACGCGGCCATGGTCAAGGCCAAAGTCGCGATGTCCAAGTCTCCAAAGCATTAAGCTTGCTTCTACGACATGCCGCTGAGAAGGAAGGGCTGAAGATGAACGCACAGGGTTATGCGAGCGTACCAGACGTGGTATGCAGCTTTGTTCTTCTAATATCCTGCGCTATACTGACTATACCTATCTCCAGTTAAATTGGAGGAAACTCAAATCGCTAAAAGTCACCTTCCCCGAGATTCTCCACGCCGTGGACTCGTCCGATAAAAAGCGCTTCGCCCTCCTCCACATTCCATCCGCACAACCCACCAAATCCACAACCCAAGCAACAACAACACCAGTGACTGCCCCTAATGCAGAGCAAGATGTCGCTACTATCGTGGGCGAACAACAGCCCACGATATCCGTCCTGGAGTCCGCACCCGCCACGAGCGAAGCCCAAGAAACAGCCACCGACCAAGCATTATCCGTGAAAGATACCGACCCGTCGAACTTTTTAATTCGCGCGACCCAAGGCCACAGCATCAAGACCGTAGATGCTGCCTCTTTCCTCGAGCCGCTTTCTTTGTCCGACGAATCGAAACTACCCGATACCGTCGTCCACGGCACGTTCCACGCGACCTGGCCTGCGATCCTACAATCTGGTGGACTACGCTGTATGGGGCGGAACCACATTCACTTCGCTACTGGCCCGTCATTAGAATCGGTGCTTGCTGTTCACACTGATGATGCCGCGCGGGGTAAATCAAAGCCCGACGACTCCCGCGTTATCTCGGGCATGCGGCGCGATGCACAAGTTTTGATCTATATCGATGTGCGCAAGGCACTGGAAGCAGGGGTACCGTTCTGGCGCAGTGAGAACGGGGTCATTCTTAGTGAGGGCATACCTGTCGCGAAGAGTGGGCAAACTGAGAAGGGCGAGGAGCAGAAGTTCGTCTCGCTGGACTTTTTCGATGTGGTAGTGGAGCGTAAGGTTGGGTTGGGTAAGCTCTGGGAGCACGGGGAGGTTCTACAGGAACTTCCGGAGAATCTCACGAAGAAAGGGAATCCCAAGGGCCGGCGATGAGTGGTAGTGATACGACACTCTGTAGGGATTATCATATCTAACTGGGATTTCTGTTGTTCAGCTCGACACAGACGATCAGGGGAATACAAATGATTCTCCTTCCAGTGATCTACATATCCAGAATGGAATCCTTTCCATTCTAAGTTGCCCCCACTTCGGACTTAGACCTAGGTAACCCCGTAGCCCTGGGCGGCTGACTATAGGGCTGAGGTGATTCTGTCCTACCCAGGTGAAAGCCCCTGGAGTACACTCAGCGCGTTATCTTACTATATCACTAATCCTGACGGCCAAACTTTTATAAAATGTAACTTACACATCACATCGTACTGAAGGCAAGACTTCGGAAGCTGTTTGGAGCTTGCCCTTGGGGGATGAAAAACTCTACAACTCACCTAGTGTGGAAGCTCCAATTTTTATGAGTTCTCATTGAGAATCCCAGACATTTTCATTTCGCATATCAGAACCCAGGCTCTTAAACAATTCCGACAGTATAACGCACCCTGCCAAGCTCTCCGGGGCTCTACCCGACTGCGGGGAAATCGGAAGCGCAACCTCTTCCGAAATCCCCAACCGACTGTCACTAGACCTTCTGCACATCCGATGCCTCCAAACCCAATCATGCCATTGGCATAGATTTGCGGGGTCATCCTCGAATAAGCGTCATGTTTTTTGTCAGATCTGTCTGGACCACAGACTAAAAGTCCCGTCGGATCACCGTGGTATATAACGGTCTCGGGGTCTTTTGATAATCACATACTCCTCTCTTGTTGAAACTCGGTCTCCTTCCTGTATTTGAGTCGCACTCGTACATATCGCACCGCAATAAATTAATTTACGCGCAATAATGGCGACGCACCGCTTCGATCCCACCTTCACGGACAATGTCATCAACGCGATGGGTCCCAAGACCACTCCGCGCATGCGGAAGCTCATGGCCGGCCTAATCAGGCACATGCATGATTATGCGCGTGAGGAGGAGCTCACCGTCGACGAGTGGATGGCCGGAGTTCAGATGCTCAATTGGGCGGGACGGATGAGCGACGACAAGCGGAACGAGGGACAGCTGGTGTGCGATATATTGGGACTGGAATCGTAAGCCGAATTCTTGCTCGCGGGGGAGTGAAAAGTCATCCGCTAACGTGTGATCGTTTCACAACAGCCTCGTGGACGAAATCACCTTTACTCTCGCCGGAGAAGCGCAGGATGCGCCCACAGCCACGGCCATCCTGGGCCCGTTCTTCCGCGCGGATACCCCGTATCGCGAGAACGGCGAGGACATCGTCAAGACGAAACCGGCTGATGCTGAGATGACGTTCATGCACGGTCGTGTCATGGACTTCCAGACAAAACAGCCTCTTGTCGGTGCGACGGTCGAGGTGTGGCAGGCTTCCACGAACGGGTTGTACGAGCAGCAGGACCCCGAGCAGGTTGAGTTTAACCTGCGCGGCAAGTTCAAGACGGATGAGGATGGAAAGTACTCGTTTTACTGCCTGCGTCCGACGCCGTATCCCGTTCCTAACGATGGTCCTGCTGGCAAGCTTCTTGAGCTGATGGATCGTCATCCTTTCCGCCCTGCTCACATTCACATTATTGTACGTTTTAACCTGGTATTCTCTATATCGGGTTGAGATAGATGCTAATATCTTGCCCAGGCTACCTATGATAACTACCGCCCTTTGACAACGCAGATCTTCGACCGCAAGGGTGAGTACCTTGACAACGACTCGGTGTTTGCTGTCAAGGACTCGCTTATTGTGGACTTCGTTCCGCGCAAGGACGATCCCCAAGCTGCCATTGAGCTCGAATACGATGTCAAGTTGGTAAAGTTCGAGGCTGGTACCAATGGCGCATGAGCGAGCAGCGGCATTAAAGTAGTATTTTTGTAATTTCTGATGTACTTTACGATAGCGGGATTGCGCATATTGCACATAACAAATATAACCAGACATTTTTACTAGCATATTCATTATTCCATTCTAAATAGAAGCTCTTTCAAGCATTCACAACGTTCGCGAACTTGGCAATTAGCCCACCCACCTCATCAGCAGCCTCAATACAATGCCAATGCCCAACCCCTTTTAATACTTCGAGAGACTTCTGCTTACTCGAGACATGATCAAAGATATGCTGGCACCCCTCCATAGAAGCAGACTTGTCCTCCTCACCCGCAATAAGCAGGAAAGGCGCCTTGACAGCAGCATAGTCCGCCGGCTTCGCGGCCGCAATAGCGCGGCACAGCGCGGCATAGCCCTTAGGATCCTGTCCCAGGATCAACTCCCGGATGAAAGCCTTTTGAAGCGGGGTGCTGCGGGAGCCGACAGCTCCAAATGGGATGGTATTTGCCATTGGCTCGATTCCAGCTGCAGACAATTTAGTACATTTGCACGGAAATTCGAAAGCACGCGATAAAACAGAACCACACAATTAGATAGACTCGAATGGGAAAATCTTACACTCAAGAACAGTCTCCGATCTCTTATTCATGACCGTCACCAACATATCCGACGGGTGCGTCGGGCCAATAGCCACAACGCCCTGTATCCGACCGGGACAACGTGCGCCTAGCTCTGTCACTACGAGTCCGCCCATTGAATGGCCGACTACGACGGCCTTGGGCACCTGCAGGGAGTCTAGCACGTTAATGATATCCTCTGCGATGCCAGGGATCGTGATTGTGTCATTGGTGTACGGGGAGCGGGCGGCGCCGTATGTGTCGATTGTGATGCAGCGGTGGAGTTTTGTGAGGTGCGGGATTACTGGGTAGTAGTAGTTTTGTGAGGAGCCCAGGCCGTGGATGAAGATGAAGGTCAGGCCCTTAGGGGTCGGAGGGCCGGCGGGGTGGGAGTCGGCATAGTTGAGACGGTGGCTGTTTGCTTGGACGAACGGCATTGTGGATTGGGAGTCCGGTGGGAATGGGATCAATTTAAGACGACAAAGTATGTATGTAGCAATGGGACGAGTAATGAAGGAATAGAGAAGCGGGCAGCCCTGGAGATCTATACAAATGATAAGTGTAACGTCATTCCCGATGAGATTCTGTGCTACAATAATAATACAAATGTACACAATGTTTTGAATCCTCCAGACCGTTTCTAGCCATTCCGTCGGAACAATTCAGCGCTCCCAGGCCCTACTCCAAAATATTTGAGTCTCCCGAACCGAAAGGGCTTTGTGGTGTATCCGAAATGCGCGGATATCACCCGACTGTCGGACCGGACCCGATCCCCATAATGCCAAGACATCCAGGATGGACAATGTGCGAAGTAGTGTACTCCAAAGCTCCAAGGCTTGGGACAAAATGCCGCCGAAGCGATTTACCAAGTTCAAATAAATCATTGAGAGGGTTTTTTATTGAGTTCGTCAAAAGGGTCGCCGGTTCCGTGTGCAAATGCTTCTTCAATCCAATCCGCAGTCTCATCTCGAAAGGAATCTCCAAAAGAAGACGCTAATGTGGGTATATTGCACGGTCGACCAGACAAAGGAGGTTGTACAAGAGAGGTGTCCTTGGGTAGAGAATGATCTTTCGTTCCAGGACTACTCATTTGTGTGATAATAGCTGCTTCAGCTTCAAGGAAATCGGCGGGGTCATACTGGAAAGATTCGCCGAAAGATGATTCTAGCGTGAGCACAGCCGGAGGACGTTGTAGGTAGGATGATTCCTTGGGTATAGAGGGTTTCTTCGTTTCTTCGTCAGTCGCTCGTGTAGTAGCAGCCGTCTCGGCTTTTTTCATAACCTCTTCGTCATCGAACGCCGAACAGTCCGAGAACTCATCCTCATCCTTGAATGAAGCCCGGGTCGCGGTGCCGATATCCTGAACTTCAAGCTCCTTCAGGACGCCTGCATCCTGAAGCTCAGATATGTCATTTTCCAATACCTCATCCAAGTCGTCAAAGGCGTCCGATTCAGCTTCCGTATCTCCACTCGCGCTCGCCAAATTGTCATCATGTGATTCGATCTCTGTAACTGTAGGCGCAGGCTCCGGTACAGCAGGTGACTGCTGCTTTCCGGCGCCTAGGAACATTGACAGCAGCGGCTGACTCGACGGGACGCGGGCTGCATGGGGATCTGGGATACCGCGACGCTTCCGCTCCTCACGGGCCTGCGCCTCCTGCTCGGCTTTCCGTTTCTTGTTGGCTATTCGTTTCTTTTCCTTCTCGCGTAGCTTCTTCGCTTTATTTTCTCGCTCCTCCTCGCGATCTAGTCGCGCTATCTGGGACGCGGTGAACTGGAATCGTTGGTTGCTGCGCTGGTACCGGCGTTTAACGGTCTTGGATTTCTCCAAGATGATACGACGCGGCTCATCCGGCATAGTGGGGGCAACCGTGGCAGCGACTGCCTGCTGCTTGTACGATCATGGGGATGGAGAGCTGTGGTGAGTTGTACCAGAAAGGGTTGGAAGCGACGATGCTGTTTTTTGGTTGGCGGTGATACGTTGTGCCGACCGCAGAAGTCAACAAATTACCAAATTGGGCTCCACTCTTTCAAAGGTCTATTATCGATCTATATTCAGTGTATTTTTGGATGCTTAGAATTTCATTTTATAATTCCACCCATACGCTAGACTTTTGCTAACTCGGTGACGTCATTTAGATCTTGCAGTCACGGACGGGATCCCAGCATACGGGCTCGTAAGTGTTGAACTGCAGGCTGGCCATGTCCTCATCCGACAGAGTGAAGTCGAAGACCTGCGAGTTCTCCAGAATGCGAGACTCGGTCACCGACTTAGGCAGGGGCACATACCCCTTCTCCAAACTCCAGCGGATCAAAATCTGAGCCTCGGTCTTACCATGCTTCTTAGCCAAGTTCTGCAGAACCGGCTCCTTCATGCGAGTCGCTTGAACGAGGGGAGAGTATGCTTCGACGATGATGTTGCGCTTCTGCAGCCACTCTGCAATATCCTCGCGTGGGCACCATGGGTGGATCTCGTACTGACCGACAGTGATTTGTCCACCCGCTCCGCTCTTGATATACTCTTCCAACTCCTCGAGGTGCTGGATAGCAAAGTTGGACACACCCAACGAGCGGACGTGGCCTGCCTTTTGGGCCTCGACGAGTGCGCGCCATGTGCCGAGGCGGTCCTCCTTACCGCCATAGGGTGCGTGAATCAACAGACTAATATCCAAATTGTTAGTTCGTTAATCCACTTTGTTTTCCGTGGATCAAGGAGGTCCATACAGGTCAATGTAGCCGAGGTTCGCCGCAGCAATGCTTTCCTCGATTGCCTTCTTTGCCTTCTCGTATCCCATGGATCTCGGGGGCACCTTGCTAGTATAGAAGATCTTGGAGCGATCAAGTCCAGACCCGCGGATAGCGGCGCCACTTTCCAGTTCGTTTCTGTAGGCTTTGGCGCTGTCGACCTGTAACAAGAAGGTCAAATCTGGGAACACTTGCTGCCTGGCTTCTGCAGCTGCTTACATGGCGGTATCCGAGCTCAATGGCCTTGCGGATCACTGTCTCGGTGACATCGGGGGGCCTGGTCAAGAATCTGTCAACATAATCTGTCGTGGAGGCTTTATACAATGATAGTCATACGTTTGGTAAACCTAATTCCCAAGATAAGTGTTAATCATAAATATCAGAACTCCAAGGACCAATGTACGCACTCCGAACCCAACTACGGGGATCTCGTAGCCCGAGACCAACTTATAGGTAGACTGCAGTGAAAGGGGGGCCATGATGTGCGAAGGTTTTGATGGATGAGAAGGTAGAAGGCAAATGAGGGGGCTACCTTAATAGATAAAGGATCCAACATCCAAGGACCACCTCGGTCCAGTAAGTTCCGCCCCGTTTCTTGGAGCTTGACGCCATCTAAGTGGGGATATACGACGTAGGAGACTAGATGCGGCTATATCAATGGCTGATCAATCCGACGTGGGGCCCGTATGAGTAACTTGACGGACATAAGGGACTTAGAACCCAGGGAATAACGATTGTCCTTTGAGGAACGTCCTGATAGGTCAAACCAGATCGGATTCAACTTGAGGCCTCCAAGCTTTTGACGTCAACTTTGCCCCAATCTGATCTGATTAAGGCAGGGCCTTATCGATAAGGCATGACTTGTAAATACATGGATCCATGGATGGCAGCGCAGGGGGTCATACTAGATATCATGTGTATTGGAGATTTAGAATATTCAGAAATCCCCTATTCTCTGACCGCCCATCAAAGACTAAAAATAGTCTCTCAGAATGAGCGCATCAGCAGAACAAGTGATATTCTTGCAGGATGACCGGGCGGTAATAAACGGCAGTATCCTATAGTGGGGTTGAGTTTTGACAAGTTCAACATCGTCAATGCCCTCATACTAGGTTGATTTGCTCGAATATCCCTTTTTATAAGAGCTTTCCAAAGCTCTCACAACTTTGATCTGTTTTCATACAACCCTATTATCCCTCCAATTTGCGCATTTTTGGGGCATCATATGACGACATCGCAATAACAACATTCAACCCGCCTTCGTCGCATTTTACGTCCTCAAACCCTCGGCCTATAACCGTGCACTATCACCGCAGTAATGCGTTGTATCAAGAACAAAATTGAGCACAATGGCTCTGGGGCGGTGACATTGTGCCCAGACGAGCCAGAAGATATGGTATTGAAATCCTCACTTTCCGTCTCAGCACCCCCGCAGTCATCTAATATACAATTCGATGAATATAGTGGCACGCATACAACCTGATCCGACCAGGCGATATCCTTCGAGCCAGTGCAATTCGTCGGGTTACCACAGTCCAGGATACCGGATCCACGAGCTCGGCGCGCGTTCATTTGAACCTCGTAATTCGCGTGAAGAATCTCGACTTTGACCCGCAAAGCTCTCAGCTTCATGTATCAGGACAAATTATCAACGAAACACCGCACACAAAAATCGGGCAATTCCATACCCTCGATCTAGAATTGAATCGCAATTTCACGTTAGAGAAAGATGTTGGGCCAGGTGGAGAAGGTGTCGGGTGGGACAGTATTGCAATCGAGTCACTCAAGGACGCTGTGGATGAGGGCGGGAAGCGCCGTGCAGAGGCTGTCGCAGTAGTGATGCAGGAAGGATTGGCTCATATCTGCTTTATTGGCCAATTCCAAACAATATTGAAGCAAAAGATAGAGATGTCTGTGCCGCGGAAACGGCAAGGAGGAGGGGATCATGATAAAGTGAGTTTCTGTTGTTGTGTCATTGTCTCTATTGACAGGGATCAAAACTTACACCGCATACTCCCAGGGAATGAACAAATTTTTCAAGGTTACACTCGAGACCCTCATTCGACAAATGGAGTTCAATACCAGCCTTACCTCAGGCGCCAATAACGAAGCTGTACGGCCCGTGCTTCTCGCCTCACCCGGGTTTGTCGCCGCTGGATTCCAAAAGTACATACAATCTGAGGCATCAACAACGACTCCTGGGCTCAAGCGACTTCTTCCCAGTCTCGTGGTTGTGCACTCCGCATCGGGGTACACGAATTCACTATCAGAGGTTCTGCAGTCGCCCGCAGTTAAGGCGCTCCTAGCCGATACCAAGTATGCCCGTGAAACCAAATTGATGGACGACTTCCTAGAACAACTACGCAAGGAGACGAACAAAGCAACCTATGGCCCCCGTGAGGTTGAGTACGCGGTTGAGCAAGGTGCTGTCGGCCGAGGTTCCGGCGTGCTCATTGTTTCGAATCGCTTGTTTAGATCACAGGATATCGCTGAGCGTAAACGCTGGGTGGCGCTTGTGGACCGCGTCCGCGATGTTGAGGGTGGTGATGTGCGGATTCTCAGCTCAGATCACGAAAGTGGGAAGCGTCTCGAGGGGCTGGGTGGCATCGCTGCGCTTTTGACATTCCCTGTCAATGAGCCAGATCTTGACTCTGATGCAGAATAGACTGGCTATTCAACGGGCCATCGAAAAATACAAAGATTTATTATAACGTATGGCATAATCAAAGCATGCAATAATCAGATGAACAATATGCCAGGGTCATTGGTTCCATTGAGACTCTTAAGAAAGCCACTTCAAAACTTGTCAGACTGTAGATAAATAATAAAATCAACCACTGGTCCATCGGTTCCACATATAGCTCTTCAGGTACAAATACCTTCTTTGAACTTGCGTTGTTTATTTATCAACACGTGGTCAAGTATATATGGCCACAAGGTGTAGAAAATCACCATCTCTCGTTTATTTCTCATAGTATCGTTCCTGCCTGCGTAGCAGCTCTCACCCAACTATCTCTCCCTTGCAATTCCTTGAACCACCTGTCCACGTTCGGATATTTTTCGAATAGCTCCTTCCATTTACCTGCCTTCAAGGCCGCTCCATTGGGTAAGTGAAACAAGTCAGCCAATGTCAATTCGTTCCCGGCAAGATATTTCTGGCCAGCCAAGATCTTGTCATAAACAGCAAGAACTGCATCCAGGTCTTGTTCGGCTTGGGCGACCCTTACTTCGTCAGGGATACCAAGACCTTTCATTCTGTCCACGGGTGTAGGCCCTGCTTAGTTAATAGGCAAATAAAACAGGAAGAAGTATACGTACGGCTTGATCATAAGCTCGGTTCCTATAGTTTCGGAAGCGGCGGCGAAATAGCTTTGTTCGATAGAACAAGCTTGTTCGAAGCGACCATAGGCCTCGTCATCTCCCTCTGGGATGAGCTTTTTTCCAGAAGGGTATTTCCTGACCAAATAAGTAAACTTCTCTATATATATATATGTGGAATGCGCCTCGAAAGACTTACTTGGCAAGATACTTGCAAATAGCCCTACTTTCAAACATTAGAAACCCGTCATCATCCAGCGCAGGCACCTTGCCAAAAGGCTGGAGCTTTTTGTACTCCTCGCTCTTTTGGTCTCCTTTTGCAATGTCAATAAGGACAAATTCGTACGGCAACTCCTTCTCTAGAAGCGTGACTAGCACACGGGAAGTGGCCATGGCAGAGCCATAGACTTTGAGAACCATTTTCGCTGTCAGAATTTCGGAGAAAGTATTAGTGGGAGTGTTATTTCGATGGACTTGAAAGGGATTGGGGGCAGAGATACTAATCAGTTTGTCTTCCCCCCCTTTTCTTTTGCTCAAAAGTACCGAGAACCGGATCCAGCCTATCACATCTTCGAAACATACGTTGGCGCCATTATGTATATGCTGCTTTTTCAATCCCACGAGTAGAACTGTTACGGTTAGAACGATACATATTGTACTATTAGGGGCGCTTATTTGCTCGGGTGATAGCCTTTTTGGATTTTTGGATTATTGGCGGTTATCAACATGCTAAAGGAAATGTTATATAATTCACCTCCAGAGGAAATCGTAAGTCCCAACAAGTACAAAGCAAAGCCACACACTTCAGCAAGGATTTCGCTCAGGGTATTCAATCGTCTGCGGAGCACCACAAGGTGACTCGCACAGGCCTCAATGGGATAAACTAGAACGTGAAAGAATATGTAGGAAAGAAGTCAAGACTCCAAGTCTCCAAGTTTCGATTTGAACCTTTTCCCTTGATCATCCAAGTATGGGATGGCCTTCCAAGGTACAATACCCTCGAACCTTGGAAGCGGACTATGTAATAACCTAAATGGGACACCACGAGGCACTTGGGCACATTTGTATTTGTACATCTCCAAAAAGTAATTGAGAAAGATTTGCCCTCCGCTTTCGGTATGTATTGCTTTGATTCATCCATGATGAAGACACCTGCCCAGTGGAACAGCCGTCAGCTTCTTTCCCCGGACCAAGTTCCCCAGAAGGCCAAGCCGGGGTTGCCAACTGCGGAAGGACGTGAGAATCTACAGATAGACCTCGGTGACTTGATCATTTCTGTGGTCAGTGTAGCGAACTTTATGTCTGCTAATCAAGTGACAAAAATGCGAAATAATTCTGGAGTATCGCTTCAAAATGGCGCGGAAGTGTTATTCCATTGCTAGCCATTCAAACCATGTTCCCTGCCTACATAGGCAATCCATCAAAAGAACTGATTCAAAGTCTGCGAGATGTCCATCGGTCCCCTCTCTTTCATGACTGCTCGCTTGGCAGGACGATCTTCCCTTTCAGGTGGCTCACTCCGCTTCTTCTCCCTTCCACGTTGCTGCTTCTTCTCGGCATCAAGCTTTTGCTTCACAGGATCTCGAGTAAACAATACAATTGACTTTGCATTATAGCGAGAGCGGACAACAACCCTGTCTCTTCTGCTGTGGTCGACCGTTGGTAGTTTGAACTCCAAAATTGGAATATTCGTGGGTAGGGATGATGGTCTTTTCGATTGCTCGTCATCAGGCGTCTCGAGACTAGACTGGTACACATGAAGCAAGGACAAGAGATTATCATCGATTGTTTTTGATGTTCCGTGGGTTTCCCAAAACCAATCGAGTCTGCAGGCCGACCATCCCTTTATGGGAATGATATCATTCGCGGGCCTGTCGTATTTTTGAATCGTCTCTGTGATCATCTTACACTCGTACGCCACAACGAGCTGGAGCTCCGGCAGTTCACGCAGAGCTTCCAGTGATGCAACGGTCATTTCACGTTGGTGGTAGAACCTGAGAATGCGGAGGTGCTGTAGTGCTTTGGATTCAATCCAACCACGCACAAATCCATCTTGCAAGGGGAGACCGTCGTTGCTAACGCCCACGGGATCCAGCGGGGCAAGATTCGACGAATATGGCTCACTGTACACGTCCAGAGCAACCAAATTCTTGATGTTTGGTATGGTAGTCAGGTCTGTGGCAGTACAGTATGTGGTTGCAATCGTCAAGATTGCACGCCAGCGAAAGTCATCGCTATCGATAATACCCATGTAGTCTCTCAGTGGCTTTTTGGGACAGCCAGCATCGAGGCAGTAGTAAGGACTAACCTCATAGAATTGTACAGGATAAACGCTGGCCATTATTTTCCACATGTGCATTGTCTGCTTGTTACTGTGTAGACGGTCAGATTTGAACAAAAAGACTCGGAATCTATCAAGGGAGTCTAAAGAACCTCTAATGATGACTTACCACCTTTTTAGGGCGTCCCAAAGGTATTTTGCCAAATACCAGTGAACGTATTCAAACAGCTCGGGCTTCAGCGCCGATTGGTCCCGTAGCAGTGCTTTCATTGCTGCATGCTTGAGTGATCCAGATCCCCGATCATTGGTTGTCTCCCATCCATGGGGTAAAAAAGGAATCTCATGATACCATGTGGGACCGAGACGTACAAACCCGGGGGGCTGGTTGTCTTCAAGGATGATGGACATCACGGAACGGAATCATGGCCAGAACCAGCACGGATTCAGTGAGAAGTTGCAGTGTGGTGTTCCAGCAATACCCATGGATTAGATTACGGGGAAGGCTGGTGTCTTCCCAAAATCAGACATCAAATGTTGAGGTTGAACGCGTGTTTGAAGTCGAAGCGCGACTGATTTGATACATGCACGTGACCCCGTCTTGTACAGGCCTTTGTAGATCCACATGTTTTTAGGCAAGCGGGATTTTGGTTTACCCCCATCAAATTCTTGCAACCTTCAAAGGAAATTGCCTTGGTTTCTTCAGCCTAACTCTGTTTTTTTACACTTTGATCATGACTGCTCCTACCCTTCTCACTAAGCATCCTGCTTATCTCCGTTACGTTCGTGAAGTTGCTTCTGGGGAACTTATGAGGCCAGAATACGAAAGGGTAGGTGGCTGTGTTGTCTCTTCCTGTGACTATAGATGGGAAAAGCCGCCCGTATTATCACCTATATATATATGGGTCCGTGGCTGCTGGAATTGTTCAGCCTTGGGTACTATGTGAACTGTGCCATCGGCCGCCTTGCTGTAGAGCGCATCGCTAAACTGGGTATTAGACAGAGGCATGTTTTGATGCAGAGGTCCAAACATCTAGCTAGGGTCGCATGGTTGACAGAAAGACTTCACGAACCTCTTCTAGCGTTGATTAGAGTCGAAGAGTACTAGAAGGGACCGTTGCAGACCAATGTTCCTAGTATAGGAATCCGTACTCTGAGAGGTGAATAATTGACTCATTCACAATTTTGGAGCCAACAGATCCTTAGACGAGGAAGAGCCCTGAATAAGTATACCAGTAATAAAGGAATGTCATACAACATGTTTTTGGCAAAGTGGCCTTTGATTAAGTTGCTCGCGCTCGCGTACATAGATCTGAGTGAATGGCCTGGTTGTTTCCTTTCTCTGCATCAGCCCCTCATACTCATAAATATATATAGACAGAGAAAGAGAACTGGGGAAGAGGGGGAGGGGGGAGTTCTATAACTTGTTATTATCATTTTATTAACATTTTGTCAATGTGTTCATTCCCTTCATATATAGTTATTTTATAGGTCTTTCCCTAATTATCGCTTTGAATGTTTAAAGAGAAGATCAAAACGACTTTAATTTAAGGTGGACGGGAGGTCAAAAAAAGGTGGAAGATCGTTGAGGGCGGACAAATAGAACAATGAGTTAATGAGTTAATAATGAATTAACCCACTTTCCCGCAGCCCTTACTTCCCGCCCAGCCCCACCCCATCCAGTCTATGTATACAATATATACAATGACCTACTCTTCAGGCATTGTGTTTGGCATTTCGACTGGCATTACGACCGGAATTTCAGTTGGAATTGCGATTGGTATTGCGAATGGAAACCGTGACCGAGGGGGAGATCGAGTATGGGGCCGGATCGGGGACCGAAGCAAAACTTCATGGATTTATGATAGATTGGTGCGCATTTATCATGCATTTAGGGTCTGGTCCTCTCACATCGCTGACAGTGCACCCTGGATAGCGACAATATTGCTCGTCGACCTGGAGAATCACACGGTTCTTCTCATCCTATATTATATATGATCTTGGTCAGCCCTTTGTATACTTCCTTCACTTAACTCCCATTAATCAAGGGTTACTCGAACAAATCTCATATTTGGCCAGGAAGCGGCCACCAGAGCAACTTTGGCCTCGTGACTTGTTTCTAGTTTGCAGTCACTATATCTGGACTGCTGTCTAACATGACCATGGAACAATAGCAAAGGCGATGCGGTTGGTCTCATGGGGATCTGATGGAAGTTGAAATCCCAGACTTGATTGGTAGCTCAGGGGATTCTTTCTGTGATCTACCGGACAAGATCAAGGTCAGACCTCGTGACGAGGAGTTCATTCTTTAGCAAGTGATTCGGGTCTACATTATGGAGGATCCCTACCTAAAATATCAAAGAGATGTCGGACGAGATTGTTGACTTGGGATTGTTTATAAGGTGGGGTTCAGCTTTGAAACCCCTGGGAACATATTAAGATCGACAGACGAGCACTAGGTACCATAGCGACATTAACCACCCCACTTGACATCCGAGCTATACTTCATGTACACACACCTCAGCCGTGTTCATTCCTGCGTGCATACCGACTCCGTGCACGGATTTTATGCCCCTTCCAGTAGAGTAAATAAGGTGCAGGCAAAAACAACAACGAAATCCCACCCAAGAGAGTCAACGTCCATCCAACGCCAAGCTTCGTATACATAATTTCTGCGATAATAGCCATAATACCGGCAGCAACAAGCCGGAACATCTGAAGAGTGGCAAGCGCGCTTGCAGCATGTGACTCGAACGCATCAGCGACATACTGGTACCCCGAGACGAAGACACACAACGTCCCAAAGCCAAAGAACACCGAAGCGATAAGCGGGCTCCAGAACGAGATTTCGAGTCTGGCTGTCCAGCCCATCCACAATAGCGAGATGGGGATCCAAGGCGCACCAAACATACCCATGTACAGACTGATCTCCGGGTCCGGCCGCTGGTGGCCTCTCTCACGGCTTTGGTAGATATCTCTGCGGAGGAGCCACATTGAAATCGGGAGTGTCAGTGCGGAAAGAACGACTCCGACCTCAATTCCCAGGAACGCGAGGGCGGTGGAGGTCGGGCTGAAGTTGTTTGCTTTCTCATAGATGGAGACGTAGCCCGCGATGAAGGTGTACAGGATCATGAAGAGGAGCGAGAGGTAGACCGCATGGATCCCGATAATTGACTCTGTCGCAAAAAGCTGAAGTGGTTTGTATAGTGAGGCACGCATGCGCTGGATGAACGTGGCTTTTCTGAACTCCAGCGGGGACCGATACCGGTCGTCGCCTGTCATGCGGCGGAGCTCTTGAGCTTTCCAGTACAGCATGATTGGGCTGTATGTCTCAGGCAGGAAGAACACAACCGGGATCAGGATGAGTCCTGCGAGAATTATGGTCATCCAGTCCACCCAGCGCCAGCTTACCGATTTAGCACTGACGGCAAATGATCCTGGTACTGGGCCCACCAATGGACCCGTGAAGACGATTATCGAATAGATCGGGAAGGCGTAGACTCGTTCAATGCGTGACCAGATGTCCACGAGGGATGCTGCTGATAAAAGCGCCGGGGCAGACCCGAAGAATCCAGCTAGCCCGCGGCAAACAATTCGCTGTACCACTGTTTGAGCAAGCCCTGCGCCCATGTTGAACAACATGAACCCAATCATGGTGGGGATGTACACGGGATTGCGTCCGAAGACTTCTGATACAGGTCCTGTTGCCAATGCACCTAGTCCAGTACCAATCAGAAACATAGCTGGATAATCTCGGTTAGTCTGGTTGAAATGATCCAAAGTGATAACCACGTACCAGTCGGCAAAGTCTGGACCTCAAAATTGGTATGATATAATTTCTTGGTTGTTGGGAGAGCAGTGGAATCGATTGTGGATGACCAGAAGACCACAAATCCCATAAGTGAAGTAAGAAGAGTAGTCAACACTCGACGTCTGATTGTCCAGTTGTGAGGGTCCATTCTGTCACCTTGACCTTCAAATGTGACGACAATAAGTTTGTTCCTTTTCACTGACTCAACTTCAGTTTCACTGTCCGTCTCCTGATCACCCGGCCGGGGTCTTTCAACACCAGTCACCATAATATCAGCCGTGTTTCCCAGCGTCTCTGCCGCATTGATGGTATGCGGATCGGTTGAGAGTTCCGGATCGTACTCCGCGCCCTCGACATCTCCTTCCCGTTCCATATGTGATCGAGTGGTATGGCGAGGCTGAAGGGATGGCCCAGATATGAAAGTGCGATGGCCATGCTCCCTCATTCGTTCCGCAGCCAAGTCATCAATCGGCTCGCGAGCTTCCGTGTGGATCTCTCCTTCACGGTAATCGTAGCGGCCCTCGTGGGTCCAGACATCCCCGGGCTTCTCATGTTTTGTAACAAATTGTTGCTGGAGCCTATGGCGGATCCTGCGGTGTTGGATAATTGACTGCATTGTGCTTGATTCGGGATCGAATCCGCCCTTGTCACTCAAGTATTCAGATGAATTGAGGAGCTTCTATCTCCTCAGAGGCTCCTTGGAGGCAAAAATGACATATGACGGTCCCCCTGAGGATATGAAATCCGTACAGCGCCATATCCATATCGCTCGGTCGGCTCTCCCGCCAATGATGGATCCTATCATATCGAGTTGAACATGTTTACATGGTTGATAGAGAGCTTGTAGCCTGCTGATCTTGATCAATATCAAGACCAAGATACGAAGCTACCTGGGTTTTCCTATAGTGAAACATCGCAATACCAAAAGTAGATGTGTTGGTTGCCCGGGTGGGCAGTTGTCTACGATGATGTCAGAAAGACCGATGCTTATCGTCACCGGGACACCTTATGTATGTATGTAATCTGCACTCGATTTTCAAAGGACAAACAGTGGTACATGTAGATCACAGATTCAGGATTATTCACAAATAGTGCACCAACCACCCACAGGCCAAATATTCACGGGAACACCCGTGGACCGAGGGTGGAATTACATACAGGGCAATTCATTAAACACAAGAGCATGCTTCATTGAAACCCAGACGAGCATCGTTCCTTGTGTTCATTTCCAAGTGAAATTACATCACATAAAGGATGTCGGTATCTGTAGGGATTGTCAGAATTTGATTGCGGCAAAGTAACCCGAGAATCTTACCTAAGGGGTGGCTGCAGCTCAGCTGTGGCTTCTGGGAATATTTGGTCGCAAGCTCGTCACGAATGCTGTTCAAAAGCTGGACATAACTCTGCTGAGGGTTCTTCCGAAGCGCGGCGATGAAAGCCCATGACATGGCACCAGTGGCCTGGCCAGCAATTTGAGCATCCTGGCTGGTCTGGTCATCCTTGCTGCCGGACCACATGATGACATCTGCGGGGCTAGTCTTAGTCTGCTTGTTGCGTTCATACACTTCGTCGCCCTTGGTGGCCTTCTTTATGAAGCCCATGGCGGTTGACATCATGCTGCCCATGTCACCACGCGCATATGCCGACACCACACCGAGCAGGCCTTGTCCAGCCTCCTTGGCCAGGTTGGGCTCCTTGAGCACACCGGAGGTGGAGTAGATGTAGGGGAGATCCAGGGCGGAGCCAGAGTGGCAGGAGTCGAAGATCGCTGTAAGCCGGACTCCCGGTTGTAGAGTCTGCACCATGATACGGTGCATCTCATCATCAACGATGTGGCCTGCAACCCGGAAGTCCACCGGGTAGATAACTTCATCGTACCCATCTTCTTCATCGCCGTCCAAGTCGGGTGTCTGACCGCCGTGGCCTGGATTCTTATTAGTTCACCGCCATAAAAGCGATTGACGCATGATTACTCACCAGAGTAGTGGAAGAACAACGAGTCATTGGGACGCGCATCCTTGATCAACCAGTGCATAGCCCGAAGAATGTTTGCCTTGGTCGGCTGGCTCATCGGATTTTGCTGGTCATCAGTCAAGAGGACCATGTCCTCGCGAGCATAGCCGAAGTTTTGGTTCAGGTAGGTTGACATGTTCTTGACATCGTTGATACATCCGCGCAGCTGACCTTTCTGACCGAAGTAATTGATGCCAATCAACAAGGCCTTTCTCTTCCCCGTACAGCGGGAGTATTGGAAGTTGTAGCCTTGGGGAGCGCCGTGGCCGAAGGAGACGGGGTTGCTGGGAGGGGGAGGGGGACCGCCGCTTTGACCGTAGGCTGAATTTGCGCATTATTAGCTTTCACTGCTGACAATATGGTTCTGGGTTGGGAAATGGTAGGCATACCTGGTCTTCCTTGCATTGGTTGCCCAGAGGGCGGGTGCTGGTTGTACCCCGACGGCGGAGCCTGGAAAGGATTGATAATATGTCAATCTCGTGTATATTCGACACAACACCCATCATAACATACATTGTAACCTTGCTGAGGAGCATGCCCGCCGTAGGACTGGTGAGATGGCTGGGACGAATGGCTGTAACCGTATGGGTTGGATTGCTGCGGCGGCGGCTGCTGCTGGTGCGGCTGCTGGTGGTAGGACTGGCCAGGATAGCCGCCATAAGGTGGCTGCTGCTGATGATTCATTTGTCTGTAATCAAATCTTTGTCAGATTATCGGGTATGTTCTCAATAGAGTAAAGGGATAAGCAAGCGTACGGGTACTGCTGTTGCGGGGGATATGACGGCTGCTGCGGGGGGTATCCCGGCGCGCCCGAGTAGGGTGGATAGTAAGACATCAGAGAAATTCTCCAAGTCCACCCAGGGAATCAAGCGAAATGCAAAGACGTAGAGGACAGAACGCGTTGAATGTGGAGAAGGGGAGATTCAAGGCAAAACAGATCGGAAGTACGGCAGCCGCCAAGCCTTGAAGAGTGCGAGGTAAATTGAAAGCAAAATGTCCAAAGGAATAAGATCAAGTCAAGGTTCGGATGATTCGGGGATTAAAAGAATTAAGAGATATTTGAAGATCGTCAGACTGGACCTCGGGAAACTCGCCACTTACACTATAAGAGGTTCGCGCTATTTTCTTATAAGGCTGGTTCGGATTAGCACTACGGAGTAGACACTAACAAAGATAAAAATAAAAAGAGGGGGAAAACAGAAAAGAAAAGAGAAAAACTCAGCCAAAAAACTAAGGTAATCTGCACTGAGTTTTTATATCTGACATGCGTTCATCGGCAGCCCCGATCAACCCCTGGAAGCCCAAGACCCCCTTTCGTCATTGGGCCTCACTAACATTATATCCTTGAAAATTTCTACATATATATGTATGTTGTATGTACTCAATTTGATATGATCTTGTACAGCAATAAAGGACATAGATCATACACATGATATACAAACTAGATCGCCCTTCTGCACGTCATACAACTCAAGCAGATTCAATAGCACTGTCTTGGCGTCGGAAATGGGCCAATGAGATGTAAAATGAGCTAAGGTCTGGAATATAGCTACATAGGCAGGCATAGATTCCAAATAAAATAAGCGAAAAGCAAATACATAGTACGGAGTACTCCGCGTGTACTCCGTATTAGGACCCATATAAGACTCCATCGTAGAATGTGCTCGGATCAGCTCGGCCTTGGAAGTGCATCTGATATATCACCTGCATGCAATCAATCAAGTTTGAGGAATACTTTCATGAGGACTATGTTTTATATTGTATGTACTCGGAAAGACTGTGTTGTTAAGTCGGGTTATCTCTAGCAACTCGTCTTCTATTCTCCCTGTACTTCATATTCAATATTCATCTCACGAACACCGGCTTTGAAACCACTAAGGCCAGAGCAGAGTTCGCTTCAACTGCTTGTGGCCTTGAATCATGCAGATGTCCTTCTTTTTTGGGGGGAATATCATCGAGCATCATCCAGTCCTGGTTAAACTCGTTTATCCTCGTCGGGGCATGCCGCGGCCACGGCCCCGAAGGGCGCGCTGGGCAGCACCTGGCGGCATACCGCGCTGTTGACCAGGTTGAGCCGACTCCTCATTCTCTGTTGATGAAAAGAATATGGATTAGCCATGATTTGGAGGATGGAAAGTAAAAAATAGTTGAAAGGTCACTTACTTATCGTTTCGTCCACACTCAGGATCAAGCAAGAGGCTTCCACTGCGGCCTGGATAGCATTGACCTTGACCAGGCTGGGCTCCCAAACAAAGGCAACCATGTTGTCACGGACGCCCTCGTTGTCGAAGTCGACACCAGCCCAGGTGTTACCCTTGCGGTGCTCCACACGCAAGCGGTTCAGGATATCTGTAGCGTCGAAGCCAGCGTTATCACACAACTGGCGGGGAATAACCTCCAGAGCCTTGGCAAATGCCTTGACAACGGCCTGCTGCTTGTGCGGGACGTTACGGTCGGCAAACCCGTGCATGTAGCTCGACAATTCCATTTCAGTAGCACCACCGCCAGCAACGATGGTTGTGTTGCGCAGAGCACGCTTAACAATCATGATAGCATCGTGCAAACTACGCTCCACCTCCGCAATGAATTGCTCAGCTCCACCACGCAGCACAAGAGTGCAAGTCTTAGCACGAGGGCAGTCGGAGAACATGTTGAATCGCTCTCCACCAATCTGGCGCTCCTCGAACGCACCACAGGTACCCAGGTGACGCTCCTGGATGTCAGTGCAGGTCGATTGGGTTGCGGCTCCGGTAGCCTGGCAAACACGGTCCATGTCGTCGGAGGCAACACGGCCAGCACAGAAGATGTCTCGGTCCGCGAAGTACCTGTAAATCAAACCATTAGTGTCTAGACATATACCCATATTAAACAGCAAGCACATACTGTGTGGCAAGATCGCCAATAGGCAGCTTGCTAAGCACGACCTTCGCTCCTGTCTTGTAGACAGCCTCAAGCTTGTTGAAGATGATCTGCCACTCAGCATCGACGATGGCCTGGTATTCTGAGACCTGCTCGACACGGACTTCCGCATTGTCCTTCTCACTCTTGAGCTCCAGCTCGACGTTCAAGCACACGATACCGGGGTTCTCGAAGTGTTTGGGCTGTTGCTCGAAACCGGCGTAGGAGAAAGTCTTCTTGAAGGCGACACCGTCGACGAAAAGCGAATCCTGGAGACCACCACCGGTAACCTTCTTGACACCAATCAATCTCTCGTTGAGGTCATCCTGGTCCAGCGATAGTACCGCATCCACAACCACTATGATACCATCTCGTCAGCCTCGGGAGCAAAATTGCAACCACTAGGTAGGGGATCCTCACTCTTTGTGAAGAAGTCCGAATTCCGCTTGATAAGCTTGCTGTTCATGGCTGTTGCGGCTAACCGTCTTAGTGTCTCGACCTTCTTCTCCTGGCTGTCTGAAGCATCCATCATGTCCACTGCAATCTCCTTAACCTTGTTGACTGCCATGGCGCTCGCCCTCCGCAGACCCTTAATGATGGTCTGCGAGCTGACACCCTGTTCAACGAGGTCTCGCACCTCCTTCAGAATCTCGCCAGCCAGGACAACCACGGAGGTTGTTCCGTCACCGACTTCGGCATCTTGGGACCGAGCGATATCCGTGAGAATGCGGGCGGCGGGGTGCACAATATCCAAAAGCTACCAGATAGACAGAAGTCAGAATCATCAACTCCCTCCGGTCATGCATTTGCATCAATAACAAGACGCACCTTCATCACTGTGGCTCCATCGTTTGTAATGGTCTGTCTGCCATTGGCATCCACAAGCAGGAGATCACCACCGTAAGGACCGAGAGTGCTCTTGACTGTTCCTTGCACCGCGACACAGGCGTTGATGTTGGAGATAATCTGACCCTTTCCCTGAGAAGCATCCGTGCCTGTAGATTGCAAAATAGCACTAGTTAGCATAGGTTACGGAATCCCACCAACAAAACTGCCCGCACTGGAAACAACACATACCCTCCTTCAACACGACAATCGTGGGGGTTTGGCCGTTGAAGGCCATTATTAGATCGGTATTCGGACACGAAACCGTTCAATAAAAAAATAAAAGGAATAAGAAAAGGGGTATGTTGAGTCGAAAGGTCGGAGGGGTTGATCTGCCAAAATTTCCCAGAGCTTCTGTTCCCCAAAAACCCCCCAGTCGCGCAAGGCGGTGACCAATCAGGGCTCCTCAACCCTACGCATTTAAAGAGATGTACACAGTTTACATTGAATATAGAGTTTCTATGATATATATTGGGATATCTTGTTTGAATAATATACCTAAAAAGAAGCGTAGTGTATGTAGTATAACACATGGTTTCACTGTCCCCGGCACAATAGTGGTGGAGTATCAGCGGTATCTCAGACCGATGCCTCGACGCCAATAGAACACACCAGAAAGAAAATATAGAAAAGACAAAATAAATCCGAAATGTAATAACGCCCCCGAAATAAAAAAGATAAAAAGTTGAGGCTTGTTCACGTAAAGTCATAATTCCCGTCTGAGGGACTTCCATACTCGAACTTAGCAAGTAACTCAGCATCATGCTGTAACTCGTGTGTTGGTGGGTTCACAAGTCCAAGCACGTCTTGTCGGAAGGGATCTGAGCCGTCATCTACCATCATTTGATAGGCATTACTGGCTGTTTGGTAGCGCATTGCATCGTCAAAGCTTGACATGCTGAGATTGTGCGGTCCCGGGGCGAACTGGCCCGCCATAGGGTTCTGTTGTTGATAGCGTCGTAGCTGTTGCTGCAGTTGCATAATCTGAGGATCGAGAGGCATGGGTGCGAACCCAGCCATGGGGTGGACTGTGCCTGGCATGGCTGCAGGGATGGGTTGGTGCATAAGAGGGTTGTAACTGGGAGGCTCATCAGGTGCTTCGTCCATCGCCTGCGGGACATTGACCGGTTCCTTCGGGGGTTGCTCCATTGTGCTATCCATATCCATGCCAGACATTGTTTCCGAGGGCGATTTATCGTCATCTTTGGTCCCTGGTATGGGGGGTGCCTTGAGAGTCTCTTTGCATTGTGGGCAGTCTCGAATCACGCGATTGACAGTCTCTTTGATTCGTACCCAATGGTATTTGATCGCAATGGCTGCCGTAGTTTTGTTGATTCCGGCATGCTGCTTGAGATGAACTTCTTGGGCGATATCGTACTGCTGCTGCGGGTCTGAGACAACCTCTTTATCCTTCAGCATCAGCCTTTCGGGCTCCCCATCCTCGCCGCCAAGAAGTTTATAATGAGTCGCCGCACTGCGAAGCCGACTCTTTTCGGCCCGATCAGCACCACGAGGGTATTTCCCGTGCTTCAAATAATAACGGATTTTCTCAAAGCGATCCTGGGACACAGAGTCCTCGCCATCCAAACTGAGACCTCTGCCGTAGATGATTGCATCGACAAACTCTCCAGGTTGGGATTTGATACTGCCTCCACCGGGGACTCGGCCAATCCGTTTGAAGCCAAGAGAATCCCACAGGCGACATGATGCGACGTTGGACTCATATACCAAGTTGAAGACTGCATATGTGTATCCCTAGCAAACGTTAATTCAGGGCCTGTTTGAACCGATTACGGCGAAGAACTCACTAGTCGAGGTGCCCACTCCAGATAGGATTCGCCCATTAATCTACCCACGCCCTTGTTTCGAGCAGCATCGGTGACAATGAAAGTGCCATTGCAGACATGACTACTACGACCGGGGTAATTGGGTCGAATATGAAAGCCACCTAGACAGATCTTGGTCCAATTGGCTCCAGCACGGTCCATTATATGTGTCTGCTCTGCACTCTCGATGTCGCCAGTAAGCATGACCACACCAAAGTTCGAAAACCAATATCGTCCGAACTGAGCCAATGGAATGGGCTCTGTCATAGCATATGTATCTCCCTTTTCGATCTCTTTGTTGAATTGATCAGAGAGATACTTCATTAGAGCCCGTGGTACTTCCTCTGCTGAGGCAAAAGGGACCAGGGTCGCAACCGTAACTCGATCTCGCAAAGTTACTTGTCGCGGAGCCAAAGCAAGCGGATAATCTAGATCAGGGCCCGGTGGAACGAGCTCTGAATCTCCATGAACTTCTGACATGGTAAGGAGGCCCTCTGGGGGGTGCTGCCAATCACACGACTATTTGACATGTTAGTCGGATACATTCTATTTCAATGTGTCTCACCACAAAACGTCATAGGGGAATACAAGAATAACAAGAAAGGGCTACAAGGTATTGAATCAACAGGGGTCTGTTCACTGACATTCTGGACTGTTTCTAGAAGGAAGCCCTCGATCGCACTTCGAGGACCGCGTGAGTATTCTCGAGTCCGGAATGGCCGCAACGCAAGTTGAGAAGTCGTGGTCACTTGCTGACTCAGTCATCCGTGGTTTCGTAAGCTACTTCCTCATTGGATTAATGTTAATGCCTGATTTCTCAGGTTTCCAACGTAGCATATTAACGTGTTTCACTACCGAGCTGCGCACACCACCGAGCTGCGCACCCAACCTAACCTATTAATTTCAAATGCATATATCTCAACCAAAACTCCATTAAATTAAATACACTAAAATCATCATCTATCTGGACATGCATCTCTTCTATGACCCTGGTTTTTGCATAACCCGCATGTTGGTAATGCTCTCGTTCGTGGCTGTAAAGGTGGCGAAGGCCTTCTTCGCCGGAGGCGGGGGGTGCTTCAACTACTGCCATCGGCTCAGTAATCAATTGAGAAGCTTCTTGAACTGAGAGCCCTGCTTCAGCTGGTATCTGCCTTCGGGATCGAGTGCGCTTTTGCTTCTGCTTCTCGTTGGCGGCGCGTAATTCCTTGTTTTCTTTAGCAAGTAAGATAGCACCTTGCATTGTAAGACGGAAGCCTTTCACAAGCTGGTTTAATGCTCGATCTGACGGGCTAGGTGGACTTCGAGATCTTGTACGAAGTAAAGCTTTAATCGATGAAGCCTGTCGACGTAGTTCTTTCTCCGTAAAGGGGGTTTTCGGTGTAAAATTCCGGCTTGATTCACTACCCCGGCTAGGGGGGGGGGTTGGTGTTCGAAGCCGAATATTTAGCTTTGAAATCACTTGATCAGGTGAAAACGGTACTAAACCGGCAGCTCTAAAGCTGCTTTTAATAGTATCCGTTTTAAAAGCTTCAATTCGAGCCTCTAGGTATGCTTCGAGGAAATCAAGTTTATCAATATGATTTATCCCAACCCGCATTGTTGATTCAACCAGCCGGCCGTACGCACGTTTTAACACCCCAAAACAGCCGATATCGAGAGATTGTAAAAGGTGAGAGGAGTGCGGAGGCATACAGATTGGAATAATATGATTTTTCTCACAGATTTCATCAAACTTCGGGGTTAAATGGCTTCCGTGACCGTCAAGTACTAGAAGCCGATACCTCCCCTTCGTACGTGAAAAAGTAGTAGGAATAAAGAGCTTTTCAAGCTAGCGAAGCCCGATTTCATCGGAAGTCCAACCGTTAGGACTTACTTCAAGGCGCCAATCTTTCGGAAGGCCTTTAAACCAGGATTCAAGGAAGACCTTTCCTTTAAAAATCACACACGGAGGAAGCACCCAGCCGGAAGCACCCGTACACTCAATCACCGTCACCCACTCTCGATTTCTAGGTTGTAAAAGTGCTCTCCGGCCGTAGTAATCACTCCTCGTGATAACTTTCGTAGTTGGCGTTATTAATCCTATAGCAAAACCGGTCTCGTCAAAGTTATAAATGTCATCGGGATCGATTCCAAATTGAAGGATCGTTTTTTGAACCAAATCAAACCACTCGCTAATGATTTTCTGGTCTTCACATTTCGCACGCTCGTAATTATATCGTTTCGAGAACCGAGAGGAGAGGAGAGGGCGCCTTTTAACGAACTTCGTAACCCAATTTTGGCCGACCGAAAGAACCGGTATAGATCCGCGCTTTTCGAGCAGAAGATTCGCCATTTCTCGTACCATAGTAGGCCGGGGGGCTGCTCCACGAGAATCCATAGAGAGTATCCATTTTTGAAGAGATTCCTCTTCGAGCTCTGTCAATTTATGACTATTAGCGCGGGTTTCAGCGCGAAAAGTAGTGCCACGAAGACGCGACCGGAGGGTTGATTCAGGCACTTCAAAACGGCGTGCTGCTTCGCGAATAGCGCTAATTTCTTGATTTTTAAAAGCCTGGGTAGCTAATAAAATCCTACCCTCTTGCTCTATTGAATTTCTAGAGCTTCGGGAGCGAATTGGTGGCATGGTGGGTGGTTAAACTAACTAAGATCTAATTCCTGGACGCGTTTTGGGTGGGGTGCGCAGCTCGGTGGTGTGCGCAGCTCGGTAGTGAAACACGTTAGTTAGTTATCGTATCGAATCGGCGATCTTAGTACAAACATACTCCACTGGAGTATGCATGTTTTGTGATTGTGGACGCGCTGTGGTGTAGCTGAGTTTCGTTGGATCCAATAGGACACCAATATTGGTCCCTCTATGATTTCATCTTGCGCTGCATAGCTTTGTTGGTGGGGAAGATGCTGGATTTGGTTTGGGGCCAGCTGAGCCGTCCGTACATTGTGTGGTGCAGGAAGCGATAGCGCTGGTCAGAGCGACGAATTTTTACACCGACATAATTGAGCTTCCTTTCTGCATATCACGCCATATCCTAGCAAATTCCAGACAGCCTATAACTATATAAAACCTCCGCCATGGCAGAGCGTCCGCAATACTTCGAGAATACTTTGACCCCGCTATCAATCAATGCGACCACTCTTTTTGATAGCCTCCAAGAGCTTCGTGTTGCTGTTCGCAATGGTGCCGAGTTGATACAGGAGAACACTCTCTTGCCTGAAACATGGGGCCCAAATGGCATATTTAGAGCTTTCCCCGGTATTTCAAGCTCTAGTCCCACTCAAGACCATGACCATCTAATCACCCAATAAAGGTATTGCTCTGGCATTCCTGCGCCTAGATTATCAGTCCTCGGTGCTAAAAGATTCCAAAGCTGCTTCTCCTGACTATCGTCGTTACGCACTACAACGGATTCCATCAAGCCTCCCCGACACTCCTCTGCTAGCCTCCCGATTGTCTCCAGTTGGCTCATCTTCGCCTATGACTGCTGTCACTCTGCGCATTTTACGTACTTTTGCAAAAAATAATTGGCAAGATAGCGCCAATATCAGCATTGCAAGGGAGGACATCACTTGCCTTCACGAGGCCATGCAGTGGGCATTAAAGAACGAGCCTCTTGTTGCCCATGGCGGCCGAAAAATGGGTGGGGATGAGATGCTATTTGGCCGAGCAGGACTCCTTTGGGCCCTTTTGAACATCCGTGCCCATCATTTTGATCAAGAAACCCAGGAAGTCCTCTCACCTGTGCTGGAGGCAATTCCTGAATTGATCCGAGTGATTGTCGATGCCGGGAGACAAGGATCCAAGGAATACACTGAGAAGAGTGGAGCGCAAGACGCACATCCATTGATGTATGCATGGATGGAGGGTCATTACGGGTTTGGGGCGTAAGTGCAACCCATCTTACATCGTATAAAATTGCTAACAGGCGATGTATAGGGTCCATGGAATAAGTAAGTTTGCAGGTGATAATTTTGGCTTTACAAAAACTAATGTTAATATGTGATTTAGCCGGTATTCTAACCATCCTACTCTCATGCAAGCCCGAAGAGCTTACGGACTATCTTCCTGTGATTGGTGGTACTATCACTGCACTCTGCAAGCTATCTGGAGCTGCCCGTGGCCACCTCCCGATGACACTACCTCCATACAGACGCGGAGAGCGCTCCTCAGAACTAGTCCAACTGTGTCACGGGAGCCCAGGACTGTTGATTCTCCTAGGAGCTGCCTTGAAAAACGAATCCTTAACCCGCGCCCACTGGGATCCAAGTTGGGACCAAGCCATATACCTGGGCACTCAGCGTGTATGGGAAGAAGGTCTGCTTTCTAAGGGAGGCAGTTTGTGTCACGGAGTGGCTGGCAATGCATGGGCGTGGCTCCTTCTCCATGATTGTTTTGAATACCACTCAGAGCCTCTGAACGATGCCCGGACAGTTTATCTCCAGCGGAATCAATTATCAGCACTTCCAAATGCTGAGATGAGCCAGGATCTCACCAGCGACTTCTTCCTCTCGAAGGCACTTGCGTTCATGTTACATGCACGTGAGACTAAACCATACAACACCTCGCCTGCACCTTCCGACAAAGATTATCGCATGCCTGATGAGGCCTACAGTTTATTTGAAGGTCTTGCGGGCAATGTTTGTGCCTGGGCTGATACGTGCGCGGTGCTTCAAGCTAGGCTGCGCAAGATGGAACTTGTTGAGCAGGGTGTATGCGCTACATCTGGCTTATCACGAGATCCAGTATTCCGGGATGCTTTCAAAAGACAATTGGGCTTTCCAGCCCTAGGTGGAAATGGCGCAATGGGTATTTTCTAAATAGCCCCTTTTAGCTGTTGATATAGTTGCTTTATTTAGTGACGTTATATGTCCCTGGCCATACCAGTGTTGTTTTGTGACTGACGTTTTCAATCTTATATTTTCTTTTCTCAACTGGATTAATCGTATGGGGGCCAATAGAAAGTAGGTCGCTGGTGTAATATTGAGAATCCAGGCTTCAAACAAGGCAGGCGCAATCTGTCAGCGTGTTGGGGGAGGGTGATGTGATGGTACCTAGGTAGATCGACTCACCTGTAAAATCAAACTTGCGGCAATGATCGCTGACCTGGCCCAAATTCGCTGCCGCCGCACATCTTGGCTGCGGTAGACTCCATGTTCTTTTGGGGAATTGAGAGATCAACGTAGTCAAGAGCTTAGAGAGGCTCTGTATGTGTGGACGGTCGGCCGAAGAACCATTAGAAAGGTCCGGGGTGGGATGTCTTGAAAGTGCCAGGGGTGCAGCTCCTTTGTCACAATATTAAGTGAGGAATTGTTCATATCAGTCGAAAAGGTCGGTAAGATGCCATGATTGCACCCCTGTCGCGGGCCCATTTCTCCAACATCCTCCGTGGATCGGCTACCCCATGTTGGGACCTATCTTTTGCAAACCTCCTCTCTAGTGATTTCCGACTTTCGCTTGAATTTTGGCACCCACCTAGTGTCTTCTTGCTATTCCTCTGCTCAATGCATCATGAGAACGAGACCGCTCCGCTGTTGGGGCCGCGCAGGTCCAGATCGCCATCTCTGCGTCCGCAGAAACCTCACCTCGCGACTGTTTTCTTATCCCTGTGCATCTTTTTCTTGTCGGGAGCTAGTGCGATGATTCAAGTTCCCTTGACCCAGCTGATGGAAGACAACTTGTGTGACCGGTATTTGGGTGAAATTGGGAGACAGAACTCCTTAATCGACAGAGCGATATGCAAGGCCGACGGGATTCAATCCAAGCTTGCATATATGAATGCTTCATTTGGAGTGATAGAGTCCGTGACCGGTATGTCAACCACAGACTGGTACCTTGACAGAGAGTCTCGGCGAACTCATCTGCCATAACAGGTCTCATTGCTGCATTCCCATACGGTGTCTTGGCTGATAGGTGAGTTTCGCAAAGTATCTGCTGGGAGGGACAGCAATGTAAATCGTTGAATACCACTCTAGGCTCGGTCGCAAGCCGATCATCTATTTATCAACCACGGGAACTGCGCTATACCTTGCTTATGTTCTGGCTATTCTGAAGTTCTCGGATCTTTTCGCGATCAAATACGTCCTCTTGGGCCCGCTACTCACCTTCATTGGTGGTGGAAGCACTGTTATCAACGCCAACCTATATTCTCTGGCTTCAGATCTGGTGCCGGACACAAATATGTATGCTATATGACTCGTCTGGAGGGCTTCAGGGTGCCCTATAAGTAAATTCAAGTCCATCTTGTTTTACTTTGGTCTGGTCCTCTTGGGCAGGCAGAGGCCTATCATGATACACAATACCTTACTTTGCGCGTACTTTGATCTGGCTATATGGCCATGATGCTGTTGATATATATATTTTCAATGAAAGTTGAAGTTGGATACATAGCCCTATAGTTTTTGCAGTTCTTTACTGAGAAGTTACCATCGAGACAAATACCCAAAATGGAAGAAAGCGTGAAATATCGATTTGGCTTAATAGAAAATTATTACATGTATCAAATCCATCCAATAACTAACTAACTAGTTAGTTATCAAAACCTTATTCTTCGGCTTCATCTTCCACTGAACCCAGCTACGCAATATGGAACTTGTTGAGTAGAGTGTATACGCTACATTTGATTTATCGCGAGATCCAGTATTCTGCGATGCTTTCCATAAACTATTTGGGTATCTTCTATATAGCCCCTTTTAGCCACCCCCCGCCTGTTCATATAGTTGCTTTATTCAGTGACGTCATACCCGGGCCCTGGTCTTGACATTAAAGTGTCAAGACTTTCACTGATAGCCAGAAGTGCGAAAATAACAGACATCGGAAACAATATAAAGCAAGAAGAGTCGGAATCCCAATACCAAGGCTGTATCCCAAAAGGCTGCCGTAAATCTGTGTGGCTGAGTCGGGCAACTCATGGGGCCAAACCACCCCTCGGATTTCTATCTTTCGTAAAATCCACTATGTCTTTGATCGAGAATTCCAAAATATAGTAAACATGGATCTCATTCCTCCGTCTTACGAATCCGCAACGGACAGAGATGCTTGGACAATTATTGCTCGCTACATCCCTTCCAGCGACCTATGCGCTGCATCTTTGGTCTGCCACAGATGGCATGGTCTATTTATGCCCTTCCTCTGGGGTGATCCTGCATCTCATTTTGGTACAGATAACGATGCAGTCTACGGTAAGTAATCTTAGGAACAACAGCATTGCTCAAAAAGCAATACCTAACCGGATCACACAGTGGCTCTCACTCGATTCCGAAGAACACTCAAATACGCCCGACAAGAGGTGCGGGCGTTGACCCATACCCTTCATCTCCCACCCGCTCTCTCAGAGATATATGGTGGTCCGCGACCAGGCTGGTTGAGAGACATTCTCGAATGCCTGCCATGTCTTCAGTGTCTGATGGTCTCGAAGTTGCCTTTCTTTGACCACCATGCCATGGCAGCATTGAAAACCCACGAGAGGTCCAGCCAGTATAATATACGGCTCTTGCTGGCTGAACGTGAGCCGAATACTACTTCCGCAAGCCTCGCACAGACTCTCCTCTTGTTTCCGGCATTGACCTACCTGGATCTTTCCTACACCACTCCAGCACGAGACCGCAATGTACTATCTACACTAGCTCAAATGCCGTTTCTCCGGGTACTTAAATTGCGTGGCATAGGGCTGAAGGACAATGACGCCGAATTTCTAGCCAATGCGATTGGACGACGAGTCCGTTGTTTGGATTTGAGAGACAACATGCTCACTGACATGGCAATTCGTTCCCTGTTACAGGAATCCTTTCTCCCGCCAGACGGGAGAGAAACGCAACAAAGTCCAAGGCAGGCCACGGCTTCGCCAGACCCCTTCTCCCATTTTGCAATCAATGAGTCTGGCTCGGACTTCTTCAAACGGCCAGACTTGGATGAGCAATTTGCGAAGCTTCTCGCTCAGCCTGTTTTATTCCATCCATGGGTTGAAGACCTGCCGCATACGGGAATCACACATCTTTATATTACTGGCAATCAAATATCTGTGGAAGCTGTGGCAAGTCTTTTGCTCTCGTCCCGGCTACACGCTCTGGACTTCGGGTCCATAAAAACCCCAGACAAGGCACATCAGGCGCATCATTATGGGAAGGAGAGGTACCCCGGAGCCGAGAAGCTAGTCCCAATCTTGGGTAAGATTGCAGGGGACGATTTGATTTATCTCAGAGCGCATCATGCTGTTCTCACTGGCCAACCACCAGCTAAAGAAGCTGTATCCAATGATGAGTTTCTTCCGGAGCTTTCAGCACACGAGAGCCCCCGCGAAGTCGAGCAATTCGAGTTGGATGCCTCCCAGCAGGTTTATGAGTTACCCGAAGAGACAAGACCTGTTTTTGAACTTGCGGATACATCAACGACGGACTCGATTACCTCATCTTCAACGACAAGAAGGCTAAAAACTTCCCAGCCATTTACAGCCTACGAGGATGAGCCTGCACCGCCGGTCAGGCGTGGATCAGCTTTTGCTCCGGAGGCTGTACACTCCATTCCTATACACAGTAGCGCCAACGGAGGTACGGTCTTTGGTGTTTCTAGGACAGACACCTGGGATACAGAGCAGGCCGAGGGAGGCACCTTGCCATCCATTTCGATGTCTTCAGACTGCGACACGCTTGCGACAGATTTCTCTCTCTCGACAACCATGCAATGCAGCTCCCCAATATCGCTGAACGATTCTCTCGCGCAAAAGGTGCAGGAACTATTGGCAAAGCGACCACGTAACCAATCAATCCCACTCCAAGGAGGGAAAGAAAGCTGGTACCCTTACCTACACCCATCACATATTCCTCACATGGAAACTTTGGTACTGACTGATGTACCCTCGCATGTGACGCCCAACTCATCAATACTCTCTGCGCTCACTCGGTTCATTACTGCCTGCTCAAACGAAGCATTGCTAGCAACTCTACAAGCAGGATCAGACTACTCCCTCCCACCAGGGCAAGCGCGCATGCAAGCCGAGCAGCAGCGGTCACGATCTCTCTTTGGCTTGCGGCATCTAGTTCTCGAAATCACACCTGTGGATACCTCCAAACTAACATCATGGAAACCCGGAAACCAATATAATGCCACAGGCCATTCAAGCACGGGTGATCGTGACTCGGAGAATCTTTGGTCTGCAGCCGCCAATGATTTCAGTTTCTTTGGTGAAGAAGAGTGTGGAGTTCCTGAAAATGATCCTGGCAAATACTTTCCAATGGCTGTCCTTAACGAAAAGGTCTCGCTTATGCCCTCGGAGGATGACTCGTTGCATTCTCCCGATTCTCCTCGATTCGGGCATCACCCTCCACAAAGTGCCAAGACCGGGGCTCTGCCAGGGACTACTGGAGACAGAAAGCAGCATGTCCCGATGATTGACCTTGTGGCAGAGCTTGCAGGTTTTCGTCGCGGCAAGAAGGCTGAGTATGAGCAAGTGGTTCGTCGCGCGAGAGGACGGCGAAGCACGCTTGGCACGGGTGCTTCCGGGCTACTTATGCCATCATCGCCCCATATTTCTCTATCGCATTATGTCGAAGGCCATTGGAGGGGAGAGGTGAAGGTCGTGCGGAACCCGATGCCAAAGGTGCGGACCGGAACGGTGGATATGTATGGAAACTATTTCGAGAAGGGTTACTTGTACCCATAAATTTTGTACTTCGCAAGATACCCAGCAATACCACATATTCAAGATACTTCAAGTCTACGTCATGCGATCATGTTTTGTAGGAATTTTTGATATTTTCTAAGTCCTCATTTGGACTTGAACCATCCTTCCTCCCAGTCATAACAAGCCGTCGTCAACGGGCTCATAAACATCACAATGCTAAAGAGACATCCAACCTGCCTTCATCGCACAATTGGTGCCGTCTTTTTCATCCCTAGTGTAGGAGCAGGCCGGCAGTTTCGGGACCGAGCATCACCCCTGCGATCCGGTCGAGAAGAACACCAATGCGAAGAGTGAAGACAAAATAAAAGAATTCATTTCAAACTAGTTCCATTTTATTTTGTTCGTCATGCGACATTCATCTCCTTACAGAGCCTTGGCGGCAGTAGGGGGCTGGAGCTTCTTGCCGTCCTTGTTGAAGCGAATACGGGGAGGGGGAGCACGGTTGCGGCGGCCTTCGCGGGAGCGAACACTGTTGGCGAGGGATTAGTATATGCAAGGCGATTGAGTATCGAGTGTAATCGGCGGGAACGTACCGGACAATCTTGCCGTGAATGGCGCAGGACACACAGTACTGGAGCTTCAGGTACATCTTGGGGACAGAGTACTCAGCGAAGACGGAAGCCTCGGAGATATCACCTGTAAAGCGTAAATCGTTAGTTGCACTGTTTCGTCTGGAATTTCTCGAATGGGTCGTAGCCATAGATCTGGGATCTTGTCGTGGATTCGAGGTATCGGGAGAGTTGTCACGTACGGATGGCAGCGGACTCGACCATGTTGCGGATGGTGAAGCGCTTGATGGCCTTGTCCTTGGGGGTGCAGCGAGCGCAGTTGGAGCAACGCACAGGCTTGACGTGGCCGCGGCCATTCTTGTTGCGGCCGCTATCAAATCAATTAGTTACCGTGCCCCTGAAGTTGCGAATCGATCGAAATCCAGTCTCCCATTCTTCTTGTCCGGCAATGTGCGTAGGTCGCGATTTTCGATGTATTTGGAGATGTATGTCGTGTGCGCTTCCGTCGGCGTCATTGCGGAGATGTCGAATGGGATACTGCTTCGCCGAGATGGGGGGATTTGTTGGTCTTACTTGTTCGCCCTCTTCTTGACCATTTTGACGGTTTGTTCTGTGGATGATTAGGTATTGGTCTGTGGGTGAAGAGAGGGGAGATAGCGTACGGTTGACTTGTCGGGAGTGGGTTGTCGAAGCTCGCTCACACAAAGTCTCTTTCGGGATGGATTGGATTCCGTTGTGCGGGTAGCCCTAAGCCCTTAAGCGAGATGGGTCACGGGTTTGATGCCTCAAATCTCAGGCGGTGATATCTCGGGACTCACGTGGATCACGTGTAAAGAGTCACGAGCAGTTTGTTCGCCTAATTGGGCCTAGCGCCCGGATCGTACCGTGTCACTCAATGTTTATGGCTCCTCATCCCCGACTAACGAAGAAACACCCCTGTCCGGGATCGACTATTGAACTGCCCATTTTTCCTCTCCTTCCTAGGAATTCTCCTTGCTTTTTCTCCCATACCAGTCTCACAACTTGACATCCTTGTTTTGTTTGTGTCATCCTCCCTTCCTTTCTCTCCATTTTTATTGAGACTTTCCCCTTTCGGCATTATTATGTCGGCCACAGGTACTTTTCGGGGAAAGCCCAATCAGACCATCGGTAGAGGAAGGCTGCCCGACTTCGGAAACGATCCCAGCGCTTCCCACATCCCCCGACCCAGGCCAGAATCTTCCGCTACAAACAATACACCCACCAGCGACGTCGGAAGTGGCACAATGAGCGCCGCAAGTAGCAGACAGCGACAGAACCAGTCGAAACGTGATGAGGTACGTCATGGCAGCCCGCGGGAGTAATCTCCTGATGCTCAATTTGAGCTTTGGCGTTTAACTAACCTCGACAAAAGGCTATCCGCCGCAAAATGGAGGCCGACCTCAGCAAAAAGAGGAACGCTCCGGCAAAATCCAGAAACTCCCGCAAAGCCCCTCCCGGCACCGTGCTCGCCCTGAAGCCTAGCCAGGCCCTCCAGATCAAGCCCGCCATGAGCATCGCAGAGGCTGCTCAGCTTATGGCCGCCAAGAGAGAGGACTGTGTGTTGGTCACCGACGATAATGAGCGCATCGCGGGTATTTTCACTGCTAAGGATCTGGCGTTCCGAGTCGTCGGAATGGGCCTGAAGGCGCGGGAGGTCTCGGTCGCTGAAATCATGACCAAGAACCCGCTGTGCGCGAGAACGGACACCAGTGCTACCGACGCGCTCGATCTTATGGTGCGGAAGGGATTCAGACATTTGCCGGTCATGGATGAGAACCAGGATATCTCTGGTGTTTTGGATATTACCAAGTGCTTCTACGATGCTATGGAAAAGTTGGAACGTGCATACAGTTCGTCTCGCAAGCTGTACGATGCGCTGGAAGGTGTGCAGACAGAGCTTGGCTCTAGTCAGCCCCAGCAAGTCATCCAATATGTGGAGGCATTGCGATCGAAGATGTCCGGTCCGACCCTTGAGACCGTCTTGGATGGCTTGCCGCCGGTCACTGTCTCGGTCCGCACCACCGTCAAGGACGCTGCGGCTCTGATGAAGGAAAACCACACTACTGCTCTGCTAGTCCAGGACCAAGGCTCGATCACTGGTATCTTCACTAGCAAGGATATTGTTCTTCGCGTTATTGCTCCTGGCCTCGACCCTTCCACTTGCAGTGTTGTCCGTGTCATGACTCCTCACCCCGATTTCGCCCCGTCGGATATGAGCATTCAAGCCGCGCTTCGCAAGATGCATGGTCAGTCATCTCAATCGGCAATTAAAACTAAAACATGCTAACTTTACAACAGATGGCCACTATCTCAACCTCCCCGTGATGAACGAGGGTGGTGAAATTGTCGGCATGGTGGATGTGTTGAAGCTTACCTATGCCACTCTTGAACAGGTATGTTTGATAGTAACAGATCTGACATGCAAGCATATTGACTGATGGATTCAGATCAACACTATGTCAACCCAAGATGATGAGGGCCCCGCATGGAACAAATTTTGGTTATCTATGGATCACGAGTCAGACTCTATGGTCTCTGGCGGCAACAGCCAGCAACCCAATACCCCACACCGCTCAGTTATGAGCCCCGACCTCACTCGCTCAGGCTATGACAACAGTCTTCTTCCCAATGACTCAGCATCGCACCACGGTGATGAGCATTCCGAAGTTGTTTCTCAGCACCACCCAGCAGAACCAGCTGCTCCTACCCCATTCCCCTTCAAGTTCAAGGCCCCTGGTGGCCGAGTGCACCGCGTGAACGTCCTTACCACCAACGGCGTTACTGACCTTGTGTCGCAAGTCACAGCGAAACTTGGCAAGGAAGTCGAGGCTGTTGGTGGCGAGGCTACCGTTGAGGAGGGTCGGCTGAGTAACACTGGATATGCGCTCAGCTACATGGATAACGAGGGCGATACCGTCTCCATCACCACGGATCAGGATATGACGGATGCCATCGATCTGGCCCGCCGTACTCACCGCGACAAGGTCGATTTGTTTGTTCACGACCCCGCCCAGCCACCCATCCCTGCTGCGGTTGAACCCCATCATGTTAAAATTGTGACTCCTATCGAAGAGCAAAGCGTTGTTGAGGAATCTGCATCACAAGAATCCCCCGTGAGCAAGGCCCTACCCCAGCAGCAAGCCGTGCCCCCGCACGCGCCAGATGAGCAATTGATTGCCGGCGTCCCCAACGACTTGCTACTTCCCGGTGCTATTGTCACATTGGCTGCAGTTATTGCGGGTGTGTTCATTCTCAGCCGCCCCAGTGGCCGGTAAAATATTTGGCCTTTGGTCTATTCCCGAAACCCTCTTTTTCTCTCCAAATACTTGCCTATGCCTCATTCAACTTGGTTATCAAGCACCCCGAGAAAGCGTAGTAGATTTTTCTTTTCCTGTTCGGAGTGTTGCATACCCCGTTCTTTCTAATATCGATATTCCGTGTCGCGTTCAGATACCGCTGTTCGTGTGAGCAGTTGCGGCCTTAGTTTAGCCTTCAATGCAAATAATTGTTCGAGATAGACTTTGATTTGACGATTCCATATATCCACTACCGTGTTCACCTAGAAAATAAGTAAATCTTTTACTGGATCGACAATGTTTCAGTTCTTTATAACTACTTGGTAGTTATATCTGTTCGGATTTAGTTGGCGTTGTGGCGTGGAATTACCGTATTTGGGTTAGCGTCCAGATGCGATTATCGTCACTATGGACTCTGTAGGTTGTCCTTGGATTATTCGAATAATTAATTTGCAATTTTTGTCGAGAAAGAATCCGATCTGAAGACCTCGACATTATCTGTTGAATCTCCATTCCTCTTGTTGTGTTATTGGACTGACACTTCCATTCTTCTTCACCCCCAAGGGCCTATCCATCTATCGCTCTCCCAATCAGAAATTCTTCTTTTTTCCCTCTCTCCCCGCCCCACCAAAAACAAAACTCCTCTCCTTCGTTCCACCCCTCTATATCCACCAAATCACTTCTACGAGGGTTGAAAGAACTGGGTTGCTTGGATCGTCTGGAACTTGGGAACAGACACGCCCAACATGTCCCTCCTACCTCCCGAAATCCACACCGCGCTTTCTCAGCTGCTCCGCGCCTTGAGCACACCTGACAATGCCGTCAGATCCCAGGCGGAAGACCAGCTTAACAATGACTGGGTTCAGAACCGACCAGACGTCCTATTGATGGGATTGGCTGAACAGCTTGGTGGTGCAGAGGACACAATAGTAAGTTGCACTGGACTCTAGGGGTGCGGTTGCTTCGAAGGAGGGGTGTTGCAAAGGACCGACGACCGAACCCACAGCCGAATTTCAGTATCATTTGGGATAAAAGCTAATGGGAAACTCTTACTGACAGGCGCGTGCTTTCTCCGCTGTGCTTTTCCGAAGAATTGCAACAAAAACCCGAAAGGATCCCGTCTCAGGTGACAGCAAGGAGATTTTCTCGAGCCTTCCCAACGAGCAGCGAATCGCCATTCGTGAGAAGTTGGTGATCTGCCTAACCAGTGAGACCGTCACCGATGTACGCAAGAAGATTGGAGACACACTGGCTGAGGTTGCTCGGCAATACACCGATAATGGTATGCGATTCGAACTACCCTTGACGAAATGAGGACTGTTGGTTCTGACGATTTCACCTGTGATTTGTAGACGAACAGTGGCCTGAACTCCTCGGTGTTCTCTTCCAGGCAAGCCAGAGCCCTGACTCCGGCCTGCGAGAAACCGCATACCGTGTGTTCACGACCACCCCCGGTATCATTGAGAAGCAGCACGAAGACGCTGTGGTGGAGGTTTTTACCAAGGGTTTCAAGGACGATAATATTTCCGTATGTCGACATCGTGCTATGCCCTTTGAACTCAATTTTGACCATTTCATCAGGTGCGGATTTCTGCTATGGAAGCCTTCGCTTCGTTGTTCCGGTCGATCTCCAAAAAGTCCCAGCCCAAATTCTTCGGCCTCATGCCAGACCTTCTCAACATCCTTCCTCCTCTCAAGGAGGCCTCTGAGAGCGAGGAGCTGTCCTCGGCACTGCTCGCCCTGATCGAATTAGCTGAAATCAGCCCGAAAATGTTCAAAGTTATGTTCAACAACTTGGTTAAGTTCAGCATTAGTGTCATTGGCGACAAGGAGCTCAGTGACCAGGTGCGCCAGAACGCACTCGAATTGATGGCTACCTTTGCCGATTACGCCCCAAATATGTGCAAGAAAGAGCCGGAGTTCGCACAGGAAATGGTCACACAATGTCTGAGTCTGATGACTGATGTCGGTGCGGATGACGACGATGCGGAGGAATGGAACGCCTCTGAAGATGTAAGTGTTTACATTTCTGTCGTTATAATTGACATTCCACTGACTAGTAACAGCTTGAGCCTGAAGAGAACGACCTTAACCACATCGCTGGTGAACAGTGTATGGATCGTCTCGCCAACAAACTGGGTGGACAGGCCATCCTTCAACCCGCGTTCTCTTGGATTCCTCGCATGATGTCATCTACCAACTGGCGCGACCGCCACGCTGCTTTGATGGCCATCTCCGCCATCTCTGAGGGTTGTCGCGACCTGATGGTCGGTGAGCTTGACCAGGTTCTAGCACTTGTTGTTCCTGCCCTCCAAGACGCCCACCCCCGAGTTCGCTACGCAGGCTGCAATGCTCTTGGCCAAATGAGTACCGACTTTGCCGGTACCATGCAGGAGAAGTACCACGAGATTGTCCTCACTAACATCATTCCCGTTCTCGCCTCTACCGAGCCGCGTGTGCAGTCCCACGCTGCCGCCGCTCTCGTCAACTTCTGCGAGGAGGCGGAGCGCAGCACCTTGGAGCCATACCTTGGAAACCTTCTCAGCCATCTCCTAGATCTCTTGCGCAGCCCTAAGCGTTATTTGCAGGAGCAGGCGTTGTCCACCATTGCCACCATTGCTGATTCCGCCGAGGCTGCTTTCGATCAGTATTATACTACTTTGATGCCTCTTTTGCTCAATGTCCTCAAGGAGGAACAGGGTAAGGAGTACCGCCTTCTACGTGCCAAGGCCATGGAGTGTGCTACTCTGATCGCACTGGCCGTTGGCAAGGAGAAGATGGGTCAAGATGCCCTGAACCTTGTGCAGATTCTCGGCCACATTCAACAAAACATCGTCGACGCCGACGACCCACAGTCACAGTACCTCCTTCACTGCTGGGGTCGCATGTGCCGCGTTCTGGGCCAAGACTTCGTGCCTTATCTCCCCGGTGTTATGCCGCCTCTTCTGACTGTTGCTGCCGCCAAGGCCGATATTCAGCTGCTGGATGACGAGGAACAGATCGAACAGGTTGAGCAGGATGATGGCTGGGAGCTGGTTCCGCTTAAAGGCAAGATTATCGGTATCAAGACCAGTGCTCTTGAAGACAAGAACACCGCTATCGAATTGATCACGATTTACGCCCAAATTCTCGAGGAGAACTTCGAGCCTTACGTCCTGGAAACCATGGAGAAGATCGCGGTCCCTGGTCTTGCCTTTTTCTTCCACGACCCCGTTCGAGTGTCAGCTGCCAAGCTGATCCCCCAGCTGCTGAACTCCTACAAGAAGGCACACGGTGGCCAGTCGCCTGGTTTCGCTGAAATGTGGAACAAGGTTGCAGAGAAGATCATCGAGGTTCTGAGCGCTGAGCCGACAGTTGACACGCTGGCTGAGATGTACCAGTGCTTCTACGAGTCAGTAGAGGTGGTTGGCAGAAACTCTCTCACCCCCAGCACTTGCAGGCGTTCATTGAATCGGCGAAGTCGACCCTTGAGGACTACCAGATGCGCGTGAAGCAACGTTTGGAGGAGCAGGCCGAGCTCGAAGATGGTGACGAGGAGAACCTGGACTTTGAGTACGCCGTGGAGGACGATCAAAACCTATTGAGCGATATGAACAAGGCATTCCACACCATCTTTAAGAACCAGGGCAACTCATTCCTGCCAACCTGGCAGCAATTGATTCCATTCTACGACGCTTTTATCACAAGCCAAGACCCGACACAACGGCAGTGGGCTCTTTGCATCATGGATGATGTGCTTGAATTCTGTGGCGAAGAGTCGTGGGCATTCAAGGACCATATCATGCAGCCTTTGGCTTCCGGTCTGCGAGATGAGAATGCCGCCAATCGTCAGGCAGCGGCGTACGGAGTGGGTGTGGCCGCGCAGAAGGGTGGTGCCGCCTGGAGCGACTTTGTGGCAGCCAGCCTCCCCAGCTTGTTCCAGGTTACACAGCATGCGCAATCCCGCACAGAAGAGAATGTGTTCGCGACCGAGAATGCATCTGCCAGTATTGCCAAGGTCCTGCACTACAACCCCTCCAAGGTTCAGGCTCCCCAGGATGTCGTGGCCAACTGGATTGAGACTTTGCCCATTACCTACGACGAGGAGGCTGCTCCCTATGCCTATTCCTTTATTGCACAGTTGATTGACCAGTACGTTTTCTTGGCCAACCCCCTCAGACTCATGCTAATATCTTACTCCCAGGCAAAACCCGGCTGTCTTTGCCAAGGCTGACCGTGTCTTCGGTTTCATCGTGCAGGCACTCGAGGCGGCTACCCTGCAGGGCCAGACCGCTGCCCGGGTGGCCACATCCGCCAAGCAGCTGGTGGCAGTGACCGGCGCAAATGCAGACCAGATTCTGGCTTCTGTGGACCCGGCCAGCCAGGAAAGAGTGCGCAAGTTCTTCCAATAAAGCTCAGACCTTTTGTTTTATATCCGGCAGAGCTTTTTCCCCTTTTTTATTATTTCCCAAATCATTCCCCTCGGTCATGTGAAATCTGAAGCTACCTGAACCCCCGACACGTTTCTTTAATTCTTAGTCCCTACGTACGAATGCCATGTGCTTTAGACGTTGGATTCCACAGTGTGCGCGATGTCCATGTAGATCAAGTGTCCGCCTTTTCTATGTGGCTAACTAGTATGTTTAAAAAAAAAATGAAGACAAGCTATCTACAACTTCAATACCCTCTGGATCTCATTCGCAACCACCTCCTCCAGCCCCATCACCTTCGGCTCCCCAATCAACACATTAGCCCGCTTCGCATACAGCGTCCCGCCTTCGCCCCAGATCCGACGCAAAGTCAACACAGTAGCCGCTGGATTCCCAGCCTCCCACGCCGCAGCCTCCGCCTCGCGCAACTTCTCCAGCGATGTGCGAGACACATCCCACGGCTGACCAAGCTGACGCTCAAATTCCGCCTGAATCTGGTCGGGGCTCGTAGTAAACGAATTAACACACAAGGCAGCGTTGCGCGTCTCAGCCGTAGCATGAAGCAGAGTGTTCAGGACGAGAGTTCCAACACTAGCGGAATAGTCAGCGGACAGTCCATCCATCCCAACGAGACAAACACCAAAAAAAGAAAAGGGAATTTTACTCTTTCATCGTCGTCAAGCTAACCTCTCCCTTCCCCTTCTCACCCAACAAAACTGCCTTTTGGCCTTTAACATCCCACCCACCAGCCTCCTCCAACCCAGGCACGAGATTAAGATACATCTCCGCAAATGGGCCAGTAACTACATACGAATAGGCAAGGTCATCACGCGAGATCTCATCCTCGAGGTACGCGCGCACCTTCAGCTTCAGCTGGTGGGGCTTCTCGTTCGCCGAAGCCGGTCCGTACTTGATATCCGTGCCGTACTCGGAGGGCAGGAACCATTTCACGGTGGGGCTGGCCGCTGCGAGTCTGATGAGGGGGATCTGTTGGGCCAGGGTGTTGCGGCCTAGTGCTGAGATCACAGTGTCGATTCCTATTTGGCTTAGGGTTAGTCTTTGGTTTGGTTTGGGCGGTTTGATATTTGGGGAAGGTCATTGTGTCACTATGCATAGATCTCACGGTACAGAAAGGGTTTCTTACCTTCGTATGCTGCTTTCACGGCATTCTCGTCTTCGACATTACCCACAATCACTTCTACGCCTTGCTCTTTCAGCTTGTTCAGCTGTGAGGCTTTGGTTTCGGCTGTGTGCGGGGAAGTGAAGATGGCTACGCGGCCGAATTGGGAGCGCTCGGGCAGGATGGCGTCCAGGATGAATGAGCCAATGTTGCCCGTTGCACCGAATAGGAGGATGTTCTTGGCGAGAGACATGGTTGTATAGCTTTGTTGTGAGAAGTGAAGGAGTTGTCGATAGTGCAACCCTGGAGGCGGCGCGAGTTTATGTATAACGTGAAATGTGGGGTGTGGGGGTCCCGCTTATCAATCAATTGCGAGAGGCCTCCAGGGTCAGTATTCAATCGCTATTTTAGTTAAAAATTGTAGAATAAAGGACATGTTGTACACTGCATTTGGGGGTGGAAGTGCCCAAGTGGTCAGGGTGACTATGTGTCTCTAGTGTAGATATATAGAGCGTTACCACCTCCTCTATTTATACTTAGGGCCATTATTGCTTTTCTTAAATGGTGATGCAACTGAATTGATAGGTGGGTTATTTGGAAGAGGGGTTGGTGGTTATTGAAATGGTCTGAGTGTGAAAGACTAGTAGAACCAACATTGAAGTCATATATTTATCTTATACCTCTGAATGTTTAAATTACCATCTCCAAGATCTCCAGTACCTGAGATTTCTCCTTCAGTGGCACTGGGTTTTTCTTGCACCAACGGTCATGTAGGCTATTCTCTGCCAGTCCATCCAACTCGTCTCGCCCTACTTGGACATCGCTCAATGACCGAGGCATTCCCAATTCGCGGATGATAGCATCCAAAACATCACCCAGATCAGATGCTTCCACGTTGACCGAGCGAGCACGTAGCACCTCCGACACGACCGGATCTTGAATCAGAAACTGGCGCACGCTAGCTTGTTTTTCGCGGTTGGCGTTGTACTTAGCATTGAACTTACACACGGCGGGGAGTAAGATACAACTGGTCTCACCATGGCCAACGCCCAGTGGACCAAGCTAGAGAACTGTTAGTCAGGCCCATTGATGCACCTGTGGATTTCTTAGAAGGTAAATAAAGGAAAGCAACTGCATACCTGATGTCCAATCCCATGACTAGCACCCAATTCAATTGACCCGCTAGTACAGGCCGCCATAGCATCCACTGATCCGAGTTGGCACTGTAGATGCGCATCACGGTCTGATCGATCCTTCTTACAGCGCAGGAGACCAGGGACCAACAACCCCAGGGAACTCCGAGCCAGATTATCTGATGCTGTGGTTGTACCTGACAAGGAGCACATATTTTCAATACAATGATCAATTGCGCGCACACCTGTACTGAGCCAGATTGAATCGGGGGTCGTTTTCGCCAGCTCCGGGTCGAGAATAACTAGCTCGGGTCCGCGAATCGGTGATTGAAAGCTATATTTGCGCTTTGAGCGGTCCTCCGTGCCGCCTGCAAAGTTGGAGTATTCGCCGGCAGAGAGGGATGTTGGCACGGAAATGATCGGGAGAGTTGGTGCTTTGATTTCTAGTCGCTTTCTAGGGCCTTCTGCAAGGGTTTCAAGCTCTTCTGGTGTGCTAACTTGGTTTGCAAGAACCTGAGGGGGATGTTAGGCTGGGAGTGAATAAATGTATATGATCGTCCAAGGGAGAATAAAAAGAGGCAAGGAGGATGTAGACAGAAACAGAAAATGAATAGGAGTATGAAAGAAAAAGGTATACCAACTAATGTGATAATCTTGGCACCATCAGTCAAGCTGCCAGCCCCAACGGTCAAGAGCAGATCAGCATGCACTGTCCTAACCTCTTCGGCAATCTGCAGCACCTCTGACCACAAAGTGTGGCTCCGCATACCGATCCAATGACCAACCAGCTTATCTGGCCCGAGAGCAGTCTCCAGCTGGTTCATTACATCGGTATTTCGTGCCAATGACCCTGAGCAGATCACATATACACGGGAAGCCTGGAATGTGGCATTAAGATGGCGTGCTGTAGCTGCGGGAAAAGCGAGGCCATAGGAAATCAGTGGCCGCTCACGTCCTTCAAAGGCAGGTCGAACTGTTTCCTTTGACATTATAGCTTGGTCATAGACAATCAGTGAGGAGGTGGAAATAAAGGCAAAAGAAGATCAAGCAAACAATAGTTAACCTGGGGAACGTCAAACAGGAAAGTGCCGAGGTGGGGCTGCGGGGCTCGGCCTTTATGGTTCGGTTTATGCTTAAGCATAAATTGTCTTATGTTTTTGTTCTTGACGTAGAACTTCAGAAATCTGATTCATTTAGCTCAAAATAATAATAAGGATGTTATTCTCAAGAGGATAATGCCAAAAGTCTTATTCCTTATACTAAGAGTGAGAGTGATTGGCAGTAAGCTGCAAATACTCGCAATGAAAAGCGAATTTGCCAACGAAGTTTTAACGTATAAGATCTGGAATAACCTTTGATTCGGTTTTTATATCTCATTGCTTGCTTTCTTGTGTGTCTAATGTGAAGGACATTCAGTTCCAAAACTGCTGGTTTCATTATCACGGGCCATTCGATTGCTATATCGATTACAACGGGGCTCAACCGAATACCGATCCAGCAGGCCTGGTCCTCTAAAAAGACGATCGTACCACCATTGCCGCATCGATGGAAGGCTTCTGGGATGTTAGGAGCATCATCTTTCAGTTCCCATTGGCTTTGACAGTGCAGACATTTAAGCTGCCTTCTTCGTTTGTATATACAACAGTTGACAAGGCCAGCCCTAGAGGTAGGGCCAGGGAAGGAATGCCGAAGAATAGCATGGTGAAGTCGACTCAATAAATGGACTTGGCTGTTCAACTGTTCATTTTTCAAATACAGAACAATATATTATATCCCTAGCTATAGAACCCTGCACTTGCTTGAATTTCCCATGTTACGCTCGGTGGTCTTTATACCGAGCGGACATCGCAACATGACATTGCGGAGAAAATCGACTGCGGGGAAAAGACTAGGTTTCATAGGATTTGCAGTAAAAACGTCGATTTCGAAGCCTTCTGAATGCTTGTTACGCTGATCCTTGCCCAAATCCTGTAAATATCAACATCATTTGCCATGGTTCTTCCACCAATCGCGAACATGCAGCGATGAAGCTTCCCAAATCCCACTATTGCATAACTTAATCATTGCCATCTATGCCATTCTCTATATTTTATAGTTTTTTGGTATCTTGCTACGACATACGGATATCTCTGTCTCTATTCAACCACCAATGGCACAACTATACTGGCCCAATGTGGTATTGATTCTTTGGTCTCTCTTCTCGCTATCTATCGCAGACACCTGCTGGCGCAATACCGCTTGCTCTGGACCTACAGACACTGCATTCAGCGGGCCATGGGAAAAGAACATATACGCACCGGCATCACGAACAGTACGACCAGCCTCAACATTATCAGAGTTGAAAACGAATGCTGTCACAGACTCTTCGCATCCATACAAAGAAACATTACACGGCAACGGGTCACTTATTGTATTCGACTTCGGTATTGAAGTTGGCGGCATCGTCCATCTAGACTACACCTCCACCGGCAGCGGAGCTCTAGGGCTGGCGTTTACAGAGGCCAAAAATTGGATTGGAGAGTGGTCGGACTCGTCAAGCGCTCTATATCATGACGGCGCCTTGTATGCGAATATCTCATCATCTGGGAAGGGCACATATGTCATGCCTGACAGATACCTGCGGGGAGGATTCCGGTACTTGACTGTCTTCTTGATCACAGGCGATTCGGCCAGTGTTCAGATTGACGATTTGAGCTTAGAGCTTGCATTTAAGCCCACTTGGTCGAATCTCCGAGCTTATCAGGGGTACTTTCACAGCAGTGATGAGCTTTTGAATCGCATCTGGTATAGCGGTGCATATACTCTGCAGACGAATGAGGTCCCTGTGAATACTGGCCGTCTTACAAAGGGCGTTACATCTGGGTGGGTAAACAATGGGACTCTCGGACCGGGAGACACGATTATCGTTGATGGTGCAAAACGAGATCGTGCGGTTTGGCCTGGTGATATGGGCATTGCCATTCCTTCGGCTTTTGTGAGTCTGGGAGACCTGGAAAGTGTAAAGAATGCTTTGCAGATTATGTACAACACCCAGGTGAGTTTTCTGTGGCTTGTTCTCTATGAGTATAGATCTGACAGTTCTGAGAATTATAGAACAAGACAACAGGCGCATTTGATGAGTCTGGCCCTCCTTTGAGTCAGAAAGACTCGGACACATATCATATGTGGTCTATGATTGGCAACTATAAATATGTGCTTTATACCAATGACACAGACTTCTTGTTGGAGAATTGGGGCAGTTACAAGCACGCCATGGAATATATATATGGAAAAGTGACTTACCCCAGCGGGCTTTTGAATGTAACAGGCACGCGAGACTGGGCGAGATGGCAGCAAGGCTATAACAACTCAGAGGCACAGATGATGTATGTTATGGATCCATTGTGCAGAAGACTTTTCAACTAATGAAGTCTAGTCTCTATCATACCCTACAGACAGGAGCATCTCTCGCTTTGTGGGCTGGAGGTCCAACCAATTTATCAAGCACATGGAGCTCCCAGGCCGCCCATCTCAAGAAATCAATCAACACCTACTGCTGGGACGAGTCGTACGGCGCATTCAAGGACAACGCAACCAAGACCTCTCTGCATCCCCAAGATGCTAACAGTATGGCAATCATGTTCGGCGTTGTAGACGAAGAGCGCACAGCCAGCATTTCAGAAAAGCTTCTCAAGAACTGGACCCCCATAGGGGCTGTAGCTCCTGAGTTGCCAGAGAACATTGCCTCGTTTATATCCTCTTTCGAGGTCCAAAGTCACTTCATTGCCCACGAGCCTACACGCGCACTAGATCTCATTCGTCGCAGCTGGGGTTGGTATATCAACAACCCGAATGGTACAGAGAGCACCGTGATTGAGGGCTATCTACAGAACGGGACTTTTGGATATCGGATGGACCGCGGGTATGGCTATGATCCATCATATGTCTCACATGCGCATGGTTGGTCATCCGGTCCGACCTCTGCATTGACAGAGTATGTTGTGGGTCTCTCTGTGGTTTCACCACTAGGATTGACGTGGAAAATCGCGCCGCAATTTGGAGATCTGGAATCAGCCGAGGCTGGCTTTGTCACCTCTCTTGGGAAGTTTGAAGCATCTTGGATTTTAAATTCGAGTGGATATGTGTTGACTTTCTCGGTGCCAAAGGGAACTGTTGGGAATGTCACTCTACCCTATGTCACTGCGTCGAAGAAGCCTTCGATTACCATTGATGGTGACCAGTTGATGAGAGGGGTGGCTTATGTTGATGGTACTGCAACTATTAAAGTCACCGGTGGCTCTCACACGGTTGTTGTCAAGTAAATATTAACCATGCACCGGACGTAGTCAATGGAATATCTAGATCTTATGGTGCATACACAGCCTTTCTGTATAGAGGGCTGATCATTTAGCTGACTACTATCAAGCTGTGTCAACTTTCACATAAGATAAGTAGAACGCTGTAGTTATAAGAAATTCAAAAAATACCATCTTATTCCATCAAAACTATCTGTTGATACATGACGGTATACTATGTAGATCATGCCATATCACGTGCATCCCCACACTCCATCTCCGTCACCCGCCAATCCTGCCCTCGAGATTCCTCATCGAACGAACCAAGCTCAAAATGGCCTCCACCCTCCGTCAAAACCCATGGCGGGCCTACCAAAGCCTCACCCGGCAACAACTCCGCACAACACGTCTCTCTTCCCGGCATCTCTCCACCACTCCCCTCCGTTCCAATGCAACCAATAATCCCCTCCGCTCCCGAGCTTCCGCGGCGGCGGATCTCCAGCACGCCTCCCAAGCTCGGCGAAAGATGATCCTCTCCGCAGCCGGCATGATCACCTGCGCAGTCGGTCTCTACGGCGTCATCAAGCTAGACCTATTCGGACTTAACGAACTAGATACCAGCAAAGATGACAAGACCACCAGCGCACCTCCGAAGAACGGCGCAATGCGCATGGACGGACCAGTCGGCTTCCCCAGCGGCGGTCCATCATTAATAACAATCCAAGGCCAAGACAGGCTCGAGCAAGTGCCAACAGGAACAAGCACAATCCCCACCTTCCCAAGCACAATCCGACTCCCCACATCCGAAGCAACAGAAGGCAAGCAAACCGGCGACGATCTAGCCCCGTCCACAGGCGAAGAATACCAACTGCTGGGCCTTGGCATCCGCACTGTCTCCTTCCTCTCAATCCAAGTCTACGTAGTCGGCCTGTACGTCGCTAAATCCGACATAACCGAGCTGCAACGGCGCCTCCTGCGCACAGCAATCCACCCACCCACCACCGACGCCGACGCCGCCATTTCCGGCGTCGGCGCAACCGCCGCTACCTCCCTCGTCTCGCCGGAGCGCCAGCAGCTCAAGGAGCTTCTCCTTGACGCTGAGCGCGGCGACGCCGCCTGGTCTGCTATCATCAAGGATAATGGTATCCGCACTGCATTCCGCATCGTGCCTACCCGTAACACGGACTTTATGCATCTGCGCGATGGCTGGGTGCGTGGTATCACTGCGCGCGCGCAGGCGAAGAAGACTGCGGAGCCGGGCGAGTTCCAAGATGAGAGCTTTGGAAGCTCGATGAATGATTTCAAGGCTGTTTTCGGTGCTGGGAAGGGGAAGTCGGTGCCGAAGGGACAGACGCTTGTTTTGATGCGCGATGCGAACGGCGCTTTGGATGCGCTTTTCCAGCCTGGCGCTGATAAGCCGGTTAAGTGGATGGGGCGCGTTGCTGATGAGCGGATTAGTCGGCTTGTTTGGTTGAATTATCTGGCTGGGAAGAATGTTTCCAGTGAGGGGGCCCGGACGAGTATTGTCGATGGGTTGATGGCGATTGTTGAGAGGCCCCTTGGAACCGTTGTGCAGAAGGTTATCTAATTTGTTTTCTTGGGCTATGTTTTGGTTTTGTTTGTTTGTATCAACATACCTATACGTTAGTTAGTCGTCGCTTTTTCCCCCCTGTTGGCTCTACAAAATATTGCAGAGCTGTATGGCAATGCTCCACTCAATACGCATCTAACGCTAGAAGATTGCAGCGCTCTCACAATCCCTCCACTCCCAAGCCATGGAAATATTTATCGCATTACATATATCTTTTAGACCTAAGAAAGGAAGTCTAAGAGACGTGTAAATGGTAGATAGGAAGTACAGGCTGTACAATAAAAGTCTATCTTCTTAAGTTTATATTCAAGACTGGGGCCTCGGGAGATTCTTGCTTGTGTGACATCACCGCTTAGATCGCACCAGCCGCCTTGAGCAGCTCCTTCAGGTCCTTCTTGCCCTGGAGGTCGGAGTTGCCGCCGATGTGCTTCTTGTTGATGAAGATGTTGGGCACGGTGCGCTGGCTGGAGATCTCGGCAAGAGCGCTCTGGATGGCAGCTCCTTCCTCTATAGTAAACTCATATTAGCGACTGTTTCGAAAAAGAGAAATAAACCCGCATCAAAAATATAGACAGATCAGTGCTAAAACTGCTCTTCTTGCGAGAATAATACAAAAAGCAACGCAAAGAGCAAAAAGAGACAAGACTCACCCTCCAGATCCAGCTCGAGAGTAGTGTACTTGGCATCCAAGCTGTCAAGCAGCTTCTTGGAAGAGTCACAGTAAGGGCAGTATGACTTGGAGAAAACGACGACAGCGTTGTCGTTAATGAGGGACTGAGCACGGGTCTTTGCGGCGGACATGGCGGCGGGATTTGGGCCGGCGAAGGAGCCGAAAAGACGGGTGAAGATGAACGAAATGGTGGGCGGTTTGTGACGAAAAGGGAAGAGGCAATGTCTCTTTTTATAGGATATCTGGGGCGGGGTACAGGAAAAGAGATGAGAGGATTGGTTGGCTATTCCGTCAAGATTGCGGGATTGACTGCGGCGATGATGTCAGGTGATATTTGTCAGCTAGGGAGCTTCCGAGGTCCAAGCCGAGACTCTTCTTTCTCTTGTTTGGGTGATTTTAGATGGCTACAAAGTACAATTTGATATGTCTTGAACTAGGTGGCTGGTTGGTGCGGTATCTACACGCTTACTAGTACAAGTAAAGTGTGCAGGTATGTATCCATCCATTCAACCTGATATCTGATTAGCTCCGTAAGCAAGTATCTGGCATTCAAAATTCGAGCAAATCCACCTGACTGCTCTCGCCAACGGGCGGATCAGACTAAACAAAGAGGAGAAAACCGCGAGCAAGAAGGCTTGGGAATATGGAAACAGGCTTCAAAGATGTTTCAGAGAGAAATCCAAAGATTGGAGAAAAGAAAGAAAGTCATAAGGTCAAGGAAGCCACAGACAGGTATAGGATGAGAGGAAGAGGTGTCCACCACAAGTTATGTTTCTTGCGAGGTGCGAGCTCCTCGCTCCCACCCCATCCATCGCAATAAGGAGCGAGCTTTTTGGAGTCCCCTCCTACCACTTCGGTAGGCATGGCAATGATCACACGGAAGAAAAAAAAGAAGGGAAATATCAAGGAATGGATGCACGGGAGAAAAACAAGAATAGCCATGCTCTGGTGTTGAAGAAGGAAGCCGGATTAAAAAGCAATCTGAAGAAAATTGAACTGAAGGCGAAGAAATGCCTTAGATCACGGGATATAAAGTCACAGAACAGAACCGACAGAACACCATCCCGCCGGAGACGCTGGAAATAATAAAAAAAATAACAGAGAAGGGAATCAAGCAGATGTGCAAATATCAAAGGTATGTTGGGAAAATGGACGAGGAATTGGACAGATGGTTGTAGAGTGGGAGTCCATCACATCACAATGCAACATCCGCAGCTCTTCTCTTTCTTTAGTGGCTGCTGCGCGGTGACAACTGGAGGGCTCCAGTTCGGGTTGGGGTTGGGTGTCAGTCCCATTGGGGGTGTGTCCTGCACCTTGGGCATGGTACTGTAGCCGGTACTTGTATTCGGACGGGGTGGTTCTGGACTCTTTGACGGCCGAGGCGGCAACTCTTCGAGCTGTAGAGACTCGACTGGCTGCTGTTCTGGCTCGACCTTGTTGGCTACAGGAGGTGGCGCATCGAATGGGTGCACTGCGAGGGGCGCGAAGTTGCGGTCGTATGTGTTCGGTGTCCGGCCTTCCTTCTCCCATTGCTCCTGCATAATCTTTTTGGCGACGGTCGGGATCATCTGTTGGTCTGGTGGAAGGCGAGGATCGGGCTTGTACATGGTTGCCAACCACGGCGGGTCTCCTTCGGGCCGGTTAGCGGCTGTTGGAGGACGACTTTCACCTGACCGAGTGGTAGGGCGCTGTGTGTTGTTACCGGAGACAGCACGAGATCGAGGAGTGCTGGCCTTCCTGTTCGTGGGTGGAGCAGAGGTCTTTCGATTGGTAGAGCCGGTGCCCTTGACTGTCTTCTTGCCCGGAGTGTTTTGTGTACTGCTGAATCCACGGCTGCCCGGTCGGCTTTCTGGAGAAGGAGTCGAACCATCTTGCTCAATGTTGATAGGCTCGCTGGCTCTGCGGCCCCGTGAAGACCGGTCTTCTTCATCTGTTGCGGCACGGCTCCGTGAACTGCGAGAATCGCGGCCCAGGGCGCCGGGTATGGGAACTGGACTAACTGTAGAGACGGGTATTCGGGAGGCGCTTTTTCCAAGGCTTGGGTGGCTGTAGATGCTGGCGGCTGCATCGTCCGCAGCAATCTCCTCTGGTCGGCGGAGATCCCAATGTTCCCGCTCATCGTCATCTACATTGTCATTCACATTCCGCTTGCCGAGTTCTTCCCTTACTTTCGGCCAGGGTTCGGAGTATTCTGTGGCGGGTGAGGTTGCTGTACCAGTCCCATTAGCAGGGTTCTGCTGTGAATCATGGCTCCTCCCACGTCCCGCACTCGATTTGCTTTCTCCTCTCATCCGTCGCTGAAAGAGAATGGCTGCCTGGTGAAGCTCCTCACTCTCGATCTTCGCCAGTTTGTCTCGGTGTATCCATTTTTCCTGATTCGTCTTTCCGTCCAGGTACAATTTAAGGCCATCATTGCCCTCCTCGGGCTCTTTACGACCGGCTGCCTCGTGACCAAGAGCATCTCGCACACTGCCTACTTCACTCCCATGTCGGTTGAGACTGGGTTCCCTCCGTCCCCGGTTTGAGGCTAAATAGGGCGATTCATGTGCGTGGACATTGCGGGAGACCGAGGAGCTGCGTGAGCCGTTCGAGGTACGCTGTCGAGAAAATTTAGCGCGGATGGAATTCGAGTCGTGCGAGTCGCGTTGTTTCGATAAGTGGTGGTTCTCCTGCGGGGGAAAAGGGGATCAGCGCTTTTTTTTCTCTTCCACGTTCTTGAGCTACCAGATCAGAGACTGGAATGCCACACGGAATCATCTTACCTCGTTCGCAAGTGGCACCGCAAAATCCCATTGCGAGCCATCCACGGGCGATGCTAAGGCATCTGCAGAATACGCCGCTGTAGCGACACCCGCCATTCCAGAGGTTATTGTTCACAAATGAAAAAGGCCAGTCCAGCTGTAACCCGGTTCAATAGTAGAGATTGCCGTAGAAATGGGTGTTCGGGTCAAGCCATTCCAGGTAGAGTCGTAAGGTGGGAGTGTAAGGGGGCACACCGAAAGCAGTAAATTGTCAACAGACCCTTAGGGTTGACCACAACTGCAGGGGGGTGTTTTGCCCAGTTTGTCAAGTTTGGTTCGACAAGTAAGAGCTGCTAGCGGGGGGGGGCTGGTCCCGTGGAAGGCTTTCGAGGTCTCGCGGGGTCCGGGAGGTGTGAGACAAGGAGTACCAATATGGCGAGATGAAATTAATGAGAGTTTCGAGAATAAAGAAGAGGTAGAGAAGAGAATGTCAAGATAGGGAAAAAAAAAGAGAGGGAAAGTCTAAGGAGAGGGAAGAAAGCGTAGCCAGACTAGGAATAGTACTGTCCAAATGGAAATACCCTAAACCAAGTCCGACACTCTACGGAGTACCTAGGGAGATGTATGCAGGTAATATAACTACGAGGTATTTGTTAATGCATATTCCCATATATCTATCATACAGCATATTAATCAATAATCGTTCTAAATGTTCAATAGACTATAAAATAAGAAAAATTCTGAGGATTCTCGCGACTTTAGTCCTGGGCCGTGCATTGCCCCTGAGCCATGTTGATCACTTCGAGATGCCGCTAAATTGATCTAGACAGTAACGGCGAAAATACGGAGTATTTCTTCGAACTTCCCCCACTTGGTGTATACCTACATGAAACAAACGGGGGAGAGAGAGAGAGAGAGAGAAAAAAAAAGAAAATAAGGGTGTGTATACTCCATACGGAGTACGGAGTACATGCAGGCAAATCATTCTGACAGGTTTAGTCTTTGTTTAGTCTTTGGGAAAATCGCAAAGTTGATATATCACAAATATGCCAATGCCCTCCATGCAAAGAAACATCCCGAGGGGGTGGACAGGTCCCAGCAAAATGGAAATTGACCAGTAGAACAGCCCCTCGGTATGAGATTGATACATGTTGTACATGTCTACGTATGTCTGTAAACAATTTCAAATCCCCCAGTATGCACAGCGAGATGGGGAGCCGAGTAGGCAACTGGTGAACTATGTTACAGCTATGCAATTCTATCCAGCTCGCCGAGAACCGCCTGCGTTTCCTTGATGAGGGCCCGGCGTGCACTCCGGGCCATCTCATCACCATTTGGCTCGATTCCATCCGCCTTCAACTGGATTTGTGCGAGGATCGTCTCGCTCAGTTTCTTATGTTCATAGTCCCGCTTCTTCGGGTCACTAGGCGGGTTCGCAATGTATTCCTCGCAAAGCGGCTTCATCTCCTGCTCGAACCATCCGGCCAAAGCAGTGACCTGTTCCAGCGGTGTATGCAGCAACTTGATGTTAGGCGGCGGGGCGGGAACGCCTGGGTGGCCTGACGACGTAGGCCGTGGGGGCCGAGATGGACCGGGGGCTTCTGTGCCGACGGGCGACTTCTTGCCATTGCGTTTCTTCTTTCTCGAGTTCTTGCTCTTTCCACTCGGGGGTGTGGGAGGCGACGATGCGTCTCCTGCGCTAGTGGGGCGGGGCAGCGGCGATGGTGCTGGTGCTGGTGCAGTTACGGGGATGTTTTGTCCGTTGTCGTCGGAGACATCGCTCGGGGAGCCTGCTCCTGCTTCGGATACCACGCATAGCACCTCAGAGTGCTGCTTGAGCCCTTCAGCTTTGCATGTCCGCGCGTTGTTCTTAAGTAGCTTTCCCTTGTACAGGAGTCTCACACAGTCCGGGTGGCCGGCTCCTGTGCTCTCAGCAGCAGCCTCTCGTAGGTCTCCGATGGTCAAGACACCGTCGTCGATCGCGTATGCGCGGAAGCGCAATGGGTAGATGGTGCCACGGTGGCGGAGGGCAATAATATCCGGCTCGGCGTCATCTACTGGCGGGTCCGCGATGTCTGAAGGTGTGATATAGCTGAAGTCCTCATCGCTAACCTGCGGGTTGGATGCGGGAGCGTAACTCGGCGAGCGGCGCAGCATTTTTAAGGGGTTGCGCCAACTCATCACGACGGTGAACAGGCAGATAGCAACAGCTGCAAAGAGGGCGATAGGCTGGTCGTCTGGGGCAAATGGCAGCTTTTTCGCGAGAGGACCGAGGGGCGTGTTGGACAGGTAGGTGAGAATAGGGTCCAGTTGATGGCGGAGGGAATGTAAGTGAACGGGGAGGATGTCGGTGACCTGGTCTATGTATACTGCGCACTTCTCGCCCAAGGTGGACTGAGCGAGGGTTGGGGGCAGTAAAGTCATGGATCTCTGTGGAGGGGAAGAGAGAGCAGGTGGATGGTGAAGTCATGCCCCCAAGTGGTCCGGAATGGGCAGATAAGGCGGAGAGTACTTTTTTGCCATCGCATTGAGCAATTAGTGTACTCCCAACACGAGTGTGTCTGCCTAGTGGATCGTCTGATTTCAGGTCGATTCTTTTGGTGTTGGAATTATGGCGACATTTGGAATGGTTGGGATAACTCGATGGCTGCCTTGTGTACCTTGAGGCTGCCTGGAAGTGTGGCGATACTTGAGGCCTGAGGCAGACTTGTTATGCACTATCCTATATATATGTTGTATAATGCTGATATATTTCCGACCATGCTTCAAGGTGTCAAGGCTTTTTCTGATATTTTATCCAGGTAGATCCCCATTCGTTGTGATATGGAGGCTCTTTCGCGACGTTGAGTAACCCAATTTGACCTCGATCGACATATGGTATGCGCAAAAACGCGGGGTCATACAGCTCCCCCCCCCCCGCCTCTTTCGGTACATAGGTATTGAAATATCGGCTACATACCTAGGATATTAACATAGTGGCTAATCAACTATCTGAATATGTCGAAAAATTCAAAGAGTAACCTTAACTAACTAACCGGCCCTTACATTTTTCACCCAAATTACAGACCCTCGCATAGCGAGGGTCCGCTATCCATATGGAACGGATCACTCATATGAACTTGTATCTTTTACTAGGCAGACCATACAAAAGGTACATATGTAAATTCTAGTTTTTAGTACTATACTTTCTTCGAAATCTTAGTATAACCTAGAAGATGTAAGATTCCTCTCTATTTAAATACCATATTCGAGTTTCAGCCTAAGTTTTAGGGAGCCCTCTTACAGTAATACGATTTGAAATTTAAACCTAATCGTGCCTCTAACATAAGAAATATAATTATAGAGGCGTCCCTAAAGTATACCCTTGAAATTTCATTAAATTATTAGAATAACATTAGAATATAAGTGCTATACTTAAAATAAGGGTTTATAATATAATAGTATTAAGAAACTAACATCTATATATGTACCTTTTGTATATTCCGCCTAGTAAAAGATACAAGTTCATATGAGTGATCCGTTCCATATGGATGGCGGACCCTCGCTATGCGAGGGTCTGTAATTTGGGTGAAAAATGTAAGGGCTAATTATCCATCTTGTTGAAGCATATGTATTACGGCTTTCCATACAATATTGGTTTATATAACCAAATATGCGAAGTATTTTCATCCAACAAAAATTGCCTAATTTGAAAAGACAGGATTTCGAGCATTTGCCAAAGCCTGGCTCACTTATTGCTTTTTGGTCTATAGTGTCATTAATTCATGTGCATTCCATAATCGGTCCGAGTGGTCTATCGGACAACTCGATCGATAGCCTTTGTGGTCTAGTTGGTTATGACGTTGGTCTCATATCTTTTCATTATGACATTCTTGGTAACAAGATTGAAATCCGAAGGTCTCCAGTTCGATCCTGGACAAGGGCATTTCTTTTTGGATTTTTTTATCCAACAACACATCCACCCAGCAACTCGATAACTATGTCTTTTTTTTTACCCCATATGGAGATACCGAATTCTGCCATTGCCATTTGCTTGTCGCCTAAATACCTAGCTATTTTTACCGAGAGCTCCTTGACCTCAAGCTTAGAATCTTATAAGTCCATACATGTAACTAAAGTCACTAATTTTATCGTACTCATCTATAAAAGTCGTTTTCACAAACTAAGCAAGCCCTTTCCCGCCTTTTTCTGCCGTCTACCCAGAAAACCTGAGAAGGGGGAGAAGATATCCTAAAAAAACGACATCTAGAAAGACTAACTTGAGAAGAAGACCACAAAAAAAAACCACCCAAAAGACATATAGAAATACCGCTAAAAAGACTCTACGGAAGAGACTAGGTGTGTGTGTATATGGGTACACGCATGCATACGTAGTATCATTAGGGATATGGTACCTACATATATGTAGGCAATTCAGAAAAGCCAAAAAAAAAACATCATAATTTCAGCCCATTTTGATTCGGTCGGATCTTGTGGTGCCGACGTGCAAGCTAGTACTCGGCTCAACGCACGCCCCAACTCCCTACGGGAGTAGGCTGCACGAGTAAAATAATGCAAATTTAGTCCAATGCGAATATTTGAATCCAGGTAATTTTTATATGGCACTTCAAAATTATGATTATTTAAACGTATTTATATATATATCTCTCTCGGCTACCTCATTCGATTATAGGGAGATGGATTCTTATTGGTCTACTTACTGCTTCAAAATTATAGTTTTTTCCTAGATAAATTTTTGGTTATCTAAAAGTAGAAAAATTAAAGCCCTATTAGAAATGTAGTGTAAAATTCCTCCAAAAGCTCTACGCTTTTATTTCGATTTAATCTTTATATCCATATATCCCTGATTATACATAGAAAAGCCGTCTGCGCAAAGTATGCTTTTTTCCCCGCCCTTTTCTGCTGTCTAGCTAACAAACTGAGAAGGGGGAGAAAATATCTATGAAAACAGACATCTAAAAAGTCTAACTGAGAAGACCAACTGAGAAGAATCTGAGAAGACCACAAAAAAAGACATTTAAAAAGACATTTAAAAAGACATTTAAAAAGACATCTAAAAAGATTACCTGAGAAGACTACCTGAAGACTACAAGAAAATTACTTGACGAGGTAAGCGGCCAACTATTCTTGTATCTATTTGATAGGAAAATAAGAATGATATGGTCTAGATATATGTTTAAAAGGTACTGATTTTGAAGTCCCTTTTGCATGTGTGTCCTATATAAAAGGTACCTAAGTCAAATATCTGCATTAGACTACATGGAACCATGTACCTTTTGCATTAGACCCGTGCAGCCCAACCTCAACGAGGCTTGGAAAATCATTTTATTATATAATCATGCAGTTACAACCTTCCAAGGGACCTTGGAAGTCTACCCGGCCTTTTTGCCCGAGCTGGGAACCCGATAACTGTGCTGAATCAGTTGATACCCACTTCTCTATATGAGAGAGGCAAAAAGAGATGCCCTTGTCCAGGATCGAACTGGAGACCTTCGGATTTCAATCTTGTTACCAAGAATGTCATAATGAAAAGATATGAGACCAACGTCATAACCAACTAGACCACAAAGGCTATCGATCGAGTTGTCCGATAGACCACTCGGACCGATTATGGAATGCACATGAATTAATGACACTATAGACCAAAAAGCAATAAGTGAGCCAGGCTTTGGCAAATGCTCGAAATCCTGTCTTTTCAAATTAGGCAATTTTTGTTGGATATTTGACAGTTAAACACTGAAGCTTATCATGATCTCCAAAAAGAATTATGTATATGTAGTGTATTATGGCTTCGAGATGCCTAGGGCATACTACATACATACCTATATAGCATATTAACTAACTATGTGGTGTTGGAAACATCCATGTGTACATATGTACATTTTTGGTCTTTAATTATTTATAACAAGGATAGTCGGCCACTTATACGGCCTCTGTCCTTGACGATCTAAGACTTTGATAATCTGATCTATTTGGACCAAGATGGTATTAGCGGTGTTATATGTAAGAACCCTCCGATGTGCTTTTGTATGTTCCTTTTATGTATTTTTTTTATGTCTTCTTATGTGTATACGAAGGCGGTAAAAAGCATAACTACTTTGTGCAGACGATTTTTCTATGTAGAACCAGGGATATAACATGTAACAAGCAAGGTAAAATACACCATCGAACGGCGAGGGGTGTGTGGTCTGATATACTGATTCCTATATGGCAGGCTCATCGATCACTCACTCCGGTGGCGTTAGCAGATATATCATTATAGGTGGAGAGACCGGGGCGATGAACACCAACGCGACGGTGGGGACGTTTCTTCTCCCGCTACATAGGCTCATTTATTCCTTACAGAACTAAAAGGTGACACATATTGCATGAATTTTTCCCTTCTCTGCTCCCACCCCGGAAACCATCTCCTCTACACGCTATCCATTCGCTGTGTGGGCATATCAGACCACTCTATACATCCTGCTAATCGCATTCTGTCACGCTGCTATTCTCGCCGTTGCTGATCTTATAAACAATCGAGTGGGGGCGTTTCCTCGCCACTATGTTTGTTCAACTTTCTTGTATAGAACCCAGGGGGGTATTGAATTGACTTCGCTCGACACCGGCGTAGAGGCAGGAGGAGAGAGAGAGAGATCAAAGGTTATACATGGCAAGTCTTTTTATACGTTTTACATTTTAGCCGCCCTCGGGTATTCTATTATATGTTATATTTATTTACTGGGCATGGGGCATTCCACCATATTCTGCATTTCATGGCTAGCCATTTTCATATCTCTATGTATAACACATAGGATGGGAAAGACATCCTAGAGTGGTTTTGAATATAACTTTCTTTGACGTCGGTCTTATACATGTGCCTGCCAATAGTTAGTTATGTGATTGCCATTCGATGATACGAGAGAGAGATATATATATATAGTCTTTCTAGACCCACTCAACACACCATAGGGAAGCAAATTGATCCACTGATAAGATTATATAAGGGATTTTGTGCTTAAAATTCATATATAATGTCTTTAGTAAGTATCTTAGTGCGGTGGTTGGTAGTGCATGGGGTATCAAAAGTCTGTTTACACCCCCAATGTCACCAACGAATTCGCGATTTTCGGCTTTTTTTTAAAAAAAATATTATATTATTATAATATATTGAAAAATTAAGACATAAAACATTAAGATCTTTGCATTGGATTTTCCTCCATTGATATTTCATTTTCAAATTTTAGGGAATTCCTTTTTGTCCGATTTCACGACGATTTTCCCATAGGGCACTATAGTAAAACGGTGGTGATACGGTTCTAGGTTCCTTCCTCTTCATACCTTATGTACATATGTAATTAATATTTAACGAGCACGAGAGATATAGTTCCCAAGAAAAGATATAGTACATCTAATACCCAATTTTGATTTGAGAATGTTTAAAAAATAGGTTGTTACATAAATCTGATAGAAATTAGAGGTTAAACGTTGGTATTTGTTTGTATGGCGGACCTGGTATGTGTAAACAGACTTTTGGCACCCCATGTGTCTTTAGTAGTGTCTTTAGTAAAGTCTTTTTTGGTAGTCTTTTTTGGTAGTCTTTTTTGGTAGTCTTTTTTGGTAGTCTTTTTTGGTAGTCTTTTTTGGTAGTCTTTTTTGGTAGTCTTTTTTGGTAGTCTTTTTTGGTAGTCTTTTTTGGTAGTCTTTTTTGGTAGTCTTTTTTGGTAGTCTTTTTTGGTAGTCTTTTTTGGTAGTCTTTTTTGGTAGTCTTTTTTGGTAGTCTTTCTTGTAGTAGTGTCGTCAGTAGCCCTTTTAGTAGTCTCCTTATTAGTGTATTGTTTAGCAGTCTTTTTGGTAGTGTTTCTAGTATGTATTTTTTAGCAGTACATACATATATACATATATGTAGTATGTATACGAGAAACAATGGAGGCTTCAAACCCAAAGAGGATTCTACATAAATATGTAGAGATTAAAATACCATGAGCCCTATGACTAAATTATATGATTACTACATGTACCTTGATCGTTGATAAACCGAAGAAATACCAGATCTGTATTTCGCATGCAAACTCCATACATGCAAAATAAAATGTACACTTCAAGCTTGGCGGAGACATTGCACGCCGCCAAAGACGCTGTTCAACCTCCTGAACTTCCTCTCCAAAGGATTGCCAATTCATGGAACACAAGAATATCTGGCCGCTTACACGGCCTTGTCAAGTCTGTTTTAGTAGTATTTTTAGGTGTATTTTTAGATAGTCTTTTTAGATATTTTCTTCCCTTTCTCAGAAAAAGGCGGAAAAAGGCTTAATTTGAGAAATGGACTTTTCTACGTATAACCTTTAGTTACGCTTTTTTCCGTCGCAAGCCTTCGTGGTCTAGTTGGTTATGACGTTGGTCTCATATCTTTTCATTATGACATTCTTGGTAACAAGATTGAAATCCGAAGGTCTCCAGTTCGATCCTGGACGAGGGCATTTTTTTTTTGTTTTTCCGTTATCATGGAGAGTTCTGTCCACAGGTGACGACGGCATTGGACATCAGTAAGCTTTTATATTTGACTCAAAATGATACCAGGGACTGTTTCCTGGAAGTTTTTTCTTCTCGGCGTTATAGAATAACCAGGGACTAGGGAGCATGATAAGCAAGTGAGTGTTCTTGTTACTCAATGGTTTTCCTTTCCCCCTGTTTTTTTGTTGCAATTTATGTTTTACCCAAAGGTTCAATTGGAACTTTAAACCGGTGTATCCAAGCAATCGAGACGAACGAATTGAGCTAGATATGTACAAGCAAAACGGTATATTACACTGTCCAGCAGTCAAAGAGACCCAAACACCGCAATGCAAGTGTTCAACCTAGGCGCAGACGACCGGGCACAGCCCGACCTCCAAATAGCGCCGAACTTTCCTCTGTGGTATTGTTATCACCCGACATCCAGCGCGGAAGTCGGAATGGTTCACCCTGGAACCACCGTGGAGTGTTGGTAGTATCAAATGTGTTTTTGACGCGATGCGCAAAGGACTGGAAGAAGTTCTCGTCTTCCTCATCCTCACCCTCTACAATAGTAGGCGCCGCAACTGTCCTCTGGGCAGGTTGAGAGCCCTCTGCGACCGGGACCCGCAGTCTGGACGATCCAGGAGAACCTTCATCCTCACGATCTGACGCCCACGTTGAGCGACCACCACGGGAGGACACTGCCAGAGAACCGAAGCCATTTAATTCCCGCTCAATGAGGTCACGACCCTCACGCCAGCCACCCATGCCATACCCGGCAGGGTTGTTTTCAACATCGTGGATATCATCATCCTCTGCGAGGCCGCACCCGAAGATGTTTTTGATACGCCCGTACAGGTTGAACAGTGTTGCGCAGATAGGCAAGAGGATGAATATCGGGAAGATGAAATCAAACCCTTTCCCGAGGGGCGTCAGGTTGATGAGTTTACCAAGGAATTGGTAGAAAGTGGTGGTTCGCCGAAACTCTTTTGGCAAGAAGGTCAAGAAGTTGTACGCAATTGGTACCGTCAGCCGAGCCACGAGACCAGCGTACCAGCAGGCACTCTCGCCATATGTATTACGACGGACAAGCGCGCGGTTTCCCCATACCTTAACGTCACTGACACCAACGAGAGCCGCGGAACACATGTACAGTAGCCAGGCAGAGGCTGTGAGCTGACCACCGAAGCCAACTGGATTGTCTTTCCAGTTGGGGACCACGGTCAAACTCACAGCGGAGAGATGGGGCGCCAAAGACTTGATCATTTCTGACCAAACAATGCAGACTGATGCCACTGCGAAGAACGCGCCAAATGCCAGCCTAACCGAGGGAATGACGTTGGAATACAGCTGATATCGCATGTACGGGGTGAGAACTCTCACACGAGGGATGCAGGATGACCGACGTGGGGCCGGTGCAAATTCGAGCTTCTTTGAAGCTGCAGAATTGATGATGGCTTGGAGATCGGCTGATAACTGGACCAGACGATCCCACTCATCCACAAATCGGGCCTTCATGTGCCGAGCACGCTGAAGCCGCCGTGTAAGGTCGGCCAGATAGCGTTCTGTGATGACAGAAGGTATCGTGGCGGATGTATCCGGTGACTCGAGGATCGGAGCCCGCACGTCGGATTGGTCGTGCCCTTCCCGAAGCTCTTCAATCCATTCCTGAAAATCACGAGCAGTTCCTGTCTTACGGCGCTGTAGTTGAGAAACCTGGCCGTTGAGATTCACTAACTCATTTACTGAGTCCATCAGGCGATCGTGCACCTTGGGTGCATGTGCCTGGAGTCTGCGTAGCCGGCCGCTCACATTGGAGTTTCGGAGCAGATTGCGCGGGATCGAAACAAGACCGTGACCCATGAGATAAATAGCAAGGACGAGACCCCACACATATGCCAATGCCATGATGAGACCTTTAATGGATGTGAATTCGAACCCGTTTGAGATCGAAACGTAGACCAACCCCACCAGAGCACATCCCAGGACAATTAACTGATATTTGGCGTTCGATCGAAGAGAGTACATAAGCCGGGCTTTTGGCTCACGGTAGCCCGAGTCGACGTATTCACCGAGTAATGGGAGGATAGCCCTGTAAGAGAGATAAGAATAAGTGATAGCCCTTGGTCAAGTCGTAGAACGCCGGACACTTACCAGGTGAGGACAAAGATTAGCCAGTAGGCAATGCGCCAGCATACTAGAACCATTCGCTCAGGTAACCAGATTGCTTTGGGCCCAGATCCATCTCGCGAACTTGACGCCAAATCGATGGGGACAAGGAGCACAACACTGGCGGGCAGAGCCAGGGCCAGGAATATAGGGACACTTAAATACGCGGGGGTGGCGCGGAGGGTGAGAAACCTTCGTAGGAGAAGTAACACAAGTGCGGAGATGAGGAACAGGGCAAATGCGAAAAAGACGTTCGAGCCCACCGAGATGGGCGACACAGATACGGGGAACATGCTGAAGAAACAGCGAAAGCCAATAAGGAAAGAGAAAAAAAGCAAGTTTTAGTCGTTGTTCATGGCGAGATATCCAGGGCGCAAATGAAAGAGGCGACCGGATGTTGAAAGTTGTTGAAAGGTAGAAGTGTATATATAGAACAGGCCATGGGGGTTGACGTTTTGGGGTCAGGAGAGTGGCTGACTTAAGCTCTGACTAACCGTGTCAACTGGAGTACTCCGTAGTACTGGGGACTTTGCTTTGGTCGTGTGCTCAAGTGTAGAGTGGAGTACCTGGTACCCAGCCACAGCCCTCCTGGCAGAGTGTCTGAAATTTTGACCAATTGGTTCCTCCGGATCAGGTCAGGGCCAGAACGCCTTTGTCGATCTTGATGAGAACTGATTCCCTTATTTTATTGTCTTTTTCTTTGTTTTTGGGTAAAATATTTATGATCTTTTAGGAGTGAATAAAAACCGATTCCTTCCAATTTTCATACATATTATATACAAAATATATACATATTCTCATATACGTAATTGTCCTATTACGATGGGTGAATATATCGGGCATTATTTAAGATCCACACCATGATGACGACGTGTTTTGAGCTTTGTTGTAGTAGGTACTCGGTACTTAAATAACGGCCTGAGGGATCGTCAGGTGGGATTTGCAATGTATTTGTAGTACATGTAATAAACGAGACAATACCCTAGGGATACCTGGGTAAGTAGCGGAAACCCAGGCAAAACTGTAAGTACCTCAGAGCCTTGTGATCTCGTCCCAAATAGTACTAGTAACATCCCAATACGAATAGATACCCTATTGATACGCGCCCCCATTCATTATTCTCAGATGCCATTATTCTTCTTAATCAAAAACCCTCAATGGGATGAATGGTTTAATTAAACATAGCCCTTCCTTTGATTTCATTTTGTCACTTCTCATTCATTTAATAATACCTTAAAACAACCATAATAATATCCTTCACTCGACCGCCACTTCTTTCTTTGCCTCCTCCAACTCAACGAGATCTGTGCACTCATCTCTTTGTCTCAGTGTCATTCTGATTTTCGGTAAGTACCCTGTGTTCTTTCTCTCCTACCCCCGAATCTTCTTGCCATTGTGCAGAGAGGACAGCAACGAAGGCCTGGTGCGACTTGGGAGCTGCATGATCCCTGTCACGGTTCCAATCCACCCTACAACTGCTCTCATTCGCTCCAAGCCACAATCAGGTGCTGGCCAGCGAATTGAATCCATCTGACGCTGGTGCCCGAACGCCTTGCTCTCCTGTTGCGTTGGTCGGTGTTGGTTCCCTCCAGTCCCTCCTGTCCTCCGTTTCGTCCATTTCCCACCCATCCCCACCCTCTCTGATCGACTCGAATCACGGTTCCACACCAGCACCTGCTTACCTTTTTTTCCTTCCCGCTGATCAGCGACCCGTGTTGAACTCCTTCCTTGCGTCTTCATCACTAACCTTGCGACATCTTCACAGTTGCGCATGGTACTCCAGCGAATGCTAACCTTCAAGAACTCTCTTCGCGGATTGCCCATTGATCCCCCATTGATGGGGTGTGCGCTATGAATCCCGGAGAGTTCCCCAACCCGGGCGCGGGGCCTGGCCGGCCAGACCCGAATACCGCGATGAGGATGAACGCAAACATGCAGGTCCCAAAGAATGACAGTGTGCAAGCTATGATGACCTATGTTGCGCAAATGTTGCAAAACCAGGGACCATTTGGAGGTTGGAAGGCAGAAGTTCTAATCAAGACTCGGGCCACAAATGTTTATCAAATGTAAGTTGTATTTTCTGCCTGCGAAACTTGCTTTGTGCTTTTATTTTTATCTGGTCTAAACTTTGCTTGAATTAGGATCACCTCCCTCCGTTTGATCCAACCTCGCATCGATCTCCACCAAGCGGCCCAGGCGGCCATGAGTTTCGAATTAAAAGCATTCACCAAAGCCAATGAGAAGATCGAATACGAGAAGGAATGCACCGAGAAGCTTCTTCACATCAGAAACACCCGAGAGAGACAGGCCGCGGTCGCCTACCAAAGTGGAATGATGCCCCAGACGGGCGCTGGTCAAAATCAGATCCCAGGCGCTTTTCCGCAGCACATCAATCAGAGCATGCAGGCGTCCCCGGTTTCTGGCCAGCAACAGATGGCAATGGGAATGAATGGGCAGAACCAGCAGGCAGCAATGCAGCAGCAGCAGCAGCGACAGCAACAGCAGTCGCAGGCGATGCTCCAACAGCAGCAGCAACAACAACAGCAGCAGCAACAGCGGTCCCAACAGCGCCCTGGTAATGGAATTCCGATGGTCGACGACCTCAGCACGCTTTCAGCCCAAGATCTTGACCACGTCTCTCGATTGGCAAACGAGATGTTGAACAAAACCAACCCGGAAGATATGGAGAAGATCAAATTGAACCTGTCAAACATGACACCCGAGCAGCGGCAGTACCTGGCCCGGAAAAACCTTGAGCCAATGACCTATTTTTTCCGCTCTCAGGCCCTCAACCAGATCAGACGCCATCGTCGCGCTCGTCTGGAAATGGGGGGACGTGCACCAAATGCCGGGGTGGATGCGAATGGTAACATGATGGGCGACCCTATGATGAATTCTCAGCACCAGCGACAGATGCTTCAAAGCATGTTAAACCTTCAACGCAATTCTGCATTTCCCGGAAATCCTGGCCAGACGATGGAACCCCCAAACTTCATTGGCAATGTGGAAAACATTCAAGGACAGCAAGCAGATGGCCTACGCTCACAGGAGGCTGGTCAGCTAGTCGTTCCTGCAAGCTCTTCCCAAATGAACCAGGCCCCATTTCCTAATAATAATAACAACAACAACATGTTCCCACAACAGATGGGACAGAATGGCCAGGCGAATATGAACGCCAATAATCCAAACGCTCAGGCTCAGTTCCTTGCCCAGCAGCATCTGCAAGGCGGGTCTAATACCCCCCAGGATCGGATGCAGTTCCAGGCACAACAGTCTCAGGCTCAAGCCCAGGCTCAGGCGCGTGCACAAGCGGCCCAGAAGGCTCAGATGGCGATGTCGGGCCATGGTGGCCAAGTGACCCCCCAATCCCAGTCGCAGCTGAATGGACAGAGCCCCGTCATGCCAATGCTGAATCAACCCATGGCTCCAGGTCAGATGTCTCCGGTCCAGGTGCCCGCTCAAGCCCGACCACCGTCCAGACCTGCGAACATGGGCCAGCATCCGGCTGGCGTTGCAGGACAGGCTGCGATGCAAGGTCCGCCCCAAATTCCTTCCAACATCCCGCCTCACATCCAGGAACAACTCGCTCGCATGCCTCCCGAACAGGCTCGGATCTTCATCATGCAGCAACGTCGTGCCGCTCTCAACAACATGGCTCGAGTCAACCCCGGTCAGCAGCCGCAACCTCAACCAGGCCAAGCCCAATCAATGATGAATAACCAGATGGGCAACGCCATGATGAGAGGCTCGATGAGTGCACCACAGGATTTGAACGCGGGGGGAATACCCCAAGGCCAGCAAATGACTCAGCAGCAACGTCAACAACACCGGAATGAGGCGTATAAGCTCCAACTGCTGCGGCAGCAAAACAATGGCGTAGAGATGACCCCTGAGCAGGGCAAGCAAATGGACCGCGTGTCTTTCCCACCGTCTATTCTGAACATGAATGGCACCTCGATGCAAGTTCCTAACAACATCAAATCATGGGGCCAACTTAAGCAATGGGCAAATTCGAACCCCCAAGTTGCAAGCCCCAACGATCTCCCGCGCCTCATGATGCTCCAGAAGCTTCATCTTGGTCAACTGATCTCAGCGTCCACGAATCAAGTTAGAGACCAGAATGGCCAGGGTCCAGCGGCAACTCCATTCCAAGGCACGCAGGCTCCCTTTACGAACACGCAAGGCTTCCCTCCTGGCCAACAACCCACTGCTATCAACATGGCAGCCATGCGGCCAATCTCCGCGCAGGACATTCAAATGGCTCGTCAAAAACTTGGACACCAGGCGTCAAACTTCACCGACGAGCAGATTCGGGAGATTCTGTACCGAAACCGCCAAAAGCAGATGATGCAAGCTGCGCAGAACCGAGCAATGCAACTTGAAGGAAACACGCAGCCTGGCCAGCTAAGTCAACCGGCGGCGCAACCTCCGGTTCCTGCAGCACAGCCTGTCCCGCAAATCAAGCCACAGCATCCCCAACCCCCGCAATCGACCCCCCAAGCAGCGAACGCAAAGACTCAAACTGGAGCCGCGGGTAAAGGTGCTAAGGGTGCTACCGGGAAGCAGGCCTCAAAGAAGAGACCCAGCACAGATGATGCAACAGAAGCCCGAGCTACAGCTACACCCCAGATGAACCAGCCTGTGGCAGTTCCAGGCGCCCCAGGGACGGCCCCCCAACGGCCAGGTCTCCCTTTCACGCAGGAACAGCTTGCACAAATGACTCCTCAACAGCGAGCTCAGGTTGAGGCACACATGCGGAGGCAACAGTCTCAAAGTCGGGGTCAGGTACTCAGCAGAGCTGCCGCCGACGAGGCATGGAACAGGAACCTACCACCGCAAGTTATGGAGGTTTATAATGACATCGCCAAGAACGCTCCGCCCGCAAAGCCCATGCCTGTCTCGCCAGAGCAAAAGGCCGCCATGACTAAACAACTGCGTGAAGCCTTGGATGTTCTCGGCCGCTTGGACGCCCTTGTACAATGGTTTGCGAAGATGCAAGGCCAGGAGAAGAATGTGAAGAATCTTCTCGCCATGGTAAGCTCTCATTTTATAATACAAGCGTTTGTTTACTAATTTGATCTCACTTAGCGTATCCAATTGATGAGACAGTTCAAGCCCTCGCAAGATTGGGTTGTGAATGAACATTTCACAGTTACTCCCGATTACCTCACTGGTGCCATCCTTTTTATGCGGAAGTTGTTTGCAGTGATGATTTCTCGCATGCAACAAGGTCAGCGTCCTAACGCCTCCCAACCTCCTAGCTCCAACGCCCAGGCAATCCAAGGCAACATGCCAGCACTGAACGCGACCAACTTGCAGCAGCTGCAGGCACAAGAGGAAGCCCTACAACGAGCCCGGCGCGCCTCTAGCCAGTCTGTTGCAAATGCCCCAGCTGCACCTTTTGCGGCTCCATCTCCCAGGGGCGTGCCTCAGTATGCCCCAGGTGGACTTGCTCCCGAGAATCTTAAACTTCCTCCTCCCAAAAAACGAAAGCAGTCTCATGGCGTGGCATCATCCCCGATTCAAGCAACTGCAGCTCCTGGCGCAGCAGCAAAATACAACAAAGCGGTGGCGGACGCCACATCCAATGCTGCAGCCATGGCAGGTGCTTTCAAATGCAGTGTGGTTGAGTGTCAACACCACTACCAAGGGTTCCCCACGCAAGCCGCCTTGGACAAGCACGTTGAAGAAAGCCATCAACCCGAGGAGGAAGAGATGATCGAGGATTATCTCAAGTATTACCATGAAAGTATTTCGATGGGTCTTGGACTGAACCCCAATGATAGTCCGGAAACCCAGCAGATGGCCACACCCGGACCAGTGCCAGCCTCCACCAAGCTTAGTGCAGGAGCTTCTCCCGCGAAACAGAGTATTGCTACCCCTCTCATTGCCAACAACACGCCCATGGCCAGGGTCACTAGCCAATTCGGAGCCAAGACCGCGTCTCCTGCTCCAGGATCAACTCAGCTGCTCACTCCGCAACTGTCCTCTGTCAAGGGAACGAAGCCTGCTGACAAGGATGGAAAGAAGGATGTTATTAAACTGGAGGATAGCGACACAAAGGATCCCTGGGCGGAATGTCCCACCTCGCTTGACACAATCCATGATACCTTTTCAAACCTCGCGAGCAAGGATCTGCCAAACCTGAGCCATGATTCGCTCGAGGACTTCGATATCAATGAAGCTACTCCGGTGGATGATGACTGGGCTGCCTTTGCTAGTCTGACTCCTCCAGACGAGGCCGAGGAGGCTGCTTTCTTGGAGAAGTTTTATGAACCTTGGGACGAAGAGTCCATTGCAGCAGCTGCCGATTGGATCCGCATTCCGCCTGAGATCCAGGTCAAGGGCATCGGACCTATGGGCCAGCTTGAGGTTGACTGGGATGCTGTTGCGCGCTACGAGAGAGAAGGCATTCCAATCCGCATGACTTCAAAGTGAGATTCACTTCAAAGTGAAATCCCTGGTTTGTATTGAGAGCATGTACACATCACTAGTCCTACATGCAGATGGACTTGAGTTTATGAAACATTTTATTTCGGCGGTTTCGTTTCTAGCGTATATATGGTTCAGGAGCGATGCGTTTGTACACTACGCGGGACTCCTGGTTAATTTCTTATGATCCTTGGGGATCTAACTTTTGGTTTCTAATTATTTCTGGACTTTTGTGTTGTCCATTGGCCTCAGCGATGGCGTTTGGAGGGAGGAAAAACCGGGATTAGGTTCTTAACCAGGTTATTTATTTCGAATTTTTTTTTTGGAAAACTTGAATTTTATACAGACATGTCTATGTAGCTCTACGGTGAGGCTCACTAAGTAAATTTTAGTCCAGACTCAGATTCAGTGAGCCGCTCAGAAAACCCCAGACATGTCTTTATAGTACAAGCATGAGTTGAATCCAACTCAAAAGGGACCCAAAGTAATAGATCACACCAAAAGCCCTCAACCTGAACCTTCAGTATAACAATTCATAGAAAGAAACTTCGGCGTATCAAATTTAGCCCGATTCTGACAAGGCTTCTCAAGCACAGGCGTATAAGCATTAGCAAACCCATCACTATGATTACAATTTTTGACATCATATACAGTGCAGATACCAGCCAGAACTACCCAGGATTGGGGTGCCTCGAGGGTGCCGGCATCACACTTAGTGTTGGAGTCGCCACCGTTTGTAAACCATTTGCAGGAAACACCCGTGTCTGTGTATTGGCTGCTTAGACCTCCGTGCAGGTTCAGGCATGTGTTCGAGTAGCCCGCATTGTGTCCTTGGAGGACGTAGTAGTCGCCCGTGCAGTCCTTCTTGCTGTACATCGTGAGTGACCATGGACTAACAGTTGCCGGTTTGGTGCTAGTGCTTGGTTTTGTTTGGGATGATTTGGTTGACTTTGTCGTCGTGGCTTTGGTGGAAGTAGTCCTGGTGGTCGTGGTGGTTGACGTAGCTGTGGGGACAGACTTGGTTGCACTGGTCGATGTGGTCTTGCTGGTGGATGAGGTCTCACTGCTAGCCGCAAGTTTCTGTATAGATTTAGTTGTGCCAGTAGACGTGGTAGACTTTTTCGATGTGGTTGTCCATTTATTGGGATGGGTGCCAGTGGATATGGATAATGCTGTAGTGGCATGAGCAGAAGTGCAAAAGTCCGAAGTGGTTCCACAAAGACCCCACGAAGAGCACTATTAAAGTATTAGATTTCGAACTCAGAGAGAGATTTTCAACCTCTCAACTCACACATTCATTGGCCGCACACGGATTCAAAGACCCCAAGTCAGACCAGCTGTTGGGGCGTGTTGTTCCAGGCACCTGGGGCCCACAAACAGCATTTGGAAGCGCAACTGGCATTGGGGGCTCTCCGGCACTGAGGCAGATGAAAGAACCCTGCGATATCTGTCCGCATCCATGCCATGCCCAGCTTCGAGCGTTGTAGGTTTCGATATCAGCCACAGTGATAGAGTGTGCTTGAGCAATCACAGAACAAGATTCACCAGCCTGGACAACATATCTGTAACAAAGACCGTTGCTACTTGCTTGAGGTGCAACGGCAACAGCCGCAACTGATGTTGCTGTCGGACTGACCAAAAAGGTGCCGATGAGAGCAGTGAGGCTGCTAAAGCGGAAGCACCCCATTATCAGTAGAACTGTTTGAGAGCGCAGTTGGCTTTTCTTCTTTTTTTCCCCAAGGAAGCAGGGTCCGTCTTTATCTGTTCAAAGAGGTGAAAATGCACCAGACTGCCAAGGATAGATGCATGATTGAATATGATATCGCGGTGGATGGGCGAGCGCTCTATGAAAGAACTATGATAGTATTACAGGGTCATTAGCGTAGCACTGAAACAAATTGTAGAAAGGCGCTGCATCCGAAGGTTGACACCCCAGATGTTTTCTTTGTCTTCTCACTGCTCACTGCATGACCTTTCCGGGTTGTTTCGTGAAGCCTTTGTCTCATTTCCAGAGGGGAATGTTGGATACCGAGTCACTTCTTTGTAAATGTGTAGGGCCAGATGATTAGAAGGATCATCTTCGTTAGCACCGTACTCGGCCATGCGGCAGCTCATTTGGAGCAAACCTGTGCTAGAAATTATTCGACAAAGTTGGCAGATACATGTAGGAGCCACATTGCGCTAGAGCTACACCTTGAATCTACAATCTGCAAGCATCAGAATTAAATATCCCGATAAATTAGTTTTAAGTATTGACTGATGTTACTGACGCTTGGCACTTGCGGATCCATGCATGGTGGATGGTCAGTGTGATTATGTAATGATAATTCAGCGGGCCTCGGGATGGCGCTAGACGGGTTAGGAGCGTGCTTAGTTATACTCAGTGAGACCAAAGCGGCGAGCACTAAAACGGAAAGGGAAAGCTAAGAAGGGGCAGATGAAATCAAGTACATAGGTAGCATTTGAGAGTACATGGATCAAGGATATATGTACTACTACATACAACGTTAAATGTAGAAGCCACCTGCAAATATGTCGACGGGTACCTTGTGGGGAGCCCCTGGGGCTGGAGGTACCGTGATCAACCTTGGAATGTTATCAGCTGCCCTCCGATAAGCTCTCCGCTTTGTCTCCTCACTTGGCTTCCGGCCCTTTGACTTCATCTTCTATCCTCTTAACACTTGGAATAACTTTTATCAACTTACAGTGGGACAAGATGGCAAACAATGCCCTCATTCCCCTCCTGGTCACGATGATGCTCGTGACCGGGGTGTGCAACACCATTCTCAATAAGTATCAGGTTCGTCCTCGATTCAGAGCTACAAAGAAACACGAACTAATCGCCGCACCTCGAACAGGATATGCAATGCGTGCGGAACTGCGATTCCCCAGATCCCAGCCAGCGGAAGCTGTTCGAGCAGCCGGTCATTCAAACGTAGGTTTCACCTCGTGTTGATGATACGGCTTCACAACACTAGCGATCAATACTGACACCAGGCGGTAACACAGAGCTGTAATGTTTATGGGTGAAATGGGCTGTTGGCTAGTTATCGGCTTGACCTTCCTCTACCGCCAATACATCGCACCACGCCTATCCAATGACCCCTCACCCCTCCTAACTGGCGGATACCACCCGATAAACGGCGATGACGAGGGCATTGATCATGAAGACGATCACACAGTTGATGGGCTCGATAGCGACAGCAGACACCCCAAGCCCCTGCTCGAAGATGACAGCCGCATCCCACTCCGCGGATGGAAGATCCTACTTCTTGCAGCGCCGTCGAGCTGTGATATCGCCGGCACGACCCTCATGAACGTGGGTCTTCTCTTTGTGGCAGCCAGTATCTACCAGATGACCCGGGGTGCTCTTGTCCTCTTCGTAGGCCTGTTCAGTGTCCTCTTCCTTCGCCGCAGGCTCCACTTATACCAGTGGAGTGCACTCTTCATTGTCGTCCTAGGTGTGGCTATTGTGGGTCTTTCTGGAGCTCTATTCAGTGGTGAATCAGGCCATGATATCACCCAGGATGGGAGTGCTACCGATGCGGCCTCGCATGCTCTTATGCAGGTTCGTGATGTGGCTCGGACCCCTGAGGCTGTTCAGGCTATCATTGGTGTGCTGCTTATTGCTGCAGCGCAGATCTTCACCGCCACACAGTTTGTGCTGGAGGAGTGGATTCTGGAGAATTACGCCATGGAACCGATCCATGTTGTGGGTTGGGAAGGCGTGTTCGGCTTTTTGGTTACTGTCGTCGGCATGTTGATCATGTATCTTGTTGTTGGACGGACCGATGCCGGCCGATATGGCTACTTTGATATCAAGCAGGGATTGCACGAGGTTCTCAATAACCGTGCTGTTGCCATATCCAGCGTGTTTATCATGATCAGTATCGGGTATGTGTTTATCTTGCTTCTCAACTCCCTGTTCCCGTCCTCCCCTCTAATATTTATTCCAGTGGCTTCAACTTCTTCGGTCTGTCTGTCACCCGCACTGTATCTGCTACCTCTCGTAGCACAATCGACACCTGCCGCACGCTCTTCATCTGGATTGTCTCGCTTGGACTAGGCTGGGAGACCTTCAAATGGCTCCAAGTTGCCGGCTTCGCGCTTCTTGTCTATGGAACCTTTTTGTTCAATGACATCGTCCGCCCTCCGCTCAAGGCTTGTTTGCCCCGTGACCGGAGAGAGGGAGAGGTGCTGCTTCCCGAAGGCCCCATTGAGCACATCTGATCAGCTTGGCTACCTGTTTTGGACTTGCTCTCTTGTGCCTTATAGATTGGGCTCACGCTTTGGATTTTGGATAAATCATTCGACCTTGCATTCCTTTGTTTCCTGCGATGGAGTTAATTGTCTCTTTGTTTCTTGGGGACTATATACTGATTTTTGATCTTTTCTTGAGGAGGCTGCAGTTGATCTGAGTTCTCTTTTGAAGTTATAGAGCCTTGCTTTTTTCCGCCCATCGCATTTCGATTTATGTGTTTGGATTTAATCCGTGTCATAGATGTCACAATGCACTTCAACATCTACTAGTATCTAATGAATACATCCATGTAGGGACACACTGCTAGTACAACTTTGATATGGGCCATTCACTACATGGACTTGATGCGATACACCCTGCACTTTCTCATACGCTAAAACTTTCATCTGAAGCATGTACAATAAGAACAATCCCTCCCACCAAGTAGTGAAACGAAGTATAAGAGAAAAGGAAATCAATGGCAAAAACAAAAGTCTAGATAGATAGTAAAAGCGAGGAAGGTGCAGAGAACCGGGGTGTATAGAACTGGATTTGACTGTTCATGGGAAAATTAAACATTCGTTCAGATGAAATTTTAGCTTCACTGCCACCGATTTGATCTACGGCTCGGACCAGTCCACTTGGTCGGTGACAGGGTTTCCACCGTCGCGGGCGGAAGTGACACGAAGACGGAGACGAAGTTTGGTAGGAAGACCCTAGAGGTAATAGGTTAGTTTGAGACCTAAAAGAAAGCAAGAGAGTAAGATAGGAAGGAGCAACTGGACATACCCCATTCAGAGCGGTCACACGCATTGATTGTGTACCCTCGTCGCCGGACTCTAGATCAGCCTTGCTGATTGCGCTCAGCTGCAACCGCTGGCTCTTTGGCACGGCAGCCTGCAAGCCGACGCTAGTGAATCGGTCGAAGTTGGACTCGTTGCGGAAGCGGGCCAGAATCTGGGCGTTGTTGCCGCTTCGCTGAACCTGCAAGGTAAGGACGAGGCCGTCCTTGTTGAGCGCAGTGTGTGCAGGGGTCGAAGCAGTGACGGGTGCGGGAGAGGTGGAGGGCGAAGGCGCCATGCCTCCTCCTGCACCTAGCAGATCCATCGAGGCGGATGCGGGTTGTGTGGGCTGAGGGGATGGCGAAGGACCGTTGGAGCCAAACAGGTCCATGATGGCGCTGTTCGCGTTCCTTTGGCCAGCAGGCCCCGGCGAGGGAGATGACATGCCCGAGTCTCCGCCAAGAATGTCTGCCAGCAGATCGGCGGTGTTCGATCCGGTCGATGTAGGGCTCGTGACAGGGGCGTCGGATCCGCCAACCAGGTCAAGGAGCAGGTCATGCTCTGCAGGTTTGGCGACCTTTGTCGTCGACTTCCCACGGAGAAGCTTACTCTGACGTTTCTTAGCAGTGGGGGCAGCACCTAGTACCCGTTGTTCCTCACGGATCTCAGGCGCGGGCATTCGCTCGAGGACGCCACGGCGGATTTGATCATAGCCGAAAAGGTTGGTGTATTCAACGGCACGTTGCTGAATTTCTACACTCAGGTCCGCGGTTCGGCTGGAAAGCAAACGGCGTAGGCGTTCAATTTGAGCGGGATCCGACATGCGTACAGTAAGCTTCATGGATGCAGTGATGATGTATTCGACGGCAATCTGGGAGGCGTAGGTGCTGTTGAGAATGTTGGTGAAGAGGTCAACAAGATCACTCTCCCGAACCTCCTTGACCAGTTCCTCTTCCTCGTACTGACCACCCTGAAGGAGGGAATCGGCATATTCACCAATGGTCCATGTCGCAGCCAGAGTGAGACCCTCTTGTGAGATGTCCTCCTTCAATGACGAGTAGAGCTTTTGTACTGCGTAGGTCTGCAGATCAGGGGTGGTAGCAATTAGACGGACGAATGAGGACAGGATCTGTTCTTTGACGTAGTTCCCAGCCAGCTTGAGAACCCGTAGAATGGTGTCCATGTGCCAGCGCTTGTTGGGTGCAAACCGATCGGCCGCGATGCCTATCTGTGTCGTCATCACGGACTTGAATTCGTTGTCGGCCACCTCCAGGAAGGCCAGCAGTTCCCGCACCAGCACCCGCACATTATCTTCGTTGATCAACATGAAGCTGAGATCGAGCGCTCGCCGGCGAATGCTAATATCAGGATCCCGCAGGCATTCCAAGATCGTGTTGCGATGCCTCTGCACTGCATTTGGTTCAATCGCGACAACCTTATTCAGGGTGTTCAACGCAACGTAGCGGATATTATTGTCCTTGTTTGCCAGGAATTTGCCGAGAATATTGACGCCAAGCACCCTCAGACCAGAGTCGGCTTCAATATCCAGAATCGTAAGAACGGCCTCATATAGAATGGAGTTGCCGACGTTCTTTGAGGAATCCGTATTGGTGGCCACCTGGGCCAGGATGTCGTTGATCAATTCGCTGGTGGCCACATCTCCCCGACCCAATACACGCAAGAACCGAAGGATCTTGACTTGGAGGAAAGGATCTGTGATGCCGGACACATCATGCTCGGGAGCATACCCGGAGGTTGTCAGTCCCTTCAAAGCGCGAACCAATCCTCCAGCCAACGGCCGGAACATTTCGATCACGCCCACTGGTCCTCCTTCCTCCTCCTCTTCTTCTTCCGCTTCACATAGATCAATCGCTAGTGTCAATCCACAGAGAAGAACGCCATGGTTCCGGTCCGACAACAGGTTCTTAGTTTTCTCGAGGAAGTGCTCGTACAGGTCTGGAACCTTGCGACATATCCGCATGGCACAGATTGCTGCTTTCCGTCGGATATAGGGGTTGGCGGTCGACATAAGGGTTTCGACTTCGGGGAATAGATCACGAGACATTTCAACCGACGCAATGTTTCCGAGGGTACAGAGAGCGAGGCCGACGATATATTGGTTGGAGTGGTTAAGGTCACTGCATTTTAGTTAGCACAGGGTCAGCCAAGTCTACTACAGTGAAACTTACTTTTTCAAAGAATTGGTCACAAGTGTCAGCACTTCTTGGTTCTCATCCAGCAACAGCATGGTGCCCAGATACCCCAACCGCTTGTCGGCGAATCGGTGTGAGGCGAGTAGTTTCAGACATTCGATTTGGCCGAAATGGGTCCGTTCTCCGAGAGTAAACAGATACAAGAGCTTGGCGACATTATTTCTCCTATCAATTGTTAAAGGCCGATCGAGTAATCGATTGAGGTGGATACTGAAGCTAACCGGATGCCGGAGTCATGACTCTCTTCTCGAAACGAGGCGCGAATAGCGGCACTTTCTTTTTGGATAACTGCACGTTCATCTGCGATAGTCTTTGCTGATCGGACGTTACGGATGAATTGCTTGACTATAGACAGATTGGATTGCGTGGTCAGAATGCATCTCAGGGGAGAGGAGGGGCGGCGGGCAGCACTTACGGGAAGACATGGCGGCCAGAGGGACCCCCGGCGGGGCGAGAAGGAGAGTTGTTCAATGGAGAAGAAGGGACGAAGTCAGGCGCAAGAAGGTGAACCAAGCACCGCGCTCATAAAACCAATGAAACAAAAGAAGTGTCAAGGCTGTTGGTTTGGAGGTCTGGACTGTTGTATTATTATTCCTCATGGCAGTCGACCTGGCATCTTGGCATGGGGCACTAGTATGGAAGAGGACTAGCTTGGCTACCCTGGATCACCTGACCCTTTGATACCATTAAGCTACACCGCCTTTGAATAGACACGGGCAGAATTATGACATAATTGGCGGGTTTGGACCTCCCGAGGTGGAAATTACATAGTTAGTTACATACTGCACAGTATAGTACAACCTCGGAAGTACCGAGATACCATACAGGCATACAAAGGATCTACTTGTCGAAAGAGAAAAGACTGCGGTTAACTTGTATCAAAGTAGAATATACAAACATAATAAAGATATTATGACATATCAACGTGTTAACAATTCAACAACTCAACAGTTTGCGTCTCTAAATACATCTGCCTAGCTCACATGTATAGTGTAATAACATACATACATACATACATAACTAACTAGTTAGTTACTGTATGTAGTACTATAAAGGCAGTCTGACGTAGTGGGCCGTGATTTTCCCAAGGTTGGTTTCCGAGTTTCGAGTCCCAAACAAATCCGAACAGGGCCGACCCCACATATTCTTAGGTGTTTCCAAGTTTCCATCTGTCATCGATGTGCAAACCCCCTGATTCTGCAATTGTGTCCATATAGGATGTCTAGCGCCGTCTCACAGGATGAATCTGCAACTCTGCGGCCGCGCGCCGTGCCGATACAGTCCGATGGAAAGTCCGATGTGGCTCTCCCTCTTCCGGTGGATAAGCTAGCCCAGGATACAAGGTAACTCGCCCCCAATTTGAACGACCGGACTGGATTTAAGGCAATAGCTAATCTGTTTGTCGCATCCGCAGTGGCCACTCAACCCCTGTTTCCGAAGATGCTCCCCCGTCAGCGCATTCGATCTCATCCGCGAGGAAGCAAGTCCGCGCCCGCAATCGCCTGTTTTATACTATAGACTATGTGCCTCGTGTGTCACATTTCGATCCCGATAGCGACTATCATAACTTCCGAGGGTTCTTTACTCTCTTTTGGATTGGCTTGGCCATCATGGTCGGGACCAGCATCTTGCGCAATATCAAGGATACCGGATATCCCCTACAGGTGCGCGTTTGGAGTCTCTTGACGGCCAATGTGTGGGCGATGGGGCTCAGCGATGCGGCTATGGTGATAACCTCAGGACTCGTTCTGCCTATGCACCGGCTGTGGCGGGGTCCGCAGTGGCTGCGATGGTCGCGCGGGGGTATGATCTTACAGAGCTTGGGTGAGGCATTTTGGCTGGTTCTATGGATAAAGTGAGTTTGTGGCTTGTTCGAACACTGGAACTCGGAGGGCTGACATGGAAAAACAGCTGGCCCTTCATGATGCAATGGACCTGGACTGCGCAGGTGTTCTTCACACTGCACACTCTGACCATCCTGATGAAACTGCATTCATACGCTTTCTATAATGGGCATCTCAGCGAGACAGAGCGCCGCCTTGCTTCCCTCGATAAGCCAGGCCCAAAGGCACCCGAGCCCCCGGCTGCCATTCATTACCCGGAGGTACACCGACGTCGGCCGTCAATGAAGCAGCATGACGAAGACCAGTCCGCAGAGCCATTGGAGAGACTGCGCGAAGATCTGGCCACGGAGTTGACCTCCCCGCTTGGCAACATATCATACCCGCAGAACCTGCACATTGGAAACTATGTTGACTTCCTCTTTTGTCCGACCCTTTGCTATGAGCTAGAGTATCCCCGCCGAAAGGAGCGACGCTGGTCAGAAATTGGCTGGAAGGCCGCTGCTGTATTTGGTTGCATCTTCCTGCTCACCCTGACAAGCGAGGAATTCATCGTCCCCGTGTTGACAGAGGCCAGCGCCCAACTCCATCTCGTCTCCAACATCACAGACAAGGCCCTCATCCTTGCCGAAACCATTAGCATGCTCCTATTTCCCTTCATGATCATCTTCTTGCTGGTGTTCCTTGTTATCTTCGAATATGTGCTGGGTGCGTTTGCAGAGCTAACTCGGTTCGCCGATCGTCACTTCTATGCAGACTGGTGGAATTCCTGTGACTGGTAAGTTGAAATTGCGATCCTACGCGTTCAGGTAATTTGATTAACCAATTTTTACGTAGGTTGGAATTTTCCCGCGAGTGGAACGTCCCAGTCCATCACTTCCTCTTCCGCCACGTCTACTGGCCCGCCCGGTGTAACTTCTCCCAGCCTGTGGCTATGGTTATCACATTCCTGGTCAGCTCTATATTCCATGAGCTAGTCATGAGCTGCATCACCAAGAAGCTTCGGGGATACGGTTTCCTAGCTATGATGCTCCAGCTGCCTATTGTTGCGATTCAAAAGTCTCGCTTTTTCCGTGGCCGGACAATCCTCAATGTAAGCTGTTATTTGTCTGCTGCTTTGATATTTTGCGGCTCTCGCTGACTTCGTGCCTAGAATGCCTTCTTCTGGTTCTCAATGATCTTGGGTCTGTCTATGGTAAGCTCTACATCCTCACTCTGAGATATGCAACATCCAGTATATTTGGTTCTAACCCTGTTTGCTCCTTAGATGTGTGCATTCTACGTTCTTGTTTAAATCGGACACTTGGTGCGCATGCGCCTAGACACGGCAAGCCAGCGAGAAGTAAATTGAGCCAAGGAAGGCATAGATCCCTGGCGGCTTGCTCTTAATATATGATACCATTACTAGGTGTCTCCCGCTCTTGTATATAGCTTCGTTTATCTTTAAAGCCCTAAACTGTGATTTGACATTGCTATTACCTGTAATGAAGTATACCACTTGTTTGTAGCGCCGTAAAAAAAGGTTGGCCATTTATGTGGCCTCTGTCGTTTACGAAGTAGTACTTGGGTAAACTGAAAACCCATTTCGTTCGACAGGGATGATGTTGGATATTGCTTTAGTACCTAGTTATTAGTATAGCATGTCCAGCCACATAGAGAACATTTTACCGATTAATTCACCCTCGAACATATGGATGCTCGGCCATGAGAATGTGTTGTCATCACCCCAAGCTTAGCAAGTTGGTCTGACAGCAGGGAACAGGTCCACGAAGTCTGGTATGTATTGGGCAAGTGGATCTATTCTTATTAACTTGTTGCCTCAAAATTTGGGATATAAAGCCGAGGCTACCTATACACCCAAGAGAATTTTCATATGGGAAAGGCCACCGAAGGCAGATCAGTTTACTATGATGCTTTAGGAAAAGCAACCTCATTCACCGATACGCTTGATGCAGTTGATTTATCTTCAACCCCAACGTTGAAGGAACATTGGCTTGTTCATAATCAGGTAAACCGCAGCCCGCACGGCTCCCATCATCTGGACTTTCGGCACATCACTGCAAAATGGGTTCTTCCCCTTTGCGTAAGGAAACTCTTGCACATCAAGGTTTGCCAACCCATTTGCCAAGCCAGCTCGGGTGCGCATCTCCGCGAGAAGGTCATGCCAGTTGCCGCCATTGTCGAGGAAATTCCGACGCTCAGCTCAATAGAGTGGAGCGTGGACGGTAATGTAGAGAGAATCGAAGCGCTGTCAGATTATACGGAGCGAGATAGCTGAAACGAAGAAGGTAGATAGTATTCGGTGGGGTCATAAGTAGGATCGGACAGAACCATGGCGTATAAGTAGTCTGTTATGCTGCATTGCGCTTGGCTCGTTGCCTGGCAATGCCTCATCGGGGTCGGACATATTGAAGCGATGAGCCGCCCATGCGCGACAGGGGCGTCGGGTCGAGACTTGAAGTCTATGTTATCCGGCTGTTTCCAATCATGCCAAAATACAACAATCCGGACCCAACCAAGCAAGGCCTCGGTAAGTATTCCCGCAAAGCCTCCAGTGCTATGAAGTCTCCAAGATTGTGCCTTCCCCAGGCGGTGTTCCTTCCTTAGTGAAACTAGGCGAGGAAACCTATAAATGACTCCAATTTCCTTTTCTCCCCCTAATATGTACATCGGAGATTGCGGGGGATCTGCCGATACCCGTCGAACCCACAGTGGCGCATTTATATATCGTGGCGTATGTCCGTGCATAACCGGTCTGCCAACTTGAGGGACCAGAAACCCGAAGTCGATAGGCAAGTACATATGCGCTCCCAGATATGATCGTGGCAACGAGAACACATGGACCAATACAGTCGGACTCATGGAGGCCAGATACACATCTCTTCACTAGGCTTCATGTTTACCCTTTCCTGACTCTATCAATTTGTGCAAATTTCACTCAAAAACACCCACCGAAGTCAGATACTCAGAGACTTCTACTGCCATCACACGTAGGTTCTTCCATGAGATTCTGCTATTGGAAGCCCGCGTTAGCCAGTAGCACAGCTTGACACCACATGTCATTCGTTCAGTATTCTGAGAAGCTACGGATCTAAACGATTCGCCAAAAACTAGTGACGTGGACATGGATGTATACCAATTTTGTGAATAGCCTAGCAGGAGCTTCACGAAGATAGCGATAATATGTCTTCGAGGTCTTCAACCAAAGTTTTCGAAATATATTGCATCCTATCGACACGCTGAGATAATTATGTTCACGGGAATTCTAGTCAAGTCTTATGTTCAATACCTAAATAGATATTGAGTTTTGCTTTGTTGATATCAAATATTATCTCAACATTTCTCAAACTAAATGTGGAACTAGACTCGGTATGATGTTGGGTTGTCTTTCCCGAGGCTTCTATTGCTGCTGCCGAATTTATACCTGAATATATGAAACATACAAGTCTGCAACACAAACGACTCAATTACCTGACGTAGCCTGGTGGGCTTTGAGAGTAAGCTAATCTCCTATCTTGCAAAATCTGTCACTTCAAGTCGGTTGATGCCGTGGCGAGGACAGTCTGACAGCAATAAAATGCATTAATATGCCTCAAATCCAGTCTACTAATTTCCAGAGAATTGAGAGTTGAAACAAGTATCTAGATAAACAGCCGAGAGTAAGAATCGCGTGAACCATGTGCCTGGGTGATGAGATATCTAGAAAGCCTTATTGTTGTTACATCTCGCCATTATTCTTTGATGGATGCAATAGACCTTGACTACCTGCCTGATATTGGTTATCTCCCTTGATAGGTTTAGCACAGAAAACTGCATTCTCTCCTTTGAATAGAAGGTCGCATGTGGTGTGGGTGTTGTGCATCCTCCATCCAGGCCAACCAGGTCGTGTTGAATAAAAGGTCTCCTATGAACACGCATCAGCCTCTTGACTCTTAAACGATGAGTATGATGAAAGGCTCTTATATTGGGTTGCTTCTTAAGGGCAGAAACGACAATCAAATTCGTATTGAGCCTCGACCCTTGACGGTTCAACAAGGCTGAACAGCCCCCAATAGTATAAAAAGTCAGTATTTGCAGTCTTCTAAACATTCTCAAGGTTGAACTGATCAAACAAGTATCCCTAAGTACATCAACAGTCTATTCTTAGAAAATCCAACCCACCATACACAAACTTATGAGGCTTTCCCCGCCACCTTCTGTGGCCCCATTTTCCAGCCCGACCCAACCCAACCCACATATCCGTCTTACAACTCGGAACAAAAACAGAAGAAACAAAGAAACCAACAAAGGATCAAGGTTATTGCATATCATATCATGTGAGAAAGCGTAATTCGTTAATTGGATTTCTCCAAAAGGTAGTCCACGGGGTATCTTAGGTAGAAATAGCCCGGGAGTAACAACGTATATAAAAAAAATAGAAGAGAAGAAAACAAAAAAAAGACAAGAACGGGAGAAGGAAGAATGTAGTCGGCAGTAAGCAGAACCCGACAAGACAATTTCATACGCCACAAGTGCAGGATTTGAGGCAAGACAGATGCAACACACCATCCACACCCATATCCGCCCTAATGCGCTATCGGCAATGACAAAGATACACCCGGTCTTGGCCACTCGTCCCAGCTGCGCGGGGATAAGCAGACTAGGTGACACGAATGGAAATCGAAGCCCTCCCAAAAAAAAGTCCCCATGTTTGGTGGAACAGGCGACGCATATGCGAAAAGCGGAGAATTGGAAACGCCCCGACTCCTTGACAAATTGAAAAAAAATAAGATAATGTTTAAAAGTAAAATGCGAAGTATATTGTAGGCGTGATTTGTCGTATGTGATCATGTTTCATGGGTTTCATGGTTGATTGAATTAATAAGCAGACTGTCGTCTCCCCACAGCAGGAGGACGATACTCCTCGTCGTAGTAATGGGCGCGTCTCGGCGAGTAACTGACATCGTCTGGCTTGTATGCCCGGCCGTACTTAACGTCCTTTTCCTTCGGGCGGGCGATGTATTCGACGTCCGGATGAGGGCGAGAAGAAGGGCGCGCAGATCGGGTCTCAACCCGAGGCGAGGCTTCTGTGGTGTAGGTTTGATAGGTACTGCTTCGCTTGGGTGTCTGTCGTGTAGAGGGTATGCGATCCCGGTCGGGGGATCTCGCTGGGCGGTACTTTGATGATGATTTCGGTTCCACGACAACGTGGTCTGCTTCCTGGACGATCTTGTAGCGGGTTGCGGTCTTGGGAGAAGCGCCTCTCGGGAGCATTTCAGGGGTACTGGGACTGGAATAACCCGAGTCGTTGCGATCGCGCATTTTAGAAGTTCGCGATGGTAGTGGCTCGTGAGCCATTTCGTAGAGTGTTGAGTCCCGGCTCTCCCGCTTTGGGCGGGTGAAGCCAGCAGTGGTTGCGGAGCGGGTGTTGAGGAACGAAGGGCGGAGAGACGCCTTGATACCCGGGGTGGTTGCGGAGGGTTGCATCTTGGGTGGCTTGACCTCGTAGGTTCGGGGCGACTCCAGATGCTCGTAGGAATTGTCGCGCGACGAAGAACGATGGCGGGTGCGGGTGGACCGTCCCGCGGATCGCGAACCGGAAGACTCTGGTTCCGCCGAGTCGTGACCATGGTACCGTCGTGGGGACTTGGAACTCCGGGCTTTGGATGCGATATAGTCCTCTGCATTGAAGTACTGACTATCGATCTTGGATTGCCAGTGATCGGACACATCGCCATCCTCGTCGTAGCGACGTTCACGGCGACGAGAGGAGTCCGATGGTCGGGGTCGCGAATCGCGCTCTCGGCGGGGTGTTGTTGAAGTTCGTTTCGTGGGAACATAGCGGGGAACACTAGAATCAGATGCGTCCTCCTCGGATTCTGCATAGGATTCAAAGGTAGTTTCGTACTTTGCCTCGGACTGTCGTTGTCGTCGTCGCTCCTGATCACGCGTCTTCGCACGGTCGGAATGTGTCGCCTTGGTCGTCTCCCGCTGTTCCTTCGCTTGGTGATATGTGCTCATCGGTGTTCGAGACTTCTTCTTCTCCTCTGTCGGTTTCGTCTTTGAACGCACGCCAAAATCTTCGAATTTGCGAGACATGGAGCGTGGTTCGTCCGTGAATCGCATTTCTTCAAAGAAGACTTCCATCGGGACCCTCTCCTCCACGATGTGGCCATTGCGGAATTCGCGATTGCCGGGTCCACTCCCTCGCGAAGAGTTGTACATAGCGTCCGTTCGTCTGCGTTCCAGCAGTTCACGTTTCAACTCGGCTATCTTGACTTTTTGGTCATGTTTAGTCCGTCGGACATCGTCCGAGAGAAGTTCATAGGCTTGTTGGACTTTCTGGAATTCATCTTGGGCAGCAATCCGCTGCGACTCATCTTGGATCTTGTCAGGATGGCACTTGAGAACCCGCTTTCGGTGGGCGGCCCTGATTTCAGGGATGGTGGCATCCTTGGCAACACCAAGCACTGCATATGGGTCTATATCTGGTGGTGAGGACATTGTAGGCAATGTTTGTTTTCAATGCCCTGGATTGAATGGGATGAAAGAAGATAAAAGTGTGAGGGGGGGGAAAGAGGCGGTGGAGATATGGAATGTCAACAACCTGACGTTGACGTAGCAAAGATTCCACACCGATCCAGAATGAACTGGAGATGATTTGCAATGCAGGAAGAATTAAAGGGAATTGTTATCAATATGGCCGATTTGCCATGAGGATTAGACCAAAGACAAAATAACAGTTCAAAAAGACTTAGATGGGACAATAATGAATCAGCTGTCAGAGCCGTCTATTCTCAGACTCCCGAGCCAACCGAATAATGTCAGGGGCGAACAAATGACTGCGCCACAAAAGAGAAGGTCTGAAATTTAAGATGTAATAACGAGACATAGAGAGTCACATAGACATAGAAGAAAAAAAAGATAGGATCTTATCAAGACGTTCAAAGACATTCAAAGCCAGATGCCCAACCTAATATCCTATTCCCCTCTAATTAATCATTAAAATCATTCTCTTCCCCAGTACTCTCTTTCACCGGTCGTTATTGGTCTGAGCACTTCATCCGATTTGTTGAAATTCCTGCCAATCAATCCCCGAACATTTTGCCTGTACGGTGGGGCGATCAACACGAGGACCATGATCCCTCCATTTCCAAAGGGATCGGGTCGCCCCCCCTCTCTTGGGAATCGTCATGACGCTAATCCTTCCTTCTTCTTCTCGATTCAGTCTCTCCTGCATATCCCCAACTTTCCTATAATCGCTAGTGCCTGCGGGTTTTTGGCCATTTTAGGGTTCGGTCGCCTCACTGCTTTCGCATTATTTCGCATTATTTACTTTTCTTCTATTTTTTTCGCCTTGTCCAAGGCACACACCCCAGCCAGTCATATCCAACTCGCTTGTTTAACCTGGAACGTTTAATTGGGTGTTTGATATACGTTGTATCTGTACCTAGGTACATTTTACGGAAAATCAGTGCCTGTCTCGTCCCATGGTAAAGCCCCCGTCTTCCCGAAAGGTTCCGTGGGCCTTAAATCTCCTTCTCTGAAGAATGTCTCCGTACATTGTTTCTATATATAGTTAGCTAGTTACTACCTAGATTATCATGTTTCAATATCCAATATTTGATTCTCATCTAATTCAATGGGAATACATTCTCTAATATTATTACTAGAAACCTCTAGATCCTACGGAACACGAAGTACCTTTGACTGTTCAGGCATTGATTCGCACCCAATAATTTCCCAAGCTAAAACAGATGGCACAGCTGGCACTTGTCCCACACCGGTCCCATTATACAACGTGTCTTTGCTAAACACCCCCACCCGGGACCACCTATCTTCCAACCATTAATCTGTGCTTTGTAGACTATGAGGCAATTGCAGTAGACTCTCTTGATGAAACTACGTTGTACTCCCGTACTCCTTCTGTCTCGGACGGTCCGGTCTGTCCACTGGTTCCAAGTCATCTGGACCCAGTACTGCGGTCCGCGCGGCGCAGTAATTATTTAGACCGATGATGGACGGAGCTGATATGTGTGCCAGCCCCGATCATGACAAGTTTATTGGAAAAGGTGCAAATGCCGAGCAAGTTAACGCCGTGTCAGCATTACCATATCATTATCTTACTACTCTGTATGACTATTCTAATATTGCCTAAATAGTCTAGATTTTACTAAGAATGCCATCTATCTTTCTATTTAATGTTAAGGTGTCCAATGGCTTAAGACAAGAATGGCTCACGATCCATTCAATTATTTCGCCTCGAATATTGTAGCTCTATAGCCCTTACTATTTCATCTTCCTGACCATGTCATCTGACATTTTCCTGTGTGATAGTGATTGTAGTATACTTTTTCTCGGTCTGGGGTTGGTCGAATTATCGCCAGGCGATGATAGCACTAGACCACTGACTCTCGCTCTTTCCAATCCGACTGCACCAGCCGAATCCATAATCCTCCGATCCCATCGGTTGTGCTCGTGGGGTCACACAATGCCTCTCTCTGAAACACAGGGTTGTAACCTTATACGCTTAAACCGTGATCTACAGATACCCCTCTTCCCTGACAGTCACGCAACCCCGCTAGGACCGGGGTCGGTGAATTCAGGATTGGACGTTAGCAGCCAGATAATAAAGGGTGTGTTTGTAGTATAGTTAGAATAATAGTAACACCGGAAGATAGGAGCAGGGCAGGCAGCCAGGTAAACAAGTTACAAATAGCGATATATGTAGACTACGTACTAGAATACACTATATATGCCGTGGCTGACTCGAAGCAGTTGTAGGTTTGCTACCCGGGAAACAAGAATGCAGACGCAATGCAGGTTGCCTGCAATAATGATGTCTAGTATTACCTTCTCATGCAATAATATTCTCTATTATCACAAAGTACTTTACGTTGTACGGAGTACAGAGTCGCGAGGCTAGACCTCTCCGCTCAGCCACTAAACGCCTTCTAGAAAGGAATGCGCCAGCCTAAGCAGCAACCCTTGCGAGAAGCATGTGTTTCCCACGAGGGTGGTGTGTAAGAGTGTGTTCCAGTCCCAAATCCCTGCTGAAGAACCGAACACAAACACAAACTCCCAACCTCCCGTGACTAATACATGATCGGCCGTGCATGGTCACATCGGGTATCAAGGAGAGGGTGGGAGGAGCCATTTATTGGCTGGCTCAAGTTTTTGTGCCCTTTGCAGCCCAGACTTTGGCCACTAACAGGTCGTTTGGAAGCGCTGCAGTTTCTGGAAGTTTTGAGTTTGGGGGAAGATCCCCGTTGCAGATGACTTGTGTAAATCGTATGGGAACTTATGGTGATGAGAATTAAGAACTCGAGTTGTGATATCACAGGCGCGTGTGGCTTGATGCGATTGCATCGGTCAGATGGGTTTGTACATCGCATGCGGGGTAAACATGAGACAAGAGGGGTAGCTCGATGTTTGTGCGGTTTGAGAGGAGGAGAGTAAATCGGGGTAAATTCTTCTTTTCTTCTTTCTATTAACCTGGTGAATATTAGAATCTGTAACAGGTATCCCTACAGTACGGAGTATGGGGCTTATGCTCGAGTTGCATTGGCAGTCTGACGGGGTCACCTACCACCGAGGCCAATGCGAGGCCAATGCGGCGCACAGTTTAATAAATGATGTAAGCGTAGACAGTCTGACAGCACTGGGATCGTGCATCAAGTCACTAGGGGACCAATGTTAAAAAACCATGAAGCATCAAGGCGCCAAACTACCAGCATCAACGGGCCAAAGCCCACAAGGTCACTGTATGTCCCAGGGAGAAGGTAGAAGCTGGCGTCAAGCCACCATGCACGGCCAAAGCAAAGGGAAGATTGACGTTACGATCGATGGGGCCCGAATAAAATGCAATTTCCCAAAGTTGCTTAATTCCACAGGAAAACACATTCACCCGATCGTGACCGCGTGGTCGCCCTGCCACACGGGAAGTTCAAGATCTACTATAATCGGCGAATTGAACCGTTTGCCCCCCTGATGCGGCCAGCTAGTGGACACAACAGCGGCGTTGACAATGCAGGTTTCCTTTCTTAGTGTTTGCAAGGCGTAATCAAAACCTCGGCTACTGGAGCCAGGGCTACCCGCACCCAGGGACGGATGAACGCTCAGCAAGTTTCGTGGACTTGCCTTTTCAGGAACTCCAGCAGATGACTCTGACCCCAGTGAGGCTGATGACATCGGTTGAGTATCTGCCAGATCATGCTGTCTTTGTCCAGGGTGCGAAAATCCCTCGTTGTCTAGTCGTTTATCCCGTTTGCCAGTCAAATCCACTAGGCTCTGTTTCTTGCTGCCCACGGGTGGCAGAATGCCCCGAATGATATGGTCAACTGAATCAGATACTGGCTGTGTTTCTGTTTCTGTTTCTGTCTCCGTGTTGGTAAGCCTACCTCGCCAGCGAACTCGTTCGTATCCTCGTCCTTCATGCACATGGCCACAAACAGCTAAGTGCGGCCTGATGAGGCTCAATGCACTACGAAGCGCAACACACCCAACGAACATTCCGTTCGGTTTCTGGTCGCAGTGAGATTGTGGTGGCGTATGCGTGATGACGATGTCCGTGTCGATTGGTATCTGACCCCACAGCGCAGCAGCTTCATTTGATTCGTATCCGAATGCCCAGTTCCCTTGGGATTGCGAGTATGGGGACCCGAATATTTTAAATACTGTGTTTGGTCCGCCCGCTCGCGTCAATCGAATCAAGGCGGGCTCATGGCGAAGTAGAATGACCGAAGGCGACTCCGTGATGAGTTTTAGGCAGTGATGTGAATCTTCGAGGTGCTGGTCATGAAAGCTTTGTCCATGTTCTTTATAGAATGCCGGGTCCAAGGTGACATCGTGGTTGCCTGTTCAAAAGGTTAGGGGCTTTGTATCGATCTTCCCTGATAATGATGGTGCATTTTGGCGAACAGCGAAGATATAACTTCCATTAATGCTCGGGATAAATCAAGTATGAATCGGGCACGTGAACAACAAGTCGAAACACTGACCACCAACTATGATTTTGATTTCAAAGTCGGCCTTGCAGATCCAATCCATTGTCCTGCGGAGCTCTTTTAGGCTTCCATTGTTTGTCAAGTCGCCGGCGTGAATCAGGACATCCCCTGCTGGTAATTTGAAGCCCGCTTCGGAGGGCGTATATCCATGTGTATCAGAGACGCAGACAAAACGCGTCTTTTGTCGCATGACTCGAGCATAAAGAGGACCCTTGCCTCAAGGTGTAAATCGAAAGGAAATCAAGTTGGATTGTTGGTGTACGGTGGAATTGCAAGCGAATAGGATGAGTGGGACATGATGCCCTGTGGAAAGTCGCGTTGGCCTCGGTAATCTCTGCGAGAAGAAAGTTCCTTTGGGGAAAAAAAACAATGGTCTGGACGGGTTCATGGATATATTAGTCATCGGACCCAATGTTTCCACCTGAAGTTGGCTAGATCATAGATCTGACAATCGAAGAAGACGATAAGACAGACTTGTTCACAACAAGAGACAGGTTTACACGGGAGTAAAAGGGAATTTGTAGTTGACTATATCAGTACAATGTAAATATTTTGTACCGAACTTTGGAATTATACCACAGGCTTCAACCCCCCATTCCTTACAACTTTAAGATAATCAGTCGATCTTACAATAACCTTCTAGAACAGGGCATATCAGCCCTAAGCCAATGCCCTAACGGCACAAAGAAAAGAGAACCACCACAGCGCACAGTGAGAAATAAAAGTATTACGTAATACGATACCGAGCGGATCTGGGAGAGGCAAAGCACGTGACTTTGCTGACCCTTGATTGGTCAGACTTAGGGCTGCGACCCTCGCCATTAACACAAAGTGAGCGGACCCTCGCTTAGCCCATTCTCATCGAGCCATCCGACTTCGTTGTGTGCGTCGACTTGACACCCACGACAACAACCGCCGACAACATCCATCCCACGGGACATTAGATCACCAGGATGTCCTCCTTCGAATCAGTGGTGCGTTTATACCCAACGACTTGAGTGCCGCCACTCTCGCCTCCAAAGTGTGCATATCGAATCTGTCGCTGACTTTAATTGTTTGGAAATAGGTCGTCATCGACGGCAAAGGACACCTCCTCGGTCGTCTGGCCAGCACTGTCGCCAAGCAGCTGCTCAACGGTCAGAAGATCGTCGTCGTGAGATGTGAGGCCCTCAACATCTCCGGCGAGTTCTTCCGCGCGAAGCGTACGTTCAACCCCTTCTCGAATATTTCCTTTGCGTTCTGTGTGATATTGGGAACTGTGTGAATCAGTGTGGAGGAAAGAATCGACCGACAACACCCGCATATCGAAACCAGTGGCAGTTATTTGATGGCCAACTTTTGGAGGAAATGCACTATTATTTGGGTATCAGAAAGCTGACTCGAAATTCCGCCGTACAGTCAAGTACCACGCCTACCTTCGCAAGATGACTCGTTTCAACCCCACCCGTGGTGGTCCCTTCCACTTCCGCGCTCCTTCCCGCATCCTCTACAAGGCCATCCGCGGTATGATGCCCCACAAGACCGCCCGTGGTGCCGCCGCTCTGGAGCGCCTTAAGGTCTTCGAGGGTGTCCCCCCTCCCTACGACAAGAAGAAGCGTGTCGTTGTTCCCCAGGCTCTCCGTGTCCTGCGTCTCCGCCCCGGCCGCAAGTACTGCACCGTTGGCCGTCTCAGCCACGAGGTTGGCTGGAAGTACCAGGATGTTGTTTCCAGGTATGTACAATCTCTGATTTATCACCTCGGTGTGATTCATTGGGTCAATCGACAAATCCTAACACATTTACAGACTCGAGGAGCGCCGAAAGGTCAAGAGCAAGGCTTACTACGAGCGCAAGAAGGCCGCTCGCCGTGTTCTTGCCAAGGCCGAGCAGGGAGCGAACGTGGACAGCAAGACCAAGACCCAGCTTGCTCAGTATGGCTACTAGATACCTTTAGCGCGGCTGGTTGTTGTGTCGAGCGATGGTTCTGGGATGGAATCGCGGACGGTTTTCTTTCAGCGAATTTGAACGGCAAGCCGACCGACCTTTTTCTGCGGCCCGGTTCCCTAACTCATGAATACCACTGTCTGTGACGCACATGACGGCTCGGGGACTGGGGTCTTCGAAATTTTCAAAAGTCGAAAAAACGGAGTCGATTGGGATTAAAGGTTCAAAATAGCTGGCCGTTGACTCGCGCCGTGGCGGTTTAATCCAAAGAAACAATTTTCAAGAGTTCAACATGATTCTTATGATCAAAAAATACTTTGACCTATACCTCTTTTTTAATTTGGTAGCCCCCTCGATTTCCCCGTAACATATTGCATTTATATGCACATATCTTGCCTACATATATCCCCATACTGCCCTGCCATAATATACTACTTACACATTAACTTATATACCAAGTCATATTTTGAATTTATGCAATCCACTCAAATTCCAAGATGATTCCGGGTCCGTACCCACCGATCTTGTCCCCACACAACCACAACAGACAGACCAATCTATGATAATCCATTGAAGCGAGGGTACAATGTAGATCAAGACATTCCCGAAAATTGAGGCCATATTCAACCCCTTAGTCCGGATACGCCAGAGCTAATACCCGAAACTCCCCCGCTTGTGATTTGGCATAGCCTAGGTTAACCGTTTTGGTACCAGCCTCCCCGCATTTCTCCAACTTGGAGTATTTCCTTTCTCTACAATCTTTTCCCCTGCATAATTCCAATCAGTACCTCTTCGTTCCTCGACATCGACCTACCTCTGCTGTTTAACAAACACATTTTCGTGCAATCTACCCTCACGGTGTAGCATGTCTGGTTCAAAGTCTCGGTTGTCTGGCCTGCTTGGCCATTTCACAGGTTCAACGCCGCCGGTTGAACACCGTGTTAATACCCATACGCTATCCCCGACTTTCTTTCTTCCTCGTGCTGCTGCCGTTGAACCCAATGTAAGCCCATTGCAAGTGGTATCTAGGTAGTACTTCAATGGTCTAACAAATAATTACACAGGCTGAGGCGATCTACCATGTAACCGCCAACAACAAGATCCTTCGCAGGAGCTACGGCGAGACTGCAGACCGAGCGAGGGGTATGGCTTACTACCTCAAAAAACATGGGTTCAAAAGAGTGGGCATACTCTGTCCGAATACTCCAGCATTCCTCGAGTCGATTTTCGGAATCGCCGCAGCTGGGGCTGTTAACATCGGTAACCTAATTATCTGTTGAGGGGAGATGCCAATTAAACTAACAAATTTGCAGCTGTCAATTATCGTCTGAAACAAGAAGATATTGCTTATATATTTGATCATGGTGATGCAGAAGTGATCATCGTCGACGAGGAATATGTCCCACTTCTCGAGCACTATCGATCCCAATACCCCCACATCCCTATTATAGTAGATACCGACACCGATGTAACGGAGGGTGAGCTGACGGGTCCCTTTGATGAGGCTGTTTTGGAAGGCCTCAAGCACGACATCGATACAGGTTCTCAGGGTTGGGAAGGACTCGAGAGCCAAGCTGCCGATGAAGAGTCCACACTTGCATTGGCATATACCAGTGGGACTACAGCCCGTCCCAAGGGTGTTGAGTTCAGTCATCGGGGCTGCTATCTGGCAACATTGGGAAACGTCATTGAGTCTGGTCTGAACTACCACCGCGGACGTGCCCGTTATCTATGGACGCTACCCATGTTTCACGCTATGGGTTCGTGCATCTTCTTCACTTGAGTGATCTGAAATCGATCTGCATAACTAACATACGTATCTATACATATAGGCTGGACGTTTCCATGGGCAGTGACAGCCGTTCGCGGAACCCATTATTGCCTACGCAAGATAGACTATCCCAAAATCTGGAGGTTGCTAAAAGAGGAGCATATCACCCATTTCAATGCTGCACCGACTGTGAACACCTTGCTTTGCAACGCAAAAGAAGCAGAGAGACTTTCTGAGCCTGTCCGAGTCACAGTGGCAGCAAGCCCGCCCACGCCCTCTCTCTTCGAACAAATGACCGACTTAAACTTGCATCCTGTACATGTCTATGGAATGACGGAGACATACGGCCCAATCACCAAGGGCTACTATTTGCCAGAATGGGACGTGCTTCCTCTGAAGGAGAAATACCAGAGGATGGCCCGCCAAGGCCACGGCTTTATTACAAGTCTTCCAGCTCGGGTCATCAAGACCGAAGTGCCTGAAGGGACCATCACCGATGTTCGCAAGGATGGCCAGGAGATTGGAGAGATTGTTTTTGTTGGAAATATCTGTGCCCGAGGATACTACAAGGATCCTGAGGCAACTCGGAAATTATTCGCAGGAGGTGTTTTGCACTCCGGAGACTTGGCTGTCTGGCATCCCGATGGTGCGATTCAGATTCTTGATCGTGCGAAGGATATCATCATCAGTGGTATGTGTGACGAGCGGCTCAATTGCCAAGAGACCAGATTTCTAACAATGATTAGGCGGCGAAAACATTTCTTCCGTTGCACTTGAGTCTATGCTAGTCATGCATCCTGACATTTTGGAGGCTGGTGTTGTTTCTGTTCCTGACTCCCACTGGGGCGAACGACCCAAGGCCTTTGTTACAGTGAAGGAAGGTAGGAGCCTTCAAGGTTCAGACTTGATTGACTGGGCTCGAAATAGTAGCGGAATCAGCAAGTTCATGATTCCTCGAGAAGTGGAAGTGGTTACTGAACTACCCAAGACCAGCACTGGCAAAATCCGGAAGAACATCTTGCGTGAATGGGTCAAGGGTTCGAGAGAAGCTTAGACAAAAACGAGTACTGAGAAGAATATATTTCTAAGTAGATGATTAGATCACTTTGAATACATGTGGAAAAGATTCTGGAAGAAAGCAGGGCTTCCCTACATTCCAATGAGGTCAGATGTCCGGCACTCCCGCATCGAGTAGATTGATTGTAGATCAAGCACGAGGTCATATCAAGCGACCTTGAATACTTCTAGTCTTCACCGGCTGGTTCAACAAGGTATTTTAATCCTCATTTTCTCTTATAGAAGGTTTACATGCAAGTTTCATAACTAAAAGGGCTATACAATCTACAGACCCATCCATCTTATCAAGCGATAAGCAGTGCTTGGCACTGACTCCGCAGCACTGAAACCCGGCCCCATTGCCTCATCCCCCCTCCATTGCCGCTTTTATCCCTTCACATTTACCTGCATTGATTTTCCTGGTTACGCATTTGCATCTGACCCAAGGGGTGCTTGGGGCCATGATCTAGATTAGTTCGACTTCATTCCGAACGATCTGCCCTTGTCCGCCTCTCCCTTGTCATCCAAATACGCGCCGCGAAACCACGCTTACATCCCTCGTGCACCCACCTTGCTGCAGATATTTCCCGAAAATTACATTCATCTACCAGTCTTCAGACAAAAAAAGGTCTTAGGACTGTTGACTGATCAAAGACTGGCTGCATCTGTGGACCGGACTTGCCTGTTCCAGTCTCACATGCACCGCCCATGCAGAGTACCCTGAAGTTATGAGATTTCAACCATACCGACACCCGAAAAATATATTAAAGCGAACTTCGAAAAGCGAATCTACCCCGACGAGGATGCATCGGCTACGAGAAGCTGGTCGGTGCTCAAGTGCAGCCCCTTCCGAAACCTCTGGATCGACGTCACCCGAACGTGCCGCCGATGATGACACCGATTTCTTCATGGCCCAGGCCAACGACTCGCAATCCTCCATCGGTGTGGCCAACTTCCGCGATTCTCGCCTGTCAAGTGAACTATCCGAGCCACTGCCGCCGATCGGCCGCCTCCCACCCGAGATTCTGATCGCGATTTTCTCGAAATTGGTTTCGCCCTTAGATATGCTCAATTCCATGCTAGTGTGTCGTGGATGGGCTGCGAACTCTGCAGGGATACTGTGGCATCGGCCGACTTGCAACACCTGGGCCAATGTTAGAAGCGTGACTACGTCGTTGGGAAAACCGGACAGTCTTTTCAACTACGCAGACCTTATCAAGAGACTGAATCTATCTGCTCTGTCAGATGATGTTAGCGATGGAACTATCCTGTCTTTCAACCAGTGCAAGCGGATTGAGCGGCTGACGTTGACAAGCTGCAAGAACTTGACGGACAAGGGCGTGTCGGACTTGGTGGAGGGGAACCGGCATCTGCAGGCGCTGGATGTTTCAGAATTGCGACACCTTACAGACCACACGCTCGCCACGGTGTCCAGAGACTGTCCCCGTCTGCAAGGTCTGAACATCACGGGATGTTCAAAAATCACCGATGACGCTTTGCTCATCGTATCACAAAAGTGTCGTCAAATCAAAAGGGTATGTGGATTATATGCGGGATTTTGGGTGAACCCCAAGCGCTAATTATATAACAGTTGAAACTCAACGGGGTTTCCAATGTGTCAGACCGGGCCATTCAGTCCTTTGCCGAGAACTGCCCGTCTATACTTGAAATTGACTTGCATGACTGCAAACTTGTCACTAGCGTATCAGTGACTCCGTTGCTCACAACACTGCGGCATCTCCGAGAACTGCGGCTTGCACACTGCACTGAAATCGACGACAGTGCGTTCATGTCGCTACCTCCTCAAATTACCTTTGAGAGTCTTCGCATCCTCGATCTCACCGCATGCGAGAACGTCAGGGATGACTCAGTGGAGCGAATCGTGCGTGCGGCTCCTCGTTTACGTAATCTAGTACTGGCCAAATGCCGATTTATCACAGATCGATCTGTGATGGCTATTTGTAGGCTAGGAAAGAACCTCCACTATGTGCACCTGGGCCACTGTTCGAACATTTCAGACTCGGCCGTGATGAACCTGGTCAAGTCCTGCAACCGCATTCGATACATCGACCTGGCCTGCTGCAACCTCCTAACGGACCGTAGTGTACAGCAATTGGCAACCTTGCCGAAGCTCCGAAGAATCGGGCTAGTCAAATGTCAGGCTATCACCGACCAGAGTATATTAGCGCTGGCACGGCCCAAGATGGGCCATCATCCTTCCGTTAGCAGTTTAGAGCGTGTTCACCTGAGCTATTGCGTTCAGTTGAGAATGAAGGTGAGTCTTGGTCGAAGGTTCTGATGTACACGATATGCAATACTGACGTTACGGCTTAGGGTATTCACGCTTTGTTGAATAGCTGCCCACGCCTGACTCATTTGAGTTTGACCGGCGTCCAAGAGTTCCTGCGAGAAAACCTCACTGCATTCTGCCGAGAAGCTCCCCCAGAGTTCACGCAACAACAACGGGACGTCTTCTGTGTGTTCAGCGGTGATGGTGTCAATCGACTCCGGGACCACTTGAACCGAAGTGAACCACAATTCCAAGAAGAAGCCGAAGCCACGATGTACGATGACGACGAAGAACTGGACGAAGATGAAGGCCAGATGACTGGGCTGATGAACGCAACTGTCATCAACGACGGAGACGATGATTATATCGACGTTGGGCCTTTGAATACTTGATACGATACCCCCTTTCTTTGCAGTCGAAAATAAGCCCAGGCCCTCGCATTTCTTCCTTTTATTCAATTCCCTGTTTTCTTTTATCCACGATCCTTAGTTGGATCAAACAGGCAGACATATTTCTACCCATATGAGCAAAGATCACCTTATCCTTCATTCTGTGTTATTGTGGGAAATGCATTAGTACGCAGGCGGTTACGGACTTGGATTATTTTTTTTGTCAATGTGTAATCGCATAGAATTTAAGCAATTCTCATTTCTTTAACTCATTCCCTAGTTCAATGACTGTAGTTGTGTTAGTGTAGCACGACTTGTGCAGCAGATCCGCGCATGTACATAAAGGTATGTAATGAATTATGTATCGGAATGACGGTACGACAAGCTACCCCCGCATTTGTCTTAAATTCGACTCCAACTTCAACCTCCACTCCACCCATTCATTCTCAGCTTGAACAGCACAGGGTATGGCTACCCACAAGGCCAGAAACCCTCTGGCATTCACGCCGTGGCCGGTAACAATCATCGCCACGGTCGTGTACCTCGCCTTGATTATCCCATCTCTGGTGATCCACCACAACGTCCCTTCCGCGCCCCGGACGAGCCCCAATGGTCTCAACCTCACAGAGGCATGGCAAGATCTCCAAAGCCTGACAAAAGGCTTCCACCCATACAACTCACACCAGAATGACGAGGTCCGCTCGTGGTTGCTTGAACGCATCGACGCGATCAAGCAGTCCGCCCCATCCACCGAGGAATATCGCGACGCGAAGGAGGAGAAGCCTGATGTTTTTGTTTTCGACGACCTAGTGTCTAACCTGACTTTCATCGATAAAAGTGTCGGCGTTTACTTTGAAGGCACAAATATCCTCGTCTACATTCGCGGCTCTGAAGATAGTAAACAGAATTGGTGGGAGACTCCCGGCCGGATGCCCGTTGGCAAGGGAGGAGTACTTGTCAACGCGCACTACGACAGCGTTTCGACCGGGTACGGAGCGACAGACGATGGAGTTGGTGTTGTGACGTGTCTGCAGCTGGTGAAATATTTCCTGACACCGGGCCATGCGCCACGCCGCGGGTTGGTGGTTCTCTTCAACAATGGCGAGGAGGACTATCTGAACGGCGCACGCGCGTACAGCCAGCATCCGATGGCGCGCTTTGCCCACACATTCCTGAACCTGGAGGGTGCGGGTGCCGGAGGTCGTGCTACATTGTTCCGCAGCTCGGATACGGAGGTCACCCAGGCGTATGCGAAATCACAGCACCCATTCGGCTCGGTGTTGAGTGCCAACGGGTTCGAAAAGGGTCTCATTAGTAGCCAGACGGATTATGTTGTTCTAGACGGTATCTTGGGCCTGCGCGGTCTGGATGTCGCTTTCTTTGAACCTAGAGCTCGTTATCACACTGACCAGGATGATGCCCGACACACCAGTATCGACTCGCTTTGGCATATGCTCTCTACTGCTGTTGCTACGACGGAGTATCTTGTGTCTGACACCACTGATCGGTTTGACGGACATCTCCGCGACGATGGAACCGTGCCTAGCGGCTCAGGTACCCGGGCTGTTTGGTTCGATCTGTTTGGGAGTGCTTTTGCCGTGTTCCGTCTGCACACCCTCTTTGCGTTGTCTGTCACTCTGCTGATTGTGGCGCCGTTGACATTGCTTGTCACCAGTGTCATTCTTTCAAGGGCCGACAAGATGTATCTCTTCCGCTCATCGGTGTATTCCGAGATCAACGACGACAACATTCCGTTGCGTGGTTTGCGTGGTTTCTTCCGGTTCCCGTTCTTGATTTCAATTCCTACAGCAGTGACTGTCGGATTGGCTTACATGGTGACGAAAGTCAACCCTTTTATTGCCCATAGCAGCTCATACGCCGTATGGAGTATGATGATCTCAGCTTGGATCTTCTTGGCTTGGTTTGTATCTCGCGTCGCAGACTTTGCACGCCCATCAGCCTTTCATCGAGTCTATACCTGGACTTGGATGTTTGTTCTTACTTGGTCTCTCATGGTAGTTGGCACCGTTTATGAGCACGAGGAGGGGCTCGCTGGTGGCTACTTCATGTTCTTTTACTTTGCCGGTACCTTCTTGGCCACATGGATCTCCTATTTGGAGTTGTTCTCTCTGCCAACGAAGTCAGAGTACGCCGGTAGATTATCCGAATCACGACGGCCTAGTACCCAGGGAAGCCGGCTTGCTGCATCGGGAGATGAGCACCAGGACGATGATGCCGAAGAGGACCCGACTGAGTCAACATCTCTCTTGCGTGGCCGCCACCGCCCCACCTTTGCCAACTACGTCCGCGTTGGGGTAGACCGCGCATCCCATGAACTAGACGAAGAGGAAGAAGAGGAGAAAGACCCGAACGTGTATGCACACGAGCAGGGGTGGAGTGGCGTGTTGCCGCGATGGACATGGCTGCTGCAGCTCCTCATCACAGCTCCCGTAATTCTCATGCTGATCGTGCCCATGGCTCTTCTGATTACTAGCGCTCTAAGCCAGACCGGCCAGGATGGTAGCCCCCAGCTGATTGTCTATCTGTTCATTTCCAGTCTTACTGCACTCCTCTTTGCACCTCTGTTGCCATTTATCCACCGTTACACATACCACCTGCCTATCTTCCTACTCTTTGTTTTCATCGGAACCATGATCTACAACCTTGTTGCCTTCCCGTTCGCAGACTCCAACCGCCTGAAGCTGTTCTTCCAACAAGAGGTCGATCTCGACAATGGAATCTCTACTGCTTCACTGACTGGCATGCCTCCGTTTGTTAAGGATGTTACCTACGGGCTCCCTAGCGCAGCAGGCCAAAATGAGGCCTGTAATTGGATTTTACGAGGCAAAAACGAAGTCCAGCGATGCTCCTGGAATGCACCAGTACCACATGTTGTCCCCAGTGCTGACTCTCTATCCATTTTAAACGAGGATGTCGACTCTATGCTTGAGGCCACTGAGCTATCGCCGGACTGGATTTCGTTCAGCATTTCCCACCCTCAACCAGACAGTTCTTCTGTCCGCTTTGAAGTATCGGGCCAAAACACACGTAACTGCCGTATTAACATGGACGGCAACTATATCACTAACTTCAGTGTGATTGGCTCCTCCGCTCCGGACCACCGCTTCCTAAACCCGTCCCCAGATGGTCTGAACCGTATCCAACTGTGGAGTCGTACATGGGACAACAAGTGGACCGTTGATGTCGATTTCTCAAAGCATGACTCGTCTGAGACCGATGAGGTCGACGAGTCCTCTATCACGGGCCGCATCACCTGCCTATGGAGCGACAATAACCGAGTCGGCCTCATCCCCGCTCTCGACGAGGTGAGACAGTTCATTCCGGCGTGGGTTGCTGTGACCAAGTTCTCTGATGGGTTGATTGAGGGATCTCGAGCATTCGAGATTAAGCGTTCGAGCCTCGGGACTCTGGTATCGTGAATCTTGGTGGTAGGAAGAACCTGGTCTCTAGCACCTTTTTATCTGTACGATTTGGGTTGTTTTGTTTTCCGCCCCATATTTCAAATTGTGCTGTGCTGAGCTATGTATCATTCCATCGACGGGCATTTGTTGATTTATATTTCGGTCGAGACATAACATACCCTTGACTACATCTTCTAAGTGCATGTGTTTGGCGTATGCTTTAATCCTTACCTGGAGTAAAAAGGAACTGTTGCCTCGTACGTATGTAGTTACAAAGCATAGTCGGCCGCTTATGCGGCCTCTGACTTTGATGTAGCAGCTCTAGGAGAAAAGAGAGAAAGATAGAGAGAGAGAGTACTAATACGACTGTATTCCCTATCGAGCGGACTGGGAAAACGAAAGAGAGGAAGACGAGGAACTATCTTCTCTGCAGCCCTGCACAAACTACCACCGGTCATCCACGGGCCTCAAGTACCACAACTCAGGCTCTGTCGGCATAGACTCAATAGTAATTCCACGTTTGCGAGCAATCTCATAGAGGGGCTCGCATGCCTCCCGTGCCTGCCGTAGTACCTCTTCCGGAGCTTTGGTATCCGCCTTCCGACCCCAACCCTTTGAATATTCGTAGTGTATATCCAATACAATGGCCAAGCGCTGTAGCTGCGGGAGAAAACCCGGAGACTCAAAAGCCCGCAGCCAATCCACCCAGAGCTCAGACTGGGGTAGTGAAGCCGGACCGCGGAAGTAAAGGGCTGTTAGGTTAGGCGGAAGGACCTTGTGGATTGTCTGCATGTTGGACTTATCTTTGAAGTCCTCAAGTTAGTCAGGGCAGGCAAGAATGTCCGAAAGCAGCCCTTTTCGAGAGGTCCGCATTCCCTTCCTCCAGTGGATCGGAGGAGCAGTGTCTGCAAGTTGTCCACGAGATGAGGCAGCACCTTCGTCATACGACAAAACGTATCGATAACGTCGTATTCCCAGATTTCCAGAGTTTGTAGGTTGGTTGAGCCCTCAGGAGGCTCGTTCTCCGGTTCAATATTTGAGTTCTCACCGAGGACCTTGTACATGTGTTCTGCCACCAAGCTTGGGAAATCGACAACCTCAATTTTCTTTTCGTCCGGCTTACTTAATTTGGCAGTGACGGGTTTGAACCCTGTCTCTCCCCTCGAAAGGGCTTCCTGCTCCGCGAGAGAGAGATTCTCGGTCGTGGGACCTTCGAAGCGTAGGTAACAGGCGTAGAACAGGATTGGGTGCCCGACTAGCCCCTTACGTACGAAGGGACTTTGAACTAGCTCTCTGTATGGCGAGAATAGAGTGAGCTGCTGCAGAGGCCGGTGGAGTGGAATCAGCTTGTCGTTCAGATCTTGGTTATGGCTATGGCCCTCTAGCTTTAGGTTCTCCACGGCGGAGAAGTGGGCTCCGAGTAGAGCCCACTCGGGGTCCAATGGGGTGTCACCTCCGATGAGGAGCTCTGTTGTGGTTTTGGGTATGGATTGTAGTTGGGTTTGGAGCTGAGATTCATGGTCTGGTTGCGATACCTCATGTGGGCCTTGAACCGTGATAGATGTGTAGGCCATGGCGGAGGCCGGATCTTAGCTTAGCTTTAAGAGAAGTGAACGAGACAGGAGAGGAGGAAGAGAATATTGCAACTGGGAATGCAGACAGTATTTAACTGAGCAGCGCGAAAGATGCCCATTCATCTTGTCTTGTTCAATTGATAGGGTATGAGCTTTGTACTGGGGGTTGAAAGAGAAGTGTTAGCAACACATCGCCTCAACTGCCTTGATCTTGGGCTGATTCATAATAAAGAAAAAAATTTGTTAATTGCATGTGATTCAGAGAGACTTTTTACAAAAACTGTGGAGAGTTGGGAAGGGTGAGGCTATCAAGCGACATAGGATCCATAGGTCAGAGGTGTTCAATTAAGAATATCCAACCTTGGAACCTCGGAGTGTTTTAAGCAATTTAAACTCGAGCCATGACCATCTAAGCCTTGGAACTCTCCGAAGTAAATAAGCTTATAGGGGCTAAAGTTCTTTCTATCCATGGAAATTCATCCCGGAGAATTCGAGGTAGATCAGGTGCAAGTTTGATCTTTAGTAAGTTCCAAACATTGAAGTTATCGATAGGTAACTATCTAGTTATAGACTACATGTAGGTATATGAAACTGGTAGCACATACTCGGAAAGCCTGACACATTGCCTTACGGCCCGCCCTGATTCAAAGCGTTGTCTCGTTTGCACGAAGACCCAGAGCAAGATGCAAGCCACGTTTTAAGTGAGGATACGACCGAAGAGCGACACAGAAAATTAATATGAATATTAGGACTACAGACCTTGCTAGAAGTTACACGGAACTTAAGGCGGCCTGTATATTTCGAAGAGAGACAAGGGTGTGCAATCGAGATAATTAATACATATTCAATAACAACCGTGTCTCGGGAGATAACTACTGGGAATCGTTCTATATACAAACAAAGGTGAACATGCATCTCCAATTGCACCATTGTAAATGAACCCCGGTGGGCTCCACGCTTGTGGATTCCCATTAAGGAAGTGACTGGCTCAGCGGCACAACAACTCCGGGTGAATCCTAGAGCTGGGCGCGAGGCCCGAGGTCTGACTGTGGGAAGTTGAGTTTCCTCAGGGTTGTCGGGGAAGAGACCAGTTTGAAGACTGGTTGATGTGTGATGTCCACGTAGAATGAAGTGGGATATCGGGAGTCTCAATGAAGATCATTTCTCATAAGCCGTGAATCATAAAGAAAAAAGAAGTTCGGAGGATATTGCCGTGACGGGATCTATTCTCATCCCGGTTTCTGGGGCATTCCGCGACGACTTTGGTGACGTGGATAATGGTTGAAAGGATTGGTGAAGTCGATCGGGAGGTGATCCACATGATAGGCGCGGGCCTCATTGCTCCACGAGTTGGAGAGATCGGAATTGGTTCGTACGCGGTCGGGCGGTAAATGCTCGAACATGGCGATAGAAACGTCGTCGGCATCCATCCGGGAATGTCTGCGTTGGATGACACTAGGGGAGGCATGGGTCACATCAGAGGTCACACGGGTTGCATCGACGAAATCGGGGAGCTCGCGTGGCACAGAGAAAGATTCGGGTTTCCAGACGTGATTGTGTACCAGGTGAATGAGTTTACCAAGGACAGCGAATTCAAGCTTCAGCTTGATGCTATATACAGCGCCTTTGAGCATGGTTTCCATGATGTAGAAGTCCAAGTACTCGGCGACGAGTAGGCCCAAGTCCAGAATGATGATGATGAAGTTGATGATCAGCAGTTGGTATTGAATCTTGCGCTTGGTACGGTCCGGGTCTAAGCGTAGCATGCGTACTGTTTCCCAGATGTATAGCCCTGAGATGATGAATTCCTGCAGACAAAACCCTGTCATTTGAATCTTTTCCATTATGTTGTAGCCTTTCGTCCACAAGCCTAGGGAGGCGTCGTCGGCCAGGTTGGTGCCATAGGTGAGGGCCGTAGTGGGCAAATGGAGGATGATTGCGTTAATCACGATCATGATCAACACGCGACGCAGGACTCGCTGGTTTGGTAGGACTAAGTGTAGGCGCGAGTAGAGGACAACAGACTGGCCGGTGACCATGGACCACCATCCAATCGTGAGCAAGGTGACAGGGAGCCATGGAAGGTCGTCGGTAATTTTGAAAAATTTGAGTAAGAAGCCCAGCGAGTAGGGAAGTAGACCAGCCGAGGAGGAAATAAATAAACTCCAAAAGTAGAGACCTCGGTATTCCGCGAAGGTGACGAAGAGGAGGATCATTAGCTCGAAGGCATTGTACCAAGTGATACCAGCAAGAGTTGCAATCGTGATCTGCATGCCCAGGGAAGTTCCCTGGTAGCCACCACTGATGCCATCCCCGGCGGCAGTGAAATCGCCCATGGCATTGAGTCAGTATCAAGGGAATAGCATAGTGTGGCCCTGATAAGTGTGGATGCGGTTGAGGTGGGATATAGGAAAATCTGGGGGGGGGAACTCGGGCAGACCCAGTCGAAAAGAAATAAAAGAAAAGAGAAAGAAAAATTCCCTAAAAAAAGACAAAGAGGCCAAGGCAAGCTGGGGGGCGCATCCCGTATATTATTGCATGCGGGGGCCGGGCGATCGGGGTACCCCAGACTTGTACTGCAGTAACTAGTTAAGAGGATATTAGAAGTAACCTTGGAACGTATGATATGAACTCATATTTAGTATGTAGTATGTACTAGTATGAAATAGTAATAATAGTACTAATAATAAAAAAGGACAATGGCCAAAACATGATCGGTGTGAGAGATCCAAAAAAGCAAATTGAAGGATTCGCTTCCTAGTCAATCCCACGCGACTTCATGATTGGAGCTCTCATTTCTCTCTGCGATCTCACGAGTATCCATATTGTGTTACCTATCAATTCGGGGTCTCCAGTTTCTACAATGTGATTGTGAACTTATCTCAACGTCTCATCTAAAACCTCATGGGGCAGATTCAGGGGCAAGACATTGAACGGTATCGGCTAAAAGGGGGAATATTGGTATTGCAACCCGTTTGCCAGCCAAGGCTTTTTGTACCGGGCATTTCCAGCCTCACAGCCCGGATTATAGCCCGCCTTCATTGCGCCACGGAGAAAATCTCGTATATTAGTGGATGGGTGCCTGTTTCCAGGCTCAATTTTGTGAATTAGACGTCCTTGCGTCCCTGCATCCTTTATTCTAACTCCCACATGACAGTTGTGGACTGGGCCTTGGTATATGAACTTGAAACTCGACAAAGACCAGAAAATACCAAAGCAACGTGGAGAGAATCTCACCCTGATTGGGCCAAGCGTTGGCAGTGGACACTCCACATTCGGCAACCTTGGAACAAAGATCTGCTGATGTCATCGGGACCTGGCGCGTGACCTGCTTAACTAACACAGCCCTAGCCCCGGGGCCCCGGCCGAGGTCACTGGAAAGTTATTTGTATGAAAAACAAAAGGTCCACTGTTACGAACATGACGAATCACATTTGATTTCTCCAGACTCATTCATAATACTTCATCCAATGATGCTCTTCCCGAAACCCAAGCAGCTCCTTAATCTTCCGATTACTGATGGGAGCCTCTCTGGCCCCCAACTCTCGCGTAACCGGGACACCGGGACAAACCCGCCCCAGGAACTCAGCAGTGTTCTCGTAATTCGTAATTTCATCATTGACAGCATTAAAGATCTGAAATCCAAGGCCATCCTTCTGAACTGCGAGATCACACATCTGCCCGAGATCACGAGCATCAATGTACGCCCAGCCATGCGGCGCCCATTTCTCGGGATTCTCAACGTATGATCGGAACATGGCCTGTTTATACTCTTCCGGGGCGACAATGCGCCCAATGCGCAGGATATAGATGTCGCTTCCATATCGGCGCGCGAAACCACGCGCAATGCTCTCGCCGCACACCTTCGAGATGGCGTATGTGTCCATCGGATTTGCGTCGACGGTTTCTTCGACTGGGAAGGAGGGATAATCTACGTCTCCCTCTGCATAACTCACGCCGTAGACGGTGATAGAGCTGGCGATGATGATCTTTTTTATGCCGAGGCGCGAGGAAGCTTCGACTATGTTGTACATTGCCGAGGTGTTGCTGCGGAAGGTTTCTTCGTCTGGAACGATCATGTTGCGAGAATACCCGGCCATGTGAATGACTGCATCGGGGACTAGCCCGAGTGGCTCGCGGAATGGCTCTGACAGGTGGAAATGAGAGCCTAGTGCGCTGTATACCTGTCCGGTGTTTGTCAGGTCGACACGCAAGGTGTGGACTCGATCTTCCAGCTCTGCAGGAAGAGGAATGAGGTCGAGGTTCAGGATATCGTGACCTTCTTGGAGGAGATATCTGATGATGTGCTGTCCAGCCTTGCCGGAGCCTCCAGTGATCACGATGCGTTTCCCCATGTTGTGTGGTCTTGTTTGTAGGAGGGGCGGTTGGATAATGCGGGGGTATAAATGACCAAGATTGCTCTGTACGGATGGTTGATGTAAACGCCGTAGACGGGGAGTAGATAAGTGGCTAGTCAAGATAATCTAATTTGGAATGAAACACTCTCAGATGCGTTTTGAGGAGACAGCTTTCGCTGTACGCGAAGCGTGGAGCCGGAAGATGACATCCCGAGATGTTCGGCCCGACAAAGATGGAACGAAAGCTTCCGGATGAGTAGAATGCCACAAATTGCTAATTTACAAGAATACTCAGCTCATGCGGCTTTTATACTTGACGTAGGACTTGGGTGAGTGACAGTACAGACGTTGTATATAGAACAATACTGTGTATGATGTCTTCCTCTGCAAAACAGTCAAGCTACACCACCCGCAGCATAATCTAGGGCATATTATTATGTCAAAAAATATTTTTTTAAAAACCATCGAACCTTGGAATTCGCGTTGGACATGACCTAGGAAAGCATGGACAACGCTCTCATTGACGGCTTGGGTTTGCTGGCGCTACTATGTTGTAGTTGCTTACTTGCCTGGATCGCCTGTTGTTCAAGGCAAACGTCGTCCTATTGGCTATGTTTTTGTTTGTTATACGGGCGGCAAGTGCCAAGTATGCATGGCTCTCACCGATCGAGAAATATGTACATCATACCTTTGCACCCTGCCTGATTGAAAGCAAAAATTTGACGCTACAAGTGTATCTGGCACGCAAGCATTTTTGCTCATTTCTAAAGACATTTACGAGGCTCAGAAAGTAGCAAATGCCAACAGTGAGTCATTGTCTATAGGAACTTTGGAAGGCTTACATTAGCAGGCTGAGAAAGAAGCCCTCGGCGCTCCCGTCTCACCGTATGCGGGGACCCCATATCACACACAAGACCTTGTGTAGCAAACTGTAGGTTTCTGATTGGTAAATCTGCAATTATCCACAATGCCAAGGATCCCCAGTACATGCCCAGGTGTACCGAGTCATGATTATGGAGATGCAAAAGCTGGATCCTTGCCCGGCATTCTATGTTGTGGACATGGCAGGGTGTAGTGGATTCAACATTGTTTTGACGGGCCTGGAGGAACTGAGATGCCTCTTGCTAGACAAAACTAGTCAATTCTAGTCACCCTCAGTAAATTGTGACAGCATTCTCTAATTTCATCCAAATCAATTCATGTCTGCCAGAAAAAAGCTTTTCAGCGGGCCCAACCAATTCGAGTTGTCCGAATTCAGAATACCCAATACCCCGCTAGCCTCGTTGAGCTGATTATATGTATTAATTTGGTGTGATCTCCAAAAAAAGAAAGGTTTGGCGTGGTCTTGAACGAAGAAATGGTATTAATATGGTGTGGTAATGGGCGATCTGAGCATGATATCAACGGGCGATCACGATGATGGTGATATCTCACACCTGCTCTAGCTTGCTTGACAATCGTAATCACCCAGTAAGACCACGCATAGCGTATTATAGTGAATATATTCACAACAGTGCTTTGGATAATGTGCTCTTGCGGATGGTCTCAACTAGAATACCCGCTACGGCCTTCATCCCATCAAGATTCGGATGCAGAAGTGGTCCTAATTGAAATCCTCCAACCCAGGGTTCTTTACTGCCAAGTGCATGTTCCTGGCTGAGTTGGTGAATTGGGACTGTCTCACACCAATCGGTTCGACCTTCCACAGCGACAGAATATGCATGTTGTAGAACAGACGCAACACCGCGGTAATGTTGAATTCTCTCTTCGGTCAGCGGGATATCCCGACCAGCTTGAGTGCCAGGTCCCAGAACAGCAAGATATTCAACAAGGAAGATTCGAGCTCCCGGGGCCCGTTTGTGTATCTGATCGAGGACCCCCCTAGCCGTTCTGCCAATTCGCTGGGTGATAGTGCCACGGACGATTGGAGCTCGGCATCACAAGCATCGGCGATCATGCCGCCAATGTAGTTTATGTCGTTTCCTCCAGCAGTCACGGTGATGATATTGGCATCTTCGGGGAGGTTGGAAATTTGCGGCGGGAAGGTCACGTTGAACGGGGTAGACTGTGGATCGACTGTTATGTTGAGCAAAGTTGCACCAGAAACGGATAGATCAGTAAGATCAGCGTTCAAATGCTGCGCCAGAAGATGGGGGTAATTCTGCCCTGATCGCAATGCGGCACGTGGTTCGATTTGTGGGGGAATGTCAGGACCAGCAGCAAAGGAGCTGCCCAGACTTGCAATTTTGAGTTTCTTTGGAGATTCCATAGTCAGATGTGCCAGCAAATAGAAGAGCTGAGGAGCAGGGGAGTAGGGAAGTGTGGCTTTGAAGTTGGAGAGATTAGCTTTGGCAGAAACCACGGTTTCGAGGAAGTTGATGCCTGAGGTGTCAGGCTGAAATTACTCAGCCCAGCTGAAAGCTGCCCACCTGGTGCCCCAGGGTGCCTGGGTGGGGCGCAGGGCCCGCCCCGTGACCCGTACCCTGGGGCCCGGGCCCCGGGTCTCCAATGATTTGGACAACCTTTAGGAAATCTATTTGTTTTCCATTAATAGAATAGTTTTCTCACTCCTTTTTGAAATGCATCAGCGTTAGGTTGTGCATGTGAAAACATGAAGTTTTAAGATCGGCGTAGGGTTGGGCAGCCTAGCAGTCAGGGCGCCTAAATATCACCGGGAGAGGTGGGCTTAGGATTGTTAGAACTCGATCTTAGCTTCTTTCTTCGAGAACATGTATCCAGAAATAACCCTCTTAATGGGTGCATAGGTGGCCTAATCTGAGGCCCCCAAGGCTTGATTGGCGGGGTTGTGAATGTGTCTTACAAGATGTTAAATGTTTACCTTTGAAGTTTTGTACCATGTATAGGAATCCTGTCTTGGGGTCTGACTTTGCCAAGAGTGAGACATGAGATTCAACCTTGCCAGCAATCAGTGCAGGTGTTTTCTATGTGTTCCATATGTACTGTTACATCGACTAACATTGCATTAGCATGTAGGAAGTCTAATTCGAGAGATCATGGCGGAGTGACCACGAGAAATTTCAAAGTGTGGGATGCCTCATCACATAACCTATGCTTTGATGAATGGAAGATCAACGGCTGAGCGTTGAGAAAGCCTTAAATACCTTCATTTCTTCTGTTGATGGTTTCCTTTCCATTCTCATTCAGGCCACTCTCATCCAAGCAGCCTTTCACAGTCCAAACATCGAACATTCTTATTTCAAACACATCTTCTTCCTCCAGCAATTTGTTAAACCACTAAATCGCAAACATGCAAATCTCTCAGCTTCTTCTCGCAACTGGCCTCTTCGCCTCCTCCATCTTTGCTGCCCCTGTCACCAGCTCTGATTGGACCATACAAGACATGAAGCGTGTCTGCAACGGCGAAAACACCTCATGCACCTGGACCTTCGGCATCAACTCCGGTTCAGACACTACCGATTGTACCTATATCGTGGAGGCCAATGATGCCTCTCACGCTAACGGAGGCCCTAGCACATGCGATACATACACCGTCAGCTCAGGCTGGAGCGGCCAGTTTGATCCTACCAACGGCTTCTCTACCTTGTCCGTTGCCAACGACGAGGCCGGGCAGATCATCTGGCCTGCCTACACCGACGAGCAGCTTGCGGGCGGAAATGTCGTCAAGCCCGACCAGAGCTACACTCCCACTGCTCTCCCATAATTGAGGGAACAATCTGAGAATCACATTGAATAACGGCTTATATGGTTGGTTTAAGCCGACGATACTATGTCTCTATCAAAGCCACACGCTCCTTTTAATTGTCGATTTACGATCCCTTTTTTGTACTTAAGTTCAGTGTTGGAAGAAACAGAGCGCACAGTCTGAATGATGTATATAACAAACCCTCATGCTTTTCAATAACAGTTGAGCTATCACTTTTCGAATATCTCAATGCCAATTCTGTGTTTGGGTGTAACCTTGGACTGGGAGTATATAAGGACGCCGAAGACTTCCTTGAGGGTAGCATCTCATCCACAAACAGTTATTGTTCTTCCCTTAGCCTTATACCAATCAATTCAGTGCCATTGGCCACTGATCCCCCACCCTGAATCCCCCTGGGAAAGGGTCGCTCGAATCAAGAACCACTTGTTTGAAACTAGTTATCCAAGCCCTCCCAGCAACAGTCGGAAGAACAGCCTGGTACCCACCGACTTGTGTGGTTCCACGAATATGGCTGGTAAATTCGGTGCCAATAATACTGCGATGTTTGAAAATCTCACCCTCTGCCAGCTGACCCCTCGCATGCAGAACAGCGAGTCGAGCACATGTGCCAGTACCACAGGGACTGCGATCAAAACGCCCTGGTGAGACAACAACAGTGTTGATAGCAGCTTTGCAACCGTCCTCTTGTGTGAGAGGCTCCGTGAACTCCAGAATACTGACTCCCTTGATCCTGGGATTTTCGGGGTGAACAGGGGTGTAGGAGGCTTGGACTGTGCGTTTGATACGTTCGCCAATCTCGACTAGCTGCGTGCTATATTTCGATTCGATTTTCAGACCCACGGAAGCTGCATCCACAAGCACGTACATCATCCCCCCCCAGGCAATGTCAACGGAGATCTCTCCAAGACCGGGAACCAGGACTTGATAGTCGAGTTCGAATACGAAGGCGGGAACATTGTCGAATGCCACGCTCTTGCATTTCCCCGCTTCGCATTCTGCTTTCACGGTGACCAGACCGGCGGCGGTGTCCAAGGTCAGTTGGGTGATAGGCTCTTTCATTGGAACCATGCCGGTCTCCAATAGCACGGTGGCGGTGCATATTGTATTTGATCCCGACATAGGTGCATATTCTTCGCTTTCCATGATCAAAAACCCGGCATCGGCTCGTGGATCACAAGGGGGTAGGATCAAATTTGTGTTCATTGAGCACCGGCCTCGGGGCTCGTTGAGTAAAAGCTGACGTATGTCGTCTTTTTCGTTCAGAAAGTGAACCAGTTTTTCGTACATTGTACTGCCAGGGACATCGAGGACTCCACCAGTGATTACATCGCCGACTTCACCTTCGGCGTGGCATCCAACGACTGACAATGTACGCGAAAAGGGCATGATATTCGGTTGGCTTGTGGATTTTGTTTCTGTTTCGACAAGAGATAAAAAAAAATCGAAGTAATTGTTTTCAATTGGCAACTGGAATTTATTGAAAGGATGGTTTGCAATTCACAAGATCACCACGTTATTTTCCAGGCACAGGTATGCATTTATTGGACTAAAGCACAGACTTGAGCAAAAGCCCGGAAGGCCATTCAACCTAAGACACAGGGTGAACTCTACCTAAGGACAGTTAATTGCTTTTGAGGTGCTTTTGTACTTTGTGTCTGGCGCGGGAAGCGCTATAGGCTCCCATTTCCCCAAAAGCCAGCGAGTCATGATTAGAAGTAAAATATAGTTCTAACTAGTTTTGATAGGGCAAGAACCGTAGTCGTGATTGATCAACAGGATAATCCACACGTGTGCATGAAACTGGGGGTCCAGGCCCTGATCGAGTGTCAGGTGAGAGAACAAACATTAGCAACATCGTCAACTACGTGAACTACATAACCTTAACCTGCATATCTTTCTTGGCTACTCCGTACATTGGGGTCTCTTCTCGTCAGCTTACCGGGGTAATTCGGCTGATCAAGTGACCCGTCCTACTATATCTAGATGTTTGCTCTGTCAAAACCGCAAAAGTGTGATGGATCAATCGTACCTGCACCGCAAGGAAATTGGAAGCGAAATTATCTGGGCTGTGATTGCCTGCCCTGCATCCGGGACAAATAGCTCTCATGGGCGAAAAAGGGCCAGCTGTATGACTGGATCTTTGTTTATAGAATGAACGCTCCCCATGCGACGGAAAAGGGAATGATAAATGACCCAAGAGACCTGAAGCTGTTGCAATGAAGATCATGGGGACACTAGGTTCTGGGGGAAAAATTATCACCCCAGAATAGTGAAGATTTCTTTTTGAAAATAACAGGAGTTGTTCTTGATTTCTAGATACGGACGTTATATTGGGAAAAGAATATACCCCTTCGATCACATTGCAAATCCGCCTTCATCATGATTTAGGTTAAAGATGGGATAATAACGAAGTGTTCGCCTCTATATTATTTCAATTCCTAGAATCTGACGAGAGTCTGAAGTTCATTCATTTTTAACAAACAACATGCGACGGATATTCGGCCAATAAGTCCACACTAGAGTTGTAAAAACCGTGGTTGGTATAGCGAAGACCCAGTAAACCCAGAACTTGTTCGACATAGTCCAGCCGGAGTCCCCGCCGAAATCAAAAAATGACATGCTGAAGATAGCGCAGATGAAAGTAGGAGGGAGGAACGTAAGTGTAACAAAGGCGATCGTTTTCATCGTGGCACTGTCCAATTGGGTTGCCCGGCCAATTTCAAGGGTAACGCTGGCATCATGCTGAGCCACAGTATTAAAGGCCAGCTGGACTTCATTTTGCAGTCTCTTTTCATTTGAAGTGGACCGAGACCGTAAGTTGGTAATGAAAGACTGCCAGGATCGCAGACGAAGATCGATGTCTTCGGAAGCAGGAGAAGCATTATCTGGGTTCGAATTTGTATAGCTCTCGTGCTGCATCAAGATGTGCTCGATATTTTGCAAGGCAACGTCGAGTGTCTCATTCACATGAATTGCATGTCGGGCGATGTCGTGGAGTCGTCTGTAGTCGGGCTGTGGTCTCCCTTCTGGTTTTCCTTCTGTCTCCATCGATCGGACATGATCTCGGATAGCCCATACAGAAGGCTCCTCAAGGAGCGCAATCTGCTCGACTAGACATGGATAGACCCAGAATGGATCGTCGAGCCATCTTTCATCCGATTTCATCACTCCTCTCAGGAACCGTTCTTTGACAGGCGGGTCGAGATCGAAGGCGAGGACCACAGTTTGATTAGTTGAGGGCAGCCATCGTGTGAAGATATTGGTATGATACCATTTGAATCTGGTATCATGGTCTACCTTTTTCACGGCGAATTTGGACCAGGTATCTAAAGAAATTAGTGATGCCCTGACCATTCATCTGTGGCGTACTTACTGAAACCAGTGGTGACTCCGGAGTTTCGCGTTCTTTCGCATCCAAAGCCTCCATTTCCTTTAACGAAATGATACGACCACCAAAAATGAGGCATACAAAAAGCATCGGTGAAGGCTTGTCGACATTGTGAACATCTCTCAATCTCGGTAGAATTGGCGACGCTCGTAACATTAGGGTGTTTCTCTAGATTTGGGCGGGTTCACATACATGATACATATCTTAGACCAAGCAGGAAAAGTATCAGAAAAATCGTTTGGATCTTCAAGGTGGAAGTTCGCACGCCGAGTTTGTCGCCAATCGCCTGTATCTCCTTTGTTCCGATGCAATATTAGTAAATCAGTACAGGGTCGGGACTTCTGCTCCTGCATTTTAGTTTCATGGGATGTCATTTAAGCCCTAGGAGATTTCGAGGTTGTTTTAGAGAAATCACTCAGGAGAGCAAATCTCACTGAGTGGGGGAAATAAGAGTCGCTGAGAGGGGCCGTGCCCCCTCAGCCTCAAAATGTGCAGGGAAATATATTCAATTCGAGGTCGGATTTATATTGGAGCTTTTACCCTCAAATCCCTTACTTCACTATTTACCAGTCTGATGAGCGAAACTCATCATCCATTGTTGGCGGCCCAATATACTTCTCGTACCCCCAAACCCAGTACCATCCAGAAGCAATTAGTATAAACGCAACAAACACCACCGGTGCGTAGTTGACCGTATCTGCAGCAACAGGGATTGAAGAAGGCATGCAGAATAATGGAATGACAAGAATACTCCACGCTAAAAACGAATATGCGATTAGCCATGGCGATAAACCCTGCAAGGTCGTTGATACTTACCCAGTGCCACAATATTGCAAACCAGCCCGAGTGTACCAAGGTCAAATTGGCCATTCTTTATGTGTCGTCGGCCTCCAGCAAGAGACACGACGATTGGACAAGCATAGCTGACAGTCAGGGTAATAACTCCGACACCCGTGAAAGCATTAAATGCAGTAGTTGACCCGAAGTAAATGAATCCAAGCAGTATTTGAACAACCATGCCAAGCATCATGGCATTAAAAGGTACGCCGTCTCTGTTTACCTGCCTCCACCATACGGAGCCTGGTATACCCCCATCACGGGCAAATGCCCATGTGCTTCGGGAGACAGCCGTGGTACAGCCTATGACACAGAACAGAGAGAGCACTATCAATGGCAGGAGAAGCAGGAATGATCCAACTGGATTTCCAATAGCGGACTTGATAATACTCGGAACTGGTTGACCGGATTCTAGAGCCGCTAAAGCCTTTGTGTCGGGGAGCACAAAGACCAATGGAACAAGGAAGATAAATCCGGCGAGGGTGTTCAGAATGACTGTTCCAACCATTGCTTTTGGAACTTGTGTTGATGGTTGCTGGACTTCTTCACACATACTTTGACGCGTCAGTTATATAAGCTTTCCGTAGTGGAGAATGAGACGGGATATGTTCCTCTGGGGTGGAAACAAAATAACGTTACCTACCAAATCACCATGCCAGTAGAAGAAGTGCTATAAGCTGCCTGCAAAAGTCCGACGCAGAAGGACCAGCCTGCTGGCCAACCAGATTCGGGTTCAAAACTAGTAAAAACATATTTGGCCTCATGTCTACCTTCTTTCGCAATTGCGAGAACACATATTACAATAGCCAACACTCCTGCAAATGTCCAGAATATTGCGAATGTCTAGCTTTTGTATTAGCAAAGTAATGTTGTCGCAAGGGTTGTGGTTTAGACATACGTCAAGGTAAGGTAGCCATTTGTTCCCAAAGGCCGATACTGCATTAGCGAGAAGTGTGACTGCGACAAATATAAGAAAAACTTGGTATGTTTCCGCTTGGAAGATTCCCACCCCTGGAGCAGATTCAAAAACGTTGATACACGAAACGAAGAAAAGAGTACTCCCAAGGTTGACTGCAAGTGTGATAGTGATATTTCCAACAACATATGACCATCCGCAAATCCATGATGCGATTCTTCGGTATGACGGTGGAGATAGCATAAATGTCTGGTAGTAGACCCCTCCGGCAGTTGGATAGACCGAGGTTATTTCGCCAAGTGAGGCAGCCACACATAGGGTAATCAAAGAGACGGCAAGCCATCCCCAAATTATGTTGACAGGGCCTCCCCCAACAAGAGGGTAGGTAAAAGTTGTAGCCAGTCCGTACGGAATAGCTGCCAGTACGAAGGACATGAAAGCTACCTGAAGCGTGGAGCGGTTTCGAACGAGTTCAGGCTCGTATCCCAGGGCTTCCAGTACCCCATTTGCTGAAGTTTGTTTGCCTTCTTCAATGCTGGGAAATTCCTCAGGGGAATGGGTCTCGGAACCTTTGTTCTTCGAAGAATGACGCTGGTGGGCGGTGACTTCGTCTGCCATGATAGAAGTTTGACAAAATCGGGACGAGTAACGAAATAGTGAAGAATTTCCCGGGGTGGAGAGATGTTGACCAAGACTGGGTCAAAAGACTGAGCTTCAGGTAGTCAAATCTTGGGCATAATCGAATAATCAGCCTACAGAGGAATTTTCGGATGCAAAAACATTGGGAATTCGGGGTGTTTATCTTCTATTCTGGCGAGGGGAGTCCCGTGCGCAACTACTCATAAAACCTTGAGCACATTGACAAAATTCAGTCAATCCGTTATCCCATATCTCTCCGGGGCACGTTCCCAAACAAGATATCCAAGTGGAGAAATGATTTTATGCCGAGATAACGTTTGACAGGAGACTCCACCCGGGCAATGACCTAGGCAACCACATATGACGTGAAGATAAGACGAGCAGAGAGATTGGATAGACAATACATGTATGCCTGAGCTGAAACATCGATGATCCTCTCCGAATTGAAAGTTTGATTGTTTACCTACCCAAACTAAACTAGTACGGAATGGGTTAGAGTTTTAACGCTAATGCACGGCGGCTACGCTATACCAAATATAGCCTCCATGTGGATCCGGCGGTCCGGAATTCCTTCTCGAGACCACTCAGTGAGAGATATATGGGGATAGATTACATATGTATGTAGTGTTGATTGGTTCAGAGGCATCCAGGACTGCGTAGGTAATAGTAATCAATGGATGCAGCTCGGCAGTTGACATTGATAAAAGAATATTGTCAAATATCGAACTCCCGGGAGGCCATGAATGTAACATCAACGAGCTTTCTGGAGATATCCGTGCAAATTTCCCCTCACAATATGGAGAAAACTAAGATGAAAGGGCTTGACTTTCTCCGCATATATGATGTCATAATAAGCACGGTGCGGAGAGAACCCAATTCAGAAACAGTTACCATTGACAGAGAGTTGGAACATGGGCATTCTTTTTTTTTTTCCACCAAGGATGGTGGAGGGCTCCTCCCAAGAGTTGTGTTAGAACTTACCTAGTTTTGAAAGATTGTACAATATCAACTCCAGCATGCGCATACACATACCCATACCTATACCCAAATCATGTCCTTAAAAGCACTTGTACTTGAGACCATCCAGGTTAGTGATATGTACCTGGTGGGGCATATATCTCCCCGGGCCAACTTTAAACATGCTGATGGCCTGAATGTCAAGATTTCCCAAATGAGAAATTCCTTGCTGCAAATGCTTGCTTGACACGCTGATCACGCGCCGATTATATAGAAAAGGCGCTAGTTCGAATTAAGAAAACGAACCCGCCTCAAAGCGTAATGTTGGTCCCTTTCTGGATTAGCGCGAAAGGAAGGTGCGGGGGGGATAGCGCTAGTCACCATTTGGGCAACCTCAACGATTCCGCTTCAAACCAATCGGGGGCGATTCTCAGCAGCGGCGAGGCTTTGCTTATCGGCAGGTGATCGGATCCCGGTTCATGCACCGGCCTTCGAATTCTGTCATCGGGTTCTCATCCGATGCCCCGCCATCTCAGACTGATGTGTTTCCCTCTCTTAGCGAAACAACATTCTCAGTATCTTTGCTTTAAGTAGAATGGAAAATACAGAGAGATTGGCTTCTTCGCAAAAGAAAAGGCAGAATCCCAACCGGTGCCGACCAAAATCGAGAGGGGGCTGCCAAAGGTGCAAGCAGCGGCGAGTAAGTCGAGGTGAAAGATGCACAGTTTCTCCTTCATCTATGAAGGCCCTCTTTGAATTCCAAATAATTAATACTTATTCAGCGCAGATGTGATGAGGCAAAGCCAAATTGTCAGGAATGTATCACGCGAGGATACGCATGCCCCGGTTACCAAAAGCAGAGCTTGCAGTGGCGATATGTTTTCAAAGGCAGCGAAGAGCCCAGTAAGCCAGCACCACCGATCGAGTCCCCCGCAACGGTTGCGACCGAAATTTCCGAAGTGAACAATCCAACACAGGAGGAAAAAGACAATCTTCAAAATGAAACACAGAATATCTGGGATACGACAGCCTTTTCAAACCTCTTTGACCAGTTGCCGGATTTTGATGAGCCAACAGATGCCTGGTTCTACATCGAGCCGGGATCTAATGGTACAGCTTTCGCGAAGCCTGATTCCGAGCTGGATGGGTTGTCGATTTTGCGTCAACGACTGGCCAACACCTCCGTCCCCTCCTTTCTCATCCAACTGCCAGTGATGTTGGTGCAATATTACTTTCATACGGTTTGTAACCAATGGTCATCTTTTGACTGTCCCCTCAATCCTTTCCGAACTATTGTCAGCCGGCTCTGGAGTCGAAATGCGGCGATTTACTTTGCTATCCAGAGCATGTCAGCTGCCTCGTTGGCCAACGATTTTCCAACCATGCGGGCCATCGGAATACAGACACAACAGCAAGCAATCGCGTGCCTGAATAACAGTGTCCAAAAGAGTTCCACTCAGACAAAAGACGATGAGTACTTCCTAGCACTACTCATGATTGGATCCACCACTGGGTGGCACGATGCTTCAGATTTGGGACTTCCATATCTGAGAGCGGCCCAAGACCATCTTCTGAGACAAGAACGCCAGTGCAAGAATGCAAACTCTGCCCTCGCAAAACAACATCCACTTTTCAAACAGTGTCTCCTTTGGTGGAGCTTACTAGCTGCCTTTGTGGCAGAGGAGTCGTCTATTCTGGAGGTGGAAAGCTCTATAGAAAACAGCGACACGGATCTTTCAGTCTATCTTGTCGATGGGCAGATCTTACCGCATCCGTGGACAGGGTCTCTGAGATACTCATTGAGTCTCTTCTATCGAACTGCAAGAGTAATCCGAGCCGCAAGAACCTCCCACCGCCGAAGGCCAGAGGCTTTGAATCCCACCTTGATTGACTTGAGCTCCATGGCGGAAGAATTCGATCTCAGACAGAAAGCCGAACAGCTCGAGGACAGAATTCTCTTCACTGGCTTCTCATTCTATTGTGGGCCTGTCGATATCGGTGATTCAAACACGCCGCCGTCGCATTTTCTTACGTTGGCCGAGGCATATCGCTGTACGGCACTATTACAAATTTACCATGTTTTCCCGGAAATCCTTGAAGAACGACTACGAAGTAATCAAACTGCGGATGGCGAAAGTCCTATCCCGGCCCTTTTTTTGTTGTTGTTCCCAATAGCCGCCGAATGGTCATCGTGCTCGGTGGAAGACACACGACACACCCTGGCACTGCACATTGTATCCCTCTTGGAGCAGCTTCCTTCAACGTCTGGAACGAAGGTTATGCAGCCCATAGTTCTAGCATGCATATCTAGCGATCTTGTTTTCTCGTCTGGGTCTGTGCTTGGCGCCACGGAAAATTCGATTCCCAGTCTGAATACGCTGGATGTTGAAATTGCCCAGGCCAGACGAAAGGTTAAGATGCGGTTGTCTGAACTTATTTTAATCCTACCAAAGCTGCCAATGCAACGTATTTTTAACGTTGTGTATGAGACTTGGGATCGTGCGGACTCCGGTTTAGAAGAGTTCTGGCTGGATGTTATGCTGGATTTGAATTTGGAAACAATTATGGGATAGGCTCAGCGTTCTATTCAGGATCCTACTGCCCAATGTCTCTATCTGTTCATCAACTTCAACTTGAATCCACTCGATGAACCCTTCAGGAAATGCTCTAATTTCGTAGATGACTCTCCGGTAAATGTCACTTATAGCTTTGTAAGCGTCAACTACATTTGGACCCCACCTAGGTTCCCTAGCTACTTGAGTTACATGTTCTTGATTTCTCGTAGAATAGCCGCTCCATACTGCTTGCCGGTCTTCGGCTAACAAATAAGGTACTCTAATGCAATGCTGCAAACCTCTTTTTTTACAAAACACAAGAATCACATCCAGTTCAAAGTGTGTAACACGACAAATTTTATTCCGCTACAATCATTGGATCAAATGCATATGGTTGATGCAACGCTCAATCTCTCGCAATCGGGCATATTTGAGTGCCTAACCCATGACTTATGCTTATCCGCAACTCGTCTCCGGGCTGGAGGAACTGTGGTGGGCTCTGTGAGATACCAATGCCACAAGGCGTTCCGGTGATGATGACGGTTCCGGGCAGTAATGTGTGGCCCTAATACTTAGAATTAGTTCTATTTGTTTGAAAGAGATAGAGTTATTCTGTACCTGAGAAACATAAGACACAATTTCTGGTATGCTGAAGATCATGTCATCGGCGGATCCATTCTGCATGATCTTTCCATTGAGACGTGTCTTCAAATTCAAAATTGCAGCGTCGGGTATTTGTTCTGTAGACACGATACATGGACCGAGTGGGCAAAATCCGTCCTGATGAAGGTTAGTCGGGAAGTTCATTTTGGGCATTGACTATATCAACATACCATTCCCTTTGCATAAGACCACTGTGATGTCTTCTCTTGATGTTTGCGGGCTGTCACATCATTGGCGACTGCATAGCCCAAAACATAGTCGGCTGCTTGGGACACCGAAGCATTCTTGCATTTTCTGCCGATGACTATCGCCAGCTCAACTTCATAGTCTGCTTCATCATAGTCCACGTTGGAGGGAAGTATAATTGGTTCGGATGCAGATGCAATGCAAGTGCTAGCCTTCAAAAATACACTGCACGGTATCAGCAAGGGTCAGACGCAAAAGGCAGATATACTAACGTTGGTGTGTTTGGAAGAGTCAACTTCATCTCGGCTGCGTGCTCCTTGTAGTTTAAGCCGACGCAACGAACAGTCCCAGCTTCGATTTGCGAGACTGGCGATAGCAGTTCATCAATTGTTTTAATTTCACCCGTGAATGAAGCATCATAATCTAATGCCGAGTTACCAGCCACGACTTTGACTGAGACGTCGACCTTCTTTTCTATGGCTTGGCCCACTATGAGTCTGTTAGTATGGGTTGGACTCTCGTGAACTTGAGTATTCCATACCATCAATATCCGGATTCACTGGCTCGCCACCATATATTTTACCATCTTCCGCTCTGAAGCGAACCCATCGCTTCCAAACCTGTGGCGCATTAGATTACTCCAACATGGTCTTGGTGAAGCGCTTACTGGATGTTTTGCTGCCGTGGTGTCTTTGAACTCCGCTCCATTCACGTTTGAAATTCCCATTTTGAGAGATACTGGTGACATAAAAGATTTTCGAAAGATAAAAAGTGCGAGTGTGCTTTGCCTCCTTATCAATGGGCAGTTCTTCAGACCGAATAACCCCTGTCGGGAAATTCATCGGGAAATTCCTAGATAAGATATGTTAAAGTTCATAATTGCCGATGCCAAGACGATAAAATGCGGGGAAACCCCTTCGGGTAAAAGATAGCGACAGCGGATCAGCTGATATACATGATTGTAGGCAATGTGAGAAAGTATTGAAACGTCGGAGGCACTTAAAACAGCGATAATTTGGAGGGGTGAGATATACACGCAATTATGGTAGAGTTTTAAGCTTAAAGTGCCCCAGGGGAGGCTATAGACGAACTAATGCACGAAAAACCTTGGTCACTGCCCCCCGGCTTATCCCCCGCCCTAGAGCTTATCTCTGGGGATGACACAGAATTTAATTGGTCATGGCCACCTAAAATGTTCGGGAAATTATTCGTCCCACCTTCGCCAAATGCTTGAATAAACCGAAGGATTTCCCGATCATTGATAACGCCTGCGATAACTTCTGTGGATATATAAGAACCCATGGGGAGGGATTCTACTTGTATACGATAAATCTACGTATTCATTCAAAATGAACAAGGAGACAGATATCAAACAAGCCGACTTATCCTCGGATCACGATGTACAGATGGGCAACTTCGTAGTTGACCCCATCCGAGAGAAAAAGCTACTATGGAAGCTTGATCTCTGCATTTGTCCTTTGGTGATGCTCATTTTCTTGGTTGCATATCTTGATCGAAGTAACTTGGGGTAAGGTTTTCATCCACACAGCAAGAGTTCTTATCGCTAACTCCTGGCTAGAAATGCAGCTGTTGCCGGAATGCCGGTAAAGTCGAGTCCACGTTTTGTGAAACAATGGGTTACTGACTTATCCCTTACAGGAAGATATTGGTTTAGTCGGAAATGAACTAGGAAGTGAGATTAGCCTCGTCCAATATTCGAAGCTAGAGCTAACAATACCCAACCAGATGCCGTGTCTTTGTTTTACGCAACCTACGTCTTCTTTGAGATCCCGTTCTCTATGCTCCTCAAGAAATTACGCCCAAACAGACTCATTTCTGCATTGATTCTTGGTTTCAGTGCATCCATATTGGGTGCTGGATTTATCAAGAATGTTGCCGGGCTTTATACCACCAGACTATTTCTCGGTGTCTTTGAGAGTGGCCTATTTCCGTGAGACTATCGGCTGCCTTGATAAACCCCCAGGATAGAGACTAATTATTGCGCAGGTGCTTGACTGTTCTCTTGACCACCTTTTACAAGCGCGAAGAGCAAGCACAGAGAATTTCCTATCTGTTCGTGTCTGCTGCTCTGAGTGGAGGCTTTGGTGGATTGTATGCGCAACTCTCCCTATTCTATCAAACAAATCCGAGCAATGATGGCTAACATAACCTTAGACTCGCCTTTGGACTGATTCGCCTGGATGGTGTGGGCGGTCTTGAAGGTTGGAGATGGCTTTTCATTGTGGAGGGCATCATGAGCGCGGTCATTGGCATTGCCACGTTCTTCCTCCTTCCAAACGACTTCGAAACTGCCTACTTCTTAAATGAAGAAGATAAAGAGCTGATGCGCTTGCGCATGCAACAGTCAGCACGGTACGCTGATAATGAAGAGTTTGATGTCAAGGAAGTGTGGAAAACACTGAGAGACCCCAAGAGTTGGCTCACCTCGTTCAACCAAATTTGTGTCAACACTTGTTCCTTCGGGTTTAGTACCTTCCTACCTACTATTATCCGAGGGTTTGGGTTTGATTCGGTCAAGACCCAACTGCTCACTGTTCCTGTGTATATCTGGGCCTCCGCGTTTTACCTGGTCGTTGCCAATCTCTCTGACCGAGTGCGCATGCGAGCTGTTTTCATGGTCCCCCTGTGTCTGGTGACAGCTATTGGCTATGCCATGCTGCTAGGAGTGGATGTCCATGCGCGAGGTGCATTATATTTTGCGACATACGTGTGTGTTACTGGGTATGTATTCCCGTTGTTTAGAGTAGTTGTTGAGAGATTGTTAACCTTTCTTCTAGAATCTATGCTGTGGTTGGACTTGGGGTCAGTTGGAACGCCAACAGTCATTCTGGCTATTACAAGCGTGCCATGGGAGTCGGCCTCCAGCAGACTATCGGAAATTGCGCCGGTTTGATTGTGAGTGAAATATCATATTGGCGTGCTCGTTTTGTGGCATTGACCTCAAGCTAACATAACTAAAGGCTGGTCAAATCTACAAGTCACCCATAAATGGACGATATGTGGTCGGTCATTCTGTTTCCCTTGCTGCTATCTGTCTCGCATTATTTGGTAATGCTGCCATGTGGGCTTTGCTCCGATATCACAATACGAAGCGAGACCAACTGTCACCGGAGGAGAGGGAGCGCATTGTCAGCTCGGGATCATACGAAAAGAAAGGCGGGGATTTCCATCCAGACTTCCGATATATCCTGTGAATGTATTTTATGCTACCAAATATTGAGATCGAATCATATAATTTTCGAGAAGGTCACACCCGTAATAGAGACGAACAATATAGATCGGCAGATGCCTGTACAACCAACAAGAATGACCCCAAGAAATACCATATGCTAAGTGTGATATGCAATTTCGGAGATCATCTGCTCCCAAGTTTCAAGATCAGCAGCCTGTGGAAATGCAAAGTTCTGATCTTCCCAGACTGCAGGCCACATAATATCGGGCGAGGCGCCCGCTGCAATAGACTCAATGTTCATGGGCGTCGGCATCATTGTATTCCTTTCGCGCTCCTGTGCCATAAAGTCTGGCAATACTTCAGGTGGACTCATTGGGGCCTGCTCACCTGGCTGGTCGGTGGCTTGTGCGAGTCCAGTGGTACGGATTATACACAACTCTACCACCTTGACCTCCGCAAGACCAAACTCGTTTAACCAAACATCCTTCCGTAACCTTTCGCAATATTCCTCAAGGTCGTTCAAGATTGCCGCAGTTTGAGGGGCAATGGGTCGCCGCACGGCGATAATACCCAGGATGAAGGCACTGTTAAACATATTGTGGGTGCCTAGTGTCCATCTCATATTTTCTGATGTTCCATAGTTCAAGGACTGCAATCGGATTTTCAGATCGGAAGATGCCGAGGAGATGCATGCCTCGTGACTAAAGCTGAAGCGATTGGTTATGGACTCGCGCAGAAGATAAGGTCGGTGCAGAGTGATTCTGGCAAAGTGGAAAGCAGAGTGCAGATAGAGGCGATGCCAAGGTAAAAATGTATGCGATCCATCCAGTGAAAGCTCGGGGTCTTCCACGGCGAAGTATGGTGGGAGTTGCTCTTTCCATGCAACAAGCTTGTTGTCCATCTCGATCACCATGTCGTACGATGCAGGATATAAACCAAAGCACCGGTCTTGGATTTCACCAGCGATTTTACCTAGGCCACTGCCGAGGAGTGTGACTGTGCTCATTGTGGGATAGCTCAATGGATGAGCTGTAGCAATAGAGGACTCTTCATCAGTCAATCCATCCAGCCATATATTATCAGGTGCTTTGATGAGACACATATGATCCGAGATCGCGTATGGTCTGCCGAGAGCGAGGGCAATAGTCTTGTCAAGCAAGTACAGATTGCTCCAAAGGCGTCTTCTGGTTTCAGTGGCTTTTCTCGACAATCCCCATTTTTCTCCATCTATATGCATGCCTTGTGCTTGGGCCATGCGCATGGCAAAGCTGATAGTGAGCCAGCTCTCTGCGGCTTGTCTGGTGTATAGCAGATATCGCGTAACCATCAACCCTGCTCTGACAAGATCTAGGCTCTCGCCGTGAAAAGAGGGTGAGATAACTATCGCTCTCCTGGCAGCCCAGTAGAAACGAAGGGAAGCTTCTTCGCTTTCTTTCCGCTTTTCGGGCGAAGAGGTCGTAGGACTATCCAAGAGCACGCTAAAAGCAAGAATAATGAACAAAAGAGCAAGCCAGCGAAGATCTACTCCGGCAATTTCGTCGAATCCAAATTTTCGGCCCCAGAACTCTGCAAATTGAGATCTGAAGGTTTCGGGGTGAACCGTGTCGATAGCCCAGTTGATCTCGGTCAGGAATTTCTCGATTAGCCGATCAACGGTCACTTTATTCCGCGGTAAGAGGCCAAGTAAATCCCAAACTTGTGAAAAGGGCCCAGAGTCATTTCGAAACGATTGCAAAGAATCCTTGCTAGACAGCAAGCTCATAGGGGGCAGATCAGGAGCTGACTCCTGAATCATGCGCGCTGCCACCTGGTGGCCAAAGTATGAATTACCGAAGAAGCTAGGTGCTCCCCGGGCAATATACAGCTGCCCCAGTTCTGTGCCCTGGGTATCTGCTATAGGACTTCACTGTTAGCCGTGATCTACGTTTTGATAGCGGGGATATCCAATACCTGCTGCGCTCACCCTTTCTGGTGACATCGCGTGGCCCTTCTCATTTTCCGGCCATTGACATAGTTGAGGGACCCCGCGCTGGATACAACGAGAGCAAGGCAGTTCTCTGTTACATTTCTGCTTCCTGGCGTGACATTGGGAACAGGAAGTTGTTTTTCTCCCCCGTCTTATTCTAGGGCGAGAGTCGAGTGCCATATTGTTTCTCTTTCTTCCATTGGCGCTCATTATTTCATGATGGAACTCCAAGCCGCCAGTAGTCAGGAGTTGTTGAATTGTAGAAAACAGAGAGGGAGTGACCCGAGGCTTAACTGGCCGGAGGTCTTGGCTCTGGGGATCAGGCCTAGGATGAAGGTGCTCGCTACCACAGATTTTATTCCCTATTCATTTTCCATACAACAAGAATTAGACGGATCTATGTTTTTATTTGAAATTGATTAATTGGTTAATATTATTACAATAGAAAGGCTACTGCTAATCATGTAGTCTCTGTGGGCCTGCACATCTGCCTTAGATGTTAGGACATCATTTCAGCGCTCCGGGTATATAAAGATCCAGGGTGGCTGGTCTCATCAGAGTGAACTAAAATAATTAAAGAAAAAGAATATGAGGAAATAGTAAAATCGAAAGGAGAAAGATGAATCATGAGAAAGGGAAATGGGAAGTATGAAAGTGGCCTTGTGATGCTTAGTCATCTGACGTCAAGCGCGTTGTTTACATTTTGGCCTCGCTTCGACTTTTGATGCTTCTCCACACCCTATCTCGACCTATTTACCCCCTGCACTACTTCTTCAGGCTATTGCAATCTTCTGATACTCTGTTGATTCCTTGCATTCGCGTCTTTAGTCATGGCGATCCGCCGTTCCGCGCGCATTCGTCGTGCTCAGGACACCCCGGAGGTAAGTAACATAGCAACAACGCCTGTTGTGGGACAGTTTGAGGTCCTGACAATCGTCGGAATCACGGTAAACTAACTTCCATTATTTTATTCAGGTTGAAGACATGACCCCTCAGCCAGTCCCAGCTTCCAGACTTCACTCTGTTGCCGAAGGCGAGGAGACTGACAACTTCGAACTCCCACACATCCAAACCCCCCTTGCGAAAACTTCTTCTCAAAAAACTCCTCGTGCGTCTGCTCAACAAAAGCGCGCTAGTATGAGGACCCCCACTAGTGTGACTGCGGCTCGTCCGTCCCGCGAAGAAATGCATCCTAGCAAGGCGCAACAGAGCACAACCAAGCACGCAGACTCAGGCCTGCTCCTCGGGTTCAATCCCATTAAGAAAGATGCCAATGGTAATGTAGTCAAGCACAGCATCAGTGACAATACCCCGACCAAATCGAAGGCGTCTCCCGCGACCGACCAGTTCGGAACCCCAGGATTCGAGTACAAGTTTCACTCCCAGGAGACGGAACTCAGTGACGAGGCCAAACTGCTGATGGAAAGCCTCCGTGCTGATGCAGCTCGAATCAAGGCGCAAATGGCCCAGGATAACTCGGAGCAAGAACGTGAAGATCACGAGGCCGAACAAGTTCATGGAGACCGGAAGATCGCCATGCCAAAGGGCAAGGCCAACCGCTTCAGCGACATCCACATGGCCGAATTCAGAAAGATGGACTCCATTGCTGGGCATCCTTCATCTTTCCGTGCTACTCCCGGTCGCTTCCAGCCTGTTACCAAGTCCCTGAAGCGGTCCAAGTCCAAGGCGCAGCTTGACGAACCAGAGAGCCAGAATTCGTCCCCTTCTCGCTCTGCCATTAAGATCTCAAACCTGACCACTCCCACGGCTGCTACAACAGCTAAGCGTGCCAAGCACAACCAAAGCGAAGATACATCCACTCGTCATGAATCACAGAAGGATCAAACACAGAAGGTCGAAACCCCTCGCCGACCTGCAGGTCCTCGCCCTCGCCCTCGCACAAACGTTCGCAGTTCCCTCATGACTCCCACACATGCTTCGCTTGCTCGTACTACCTCTACCAGCATCAAGGCGCCGAGGACCTCGATGATTCCATCCTTGAAACTCTCTCCGGCCGCCAAAACAATGGCCTCACCTCGAACTCCTCGCACTGATTTCAACCCACGCCTCAAGAGCAAATTGCCCACCCTTGGTAGCCTTAGGTCTATTCTTCGTCGGCGCCAACCACTCTTCTCCCGCGACCCTGCCAAAATTGCGTCTGGTACCCACGTTGCGGCGCCCGATTTCAATCCCAAGTCGCTCTTTGGAGGAGCTGGTGATATGAGCGACTCTGCTCCAACCCCTTCACCAAAGAAGCATGTTGAATTTACTCCGAGTGTCAAGTCTCGTCACGAACTTGCTGTCGCCTCACCCTCTCCTTCCAAGGCCTCTTCCGCTCAGCGTCGTTCCATGGCCGGAGATGTGGTCTATCCCACTCTCCCGGCTCTGACTCCGGAGAAGAACTCGGCTGCCTTGACGTCCACTACTCCTACTTCTGATTTCAAGTCCATTCGTCATGTTCGTAAATCGGATGCCGGTGAACAACCCGCTCCATATCAGGAGCTTCCCGTGGTGACTCATGGCATTGCTCATGGCATTGTCAATAAAAAGAGGCACCGCAATGAAGTTAACGACGAGGATGCTCCCAGCACTACAAATTGTGAGAATGCGCCGCCTATTGTTGTGCAGTCTGAAGAGCGCAGCACCAAGAGGTTCAAGTCCAACCCGCCTACTCCAAGCCCGGTGAAGAAACGCCTTATCAAGACTCCTGTGCGTCCTTCTGGCCAAATTGGCACTCCCGCCAGCAAGCAAAAGAGTCGTGGTGTTCTCAGCATGAGCCGCCTCAACATGCTTTCGAAGCCGAAGGGACAGGCCTAAACATGCAATGACTTGATGAGCACACACCTGGCGTGTTGGCCGCGTCTCTGATGATTTGTTTTTTTTTGTTTTTTTTTCAGCCTTATGATCAACCTAGTACCCGGTTTTTGTGACCACCCTTTTTTCGCCTTCTGGATCCTTGCAGTCCAGCCCACGCTGCAGTAATGCTCTTCTGCAGTGTCAACGAACCAAAATTTCCATTCTTGATTTGTATCTACACTAACATTTTTGAGGGTCTTCGGACCCTCCCCACCTTACGGAATATTTTCTTTTCGTTCTGGTGTTGTTTTTCTTCCTTTCTTTGTTGCCTGTTCCTCGGGTAAACCTTTGGTGGGAAATATGGTGTTTGCGGTTATGCTTTCGGGCTATTGCTATTGGAAAGGTACCATGCTGTTTCGTTTCCGTGTATGTATTGTCAATGAAAATTTTCAAATCAATTCTGTGATGGAAATCGCGGACAGTCAAGTATGATTAGTTGTGTGCATTCTAAACTATCGATGTCCCCAACAACGTAGAGTGAACAACCCGCTAGTTTACGCCGCTAGCTTACGCCATCTTTGGTTTACCAAAAAAAAATATCAGGTTGTGGATAAATCAAAGGATTTGCTATGTACAACATACAGGGATTAGACTCTCCATCCATTGTGGGGAGAGATCAAAGAAACTAGCAATACATGAAGGGTTCGAAGCAGAATAGAAAGAAGAACGAGCAGAAATCAGAGGGCCTTCCCAGTGGTAGAACAAATACTAAATAAGCGATTATGCTCCGGTCTGCCGTGCAGACAAGAGCCTCCATGGTATCGGATGGAGAATGGTACAGTGACATTAAGCATGACAATCATTTGGGGGTTGTGAGGATATGGGGAGGTTTCGAGGAGGGTCGAGTCGAAGAGGTGGTAAAATGTGAATCAAACGCAGGGGAACGAGGTATGCATCTGAGATGCAAGCAAAGCGAGGTAGACATCGAGCCTAGGTTGGAGTAAGGTTCAAATCGGGGATGGGTGGCGCAGTATGTATCAGTTCTTCATGGTTTCCAGGAAAGAATCCAGGTTGTATTCTTCCTGGTACTGACGGTCATCCCAGAGCTCGCCCAGATCGTCTAGCCAGCCCTTCTTGCCCTTCTCCTTGACCTCGCCGTCAATATCAACCATATCGACTTCGTTGCCGGCTGTATCGCTTGGCTTCTCGGCTGTGTCTGCCGTTTCGCTGAGATTGAACAGGTCAAGCAGTTGGTCTGTGTCCATTGTTCCGAGCCCGGCGTTCTGTTGATTGACCACGGTGGAGGCGACGTCGATCTTGAATCGTTGCAAGCTGTGGTGGGGTTCATGTTAGTCTCTGTGCATCTGCGGGGTTCGTGTGGATGTGGAATAATAATGACTTACTTCAGGATCTTCTCCTCCAGGGTACCTCGCGTGATCAAACGGTACACGTTGACAACCTTCTTTTGACCGATACGATGGGCACGATCCATAGCCTGGATATCTTTCTGCGGGTTCCAGTCGTGCTCCACGAAAATGACGGTGTCTGCACCCGTAAGGTTAAGACCCAATCCACCAACACTGGTGGTCAAGAGTAAGACGTCATAACTGGGGTCGGTGTTGAATCGGTTAACGATATCCTGGCGCTTAGTTGCTTCCACACCTCCATCCAGGCGAAGGTATTGAACGGATGGGAGGAGTTTCTTAAGGACATCGTTCTGTACAATGTCCAGCATCTCCTTCATCTGACAGAACACAAGGGCGCGGTGGGGGCTGACATAGCTTGCGCCTGTATCCAGTTCACCCTCTGCTGTGTGGTCAAGGCCAATGCCGCAATCCACCAGCAAATCTTTCAAAGCGTTTAGCTTGGGCGCGTGGGTAAGATCTCTGATGTTCGACCGCTTGGCAGTCAGGAAGGTTTGCACCTCGTTGTACTGCTTGTGGCCTTCCTTGACAACCAAGGCAGGAGAGTTACACAGACGTCGCATGTATTGAAGCGCCTGGAAGATATGCTCTTTATCGCCTCGGTCTGCGCTGCCCACCTTGTCTGCCAACTCCTTCTGCTCCTTCTTGGAGAAGTCCTCAAACAGTTTCTTCTGCAGTTCACTCGGATCGCAGTAGTAGTTCTGAATAATCTTGGGAGGGAGGTCATTCAAGACTTCCTCTTTCAGACGACGGAGTAGGAATGGCAGGACCTGCTTGTGCAGTGCCTCGATTGCTAAAGCACCTGCCTCTTGTTCCTTGGAAGAGGATTTGCTGAAACGGCTCGCTGCAATGGGCTTGGCAAACCGATCCAAGAAGACCTTCTCTGTTCCCAAGAAACCGGGCATCAAGAAGTCAAACAGCGACCACAGTTCGAGAACGTTGTTCTGGATTGGAGTACCAGACAAGATCAGACGGTGGTTGCTGGCTAACTTTTTAACTGAAGACGTGATCTTGGCCTTGGGGTTCTTGATAAGATGACCCTCGTCGAGTACGCAGTAGTTGAAGTTGATAGGGCAGAGAATATCGTTGTCATTGCGGCAAACATCGTAGGAAGTTACAATGACATCTGTGGTAGCCAGCAGGGGCTGAAGTCGCGTCCGTTCAGCGGGAGGGCCGACATATGCAATGCAACTGAGGAATGGAGCATACTGCTTGACTTCCTGCTGCCAATGTCCAGAAAGAGAAGGTGGACAGACAATCAAAGAAGGCAATTTTCGAGAGTCTGTCGATTGACTCTTGGCGAACTCCTCCGCTCGCATATGGTGGTCACTTGCCACGATGCAAATGGTCTGCAGGGTCTTGCCAAGACCCATATCGTCACAAAGAATACCATGGAGATTGTAGCGGTTGAGGAAAGCAAGCCAGTTGACACCATCCTGCTGGTAAGGTCGGAGCTCAGCCTTGATCGCGACTGGAATTTCGAATGGCTCGACTTTACGCACGTCCAGCATCTGGGACATGAACTTCCTCTCTCGATCACGGCCCTCGAGCAACTCTTCTGAGAAGCCAGGAGGGTCGGGGATACCGGCCTCCAGGGGAACCAGTTTGACAAGGGTGGCAAACGATGTTGTTGCTAGAAGACGCACATCGTTGTCGGAGTCGCTCATACGGCCAAGGACAGGAACTACCAGGAAGATGACATAGGGGAGGATTCCATCTTCCATGACATGGATCAAATGATAGATGCACTCAATCGCACCCTGGCGGTGATTGACATCCAACCCATTGTTGATAATTGGTAAGACCTTTTCAACCAGCATCGTCATGCCCTTGACGGTGATGACACTACAAATTGTAGCGAAACATTTGGCGGCTGCGTAGCGAATGACAGAAAGTCGGCACTGCAAACCCTTGGCGATAATCGGCATAAGGTCGATAACCCATTCGTGGAGACCCGGATCGAACTTCGGCAACAGAGCCCGCAATGTGGACAGACCATCCACAATTTCTTGGCCAAGTTCATTCGCTGGGTCGGTGATGTCCTCGGGAAGTTCATCTTCTGCCAAAGCATCTCTCAATGGCCGTTCAACCAATTTTGCGAGATTCGGAACCTTCTCCAAAAGCTCGGCACCGAACTTGACTGCCAGCTGCTCCAGCGCATCCTTAGCACCCCGACGCATAATCCGTGCCTCTCTTGCCTCCCTTTCGAATTTGGCCGCGTCTGGATGGTCGCGTCGGTCTTCTTCTTTGCGTAGCGATAAGATTGTTTTCTCCAATTGCACATTGTGCGGGAATTCGGGCGTCTCAGAAGTGTCCACACAGCAATATTTGACCAAGTTTCCAATGATTTTGTCCACTGGTCCACGCTTCGTGGAGGCTGTGTAATGTTCGATGAGCCCTGCCACTGCTGTCGCAGAGCGCTGCTGAAGTTCTACATTCTCCTCTTTTTTGATACTGTCCATCATGCCCTTGATGATGTGGCCAGGTTTCTTGGGGATATCCCGCAACGCGACCAGGGCACCAGCAGTGGCAGCTAGAACACGCATGTCCCGCTGTTCTCTCATCAGTCGTGCTTCTTCAACGGCGGATTGTGCAGTGGTACGAGTGTCATTCAATACTTGGGTAGCAGTGATTCGTTGGGCCGGTGTGAGGTTTTTCTTCAGTCGATCAAAGTCAGGACCAACGATCTTCTCAGCGTCCGCTAAGGAAAATGCATTAGGCCCGGCTTCCGAGTCTCCCTGAACGACCACAGCCAAGGTTGGTAGCCGAGAAGGTGCCACATGCGCATGATCCCGGAAAGTATTCAACAATGAATGGCACTGGGAGCGCGCGACATGAAGGTAGCACGCGATGTCCGCATACCAGGATGGGCGCTCGCCTTCGAGAATTGGTCGAAGACGGTCACACAGAGACGAGCGATATTTGCTCTCTGGTCCGGATTGGCGAGCATACTCTTCCATGACCATGGCCGAGGCAAGCTGCGTTGTGGAAGCAGAAACATTAAGACCATCCAAAATTGCCGGCCAAAGGCTTGGTAGTTCATTCTTGTCCCAGAAAGATATCAGCTCGCCTAACGCCTTCGCGGCGTAAATCTTGGATCTCAACATGGTGTCTGCACCAACGAGGTCGATATCACCGGAAAGCATGTGTCCGTCCACGTTGTGAGCTGAGGGCGGAGGCGGTTCTTTTTCTTTCTTCTCCGATTTGCGCCTCCGTCCCACCTTGACCTCAGCCCCACCCGGAACAGAAGCAGGGGGAGAGCCTTTGGACGGAGTGGGAGCCGGCAGAGCGGCGGAGAATGGCAGACCAGACGGTTTAATAAAGAGCGAGGCGTTCATGGGGATGGGGTACCGGGGAACGCCGAAAGCGCCCAGAGTCAGAGTAACAAGAGGCTGGATGGAGTCCGATAACTCCTCTTCGGATTTGAACGAACCGCGCAGCTCAACAACGTTGAGGAGTTCAGACCACACTTGGCCAGACAATTTCAAAACACCCTCGTTGCGCTCCACGAGAAGGTTTTGGAAAATCAAGCGCAACGCCTTGCCATCTACCCAATCTGTGGTGCCCTCGCCCTCCAGCTTCAAGAATGTCATGAGAGCCCGAAGGACAGCCGAGCGAACGCTGGTGATGGTATGGCGGAGGAATGGGTAGAGGCGGGGGACAAGTTTGCCAAATGACGCTTCCGGGTCATCTGCAGCGTTAGCCTTCATAGCATCCAGAACTTGAGAGAATGTGCACAGCTTGGCCAAAAGGTCCATCACAGATCCTGTACTGGCACTAAGATCGTCCTGCAGATTAGAGAGACAGTCCCAGACGATGTTCATCAAAGGGCCAAGAGTGCCAGTCCGGGATGACACAAACTCCTCTGCAATGGGAACAAGTGTAGCTGCGCTAACAGCCCTGACATCATCATCATAATCAGCGAGGCCTTTCATGACAGCTTCCAGGACGCCATCCATCATGTTGGAATCATTGACAAGCAAGTCCTTTCGAACTGCGACGAGGTATCGCAGCCCGATCATACCACCATGGCAGACCTCCCATACGGGACGATCCAATCCCAGGTCGGTCTGCATTATGATCCGGTATAGGCATCGGTAGACCGCTCGGACTGAGTTCGGGTGTAGGTGTGAGAGAAGAGCACCGAGAGTCTGGCCCACGGTTTCGCGAATTGGGGCAACCACATTATCTGAAATGTAATCACCAAATCGGTCAAGCATCAGAACGCAGAGTAGACGACATGAGAGGTCATCCAGCCACCGGCGGTTGAGTGCATCGTTTTCTGTGCGACTTTTTCCATCCAGGCGGCCAGCTGCCACACCCTGAACCCTGATGACTTCACGCAGGGCCATTGCGGCACCATGTCGAACTTCCCAGTTGGAATCAAAGATGTCCATAGTTAGGAATTCACACATGTGTTCCAGAGGCCATCCTGCACCCTGCTCCACAATATCTGGCTGGATATGGGGTCGCTCTGGAGCGGCAGCTCCTTTGAATTCAGTAACAAGCTTAGAATCATCATCTTCTTCAGTGCGTTCTAAGGAAAAGTAATCGGGTTTTGTCTCGCCGTTCTGATCATCTCCGTTCTCTTCTTTGACGGGATAGGGAGTTGTGGCCACAGGGGTTGTGGCAATATCGGACTGTCGACGAGAAGACAGATCCACGACACGGACTTTGTTGGCCCCCATCTTGGCATTCTGCTTGTTTTTCCGCTTGAGCTGATTGAGCTGTCGCTTGCTCAGCCCCCCGTCCTCCTTCGTCGCACTTTCAATGGGCGAGGAGGGCCGGCGGGAGTGAGCTTCATGCAGACTGTTATGATGAGAGATTGGCAGAATAATCGGCTCATGCTTTGGGGCAGGAGTTACCACTTTAGGAGCCAATTCGATATCCTCGATCAAGTCTTCTTCGAGGTATTCACCTTCAAGACCCAGCCGCGAAGTCAAAGTCTTCTTTTGGTGCTGTAGGCGTGCAGCTGGTTCCATGGACGCGAGGGAGTACTCATACTCCTTGCCCGCACTGCCGAGCAGCCGCTTACCGTATTTTAATACGGAAGGGATGTCCAAGGTGTCGAGTTTGAGGAAATCATCGGCCAGGATTGGCTCTTCAGATTTGACCTCGGACTTGATCTCGACATCATCTTCGTCTGCTGCAGACTTGATCTGGAGTCCATCGTCCTCGTTTGGATCATAAATATCTGCGTTAGAGACAATCAATCCAATAGCTTTGGCAGAAGCTGTCCTTGTGTCCCAGGACTTGGATCTGAGGTAAGGCAGGATGCGCCCGAGTAGATTAAACAGTTCATCTGGATGCTGTTTCTGCACATCTGCAAGCTGCTGAGCAGCAGTATTACGAATCAACTGAGTACTGCCCGTCTCGAGTAGCCTGTATTGTCATTGGTCAGTCGTCAGTCGTTTCACGTGATTGCAGGCATTTGGTCGGAATACTCACGTGACGAGGCGATCGAGTCTGTATTATATTAGCTTCACGTGACATGCGCGTGGTGATTGGTTGAAGGGACTTACCGGGAAGCCATCGCGGGTCTTCACTTTTCTCCCGACTATGCGGCACAATTTGAATAAGGGAAAAAAAAAGAGAACACCACAAAGAAAAGAGCAATTGCGCGCGACGAAGCGCGCAATTAGGGTGGAAAGACCTCGATATGAAAAACAAAGACCAAACGCCCAACACCTCAAGCCGCGATGCTGAGTCAGCGGGGGGATTTAGATTTAGTACACAAGAGCGAGGGTCGAGGTCACGCAGCCGGGTTTATATCATTGGGGGTGTCTGCCCGGCGCGCTGGTCCATGTTTGGGTCACTCCGCCTAGGCCGTTTGTGGTTTAGCGCGGGCGGTGGGCTTCCACTCACAGCGCGCCGATTTTTTTTTCTGCTGCTGAACGGATCACGTGAGTCCATGAAACGCGTTTGATGACATAGAGCATTTAAATTAATCAAAAATACCTAGTTCAATGTATTGAAGCTGTTGTGATGGAGCGAAATTCTGTGAATAATTCAAGTAAAGGGTTATTTGAGAATTTGTTCAAGCTTGGAAGGAAGGAGGGAACAATGCCAAGACATGCCAGATGGCCTCTTCAAAGTTTAAGGAAATCACGAATGATCAGCGGTGCATGTACATTGATGTAGGTGATGGTTTTATGATATTTTGAAAGATAGGTGATTAGATCTCGGTGCAAGTAGTGATGCTTTTTTATACTTATACTAGAAGTATAAGGTGTCAGTCGAATTTTGTTGCTGTCCAAATGCATCGATCGATCCGCCGAACTATATATGTATCCGCTATATAGATTCCCATATCCAACAATCTTTTTTCCTTCGTGCAGTATTTTCTTACTTTTTCCCCTCGAGCCGAGCACATAATCTATGCATACGGGTTTAGATATTGGTTACAAAGACAGTTATGGCCGTATGGTGTCATACAGTTTTCAAAGTATGATTTTCGAAGTATATAAAGAGAAAGCCAGCGATACAAAGAACCCCGGGTTAAGCGGCTAGGCGCGTGGGACTGGTAATTCGACCTCTTTCCCTCTGCCCAATCAAAATCCATGCTTATTTTGTCAATTAGACTTCTGAGATCGGATATATCTCGTCCTACATGGCAGCATCTGCCAATTCCGAAATCCATTGTGGATCAAGCACATCGAAATTAAGGATAAAGCACTGTTTGTCGTTGAATTGGAGTATCATTTCGCACCGACAGACCTGAAAGCCAACCAGTTGAGCGTTTCTATACAGTCACAGGCTCCGGGCAAAAGTCCCGGGGCGGAAACACGGAATCACACGCATTGAAAAAGAATAAGCACATCCTTCCCATTCACCGTTGGCTCAGCACATTGGCTGCCTGCTCTTCCTTTCCCAGTAGACCCAAGCTCCGGATTTGCTCAGCCTTAGGGGCATTCTCTCGCGGGTGTGCGGCCTCGGCCTTGCGATAGGCAGCTTGCATCTTCATAGTGCGGAGAGCCTGTTGTTCCAATTTCCCATTATCAGACCGAGGTCCATTTCAAGTGTGCAGGTATCTCGATCGAACGGGGATTGCCCTTACCTCTTTCCGGTGGTGAAGGCACTCGTAGTAGTCGTCCAGGGCCGGCACGCACTTCTTCTTGCCGCTCGCACCATCGCCCGAGTTCACCACGTAGCAACCAAGAACCTCTTGCCAGAAGGGGTAGCAGCGACCAGGACCTAGAAAAAGCCATAGAACGTTAGCCGGTTTTATTCGCGGGGCAAGGAACTGCGTGCGCAAGTTGTGATCCGAGGACATGTCGGCGCGGACCCAAGCAGGTTCCCTAGGGATGGGGAAAATTAGCACATACCGCCGTTGTTACCGTAACCGGAAGCCATTTTGATGCGTAGAAGAAGGTAATTGAGTAAGTGGTAGGCACAGAGACCGCGAAAAAGGTAGTGATGAAGTGCCGGCAGATGCGACTCTTCCCTTTCGTTTCCGACTTGGTCTGTGCGCCCCGCCGTATGCAACATGGCCATCACCAACTATGAGGCCACCTCACTCGACTGCCTCGTCTCTTTAGCTTGATCATGGCTCTCGAAGAGCTGTCCGATGCACATGCTATACTACTAGCTACACAACTCTGCGCAGGTGGTAATGTGGCGGACTTGCCTATTCTACAGGCCCGGTTTCCCCATTGTTTTCCGTTGGAACGCCTCCTGCGCATCATCTTGACCTTTCTCCCAGAGAGCACAGAGCCCTCTCAGTATACCCCGGTGATACAAGAGCTAGCAAATAGCTCTAATCTGCCATCTGACCGACCGATCAATACCTCTGCCGTCCAGGACTTGTCCGAATCGCTCGCAAGAAAGCGCGTGCGGAAGCTTCATTTACGGCCACTACAACGCCCTGACGAGGAAGACGAGATAGCTTCAGCAGATCCTTTGACCAAATTCCTTATCCACCGGGCACATCTGATTGACTCGGAAACAGCGCTCCAGCCTCTCATCCTCGATCTTATCATCCCGTTCTACGAGCACTCGCCAATCATTCAAACATGGCTAATATCGAGCCTATTACCATTACTCCGACTGAACTATGAATTCTACGCCCATCGAGACGAAACTATATCTCTTGAGATCCTGGAGTCTATGGACGATCAAACCGCGGTCAACATTCTCCTGTCTTTGATGAGCCCCGAAGAAAGCAACATGGACTTGGTCAACAACCTCAGGGGTCTGATTGGACCTTGGCTCTATGGTGGTAATCGGTCAAAACGTCGAAGGCTTAACGAAGCAGCTCAGCAGAGTTCGGTTTCTTTCATTGAAGGCTCCGAGAAACCTCAAGCAACCGAGTTGGCTGGATGGGAACACGTGAATGAATGGCTACTGTCGCGGAGTCTTGTAGACCGCGACAGCGTTGTGAGCGCCTTCACCCACTGGGATGGACCATCAGATGTGGACTTGGGGGGATATGACAATGCTGGCACGCAATTGTCCGAAGAGCAGACGAGAGATTTACAGGTTCGATACGGCCAGTCCGGTCTTGCTGTGGTGTATGCCCATGCAGACTCATCGATGGCTATGCTGGAGGGCTCGTTCCAGGTCCTGACGAGGGTCGCCAAGCTCCTCGATCTTGAAGACAGCTCGTACCTCACTCCTGATTCAGAACTGCCATCTGTGCACTATGATACCGAGTCAATCTCCTCGACATCCCGCGCGTCTCTATTGCAGAACTCCCTTTTGAGACGAACGAACCATCTTACAAAACCATCGCCCCCATCAATCTCGTTCCTTAGCGCTTTACTTATCTCCCTCCGTATACTGACCGAACTTGGTCATCTGGTTCCTTGTCGGGTTGCGGCAAATATGTGTCTTCACAGTACCGAGGAAATGCAATTGGCCGAACTCAAAAGTGTTGTGAATTCTACTGTGAAGCAACCAAATTCAAACCAAGACTGGTCTATGGTTCGACAACGATTGCTTTGGCTTCGAGATTGGCAGGCGGAACAGTCCGATAACGCCTGGGATGAACCTTCACCATACCATGGACTTTTCTGGCGGATCCCGCGCGACACGGTTGAAACGGAGATCTTGAAGGCGCTGCTGGCAGCTAAAGGTAATGTGACCCAAATTTACTCTTCGTTGTCAATACTGATGTTGTTTCTAGAGTATGAATTGGCCATCGATATATACACCAACTCTAAACCAGCGCCACTCAATCCTGCCCAAGTGGAAGCTGCGGTTCAAGAAGCCATATTCACAGCCTATGATAATGCAAGCAACGGAAATCGAACCAGGGGCGGAATGAAGAGAGCTTATGACATGTAAGTGGTGCTACTAAAAGTTGATGCATGGACTCAACACTGACAGTAATTTAGCTTACAATCATTCACATCACACTTCCCGGAGTCTGTTGTATTCAAACAGATCCACGCCCTCATCGCCGCAACACACGCACTCTCATACTATTCGCTGACCCTGCAACACGGTGTTCCATTCCAGCCTGTTAGCATTCGCGTCCATCACGACCCCATCCTCTTGATTGAGAAAGTACTTGAGCAAAACGCAAAAAGCTACACCAAACTAGACGATCTTCTCTCTATCGGACGAAACCTAGTAGCCGCAGGCGTTCCCACGCAAGCGGCACCACACGAAGCTGAAGACGAGCCGACTCACCATAAACCCCCAAAGGAGCACGCCCTCCTCACTGCAGAACGCCGCATCACCTCCCTAGCAATTGCCTCCGCTCTATCCTCCAACGACTTCGGCACAGCCTACTCCTACATTCTAACCCGACTAACACCACCGTCCCTCCTCTCAACCTCCTCCCCCCTCCTAAACACCACCTCGGTCCCTGACGACATCACCTGGCGTGCCGTCTACAATGCAGGTCGCTACCGCGCCACAACACCAACCCACCCACCGCCAACCCTCCAATCCCAAATCTCGCATCTCTCCCAGAGAATGGAACTCCTCTCCCTCGCCCTCGTCCTCGTCCCATCCCCAGACCCACTCCCGGAAATCCTCGGTGCCTGGCGTCGTTGCGATGAAGAACTCACCTCGCTGCGTGCGCGTGAGCAGCAAGAAGAAGACCTTTGGGACAGAAAAGGCGATACACTGACCTCTGTCCCGGGAGGATTCGGGCCCTCGGACTCAGAGCGCGACGCCTTTGATATGGAGCAGCAACGGGCCGCGCGCCGTGCGCGCGCAGCAATGCCGAACTCTCATCGTCACGAGGCGCCCATGGGTCTATTTGAGGTTGCTCGTGGCGCGGCTTTGGCGCTGCATAAGAATGCTTTCCCGTTGAGGGGCGCAGCTGATGGTTCGGCGCCGCTTGCTCCTCGGGATGATGATCGGCCGCTGTCGCCGGATAGTGAGGGTCGTGTTAGGAAGAGGGATATGGTTAGCAATATGATGACTGGGGGCTTGGTTAGTGGGATTGGTTGGGTTCTTGGCGCTGATCCGGTGAGCAAGAAGTAGGGGAGGCAGGGACGATATGGGGTTATGGAAGGTTGGAATTCCTTACAGTTGCTTCTGTGGTTGATGAGGATGCGTATCGAGGCATGTGCTGTATGTAACACTTATGATAACAATGAGACCTTTTTTTCTTAGAAGCATAAGGACTGGTTGTTAAAAAAAAATAGCTGTTATAAAGCCATAGCATAGTTGGTTGTATATATAGTTGTAAGAACCTACCAACCCTCGAAGTCTCTGATTAATACATATCTTCTACTATGACGCGGACGGTCTTAAATGGGCAAGTCCAGACGTATATTCTTGTACCCGTATACATAACCAAATTCGAAGACAAGATGCAATGGTATTAAGTGCCTATGTATGTCCCAAAGGAAGTCTCCAAAGCATTGCAACACTCCCGCATCCAGTGCAAAGCAAGAAATAGACCCAAAATATAACCCTAAAGCGGACTAAAGAAAGCGAGCTGTACACTAAAAACGAAAACACGATATACGAAGATGGAGGATATGTCCAGGCTCGAAATGTGACAGAAAAGGACCAAAGCAAAAGGAGAGAGACCAGTCCATCATAAGGAGATGAGGGAAACAGTGAGAACCGAAGGGCAAAAAGGATCGAAGGGTATGCGATGCATGGAGAATGTCAGGCCATCAAGGATCGTAGGAGGTGAAGCGTAGCCGATGAGATTCGTGTCGAAGAAAAAAAGGAAAAAGCATTTGCTGATGATAAGGGGGTATGAGAGTAATGTCGAGCCCCGCGAGTTCCGGCCCGGGGGAGCCAGCGGAAAGCACAAAACGCAGATGGATACGAAGTAGAGTCGTGAGAAACGGGTTTGAGTTGTTGACAGCCAGGTCAATCCTTGGGGTCCAGCCACTCATACTCAAAATAAATGCAGCAAAGCAGTAAAGCACCATCAAAACAAGGGTCCTTGGGGACTTGTTTACTCTTTCCAATCCCACACCTGCCTTATAAAGTTGGCCATGTTGACCTTCTTGTTTCTCATATCCTGCACCCATGGATGTTCCAGCATCCGCCAGGGTGTCGCACGTCGAGGGGGTCTTTTTCCAAGCTGGTGATCGAGTTAGCATGAAAAAACGAGGATCACAAAGACAAAGTACATACCAGCATTCGATGAAGTATTTGAAGTTGTCCGACCAGCGAATGCCATTTTGTGGCTCATCCTTCAGCTTGGGGATTGGCTGGCGGACAATATAAGTTAGGAGATCTATAAGCCCTGCACGGGGTTGCATCTCAGTCCCGTCAGCAGGGAAGGGGAATCGGTGCTGCGCGACTTCCAGTAAAGTCACACCGAGAGACCAAACGTCGGATGTAATGGTGTATGATTGACCAGTAATGCGCTCGGGGGCCATATAGTAGGAAGTGCCAATGAAGGTGTTGGCGTCGCCCTTGGTACCGAATTCACCGCTGACACCAAAGTCGCAGAGTTTGACCTTGCCATCACGGCACAAGAGAATATTCGATGGTTTAATATCTAGAAAACATTAGCTACCCATGGTCAATGGGTACCGGGGGATAATGGTTCGTACCTCGATGAATGATCTTTCGGCTGTGGAGATAGGTCAACCCATTCAAGACACCTTCTGCGACCTTGCCAAGGACCTTCTCTCCAGTGCGACCTCCAAGCTTTTTGACCTCTTTGTAGATACTGTCCAGGCTTCCACCTTCACAGAACTCCATGGCGATAGAAATGGTGCCGGTGGATTTATCCATGAAAGCACCGTAGTAGCGACAGATGTGGTGCGAAGCGCAGTCTTTGTTGAAGTTAAGCTCACGAACAATTTGTTTCTTGACATCAGGGTTGGGGTCCGTAGTAATGATCTAAGACGGGACGTTAGCCTCCACCGCCGAGCGCAAGTATGCAAAAGTTGACCAGCCAAAGCAACGCACCTTCAATGCAAAAACGGTCTTTCCTTCCTTGAGTCGGCATCGGGTGACAGCTCCGCCAGCACCCTCTCCCAGACTTCCCAGTTCAACGATCATATTTTGTTCACTGGCCGCGTGCCAGCCTTCATCATCGAGATCATCCACATCAAGGGGCCGGCCCTTCTCAAGACTCAATTTGTCTAGATCGGGGAGGAGGCCGTTCACATTGTTTTCACGGTCTCCGTTCTCGCGATCTGAGTACACTGAACTAATGGCCGAAGACGGATCTGACGAGCCATCCGGCTGTCGGAGGCCCATGGCGAAATTGATCGTCGAATATGAAGGGTTTGAAGAGGCTGGTCCGTTGGTCTGGATTTGTAGACTGGGCGGACCTCCGCCTCCTAGACCATTTGTACTCAGTGGGGGCGGGGCTGGTCGACCGTTCGGCATGAGGGTTGGCTGGGATACATTCTGCTGACTGCCCATAGGAGTTGCGAGGTGCAGTCGTGGGGGTGCTGGTCGACCCGATGGGCGAGGCTGAGGTTGGGGTTGGGTTTGGATTTGAGGTACTTGGGCGGGGGCGGGATTGCCATTGACGGGTTTGGCGCTAGGTGAGGGGGGGATGCCTAACGTGAGCTTCGGGGCTCGTGGGCTGCCGTTATTGTTGCGAGCACCAGGAACTGGCGGACGAAGGAGTGGAACAGGGGACGACATGGCGAGATTGTTTTGCCTTTCGCCAGGCAAGAACAACTCGTTCGGATCTGCGAGAGTAGCCACAGTGTCGACCTTGGACCAGTCCGCCTTAGGAAGTCCTGCGGGGGAAAGACGGATTGGAGTGAACAGAAAATATATGAAAGGCAGAGCAGAAGTAGAAGTAAAGGCAAAGGCAAAGACAGAAGTAGAGGCAGAAGCAGAAGCAGAAGTAGCAGAGATAAGGTAGAGAACAAACGAGTGGAGTTGGAAGTTACCGAGAGATGCGGCAGGTGACCTGTTACTCCACCATATAAGAAATAGAGGAGTCCTTCGTACTTCTTACAGAATATATATAATATATCAAGTAAACTGGGATCTAGTTCAAACGTTTGTAGGACTTGAAAACTCTCTTCTCTAGAGAATATTAATAGAGCGACACAGCCGACAACAGAGGTCGGGCTGTGGTGGGGCCCCTTATGTTTCAGAAAGCGCCTGAGCTGAAACATATGTCTACAACGTAGAAGATACAATTAGATGTCTTAATTTTTTTGGTGTTGAAGTTGTCTATTCTGATATTCTGATTCTTTTTTGCTACTATGATTATATTCCGGGAAATCAACAGAGAATTTTCCAAAGTACCATGGTTCATGTTTTCTCCCCTTTTTCGATTTGTTATATCGGTGTAGGTATACACATTTACCTACACTATATGTAGCTAGAGGTGGTCAAACTAAACTAAAACTAAACTAAAACTAAACATTAGATCTCTACGAAGTATAACTTTCAAACGTTCTTGTAAACTTACGTTGTTGCCTTGGAGCCGCAATTAATGGGCACACTTACAGGCAAGCTGTGGCGTCGACATCATTGCCAGCACATTCAAGCCTGTTCCCCGCCTGGAGACGACCTATCACAGGCCGTAGATGTTTATCCGGCTGTACAGCCCTACAGAAGTACCGACTTTTTGCAATCTATCTAATGTGCTATATGATGCAATCTCCAGTTATATCCAGTTATATTGCGAGGGCCAATATGTCAAAAAAAAACTAGATTAACTACCTGTAGATATGTCATTGAGGGGCTAATCCAGGGCTAAATCCAGTCTAATTCCAAGGCTAAGATTCTATCCCTTGGAAAGGTGTGGCTTAGCCCGAATCTGTGGCCACGCAATGAGACTCGATGATGACATGGGCGGGCCCGGAATCCCTGGTCGATCCGCACCAGTAGCATTTCAGTGTCACTGTTCCCCCCGAAATTTGAGCGTTAAAAAAACATCCGTTCCTATCGCGTTCAATTCAATGGTGATTTAAATTAGACCTGATTCTTGCCGGGAGAGCCGATGCCAAGTCCTACAGATGAGGTCAATCGTACAATAATATAAATAGCACAGTAGCCCCATTGTGGATATCACAAATTGGATTCATTTGAGACAAGGGTCTGGTAAATCTCGATCTAATTTTGATCTTAATGAGGTCCAGGAAGCTCGAAAATGCAGATAGAATGGTTTTTATACATATTACGCACAGCATAGACTATATCGGCAGTGGAATAATAGTTGATATTGAATAATGCCTGAGTTAGCGAATATAGAAATAATATCATGAAAATATTTGACTAAATCGTGCGCATGTCTTCAAAAAGCTTGTTTATACTAATAATCCCGTTAGTGCATTCCCAGTCATCAATTAAAAGCAAAATTGAGCCATAACCGAGAACCTCGCTGTTTGATGAAATGGGAGACCCAGCCCAGCTTCGGTCCTCCCTGGTCCTTCAAGCATGACCATACTGACAATACAACCAATTAAAGGCCATGGCAATCACCGATCCATGATCATTGAGAGATTTTTAACGCCACATTTGAAAGACAGCACGCAGAGCAGCCAACTTTTCCGATCCTTTCAAAACAGGCTATATTGTATGAGCTTCCACAGGTGTTGTCTTGAATTACACGGTACCACTGAGCCCATTGTGGTACGAAAAAATAATGTCTCCGCAGCGTAACTACAAAGTATGTTGTATATCTGGACTCCGTGCGGAGTATTATTATTCGATAGGCATAAACTCAACGAGTTTATTATTCTTGTCAGTGCCGCTCGCTTGTGTCATCAGCGCTAAAAATGACGCGTCGATGCTGATCGGTCGGATTGGGTGACAGATAGGTGATAGTTGATGACGATCACATGAAATCGGATTCTGCAGTGTTGACTAGGCGATGTGATGGGGTAGCAGGTGAGGACAGTCTCGCATCAACACGGAATTAATACCTTGGATGGGCGCTAAGGGCATAATTGTACAACTACTCCGTAGATATGTCAGTGCTTTGTGACAGGGAACAAGCCCAGATGGAATTAGTCATATCAAGGTTCTACTGAGAAGTAGAAAGTCGACTGGAATGTCAAGCACGAATCTCTCGACTTGGCAGATGTGATATCCGTCTCTTGCTCATGGCCCCGGGCAATGCCCAGGAAATGTCAAGAGATGTGAGGAGGGTAGGATGGTATTTCCAAGCGCTCCCAGAATGCGATATGAGGGGTGAGTTAAGGCGAAAGCCCCCTCCCCTGAACATCAGAGACTCGGAAGTCAAATGAGGAAGGTCACGGGCATCCCACGCGATAGGCGAGGATGAACTTTGGAAAAGTCCAGATCCACTCAAATCATTATCCCACGAACACCCCTATCATTGACGGTACGACCGAACGGTGTGCTATATATATCAAACACACACCACCAATAATCATATCCCACAAAGCTAATTGTAGCTAAAGATAGTACCAAAGATGAGTATGGGGTTGATAAGGGTACGACTATACCATACAAAGCACGTTGGAATAGAATATAGGCCCGATCTATTGAGAAAGGGGTCATGAAGCGCAAGAATTTAATAGCGGCATGTGGAGTCTGGGGGCGCCACGAGGGAAACCGCTTGGTGAGAATAACCCCTATCATGGAGTCGGGAGAACGAATTGGGCCAAAGTCAAAAGACATAAGACCCGAACTAAACGATCATTGGCTAAACAACATACAACATACATCGTATCCTGGACTACAACATAGACTGCCCAGGTGTACACTGACTTTTGCTCTGGCGGTCGAACCGCTTCGAAAGTCCGATCCAAGGTCTCGGCTCAGGAACAGGATGAAGATCGACACGCTTTGATGCTGCAGGTTCCAACCACATTGTAGTACTCATATGTTAACCTATTTCAGGGTACGTATTTCGTACAAGCAGATACAAAAAGTAACGACTGTGCAGCTCGGGTGGTGTAACGGACTCAAAATTACTGCATATGTGCCATGTCAGGGACACCCAATCATACGGCCAGACCCCGATATTAGTTTCTCAATTTGCGCTTGGGCATCCCACATTGCCTAGCCCAGGGGCACGAGATGCAAGCATCGTCAAGCACTATACCCGGAAGTAAAACAATGCGGTCTAGCCGTTATGGTGTGAAGCGAGACCTGTCCGTTGCGGGGGCAATTCGCTGTAACTTAAGTAGTGGCGTTGTTTCCGGGTTTATCAGCTTAGCCTTATTGAAATTGGCCGGGTTTTTAATATTTCAGCTGTTACACGATGAGAATAATAGTAAGAAGCGGCAGTTCTCCTATGCCAGGATACATGGTCAGCATACAAAACAAGTCTCAGACGACGATATACTCAGTGCCCCGGAGGACACAGTACAGTCCCATAAATTGTGATCCACAGAAATCGGATGTACGTTGTAATAATAGTTCAAAGGTACTACTAATGTAAAGGCAGTACGGAGTAATTAATAATCCCAAGGGTGTCTCGGCGTTTCGCTCCAACAAAGAAATAGAGGGTTTGGGTTCCATGTTAAGATGAACCTCCGGAGTAAGAACCAATCCCATTTCGCAAGTAAAGTGCACATCATCGTGGATTCGTCCTTACACAATACGTTCTCTTGGCGAAATAAATGGCGGGCTGTTCAGGGGTAAGTGGAGATGAGAAGAGACCCACGGGGAAATGCCAACAACTGGGACCGCCAGGAACGGGTAGTGGATCGGCGATGCGGTCTGAAACATCAAGACTAGAAAGAAAGAAAAACAAAACATGTTTGAGAGGAAGAGAAGGTATTGTAGAGTAGTATTGCAGTTCAACTCTTGCTATGGAGTACGGAGTATGTGCATCTGCTTCAGTATAAGAATTTATATGTACTCTGTAAGGGTCAATGTCTCCAAAGTCCAGGCGATCGTCATAAGTTAACGCTAGAAACACTAGCGGGTCAAAATTACCAGCCAACCTGGTAATGAGAAACATGCCCCCTGACATCGATCCAATCATAGAAATGAGTAAATGAAGGCTGTGCGAGGGTCAAGTTCCGAATACATGGCAGGTTGCGGTGTGGGTTAGTGGCGGATTAAGTACCTAGTACAACTCGGTCTTTGTTCTTTTCCCCTTTTTTTAGGGCCAAAATGGGTCAAAACAACGGAGAAAGCAAGTGGCTGATCTCGACACTAATCTCCCCGTTCATACAAAGGCCCCCTGCCTCCCCCGTGCGGTTTCTGTTTCTTTCTTCTCTCCAAGTACATTCTTCGCAAAGCATCCAGTCACTCTCTCTCGACTTCGGTCTTCCACTCTTTAAAACCAAACTCACTCTCTTTCAAAAGCTACGCTTTTTATATATACCTTTTTGAACATCACTTTTTACGTTTTTCGTACATAACATTCAAAATGCGTTTCACCACTGCCACTATCGCCTTCTTCGCTGGCCTTGCCATTGCCGCCCCCGGTGCCGACCAGACCGTCTACGAGACCGATGAGGTGACCATCACCTCTTGTGCTCCTACTGTCACCGACTGCCCCGGCAACCCCGGTGCCGGCGTTGAGCCCACTGGCAGCACCACCCCCTCCAGCGTTCCCGCCGCTGTCACCACCCCCGCTGGTGAGGCCTCCTCCGAGACCCCCGCCCCGTCCGCTGAGACCCCCGCCTGGTCTTCCGAGACCCCTGCCTGGTCCTCCGTTCCCACCTGGGCTCCCTCCAGCGCTTCCTCCAGCGCTCCTAGCGCTCCCTCCAGCGCCCCCAGTGCTCCCGCTTCCAGTGCTCCCGCCCCCGTGGTCTCCTCCAGCGTGATCGCCATCACCACCTGCGTGCCCACCGTCATCTACTCCACCGTGCCCGTTTCCGCCAGCACCCCCGCTAGCAGCAGCGTCCCCCACGGCCCTACCGGCGGTGTCCCCCACGTTCCCTCCAGCAGCAAGGGTGTTGCCACCAGCACTGCCTCCGTCTCCCCTGCTACCTCCTCCCCCGCCTTCAACGGTGGCGCTACTCTCAGCGGCTCCCTCGGCTTCGCCGGTGCCGCCGCCGTTGCCGCCTTCTTCCTGTAAATGACTCCTTCCGGGTTTCTGATGCACTGCTACACCTATTTGGATCCATTGGGTCTAACCCTGGCGTACTCCCTGCGTCAAACTGGAGTGGTTGATTAGAGGTGATGCAAGAAGAGGATTGTGTTATTTAGGGTTTCTGGTGATTTACTATTAACAATTGTTGCTTTCTGACTGGATATGTCTATCCCTTTTTTGCTTTTTTGATATACATATTCCTTTTTATTTCTTCTCGGGCTCTCCTGGATAGCTTCGGAGTTGTGCGAAGCTCGCTTGGTAGCTTGAGCACGACCTTAATGTAAACCATGACAGCTTTTCACATTCTCCCTCTCCAGCGCCTGTAGCCTATTTGGAATGTATCCTCACTTTTCCACTTTTCATAATTCCATAATCTGTTTTAGCACTATCCGTATCAACATGTTCCTTGTGAAATCTCACATTGGAGTCTATCTTAGCAGTGTTGATCATTGTACGGAGTACGGAGTAGGGAAGTGATTATTTGGTAGAAAACTATCGAATATTGGTTTTATCCCTGCCCCTGACTCCACGTGTGACCTCGAATCTTGTACTTCCTAGGGCTGAATATGTCACGACTTACAACTGTAAAGCCAACTGGGTGGCTGGATTTTGAAATTCAAACCCAACTGCTTAATCCAGCCAACTGCTGTCGGTGCTGACCGCAATTTCACGCTTGAATTTGAACTGCTGTGAATCTCACAATCGCAACCTCCTCCGTGGTTTAAATCAACTTTACGGGTACTGAGGATATATAACTATATACTGTTGTCTTAAGTACACACTGGGCTCAAATTAGCATCTAATCCACATAAACACGCCGGTCAAGGGGGTACTTTACGCATGTTTCTCTTAATGGCGATTATTGTGTCTCGCTAATCAATAGTTCCCTCGATCTCCCTAGGCATTCTTTGTAGTTTGTTGTCATGGATGAGTCTGCTATAGTGACTCCTTCTCAACCCTTGCGAGCTCGGTGTCTTCTGCATAGAGTATGTAGTACAATATAAACAACTACAACATCATTATGTTATATATGAAATATTCGACCTTTTTACCGCCTATCTTCTATATATTGCGGCTAATTCTTCGTATCCTTCTAGCCACGGCACCAATAAGCGGGGTTGGATATCTAAAGAAAATACATATAAAGAATTATCTGAGGAGACATCTAAAAAGACTGCGGGGCACTAAGATAAACACGACAAGGCTGCATAAGCGGCCGACTATTCTTGTACTATGTAGGTACACATGAGTATAAAAGCTGTACAGAGTAAACGATTGATAGCTAAAAATAGGGTGCCCCACTATTCGTGAGCGCAGTGACTGAATCGGAAATCGGCTTGTTCATTGAGGATCAAGTGGCTTCTCACCCTCGAATCGTGTTTCTGAGTGTCACTCAGACACTTACAGTCAAGCAAAGGAAAGAAGAAAAGAATCAAAGCAGTGCATGATGCCCACGATTATTCTCAGACCTCAACACATATCGTACCCGAGCCCTGAATACGGGGATTGTGGACCTACGCCCCTTCTCATTGCACTATACAAACTTTGGATTCATCTCGGCAGACTTGGCTTTCGTACAGGCCCCGTTTCTGCTACTTTACTAAGATACATTGGAGAGCTCGAACATACCTAGTAAGTTGAGACTAGTGAGAATGAGAAAATGCATAACCCCTTGTGTGGATGCATTTGGACCCCAAATTGTATTCCGAGCAACTAATCAATTTTGGGATTGTGGTGGGTTTGTTCATATTCTTTGTTTTATCCTTGTGGGACTCCATGACCATTGTCCTGAAAAGGAGCGGTACAATTTCGCATTCAGGTAATTGATTTTCAGTGATGACTTCGGGATGCCCGATGGACAAGCACAATAAAAAGATCATCGGTGTTTTTTTTTAGCCCTAAGAGCATCCTTCCCACTGCCCTGCCTATGAATCTGCCTTTAATTTGCTCCTTCTTTGTGCATACCCTGCATAGTATGTGTTATATTCCCTTCTCTGGGGAAGAGTGGATGCACTTTTAGACCTATTCGCCCTAGGGAGGACCCTTTTATTCCAAGTACTCTATTCTCGCATTGGATACGAGCCCTCCGTGACGGTCCACTATTATTGAACCCCCAAACTGTACATAGTTCGTGTCTAAAGATAGTATATCAAGCCATATGATATATGACCTACTTGTCGGAATCCCATTCCACCGCATAATGCTTTTCTGTTTATTCCAGCGACGAGCTTCCGAACCTCCCGAACCACCCTCCGATCTCGACTATCCTCTTATGGATCTCTCATCTCTCGAGGGCGCGCCGATGGTCAATCCGAAATTCATTGTTCCGCCAGATACGACGACTCCTCGTATTGATACAGACTCGCGTGCTTCTATTCAATATTTGCTCTCGAAACCTCTGCCACCGAGACCTGCTTCAACGGACCCTATCTCGCCAACACAGCATTGTAATGGACTACAGGACCGGCCACGTAACCGGTCTACAATCGATGGCAATCTAAGGCGGGCTTCGGTCCGCAGACGTACGAGCAGTCCGCTGGACGAACTGTCTCCCAACTACGATCCGCAATATGAATACGAGGTGCCCCAACGTATACAACGCATCCCACGTCCTCCCGTACGACCACGGAGCTGTGCACCCCTCACTTGGCTCGAAGATGAAAAGAAATGGATCGTTGGAGAAATATATATGCCCCGCACACATAATTCTCGGCCCCAAGATGATACAGCGTCTTCTCGATCACCAGTCTCACCAATTTCGCCCGTTTCACCAATTACACCATGGCAGGACATATTTCAACGTCTTGACGAGCACATCGACTACAATAATCGTCTCTGTCGGGAGAATCTGCTGAGCCAGCCCCCGCCCTATGAGGGACACAGATTTAGTCAAACACATGACACGGCTTTAGGAGATGATCGGGTTTCCAACTGGGTTGCAACTGCTCGAAGGATGCACGAGGATCGGCGGAATTGGGGGTGATTGGACGTGATACCGCTTTACTTGGTTAGCGTTATACCTTTTGTGATATGTCATGGGAATATATTGATTCGGGGCCCGCCTCGCACATCCCTGAATGATGCCAAATAGATAGGCATTGAGCGACGCAGTTTTGACTTTCCTTTGAAACAGTTCTCTGTAGAAGAACCTGAGCACCGCTTATAGAGATAGGGGTGATAACATCCATCTGGCTTGATCTCAGACTGTCTGACTCTTGGATTAGCTGATTTCTCTCAATGGCTCAGGGGTATCATGATTTCAAATTATAAAAGCTGTATTTCACATATGTAGCCTTACTAATTTGCGTTCTTTCTCTCGCCTGTTCCGAGAGTATAAAGGGCCCCTCCAAAAAGAATCTCCCACCGTGCTCTCCCGTCACGGCGGCTTTTCGTTCTAGATGAAGGCAACCAACCCATCTTCTTGACTCGACACCACGAGCGATTCTTTCGTCTTTTGTCACAAGATGACAAAGCAGAAGGACAATAATACCCAGCCCTTTTGACTGGAGTCGGAGCTCCATCTCGATATCCTATACATTGATCGAGCATTTATTGGGGCTTCGTCTTTTGTGCACATTGCTATATACCTAATGAGGGGACGTTTGATGGCGGATGGTGCCCCGTCAGCCGTTAACGAGCTCGCCTGTTATTGGTTCCTCTTAATATTGGCTTTTAGATCAATGTTGGCGGAAATGCACTACCGGGAACGGAACAGGGGTCCTCAATGGGCCCATCTCCACTATCAATTTGAGCAATATCAAATTCATTTCAATCTAAGAGAGACTACTATCAATATTGCTCTGCCAACGCAATAATGTAAACGATCTTCTATAATGTTTGCAGTATAAAAAATGAAATAATTAACTGCGAGAATTCCGTGAGGAGCTTGGCCCAGGCCATGACGACGACAGCGTGGTAGCTCTAAGAGAGGGCATACCTCGGTGAAATAGCCCTGGAGTTATCAAATAAGTTTCTCATTCTAATGTTATACTTCTCTCACTCTTTACCCATTCTTTTGATATTCTTTATAGCTCTTTAAGCCTTTCAGTACACTTGACCTGATAATACTTATTTTTCAGCTCATTTTTGTAAATCAGACTTATGTGATGACGCTGTAAGACCGGTGTTTCACCTATGTTTCGGCCACAAGAGAGACATTTGTACTAACCATGTATACTAGACGAGTCCTAATGGAGCCAAGACTTTGCACTCGATAGGTTGTATAAGTATACCCCCACATGGAGAGCCGAGATGTAGCTGGATTGGTCCAGACAAGATTCGTGTGAGTAATATCCACAGGAAGAGCCTGATGCAGGGATTTCCCCTCTCTGAGACGCCAGTCACGGCGCTGCTGTATGCCTGTCACCCGTCAGCATAGGAAACTAGCAAACTGCATATTGGATCCACCGCTCCACCGCGAGTAATCGACAGCCTCGCTAACCACCCCTGCAGTTTCCGTTGAGGGGGCGATAGGATTAGAAGACGAAAATAAGAAGATGGAAGATTCTCGAATCACTTCGACTTGTTTTTTCCTCCCCCCTCGCGGCTGGGTATCAATCCCGGTCAAGGAATGAGTGACTCCATTGCTCCAATTCTTTTGCGCGCTAACACAGACCAGCAGCTCTCCAGCCTCTGAATTATTTGCCAGCCAGTAGCAAAGATGGGACATATGATAGAATAGAAGAAAAAAAATTATATTATAAGAGGACAGATCCGACGGATTTCTCGGTCTAGTTTTCACCCCGGCATCAAGCATCAAGGCTACCAAACCCAGTCCGCAATCAACATCATTTATTATTTTCTGAGATTAATATGTCGGAAATCAAAGAGTGAGACAAGGCATGGCTCAGACTTGAATCAAAAAGAACTCTCTCGTCCAAAGTTGAAGTTGCAAAAGTTGCAAAAGTCCAAAGTTGATATTCCCAAGTCCCCCCCATCCGTGGTTCACACCTGGGAATCTCCCCGATTCTACCGCCTTCGATTAGAAAAAAAAAAAAACCGGCCCTCCCCACCCCCAATGGTCCAACTCGCCCACATCTTCAAAAAGGACAAGGATAAGGAGAAGACCGAGAAGAACAAACCTGATATACGTTCATCTCGAAATTCCTTCTCCGCTTCGCGCACATCTCCATCTCCGAAGTCGCCCTCCAAATCCCCAACTAAGTCACCTACCAAATCTCCTTCCAAATCCTCGTCCCCCACCAAACCCTCCAAATCTTCCAAACAGTCCTATTTTTCCCACAGTCGGTCATCCTCCAATTCCGGACCGACCGCCAGTTTCAAGTTTTCTCGGTCTTCGCGTGACCAGGACGTACACCCACTCAATCTCCCACCCGACGAGCTACGTCGTCGATTGTCCGCCATGGCAGCATCCAACGAAGAGCAGCGGAGCTCCATGGATATTGATCCCCAAGAACCCCAGAATAATGGCGTGAATGGCACTGAGGAGCGGAGTCCGACCCCGCCACCGCACCAGCCGAATTCAGCTTCTGCCGATGAGGCCGACTCCTTCAAGCTGGCCGGAAACAAGTTCTTCAAGGATGGCAACTATCGACGAGCTATCGAGGAATACAACAAGGGTATGCATTTTCTTATCTCACAGGGACGCCGTGTCTCATGAATTAGCCTTGAATGAGCGGGGTCGCTGATGATTTTTGTCTACTGCAGCCATCGAGATTAATCCCAACTCATCGGCCTATCTCTCTAACCGAGCGGCGGCCTATATGTCCGCTAAGCAATTTTCGAATGCGCTTGAGGATGTTCAGCGCTCTAACGAGCTCGATCCTAACAACCCAAAGATCATGCACCGATGGGCTAAGATTCTGACGAGTTTGGGTCGACCTGCAGAGGCCCTGGAGGTGTTGTCACGCATCCAGCCACCAGCGACCGCCACTGATCGGGCAGCCGCAGAGAAGATGCTGCGCTTCGTTACCCAAGCCGAAGAGACTATAGCGCAAGACCGCGGTCTGTCGATGGTGATCTATTGTCTAGACCAGGCACGGCAAGGACTCGGACAAGGTGTCAGGGAGCCCCGCAAATGGACACTTTTGGCCGCCGAGGCCCATCTGAAGCTGAACAACATGAACTCGCTAGGCAAGGCGCAGGACATTGCGATCAGCTTGTTGCGCGAGAACAGCCAAGACCCGGATGCGATGATGATCCGTGCCCGCGCCTTCTATGCCCTCGGTGAGTCCGAGCAGGCGCAGAAGCTTCTGAAGATGTGCCTCGGGCTGGACCCAGATATGAAGCAGGCCATCAAGCTGCTGCGCATTGTGCAGAAGCTGTCTCGCACGAAGGAGGAAGGAAACACCGCTTTCAAGGCCAAGGATTATCGCCGTGCTATCGATCTTTGGACCCAGGCTCTCGAGGTTGACCCTTCCAACAAGGATATGAACGCCAAGATTCTGGGTAACCGTGCTCAGGCTTACATCAACTTGAAGGAGTATGACTCTGCCATTCAGGACTGTACCGAAGCTCTCCGTCTCGACCCCGGGTATATTAAGGCTATGAAGTGCCGTGCCAAGGCCCACGGCAAGGCCGGTAACTGGGAGGAGGCTGTTCGTGACTATAAGAGCGTTGCTGAGAACAACCCCAGCGAGAGCGGCATTGCGGAGGAGATCCACGAAGCTGAATTCGAGCTGAAGAAGTCCCAACGCAAAGACTACTATAAGATTTTGGGAGTCGACAAGGATGCCAGCGAGCAGGACATCAAGAAGGCCTACCGCAAGCTGGCTATTGTATACCACCCAGATAAGAACCGTGACGGTGCAGCCGGCGATGAGAAGTTCAAGGAGATTGGTGAAGCCTATGAGAATTTGATTGATCCTCAGTGAGTCCGCCACAACTTACCACACTATTCGACTACAAAGCTAACCTATTTTCAGGAAACGTGCTGCTTTTGATAACGGAGACGATCTGAGGGAGGGCATGTATGGCGGTGGCGGTTTCCCCGGCGGTGGTGGTTTCCCGGGCGGTGGTGGTTTCCACGCTGGTGGTTTCCCTGCCGGCGGGTTCGGCGGCGGTATCGATCCCGAAATGCTTCGCAACATGATGAACGGCGGCGGCGGCGGCGACCCCTTCGGTCATTCTCATGGCGGCTTTCACTTCTAGATGAAGCCATCTAACCCATTCTATTCACTTGATACCACGACTGATTCTTTCTTCTTTCGTCTCAAGATGACGAAACCCCAAAACAGGAATTCGCATGTCTTTAACCGGAGTTGGAGTTGCACCTCGATATCTTGCATGTTGATTTGTTGGATATTGGGGTTTTACTTTTTTTTGCCCACTGCCATATCACGATTTTTTTTTCACTGTGTTTCTGCGGAGACGCCATATGATTCCCGATATGATAGATTTGAAGCTTTTTTTCTTCGGTCTCATCTTTTCTTTCCCCCTTTTCCTCTTTCACCCTTGTGGCTTCTTTCGGGGGATTTTGTATATGAGTGCTGCAATCTGGAGTGATCTAGGGGAACAGTGCATTTATGGACGATGGTTTTGAAATCCATATGCACAGAAGACCTACAAGCTCTACATCCGATCAACCATTTTCGGCGTTTGTCTTTTGTCTTATTCTTCTCCTGAGATTCGCTCTTGGCTTTGGCTTTGGCTTTGACTTTAGACTTAGAGAGATTTGCTTCGCATGTTTTGGCTCTCGATGCACTTTGTGAGGTTTTCATTATAGCCAAGCAAAAGCATATGTGGCATATACACCTGCATGACACTCATAAGACAAAGATTTCTATCAGATATGATTCATTCCCTTCGTAGCTACATGTATTTTAGTATAGACCTCACATACGAAATCTTGAACTGGCATAATCGGTCCATGCTTCCCTTTACATATTACGACAGTGATACATTGATTAGTTTATAGTATCTAGTTTGAAGAATAATCAAGCTAATCGGACAGAATTATCTGTTCCTCATCAGAAATACATGGATAGCAGTCGACGAGACGGCACTCGACTAGGGACGGGCGAGCCTTCAAGGTTGTTATCTTTAGCCAACCTGAGCGCTAATTGGCAGTAGGTTCCCATTACAAGATATCAATTCTGGTCCATTGAAATATGACCAGTCTTCATTGATTCTGGATTCGTGGATAAGTTCTGACAGGAAAATTTTAATTCCACACCACCTGTGTACGAGGCGACAGCGGACATTGGTCGATCCTTACAGCCAGGACTCGGTGAGGACTCGTTAGGCAAAGATGCTGTATATGTTAGGTTGTGATAAGTGGAATAGGTCTTCTGAAGTACACATAGCACCTTGAGAGTCAACCTCAAGTCAAAGAGAAGGTAGGAAGAGCTTGGGTCTGAACTATCTTTATTAGAAGTATCTCTCGCGGGAACTTGGGATGGATTGCGCTGATATACTATCTTTGCTTCGTTCATCCGCCCCTATGAAGTGGAAGATTATAGCTCTCTCATTGCTCATCTGTCATAGAGGGTTCCAAGGTTGGTCATGCTATGTATTAATAATAAACAATATAAGCAAATCGTAATGTTCTGTGATATGTACTTCTCCTCAACATGCCGAACAACTATACTAATAAATATAAAACAAATAAATCAGGGGAATCTCAAAAAATATGGGGTGAACAAGACAGGAATAGCGAATGAATATACCGGACAGAAGAGCATAAAGCAAACTCCGCCGCTAATGAGTGATGACGTTCAAGTCGAATCGAACACATGAAGGGGCATAGAGAGATAAATGGCGAATAAAGAAGATGCAAGAAAAGTAATAAGAACGCTGGCATCACAAGTCTTCAATCAAACATAACCGAGAGCACTGAGCATAGTTTTGCATTCAGGGACGGGCAGAGCGGAGACACCCAGCGCGCGGACCAGAGCACCAGCCCGGAGCCGCTGGAGACCGATGGCGACCTTCCAGGCCTCAGTATCCTGCAATACAAAGACATACTTCTTGCCTTCTTGGTCACGAACACTGGCACGAAGAACGTGCAAACCACGGCACTCCGCTTGGGGCGGGTGAACAGGGCCACCGTCGTGGCTGGCCGTAGCGCTGCGCGCGAAGTACGCACTGGGCGAAGCCAGGCGGCAAGTATTCTTGCATACTTTAAGCAAGTTACCGAGAAAGGCCTCTGATTCTTCGTTGGTGGGGACGTTGTTCCCACGACGGAAAGAGAAAGGGTTGGTGGACGCAGTTTTGGCGGATGAAGTGGCGTTTACTTGTGGACACCACACCTCTGCCAGCTTGAGGGTCCATGCCTTGACGTCCCACTCACGCTGGCCGATGCCGCGTAGGTCATCGTCGATGAAGAGACCTTCGGTTGTGATGCGCAGCACCAGTCCATCGGTGATCATGCCTTGGCCTGAGACAAGTTGCGCCACTGGGGTTTTCATAAAGGCATTGTTGAAGGCGTATACACCTTGGATCACGATCTTATCGGGATCCTTTGTGGAATATGTGCTGCGATGTGAGGGGGGAGGTGTTGTGCGCGCAGTCGAGTGAGAAGGTGCATATGAAGACTCGGAGTATACCGATGTGCCAGCCGCATATGGCCGCCGTGGTCGGTCGTAGGGGCGAAATGAGTACGCATCGTCTTCGTTGGCGGTTTTGGCGGTTGGGTAGGGTGGTGGTTTCTTGGGAGAAGGTGTGCGAGGCACATTGCCAGTACTAGCTGGCTTGGGCGGCGGTGATTTGGCAGCGGCCTCTTTCTTTGCGTCTTGCGCCTTCTTCTCGGCGTATTTCTTGCTTGCTGCTTCCTTAAGCGCCGCAAATCTGGCCATGGCTTCTTTCTGGGCGGCGGCCTTTGCGGCAGCTTCTTTCTCAGCAGCTTCCTTGGCGGCCTTCTCCTTGGCTTCTGCTTCTAACTTTGCGAGTTTGGCCTTCGCCTCAGCTTCGGCCTTTGCCTGTCTCTCGCGGGCCTCTGCGGCTTCCTTCTCCAGTCGATCGCGTGCCTCCTTCTCTGCGGCGGCCCTTGCAGCAGCCATCTCCTTTTCGAGCTGCTCGCGCCGTTCCTGTAATTCTTTTTCCATTGCTTCGCGCTCGCGCTTTTTCTCTTTTTCTTTGGCCTCTGCATCACGCTTGCGCTTGAACTCCTCCATCTTTCGGCGTAGTTCCTCTTTGCGCCTCGTTTCTTCTCTTGCTCGCTCCCGTTCGGCTTCTTCCTTAGCCCGTTCCCTAGCCCGCTCCTCTCTGACACGCTCCTCCTTAGCTCGTTCCTCTCTGGCTCGCTCTTGCTTAGCTCGTTCCTCTCTAGCGCGCTCCTCTCTAGCACGTTCCTCCCGAGCACGATCTTCCCTAGCACGCTGCTCCTTAGCTCGTTCCTCCTTAGCTCGCTCCTCCTTAGCTCGCTCTTCTTGTGCGCGCTTTTCAGCCTCCTCCTTTTCACGTTTGTTATTATCAGAGTTTGGAGGAGGACCAGAGCCATGTTGATTACCGGAATATTGGTTGCCGTGGGTTTGTCCTCCAAAGTTTCCTCCCTGTTGTCTTTGCTGACCCGCCCCGTTTCCGCCATAATTGGCACCCGACGACTGTTGGTTGGTGTTTGGACCGGCGTTCCTAGGGCCACCCGGGCCTCCAGGACCGCCTGGGCCCCCAGAACCACCACCAAAGCCACCAAATCCGAACCGTCCACCTCGAGCGCCGCTATTGCCTTTATTGTCTCCCGAGCTGCTGGATTGAATGGAGCCAAAAAGCCATCCAGCGACACCCACCCCGATTGCAAGTACTGCCATACCCGTACCACTGCCGCTAGCGACCGTGGCTAGATACCATGCCTTCACAATCGGGGAGATGTACGACCACACGAAACATGCGAGGAGTGTACTTGCGACGCCCGCTAGGAAACTGTTTCGGTTGCACTGCAGCGACGGAAGGTAGAGGAAGCCCGAGCCAGCGGAGTGAGGTGGGACGATAAAAATGTCGTAGTTGCCATCGGGCAGGTCCGAGGATTTGCGATATTCGCCTTCAGTCGTATGGGGATTTTCGCCATGAGGCGGCGGCGGTGGCGGCGGACCGTCCATGTTGGATCAGCCCGGAACGAAGATAGTGGTAATATATATGCGCCGCAGTGCAGCGAAGTGCAGCGTCGGTCGAACGACTAACTACAACCTGGGTTGATCTGCCGGATCAATCCTAGATAGACAAGTTCTCGCGGTTGACAGTCAACTGCCAGGTCATATTAGTCTGACAAGTGTTGCACTGAGGCCTCAGGCACTCAGTGCTATGGAGGATACTCAGATGCCAAATCTAAGAAAAAAGCACACAACAAAGATCAAAATGCAAACAAAATCCAAATCGGAAAGCAAAAAGTTGAAAGCGCGGGAGAACCTGAGTCTGACTTGGGGGGGGTTTGTTTGGAAGAGAAGTGTGGGAGCTAAGGATCGGCGCCAACGCTTCCTGCATTACTCGACGTGGCCATCACATCAAAAACAAAATTTGGCAATGCGAATGAGCAAACGAACGAGATAGATGCCTATAATTCTTGATGCGGCTCACCATCTAGTATCTGAGTTATGTTGAATTCCTCGGAGGCCACGCGATTCTACATAGGGCTATGTGACCGAGCTCAGAAACAGCCTCAAGGGATGGAATTACAAGAACAATTACAGTGAACTTTTTTTTGCCTATAGCAATGGAATTGTTCAAAGCTATGACTACACAAGTGTTCTTAAACATATGTCTTTTAATATAGCTCGTCGACATGCAAAGGCATCAATGCTCAGAGTCCTTGTCAACATGGCAAAAGTACGGCTGTTTTGTTTTGATTTTACCCTTTTGGGAAAGGGCCTGGTTACCTCAGCTCGGAATATCGTTCCTCCAAGATTCTGACCGCCTTGCTCTCCGCTTTCTTGGCTTATACTGTTGAGACCCCAGGATGAAGTAGGAAGGATTGTTAGGTGGGAAATAGAAGCGAAAAAAACCCAGTTCGAGGCCTATAACTTAGGTACAAGGATATATAGCATCTCATATGCTGATATATCAATTAATCCTACGTCAATTTCGCAGTTACTTCCCTACTCTGTGGTCAAGAGCTATTCGTATTCGCATTCGGACCATTTGAGCCTCCTCCCAGCACATTATAAGGAGCCCGGGGTATTTCGGATGTTCACAGTGAAGAGTCCAACCATGCGAGCTTTATATATTTTATATAAGCGATTGCTGTACATGCGTACATGTACTTTTATGCCCCAATGTACCTCAAGCCGCGGACCAGCGCAACGAACATTCGGTCCAAGCATGCCCCTCAAAGTATGTTGGCTGAGCATATAGCGCTGGGGGTGGAGCGCTAGAAAACACTTATTAATCTTGCGGTCAAGCGGTTGGGGGAGATAGTTGAACGTAGTGGGTCCAAGATATTCGACTTGGAGGATGCAGTCACCGAGGCTTGTTCACCTGGATTAGAGCTGATAGTGTGGAGAGTATGGTCAAATGCGACTCCCAGGTTGGGGGAAGAGCTCATGATGCAGAAAAAAAAAAGAGGCAAGCAGCTATATCTCATGGTCACCGTCCACGAGTGTTGTGTGAGAGCGCCGTACAATATAGATGTCCCATGATCGGGGCATGAGGTGCGGGACCATGACCAGGCAGAAGAGGACATAGGGCCTCATGAGAGGCACTTGTAGTCATCCTGGTCCACTTAGGCCATGCTGAACACTGGATATTAGTCTGGCAGTGGGACACCGTAGTGAAAGTAGTTTAGGAGGTGTGAATGTGAAAGACAACCCCGATCGTGAAGAGGAGCAAGACTCGGCATAACGTGATCCGCAGCCGGTGATTGGGTGGCTTTCCACTTGAGATTCCAATACCCTCTCTCTCCCCATCGCAGTGTTGATCGTTTTCTTTCTATCTCACCTCAGCTTCAAATCTTCTTGTATCCCCCCTGTAATAGTCTGGTAGTCAGGTACTACCCCGTGTCTCCGCCTCCCCGCCAACCTGTCCTTGAAGTCCCTCCCAGGCACTTATCTCCGCCAACCTTGAACACCCCCCCAAATCTCCATCTCACTCTATGCCGCGTCGCTAGCCACCGAGAACCGATTTACGACCTGCCCTTGAAGGGCATTCCGGCACCATGTCCTCGCAATCCCACCACGGTCATTCCGCGACGTCACGTCAATTCCCTGTCTACAATCCCGTCGCCGCAGTGACGGCACCTGCGGGGACCTTGCTTCCGGGCACCAAGATTCAAGTTGGCGGCCATCGCGTGGTAGTGGAGAAGTACCTCTCTGAAGGCGGGTTTGCTCATGTCTACGTGGTGCGACTGCCTCAGCCAGTCAATGGGTCCGAAACCGCTGTGCTGAAGCGGGTGGCCGTGCCTGACAAGGCGGCCCTTGCCAACATGCGCACTGAGGTGGAAACCATGAAGAAGCTCAAGGGTCACCGGCACATTGTGAAGTACATTGATTCGCATGCCTCGCAGCTGCACGGAGGTGGATATGAGGTGTTCCTGGTCATGGAGTACTGCGCGGGTGGTGGCCTTATCGACTTCATGAACACCCGGCTTCAACACCGGTTGACAGAGCCGGAGATAGTCAAAATCTTCTCCGATGTCGCTGAAGGTGTTGCATGTATGCATTATCTTAAACCGCCCCTCCTCCACCGTGATCTGAAGGTTGAGAACGTTTTGATCTCGGGCAAGGGGAGTTCTGCCACCTACAAACTGTGTGATTTTGGATCATCGGCACCCCCTCGTCCTGCTGCTACTTCCGCCGCCGAGGGCCGCTTGATTGAAGATGATGTGCAGCGCCATACGACGCTGCAGTACCGAAGCCCAGAGATGATTGATGTCTATCGGAAGCAACCGATTGACGAAAAGAGTGATATCTGGGCACTTGGTGTGTTTTTGTACAAATTGTGCTACTATACAACCCCCTTCGAAGAGGTTGGTCAGATGGCTATTCTCAACGCGACCTTCAAATACCCTTCCTACCCTTCATTTTCGAGTCGGCTAAAGCTATTCATTGGTAGGTTTGGAACCTCTCTGTGGTCTATAATAGATCATCAATAGCTGACAGCTCCGCACAGGCTCAATGTTGAAGGAAGATCCCCGCAATCGTCCCAACATATACGAGGTCGTGCGCGAGGTGTGCAAAATGCAAGGAAAGGAAGTTCCTATCAAAGACGTATGTTGGCCCACGCCTCTTTTAGTCAAACTTTGACACTGACTGTCGCCTAGATATATTCCAACCGCTCTGTTTCGGAAGCGCGCAAGTATCAAGAGCTGCCGCCCACACCCACGGAAGCTCCTGCCGTGGGCGCAGTATTTTCGCCTCCGATGCAGGAGACCGAGATAATCCCAGAGATTGCGCCTATGCGGCGTGGTCGACCCGGAAAATCCCCGTCGTCCCAAGCTAGCTCCGAGAGACCGAGTCCTTCGCCCTATCGAGCCGCTGCTGAAGGTTCGTCAAATGATCCGTTTGCAGCCCTAGATGGGAGCGCAGCCCGAAAGAAGACGGCAGAGGAAATGTCCAAACGATTCCCCTCCTTGGACCAGTTTGACATTTTGCATGAAAAAGGGGACAAGTTTGAATTCGAGCCAACAGTAGAATCTAAGCCCGAGGACGAGGATCTATCTCGAAGACTCACCAACGCCCTAGCCGATGATGCTTTTACCCGACGTGTCTCACCCGAACGTGCGCCGAAGCCAGTCTATAAGCGACCATCCCAGGCTTCTCCTGTCCGAGCACCTGATTTGCATGAAATTCCTGCGCCGAAGGCTCTTCCCTTGTACCAGCCAACTCCTCAGCGGCCCGCGATGGTGTCGACGGGTACCATGACCTCACCCATCCAAACACCTCGTTTGCCGGAGCCAAAGTTGCTCAGTCGCCCAATCTATCGATTCCCTTCGTCTGATAATGAACACCGATCTTCCAGCGAGCCATTTACAACTGAGGAGGAGCAAAGAGTGATACGGCCGCACAAAGCGCCATCCCCTCCGATGTCGAGTTTGAATGTGGAAGGAAGCTCGCGGCTGCCATCTGACCGTATATCCAGCCAGTCTAACTCTGCGCGCCCATCGATGGAAGCCTTGAGACGGCCTTCGACATTAGAGGTAAATGATCCCTTGGGACGTTCCAAATCCGCTATTGGAAAGGCTCGGCCGATGTCAGTCCAGTCCGGAGCGAGATATGACTTGCCGCGTGACTCCGAGAGCCCGCGATCTTCGCTGGATATGTCCCGCCTGCAATACGAGGGCGGCGCGCCACTACGCTCAGTGCGTACCGAAGTGGATCGTGAGTCTGATCGGACTATTTCCTCTGATGTTGATTACCTACGTGCGATGGAAGAAGAAGAGAGCAATCGGAAGCGCGAGAAACGCTCTAGTAATAGCCACAAACACAACAAGCGCGGTAGTCTGTCTACTTTGTCGCTTTCAGGAGGAAAAAACCTATTTGCTAGTCGATTCGGCGACGCATTCCGCCGATTCGAGGCAGGCAACCAAGAAAAATCCTCATCGCCATCGGCAGAGGATGCGCCTCGGCAGGGTCTGATTGGGGCGTCGGATTCAGCCGATGAAGGCCTTTCGCCGAATGACGAGATTACCGTGGAAGACGTGGACCGGGACGACATATCACCAGAGATGCGCCGGGAGTTGGAACGCCGCCGACTCTCCCAAGAGGAGAAACGAGTTGCCAATGCCGCAGCTGAGTACCGGCGCCGGGTTACCGAAACAGGCGACGGGGGTGGAAGAGCGCTAGGTGATGGCGCACGCTCCCGCACGATTCAGAATAAGGTACAATCGTTGCTTGGAGAGTCCGAAAAACCGACCGTTCCAAAGACTGCTACTGGGTATGGACGGTTCACGGAGACTTCCTCTTCTTTGCAGGCAAAGCAGAGTGAGGCCAGATCTACCACCACCACCAGCCAGCTGCCCGCTTCTCACAAATCCGGCCCGATCTACACTCCCCGTGACGGTTCAATGGCACTCCCGGATCGTCCAGACGGCCCCAATATCTCTGCAGGTCTCCCGCAATCTGTCGCCCCTACCAGTTACCCATCCACGCAACGTCCCGCAACTCGACCAGCTGCACCACCCAAGCCCAAGAATTTGCGCGCTGGCCCAGCCACCTCGCGACCGGGTACTGGTCATGACAATGGTTCCTCCCAAGAGACTGCAGCAAGCCCTGGAGAAGACTGGGAGGCCAAATTCAGCCAGCGTTTCCCAAGCTTGTCTGGACTTGAAATGGAGACAGAGATCAAAATCCCGAACCTTTCGAGCTTGAGGACGCGGGAAGTGTAGAGTATAGGATACAAGTCTTGTTTGTTTCACATGATGCAGGTTCAGCGTGTGTTCGTGTGTTCGCCCGCGGGCGCAACTCGGGGAATGACATTGGCCCCCCCGAGCTATGCATATATAGACAGTGACATATTGGACATTACATAAGTTTCTTCTAAAACACCCATGACTTCAAAAACACTATCTTCATTTTCTGTACTCGTACCTGAGAAACTTTGAAACGCGCTCGATCTCAACTATAAAGGTTGTATACTTCAATCGTGTCTCCACACCGCCTTTGTTTCTCCCCGCAAGAGCAAGAGAACCCTCACTTTGAGTTTATAAGCCGAGATCTCTTTCAATCTATTAGATTATGGCGCCAGTGACTTTGAAAACGGTCGATGGTGAGTTACGAGTAGTACTTAGCTCTGAGAGTAAACCTGCTAATTCCTCACGCAGACGACCTCAAAGATGTGATTCAGCACTTATTCGAGATCCAATCCGCCGTCCACGGCTATCTGGGCCCAGAGACACAGCAGGAGCTTGTGCGGAAGATGTACGTCAGCTGCAATGGCATCCTGTGTTCTCTCCATTTTTCTATGCCCATGAATGTTCCCGTCAGGGCAAAAGATTGCCCGACAGGCAACATCACTGAACCTCAGCTCTACACACGACCTAAAACTAATACACTCCAGCAAAAACCTAACCCTTGCCCTCTCGACCCTGTCAACACACACTCAACTTGCACCAACACAAGAAAACCAACCAGACACAAACACCGACCCCTCCAATCCCTCCCTCGCCAGCATCCAGCTCCCACCAGAGATAATCGATTACGTCGACTCGGCGCGCAACCCGGACATATACACACGAGAGTTCGTAGAGCTTGTGCAGCGTGGGAATCAGGACCTGCGCGGGAAGCGCGAGGCATTTGCGAGCTTCCGCGACGTGCTGGCCCGTGAGATGCGCAGCGCTATGCCCGAATGTCGTGGAGAGGTTGATCGCGTGGTTGCTGCTACGGGTGGAACGGTTGATGGACCTGATGGTGTTACTGGGGATGAGGCTACGTCTGGGGGTGGAAATTGAAGGCCCTCTGATGAGGTTATAAGGTGCAAGTCTGATATTCCTGATTTTGGTAGAGTTGCCTTTCGTTGGCAGGGGGTTCGACGCAGTGGCCTGAGGTCTAGGCCGACCTTGATATTCGGTCCTTGCCTTCATCCGTTTGTTTGAAGTTCATGGAGTTGGTGCATTCATTGGAGTTTTTATGGTTTGCTTTGAGCGCGGCGCTTGCAAAGCTTTTTTCTTCTTTACGTTAGCCTGTGTAGTCTTTATAGCGGCCTTCTGATCGTCAATAATTTAAGCGCTAAGCTTAGAAGCATTACTTGCCTATGCTACATATCTAATTTTCATATATGCTCTATAGCTAATACCGCTACTAGAGCGCGGAGATCGATTGTGTCAAAGCATTGTCATGATATGTTTTATGCTGCCTGACAAACAAGGCCTCAAGTTTGATGCTATGGCTGACGTCATCGAATGGACATGCCCAGGTGAAGCAAATCTCGGAACAAGAGTTTCCGGACCTCATGAAGCACAATGCCAACTCGAAGGAGCCGATCCGCGGCAGCGTGTGTGCATTGTCGCCAGAAAAAGGTGCGTATTTCGGGCCTCTATCCGGATTCTGAACTCATTATCGGATTAAACAAGTAGTTGAAGTGTGATGCCCAGAGGCCTCAGTGTGGGAACTGTCTAGCCAAGAGTATCGATTGTCGGCTAGGCGTGGTCCAGAATAAGCCAAGGTATAAATGAGATCCCTACAATCAAATTTCAAGTTGCTGATGCTTTGCTTTTGGGCCGACCAACCACCGCATTGCGGAATTAGAGCAGGAGAATGAAATCCTTCGACAGAAATGTGCCCAGCTCCGGGGAAGCAACACCACTTCTGTTGGAAGGGTCCAATCGGAGCCGGAGTATTCTACTACATCGGAAAGCACTCCACGTACTCCATTGCCATTCTCGAGAGTAGCGGGTATTGGTCTCTCGCGGAATGACTCTCCCTCCACTTCAACTAGAGATGCATCACACCCAGAAGTACCGGAGAACGACCGCAGAAACACGTCATTGTACCATGGCCCAACGAGTACGGTGTATGATGATACAAGTCCGAACCACAACGAGCAGAATAGACCAGGTCCTTCCAATGAAGAGGGAACACGGCATTTTCTCTTTTCCCAGACAGCGAGACAGAGCAAGTCGGATCTCATATAACACTAAATATGGTTATGGTACTAATTGGGGAATAATAGGACAGCTTGAGCCACTCAATCTTGCCGCCGGAAAACTCGATTTTGATGGGATCGATCCTGAGATCGGCATGCATCTACTCTCCATATACTGGAGTCGTCAGCTTTACACAGCACAGATAATTTACCGGCCGGCTTTCATGCGAGATATGGCCTGCGAGGGACCATACTTTTCCAAATTGCTGTTGAATGCGATATTTTTTGTAGTGTCGAAGCACTGCGACCGACCAGAGCTTCGTTCCGACCCAAATGACATTACGACTGCAGGATGGAAGTTCCGGCAACGCTTCACGCAGCTTTTACGAGATTGCTTCGATAAAAGCGAAATCACTACCCTTCAGGCATTGCTGATTATGTCCAATGCACTTTTTTCCAGATGTGATGAACGGAGTCTGTCATGGCTATACGCTGGAAATGCATTCAATATGTTTATTGATCTTGGTCTGCATGTGCTTCCTGCTGTGGATAGTATCCCTGCCGAGGAACTTGAAATTCGAAAGCGAGTTCTCTGGGGAGCATACTGTGAGCTATCACTTCCCTGTACTGGGTATGTCCTACGAATTACCTCTAACTTCTCCGATAGTAATTGATAAGATCCAGTGTCTTTTCCAAGGAAGACCTCCGCTTCTCAACCGTGTCAACGTGAGAGCGTCACTAGACTTCCTGGATGACTATGACGAGCTTGAGCCTTTTCAGGGTATCACATACATGACTACAAAGCCTCGAGGAGTGATTCCATCATTGAATGTTTCTTTGCTCACCAATTTATGCGAGTTGACAACAATTGTGGAACGTGTCCTTCGTGAGATTTATTCGGAATCTCGAGAGTCAAATCTGGTTCATAGAGCAAATATCTCGGAGGAAATCAAGTCACAGCTGAGATCCTGGCGCCAGAATTTACCACTTCGGCTTGACTATCTGTCATTCCCAGACCAGGCGGTTCTCCTTCCTCAGTCCGCCTGTCTTTTGTATGTTCCTTGCACCAACCAAGACTAATTGATGGCTGCTAACTACTAGCAAGGGCTCTATTCAACGTGCTTATCATTTTGGTCCACCGTCCTCTAATAATTGGCCACGACGGGGTCATCAATTCAACAACTGCCCATGAGTCAGTGAACGCATGTACAGCAGCTGCGAACCAAATTGTTCAGATTCTCCATGATTACTCGCAGCAATTCTCTTTGAGCAGTGCACCGTACATGCTCTCTTACGCTACGTATATCAGTGCAACGATCCACGCACGGATTGTTGCACAGAAAGGGAGTAACTCAACCGCGTTCCAATCACTGGTTCTTTGCCGAACTATTCTTGTTGAACATACACGCCTCTATTCTGCAGCAGAAAAGGCTAGGGAAAATTTGGATAAATTGATTTCTCACTTAGGGATCAGTGCTACAGACGACAATCCTCGAGCTGAAAGCCCGGGGAGCTCTGGGAACAACTGTCCCAGCGAGCAGATGCTCATGGATGAGTCTATTAATGTTGCCAGAGAACCCGGCGTCGCAGATCGTGCACTTGAATTTGGATCTTCCCTGATGAGTTTGGAATTATCGGATCTGGACCTTGAGGCAATTGCTCAAGGCTTCCAGGTTGATGTAGAGTCGCATTCATTCTGGAATTATTTGGTATGAATGACCATACCCTCACGACATGCATCTATGGCCCCTTATGATTTACACGATCAACAATAGCGAAACAAACAAAATTTCCGTCTGCAACAAAAATTGCTTCAATGGCATATAGGATGCACTAGCTACCGTAAGGCCCAGAGGCAGTCCTGCCTGCCTTTTGGGTGACAATTTCCATCTCACTTGCGAGCGAGCTAGTCAGAGCACCGACATCAGTCACAACGTTGACAAAGTCGTACCCCAAGTCGGCATATTTCTTTGCCTGCTTTCCATTTCAACAGTAGATTCCAGCCTTTTTGCCTGCCTTGTGCGCCGAAGACAGAACCTTCTCAATGGCTTGTTCCAATTCAGGCGCAAAAGTATCACCCAACACGGGGTGACCGATACCATTTCCTAGGTCAAAAGGTCCGACAAATAGCAAATCTAGTCCTTCGACGGCGGCGATGGAATCGACATTGTCAAAAGCCTCTTTCGTCTCAATCTGAACCGAGAGCAAGAGATTGGCGTTGGCCTCAGTCAGATACTGGGTGGCTGATACATCCCTGCCAAACCTGTCCATGGGGAAAGGCGATCCGAATCCTCGCTTCCCCTGTGGTGGGAATCGGCAGGCCTCGACGAAGGCCTTTGTGTCTTCCACTGTCCGCACGAGAGGAGCGAGGACTCCATGTGCGCCTGCGTCCAGGGCACCTATGAAAAAGATGAGAAATTGTGAAGTGCGCTAGCGATATCAAGTCTGTTTGGCATACGTTTAATCATCCAAGATTGGAAATCTGGAACACGAACAATCGGGCTCACTCCATATGACGTTATGGCGGGGACAGCTTCGTGCATTGCGGCGTCTGCGAGGAATGTCAGCATGTAATTCCGAACAAGGGCAAGAACACTGACCATCGATATTTCCATGTTCACAGTCTACCAAAACCCAATCGTATCCAGCTCGTGCTAGAGTGCGAGACATGTTGCTGCCGGGCAATAGCTGCCACACTCCCAGAGCGAGGCCACCATTGTCGAGCACTGTCTTCACGCGGTTTAGACCTTGCATTATTGATCAGTTTGATGCAGGTGAGTTATTGGAAATTATATCTATCGAAAGATAACCTATAACAAGTCCGACGTCATATCTAAGAAATACTCCATATCCGGATCGTCACATCCCGAGGGGCAAAAATCTCGGCTCATCTCCGTGACCACGCGGGGCATTTCAACAACTTGTTCGATTACAATGATTCGACGCCAAATGGTTCGGAAAGTGTCTCCCGGCTGCACTCCGCATTTTTTAACAAAGCACAAATGGGGAGCCTGCCATATATAATCCATTGTCACCCCTCACAAGGAATGTTTATCCAACACTACCTCAATCTATAGTGCACCTATAACACCATGGCGTGTTCCGATAAGAAGTCCTGTGAGGGCTGTTCATGCAGCAATGACGCTCAACCCCAACCAATCAACATCGAGGACTGTCTAAGTGAGTTGCAGGCCCTGCGACGACGCAATCAGGAGCTAGAAACGCGCATGAGAGTCGCTAGCGAGGCAGACAATGCCCAAGTCCCCGTCAAGCAACCGGGACGAACACTTCGTTCATCCGCATGGTTCGACTGCCGCAGCAATCCCGGCATGACAGCTATCTATATGGAGCGGTATTTTAACTACGGTATCACCAAAGAAGAGCTCATGTCTGGTAGGCCGATGATTGGAATTGCTCAGACGGGCTCGGATATTGCGCCTTGCAATCGCCATCACATTGAACTCTCCAAGCGTGTTCGTGAAGGTATCCGGACTGCTGGGGGTATTCCATTTGAGTTCCCCACACATCCTATTCAGGAGACCTCAAGACGACCTACTGCGACCCTTGATCGTAATCTGGCGTACCTTGGCTTGGTGGAGATCTTGACGGGATATTTCCTTGATGGTGTTGTCTTGCTTACCGGGTGTGATAAGACAACCCCGGCTTGTTTGATGGCTGCGGCTACGATGGTGGGTACCAGACCTGGGAGATCCCTAGATCCATGCTGATGTTTTTAGAATATCCCTGCTATTTGCATGAATGTGGGACCCATGCTCAACGGTTACTCCAAGGGAGCTTTGACCGGAGCAGGCACTGTATTGTGGCATGGGCGAGAGCTTTTCGCCACGGGTGACATTGACGAACATGAGTTTATGGATTACATCGCCCGAGGGTAAGCAATTTCCAAAGCTCCAGTTAGTGACCCGGGAATCTAACCCAAACTCTAGAACTCCATCAGTCGGCCACTGCAATACAATGGGAACTGCCTCGACGATGAATGCCCTCGCAGAGTCCTTAGGAATGGCACTCCCCGGGTCAGCTGCCATCCCCGCTGCCTACCGCCACAGAGCCCAATGTGCCTACGAAACAGGCAAACGGATCGTGGAAATGGTAGAGGCAGACCGGAAGCCATGTGATCTTATGACACGTGAAGCCTTCGAGAATGCCATCGTAGCGAACGCCGCAATCGGTGGCAGCACGAATGCTCCTATTCACATCAACGCTATCGCGCAACACGCAGGCGTAGAGGTGTCCATGGATGACTGGGATAACCTCGGATCTACCATCCCGCTGCTGTTGAATATGCAGCCTTCAGGGGAATATCTCGGCGAAGAATATTACCGCGCTGGAGGACTGCCGGCTATTATGGCTGAGCTGTTAGACCAGGGAAAGCTAAACGGCGATGTGCTCACCTGCAACGGCAAAACTCTTGCCGAGAATGTCCGTGGGAAGCATACATGGGATCGTCGTGTCATTAAACCATATGACGATCCATTGATGAAAGATGCCGGATTCGCCCATTTGAAGGGCAATCTCTTCGACTCCGCAATCATGAAGACCTGTGTCATCTCACCCGCATTTCGGAAACGATATCTCTCCAACCCCGATGATCCAGAGGCATTTGAAGGATCTGTTGTGGTGTTTGACGGACCTGAAGACTACGAACATCGCCTAGAGAATACCCCATACATCGACGAGAAGACCATCCTTGTTATGCGCGGTGTTGGCCCGATCGGATATCCTGGAGCAGCGGAGGTCGTCAATATGCATCCACCAGGCCGACTCTTGAAAGAGGGTATTGATGGACTTTTCTGCATCGGGGATGGTAGACAATCGGGAACGTCTGGGTCACCCTCTATTTTGAATGCTAGCCCCGAGGCCGCAGCTGGAGGCAATCTTGCTATTTTGAAAGATGGGGATAGACTTCGCATTGACTTGCGCAAACGGCGAGTTGATATGCTCATTACCGATGAGGAGATCGAGCAACGAAGGAAAGCATTAGGTACTAAGGGATACCCCATTGTCCCGAGTGGTACTCCGTGGCAAGAGATCTTCCGCCAGGAAACTGATCAGTTGAGCAATGGTATGGTGCTACGAAAGGCAGTCAAATATCAGCGACTAGCTCAAGAAGGCCCGCCACTGCGCCATAATCATTGATATGCGACACATCGGACAAAGTTATGGAGCAGTCGCCCATGTTAGGATTTCACTTTGTTGAAAATATTTGAGCATAACAACATCTATAGATCTATCTATCTATTTAATATTCCAAATATCCCGTGTTATATATTGAAAAGTCCTTTTGTAGGAACCATTCTTTCACCGTTATTCTATGGTTTGCTGCTATCTATTTCTAACCAATAGATGGTCCTTGCAGCTACAATACCAAGAAGAGGAAACATAAAGAGAAGCTAGCCAAAAAGAATTAATTGCCCACTCCCTTTTGGGATCCCACCGATGATCGGAATCGTTTCTTGTACGTAGTATGTACTCCTTAGGTTAGGCAATTCTAGAGGCCAATGAGAGAGCTAGTTAAGGGTCTCAAAGTGTCGAATCTTACAAGAAAACTCTACAACATAGAGGGATCAAGCACACTATGTACATCCATGGACCCACTCAGTATGCTTGATCTGATCGGGTCGGCTTGTCCGTTTCGGCCATAGTCATCGCTTTCGGGAAATCTCCGGATCTTTCGGCAAATGCTCTATCTTGGGATGGCCGAGAACCTTGATGGAAGCCCTGACCTTTGAACCGAAATGAAATATCTTTAACTATTGTACAGATTCCGGTAGACGGCACATCTCAGAACCATCTATACTGGGGGCGACATGGTTTGATACTGACACCATTATGTTAGTAGCCACGCAATTTCCTCTCAACCAAAACAATGAAATTATCAGTTAGGACTCTTCTTTCTTCTTGGCACAATGTGTCCACTCCTGCCTTAGTGTCTGCGATTATAACCTCTACGAGATCTACTGCACCTAGCCTTGGAACGTTATCAACTACTACTGACACAATCGCAGGTGGTGTTTTGGGGAAGATATTGCGAGGCCGGTGCAATTGGTGCTGGTGCAGTCCTCTTGCTTTTGTGGAAGAAGCGAAACCGGCGCTAGCAAGATGGATCGGATGAGTTTGGGCAAGATAATTTCCCGTCTGTTTCCGAGTACTATAGCGGAGAGACATCAAGATGGGAAATGCAATACACCGAAATGGATGGAGCGCAACAGCCCAGAGATGTTGAAAGCAGTGAGCCATTTCATGAATATAGAGAGGTTCAAGGAGATAACCCCAGTGAAGCGGCACATGAAATTGACCCCAAAAGCTTCATTGCCGAGTTGCCAGCCCGCATGAAAATTCGCTTCGATTTATCTAGTTTGCCTTGGTTGAAATTGCTAGAAAGAGCCACGACTCCTGCGTGTACTTTTAGTCGAGTGAGTATTCCTCTTCCCAACAGCGTTGATCACGATACTCATGATATGCCATGTTGAGACGGTTCATGGTGTTAAGGGTCGATATGTGGTCCGGTCCTAGCACTTTCTCTCTCCCAACTAACGCCCGTATAAGCATTCGCTCCGCTTCATCCAGCTTGCCTTGTTTATAATATACCATGCCGAGACTATAAACGGTGTCAAGGGTTGGTACGTCATCCAGCTTGCCTTGTTTATAAAGTACTATGGCGAGATTGTGAATGTTGTCAAGGGTTTGTATCTGGACCGGTGCTAGCGCTTTCTCCCTCCCAGCTAGCGCCCGCACAAGCATTCGCTCCGCTTCGTCCAGCTTACCTTGGCGAGCGTATACTACACCGAGCGTGTGAACGGTGTCAAGGGTTGATAGGTGGTCCGATCCTAGCGCTTTCTCCCTCCCGTCTAGCGCCCGCATAAGCATTTTCTCCGCTTCGTCCAGCTTGTCTTGATAAGCGTATACTTCACCGAGCGTGTGAACGGTGTCAAGGGTTGGTAGATGGACCGGTTCTAGCGCTTTCTCCCTCCCAGCCAGCGCACGCACAAGCATTCGCTCCGCTTCATCTAGCTTGCCTTGGCGAGCGTATACCATGCCGAGCCTGTGAACGGTGTCAAGGGTTGGTAGATGGACCGGACCAAGCGCTTTCTCCTTCCCAGCTAGCGCCCGCATAAACATGCGCTCCGCCTCATCTAGCTTGCCTTGGCGAGCGTATACCATGCCGAGCATGTGAACGGCATCAAGGGTTGGTATGTGGTCCGGTCCAAGCGCTTTTTCCCTCTCCCAACTAGCGCCCGCATAAACATGCGCTCCGCCTCATCTAGCTTGCCTTGGTCACCATATAATATACCGAGATTGTGAACCGTGCGAAAGGTTGATATATGGTGAGGTCCCAGTGCTTTCTCTTTCCTAGCTAGCGCCTGCATGTATATCTGCTCGGCCTTATCCAGTTTGCCTTGGTTATAATATAGAGAGCCGAGATTGTGAAAGGTGTGAAGGGTTAATATGTGGTCTGGTCCTAGCGAGATTGTGAAAGGTGTGAAGGGTTAATATGTGGTCTGGTCCTAGCGCTTTGTTATACCCAGCCAGCACCCGCAACTGCATCTGCTCGGCCTCGTCCAAGTTACCTTGGACATGATGTAGAATGGCAAGACCGTGAACGGCGCCAAGGGTAGATGTATCGTCCGGTCCTAGGGATTGCTCATATCCATGTAGTACCCGGATTTGCATTTGCTCTGCAGCAGTAAGCTGAGATTGCACTCGAAGTAAGAACGCAAGACGTGAGGCCTTCTCAAGTCGATCAGGCGTAGAATCGGATATCGTATCGTTCTTAAGGAATCGCTGGTGTAGTAGTCGTGCTGCATGACCAGCCGAGCTGGAAAAAATGACATGATCAAGAGATTCCATATTATTATCCACCGAATTGATAGTCGCATCAATGCAATCGAAAGCATACCAGTAATACTCCAAATCAACATTCTTGTTGAGTGCGGCCAATGTCCAGTCATGTATACAGTTATGCATACTCCATGTTTCTGATTCCAAGTGGACTTCTAGGAAGCAGTACTCGGTTAAGATTCTCATCACTCCCCGGAAAGACATATCGTTTGCAACTAGTTCAAGAAGCCACTTGGGAGACCCTTCAGTAAGTCCATCGTAGAAAAGCTCGTACCAAAGGTTCTGGTTATCGAAGTAAGCCAGCAATTTGAGTAGTTTTGCTGCGTCCGGGTCTTCAATTTCCAAACGAGCGTATGATAGATCCCAGGTGGTGTAAAGCGTACGCTCACGATACTCTTGAAGCTTAGTGGGGCGACGGGGATCAATATTCCAGCGTTTCTCGTACTCTTGCAAGTAGCGTTCAAAGGTCAGAGCACTTCGCTGAAGATATGTTCCAGCAGTGGCTAAAGCAAGTGGAAAACCATCAAGTCGCTCTGCAAGGCGTTTTGCGTGCGGATCTAACGGCCGTGATTAGTTAGGTAGTTATAGGTGTATGAATAACATATGTATGTTGTATACCTAATAGAACATCTTTTCTTCTCGATCGGGTTTGTAGGATAGCGAGACCATCTTCAATACCCTGGAAAGGCTTTATATGTAGATGAATTCCTGCAACATCATCTGGCTGCCGGGTAGTGACTATGATGGACCCATAGGAAGCGGGTGGACAATAGTCGTTGATGTCAAACTGCGTCGGATCGTCGTAGTTATCAAATATCAATAACCATCTGGTGTCTATGGAACTAGAAGATAGCTACTGATGCACATGCCCGACAATGTGTTTGCTCTCTAGGAGTCGGGGATCCTGAAAGTCGAAGATGATGCTGGCGATCGATTGAAAACTATTTTGCAGCGCGGCCTCGGACATTGCATTCAGCCAAAACACCGAGCTATAAGATCCAGATCGCGACTCTGCGTAAGCGATAGCAAGCTGAGTTTTTCCGACACCTCCTATTCCACCAAGAACTAAGCGTCGTTGCTTTGGAGGCTCCTGAAAAGGGCGTAAAAACTCTCCGATTTTCTCAAGCTCGGAGCGACGACCGACGAAGAGTTCTTGAGCGATATGAGGCGCTTGGCCGAGATGGACACCAACAGGTCCACGAGCGATAAAGTCTTTCTTCTGCATGAGAGTGACTACAATTGTACGTTAGCAGAGGATTTTCAGAGATCTTTGATGCGCAGTTATTATAGAAATAGAAACTGAGATATCTCATATGCACACATAGCGTGTGTATTGGAGATTATAACTAACAACAAGGGAAGGCTCGTCGAGACATGAAGAGCAATTTTGGCCGAGGGCTCTATTTACAGTCCATTTCCGGGCCGTACGAAATCAATATTCGGGCAAAATAGGCAAGAAACATCCCGTCAAGCCCAATCCTTACCAGAATTGTAGTTCTGCGTTCCAACAGACATAGATATAGACCCATGCCCATAATTGTTGATGTGTTGCCCACCACTGTTACGATTGACATTGTTTATCAATGTCCCACCCCCGCTGTTGAAACTAGTTGGGCTCTCATCTTCCGGTACTGAGGATGGGAAAGACTTCATCTGTTGGACGATATCGTCAAGCTCAGCCTTTTGCTGCTGATTGGCAAACCTAACCGCATGGTGATTGACAATCAATTGGACGTCTTTCACGAGACCAAGCATCAGTTCTTCGATTTTGTTTCCTTTGCCGAGACTGCGGAGAATCTTCGAATATCGTTTCATCCATGTATGTCTTTCACCGGATTCGATTTTTTCAAGGATTTCTCTCAAATGTTTTGCCTTTGTATAACAAGCCTCGAGGATCTCTTCCAAGGCATCGCATACATCTTGGGGGATTGAGTCTGCTCGCTGTTTGAGGTTGTTTTTGCATGTCTCGAGTGTGTGAAGAATGACAGGGAGACGGCATCGAACAACTTCGAATGTCTCCGATAATTTGATGTCATTCTTAACACGGTCATAGATTTTGATCGAGGTTTCAATGAGGGCGACCACCCCAGAGATAGCGCCGATGACTTCTGCCATCTCGAGGTTCAAAATTTATGGGTCTGAGTATCTCCGACTCCAAAACGTGGTATAGCACCAGGATGGTTAATAGAAAATGAGGGGCAGGACTTCCCACCCCAGGGTTTGTAGGGCTTATTATTAAATACGCTATGGATCTGCAAGTACTCAGAACTCTTGGGCGCTTCCACAGATACACGTGTCTACAGTTGATTTCTCAGGTGTCATCCCTCGCGCATTAGTTCGTTATCCAAGAACCCTGCGACCGCCAATCGGGGCAGCATTTATAATTAAAAAAAAGATCGAGAATTGGAACTCACTTACGTCGTAGAAGCTATATAAAACTTCCAAGGTTTATGCTTTTCGGTTACAAAAATTACATGTACATGAAAATCCTTGACAATAATACATAATATTAATTCGATCTTCATGCGGCTATAGAAGACAATTAATGGCTCGACAACAAATATTAGACCTTCGTTATTTACCTACTTCCAAGATTGTGTCAAATGAATGAATGTATAATTATGCCTTGTGTCATCGGGTCTAGTGCATACGTACCTAGGTAGGTACCCGTGAACAGCCCAAAATCAATTAGGGCGGCCAAGCCTAGCCTGATCATGCAGGCCAGAATGGAATAACTAACGTGTTTCACTACCGAGCTGCGCACACCACCGAGCTGCGCACCCAACCTAACCTATTAATTTCAAATGCATATATCTCAACCAAAACTCCATTAAATTAAATACACTAAAATCATCATCTATCTGGACATGCATCTCTTCTATGACCCTGGTTTTTGCATAACCCGCATGTTGGTAATGCTCTCGTTCGTGGCTGTAAAGGTGGCGAAGGCCTTCTTCGCCGGAGGCGGGGGGTGCTTCAACTACTGCCATCGGCTCAGTAATCAATTGAGAAGCTTCTTGAACTGAGAGCCCTGCTTCAGCTGGTATCTGCCTTCGGGATCGAGTGCGCTTTTGCTTCTGCTTCTCGTTAGCGGCGCGTAATTCCTTGTTTTCTTTAGCAAGTAAGATAGCACCTTGCATTGTAAGACGGAAGCCTTTCACAAGCTGGTTTAATGCTCGATCTGACGGGCTAGGTGGACTTCGAGATCTTGTACGAAGTAAAGCTTTAATCGATGAAGCCTGTCGACGTAGTTCTTTCTCCGTAAAGGGGGTTTTCGGTGTAAAATTCCGGCTTGATTCACTACCCCGGCTAGGGGGGGGGGTTGGTGTTCGAAGCCGAATATTTAGCTTTGAAATCACTTGATTAGGTGAAAACGGTACTAAACCGGCAGCTCTAAAGCTGCTTTTAATAGTATCCGTTTTAAAAGCTTCAATTCGAGCCTCTAGGTATGCTTCGAGGAAATCAAGTTTATCAATATGATTTATCCTAACCCGCATTGTTGATTCAACCAGCCGGCCGTACGCACGTTTTAACACCCCAAAACAGCCGATATCGAGAGATTGTAAAAGGTGAGAGGAGTGCGGAGGCATACAGATTGGAATAATATGATTTTTCTCACAGATTTCATCAAACTTCGGGGTTAAATGGCTTCCGTGACCGTCAAGTACTAGAAGCCGATACCTCCCCTTCGTACGTGAAAAAGTAGTAGGAATAAAGAGCTTTTCAAGCTAGCGAAGCCCGATTTTATCGGAAGTCCAACCGTTAGGACTTACTTCAAGGCGCCAATCTTTCGGAAGGCCTTTAAACCAGGATTCAAGGAAGACCTTTCCTTTAAAAATCACACACGGAGGAAGCACCCAGCCGGAAGCACCCGTACACTCAATCACCGTCACCCACTCTCGATTTCTAGGTTGTAAAAGTGCTCTCCGGCCGTAGTAATCACTCCTCGTGATAACTTTCGTAGTTGGCGTTATTAATCCTATAGCAAAACCGGTCTCGTCAAAGTTATAAATGTCATCGGGATCGATTCCAAATTGAAGGATCGTTTTTTGAACCAAATCAAACCACTCCCTAATGATTTTCTGGTCTTCACATTTCGCACGCTCGTAATTATATCGTTTCGAGAACCGAGAGGAGAGGAGAGGGCGCCTTTTAACGAACTTCGTAACCCAATTTTGGCCGACCGAAAGAACCGGTATAGATCCGCGCTTTTCGAGCAGAAGATTCGCCATTTCTCGTACCATAGTAGGCCGGGGGGCTGCTCCACGAGAATCTATAGAGAGTATCCATTTTTGAAGAGATTCCTCTTCGAGCTCTGTCAATTTATGACTATTAGCGCGGGTTTCAGCGCGAAAAGTAGTGCCACGAAGACGCGACCGGAGGGTTGATTCAGGCACTTCAAAACGGCGTGCTGCTTCGCGAATAGCGCTAATTTCTTGATTTTTAAAAGCCTGGGTAGCTAATAAAATCCTACCCTCTTGCTCTATTGAATTTCTAGAGCTTCGGGAGCGAATTGGTGGCATGGTGGGTGGTTAAACTAACTAAGATCTAATTCCTGGACGCGTTTTGGGTGGGGTGCGCAGCTCGGTGGTGTGCGCAGCTCGGTAGTGAAACACGTTAGTTAGTTAGTTAGCTAACTAGTTAATAGAGGTAATCTTGGTTGACCGCTAGTCTCGGATCATTTCTGTATAAAATTCCCTCAGCTTCCATGGTTTTAATATTAGAGATCCTGCACTTTAGCACTTCTAGTTAATACTCCATTCTATCTGTCATATAAAGAATTGATACAGCATGTATTGGAAGTGGGATTTTGCAAAGCGTATATAGAAAAAAACCTAGAATAGAAAGCGAGGTAAATGTAGAAATAAATAAAAATAGGGATTGAGCCCACATTTATGGACGCGCTTTCTATTTCCCAATTTAATAAACCCCTTATGGAAGTGCTGTTTCTCTCAGGTGAAAGAGGGGTAAAACTGCATATTAAACCCTGCAATTTTCCAAATGAATTGATGTATGCAGTTGTACTGATATGCAGAAAACAGCATAGCAGAAGCAAAGTTGCATCAGACGCGCTAAGCTTGCATGCAGGAAGAACCAATTCCGTGATAATTAAGGAGAACAAGAATAGTCAGCCGCTTATGCGGCCTTGTCAAGTATTTTTTTGGTAGTCTCTTCAGGTAGTCTTTTTAGATCTCTGTTTTTATAGAGTATTCTCTCCCCATTCTCAGTTTGTTGGCCAGACGGCGGTAAAAAGCTGGAAAAGGCTTAATTTGTCATGTCCACGGGTATAACCAGGGACTAGTTAGCTGCAATTCTCAACATGTGTATAATAATTAGGCACACCAAAGAAACATGGCATTAAAAGGCGAAGATGCCAAAGAAAAAGCATTTGAATTGTGATCAACAAAAGAAGTTGTTAGAGCTACTAGCTAGAGGGAGAGAGAAGAAGAGGAATCATGATCTATTCAATCTATCTAAAGCAGGGGATTTCTACCCTGACACACAAAGACTGTCGAACAAAGACAGGCTCAATCTGCACACTATTGGAGGCATCGATGAGATGACTAGACAAAGGCATCAATGGGATGACTGACATTGTCTAACAGAAGTATATCACTAGAGTCCAAAAGGATAAGTTTCGCCCTTTCCAAGCGGCGTGTCGGGCTGGATGACTTCCAGGGGTTTAACAGCCTGGGTCACATCAAACCAAACATAACCATCAAACTGCTTGTGAAGGAAGGCTTGCGAGTAGTGGGAGGCGCGCTCGGTATCCGGGCGGTAGATGACACCAATAAAACGCTGCAGGCGTTGCTCAGCAGCGATAGCCAAGCGCAGAGAGGGATCTATATGATCCTGGCGAAGATCGAGCACGAAGCGTGGTACCCCAGTATCATGGGCCACAATCTCCCAACTATCGTCCCGCGATGGACGGACGGACATGACCTCCATATCATCGTCCCATTCATGGGCCGCTGCAACGGTGCCAGTGTGAGTTCCGCATCCAAGAATAGTCACATTCTCGCGTCCCAGTCGCTCACGGCACAGTTGCCCGATGTTAAGCTCCTTTCGGCGAAAGCCCATGCTTGTATAGCGCGCATCCCCGACGTGGGAATTGTGCGCCCACACAATGGCTTTCTCTCCCTCATTGTGCTTTAGCAGGCGCTCCAAGGTTTCAAACATGTGCATGTCACGCAGGTTCCATGAACTTGCTGAGCTGTAGTACATTGCTTTGTAATACTTCTCAGCGTCACGAACCAGGTGGGCATTCTGCTCTCCGCTGTGGTAATCATCGCTATCCCGCGAGCCGATGTACTCAAGCCGTCGCTCTAAGAGGTCTCCAAGCATCTTCATCACTGGGGCTTCACAGTCTTCCATGCCTCGAAGGGATGCCAGACCATATGAAGTGGGATCGTCGACCCAAGGCTCCAGACACCCATACCGCTGGCGCGCTTGCTTGCTTGCTTGTGGATCTACTAGATCCAAATAGTCGATCACAGCACCAATCGAAGCACCCATGCTGTACAGGTCCAGTCCGTAGAACCCGGCTCTTTGCTCTGGTGCGAGGCTCTGGTTTCGATCACGCATCCATTCAACTAGCTGTTGCATCTCAGAATTCCTCCACATCCAGGTAGGAAACCGATTGAATGGTTCATATCCTTTGGCACTTCCTCCAATTTGCGCCTTGGGGCCTGGGCGCAAGCGCACGTATCGGTCGATGGCCTCTGCATCCGGCCAGTCTGCTTCGACCGCGACCATGGTGTAGCCGTGTTGTTCAATGAGTCGCTTTGTGATCTCTGCGCGTGCAGAATAGAACTCAGATGTTCCATGACTGCCATCGCCTAGAAGAATCACTTGGTTGCCCGCAAACGAATCGAAGTGGGATGCGAAGCTCTTGTCCTCAATTACAGGCAGTGGCTGGACTGCTGAGTTGAAAAGCTCCTGTAGCTGAGGCATCTTTTTCGTAGTTCGAAATATAGATGCCAAGCGCATGGACGGTTAAGCTGTGGTTGAGGATATCTTCACGCAGGATACCTCACGTAGATGAATATGTCGAGTACTGAAACGCCGGGGGATTACCCCCGGCATTTCTATTCTTCTTTCATCAATACAACATATACTCTTTGTTTTACGGGACTTTTCCCAGCGAATTATTCACATCACGGCAACTAAACAGTCATCGTGACATCATCGCCGGAGGCAAACCACAATGCTTCAATTCCGATGATAGTGGAATAAATGACACCCGAGAATTAGATTTTAATCTATAACAAATGCAGTGGTCGAGGTTGCTATTATTCAAAAAGCACACTGCTAAACAAGCAATCATTCATCCCAGCAACTACGCATATGCCCACCCTGTTTCGAAGGTACATACTTCGAGAATGGCTCTCCCAATCAGCAGTCCGTCACCGCGCCTAGACCGCTTTGGGCAAGCCATGGAATCTCTTTATGGGAGTTTTAGCAGCATCGAAGACCCAAAATCCTGGACTCCACCACCAAGATCAGGCGGTCATCGGGGGCGATACCTATGGACAGATGCCTTCGGGGTGGTCAACTTTCTCACAATGCACAGCGAGTATAAGCGAACTGGCAATGACACCGTTGGCGACGATCGTTATCTAGTGCTGGCTGCTCGTCTGATTGAGACTGTCCATGACGTTCTGGGTAGAACTCGAGACGGCCGCTCAAGACTGCGAGGAGCAACAGACGCGAACCCGCTAAGCGGTGGATTGAGGATCGGCAAGACAGATGCTCGCGGTCCAGATGGCGATGGGCAATATCATCATTATCTAACGGTTTGGATGTTTGCGTTGAATCGGATGGCCAAAGCATCGGGAGATTTGAAGTACAACAGGCAAGCCATAGAGCTGGCAAAGGCGATACATCCAAGGTTCTTTGTTGATCGCGCGGCAGCTCGACCGAGAATGATATGGAAAATGAACATGGATCTGTCAGAGCCAATGGTCAAGTCAGAGGGTAATCTTGATCCGATTGATGGCTTTGTTGTTTTTCGACTCCTGCAAGATACTGCCATGGAAGCAGGTGATGGTGCGTTCTTGGCCGAGGAGATCGATGACTACAGACGCACGATGGAGCGAAAAGGAGAGCACTTTGTTTCAAGTGATCCTCTAGATCTGGGTATGACTTTATGGACGGCACATTGGTTTTCCGGGCGAGAGCGCTGGGCTGCTGACCTAGCGGGGAAATGCTTCGAGCAAATATGTCAGTAATCACCGTGCCCATACCCGCGAAGCAAAATAGGACAGTAAGAATCAAGCTAACTGGGGATGGTTCCAGACAATCTGTTCGAGGTCAATCAATATTTGCAGCGCAACATCCGATTTCGGTTGGCCTTTCGTGAATTTGGAACCTGCATGGGCATCCAATGCCAGTCAGAGGTGAACGCGGAAAAAGAACGCTCAGTTGATTTGAAACGCTACTCCGATGCCATCATTGCTGCTTGGGATCCATACATGCAGCTATCCATATCCGATGATCTGACACCAGAGGACTTGAGGCCTATCACGCGGGTGATGTATGCGTCGGCGTTAATTCCAGGCGGTAAGTCAAACGGGCCCCTATGATGAATTCGGTATTTTGACATGTTCTTCAATTCCAGCATTTCAAGCTGGTTTCCTGGGACAGGAACCAACACCAACAACCTAGCAACGAACAAAATCACATGTAGCGTGATGGTAAGGCAGAGATGAGCAGTCTCATTTCCGGATTACCCATACAAATATTTTTGGAATGGATAGATACACTGTTCTGCAACTACAATGAAGGAGTAGGACAAGCAGTCATTGGCATTTGACAGGGCCAGGGCCGGAAGGCCCGGGGAAGAATCTTTATAAAATCATGGGGAAAAAACCGTCTCTGAGGGGATCCCCAGATCTTCTTTTGTACTTAAACGTTAGGACATGGTATCAAAATAATACGCGACATGGATGGTATGAGACACACAACATAGTCGCGGGCAGCGGAACCGGCAGCACCGGCATTGGCAGTAACAGCGGTGGCGATATAGGGGCGCCAAGCCGGCACCAGCATTAGAGCCCGCACGAGAATAGGCCGAGGCGGCCGAAGGGGCACGCAAGGAGGCATGAGAGGAAGCCGCAGAGAGTGAGGCCGCTAAACCCCTACAACTGAGCTGCTTACCTCGCTTGTTCCGCCTCGGCCGCAATGGCTCTTTTTACTATAATTCTGTCCCCAAAGCCCAAGTTAGTATGCTACTCTTTGTTTTAACTGAAAGATTGTCTATTGATGGTCAAGCTCGTGGGAGAAAATATATAGAAAAGAGAGAGAACTTATATAGTCTAGACTAGGCATCACTTAAGCCACGCCCTCTGAATATATGGAATTTTTCCTTCAGTCGAATCAAGACTGCTTCTGCTCAAGGATCAGTCTCTGTGAAACAAAGCTTACTGTATCTACCCTCCTGAGCATCATATGGTTTCCCTTTTCCGCAAATAGATTATTGGTTTTCTGGTATACTTCATACACTTCATCTTGAACACAATGTTTGAATCTGCAAATTGTGCTCGTACCTGAGTAGCATATGAACTTTCTAGATTCCGAGGAAAGGAAATTAGTGTAATTTATGCCAACTCTTCGATGGGTACATACTTCATATGGTCCATGAGTCGTGAACCTTGAGACCATGGGACACCATGTCTCAATGTATTGTAGATGCCGAATGTGTTTGCGATGGGGGTGGATGCCCTGTTGACTTTAATGCTCACTGCCAGATTCCACTTGCCGAAGAGGTATGGGCCATGGCTACCTCTAAGAACACAGTCATTGTTTTTGGTTCATGATTGATACGATGAGATGTTGATCCCAATTCAATGACATCATTCAGATTGTATAAGAACCAGAGCTAAAATGGGATATTACCTTGTTGTTTCTCTGCCTTATATCCTTACTTCACTGAGTTTCTACCCTGACAAGTAGGCCCTTGAGGATTTTCCTGTGAGAAACCATTGTTGTGAATACCCGTGGACGATAACCACGGGAAGCTTGACGTTGGGTCTAAACCTCGGCCTTAGTCCTCGGCAACTTCCCGTGAATCTGACCTCTCCTCGGGATTGTAAGAGAGCATCCCGAGTCGTTAGAAGAATTGACTGAATAGAACTTTTCGTAGCAAAACTTCGGAGCACTTCGGATCCTTCAAGTCTGGCCCATTTAGACATATCTATATAAATTATGGGAGCAGAACTTCAATTTGTCTGGTCAATCTGTCCATAAACGACGTTTCAAGCCCTATATTTCATTATTCAGTTGAGTCACCATGAACGATCTTGAACAGGGGGATACTTCGGCCATGCCCAGCCAGTTCAATTCCCATGGAAAGTCCGTTGAGCAAATGCACATGCCAACCGTCTACAAGCCAGACCTAAAGTCATTTCTCGGAGATCCTACACCACTGTGTGTCTATCTAGTGTTATTTGCCTCTTTGGGGTTTCTAAATTTGATCAACAAGCTGATGAACAATAGTGGTATTATGGGGTTCATTCTTGCCTTGACTCCGTTTACTTGTGAATTGATGGAGTTTCGAGGTGCTTTTGGAGCTGGAGCTGCAACTGTGTGCGTGAGCTAAAATATTTCCCTCCGGAGTCTTGACTAACTGGTATTCAGTGGCCCTCAATACTTTTTCGGGGGTTTACTTCTGATTCTTGCGTCCGTGCTCCAGTTTATTCTGGGGAATACCTTTGTCTTCGTCGTTTTTGGATCCTTCGGTATGACAGTCTTGCCTTGATCCTCTTTGCTCTACCTCTGACACGATAGTAGCGGCATTTTGGCTTTCCTATGCTACGACATTGACGCCCTTTTATAATGCTGCCACGGCATATGACGCGACTAATCCCGAAAATCCGGGATTTTATAATGCGTATGGTCAGTACCCTAACTCAGGACACAATGAAATTGTTAGCCATATGTTTACAAAAACATGACAATAGGTTTCTTCACGCTTTTTATGGGCCTCCTCTGCTTGATATACCTCATCTGTAGTCTCCGAACTAATCTCTGCTTCGTCGCCATATTCCTTGGACTCGTACTTGGATTCTTTCTCCTCACGGGTGCAGTATGGCAATTGGCGAATGGAAACCCGAATTTGGCTCGAACCCTCAAGAAGGTTAGTCCCTCTTACCCCAGTCGCAAAACAGAGCGATTTTATGATTCAGTTTGAAAACTGGCATCTAACATGAAGCTTACTTCTGAAGGCTGCTGGTGCTTGCCTGGCGTTAGGGTCATTGCCTGGCTGGTACTTCCTCTTGGTGCAACTGTTAGCAACAGTTGACTTTCCGTTGACATTGCCAATTGGAGACCTCAGTCGCATCATACCAGGGGCAAGTGCGCGGAAGAAGATGAACTGATAAAGTGATCATTTCATGGTCAGAAGGGATCATCAGGAAGATCAAAATAGATGGACATATCAAAATTCAGGCGCATAGGGCAATTGTGCTTTGTGACTGGGGGTGGATGTTGGGTATTTCGGAGGCGGGATTGTTATTCAACTTGAAGATGATAGATTTCAAAAAAAGGTAGATAGAAAGCTTTAATTCTTATTTAAGGAAACATATAATCATATAATATCTAGAATTAACCGAGTTTTCTTCTAGTACTAATTCCATATTTTTTGGAAATTATATAGTTATAGGAAGTAGGGCTAATTGTCACACTATACACCTACTTCGGTAGTAATTCGGTAGTGCGATTGATCATATAGAAAGGTACTTCCAAGGTTAGATAGTGTTATAGTAATATCGTACGTATGTATGTCATATAATAGGTATTAAGGGATACTATAGTTAAAAATAGCGGCTAGCAGTAGACGTACCCGAAGTGTGTCACTAGACAAAGAGTGTGTCCGTAGTCGGTCTCTTATGTCTATTCTTCTCGGAGTTATAGGTAGAAAAATAAGAATTAGCTATAAAAGTACCGCCAGGAATGGAATAATAGTATGGAGTAGACATGCCGGGCTTGTCACTTTACGATGTACAATATAGCTTTTCCATGTATAACCAGGGATTTCAACGTCGGGATGAAGACGACTTGAGCACTACTCCATGCCCAAAACCAATGCAATCTATCATTATAATTCGGTATATTCACAGCTGCCGAGAATCAAATCTCGCAGACAAAACAGACATCTATACTCCCGGAAGTCCAACCACGTCCCTCAATGGTGCTATCCTTCTTGGAAGAATATAGATGGCATACACAGCACTCAAAGCAATGAATAGGCCAGACCACTAGAGGAATCGTTAGCCAATAGAAATGTTTACCGCGGGAGGATTTTGCCCAAGAATGCACTCACCTTTTCTAACCAAGTGTGAAACCAAATCGCGGTCATGAAGAGCATCCACCAGCCCAGGCCAACAACACCCCAAACAAGACGGAGTGACCACGTCCTTGCGAACCCGCCAGTCTCAGTTGAATCGATTACTGGTGTACTATCGGCATCACTGGCCTTGCGCTCACGTCCCGCATCCCCAGGGGAACCAAAACACGACAGACATGCGGGTGCGCGTGTGCTAGCCCCGACAGCCTCAAATGCCAAGAGTCCTGTGGCCAGAACCAGCATCAACACATGTCCACTGATATCATGTCCACCCCTCCATGCGCCACCAGCAGTTTTACACGTCGCTGCTGTGAATAGTGTTTCTAGGTCAGTTGGGCTACTCTGCCCAGCGGTCATTTTCCCGACTTCCTCAAGAGCCCGTTCACATTTGCCGCCAGTGGCTACGAAACCACGATCAATGATTGCTGGCCCGAAGAACCATTGTGTTGAAAGATACCATACTGTTGTCGCGAGTGCGTAGCGTAGGATAGCTTGGAGGGTGCGTCGGAAACGTGCTTCTTGCTGTGAGGAGGATTCGCGGCGAGATGAAGAGTATAGGGGTTGGAATATGAGGAGCGAGACAAATGCGGCTGTAGTCCATAGCCATCCGATCTTCACAAAGTAAACATTGAAGATATTATTCTTTCGGGCGAAGTAGTTGACGGGGCTTTCGGATAGGTGCAGGTCTGAGGCCAGGGATGGGGCCAGAGGGCTTGCGGGCTGTAGAGAAGAGCCGGACAAATCTCTGGAATGGCGTGCTGTTGGGGAGATTGTTGAGAACAAAGACCCGAGTAATAATGTTGCAGGATATATGAGGAGAACAGTCGAGAGGAGGGGGGGCAGGTCGCGCGGTGGTTGTGGCCATGGTCGTAAGCATAGGGCGAGATTCGAGCAAAGGGAAATGAAGTGGTATATTGTGAAATACACAACAATGATTCACCAGAACATTCAAATATGACCACAGAGCATAGTTGTTGCAATTGGGAAGGTCGAAGCAGGATAAATTGACGATGACTTGGACAGATGACATCAGGGTTTGCCTGCCGAGGCTGCTGCATGAATGCCTCAGGCGTCAAATTAATATCGACCGCAATCTATAATCGTGCCAAGCGCCCAACACACATTCTCTGTGTTGGTGCGCCCCACTCAACGATAATTCCCACACAACGATAATTTTAATGGGATGAATTGCATTTAAACCACTATTTACATATAACCACCAGTAGTATCTATATACCAATTTGCACCATTACTATCTCTTGCCGCCATTGAAGCTTCATGCTCAGCTTCTACTAAATCCCTTGCTTCCTGAGCTCGCCGTTGAGCTTCCAATTCCTTGGCATGCTTTGCCTGTATGCGCTTCAACTTCTTAGAATCAGCATCTCTCCTGTCAACCATCTTCCTATTTGCACATATAGGTGATAGGACATTGCCTTTAGTCCCAAGAAGCGATTTCCCATTTCTTGGGGTATTTGCAATTGAACTGGACGTACGGGCCTTCTTTAATTCAGCCCGTAGTATAGCATTTTCGTGGGATAAAAGTGAAGTTGCATCCATACTTCGTTGGATATGCCGTTTCACCCTCTAGGAGTAGTTTTCCATTTGCTTAACGTCATCAATAAGCTTAGCATTAAGCCTATTAACCCGCTCAATTGTATCTGGCGGCGAATTGGTGACTGAGCTTACGAATTCCGGAGGGGGAGAGGGAGTGAGAATCCTAAGGGGGGACCCTTCAGATTCAAGAGCTCTTTGACGTAGAGGACCGAGAATAAGCTCTGGATCTAGGGGGTAAATACCCCTAGATTTAAATGAAGATCGGATGATTCTTTGGGTGAAAGCTTGCTCTCGGACACCCTGAATTATCCTAAAAAAATCCCGCTTCTTGCTTGCACTTCCACCCCACATTATAGCTTCATTATTCGCTATACGAAAATGATGCTTTAAGCATTGGAATGGCTGGCCATCTAGCGGTTGGCAGAGATGGGTTATATGGGGTAAAAAAAAGACTGGGATAATGAAATGCTGGTTGCAAAATTCAATAAAATTGATCGTTGTATGGGATCCATGATTATCCATTAAAAGCAGCCTTGGCCTGCCTTTTTTAACCAGAGATTTTGTAGCTTCATGAAAAGAACAAAGCCATTCAAAAGCCGTATTATCATCAATCCAGCCATTAGGCGTAGGCTTAATCCGGAAATCGGGGGTAGTGATATTTTCATACCACTCCTCCATATGCAAAGAGCCCTTAGGTAGAAACCAAGGTAGCATAACCCAACCATCGGCAGATATACATTCAATGCCAGTAATAGACTCTTTTTGACCACCAGTAGGATTGGTATAATTAGCATTAGGTGCAAGCACCTTTTGCCGCTTTCCTTGGCCAATTTGGTAGCCGGTTTCATCCCAATTAAAGATCTCATGGGGTAGAAATTGATGCTTTTCAAAGAGCGTACGAAGGCTATTAAACCAAAGTAACATTGGGCCGTATTGCTCGCTATCAAGCCTCACTTTTTCAGCCATTTTTGGGTTGATATAGGGTATCTCAGGGGGTAGTCTTTGCATATAGCGGTATACCCAGTTAGGGCCCACCACCTGATCGCTGCCAGCCCGGCGTAGAATTGAATTTGCAGCCTTTTCAATGAGAGAGGGGGATATACCCATATTGCTAATATGTAGGGTATCGATCCAGGTTTTCAATGCTCTCTCCTGAATTGGGTTTAATGTCTTTTTTAGGCTGGCAGCAGTGGTTTTACTTCCGCGCCCGTGAATATGGGCGCGAAGCCTTTGGTATGGAACGCTGAATTCCCGCGCCAACTGGGCGATATTGGTGTTATTATTCAGATGAAAGGCATTGGTAGCTCTTAAAATTTGATCTTCGAGATTTTCAATTTGTTCCGACATCGTGGTATGGTATAAAATGCTAACAAAATTGATGCCAAAGTGGAAAATTATCGTTGTGTGGGAATTATCGTTGAGTGGGGCGCACCAACACAGAGAATGTGTGTTGGGCGCTTGGCACGATTACAATCAGAAACCATATGTAATTATGTATATTTCCGCTACTTACTTGTTTTCTATTTATCAAGACACCCCACGTGCCGATATATATCTGGTTTTGTGGTTACAGTTGACTTCAACAAAGACTAGATCAATTTAGAAAGAGTGTTGCACTGTCCCTGCTAGTAGCCCTACGAGTGCAGAAATGCTGGGTAGCAATGATAGTCAATTGCAAAGCACTGCGACTCATGGATGTCGAGGACGTAGCGTGCATAATAATAAAGCGTCCATCACTGAATCGCTATACCATACAACAAATTGACATGAAGGTGTCCCATGACAATTACCGAGCTAACAAGCCCTGGCAAGTAAAGCCAGCGCCCGCCGAGATATTCTACTTATTGTCATCGACTTAGATATCAACGAAATACACAATGGACTTGGTCTGGGCTAAATGTCCTGTTTGGGAGTTGTTCGACGCACAGGCAGATATTCCGTGGTCTGTGCTACAGCAGTTTGCCTTGAAGTAGGACTTTCCTGGTTTGAAATTGGGTCATTTTCCTACTGCGTGGCAGGAGTTCTTTGGAGACTTCCCATTGATAATGTAGGAATCTTAACTGTATATTGGAAACACTATGGACGGATATCTAATCTCACAATTGCTCAATGTCAGACATGGATATAGATCTCTATAAGCTTTGAAATGCCGTTCACTTTTGTAGTGGACCTCCATCCAACTGTGGGGTATTTAACGGGCCCTGGATATCAAAGAATTCAAGTGAAACCGAACAAAAACCAAATGCATCAACTTTCATCATAAAAATATACCCTTACTAGACCTTTAACCGAGTGCCTGCATGGCCAACTCAACACTAGAAAGAGGGGTTAGCTGCAATCCTAGAAACACAAGCATCGAAAGCAAGCCAAGGGCAAACATACGTCAGGAATGTTCCGGCAGAAACAGGCATAGCTCTCAGCAGAGTAGGGCCGATACCCTTCCAGAAACCACCGAGACCCTCAATGGCATAGGTCTTCTTGAAGCAGTCACGCATGGTGCTGTACTTTTGTTGCGCACCGAAGCCATCGGTCTGCATCTTACTCTTGATAACATCGAGCGGGTAGCTAGAGAGCCAGAGGACCTCACCAGCCAGACCACCGTACATGGCAATCTTTGCCTTGGAAAGATCCTCACGCTTGACATTGTTACGCTTGGCATCCTGGTTCATCATGAACTCAAAGGCCATGAACCAGGCACCGTAAGCCTGGGCCTCACGGAGGAGAGTAACCGCCTGGCCACGGTAAATACCGCGGAGGGCACCACCCTGTGCGGCCAGCTTGCTCACGCAGTCGATAGGGCCTGAGTACAGACGGCCGGCGCCGTGCGGCTGTGCCTGCAGGCGAATACGCACATGCTCAATTGGGCCTGACAATACGGAGTTGGTGAGACCGGCGAATGAACCGGCCATGTAGTACTGAGTGTAAGAAAGGGCCGAGTTGGCGTATTTCTTCTTGTTCAGTTCTTCCAAGCGGCGACGCGCTTCGTGGTAGGCGCCGAATTGGACAGACACCTGAATTAGTTAGAGGATTTTTCTATAGTGGACCTTGGCCGCTGGGGCAACTCACGCAAGCACCGATACCGATAAGCGGGGTCAGTGTGCCCTTATAGAAGGCCGTGGGACCTTCCTTCTTGAAGATCTGGGTTGCGCACTCTAGCGCACTCTTGTACTGAGTGGTAGTTTGCAGGCGCACCTTGACGATGTCTGTCGAATTGTTAATCAATGCCTCCTGAGATGTGCTTTAGGCAGATCACATACCAAAAGGTTGACCTAGTTTCTAGTTAGCAATTGCTTTGGTTTCGCATGTTTAAATAAGTTTGCAAGAAAACACTGCTCATGGCAAGATTCTCATCTCATGATGGCCATGGCTTTTCCCCGGAACTCAAACAAAGTAGGGTGCACACATACCGAGGATAACCTGGGCCATTCCACCCGCTGCGCCCGCGGCCAAATCCTTGACGGTGCGGAGGGCACCGCCCCCCTTATCAAGGCTGTCAATTACCTCAGTCTCCATGTTTCAACCTTGGAAAGAATTCAATCGCAACGACCAAAAGTATAGACAGGGACACAATCCGGAGACTCCAGACTTTATATTCAGCCCGCTTATCGCTATGGCGCCATGTGCCCTCTGATTCGATGAGGATGCCGATGCACGTGACTTTACCGGCGGACATTTACATAAGCGCCTTCCATGGCCCCGGGGAGTTAGTTAACTACCTGCCCTGGAGCCCTGGACCCCTGGAGTTACCAAAAGCTGACATAAGCGGTGACATAAGCCCATCCTCTCGAACTTCTGGAAGGGGAAAAAAAGTTGACGGATCCAGATGTGGATAGACTAGTGAATGATGCATCGTCAGCCAATCTGCAGGGTAAGTTCGCAGTTGTTAAGTGCTGCGACAGTATCTAACTAAAACTACAGCTATCGCATCGGGCTGAGTGGTCGAATTCAGCCTACCAAACACCCACTTTAACAGCTCTCACAGTTCGACGGACCTTACGGTTGTCCGCGACGCGTTGGAACTCATCGGATCCATCGAATGGGAATGAAGATGGCACTGCTTCAAATCCAGCGCCGGCGAAGCCCAAGTTCGGCAGCCGATGGGGTCCCAAACAAACTACGCCATCGGCGGGCTTGAGTTTCGCAGAACAAGCGATGCGCCAAACCCTTGTCGCCAATAGTCAACCGCCGCCGCCGCCAGCACCTGCACCGCCGCAACGGAGGCGGGAACAGTCAAATCAACAAGGGAACTTGGGACAATCAAACCAGCAGAGGAAACCGTACGTGCGGCGCGTGGGCCCTCGGGATAATCAAGATGCCTACACGATGGGATCAAGAGAAACGCAACGCAACCAGGAGAGGAACTCGTCCATCCAGGAGAAGAATCCGTTTGAAGAAGAGAAGCCAGGTGGCTACATGAGGTGGCCAAGAGAAACATCACGGATTCAGGGGAGGAACCCGTCCACTCAAGAGAAAAATCCGTTTAAAGAAGAGAATACAGGGAGCTACATGAGGTGGCCCAAAGGAACCTCACGCAATCAGGAGAGGAACCCGTCTACTCAAGAGAGAACCCATTTTGAAAAAGAGAATGCAGGTAGCTACATGAGGTGGCCCAAAGGGACATCCCGCAATCATGAGAGGAATCCATCTACCCGAAGAACGAAACCGGCGTTTGAAGAAGAGAACCCATTCGCCCCTGAAAGGACACAAAGCAGATTCCAGGGCCAATTCCAGAACAGGGCGACTAGGGACCATCCAATGGCCCACGACGACTGGAGCTGCCCTCAGTGCATGAAACATGTTTTTGCCACAAAGCAAGTGTGTCCATTCTGCAAAACCTCTCGACCTGACGACGCCCAGCCAAGGCTCCGAATAACTAGGGAGTATAGCGAATCTCCCGAACCTTCACCATTCAAACAGTCCCGATCCCCTTCTGAGTATACTAGAAAGTTCCAGCGATTAGGGGATTCAGTTTTGTCTGAATTGGAACAAGACGTTCAGCTGAATACAACAGAAACCACAGACCGAGATTCAGAGAAGTCTGACCGACCCCAAACGAAGGAGGAAGCAGAATATTTCAAGAAGAACCAATGGACTTGGGATATGTCTGCACTTGAGCAGCTAGAAAACCTAGAGTCACAAGAACAGCAGCCACCGAAGCCTGTGAAGCGCCGTGATGGACGCAAGGGACGTGAGAGTGAGTCTGATGAGGCCGACTTTGACTCGGAAGATCGCGAGCGTCTCCGGAAAGAGCGGAGACGCCAGCAGAAAGAAAAGGACGCCCAAAGGGCTGCAAAGAAGGCCGCCGCGCAGGCAGCGCCAGCTCCTCTTTACCTACCCGAATTCATCAGTGTTAGCAACTTGGCCGATGTCATTGGCGTGCGGCCGGCGCAATTTGTGCAGCGAATGGAGGAGATGGGCTTCGAGGAAATCACGTACAGGGATATTCTCGACGCAGAAACCGCCGGGTTGGTGGCAGCCGAGTTCAACTACGAGGCCATCTTTGACAGCGGCAAGGCAGATCTACATGCTGCCCCTGAGCTAGAGGACACATCTGACCTGCCAACCAGGCCACCTGTGGTCACTATTATGGGTCACGTTGATCACGGCAAAACTACAATCTTGGATTGGCTGCGCAAGTCATCTGTGGCAGCGTCTGAACATGGTGGTATCACCCAGCATATTGGTGCGTTCTCCGTAATGATGCCTGCCGGAAAAGCCATTACCTTCCTTGATACCCCCGGCCATTCTGCATTCTTGGAAATGCGTCGCCGAGGTGCCGACGTGACCGATATTGTGGTGCTTGTGGTTGCCGCGGACGATAGTGTCAAGCCGCAAACCATCGAGGCCATCAAGCACGCCACCCAGGCCAAGGTTCCCGTCATTGTCGCCATCAGCAAAATTGACAAGGAGGGCAACAACCCTGATCGAGTCAAGGGTGACCTTTCTGTTCATGGGATCCATGTGGAGGACTATGGAGGTGACGTTCAGGCCATCGGTGTCAGCGGCAAAACCGGACAAGGAATGGTTGAACTGGAAGAAGCCATCGTCGCGCTCTCGGAAATGCTCGACCACCGCGCATCCACCACCTGTAATGTCGAAGGCTGGGTCATCGAGGCTTCTACAAAGAGTTATGGCCGTGTAGCATCCGCTCTGATTCGACGTGGAACCCTGCGGCCAGGCGATATCATTGTTGCCGGTACCGCGTGGGCTCGTGTCCGCACCCTCCGCAATGAAGCCGGTGTGACCATCAGTGAAGCCACGCCTGGAATGCCCGTCGAAATCGATGGTTGGAGAGAGCAGCCAGGTGCTGGCACCGAGCTCCTACAGACACCAACTGAGCAGAAAGCCAAGGATGTTGTGGATTACCGCTTGGAGAGGTCTGATACCCAGAAGATGGGTGTCGATATGGTTGCCATTAATGACGCTCGTCGTGACCTTCTCGAGAAGCGCAGGCGCGAGAAAGAAGAGGAAGAAATAACTAAGGAAGTCGAACCAACCGGCCCCAAGTCGGTCAATTTCATCCTGAAGGGCGATGTGGACGGTTCGGTGGAGGCAGTCTTGAACTCCGTCGCAGCAGTCGGTACCAACGAAGTCTTTGCCAATATCATCCGTTCGGGTGTCGGCCCTGTCAGTGAATTCGATATCGAACATGCTGGCAGTGCCAAGGGCAAAATCATCTCATTCAACCAGGCCATTGATCCTAATATCATGCGTATTGCAGAGACCGAGCGCGTTGAAATTCTGGACCACAACATCATTTACAAACTGATTGATGACATCAAGGCCATTCTCAGTGAAAAGCTGCCTCCATCGGTCACTATGCGTGTGACCGGAGAAGCCGAGATCCAGCAGGTGTTCGAGATCACGGTCAAGGGACGTGAAAAGACAGCCATTGCTGGAAGTCGTGTGCGTAACGGTCTGATCAACAAAACTCGCAAGGTCAGGGTGCTTCGCGGAGACGAGATAGTCTACGATGGTAAGCATATCACAAGCAGCTCAACAGGAATAAATTTGGACAAAACTAACTTTCCACAACAGGCACAATGGTTTCCCTCAAGAACGTCAAGAAAGACGTTACCGAAATGCGCAAAGACACAGAATGTGGTATCGCGTTCGAAAACTGGACAGATTTCGCACCCGGTGACCATGTCCAGTGCTACGAAGAGATCTCTGAGAAGCGCTATCTGTGAGAGACTCGCTCCATGATCTCTAGATCTGTGCGGTCGTGATGATCGCTTGTATTATTTGTTTGGGTCTTCTAGCACTCTTCATTCCCCTCATGATCTTCATTCAAATTTTGTATTATATTTTCCTTTTTCTCTCGACATGGTTGACTTGCATACAGGGTCTGGGCGTTGTTGCATCCCTATGTACTAGGGACCGGAAGAAAAGCATACAATCAATGTAATTAGGGAGAGTGCTGCTGTTGCAGCGCATGTGTAAATGTTCAAAAATATCATGGCCATTCGGCCACATTGACATTGATTTATTTTCTATAAAACAAGAAGAGTCGGCCGCTCATGCGGCCCCTGTTGACGACATAGGATTTTAACATGCTGTGACCATACCCGCCGCTTTTTTGGACTCGTGCGAAACTGCCGAAGTCGAATTCTAAATACCCAGCTGTCTCGAGATGACAGACGCTAAATTTTAGATATACCAAACCCGAGTCCTTTGATTTATTCATATTTCAATGATGAAAGATATAATATCCATTCGTGATCGAACGCGCCAGAACCCCTGGCCTTCTCATCCAAAAGTAATTAATACACACGAATGTTGAGATAACATCAAGAAGATGCTGAAAACGCTACAACTGATTCAGAACACCACCAGCTTCCGCAAACTTCTGCTGATATTCCTTCAAACTCGCCCACTGGCTCAATTCTTCTTGATCCCGCTCATAATCACTCAGATAGCTCATAGCGCGGCCGTTCATCTGCGGACTGATGCCGTCGGCAGGACTGGCTGCATCACCCATGGGAGAATGGCATTCCAGCCGGACAAGCGTCTCGATGAATGCGTGCAGGTAAGACTCCGCCTCTGCGGCGGTGAGGATGTGGAGGCCTGACGGCGCGGTCGTTGGTGATGGTGATGGTGCGGCAGCGGTTGTGGGGTTTGGTATTTCGGTGTTGGGTTGATTTGGTCGGTGGGAGACGCTGAGGAGGGTGGATGCTACTTGGCGGATTTTATTGGTCTGTAAACAGGGTCCTTTTGTTAGTTTGATATATGATAGATAGTGATATTTTAAGTAAGGGAACGTACAATGCTTGCGCCATTTGGCTCCATGTTCACTTCGTTCACCGTTCGTACTAGCACGAAGAGATCTTTGATGACCAGTTTGCGCTCTTCGGCCATCATGCGGCCAATATGGTCTGTTTGTGCATGAGGTTGAGCTTCGGTGTTGGCTTCTGACGGGGCTGTACCAGTGGGAGTCGCACTCGCACTCGGTACCGGATTGGGCCTTCCTTCGATTTTGATATGTGGCGTGGAGCTGCCCGGGGTCGTGAATTTAGGCGACTTTCCGTACTTTGAAAACGTCTCGAAAAGGCTCCAGTACTTCTCGACCAGATAGGACCGGGTGCATAACTGACTAGCATAGATATTGGCTTTCTGGATCTCATACTGTATAGCACGTCGTTCTTGGTGGATATGATCGTTCGAGTAGCTGAAGAATGTGTCATCTCCGCCAAGACCGGACAAATCCGCCGGGGATATGTGTTTCGGATGGTGGAGAGACAACTCAGCAGGAACATTGATTAGTGCAGATTTTGCTTGCTTGAGACAGTCCCAAATGGAGTTGCGCTGGTGCTCCCAATCAAAGATTTGACCGCTGCCAAACGCTATTTCCCAAGCTAGCAGGGCGGTATATGAGCTGTAGACGCGGACATTTGCGTTGAATCCGACTAGCTGTGAAACTCGGTCGGATGGCTGCGGTTCAACGTGTGTTGAGAATAAAAATTCATCGTCGATCTCCAGCGGGAGTGGTGGATAACGGTGCGTTGGTGTCTCTGGAGGAACATGAACCTTGATATCTGAAGAGCCCATCTGGTGTAATGTCTGATATCCGACTAAGGTGACATAGAACAGACGCCGGCCGAGCTCTTGAGTGATGAGGTCGACGCCTTGGCTTTCCGTGAAATTATGTGTTGGTGAATCCTGCACCATTACTGAGGCCGGTGATAGTGGGCTGAGGGGTCCTAATGCCGAGGACGGGCGGTTGGTGGTGGTCGGAGACCGGCATAAATCATACACTTGGAGCATGGCTCGGCATTCCGACAGGTACACACGGCATCGGCGCATATTGTAAATATACCCGGCACATACAGCGAGAAAATAGCTGATCGCTGCATCGTAGACTGTGGCGTTGCGATCAAGATATCCGGTCCCGCGGGCTTGAATCGCAACGTCAAGGCACCGCTTTACTAGAGCTATAGAATTGGGGAAAGCGGTGCGTTCGGCTTCAGTGTTGAGTCGGAGCTTAGGTCGTCGAGGGAAGGAAGCCACTAGCAGTCCAATCATTGACGCCAAAAGTGCCAAAAATGTGTGGTTGGTTACATCTTCCCGGCGTTCAAAGGCTGCTCGAAAAGAAGGCTCATGTGGAATTGGGACCAAAGGATGAATGTAAGTAAAAAAGTCATCGAGCAACATCTGCATTGTGTGCAAAGAACAAATCGATTCTACCGAAAGGGAGAACGATGCAGATTGAGGGTTGGTGAATGGCGTTGCTAAGGGAGTCGTCGCCGACGGATAGTCTGCCGGGCTTAGCGACGCTGTATCTTCAGGTTCCCGCTTCTGTTTCTTAAATGCCTCTGCATGGCGGTTAGGAGGCCCGCGGCGTCTGCTTGGTCTTTCATAGGTGCAGGGAATATCCAAGCTAGCGCACGACCGACAAGGTGGCCCACCGGTATCACACTTGCATGGAAATTAGTATCCCCCTGCAGATCATGACAAAAGAACCATACCTTCACTTTCCGAATACTGCAGGCATCGCAGGCCTTGCGCAGTCTTGTTTTAAGGTCCATCGATGAGCAAATTGCCGGGATGACCACGCCTCAAACTGTCAGGTCATGTTTAATCGGCCCAAAGACAGTCAAAACATGCAGACTCCAGGCTTGACTATGAACCGAAAGAATGCCGAAATTCGAATCCCGAAAGTCGGAATGAGCCAAGAACTTTAAAGCTGAAGCTCTGGAAGCTCTGGAAATCTCGGGGAAAGGTTCGAAGTCCGGGGGGTCACACTTCCGGATTTCTAAGCGGGTCAAACCTCCAGGGCTAGAGGGCTTGGGTAGTCTGGGGTACTTGACCTCTGCCACGGCAACTATCAAAAAGGTACTTATGATGTTTTGCTCTCAAGGGATGATTCTGATGATTATAATGTAAATACATTACGCAAAAGAAAAAAACACGTCTCGGACGGTGGTGCAGTCACGTGCCGCTCGTAATCCAACAAGCTGACCTTTTTTTTACAATATTAATCAGGCAGAGGGAATTACGACTGGATTTAACATGAATCATTGGACTGTGATCGGATCCTCTCTAGTGGCACAGACCAAGGATGAATCAGGGACCAGAAATGGAAAATTAGATGCATTTCGCAGGAAGCTCGGTCACCCGAAAGAGATATATCATTCACAGTTCATGGCATAATATCGTCACGGTATTCCTCACCAAGTCGACTGGACTGCTGGTTAATAGCTCGGCGCTTGCGTTCGATATCCGTCACCCAAAGTGCCGACCCAGCAGCCGTGGTCATCAAAAATAGCATAGAGAAAGGAGGAATCAGTTGAAGGATCAGAGCCACCGTCCCAAAGCTAGAGTGTGTTAGATCTCATATCGATAGAGGAAAGGAACATGACTTACGTAGTGTACTGCAGCTGACGTCGACTAATACTTTCCTTTCTCTGCTGCTTGGACATGTCCAGCAGGTGGAAGTAACGCCAGTGATGGAAGGGACCGGCACGATAGCCAGTTAAAATTAGGAACATAGGAGTACCGGCCACCGGAATGAATATAAGCGGAAGTAGAATGATAAACTCCGCGATCTGCCGCAACGAAAATGGAGAATACAAGGCATTGGTGGTCGGCGTGCCTAGACGCTTGGCCGGGTTGCCGGGCTCGGGATAAATGACCCGCGAGGTGGTAACAAGCTCCTCTTGACCCTCATTCACCAACACTGCATCGAATATATCCACTAAAGTCTCATCGACAAAGAATGCCTCGAAGAGCGCGGCAACAATCGCAGCTCCTTCACCAAGCACCAGAAATGCACCGCTCACCCATGCTGAGTTGCCCTGGAAGATGGCAAGGAAGGCAACCTGGGGCAGGTAGGTGAAAAAGAAGAGGATGAAGTATATGAAGGATGAGAGGAGGACGATGGGGAGAAGGCGGGCCTTGAAGAGAGGCCATAGGAACCGATTCGACGCAAAATAGTAGATACCCTATGGAGGTTAGTGCTGAAGCATTGGAAACTCCAAAATAACATACCCGAAGAGGATACAGCCAAGCAGCTCGGCTGGGATCCAGGAGTCGCGGCATGGCTTGCAGCTTGACAGGTTCAAAGAATCCCTGCTAACGGTAATGGACGAGTTCGAAAGCAGGCAGCACCTTATCGATAAGATCTCACGTGATCAAGGGATATCAGTCAGGATGACTAAGCCGGTACTATTTCACCAAGAAATTTTTCGCTGAGCGCCCTTTTCCTTTTCTTCTTCACATAAACTGAATTCCTCCCTATTCACTCTGAACTTTTGTTACAATCACTGTTCTGGAGGGGAAATGGGAGGAAAGACCAAATCTGCTGGCTTACCCCAAACTCTTCTACTCAAGTGTGGAGCGTTTGGAAATATATTCAGCTGTACATTCCTTTTCAAGACTCTTGGTGTTTGGAGCCTTTCGAAGTTCATTGTTAGATGCCCTAGCTTAAAGCCGATGGCTATGAATCTCCTTCACAATATGCTCCAGACTGTGTACAATGACCGTTGGCTGTAGATCTGGAACTGCCGCATCCTTCCATCCTGCACCAACGCGGTCAACCCATATAGCTTGCATACCTGTAGCGCGCGCCCCGACGATGTCGAAAGGGTTGCCGCTAATCAGCCAAAGTTTGCTCATCTGCGATGGGTCTTGGCCTGTTTGCTTCGCTAGGTGCTCGTAGCTTGCCTTCGATGGCTTATATTGCTGGACTTCGTCTACGGTGATGATTTCTTTGAAGACGCTCGCGTGCGGCGAAAGGTCCCTGGACCGCAACACCGAGTTGGATACCATAGTTTTCGTCCCGTTGGAGAATATGACAGCTTGGATAGTTGGGTCTGTTGCTATGCGGCTCAAAGCTGGCTTCACGTCAGAAAACGTAGAGAGACTGTCGTAAGCTTGCATCAAGTGTTCGATGTTGTCGTCGCTCAGCTGCTCGTCGTTGTCCGCCAGCGCGTGCAGTAGGGAGTTACGTGTGATGGCCGAGAAGTCTTCATAGCGGCCTTTTGATCGTCAATAATTTGAGCGCCAAGCTTTGAAGTGTTGCTTGCCCATGCTGTTCAGTCTCCATGTGTACTCCAGCTGATACCGCCTCCAGAGCACGGAGATCGACTGCGCCTTGGCATTGTCACAGTGTTTCTCTAGTTGTTTGACGATCGATTGAGTTGAGAGTAATGTGCCATATAGGTCAAAAGCGACAACTGTCTTGGCTGTCATGATGTTTCATAAGTCCCGAGGTCAAAAGGTAACTAAGTTTAAAGTCTCGAAGAATGTGGGCTGAAGAATGATGTCAATCTTCCGAGGGGCAAAACAAACTTGCCCAACATCCCCTTCGGACCAAGCTGTATGGTCAAGGCTTTTCTCCTAATCAAGTCTCAATGACTTCCAATGAGAACTATGCCGTGTTTCGCGAATGTTTGTCCAATGCCATCGTGGCCCGCTCGGAGGAAAAACCGAAGCCAACGCGACGGAAGCCAAAAGGCAAGCGCACCGAGCGCAAAGACGTAACAACAGCGACAACAGTCTCGACCGGGAGAGCAGACCCGGAAGAGCTCGCCGAATTTGTTGATGTACATGCACCCAGCCAGTCCAACACAGCGCAAAACAACCAGCCCTCAGGCCCAACAAAACCTGCACACCATAGCCAACAACTAACAAAACCAAAAGCTAACAAACCCAGTTCCTCGCCTCAGAAACCTTCACCACCTTCCCAACCTCCCTCCAAACCCTAAACTACGCAGCCATCCAACACGATCCAACCCTATCAACCCTCTACGTCCCCCCAGACACCGACACTCCTCTCCCACGCGCCACGCTCGAAACCCTATTCTCCCCAATCCCAGTTAGCGTAACCGACTCGCTACTCGTCTACGGCATAATCCCCGACGCAGCCGACCTGCTAGATTTCCTCGCGCCCGTGTTGGTAGAGTACACATCGAGCGTGACGACTGGCCCGCCGGCGTGGGCGAACACGCGCGCAGACGCGTGCGAGATCTGCGAGCGCGACTGGATCCCGCTCTCGTATCACCATTTGATTCCGCGCGGGGTGCATGCGAGGGTTGTTAAGAAGGGGTGGCATGATGAGTGGATGTTGAATAGTGTTGCGTGGCTTTGTCGCGCTTGTCATAGTTTTGTGCACCGCATGGCGAGCAATGAGGAGCTCGCTAGGGAGTGGTTTACTGTTGAGAGGATTTGTGAGAGGGAAGATGTGCGGGACTGGGCTATGTGGGTTGGGAGGGTTAGATGGAAGGCGAGGTAGAGGTAGTTGAGACCTGTGTGGTCACAGTATTCGATTGTTGGTTTGCTTGAGACCTGAGGGCATCATGGAAATGATAACACACAGCCGATCTGATCTATATGGCTTTCAATTGGCAATGATCTTTGAGGTTTGTGTTGGATATACAATAGCAAAAGCCAAGGTATGTACATATTTACATCGCTAAGGGACCATGGTGCTTTATGGCTCAGCCTGGATATAGCTTCCTAGTATTAACTTGTAGTTATGAGTAAGGAACATTTCAACATAGATAGTTAGAAAAAACAGAGAAAATAGTCTGTGAAAAAGAAAAGAAAAAAACACACGAAAGTAAGCCTCCCTACATAATTAAAGAGAAAAGAGTCAATTTCCTCCTAATCTTACAGCTAGTTCCGAGTAACAATGGCAGTAACAGTCTCAGTAATGCGATCTGTCACCGTCTTGATCTCGGTCTCGGTCTGGGTCTCAGTGATCGTGATAAAGCCAGACGGCGTAATCGGATTCACAGTAAGTATGCCTTGACCTGGTTTGGAGGTCGTGGTAGGGATGTTGGCATCCATGGTATATGTTGGAGCTGCTGCATGTGTAGTTTCCGCTCCTCGGGTAGCAGTTGACCCATCTAAGGTCACGCGAACTATTTGTGTGGAAGTGACGTGGGCTGTCACAACAGGAGGAGTCTCATGTGGAGCAGTCTCACTTAGGGACGGCAACAATGGAGCAGATGGCGATGTTTTTGAGTAAACGGTCACTGGAACAACACTTGTTGAAGTGACACGGACTGTCACTATAGAAGCAATCTCACTTGAGGATGGTAACAACGAAGACACAGAAGAAGGTAACGATGTAGTCGGGTAAACGGTCAAAAGAACAACACTCGTGGAAGTGACGTGAGCTGTCACCACAGGAGCAATCTCACTTGAGGATGGCAACAACGAAGACACAGAAGGTAACGATGGTGTTATCGGGCTGACAGTCACAGGAACAATTGACGTTGTGGTATCTATAGGCGCTGCATTCACACCCGAAGCGCTCCCAGTTGAGGACGGCAAGACCGAAGATGAAGAAGCAGGTGATGATGATGATGATGTTGGGTAAACAGTCACACGAACGACAGACGTTGCAGTGGAATGGATAGTCACAAACTTCAAAGATGTAGTTGTTGGTTCAACAGATGATTGTACTGTTGACTTCGCTGACGACACTGATGAGTTGTTGACACTGGGTGTGTGATGGATGACGCTTGTCGAGAAGGGAGTTGGTGCTCCTTTGGTCACATATACGATCACAGGCTCGGTTACGGTCACCACAGGCTTGGATCCTGACGTGGGAAGCTGTAGTGGTGTAGATTGTGCCTGCGTAGCCTTCGCTGGCTGGATGGGATTGGAGGTTGGGATCGCCAGTGTGGACGTGGAAGAATTACTGCTGCTTGCTCCTCCTGGAGGTACAATAGCTCCAACAGCTGGGCTGCTACTTGTGGGCACTGTAGGCACCGGTTCTGTCGCTGGCTGTATGGTCGTAGAGGTCAAGATTGCTGGTGTGGCTTTGGTAGCTTCGATGCTGGTTGCTCCACCTAGAAGCGTAGCCGATGAAGATTGGGCTGGACTTGGTATCACCAAGGAATCGAGTGAGGATGTTGAGCCTGGAGTATAGACAGGTAATGAACTAGTTATGGGCGATGAGCGCAGCAGTCCCGGGTTTGTGGATGAGGATATGAACCGCCGAGTCGTAGTGGACGCATGGAAGGTGGTGGTTGGCTCTTGAGTTGTAGTTGGGTTTGGAGTTGTAGTTGGCTCTTGAGTTGTAGTTGGAGTTGTAGTTGTAGTTGGGTCTGGAGTTGTAGTTGGCTCTTGAGTTGTAGTTGTAGTTGGCTCTTGAGTTGTAGTTGGGTTTGGAGTTGTAGTTGGCTCTTGAGTTGTAGTTGGAGTTGTAGTTGTAGTTGGGTCTGGAGTTGTAGTTGGCTCTTGAGTTGTAGTTGGGTTTGGAGTTGTAGTTGGCTCTTGAGTTGTAGTTGGAGTTGCAGTTGTAGTTGGGTCTGGAGTTGTAGTTGGCTCTTGAGTTGTAGTTGGGTTTGGAGTTGTAGTTGTAGTTGGCTCTTGAGTTGTAGTTGGGTTTGGAGTTGTAGTTGTAGTTGGCTCTTGAGTTGTAGTTGGGTTTGGAGTTGTAGTTGGCTCTTGAGTTGTAGTTGGAGTTGTAGTTGTAGTTGGGTCTGGAGTTGTAGTTGGGTCTTGAGTTGTAGTTGGCTTCTGACTGGTGGTTGTCTCGTGAGTTATGCTTGATGCATGGGATGTAGTTGGCTTTTGAATGATGGTTAGCTTAGGGGTTGACTTAATAGTTTAGAAAAGGGTCAGGTACTATTGGCTCCTCGTACGTAAACGGTTTCTGGGTAGGCGCTGGCACAGGCGTGATTTCGGTGATACCGCCAGCTTCACGCCGTTCGATATCCCGCAAGGGGAAAGAAGTCGGCTTAGGTGCCTCCAATGACTGAGACAGCCAGCGAGAGATCGGACCAGCCGAAGCCATCCATGGCAAAAGAAGGAACAAAAAGAACTGATAGCAAAGCATCCTGATTTAGAAACGAGAGTGTTGGAAGTGATCGCCGGGGCACGACTTCGACAAAGTGGGACAGTAAAGAAAAATGGGTGCTCGGTCAGAGATATACTAGAGCACCTGGATCAGATAGAAACAATCACACCTATAAAAAAAGCATGGCCAAAGAAAATATTATGAAATTAATGGAAATGCATACAAGGCTTAGGAGGCGTCTTGATGGCTTGCAAATGAAAGAATGGCTGGATCACTAGGGACCACAAAAACGAAGGGAAACAAAAGAATGAGGCAAGATGAAGCAACCTGAGACTTTAACAGGAAAGAGATTTTTCTTTCAATTCCCTCACCATCGAGGGTCCTGGCTGGTATATCTGCACTTGGGGGTTTCATCAGGGGCCGAGTTGGGCTTAGGGCTTCCTGTCAGCCGCCCATTGTTCCTTGGAAGTGAACAAGTCCGAAATAATCCACTACTATTAGCCCCAGAGGGAACCGCCATTGCAAGGGGCTCTTTGTGGGACGGAATTAATGCTAGAAATAGATCGCGCGACAAAGAGACGTTGCAGTAGGCGCCCAGCTCTGGCCGATGGCGCGTGGTGATTGGCCGGCTACAGATGCAGGACCACTTTATTATTATGTTGAGGATTTTACATGTTGACATATGGACCGAGTAGACTTGTAGACCGAGAGTGTCTGGCTAATTCGTTTGCTACGAGTACGGGCGCGTAAGTGAAGATATAATTACTGTGGCCTAGTTACTCCCCAAGGCTGTACACTTCGGCAATTAGATCGTTTGACACCCTTCATTCAACTTGCCACTCCACACACCACTATGTATATTATAAATGAGTCAGACTATGAAGTCTTCACTGTGAAAGCCCCACTAATGCCCTCGAAAGGCGATATTTGGCCAAAGGGGTTCTTTGAGTCTCCGTAATAATGCATCCGATAGGTCCCAGCCTGCAGGGGGGACGTAGTGTCAAGACTATAATACTCATTCTCAATATCCCATTCAATTGTCACCTCACTATAGCCAAGAATCTCATTGGTCCGCTTCCACTTGAAGACCAAATTCCAGTCGCGGTCATTGCGCACGAACTCCCATGCACCAGAATCGTTTTTTCTTTCAACCGCAGCGTAGGTTGATTCGAGGTGCAGATTGTTGCGGGGATTGGCGCCCACGAAGGTCGTCTTCACAACATCTCCGGGGCCATAGGGTCCAGACCCCGGGTTTGAAGTCACATCTCCAAAGTGCTTGCCAATGGGCGCTCCATCATACACAACCCCCGCAATGAAGCTCAATGAACGGTTGGTGTTGATTGGTGGGTTGGGGCCGGGTTGGATGGCTGGAAGTTTGGCAACTTCTGAGGAGCTTCCCAAATAGGGCAGGTAAGTGAGGGTCAGATTGACATAGGCTGCCAGTGTGTTGGGGCCGTAGAGTGTGGACGCGCCCTCGTAGCGCTGAGCGCCGTACTCTTCCTCTGTTGTCACGTAGTGAGCGTAACTGTTTGATGGGGCTCCTAGTACCACTAGAGGATCGGAAACAGAAAGGTGGTCCTTTGCTCCTTTCGCAATAGCCTCCTTCCAGCGTCGCCCAGACATCGTGGTAGCTTCGCTGGTGGAGATAACGAGGAACAGCTGACCCACGCGCAAGACCTGGATGTCAACAATATCCGCGGCCCATGCATAAGGCTCAGTGAGAGTGCCGATATCCAATAGCACGTTCTTGGGGCTTTGGCACTGCTGCTGCGCCTTGCTGGGCTGGTGGATAACTGCACGCGCAACTTGCCACAGGGGGTTGCGTCCAGCTGGACCAGTAGCATTTTGGGTAAAGTCAAAGGCACCAGGTCCGTCTGTAGTTCCAGCAGCAAAGGAGTACCCCATAGCCGCAGGACAAGTCGTCAGAGTACTAGAGTTGAATGGCGATGGGAAAGTGTAGCCATTCATGTCTTGGTACACATGGAAAGATTTCACCGCTGAACCTCCAGTAATTTTGATAGGGGTGGTGTTCATCCCTTCGTAAAGCTTCTTTGCTGCTGAGTACTGGCGGCGCCCAATCTCGAAGCAGCTCTTCGCTCCGTTGTCGTTCTCGCGGAAGAAAGGACCCCGACCATGGCAATCCTCGTTTTTGCCACCACAAGTGCTATCTTCATATCGACACATCTTTCCAGAGCCATCTTCGCACCAAGCCCCAAGGATATTAGGGGATGTGTCCCCGACACTCGCCTGAGAGAATCCAATAACGGCATCGTCCGTGAACCTCGCATCGCCGTGGACGCTGCGCTCAAAGAGGTAAGCTGCGACACCTTTGTTATCGCCACTAACCAGAGTGTTGTTGTTGTACATAGATGTGCCATGAACAGGGAACCATGTTAGGACAGCCGCTGTTTTGTTGTCGGATTCGCGATCAAACCGAATGAGCGAGAGCGATTTTTCAACATTGGCAGAATACCGCGCCCGTTCTTCCTCTGGATTATGCTCGTATGAAAAAGGACTGCGATTTATATTGGTGTCTTGCAAGTCGATGGATCCAAAAGAGAGCCGACCCGGCGCCAAGTTCTCATGGGCACGGATGATTGATAGAACAGTGCCGTCGACAATGGCTTGATAGCTTTGCTTGTTGAAGCCTAATGCCGGGATCTGAGGCAGTAAGTAGTTCATCCACGCTCCTGGCCCGGAGTGCGAATGCGTCCCCGTCATTGCGACGTTGTGTTCGCCGTACCGTGCATACTTCCCACCGAGGGCAGTGAGACCCTCCAGGACACCATGTCGCACGGCCGTGTCACCTGCAAGTGTATCGAGCACCAGGTACACAAAAGTATCATCGGGCTTATTTGGGTCTGCGAAGATGAAGGCGCGAGAATACAGTCTCTGCTTTAGACCAGTGCCTAGTTGGTCCAAACTGGCATAGCCAGCGAGAGTCAGCTCCACAACGGGCCTAGTAATCATATTAGCCAATTTAGTACATTGATATGTCAAAATGCAAGCATAAACATACCCAGTTACGTCTGCCTTGCCCGCTCCGACCAAAAAGATATCATCAGCTGGCGCCGCGTTCGCTCTGCTTTTCCACTGGTTGAAGTTTGAACTAAAACTAGGCAAAGGCGATTGTGACTGGCTATCGAGCTTGAATAATGCAATCAGCTGGAAAAACACCAGCACCGCAAGAGTCACCCCAGCAAAGGTAACGCCCATGCGAAAATTAGCCATTATTGAGAGGGTTTGCCAATATATCACAAGTAATATAGAGTTATGACATCCGTAGAAAAGACGCTGAGTAACTGTAGCCCTTGAAAAGTCGAAATCCCCCAGGGAGTTAAGGGTTCTTATACAAGTGCACTAGTGGGGGATACAGTGGGAAGACGAACGAGCTACATGCAAGTCCAGAAGATCATTGCCCAAGTACCCCAAAGCCTGGGAAAGAAGCTGACCATTAGTGTACATGAAGTACTTAGTAGGTGACATTCGTCTAAGCGATGTACAGGGGTTGGGATCATCATCCATTGAATTCCGCACACCAAAAGGGAATAGACTTTCGCTGCACTCCCCCCGCACGGTGGAATGATATGTGCTCCAGGGGTCGTGTGCCAGCCCACTGCACATGTGAAGACTAAATTGCCTCGATCTTTAGCCAGTCGGTGAGCTGGAACTTGGCTTACCACTCAGGTACCTCGCGAAAAAAAAGAATCCAAACTGGATAGGATCATCGTTGCAGTCGGGAGAGCATCCTAAGAGGGAATGCCATTCGCCCAAGCAATTCCCCGGACTCCCAAACCCTGGTTTTTGCTGCAGCAACATATACAACATATCCCATGACTCGAATTCAGCTGTGACCGCATTAACATTAGATATATTACTCGCCTACAAATTAGGTACACGGTTCACCTTGTTTGTTTCAGCCTCGGTTCATATAAAAGTCGAGGTCACGTGGCTGTTGTTAACTGAGTCAGCGTCTCTCGAGGGTCGCCGCCTTCCTCACCGCCTTCATGTAGCAATGGTTCTGAGATTAATCTACTCCGTACTGGTCTTGGTCTTCACCTCCATACAAGAACATCACTCCAAAATGCCGTTAATCAACGAATCTCATGACTCGCTGCCATGTATGTACCCCAGAGTGTACAAGAGACGTGCATTTAGAACCCAATCACTAACCTTCTAAGATATCGACGCGGCGCCCACTACGTCCGCGCAAGCGCGAGCGCAGCAGCTCATCAACGCAGAGTTATCCCCGGAGCACACCTCTACAATGCACCCCTGGATTCCGGAAGTGCCAGAACCCAAATTTTCTCAATTCATGCAACAAGAACTCTCGCGCAAAGCACAAGGAGCACCTCTCACGGGTGGAATCGATCTATCCCGTTACGAAGCACCTGAGGCCCCGACTCGCGCATCAGACACCGAGACGCCTGACCTAGACGCATGGCGCCAGGCTTTGCAGAAGGCATATGCGTCAAGCTCGCACCTGTCCAAGCGCCACGAGAACCTGGCTCTGCTGGAAGAGCATGGCAAGAACGCTTGGCTGATTGGCAATTCACAGCTTGAGGAGATACTCGGTTCCCTTGAGAAGGAGTTGGCAGAGACGAAGGAGGCGTCTGAGGAGGTGAACAAGCAGAGAAAAATTACACAGGAGGCGAGCCAGGGTGAGCTAGTCAGTCTGGAGGAGACGTGGAAGAATCGTCTTGGGGGGATTCTTGATGTTGAGGTGGCATCTGAGCGTTTGCGCATACAGCGTCTTGACCATATGCGTCAAGTGGCTCAGCAGCAGGCTCGCTAAGGGAGAACTTTCGTCTTGTTTGTGTACTATCTTTCTGAGAAATGAAAGCTTGTCATGTTAGCGACCTTCTGCTGGCTGAGGGATTCATGTCCTTGATCGCGCAGTCTCTTGGTGGAACGCTTGCATGATGGAGTGCCATATGTGCGACTTGAGAGTTACCATGCCCTTTTTCCTTCGTCCATGAACACTTTGGAAAGTGGCCTATGTGTGTTGCTCTTGCTTTTGCACCGAGGACTTCTGCTCGCCCACACGGCTTATCAACACTGGGCTCTCAGTGTGTTTCGGCAGAGTCCCGAGGTCAGTGGGGGTTTATCAATCCCCATACCAGCTCTAACAAAAGCCTTTGCGTCCAAATGAAGATTAAGGAGGAATGAAACCTTGATATGGCCGGGTACTGCTGGTCGGCTCCGGCTATTCCAACCTTGGAAGTTGCAGAAGATTCAATGGGTGATATCTCCTACCAGAGCCCTTCCAAGGTTCTCTCCAAATATGATTCCATTTCACGCCACACCGTGTTTCAATTTAGTACTAAACTCCTAAATTCAAGTACAGATTGAATTGCACGCCAAATAATGCTCATAAAAAAATAACCCGGTGCCTGCTCTTCTGCTCAGATCAAGTAGATCGGTCAAACTCAAATCCTCCTCACAAAACCCTCGGCACAACCACAGCAACACCATCTTCCGAAACCTTCACAGGGCCCAACTTCATCTTCTTCCCCATGACCTCAACCCCCTCCCTCTCAGCCTTCGTATTCCAATCCACAAGCCGCCGGCACAGACCATCGAGAGTATTCAGAGGCGGGCTATACCCTAACCCACCCATCTCAGGCGCCAGCTTCGCGCGCGAATCATCAGCAAACACATGAACATTGATAATGGAAAACAGCGACGGCTGAAGTTGCCCAATATCCCCCGACAACCTCGGTAGAAACCAAGACAGATATCTATACTGCAAGAAAGTATACATCTCAACAAAATACGCCATCACCAACAACGGCAAGGGCTGCACATCTGGAAACGAAAGCGGCGTTTTGGACAAGGTCGTGAGTAACGTGTACAAATCATCAAATGCAATCGCCGGGTTGGGGTCGCTAACGGTAAACGCCTGGCCACCTGTATTCGGGAGCTTCGAGCCAGGCTCGCTCTGCTGGATCAAACGCTGTTCGTACAAGAGGTGCGCAATCGAGACGTTTTCAGCGTGCACGAAACTCTGCAGGATCGGGCGAGCCCAGGTCGGACTGCCTCCGTTGCGGAGGTAAAGGCCCGTGATGACATTGTTGGCTTGGCCGCCTGTGCCATAGACTCCGTTTATAGGGCGGATGCAGCCGGTGCGGAAGTTTTTTGCTGGATTATCTGCTGCGCGAACGAGGCGCTCTGCTTCGGTTTTGGTTACGGCGTAGTTACCGAAGAATTGGTCGTGGGATTCGGGCAGTTTGGTGCTATCGCTGATCACTTGGACTACGCGCTTGGGCTGCGTCGCCCATGGCGCGATCCAGAAGGTTGGCTGGTGCAGAGCGATGGAACCTGAGGATGTCGAGATGAAGGCTGTGGTACCGGCGGCTCTTGCGGCGTTTAGCACGTTCCGTGTGCCGTCAATGTTGACTTTGCTGCTGAGTGGTAGGAAGCTCTTGAGTCGGTCCTGGGGTCGGATTATGGCTGCGGTGTGGTAGACTGTTAGCGCGAGGTTGGTTACATTGGCAGCCCATGGCTCTTCAAATGCTGTTGTTACTGCGAGAGCGTCGGTGATGTTGGTTTTGATCCAGCCCACGCCTTGGTTGAGGACGTTCTGCTCTGGGGAGATTAGGTCTAGAATGCGAATGGCTTTGGGGTCTTCGCCCCGTGCGAGAAGATGCGAGACTATCCAAGCACCAACTAGACCTATTGTTTGGAGAGTCAAGAGAGTCAGTGGATGGAGTTGAAGAGCGACTTGTATCTATACTTACCAGTTCCGCCTACGATCACATATCGTCGAGATTGCTTTGGTGGCAGGCTCTTAGTCACATCGATGGGGGTTTCCAGGCTCTTTTTATAGGCTGCTTTGATTTCTTCTATTGTCCAGCGATGAGGTGATAGTTTCTGTGCCTCCTCGGGGACCACTTTCATAGCAGAGTTAACACGCCACATATAGAGAGCAGCCAGTCCAGCCAGGCCGGCTGTTATAAGCGACGTCATGATAGCTGGACAGTTACAGAATACTTTTTCCAAGGTTGCAGTCCCACAGAGGGTTTTAAAGAAAGTTTGCCATTTGCCATAGGGCTGTTTGAAGGTCTAGATTTAAATCAACCTGTTTCAGATAGGATATTGAAACATGGCGATCTGATCAGATCCATTTCGGCAGGTCGCTTAGACCTTAGTTCGCTTCGGCTATGTTAACAAGCGGCCTGAGACCCTTTATAGCCAGTGAGAGCGCCTCATTTGGAGCAAAGTACCGTGGAATTGTCAAACCCATTCATGGTCCCCGTTTGTCACTGAGACAAGAGCTTTTAGTAAACCATCTGTGTTTACCTAGGTAGAAGTAGGCTATATAACCGAGGAATGTCTATATTGTATCTATGGATATGATATTAAACGAATTATGCCTTTCCCCGGAAATTCCTTCAGTTATATAGATCAAATATGAAACTACATACATACTAGTACTGTACAACTCGGAATCGGAACCTCTTCCGCAAATTTTACATGCAAGTAGTGGTGATCGAAATAGAAGTTTCTTATTATTTTCTTATTTCCAACCGGCTTTTTCCTGGTTCCAGGTTCGAACCCACTTTCATCTGGACGTCCCAAAATTGATATCTACTCCGTACTTCCTATTCCAAGCTTAAGTATACATCCATGGATGTAATTTAACTCATGCCAATATGAGAAATACAACACACTCTACAATAATGTATATTATTGCACAGCTCTCACGGGCAGTATTCGGCAAACCGGCACACTACAGCCCAGGCTAGAACCCACATGGTGCACTCCTTCGGGCCTAATATGCCGTGTGGAGACAAATTGGGTCGGAACACACACGTTGTGTCTTATGGAGATATCACGCCATGGCGGACCTCTTTGCCCATGGGGAAATCCCATGCTAAGGGTTTGTAGGATACAGAGCAAGTATAGGGGGATATAAGGGGAATCTAATATTCCGATGCCCTATATATACAATGTACTCTCTACAGAGTAGGAAAAGAAACTATTCTCTGTTTTTGTTCGGGGCTACAGATCATCTTCTCGGCACAGCACAACTTCTGCAAGCCGTGCAAGCCCTGCAAGCCCAGCTCCTTCTCTTCGAATATGCTTATCATTGACTTTCGGCCCCACACTCGAAAAATTCCGAGTTTCAAGTGATTTTGATGATAAATGCCTTCGATTTCTATCTTCTGTTATAATCTGTGTCAGTTTGGAGGGCTTGTGGTTGATACTTAAAGCAACCTCGGCTTCGGGATTTCGGCCTACATTTGCAGCTTTTCCACTATATCTCAATAAAGAAATAGAGAACGACACACTCTACTACTACTACAGCCTTATCGAGGCTGAAATTGGAAAACAGAGGGACCCATTACTCCTATTTCCCCTACTTTCTTCACTACAACCCCCTAATATTGGAGTAATTGCTTGTTTGATCTCGGGTACACACCTAAACAAGCTCCCCGAACACCATTTCACTTGTTTGAAGGCCATCCATCCAAGCTTCCGGGCATGGCAGCTCAACAGTCCAATTCAGAGGGTCAAGATAAATGGCCCGGAAACACCGAGAGAATGTCCCAGGACACAGACTCTATCGAGTCCATTTCCACGGTAGACACACAGACCGACCGCGATGCGCTAGGGAAAACATTGACAGCTCGTGCCTCACGAACCTCGCACATGTCACTGTCGGAGCGTGTAACGACAATCGTAACTAATGCTACTGCCGACCCCGACTATGAGGTCGACTGGGATGGCGACGATGACCCCGAGAACCCCAAGAACTGGAATTTCAAGTATAAGTCCATGGGAATTGTGTTTCTATCATGGAACACTCTCATCGTGTGAGTTTATATCTCGAAAGTTTTGAAGCACGAGGTTCTCTAGCTAACAAATTCGGAAGCGTGTTATATTCGACTTCTTATACATCAGGCATTACATTAATGGCCGAGGAATTTGGCCAATCCAGGACTATCGTTACCCTTGGCTTGACCTTCTATCTGTTTGGTCTTGCCATCGGGTCCATGTTCATGGCCCCGTTGAGCGAGGTCTACGGACGGAAACCCGTCTGTGTAATTTGTCTAGCTGTGTTCACGGTCTTGATCATCCCCTGCGCGCTTGCAAAGTCTGTCACGGCACTGATCATCGTTCGCTTTATCGCTGCTTTCTTCGGCAGTGTTATGATCTCTACCGCACCCGGTATGGTGGCTGATTTGGTGGACGATGAGCACCGTGCTCTAGCGATCTCTGTTTGGAGTATTGGGCCACTCAATGGACCAGGTTTGTTTTTCGCCTATTATTTCCCCCCGACACAACGAGCTCGTTTCTAACAGGATATAGTCATCGGTCCTGTTATAGGAGGCTTCGTCACTGAATATCTTGGCTGGCGCTGGATGTGCTGGATCGCGCTCATGCTCTCCGCTGTTGCTTTGGTCTTTGCTATCCTGCTCAAGGAAACCTACGCACCAACCATTCTCCAAAAGAAAGCAGCTAAACTCCGTAAGGAGAGCGGCGAGTCCCGCTGGTGGAGTCGTTACGACCAAAAGGCGAGCCTTCCCGAGGTCCTCAAGCTGAATCTCAGCCGGCCATTTATAATGGCAGTTACCGAGCCAATCTGGTAAGTTTCTTCGACTTATACAAACCACAGCAACACACAAAACATGAAACTAACACCCTCAGCATCTTCTGGAACATCTACATCGCAATTATCTACGGCATCCTGTACCTCTGCTTCGTAGCCTACCCAATTGTCTTCCGAGACATCCGCGGATGGGAACTGGGTGTGTCCGGGCTCGCCTTCCTAGGCATCGGGATCGGCGTCCTCCTCACAATTGCCTGCGAACCCTTAATCCGGCGGCTAATTAACAGCCATGCCAAAGACCCCGACACCGGAAAACCACACCCAGAAGCAATGGTCTCGTTCGTCTGCATCTGTGCAGCGATGATCCCAGTCGGCGAGCTTTGGTTCGCATGGACCTGCTCCCCAGCCTCGATCCACTGGATCGTGCCCCTGCTCGCGGGTATCCCGTTCGGCGCGGGAAACACTGGCGTCTTCATCTATGCATCCAACTACCTGACTCACAGCTACGGCATGTATGCTGCCTCTGCTTTGGCGGGCAACTCGGTTATTCGGAGCATCCTCGGTGGTGTTCTGCCTCTTGCTGGCTCTTCTATGTATGCCAGTCTGGGGCCGAATTGGGCGGGCACTCTCCTGGGGGTGTTGGAAGTTGCGATTGTGCCGATTCCGTTTGTGTTTTATAAATATGGGCACAAGATTCGTATGAAGAGTCCCCTCATTCTGCGCATGCAGGAGGAGAAGATGAAGTTGGAGGAGAAAGCGGGCTAGGAGGCAGCTTCAGCTTCAACAGGCGCACCGGTCAGATGAGAAGAAGGCGGAAGAGGCGGTTTAGGGTTGCTTTTTGAGGATTCTTTTGTCTAGTGTTTTGATTTACGTCTTGATACCCCTGGCCTTGTATCTGAGGTGCTCAAAAATTGATTATATAGCAGAATATCTAATGCAGAGACGCTCCATTAATGCGTTATTGGTTTTGAGTACCATGTAATCTTTTAAACCACTACAGATGTCTTCTCAGTGGGTGAGCTGTATCATCCGCTCGACATGCTGAGAATTGCAAAGGATTCGCTCATACTCCCCGATGGCAATAGCTCCCGTTGGAAAGACCATGATCGCCTCGACATACACCGGACGAGGGGGGACCGTAGAAAGCCTCTGACTCGGCCGATTCGCGTCGTCGGGAGTCGAAGAGAATGACGATGTTGGCGGCACCGGCTCCGACTCTCTGATATAGCCCACGACATTCAGCCATGTTCCCACACGCAATTCATCGGCGGTCAGATCCTCAAGGAGGGCATTGATGTCGACAGAGACAGAGCTTGGAGCTATCTTGCTGCGTGGATAGTTGTGTTCCAGTATCAAATGGCCGGTGGTGATGGTATAATGAGTCACACTATGTGTACACAAGAGCATATATCATCGTTAGTATTGGAAAGCCTCGACTTTATACTATTTTGTTCTCTACTCTAGGCCTGACGCACCAGCCAAGAAAGCGGATCTTCGAGTCCGCCTGTAGAGATGAGAGGTCGGAGAGGAACACGCGAGTCGAGGGGCGCGGCCCATTCATCTCTGCGCTAGTTGAAGAAGATGCTCAACATTGTAAAAGTATGAAGATTAAAAGAAAAGAATTAGAGGCAGTCCTAAAGGTCACAAACACAACGGTCTTGTTGGCGCACGTGACTGGCCTTACCGTGTATGTCATACAGCGAGGGGAAAGTCGGGCTCCCCTCCACTTTGCATTCATCCAGAAATTATTCTTGGAAGCGCTCTCGACGGGTCGTGTGCTCCAAATCTCCTGGTCATTCGGAGCTTATTTTTCGCCCTTTTCTTCCTTCGCCTCTCTGCTCACTGGCGTTGCCTGGAGCCTATCGCTCCACCTGACTTGCAGCAAAGAAAACAACCAATCTACTCTTCTCTCCTCACTCACTCCCGATTTTCGGCCGCTGGTCTCCTTTGGACATATTACTTGGCCACCGGGGTTTATCCTGCTTATTTTCTCCCTTCAGTTTTCAGTTACACAGACACCGATATCACCATGTGGTCTTGGTTTGGCGGGGCCGCCGCTCAGAAGCGGAAGGATGCGCCCAAGAACGCTATCCTACAGTTGCGCGAGCAGCTGGATATGCTGCAGAAGCGCGAGAGACATCTCGAGACCCAGATCTCAGAACAGGAGGCTATGGCGCGAAAGAACGTCAACACAGATAAGAATGGTATGGTTGCGAATCTTGCAGATTGTTGCTGGACATTTATTTGAGAGTTGCGGTTGGTGGCTAACTATCGCTTCTTCTACTATTGTGTTGAATAGCCGCCAAAAACGCACTCCGACGGAAAAAGGTCCACGAGAAGAATCTCGAGCAGACAACAGCTCAGATTATGCAACTTGAGCAGCAGATATACTCCATCGAAGCCGCGAATATCAACCACGAGACCTTGGCTGCTATGAAGCAGGCCGGCGCCGCTATGAAGCAAATCCATGGTGGAATGAAGCTCGAGGATGTCGACAAGACGATGTACGTTGCTGCCGGGTTCACAGATTCCCTTATCCCTTATCTATCATATTGCCCTGTCGTGGCTCTTGTTATATCATGTTACAGCCATACTGATAACTCGCAGGGAGGAACTCCAAGACCAGCATGCGCTCAGCGCCGAGATCGGAAGCGTCATTACCAGTTTCCCTATCGGCGAACAGCCGGACGAGGAAGAGCTCGATGCCGAATTGGAAGGTCTGGAGCAGGAAGCTATGGATGCGAAGATGCTCCACACCGGGACCGTACCGGTGGGCAGTCAACTGGACCGGTTACCAGCTGCGGGGAATACAGATCGTAAGTGGGAACAGAATCCTATATGCACATATCACATATCGTTCACTAACCGACTTGTCTATAGTCAAACACCCCGCCAAGGCACAAGAGGAAGACGACGAAGAAGCCGAGCTGGCAAAGTTGCGCGCGGAAATGGCCATGTGACAGTCTCTTACTTCCTACCACGCGACCAATGCAGCCTCATTTCCGTTGAAATCTTACCCTTTTGCTCTTCGTTGTTCTTTGTCTTACCCTCGCATACATGACCCAGCCGTTTTATCAAGCAAGCCTTTTCCTCCTTTTGGTTCCCGGTGCGTTAGCACCCGGAACCCTTCTTTATTATCTCTATCTCTCTTGTTGTTTCTCTAGCATCTCCTCCATATGATCCGACACTACCTAGGTCTCTCCGAGCTCTCACGTCGATCTGCCTTCGTCTTGTCTTCTGTCACATTTTCTATCTGGCTGTTCCACTCCTCAACACCCTTTCTCTAGCCAACTCCCTCGATCTCTTGGGTTCGTATTTATTTTTGCTTTTTTTTTGAAATGGAGTTCTAGATCACCTCGATTTCTTCTTCTTTTATTTATTTGTGTAAGCTAAGTTATTAATTTTAAAATTTCTGCCTGGGGTATGCGTCCATAACTTATGTTGTAGGTCATCAGTATACTACGGCTAGAAGGTAAGAATGGGATAGAAGATATCTATAACGAAGGTCCTGAAAGGGCTAACATGCTAGCATAACGTTGTCATAGAAAAAAAAAGTCGGTTCATTATTATCGAAAAGTCCATCACTCGAAGCCAAGTGAAGTCATGTAGACCCAGCGTTCGAAGACCAAAAAAGAAAGAACCAGTTAATACATCATGGAGATAGGCAAATATCTATCCAAGGCATATGTCGAGAAAGCGAAAGCAGACTCGGAAGCAGAAAGAAAGAAAAAAACTCCAGCGGCTTTCGCCTGCCATGTCCAGCCACCCAGCCCATGCTAACCCATAAATTTCGCCGACGCGCAAGAATCCCAAGAAACAAAGAAATCAACTACAGGATTTACGGGTACCAGGCGTAGCTCTTGGTTGGCTGAGTACGCTCGCCATCCGTGGTCTCGGTGGTCCACTTGGACTTCCATTCAACCTCCTGTGCGGCAGCGTCAATAAGAGCTTCCTTGCACTCTGGCGGAAGCAACTCGAGGATCTCTGGAGTCATGAACTCGGGATGCTCGGGGTTGGCGACGCTGACCAGGCCGTTGGGGCCAATATCGTGCACATCACCGTCAGGGCCCGGGATGCCCATGTTTGAATATGACGGGGATTCATAGACAATGTCCTGGATGACGTAGCGGTCGTGGAGATGAGCGGGAACAGGGGAAAAGGTAGTGGCGGGGCTTTCGGTGGAGGTTTCGCCAGTGGTAGCCTCTTGCGATTCTTGGGTTTCGTGGGCGGTCTGATTTTCATGGCCGGAAGGAGAGCCTCCGTTGGAGAGGTTCAATGAGTTCATGTTCGTAGTCAACTCGGTCGGGGCGGACGCCGGAGCTGGGGACACCCGCTCCCAGCGGGCGTGGGTTGGCTGCATGATCTTCGGGTGCTGCATAATATTGGTGTGGACATCGTACACACCACCCAGATTCGAACGGCGCATTCCGGCGAGCTTTGAGTTAAAGTTGCTATACTATGCATTAGTCGACAGGTCGCAATGGGTTGCTCGATATCAAATATAGACTCACCTTGCAGCCCGGGCATGCTCGAGCATCCAGTTGTCATCAGTCACTGGCACACGGCGTTTCTTGGTATCAACTGGCTTTCCACCAACAAGCGGCACCGCGGGCGCATTTGTGTGATAAACACTGCTTGCGCCGTGCCAGGCGACGTACTGATTTCTGTTGTAAGTTTCTCCAGGTCCGGGCAATCTGTCTTCCGGAACGACTAGCTCGCCCTCCACATCGCCGCGCTCGCGAGCAGCAGCTTCGTCATAGTCGTCGGTGATCTTCTTGCCACCAACGATGATTTTTGCGCCAAACTCGCGGAACACTGATCGCGCGGTGACAACACCAATGGCTCGTCCCTTGTAAGAGTGGGGGATGAGATCGCGTTCAATCAAATCACGCTTAGCTTCATCATCAATGATAATCTTGTACAGCATCTTGTGCTTCTGGAAGAACAAGTATGAGTCACGGAAGCCAATGCAGCGGGCTGGTTCAGTCGACAACATGTAGAGGCGGTCTCCGCGACCAAGGATCTTGAAGGTACGGACTCGATACTCACGTCCGCCTTGTAGGTGGCCATTCTCGTCGACTTTAGTAGCGCCAATTGGGTCGGGCGGAATCGACACTTCGTCGTTGATTACATCCATCATGTTTCCTTCCTTGTCAACAGGCACCTGGGTGAGATGGGAGGGGCCGCGGTTGCGTGCCCAGCGTCCACCGCTAGCAGCAGGGCGACCGCGGCGTCTTTTGACTGGAGTAGTGACTCGAAGTGGTGGCTCGCCGTCGGCCGGATCCCATTCAGGCCGAGGGTTCTTGGGTGGGCGACCAATGCGACGCTTGCCGCGAGGCGGAAGTGATGGGCGGCCAGGTCCGTAGGAAGGTGTGTTATCTGTGTCGGCAAGAATTGAGTCTTCTGCGGGGGTTGCAACACTCAATTCTTCCTCTGGCTTTGGTGTGGCAGGTGTTTCGGGGGCCTGAATTTCTGCGTTTTCGGCTTCAGGTTCAGGTTCAAGTTCACGTTTAGATTCAGGTTCAGCCTCGAGTTCGACGTCAGGATCTTTCTCGGGGGAGTCTTCCAGTTCGGCTACGGGTGAGGAGGGTTGAGAGGAAGGGGCGTCGGCCATCTCCTCATCAGACCCATCTGGAATTGAAGGTACATTTTCTAAAGCTGGTTAGTCGCAAACGCGTCTAAGGGGAAGGTGAAATTCAATGCATAGTAGAAGGGACGGGTGCTTGTGGCAGGTGCGAGCCAATGTGGGGTTAGGATCAACTCACTTATCGACTTTGCAGCCGCCTGGGCGGCCGCCCTTAGCTTTCGTGGCATTTTGTCGATGGTTGGTCGATATGCTGGGGAGGCGCAAATGGGGAGGAATAGCTGTTTTGCGAAGGGCCGAAGTTTTTCCGGGAGCCCTACAAGCTGCAAACGCGGCAAACACTAAATGGTGCAAACAAGGCAAACACCGAATCGTCTTCTATGACGTCTGACGTCATATCCTCTTACTCCAACGGAGCATTTCGGGCTGGCCATTGATCGGCGAACATCCTGCTTCCTGGCTTTTCGATATTCGTTCTTTTCCAATTCTAGACCCCCAACCGCCGTTGCCGTCTCAAAATGCCCATATTATATCATAGGTTGCCCGCATAGGACATCATCTCGGGCTTTGTGTTACCCCCTAGTTGGCCAGTATGGGAGTGCGGGGATTCAATGCTCAAGATGAGTTCATCTATGGATCTACATGCTGACAGAGAACCCTGTAAAGACTCACCGGTCATGTAGTGCACCGTTCTCTCCCGAATCACATTGCCATTATTGGGTGTCAATTGCGTCCATCCAACAAAGAGACGACTGCATCGAAACACATAGGTTAATTGCTTGTGTAACCACTGACCTCATTATGTGCCTCTATTTGCAGTCAATCTCCAATGTCACATGTGAGAGATAGCTCCTGAGTCGAACCCCCTAGGAGGCTTGAGCAAACCATATCTCGGGTCAGTATCAAAGTCGCTTGGGACCAAGGAACACATTCCAATCACAGTAGCGAGTCACCACTTGGAGCAGGTTATTTATGGACAACATCTGAATTTGCTTTACTAGCTGCAAGTTCAAATGGCATATTAAAGGCCATGTCCCTTTTTTTTCCGGCCCAGCAACCGAGAAAACCCAAATGGTTAATATGAAAACGCCCCCCGGGAATATATCTGTTCTGATCAGGTATAATTTCTGCAGGCAGCTGGTAGCCTGAGAAAAATCATACCGAGTAGCTTTCAGAGGTGCTTACTTTGTTGTACGGAGTACAAGCCCGCAGATCATGTCCCAGTGCAGATGACCTACAAATTCAATCCAAACTCGGACTCGGTCTTGTGCATAACGGAAAATGCACATTGAAATCATGCAGGTCTCGGCTGTACATCGATGTAGGTTGTATACCACGAAGGTTGTCGATACCATAAATATTTGAGTATGAACCGCACGAACCCATGGTAAATGCAAATTAAATACGCACTTTATTATGCAAGTCCAGGGTACGAGGAAATCAGATATCATCCTTGAACCTACGTCCTGGATCTTTAGTTCCATAGCATATCATTCGTCACACTACATAAACCCAAGGGAGGTTGCGGAAGGTAAGCGTCGATCAGTCCTTTATCCCCCACCTATTCGAGGCCATGGATACTATACGCTGAGGGGCCAAAACGGAGATCGGCAATAGCTCTCCAGCGTCTCCTTTTTTTCTTCTACAATTATCTACAATTATTGTACAGTCACAGCAAGCTCACTGCTGTGGAACATACATCATTCACGCCCGGCCCGGGTCTTAGATCCGCCGAGCCACATGTTAGCGCAGAGGTTGGGACCTCACGACGCCCCGATGACGCATGTGGAGGCCTTGAAGCATCCCACTGCGACCACAGCATATCTCACATTTCACCTGGTATGCAGATGCAAGGGGAGCTGAGAGCTAGACCCGGGCCATATTGAAAGCTGAAAGGTTGCCACGATCTCACGATGTGTGTGGATCGGAACTCGATCTATGGGTTTCTCAGTCAATATTTCATTATTCCATGGAGAAGCATCCTAAGGGATTTTGCATTAATCAGTAGTGTGCAGAGAGACTAAAATGGATACAGCGTACTACCTCGAGTCATATATATGGGTACTACTAGTTCGAACATGGAAACCATCCGAATATAAGAAGCGGTCTATCGCTACATCGTATACTCCGATGTTGTCATCAGATGCAATAATAATGAGATACCCCGCTGTGAGAGTGGAGATAGAGATTCGGAGCGCGATAAGAGAGGGGGGAAAAAGGTAGCCAAAGAAGAAAAGGGCGCATGCTGAGAGGCGAATTCCTCTCAGCCTCTTTTGAAAAGGTATAGCCACATGTTCTTGGGAGCCTAATATCATTCGGACTATTGACCGTGACCTGAAAATGCAATAATCTTGTTTTTTTCACATTCTAGAAAGCGAAATCAGAAGGGAAATAAGGAAAATTAAGGACCAAAGCAAGAGGAAATAGATCCCTTCCGGGCAATTATCTTGATATCTAGGGCTATTGAACATTGTCACCCACTCATCTTAGGTCTCCACATGACGTTAAGTCTTTTAATATTTTCTTCATATTTTGTATTTCTGATTTCTAATAATTTCTCATTTCTCAGGGCATTCATTGTTTCCCCTCTTCAGGAATACATACAACATAGTACGGATTAGGAAATAAGGCGTAGATGACTCGGGATTAGAGAATACAAGAATGCGTCAATGACCTTTTTTTTTTATAGTTCCGGTCCTTTCCAGAACCTTTATCTTATGGTCAGCTCCAGCTTCATTCAGCTGGGTTATATCTCATAAGATTATATCTTATATCTTACGTATGATCTTATGTCCCTTAATAAGACACCACCCGGAAACATGGATTATCAGTGACGAACTTTTTTTTTTATTATCTTACAGTGGGGTTCTATATTACCGAAGAGAATCCCACTTCTAAATCCAAAAGGAAAACTGTCGAACACATTTCTATTTTTCCAAGACCTCCCAGAATAAAAAAAAACCCCAGAATAAAACAAAAATCATTTTCTTGGGAAAAATCCGAACGGGTTCAAATCCATCCCGCAAACTCCCTTAGCTCATCAAAAAATCCTCTCCTTTTTTTTTCAACTTCCCAATTTTACCCCCCCACTTTCGCTCCTCATTTTCCGACGTTCTTGAATGGAAACACAATGGCTGCGCAGAGTGGACCCGTGTTGCACGGCGACGACATGAAGAAAACGAAGTGAGTCAACTTCTAATATCTCTTCTTTGGCTTTGGCATTCCTCTTGAAAGGCGGGGCTGAAGAGCGAAAAAGAGGGTCCACGATCCCCTCACACCGCATTGCATTACAGTCTGTTCTTGTTAGGGTTGACCTGCATGAAACATTGCGTTTCGAGGGTGGCTTTCTCTCAAAACCTCCTCTCGCCTTCCGTCTCGGACCTTGTCGGAATTTGCCTACAACCTTTGAATTGAAGATTTTATCGGGATCATTTCGTTGACTAACCTTCCGTCTCAATAGCTCCGGACTGGAAGACGATACCCAAGATCAGATCAGGTCAAATGGTTCTACCCCCACGCCGACTGGAATCGCAACACCCGAACCTGATCCGGCCGACAAGCGTCTGCCTTCCATTATGCACAACTACTTTCAGGTTGGTTCTTTCTCCGGTGATAAAGCGAGTCTGCCGCGGTTATGGTCATGTCTGTCGAAACCCTCTGAGGACCTTCAATCAAATGCGCATACCCAACACTCCTCCGATTCCTCCGAGTCTTTTGTCATGATGGAACAGGAAGATGGGTCTGATAAGATGGAGGAGGAACACCCCAGTCTGCATACCCCTCCACACTCCTTGTTACAGCATGAGTCGGATGAGATGGAACTCGGAACGAGTCCAGGAGTGTCTATCTTTACAACGCTGAAGAATTACCTCATTTCACCCACACAAACTCCTCCAGAAGACCCTCCTTCCCGCCGTCAAACCTCCCTCCCAGTATCCAGCATCTCTGACGACCCCGTTCTTGCCACACATTTTTCCAATCCATCCCTCCCTCCTATCTCAGATGCCTTTTCCCTGTCTGAAGCTCCCCTCCTCGACCATGAGAAACCGCGTGTCTCAATATCTTCCGAGAACCTAGCCAAGCTAACTGAAAACGCGCCCGATGGGTCGTGTCTTAAGAATACCCCACCTCTTACCCCCCGGGCCATGTCCAACGAGGTCCCAGCCGCCCAGGAAAAGACCGCCACTTCCTCCCCGCAAGAAAGCTCGCAAGAGACTCCACAGTCTGAGTCCAAGCCGGAAGACATGGAAAGCTCCACGGACGAGATCACGATGAAACTCGATGAAGCATTCTTATCCCAGTCCCAGTCCCAGTCTGAGACTGCGCCTGCGGATGCAACCTCAACATCCCCGGCCAACGGCGCGCCCACAGGCCCGATCAATGGTAAATTGTTTTTGAAGATCACAGATGGCCGAGGACTGCGCCCAAGTTTCGATCCGTATGTGGTGTGTGTATTCGAATGGAATGAGTACATCTCCAAAGGTGCTCGCGACGGCGAGGAGGAAAAGAAACGGCGCCAGTTGGAGTCAGATGCCGAGGAGGCTGCTGGTCGGCCCATGGCCATTCCCTTGAAAACCCGATCCAGCTCTCACAACAGTGCTGTCGAGGGTGATCACAAGGGGCGGACGCCCGTGACAGACCCGCACTGGGATCACGAGGCCACCTTGTATGTTACTCCAACCCAGCTCCTTCACTTGGTCATTCACTAACTCGTTCTGTTAAAGTGATGTTATGGGAGATCAGTCGGAGCTTGATGTCACAGTCTATGACCGCAACAACCAGGAAGCTTTCTTGGGTCACGTACGCCTCTGTATCAACCTCAAGGAAGATCACAGCCGACTAGAAGGCTGGTTCCCCCTGGTCGCGCGCGGTGCCGGCGACAACCAAGTGTCTGGAGAAATTCACCTCGATATGAAGTTCGAAAAGACAGATCGAAAGCAGGTTGGACCGAATGACTTCCTTGTCCTCAAACTTATCGGCAAAGGAACTTTCGGACAGGTTTATCAGGTCAAGAAGAAGGACACACAGCGTATCTATGCGATGAAGGTTCTCTCGAAGAAGGTCATCATTCAGAAGAAGGAGGTGATACACACGCTCGGGGAGCGCAATATCTTGGTACGCACCGCGATGACGGCCTCTCCGTTTATTGTTGGATTAAAGTTCTCCTTCCAAACTCCGACAGATCTCTATCTCGTTACGGATTTCATGTCGGGTGGCGAATTGTTCTGGCACTTGCAGCGTGAGGGTCGATTCCAGGAGGCCCGGGCGAAGTTCTACATTGCCGAGTTGATTCTGGCTCTGCAACATCTTCACGACCACGACATCGTATATCGGGATCTCAAACCGGAGAACATTCTGTTGGATGCCAACGGCCATATTGCGCTCTGCGATTTCGGTCTATCCAAGGCAAATCTGTCACAAAACGACACCACCAATACGTTCTGTGGTACCACTGAATATTTGGCCCCGGAGGTATTACTCGATGAGCAAGGATACACGAAGATGGTCGACTTCTGGTCCCTGGGTGTCTTGGTCTTTGAGATGTGCTGTGGTTGGAGTCCGTTCTACGCCGAGGACACTCAGCAGATGTACAAGAATATCGCATTCGGGAAAGTCCGATTCCCCCGTGATGCGCTTAGCACGGAGGGAAGAAATTTCGTCAAAGGTCTGCTGAACCGGAATCCCAAGCATCGACTGGGCGCCAATGGCGATGCTAAGGAGCTCATGGCACACCCATTCTTCCATGACATCAACTGGGACACACTGTGCCGCAAGCAAGTGATTCCTCCGTTCAGGCCGCAGCTGCAGTCTGAAACCGACACATCGAATTTCGATCCCGAATTCACAAACGCTATGGAGCTGAACAACTCGCTCAATCTTCGTGCCGCAAACCTTGCCAACGGCCTCATGCCAGCTTCCACACCCTTGTCCCCCGGGATGCAAGCGAATTTCAAGGGCTTCACCTTCGTGAATGAGAGTTCTATCGACCACCACCTTATAGACGAAAGCGATTATATGGAAGAGGACGCCATGCACGACGACCACTGGCAACGAGGCCATCGGTCGGGTAACTCGGTCGACCAGCGCATGACGGGCGTCCAGAAGACGCACGACGGCACGGAGCCCGGGATTTTCAACGTTGACGATACCTTTGACATGTGATTACGTTTTCTTTTTTTTCCATACTGCATGATCATGGAGTCTTGATCTGGCATACATCATTATTTCTTGTCTTGTCTTGTACATGCCTTCGGATTGCATCACTTCCAACCCGCAAATATGGGTTTCCGTTCCGGTATCCATTCCCATTTACCGTCGCCTTGTTTCTGATTCCCGTTTCCTCACTCATGCTGGTGTTTCTGCGGATTTTGCCCCCACTTCCTTTCCTTTATCCTTTCTGTTTCCTGTTCTGTCGGACGCCGGGTGACGCGGTGATCATTCTGTGATGTTGGACCACTCCCGGTACTTATCTTGAGCCTCGCTACTATTTATGGTCACAACGTTCTCGTCCGTTTCGTCAGCCAGTTCTCAGTCACATACCCCCTCCCCCGGGGCTTCGGTCAGTTTCTTCACGTTCCGTTTTAGAGGAAACCCCGGGGGATTCTTGCGTGTTTGGTGGAGTTGGGTTTGGGTAATTTTTCATTGTGCACCTTTATTGTCAGTCATCATGTTCTGGGGGGATTGGTCAATGCGAGCTCTCCTTGTTTGCCTTTTATCCTGTCTCCGGCGCAGTGTTGATAACTTTATTCTCTATCCTCTGGGATTGATGTCCTGAATTTTGATACCTGCTCTTTTCTCTTGGGTCTTTTCTCCGGTCTTCTCTCCTGCTTCTACTTTTCCTTTTTCTCTTCGCGGAGTTTCTTGTTCCGGCATGGTGCGGTGGTAACTCGAGGGATCTCTCCTCACGGCTTTTCTTTTCCTTTGCATATCCAGGTGATTGAAGCTACTCAGATTCGAGGACAACTGGTAGCAGAAGGTTTCATTCAACTTCCATTTTCAAGGCGTTAAGACTAGCATCGACATTTCATGGGGCTTGATCTACGTCTGCATTTTCATTGGGGGGGGGACGGATTTGCTATTCTAGTGGAATGTCAGATTCTTTCATATGTCCAATCATCCATCCATTATTGCGGTGGACCCTCGGGAATTCTTTGCTACTTCCAGACTCTCTTGGCAATGCTGTTCCACGTATGTTATTTACTGCCTTGTTCGGGGTCCTTTGGTCCGATGCTTTGTACCTCGCCCATCTAGGTACATACAATACGAGAATATGTCTACATGGGATTGTCAACCAGATTAGCATGATTCCTCTCTTATCGCGCCATCTGTCATCTGTGCTATATGTCCCTGCAGCCTTGTTACATATGTAGAGTCGGGGTCATGTTAGGGACCTACTTTCTCTTTTCAGAAAATGTTTCCTCGGTAACTACGCTCCTTCTACGTCTGCCACTTCCTTCCTTCCGTTTGAGACCTACACGTAGATAGGAAGGTGCAACCAACTAGAGGAAATAAACTAACTATAAACCTCCCCCCGATCCCCCGCAAACCGGAAGCAAGTCAACACATCCAAGTATATATATCCAAAACCAAGATGACTCCAAAACCAAAACCAAGACCAACAATCCTCCCCTCAACATACACGCGAACAACATCCCCAGAAACATTCCCAACCCCAATTTACGGCGATATATCCTGGCACACCCTAATGTCATTCCCGCAAACAGAGACCACAGACCTCTGCGCAGGAATAGCAACCTGTCCGCCAGGCACAGGGCACCTGTGTGCACATCGCCACACACAGGCTGAGATATATCATATCCTCGACGGTGAGGGCAATGTAACTATCGACGGGGTTGAGAGCAGAGTGCGGACTGGGAGTATGATTTTTATTCCTTCGGATGCTGAGCATGGGATTGTTAATACTGGGACCGTGGACTTGAGGTGGTTTTATGTTTTTCCTACGGGGAGTTTTGGGGATGTTGTTTATCGGTTTACGGGAGATGAAATGGGAGGAAAGGGAGTAAAAAAAGGCGAAGCTGTGAGGGTAAAGCTGTAAGGGTGTGAGGGTGTGAATGTATTCCCTCACAGCTACCCTTGAATATCACACCCCCCAATTGTCCATGTTATACTCCGTAGTATGCTAGGAGGTTACCCGCAGAATGCTAGTGGAATTTCAACGTGCTGATCGAGTCTCCACCGGCCTGCCTTGGTGTTCATGACCAAATACTTGACCGTTGTCAAGCCAACAAGACTGGGAATTCTGACATTGAACAATAGAATGCAACATCAAAATACTACATATAATTTGTCAGATATACTAACTACACTAATCTGCAAGCTGAGGTACAGACTAGGAACTCTTATCACCATGTCTCAGGTCTATAGCATTCAAGACTCAGTTTCCACAGTTCATTCCGACCCAGCCGAATCGGTCTTAATATGAGGTCGATCTGAGCAAGCCCTTTAAATAAATATCAGAGGAGTTGGCCAAGTATTTCCCCTAGTTAAAGTTTTAAAGTTTAAAATCGTTTCAGATTAAGTTCCATCGGCATGGTTGGCAAAATGCATGTCGCCCTTTTGGGTCTGTTTGGGATTACGAGCGCCTTTGCCTCGGGAACAAAGCTCCGAAGGGACGAGACACCTAAGTTCCCGCACGACCCGGAAGCTACTTCGTCTTGTTCGTGGTGGCGGGATAATGATGGGTCAGTTGCATGTAAGGATATGCCGTCCACTTGGGGCATTAGCATGGAAGAGTTCCTGCGATGGGTCAGTTCATGTTACTATCTTAATGCGTGTCCATTGCACTAATCCTCATTTGAATTTGAATAGAACCCTTCTATAACTGCAAGCTGTGGCAACTTTCTCACTGACCACTCTTATTGTGTTGAAGTGTTTGGAGAGCCTGACCCTCAGCCGATGACCACGAAATCTTCCACTACAGCGGCTTCCACTACAGGAACTTCCACTACAGTGACTCCCACTACAGTGACTTCCCCGAATGACATCGCTACACCTACTCCAACCCGCCCTGGAACAGTCAGTAACTGTCAAAAGTTTCACAAAGTCATCGCCGGTGACACCTGCAGCGCAATCCTCCAGTCTGCCGGCATCACGCTCACCCAACTTGTCAAAAACAATCCCGGAATCAAGTCCGATTGTTCCAATCTTTTGGTAGACTATTACATTTGTATCTCAATTCTCGGTGTTGACCCGACTCCCACAACCACAAAGCCCACTACCCCCACAAATGGCATCACAACTCCAACCCCCATCCTCCCGGGTCCGGGTATGGTTAATAACTGCGATGCCTTCCACCTAGTTGTCAATGGCGATCGATGTGGGAACATTGCTCACAAGTATGGGATTTCGATGGCCCAATTCACCCAATACAACCCCGAGATGAAAACCGACTGCTCTAATCTATTGGTGGGCTACTACGTCTGTGTATCCATTATCGGCGTCGATCCCAAACCAACAACCACAACCACGGCAGCAGGAAATGGCATCGCAACTCCTACTCCCACCAGTGCAGGAATGGCGAGCAACTGCGATGCATTCTATGAGGTCAAACCAGGGGATAAGTGTGGCAAGATCGCCAGACAATATGGTATCACCACAGAGCAACTATCGAAATGGAATACGGAGATCGGGTCAAACTGCAGCGGGCTACGGCCTGGTTACTATATTTGCGTCAGTGTCGTGGGCGTGGATCCAAAGCCGACGACAACAACAACCAAAGGCAATGAAGTGACTACGCCGACGACAACTACTACCACCAAAGGCAATGAAGTGACTACGTTGACAGAAACAATAACAACTACGTTGACAATAACAATAACAACTACCGAAGGCAATGAAGTGACTACGCCGACAACAACAAGTACCAAAGGCAATGAAGTGACTACGTTGACAACAACAACTGAAGGCAATGAAGTGACTACGCCGACAATAACAACTACCAAAGGCAACGAAGTGACTACATTGACAACAACAGTAACAACTACGTTGACAACAACAATAACAACTACGTTGACAACAACAATAACAACCACCAAAGGCAATGAAGTGACTACGCCGACAACAACAACTAAAGACAATGAAGTGACTACGCCGACAACAACAACTGAAGGCAATGAAGTGACTACGCCGACAACAACAACCGAAGGCAATGAAGTGACTACGCCGACAACAACAACTGAAGGCAATGAAGTGACTACGCCGGCGACAACAACAACCAAAAGCATTGGATTGACTACGCTGACGACAACAACCAAAGGCAACGGGGCGACTACGCCGACGCCGATACAGGCCGGGATAATTGGGACTTGTACCACGTTCTATAAAGTTGGGGACAAAGACACTTGTGAGGTAATCACCAAAGCGGCGGGAATCACGTTGACCGATTTCTATAATTGGAATAAGGGTGTGGGAAGTGGCTGCAAGTCCTTGTGGCTCTTATATTATGTGTGTATTGGAGTGATTTGATACTGCTTCCAGCCTTATAGATAGCGTAAAGTGACAAATAATTGAATACAATACTGTCTATCATTGAAAAAGGGTCCCCGGATCGTAACTGATATCGACCTTAAAGTTATACCCTTGCACTGAAAACCAAAAGTCATGTCTTCCGAGACCACTGCTAACAAATCAAGATTTTGAGAGGCCCGGTGCTCTTATACTCTTATATTAGAAATGTGTCACGAGGAAGGTGATTTCCTCTAGAAAGAACCAGCATTTTGCGCCTATTGGCTTATGAACTGGGACCTGTACTGGTAGCCGCAGATCATGTGTGAAACTATTTTAGCGAAGTTCAGATTAGAACCCTATCTTACGTCACTTGAGCATATCGACATCAGAACCCTCTCAGACGTGATCAAGTAGAATGTGGATCACCCTGAGCTTGAAACTCCTGTCGGTAGGAAGAAATACTTTCATTTAACCACTTAACCACCGTCTCTCAACCTTTTTATAGGCTTCGACGGTGTCGCCCAATAAACTTTGATTGAGTATGAAAAGCACACGCAAGAAGACCTGATTCCCACGATAGAGCGCCAGTCGGTCAGTTTGAGCTTTTCCCGTAGTTAAGACATCGACGCAATCATGCAAAAGCACGGAGTCAATGCGCTTATCGTTTTATCCGAGGCGTCTAAAGCCACGCGATTAGCAGCAATGGCCGGTAAAATCACTTTATCTCCTGCATGAACGATTTATTGACTTTGGTTCCCGTCTCGATCGGGATGCAGGTCCACGGACAAGTGGACCTTCCAAATGGAATTCCAAATCCTAGGAACACCCCGAACGTGGCACTTTCAAGCCCTACAAAATAGTCGTCAGCATAACAAGATCCAATAGCGCAATTGGCTGCAGTACTGGGGTTGGACCCTCAGCGCGTCTCCACCAGATCGGAGTTTCAGCTGTGAGACTCTTTTACGTTCCGATCTGTTGGAGTGGATTGAGATATATTTACATACCCGAGCGTTCCGCTTTTAGTTGGCCATACACATATATTGTAACATGTCAAGGTAGGGGAATGATGTGGATAGATACTCCGTACTACACGTTGAGTCTTTTGCAAGAAGTGAGTGATCTATTCGCCAATGTTGTAATATTGATCTGGGAGATTGTTGGGAGGGTAGTCGACTCGACTCATGCTTTTTTAGGTTTAATAATAGGTATATCTTCCATGGTTAGACTATGTGATACTATAGGTGGTTATATTCGGGATGGAGAAGGCTGATATCAATAATGATACATATGTCGATCCCATTATGCCATGCAGTGACGCGCAGACCACTCTGGAGTGCATACTTCGTACTCCGTAATAATAGATCCGAAGTCAAAAGTAAGAAAGGCGTTCCCAATTGCCTATTTCATTGGCCTGCAGGATGATATGCGCTTGGGCCGTTTATACAACATGGAAAGGGGATAACCTGGGAGTACAACATATGGACTACAACATACTATAAACTGAAACACCTCACTATATTGTATACTCCGTATCAATCTAAATCACCTAGAGACCATAATAATATAACATGGCAGCCTTAGAATATAATCTACCTAGAGGTAACCAAAGCAAAAGAGAAAAAGGAAAAGGAGAAAGGGGTACGACAAGGACCCACTGGGTTAAGCCTAAATAGGTGATAGCGTGGTTGAGGTCTACGAACCCTTGACACTTGGATGGTTTTGATATATTCATCGTACTATGTACTCCGTAGTGGATGTATGCATTGTAGGGATATCAGAGAGAGAATATATCCCATATATATGTGCAATATTGTATATCTACAAGTTCCTATATTGTAAAAACTACATACAATTCTCTATATCCGGTTGTACCGCTCAAAAATTGTCCAACCCCTGAACCGCCCCCTTCCCGTCTCCGCTGCTACTGGGCACCTCACTGCGTCCACGGGGACCTTCAACTCATTCCTGATGTGGGGGAGATCGACTGATTGTCTTTTCTTTTCTTTCCTTTTTCTTTTTTCTTTTTTTTTCTGAGTTTCCAAAGCGTGGGTATTAGTTCCTAGAGCGTTTCTGATCCTCTCATTTTCAGATATCTCTCTTACTACTATTCTTACTACTCTGCTTTCTCTTCACCTTCTCACATCTTGAGATTGCTCAATACAACGTGTGTTGCGACTATATAAAAACGGCTGGAATCTGCCGATCTTCATATATTGCGCCATCTTCCGAACCCCCTACATTCGCGAACCCCTCCACCTCCCTGTTGGGAGTTGACTTTGCTTTTTTCTGTCTCGCAGCAATTGCTCCGATGCCAGAGCAAATTCACAATGAGCGTTGTCGCCACTAGAACAGAGACCCCTGTGGTATCTTACAATTCCATCCCCGAACATCATGTCGACGATTCTGTTCATTCACGAACCTCCTCGATATCCTCCTACAGAACAAACTATAGCGCCTCAACCGCGCCCACTACATACTCCCCATCATCCCCATCCTCATCTTACCGTCAATGCGACTCCGTCAATTCTCTTCCCAAGTTAACCGAACCAATTCAACGTCGAGTACCGCACGAGGTCTATGAAGTGATAATCCACCATTTAGAGGAGTTACACAAAGGGCAGCACCAAACAGGATGTACCACTTGTTTTCAACGCGACTTACACGCCTTATCCTTGACCTGTCGGTCTTGGGAAAAGGCTGTTAGAGGACCTCTGTGAGTTTGAGTCAAGCCCCCTCCCCTTTGATTAATTCAAAGTTGGCAAGAAAACCAGGATTGTTTGCTGATTGAACATACCATACTAGATACCACAGTATACACATTGTTGGAAATGACTCCCCGGCCCAACTCAAGAAATATCGTCTCAAAAGAGGGAGTCGCCTGAAGCTCTTGAGACGAACCCTCCGCGAACGAAAGTTGCTGGCCAACCTTGTATACGAACTACGGGTACCCCAATTAGATTTACTCTTTACCACGATGAAACAAGGCGCGCAGTGGCAGGAGTATCGAGATATGGTCGCGTCCGTGGTCATGGTATGCCCGAACTTGGAGCGCCTGTTAGGCTTGTCTATCCCGTATCACCATGAATTCGATCGTCTAACCCATGCTTTGTCGACCCGCAAAAGGCTCAAAGAGCACACATGGGTTTTGGGCGAGGCCGCAGAAGCATCAGAACTGTCCCCGCGCGACGACTCCTGCCCTGGGAGCCTGGGTCCCTCCCAAATGTTCGAGTTTCTGGATTACCACACCTCGTGGACAAGTCTGGAGACACTGATGCTTTATGGGTTAAACGGAAATGGCGCGTTGGAGCCTAGCATGTCCCTGCGCATGTTCAATCTTCTTCCCTCATTGCGAAACCTTTGCATTACCTCCTTCAACAAAGACTCCTTTGATAATAGCACATTGATGTGTTTGCCACCACTGGAGTCATTAAGGTTAGAGAACCTGCCTGGGATTACAGATGCTGGTCTCTCGCAGTACACGTCTCGGCCTGAATCACACTCCCTCAAGACTCTCGTCTTGGTCGAGCAGAACATCGAGTCACTGCTAGTCATTTCCAAAATCCTCGCGTCATTACGACAACTTGAACGGTTCAAGGTAGTTCAGACCGAAAAGTGCCCAACTTTGCCAGATGAACATATGATCTTCCAGCCTATCCTAGCCTCATCCTCTCTAAAATATCTTCACTGGGATGTGGCATGTCCAGACCCAGGCACAGCCCTCACCCAACTTGATACCCTCCCCTTCCAGAAACCCACAAAACCCTCCAATACCCCAAACTATCATCTTGCCCAAAGCATTATCTCCGCTGGTTTTCCTCAATTGGAAGCTCTCCGCGCACCCTCCGACGTGGAGCCCCCAGGTGCGCTCCAGGCTGTCTGTCGGCCTATATTAAAGGGCCAAGCCTTACTCCGACCAGACCGGTACAGCTTGCCTCGCAGCTCCCACGGTTCCGTGAATACTCGTCCGCTCGCCCTTCCAGCGGGGAACAACCTGACCTCAGCTCGAATTCGTGCCCAGACGTTTATCGACATGGCCGCCAAGGACACCGAAGCCGGCATGCCGGTTCTGATCCAAGATTACTCGGACGCGTATGTGCCGGACAACGCGCAGAACTCCCAATTCGAGGAAGAGCCCGACCAGGAAATGGACGACTACGGGATCTGGGCTGCCTGCGAGCGGTTCAAACACGAGGATAATGACCACAGCAGCCCCAAAACGGTCTACGAGTTCCGCATGCCAACCTTGATGGGCCGTAGTGGTTGCCGGGATCCTGCAACGGGCGCTTCAATTCCTCACTTCATCCTCCGTCCTGATATCACCGGCCAGGAGTCAGACGGTGGCTTGATTGGGTGGAAGCAACTGCTAGCCTCGAACCAGTCACTGTCATATGCCGCCGGTGTAGGCGTCAACTGCTTCGGCAGCGGAAGCCCTTCTATCCCACCTCCCGAGGAGCCTATGTCGCCTGCATCCACTATTTCTAGGTTTGGCTGGGGAAGCTTGAGTGGGCGGTCTGTGATGGGTACGTCTCCAACAACACCCACGACACCAATCACGCCTATGAGTAGTACATTGGGCTCGGCCTTGCCTTGGGAAAAGGATACCTGTACTGGAACCTGGAACCACAAAATGGGCCGGGACTGGTGGTTCCATATGGAGCGTGATCGTCCGGGCAACTCAGAGCTCGTTGACGTTAAACAACTTTTCTAACCCATTCTTTCTACTCCTCGATCCTTCTTTTTCTCTCCTTCTATTTCTTGTCTACATATTCTACGCCATATACCCCACACTTGTTATGTTCTCTTTTTCCTTATGTCCCTTTTTTTCATTTCGTTTCGATCATCCAGTTCGCTGGTTCTTATCTCATTGCATAGGGTTCATGATACACGCGCTGCTGTGTCAGATGGACGGAGATATCATCGCATAATGATTCGATATGTTTTGAATCTCGGTCATTCGAACTATCTTTCATTGTTGTATCATTATTGGCGCGTCGGTGGAAGGTTAATGTGCACTGTTCTTCTGTCTTATTTGAGTCTGCGTACTCCCTGTATCATATTTGTACAGCATTGATCACATAATAATCGAACAGCATACATATGAAATGACTCATTATCCTTTATATGTAAAAATAGCCCTATAGCCCTACGTTGTATGGTCACTTCGACACTCGGACATCCAGGGGCTCCAGAGCGGTGAAGATGACTCATCCCGGGCTAAATCGGACCGATAGGCGAATGTCAACTGATAAGCATTGAATACAAAGAGCCCCTCGTTGAGAAAAAAAAAATATCCCCCACCTTCGCTTTCACAATCGTTATCTGTCGCAATGGACCCCGCAAAGCCTGTTGACCTGCCTGAGAGGCCCAAGGAGGCCACCGAGCCTACGGATCCACCTAAGAAGTCCAAGAGTCAGGAGAAGAAAGAGGCCGCAGCAGCTAAGAAAGCGGCGGCTAAGCTAGCAAGACAGGACCAGCCCAAACCAAAGGGAGAGTCAAAGGCGCCCAAGGCCAAGGAGGCTCCTGCGCCCCGGGACCCTGATGCCATGTTCAAGGTCGGCTTCCTGCAAGACGTGTACAAGGAAAAGCCCCTCTCCGAGACCGTCCCCAAGATCCGCACGCGATTCCCGCCCGAGCCCAACGGATACCTCCACATCGGCCACAGCAAGGCCATCGCAATCAACTTTGGATTTGCGAAGCACCACGGTGGCGAGTGCATCCTGCGCTTCGACGACACCAACCCAGAAGGCGAGGAGGAGCGGTATTACAATGCCATCCGGGAGATTGTGACATGGCTCGGTTTCACACCTGTGCGTGAAACCAACGCTAGCGATAACTTCGACCGCCTCTACGAGCTCGCAGAGGACCTCATCAACCGTGATGGCGCATACGTCTGCCATTGCACTAAATCCGAGATCAAGGCCCAGCGTGGTGAGATCGAGGGCGGCCAGCGCGGCGGAGAACGCTTCTCATGTAGCCACCGCACACGACCCATCGAGGAGTCCATGGCCGAGTTCCGCGCCATGCGTGACGGAAAATATAAGGCTGGCGAGGCAGCGCTGCGCATGAAGCAGGATATCACAGACCCGAACCCGCAGATGTGGGATCTGTTCGCCTGGCGCATCATGGGAACTGAGGACAGGCAGCACCACCTCACCGGCGGCAAGTGGAAGATTTACCCCACCTACGACTTCGCGCACTGTTTGTGTGATAGCATTGAGGAAATCTCGCACTCGCTGTGCACGACCGAGTTCGAGCTCTCCCGCGTCTCTTACGAGTGGCTCTGCGATAAGCTGGAGGTCTACCGCCCCAACCAGCGCGAGTACGGCCGTCTCAACATTACCGGCACAGTTCTGTCCAAGCGCAAGATCATTCAGCTTGTCAAGGAAGGACATGTCCGCGACTGGGATGACCCACGACTGTACACGCTCATCGCGCTCCGCCGTCGCGGTGTGCCCCCCGGCGCGATTCTCGCCTTCGTCAACGACCTCGGCGTAACAAAGAACACCACCAACGTCCAGGTCACCAAGTTCGAGCAGACCGTCCGCCAATACCTTGAAACCACCGTCCCACGCCTGATGGTCGTCCTCGAGCCGCTGAAGGTCATCATCGATGACCTTCCGGAAGACCACGTCGAGCTCGTCGACTGCCCCTTCTCCAAGGACCCAGCCTTCGGCACCCACAACATCCCCTTCACGAAGACAGTCTACATCGAGCGCTCCGACTTCCGCGCCGTTGACTCACCAGACTACTTCCGACTCGCCCCAGGCAAAACAGTCGGCCTCCTCAAAGCCCCCTACCCCATCACGGCGACCTCCTTCGAAACAGACCCTGCCACCGGTGAGGTCACCTGCGTGCACGCCAAATACGAGAAGCCCGCCGAAGGCGAAGCCCCCGTGAAACCCAAGTCCTTCATCCACTGGATCGGCGAGTCGGCCGCGCACAACAGCCCTATCCGCGCTGAGGTCCGTGCTTTCAACTCGCTCTTCAAGTCGGAGGATCCGTCTGCCCACCCGGCTGGTTTCCTCGCCGATATCAACCCGGACTCCGAAGAGATCTTCAAGGATGCTATGGTCGAGACTGGATTCCGCGAGATCTCCCGCTCGGCGCCGTGGCCTAAGGAGGAGGGTACTGAGGAGCCTGGTGAGAATAAGCACTCTATTCGCTTCCAGGGTATGCGTGTTGCGTACTTTGCTGTTGATCGCGAGTCTACTGATGAGAAGTTGGTGCTTAATCGCATTGTTACTCTTAAGGATACCCAGGGTAAGAATTAAGACTTGAGACTTAGAACTGGGGGCTTCCTGATGAGAACGCCTTTTGTTCTTTGTCCTTGACTCTTTGGTTTCTCTGTTTTTTTTTTTTTGCCTTTCCTGTTCCCTTTTTATATAAAACTCATGGTGGAAGTTGTGCGGGTGTGTGATGAGCCACGGTATTGATTTATGACCATTGTTGCATCTTTGCGTGTCTTTTTATCTTTTTTTTTTGCCCTTGGGGATGCTCTAGGCTGTTGTGGTATTCACTATGCATAAGTGATTCTAGTGGCAGTTATTGATATACGCTACAATGCCACAGTTCAAACCGGACATTTGAATCCGAATATATCCGTACAACTCCACCATATAGAGTATCATGGCATAGCAAATAATCAAATGCCATTTACTTGGAAGTATAAAGAAAATCGTAATAAGAGGTCCACGCCATTCATGCATAACGAATTACCGGCTTCCATTCAAGCCGAGGGAGCATACATACACGAGATGACTCGAGACATCAAAGGGAGGCAACAAAACAGAGAACGAGAATGGATCGGGACATAAACAGCAAGACGGTCTACTCTAAACATAGATGCCCATGTTGGTATCCCTTTTCTTAGCCTGGACCTCGGCGATAGCATCGACGTAGTTCTCATGACCGATCTTGCTCAGACCCTTCCGGAGCGCAATCATACCCGCCTCAACACAAACAGCCTTGAGCTGGGCACCACCAAACTCGTCCGTGCTGCGAGCCAACTCGGCCCAGTTGACGCTGTCCTCTACAGACATCTTGCGCGAGTGGATCTGCAGGATGTTGGCGCGAGCTTCCTCGTTCGGCAGGGGGAACTCGATCTTTCGGTCCAGACGACCGGAACGCAGGAGAGCAGGGTCCAGCACGTCGACACGGTTGGTTGCCGCTAGGACCTTGATGCGGTCGTCCGAGGCAAAGCCGTCCAATTGGTTCAGGAGTTCCAGCATGGTTCGCTGCACTTCGCGATCTCCGGATTTCTCCGAGTCGAAACGCTTGGTACCCACGGCGTCCAGCTCATCGATGAAGATGATGGAGGGCGCCTTCTCCTTGGCCAGTGCAAAGCAGTCGCGCACAAGCTTGGCACCGTCTCCGATGAACATCTGCACCAGTTGGGGTCCGGCGAGCTTGAGGAATGTGGCGTTCGTCTCGGCGGCACAGGCACGGGCCAGAAGCGTCTTACCAGTTCCTGGGGGTCCGTACATCAAAGCACCTGAGGAAGGGAAATGAATAGGTTAGCTTAGGAGTACGAGAGAAAGGGGAAAGTAACGCACCCTTAGGGGCTTTGATGCCGATTTTCTTAAAGCGCTCTGCCTCCTTCATAGGCCATACGATGGCTTCCACGATCTCTTCAATCTGCTTATCCAGACCACCGATATCTGTGTACTTCTCCGTAGGCTTCTCGTCAACTTCCATTGCCTTGACGCGGTTGTCATATTCGGCCGGTAGTGTGTCCAGAATGAGATATGAGTCCTTGTTGACACCGATCAAGTCACCGGGCTTCAGCGTTTCGTGGTCGACAAGGCCAATAAGCGGAAGGAAGATCGTCTGGCGGGTGGAGGTCTTGATGACAGCGGATTTGCCTACGCGGGTGGCATCCAGGTCGATATTAGCCCCTTCCTCTGCTGCCTCTGCCTCCACATCAAGATCCAATAGCTCGACGACGTTTCCAACAAGGTATGGTAGTTGTCTAGATAGTTGCAGATGAGAATGTTAGTAGAACGTTGAGGGTAAAGTGTCTTTTCGCCGATCCGCAAGCCGGCCACCAAGCTCCGCGGGCTTGCAGAACAGCGAATACGGGGACCAGTGAATCACACCTGTTGTTCTCAATCTTCTCTTGATTATCCTTCACCTTCTCCCTCATTGTGCTCTGCTCATGTGTCAAACGCTGGAACTCGCTTTTCATGATTCGCATCTCGTTCTCCAGCATCCGCCGTCGCGTAACGATGTCTGCCGTGCTTGAGTTCAAGATATCCTCGTCCAGCATCTCTTCTTCTTCGTCTTTTTTGTCGGCATCTTTCATATCGGCATCGCCGTCGCCGTTGGGCTTCTTGTCATCGCCATCGTTCTGGTCTTGCTTCTTGTCTCTCTGTTCCTGCTCAAGGTCTTCGAGGTCCTCAAGAGTCGACATGGCGGAATCGGGAAATTGTGAATTATGAGATCAGAAAAATAGAAAGCCCGGAAATGAAGATACAACAGGCCAGTAGATTAGAAAAGGATGGGGGAAGATGAGGAAAGGTTGCTGGGAGGAAGAGCTGTCGGTGGCCGAGCTCCAACAACGTCAGCCATAGAGCGTCACGTGATGCGGTCTACGTTTATAATCAAGTGCGATTCGATTCTATCTACTTGAATGACTTTTGTTTTGTACAATGTGAATGTCTTCTGTCAATTTATCCTGTGCCACGTACCACACAGGATTTAGATAAACCA